CCCCGGTACACCAGCTTCCGAGGATGGTAACGAGGGAATTTCCGTCATACTGATGGACTTCGAAATGCCCGTGATGGGAGGATTGGAATGTACAAGGATTATACGGCAGAAGGAACAAGAACAACAGTCGCTAGGGCACAGGTGGAAAAGGCCGATCATAGGCGTCACGGCGAATGCGAGGACGGAGCAGCAGGAAGCCGCGATGAAAGTGGGCATGGATTGTGTTGTTACAAAACCTTTCCAGATGAGGGTTCTGTTGGATGCGATAGAAAAGGTGCGGGAGAATGTGTAGTTGTACGCCTTCGATATCCTCGGTCAATGATGTTGAGCAATGGAGTCAAAGATGGGTCCGGCGAACAACTGCTTGAGCGCAATCTCACCTGGATGAAGACCATGTCAAGACGCGGTCGAGAACTTTGTAGTACAGTCGCCATTTGCATCGCAATACGGACCCATAAATGGATTGTTTTCAGCCGGCATACTGCCTGCAAAATTGACAAAGAGGCTGCGTTGCAGCCTTGCTCTGATAGTCTGTTTGTTCTTGAGCGATGCTTCAACGACCTTCGTACCGAAGGTGACTGCATCAGAAAGTTTTGAGCTCTTGCTTTTCTTCGTCATCTTTGGAAACGATTTATCCCGTTCTCGAGTCAGCCGTCTTGCTGTGACAGTTCTCTTTAACCCCTGGCAATGCTGTGAATCAAGAAGGTTCAACAGCCCGGTTTCGGCCGCCAAGTCTGCGACAGGTCAATCTTATCCGCAGTACTTGTAACTCGTGTGCGACAACTTCACAGGAAGACGACTCGTGAGCTTCGACATCAACGGCTTGGCTCTGGCGCCTTCGGTTGGTGACTCCTCATTCAACGACCGACTACTGGCAGCTCCTGAGTTTCCATTGGCAAACTCGGCGATTGGAGAGAGTGAGAGAGAAACACATGTGGCCGTCTCTCCCCATGTATTGGTATCTTCAGCACTCCCACTGCTGCAACTATTAAACGTCGACAGCCAGTCGCACACGACTCATCTCTCCTGAAGCTGTTACATTGAACGTCAATATCCTCGTCCTCTTCAAACCAGTCACTCCTTGGACACACTAGGGCTTGTCGTCTCCAAACAGTCATGCTGCTTATGCCTGAACATGGCCAACGTCTCAAGTCTGGTCTGTACGGTCTGGGCAATGATCAAACTCATGGTGTCCAAGAACAGCAGATTCGTCTGATTCGAGCCACTGCAATGTGACCGGTGGCACTCTGGAACAAATGTCGTAAGATTGTAAGTGCCATCGAGATTTCGTGTCGGAACTGCGACGAGGGCATACATAAAGCGCCATTCGAAGTCTCAGTCCGTTTTTCTGACTTTCTTCCTCTCCAGTCAATCGTTGAAACACACTCGCTCTCCTCAAGCCTCCTGTCGGTCGAAGTTAACACCTCAACGCACCAAGACGTTCTTTTCCACGAACAACAAGCTTCGACATCAACCATGCGTGCAACAATCCTCACGATCGCCGCAATGGCTATGGTCTCAAGTGCCCACCCCGTCAAACGCCAGTCGTCGAGCAGCTGGAACACAGGATCCGGACAAGGCTTTCAGGGCGGCAACACTGTCCAAGGAGCTACTGGCGCCCAGGGCCAAGGCAACGTCCCAGCTGGCCTTCAACCAGGAGCAGTCAACACCGGAGCCACTGGCGGAGCTGGTGGTAATGCTGTCATTGGAGGCGGCGCCAGCCTCAATGGTGGAGTAGGAGAGGGTGTCGGCGTTGGTGTGTCGCTTGGCGGTGGCGCTGGTCTCCAGGGAGGCGCTGGTGCGAACTTGGGTGGCAGTGGTGGAGTGGGCGGAGGAGCTGGTGGAGGAGCTGGCGAACAGGGAGGATGGGGCCGTTAAGCGACGAGGCATTTCAGCACGACATCGCCAGAACTATCATTAAAAGGGGCGGAATCAAAGTCTTAGGGTAGTCAATACATAGGAACCGCTGTACAATTACTACTTGCATCTACATCCTCTGCAGGGACTTGATCGTAGTCTGTTCTGTCCTCAGTCTTCTCACTCAAACTGTAGTCTTCCTGCTATAATCCAAGACATTGATAAACTTTGAAATTCTAAGGTAATGCCGATCGCTTATGGCGCAGTGCAGAGGAGAGCATCACCATCCTATACGGAAGGTGAGTTCGAGATCTCCTGTCGAGTGATTTGACAAACGTACCAAAGGCAGAGTGCAGCACTCAGCAGTCTTTCCAGTAGATGCACAGTCAGCCTCGAAGTCAGACTTGGTGCTTGGGTCGCCCGATGCTATAACGTGTCAGTCGAAATTCCTCTACACAGGCCCGAAACGTAAGCTTACGAGACTCGCAGGTGGTGTCGAGGACACCGTCGACATCAAGCTGGCAGCAGAGTGGGGCTGGGAACAACAGATCAGTCACTATATCTATCTGTCTCCTTTACTTGGACTCACTGTCGAGAGCTGCGCAAAGGCTGATCGGGGCACGCAGCTTGATGGCTGGGCCAGCGGCTGCCAGGGCGGCAAAAGCGAGGACGAGGAACTGCATTATCGTTGAAGTTGAAGTGGTGATTAAGAACTCTGTTGTGTCGGCTTAACTTTTCGTCGAGAAAGACTGAAGTGAACAAATGTCTCGAAAGAATGCTGTGCTCAGTCACTGGACAAGGCACAACGGCCCTCCTTATATGCCCCGTGAAGAGAACATGCGTCACAGCTCTTTCTTTCATTTGCCCCTTGGTCCAACACCAACCGCCATCCGATCCCGATCCTATCTTCAACACATCGCCTTGGCCTCGCAACGACAGATCCGACGACCGAGATAGCTACGTCGACGGCGGCTTCCAAGTGGACGATAGTCATAAAGGACTGATAGCAAAGAGCACAAATCCCAGGAAAGCCTGTGAGATGAGCTGGACCAAGTGGTCGTTAACGCAACGGTTCTGCGAGTAGTGCGGCTGATCGACCGGATGTCGTCGCTCTGCACTCCGAGCGATATGTGGGCTATTGCGGTAAGCTTTCGATAAGCATAGCGTAGGAAGCACTCCGCGTTTGTCTTGCATTTTCATTTCGGTTACGCAAGCGGCGGATGTACTTTTGGGAATGATGACGGTGAAGTGATCCGGCAGCCGTGACTCGTGGCGACGTTGTCGAGGAGCCGCAAGCGGATGGACAAAATCCATTTTGGACCCTCATGCAGAATGCCCAAGACCTTCCATGGCCGGAACCATCGCCGCTGCAGAAAACCTCGAAGTGATCGCTTCAAAGTCGATCCAAAGACAACTGATCTTGGAAAGACCTCATCTTCCCCACAAATACCTCCACGTCGATGATGAAGAAGGGTGAAAAGAATAGATGAAGTCAAGTGAAGTCAAGATAAATACCCGCGATCGACACACGCCACGCGAACCCAAATGCCCGGGCATGTGGATACAGATTCCCCTAACTTTGAGCCTCAGCCTCACGGCAGTTCCAATTTCAGGCACCAGACCTTATCTCGAGCCACACGCGTGCAAGACCGAGATCTGGAGTCAGATTTGGATGTGTCGTGCATCGCCTTGGAGCTTAAAACGGAGAGTTCTTGGGGTGCTGGATGTGACAGGCTTCCTCGTATCTATATCTCTAGGCATCTTCTTTTGATCGACAGATCTACAGCGGGAGCGAGGATGATTGCGCTTCGGAATTTCTTGTGTATGCGGTGATTGGGGCGATTGTATTGTTGATGGAGAGAGATTATTTTGGTAACTTCATCCCTCGAATGAATGGCGATTTAATTGTACAGAGAAAGACTCGCCCATGACTAGTTCTTCCAAACCGCGGCCTTCGACATTTGAAATAGAGATAAGAGATCTATTATTAGAGTGCGATTGGTGAGAGTGATCGGGCAAAGGCTGCCGCATTCGTCTCGTGATCCCTTTCAGGGCTGGTTGCAAAGGAGAGCAGCTCCAGCCTGCGAGCATCGTCAGCTTTGCTTCTTGGACACATTCCTCCTGTCCGGCTCTCGACGTGATCCGACACCAATAACTTACCACAGGCAGAGCACAGCACTGCGCAGACCTTCCACTGGCAGCACAGATCTGATAGAAAGACCGTTTGTCCCAAGGCCGCTGGCTCGCTGCATCCAAATCAGTCTTCGACATCCGTAAGGCAGGCACAGAAAAGGTACTTACGAGGATCGCAGGGCAGGGCTGCAAGCCCCAAGAGCATTCAATTGGCAGCATTGAGGAGTTCCAGCGAGACCTTGGCACACTGGATCACCGCTGCCACCTCCACCTCCTTGCCATCCAGGCTGGTATCGGCCACGTTGGACGCCTCCCCGACCGTCACCGGCATATGGCGCGTTCTGTGGCACAGCGGCAGCGAGCACCAAGGCAGAAAGACTGAGAACGAAGGTGCGCATCGCGAGACTTGGTCGATGGGTTAATGAGCAAGATAGACTGATCTGGCGGTGGGTGAAGTCGTGTGGAACGTTCGGACGTCTGGTAGGGTGGATGAAGGAAGAAATCAGGATAAGGATCGTCTTTGGGAGGTCTGAAGGTCGCATGGCAGGACAAGGACGACTTTGCTGACCACTCTTTTATGTGTTTACAGACACTTGATTCTTGTGGTATGTCATCATCGCCATTGCCATGCTCTTGGTTACCCATCAATTGAAGAACTTGGTCGAGAGTCATTTGCCATACGGTGGCGACTGACGACAGGGCATTCGATCGAGCACAGCAGCCACTGATAGTCTCAAGGATACTGGCCTGGACGAACTTGGCTGTGGTCGTCTGTCACGCCGTATAAGCGCTCCAACCCTTACAGATTTTTGAGTCGTCACTTATACTTGCAACAAGAGCTGCCTCACTGATTAACCGTCCAGGGTGCACCGCTGATGTGATGCAGCTCCTCGCCAGCTGTCACCCCTCCTGGGTAGATCTAGAGCTCTCGCAAATGCATTGCAAGTGGATCTAGAGCCACCGTACAAACTGCCATTGGAGTCATGTCCCAAACCAAAGCGCTGCGAATGGATGCCCTTCACTCCAAGATTCAACGCCGAATTTTGTGGCGTATCGGCGAGTACGAGCGCGCAAGGAAGTAGCCAGGGATTCGAAACCGATCGAATGAGATTGACTCAGTATTGCTGCTACTCTAATCCGACGCATAAAGTTTCGAACAGCCAGATCCGAGTCAGAGATACGAGGGTGAAGCGAGAGTTGACGATCATCAAATGCCACCTGCTATCGATGAGAAGGGCGATCTCAACAAACTCGAAATTTGACGTTGTATCGGCTGGATTGCAGCTCGTGTGATGCCCTCCATACTACAACCTCGCCATCGCCTTCTGGTACTCCTCCAGACTTTCGCCGATCAACTCAGTGAGAGCCCACGGCGAGTTGTGTCTTTTATAAAGACGTGACCAGATTCTAGAGAGGCGATCGCTCAAATCCCTTGCCAGTGTTGCAGTCGTCCGATGTGCTACTGCCTTGCCCGGCTCGGGTATCGTGCTCCATCCTAGCGACTCTTCGGCCTTGTTGACTAGGCTATGGATGATGGACATCAACCTGCATTCGAAATCTGATACTGGATCTTTGTCGCAGAAATCCGCTACGCTTAAGAGCCATTTGCTCAGGAACGTGGCGGCTTCGAGATGCCAAACGAAGTTTTGAAGGTCCCAGTGGTGGAACTGTCTACGACTGGTGACCTCCACACCGAACTTCACAGGGACTGCAAAGGCCTGCGTGGCGTGGAGGAGAGCAGCGATGATATCCGCATCGCGTTTTGGACTGTGGGCGCGGGCCAGATTGAGACCGGTCTTGTGTGGCTGCCACTCGCGCAGCGCTCGACACGAAGCGTAGGTCGTGTGAAGGCGAACGAACGCGAGCCCTAATAGGGATGTCGCCGTGAAAGAATTGGACGCATCTGGGTTCCTGGGATCGAAGATCGACTCTGGTGCCTGTCTCCATGCGTGTGTCCAGCGCTCGAGTGCAATATTGATCTCATCAAGATCAGAAGATCGTAGGCTCTCGCTGCGCCCATTGAGCTGCATCTGTCTCGCAAGGTGGATGCGTTGCAACAAAGCATTGATGAGGACCAGGTTTCCGAATGGCGAGTATAGGGCATTTTGGGGGGCAGCAGCGGTGAGAAGATCGGAATACGCTTCTTGAAAGCCCTGGGGTTCAGGAGCTAGGTCTTGTGCAAGCCTCCAGTCATCTTCGTTCTGCGCAGTCCACTCAAGAGTAGAACAAGGCAGATATGTATTGAGTCTACTGCTAGGCAGAGCAGGGGGCGAATCAAGAACTGTCGTGTAGATATTCAGAACATTGAATATGGCGCATCTTGTGCGACGGACGCCTTCCAAGAAGGTCCATTGCTTCCAGGTGGTTTGAGTTATGCCTGGTGCTCCAACGTGCTCGTCGGAAGTCGCATAGTCTACAAGAAGACATTGCAACGAAGTCGCATCGTGTGAGGTGTGGCTTTTACCTTCCATCACAGCAAATGCTGTCAGAAGTAGAGCAGCCTGTACCGTTCGCAGAGCACTCCATGATCTCGGATCCACATCAGTCACCCCATGATTGAGTTGAGCCGCGCTAAACCTCGATCCATACTCTCGCAAACGAGCATGTACTATCGACATCGCAGCGTCAAACATTCTCACGGCGGTATTCGTTTCATACCTGCATATTGCACCGACTGCAGCAACAGCCAATGTCAACTCAGGCGACTCTGGGCAATCTTGGGGTCGGTACGTGACAGGATGGAGGATCTGGAGATGATTATGAAAGTCCTCGAAGTATCCAGTGATGTGACGACTAATAGCCAGCAAAGATGGAAGAACAAAGCCGTTCATCTGCTTGTCGTATGGTTTGATGGCCGAGCGAAGATCTTCCCATTGCCCGGTTGTAACCTTCCAAGCGCAAGGGATACGCTTGAGCTCATGGATATCTTCAGCGTGTGCATCCGGCGGTAGATACGGTAGCCTTGCGGTAGTGAACATCTGGGAGGATTCGTCGACTCCAAAATTTGGGTCGGGTCCACTCAACAAGTCCGGGAAGATACTGTCCAGCGGAGCATTCAGTCCCATAGTGTTGAGGAAGGCATCGAAGCTGAGGAAGGTGTTCATGTGAACATCCTCGCCATATCCAGGATCATTCAACGGACTCTCATTGCTGTGTCCCGAAGAATCGGGTGGTGTATACTCCGCAGTCGTGGGAGGTGTCGGGGCTGCTAATATCGGGGTTACATTTGGAGCAGAGTTCCCACGTAAGGCGAGGTTCGTGGCCAGATGTTTGCCGATTTCTTCATGTCGCTTTAAGAGATCGCGTCGAGCGAACGCCTTGCCACAAAAACAGCGGAACGACTTTTCGTTTGTATCTAGCATGTCGAGTCAGAGGTCTGCTGGGATATATTGTGTTTTGACGTTGTACTTTACGGGTGGTTGTATGCCGCTTGAGGTGCTCCAAACGAGCAAAATTGCGCCCACATATCTCGCAATGATACTTCTTGTCCTGTACGAGTCGAACTTTCATGGCGATGATGGTATTGCGAGAGAGTAGAGGAGTATTGGTGAACAGAAGAGATAGAATCGGGGCAGGGAAGGTTGTGACTCCACGTCTCCAAATTTCGGGGAAGACTTTGTCATCGCAGAGGCGAACTCCAACTTCAACTCCAACGCTCTCTATTCAAGACCCACACCACCAACTTGAACTGAGACAGCATCACAAAAGCACCAAGGACCGCTTATCCTGCTGATGCTCACAGACGTCTCATCAAAAGCACGAGTACATACGCAGCCCTCCCTCGCGAGGACTTGCTGAAAGGCGGCGACATCTCGCCATCACGGACTTCTTCATGAAGACTTCTTGTCTCAAGGGAACGCGATGGAGGCAAGAAGCATGCATCATCGACAGCATATCAAGTGGATACCAGACGGCTTAGAAATGCTTCAACTTTTATCGGGGTCAGGTTGGGGTTTGACGAGGTCGTTTTCTCTTAAAAGTGCTTTGCATGCCTTTACTGCCCAGTAAGTACACAAGCCATGGCTTTCATTCGAGACAGCGTGCTAGGTGCTTGTTTCCGTCAAGTGTTCAATTCTCAGATCTTTCAGTATTCTCATGATCGAAATCACTATACAACACAGGTGTCTGGGCTTTCGACGCCTTCCGAAGATGAAGCCGGCTTTGAGAAAGGCGTACAGCTTTGCGACTGGAACGGAGCGAATGATCCAGAGAACCCGAGGAATTGGAAGAGATCCAAAAAGTTGCTGATTGAAATTGGCATCTCCTGCTATGCCTTTGTGGTGTACATGTCGGCGCCCATCTGGACCCCTAGCGAGGCGCAGTTCAAGCAGGAGTTTGGTACTGGCTATGAATACACTGCTCTCGGATTGGCACTCTTCGTGTACGATCTACCTCAACACAGCAAGAACACGAGCTGATGTATCCCTAGTTTGGGCTATGGCACCGGGCCTCTTCTGTTCTCACCTCTAAGCGAGATACCTAGCATTGGACGTAAGTGTTGAAGACATACAGCCAATTCACTCGCTAATATGTTGATAACTAGGCAACCCTCCATATGTGGTGACATTCATCATATTCATGGCCGTCATCATCCCAACTGCGCTGGTCAGGAACGCTCCGGCATTCATGTTCCTTCGATTCGTGCAAGGCTTCTTCGGTAGCCCTGTCCTCGCCACGGGAGGCGCATCTATCGCTGATGTATATGACGATGCTCATGTCTCAGTGGCGATGAGTCTTTGGGGATTTGCCTGCTTTGTGGCTCCGCCTGTAGGGTACGTTCGCTTTTTCCATCATCGGCGGCCAGATGTTGCTTACAATTCTTAAAGAACGACCATCGCAGCTGCCGCCATCAACAGTCTCGGCTGGCGCTTTTCTATTTGGGAGATCCTCATTGCGAGCGCTCCCATCCTGATCATACTGTTGATCCTCCCAGAGACGAATCCCGACACGATACTCTACAATCGAGCGAAACGCCTACGTCGCGCCACCGGCAACGAACAGATTCGCTCGCAGTCAGAGATCAACCAAGCGCATCTCGACTTCAAAACAATCGTCAAGGAGTCGCTCTACGTACCCGCCGCGGCGACCATTCAAGATCCTGCCGTTCTTTTCGCCAACGTGTACTTGATGCTGATCTATGGCATCTATTACTCATTCTTCGAAGCATTCCCGCTGGTATACCAGGACATGTACGATTTTGATCTCCTACAGCAAGGGTTGGCGTTCATGCCTATCGCCGTCGGCACCATCATCGGCGCCCCTGTGTACATCACCCATCTATGGTTCAGTCGAGTATGTTCTCCGCCAAAACTCACCAATTCCCGACAATGACTAACACCGTGACCAGAGACCAAAGCTCATCGCCGGCGAGAAACTGCCCCCAGAAACAATCCTTCGACCAGCCCTCATAGCCAGCTTCTTCCCACCCATCGGCCTCTTCCTCTTCGGCTGGACGTCCAACCCCAACATCCACTGGATCGTCTCCATGATCGGAGTCGCAATCTACCCCATGGGCGTCTTCATCGTCTTCCAGACCCTCTTGGTGTACTTGGCCGCCTGCTACCCTAGATTCGCCGCGAGTCTCTTCGCCGGCACGGACTTCACGCGGTCAGCATTCGCACTCGCCGCAATCCTCTTCGCGAGACCGATGTTCCTGAAGTTAGGCGTTGGTGGGGGCTGTAGTCTGCTTGCTGGGTTGATGATCTGCTGTATCTTTGGCATCTTTGCGTTGTATCACTATGGACCTGCTCTGCGGGAGAGGTCGAAGTTTACTGCGAAATTCTGAGATCGTTCTCGATCCATCGACTTCAAACGATTGGCTAAGCTGGAAATGTCCGTGTCCGTAGGGGAAGTTGCGGATATCGAAGGAGATGCGAGCACCTACGTCTTCGGGAAAAGACCGAGCGGGATTCCACGGCGGCGATTCTGCTACTCGATGGCTGAGTCTCAAGAACATCAACGTGTGCGAGCCATTGAACTTCTAAGCGGAGAGCCGTGCTGTCGCTGAAAGCACTGGATCCAACCTTCTCCCTCCGCTAGACCCGGCCTATGGAACCCATCGGGCCCGAGAAGTCGTAAAGCACCCAGCGACTGAATCCATTTTCAAAATCAGCATCCCTAACCCCCCATCGCCTCCACCATCACTCACCTCCTACAAGAAAGCAGCTCCTCGAACGCAAACGCCAATGCCCTCCCCAGCCCTAGAAAAATCCACCCTCGACCTCCTAATCCGGCAAGAACGCCACTACCGCGACACTTCACAATGGTCCCTCCTCCGCTCAATGTGGCACCCGGACGCCTCGCAAACCCTCGTCTCAATCTCCTTCGTCACAGGCACAGTCGACGACTGGATCAACGGCGGGAAGAAAATCGGCGGCTCATCGACAACTCCCCCTCCTGCTGAAGGAAGCGTAACTGGACCTTTCCATACCATAGGACCGAAGGAGATTCTGGTGGAAGGGGATAGGGCGTTGGCGACGACGCTGATTTCGATTCATATGCGCTTCTTGCACGGAGGCGTGACTTTTGATGTTGTTAGTTGGGCGCATCAGGTTCAGCGGTTCGTGAAATTGCCCTCTTCTTCCTCTTCTTCCTCTTCTTCTGCGGATGCTGAGGACTGGAAACTCGTGAGGTTCGAGGCGATATACATCCGGGATGAGCTGAAGCTGCCTTGGCCGCAGGAGGCGGCTACGGAGGCGGTTTTGGGGGCTGTGGGGAGGGAGATTGAGGGGGCGGGGAAGAGGGAGTGTGTTAGGGTTTTGGGGTGGACGTTGGGATTGGGGGGCGTGGAGGTCAGGGGGGATGTGCCGGGGTATGATGATGAGGGGACGTGGAGGCCTGTTGTTGAGGCGGGGAGGAGGTGGTTGGAGGGTGGTTCTTGAGCGGGAGGGGAGGGGAGGGGTGTTCATGGGCGATTTGGTTTTCTCAGAGTCTCTTCGTCTGAATCGTTATCTCTCTCCTATTCCTCCCTGGTGATGATATGTACACGTCGAAGCTAATCACGACGACCGCGTGCGTCTGTATACTCATCTAGTATGCTTCCCCCATTTCTCGACCTCTCTTCCAGTCCGAGATCAAACCCGGACCTCCCATCATCACCCAACAGTAGTAGTAGCAACCAACGTGGGCACCACACTCGTCTCGCAATACGGCGTCGTGAAACTCGGCGGAGCAACACCCGGACAGCTCGTATAGCACCCCGGCCCAAAAGTATTCTTACACCCATCCACACAAAGAAGGCAATACAAGCCACACTGCCGAGTCGTTTGAGTCGTGAACGATCTGATACTCGTCGTGCTGTTCGAAGGACATCCAGGATCGGTATAAGTAGGCGCGGGCGAATCGTCACAATCGTCGTGACAGCCTCCGTATTTGAGTCCGCAGTCGTTGAGATAATCCCAGCAGACCGTTCGGGAGCAGGCATACGTCCCGATCCTAGCTGCTGAGACGGGGGTGAATGCCGGAAGAGCTGTGGTTGCAACGGCGTTGTTGACGAGCGACGTGGTCGAGGGGCATGGCGGCGGTGTGAAGGTCGGCATCTTGTAGGAGCCGCACATGGGTTCGCAGCCGCCGTACATCATGCTGCAGGAGTTCATCAGATCCCAGCAGATTGTAGGACAGCGGGATGAGGTGCTTGATGAGGTTGTTGTGGTTGTTATTGTCGTTGTTGGGCATGGTGGTGGTGTGAATGCCGGGACTGTGTTGCCTGCACAGATTGGAAAGCACCTGCCATATGGGAGACCGCAGTCGTTGGTGTATGTTGCGCAGGCTTGCTGTGAGCAAGAGGGAGCCGTTCTGGTGGCCGGGACGGGCGTGACAGTAGCCGTGACGTGTAGGTTCTGGCTTCGAGCAATGGCTGCCAGAGCGAATCCGATCAGCAGCTCGTGAAGGCGCATGGTGGACACTCTGGTTGGGAGAGTAGGAGAGAGCTCCAGTGGCCGACAGGGATGGTGGCTTTCGGCACTTCTTCAGCACTGAAGACCTCCCCGGCAGATGAGGAAGGGGTGAGGTCATCTGTGTATTCTGACACATTCCTCATGCATGCTGGCCCGCATGTGGTCTCTTGCCAAGCATTTCTGCATCGTAGGGAGCAAGGCTGTCTCAGGCTGCAGGCAAGGAGGAATCTTGGCCAAGTTCTTTCATCATCCAGCAGTCCAGGTTTGCAGTTCCAGGTCGATCTACGATTTTTCTTAGTTCGAAGTGAGTTATGAAGAAGAGCGGCATGAGTCGAACTCGAGCCGATTTCTAGCCTGGGAAGAATGGGTCGCTGGCCTTGAGGTCAACGAGAGATGTCGGATGGGAATTACATTGCGTCCCAACTCAAGACCGAGGTCATGATTATCGTCCAGAGACCGTCTTTTGGCCCAAGCAGCCGTGTGTTCTCGTCGAGGTTGTGATTCCGTCACATGCTGTAGATCAACGCACGAAGCGACCACGAGCACATTTCCGACTCCATGTGCGGCCATTTGCGAGGTCATACTCAGTTACTCACAGTTCACCACGCCTTCCAGTCTTCTACATCTCAAACACCGCCACACCATCCCCAATCCCCAAGAACGACGTCTCATTAACGTTCATCCAGGCACCGTCCACCCTGCGAAACTCATGTCTCCCGATACCTTTCCTCTTGATCCCCATTGGCAAAGTCCGGCCTCCTGAACTCTGCGCTGTTAAATAGACTTCAGCATAACCCACGGCAAGCAGGACATAGCTCTCCATCTTCAGCGGCTCAATCCGGAAGTTGGGATAGGGCAAGGCGAGGTTTTTGAACCCGTCGACATAGTCTTCTCGTGATTTTGCTTCCCCACGGAAACCAATGGCCGGCATGGAGAATTCTGAGGCGACGGACGTCCAAGGTGCGGTATTCGGGTCAAATTGGCGCTCGTTGACAGCGTTGGCGATGGAGGCGACGATAGATTCTATGTGTGAGATTATCTCTTCTTCTGTGGCAGTTTCGGGGAGGGGAGAAGGTTTCTGGACTTTGACATCCTCGATACAAGGCTTTGAGATGGCCATACTGCAGGCGTAATGTTTGAGAAGGGATGGGCGACAGGAGCCATACTTATATGTTCAGAGAACAATTGGTTTCAGCCGTCCATACTGCTGCGCCGCTCATTTTCAGGCAGCCCATAGCGATAATGCAGCTGGACGGGATCGAGTTAGATTGGGTGTTGCGAGCCATCCCGAGAGACCATCCCTCCTCAGCCCGACCCTGACGACGGCCAAATGTGGACTGGTGATGTTGATCTGCTAATTGCTGCCTCAGGCACACTGTCACATGCCGTCATCCCCGATTACAAAGTGATGGCGACTTCTCGAAACCCGGGCCTGCTCTCGCCTCTGCACAGGTCAGTATACTCATCACTCTGCGCACAACTCCCAGGTCGACTAACACATACTCCAGATTCAAGTCTGCCTTCTTCTGTCGCCACTCCTCTAGATAGCGGCGAACATGTCGTCTCCCGAACCCGAATCCTCACAGCCTCAACTACAATGGACCTCACAGTATAATGTTTCCGCCTCGACCGCCTCCAAACTCCCCGGCGATAAGATCCTCCTCCCACCTTCCGCCCTCGAAGCCCTCCTTTCTGCCTCTTCGACTCTCGCTCGCGAAAATGTTAGTCGCGACCTTCCCCGATATGATCCCTACAACTCCGCCACATATTCGGCATACCGTCAAGCCGAATCGCAGTATGAGGATCAGAGACAACAGCTGCCATATCCGCTCATGTTCCGACTGGTCAATCCGGAGAATGGAAGAGTGGTGTATACCGGGATAAGAGAGTTCAGTGCGGAGGAAGGCAGTGTTGTTTTGAGCCCATTTCTCGGAGAAGCTTTAGGCTTAGGAGAGCAGGCTGAGAAGAACGAGGAACATATGGATGTGGATGGCGAAAGTACTGGTCCAGTGATCACTGTCCACGCGAAGCAGCTACCCAAAGGTACATTTGTGAAATTACGGCCCTTGGAAGCTGGATACGACCCCGAGGATTGGAAAGCTCTCTTGGAGCAGCATCTACGGGCGAACTACACAACTCTGACGAACGGCGAAGTGTTGGTCGTACCTGGTGGTAGAGGCATAGTTGGCAAGAAAGAGGAGTTCAGATTCCTAGTCGATGGATTCAAGCCAGACGTTGACGGCATATGCGTTGTGGATACAGATCTCGAGGTTGATATTGAAGCGTTGAACGAAGAACAGGCGAGGGAGACATTGAAGAGAATCGCGGCAAAGATTTCGAAAGCGCCGGGTACAGAGCAAGGCAGCTCCCCAGGTGGAGAGGTCGATCTCTTCAAGCCGCAAGAGGGACAGGTGCTTCCTGGGGAATATGTGGACTACCAACTTCCTTCATGGAACAGGGCTCTGCCATTGGAGATTGAGCTGGAGGCTGAGGACGAGGAGGAAGACGTGAACTTGCTTGCCAACCCGTTCTCATCGACCCTACGCTCTACACCACGACTTGACGAATTCATGTTCGCCGATCTGGATTGCAGACCGAGGAAGAGACTGCGACTGGAGCCAAGTAATGTTGAGTTGGAGCATGCTGAAGCACTTTATCTTTCGGTACACGCATTCGCACCTTCGCAGGAGCAGACAAATGGACACACTTCAAACAGCGAGACGCAGGCCACGCCGAGGAGATACACACTCAGAGCTAGACATCCCGATACGAAAGAGAAAGCTGTTAACGGGACACCGGCCGAGACGAGCGATGTAACCCCCAACGAAGGCGACGTACGATGTAAGAACTGCACTCAATGGGTGCCACAACGGACACTCATGCTCCACGAGAACTTCTGTCTACGCAACAACATGCTCTGCCCCAAGGGTTGCGGTCAAGTCTTTCAAAAGCGTTCACCGGAATTTGAGAGCCACTGGCACTGCCCTCATGATGACTCTTTTGGCAACTCGCCATCCGCACACCAGCAGCACGACACCATCTACCACCCCGACGAAGTTCTCCGTTGTAGCGATTGCGGCACATCAGAGACCTTCCCCAATCTTCCAGCTCTCGCGCACCATCGAACCACGACCTGTCCATCGAAGTTGATCCTATGCCGTTTCTGCCACCTCGTCGTTCCTCAGGAAGGTGACCCAGATGTCCCAAACGCAGAGGCTTTGTTATCCGGCATGACACCACACGAACTCGCCGACGGCGCTCGCACAACCGAATGTCATCTCTGCAACAAGATCGTCCGCCTCCGAGACATGGAAACACACCTCAAGAACCACGACCTCGACCGCTTCTCTCGCCCCGCTCCGATCCCCTGCCGGAACACCAACTGCGGCCGCACCCTCGACGTCTGCTCCAAGACCGGCGACACGCGCGCAGGAAGCCGTATGGGTCAGGGACCTGGCAACGACGTCGGCCTCTGCAGCTCGTGTTTCGGCCCTCTGTACGTGAGTATGTATGATCCCGAAAACAAAGCACTGAAACGCCGTATCGAACGACGATACCTCCAGCAACTCCTCACAGGCTGCGGCAAAGCGTGGTGCAGGAACGAGTTCTGCAAAACGGGACGCAAGAATCTAGATCTGAACGCGAATGTCACGACGAAGGATGCGCTGCCCATGATCAAGCCTTTCCTCGAGGGTGTCACGAGTCCGGAGAAGGCGACGCCGCTGCATTTTTGTGTGGATGAGGGGAGTCAGAAGCGGAAGACTCTGGCGGGGATGTTGGCTGCTGAGGAGGGCGGGCCGTTGGAGAAGGGGGGTGGGTATGATTTGGAGTGGTGTGTTGGTGCGCTGGAGGCGGAGGGTGGGGATTTGGATGGGGCGAGGGCGTGGTTGAGGAATTGGGCGCCGAGGAGGGGGGAGAGGAAGTAGATGATAAAGATCTAGAAGGCCGGAGCAGATGATGTGATGAATTGAGATGATGTCTTCTTCCGATTTGAGAAGAGACATGTTGTTGATTCCATTGCTCTCAGCGCATAGCACTGCTCTGCTCAAGTATCCATGCTGTTTAACGCAGTCAAGAATACATCTCTTCGATGCTCCATGTACTCGTGTCCACGAATCCCACCTCGCGTATCAACGAAGTCTTCCCTCAAGTTCATCGCTCCTCCTCATCCCATATCTTACACCACGCTCCCCTTTCCCATCCCTCTCATACTGTACAACCTTTTTCTCATCCTCTTCAGCTCTCGGTCATCGTTCGCGCATTGTTTAGATCCTACCATCCACAACATCAGCACCCACTGGAAAAGAGGAGAAAAGGAAAAGAAAGGAAAACTCACGGAGGCAACAAAATCTCCGCCCAACTGCTATGCAGGAATGCCACGCCGGCCTGGGAGCGTCATCGTTAGCATATATCCCTTCCACACTTCATATCCCCTCGTTCAATCGTTTTGCCTCCCTCTCCCTCTCCTCCCACCCTCATATTCCCCCAATCCTCTCCATCCCTCCTCCATCCTTCCCTCCTCTTCTCTTCCCCTCCCCATCTTGCAATGTGCAGATATATGTGGATAAGACAATACATACCGCAAAAAACGCCACACTCGTCACAACGCTCCGATTCTCCGCATCCGTAAGGAAGTTGTAGGTGTCGCTCGCGAAGCCCTTGTTGCGCCGGGAAGACGAGCTTTGGATGGCGCCGTTGCGGATGGTGGGTTGTTTGGGGGGCATGGCGAAGATTTTCTTGGAGTTTGGTGGGTAGGTGGATGGTTGGTGTGGTTGGTGTTGTGGTGGGGGAGGGGTTTTGGGTGTGGTGGTGGGTGATGATGATGAAGTTTGAGGATGGAAAGGTGCACGTGATGGGATGAGATGGGTAAGGGTCTGTGCTCACTTCCGCGGGGATGGGATTGAGGAGATGACTTCGATGTTCATGGCTCGATTCGCTGTCTGCTATCTTGAAAGGGGAATTGTGTGAAGTCTCGGCCTACGTCGGAACTCAATGGAGAGAATGTTGGTACTAATCGCCGCCTTCGTGCCCCCCTCTTCGACCGTCCGGTCTCGCCAGCGATGAACTCCGCAGTTGCTGACCATTGAGACCGACATTGTCTTCTACCAGACATAGCAATATGTGTATGATGCGTACAGTGACTACATCAATCGTAGATGGTCATGGAGAGTCTCCTCCTCTGCCAAGGGCGTATGGTATATCTTTCCCTGTTTCCTGATCTTTGCAATCCTTTTCCTTCTCCTCCTGTTGCAAGACAAGACAAGACCCACTGCAAACAAACAATCACACAAACCAAACCAACCATGAAGTACCTCCACCTCCTCACCACGGCAGCCTGCCTCCTCCCCATGGCCATCTCCCACGCGCTTCCGCGTGACAGCGAGGCGACCTTCCCAGAAGGCTGGGGCTACTGCAAACACTTCCCAGAAAAGGGCAGTATAAAAGTCAGCTCCTTCACCCCGGAAACCGACCTGCGCCCCATCGCGCAAGACGACGGCGAGATCCGCGAACTGAAATTCACCATCCAAGGCGACAGCGACTTCGACCTCGAGGACGGCGCGACGGTCGAGGGCGAGGCGAAGAAGGTCGGCAAGAAGAAGCTGCCGTTGTGCGGTGGGGAGGGCAGCCAGCGCTGTCCGAGTCGGGAGTTGGAATTTACGTACTCGGCGAGCTTTCCGAAGGGGAAGAAGACGAAGAAGTCGCAGAGGAGGGTGACGGTAAAGGTTCGGAATGGGAAGGGGGATGTTTTGACTTGTGTGGAGGGAAAGATGGACTTGTGGGCGGAGGGGGAGGGGGAGTGATGATGGAGAGTGAGGGGTGATTTTTGTTGATAGTTGGGGTAGAAGAATTGGAAATGATGCTGGTCCGGTTGTGGACTCTAATGGGAAGTAATGAAAAGAATGCAGTGTTTGGTACGTGCCTTGTCATGTTCCGGCAATCACAGCGAGGACCACGTTGTGACTCTGTTCTGCAGTTGATAGATGGTCTTCGCTGGACATCTTCGTTGATACAGTGGAGTACTCCTTCAAGTGTCGAGAATTGGCGATCCTAGAGTTTTCAAACTTCATTTGAGAATCGTGTGCTGTGAGAAGGTTTGGTCAAACAGAGCTGTGCTCGTCGATTGCACCTGGTTTTGCCTTCTGCTTCCGTGCGAGCGGTGTGCCCTTGATCACACGACCAGTATACAAATCCCACGATCCAGAACCATGGGTCTGGCGTCCATGGTGCTGGTTCTCGTCAATGGGGCCACGCCACGGGACGTCGAGAAAGCAGAGTGTTACTAAGCTTCCACAACCACATGGCATGGCGGTGCCACTGGAAAGACGGCTGACGTTCTGGAAAGTTGCAACGGCTTCCACGATCGATAAGAAATCTCCGATAGAAAGGTGGAATAGGTTCGACAGGCTGGAAGCTTGATAGACGTCAGCCAGCCAACTCGGGTATTCTTTGACGAGAGATTTGCACAAGGCGGTAGACTTTGAAGCGTCAGACAGTCTGCTACTGTCATCAACTGTAGGATTTGGCCGAGATGGGGGCGAATTGTGATAGTGCATTTCATGTGGACGCTACAGAGCCGCGTCGTGGTGCGCGCAGCTGCAGGCGAGCGATAGCGGGCAGGGCTTGCGAGGCGAAGTCATCCAGGTGGCATAAGAGTGGCTGTCTCAAAGTTTCGCAAGCTATCGTCATCATCTAGTCCATCCTGTGGTATAGTCGAGTAGGGCGTCGAATATCCTCTTCGAAAGTGAAGTCAAAGTACCTACGCATTGTATCGTCCAAAACGGCTGATCGACAGGTCCCGCTTACACGCCACGTGCGGATGGTCCAGAAGTGGAAGCGATGGTCATTCAGATGTCCTCGATCGAGAAGTGGCATGCCGATGGTGCTGTTCCAGAACAGACGCCGACAGTTCGCTTTCGTAAATCCCATCTGTCGCCTCATGCTTGTGCCGTGTTTTGCTGTGCTTCATCATCCTCGCTTCGGCAGCCAGCTCAACGCATGCAGCCGAACGAAACTTGTCCAATCGAGGCCCCACGCCGCAGGATGCATTGGATGTGGCCCATTGCGAGAAAAACCAGACTCGCACATGATAGAAGCTGCAAGCTGTAATGAGCTGTGCTGGTGTTCTTTGGTTCTGCTGGAGCTCTGATGCCTGCAATTCGATAATGAGGTAGAGGCTATAGGCTGACTCGCATGTAGACCCACAGATTCGCTGGCGAAGGAATCGCGCATCGTATTTTTGGATCCTCCTGGAGATATTGAGCGCTTGCCTGTGATGATTGTTGCTACCCCACCCCGCGGGAGCAGTATTCGAGTCTCGAGCAGTAGGTTTGAGCGTTTCCCACTCGGAGGTTTCTCTTATGGATTAGCTAGCTTTGGATCCACTTGTTAGCGATGCGACATCGTGTTTCAAAATTTCTCAGATTCGCTCCCTGCCGATAGGATGACCACCTCCTGCTGATTGCGTCTGGTAATCCTCGGTGACTGTCCCGTAATTGCGTTATGAGGTCCAGGCCTGGCTCGCATATCCATTTGAGATCCTCCTAGCAAGGCTCTGTCTGAGGTAGAGATGTGGTGAACGACCCCGCCAGGCTGGATGCTTTGCCCAGGTCGCCACGAACGTGGAGTCCACGAAATGGTGATGCACATCATCGGGGCCATGCGAGATAGCTGGCAAGCGACACGGTGCTAGACCGGGAAGAGACCGTAGCCAAAGTATTTTGCCTGCCTAACTGCGATATCCGCCGCGAAGCGAGGGCAAGCTGGGGAGGCGGCATGATGAAGTCTAGGTCGCCGTCGAAAGCTTGCGATATGAAGTGTGGCAGCGGCAGGCAGGGAGAGGCGCAGAGGCGTGCGGTAGTTGGAGACGACCAGCCCGGTTGGTGAAGGCTCGTCCCAAACAAGGCGCGCTGGTGACGCCCGCTCGCCAGATTCGCCCGTCACGTGGCGGCTAGCGCGAACCTAAAAGCTTGAGCTAGACCCAAAATCCAACTTCACTTCCTGAACTCTCGTCCGCGGGCGGCTCACGCTGCACCGCGAGCCCGCGCGCCTGCGCTGCACGCGACAAAAATCTCCATGTGCTGCATGGCCGATACGACCGCAATGGCCCCTCCGCCCTATGGGCTGCCGTGCTGCCTCACTCCGGGCTTGAAGGAACCCTCGTACAAGCAACGGAGGCGCTCTCTCTGCGGCGGTCTGGAGTGCCAAGCAGGGCACATACACACGGCACGGCGCCCACGATTGGATACCATGGTCATTTGCGGTTCTGCACCGACCCTTTTCGTCCTCGTGTGACTGCAGTCGCGCTCCCCCAAGACCCCCGATTCAGCATGACTCTGCCCATTCTCAGCTTGGAAGCTGCGGTTTTCCCTCTCGATGCAGCCACTTCTGGACCATGGCCACTCTCCGCTCCCCTACCTACACGCATTGGCGTCGTCGAGAGCTGATGGGGCTGGTGAGGAGGATCGTGGTGGTGTGGGAACTGCTGGCCTGATCATGAGGTTCTAGAGTAGGTATATCTGTACGCTCGCGGCCTCTTGGTGCCGGCTTGGAGATTCTTCTCGTCTTGTTGTTCCTCAGGCGCCGGCCGTCACCTTCGCTTGATGGTGAGAGCACATTTCTCTCGTTTCTAAAATATCGTCATTGTCCTGCTTCCAGCATGGCCATAATGTCCATCATGCGCTCAGGTCTCATCTCTCTCGCTTTATGCACCCTCGCTGCGAACGCCTTTGTGATCAAAAGAGACGATATAGTACTCTCACCGGCTGCAAACAACTCTCTGCCTACGAATTGGACCTATGTGGGCTGCTACAAGTATGTCTGGAGCTGATTCCTGAGCTTGGTTAGCTGTGCTGATCCTTTCCTGTAGCGACTCCCAGCAAACAAGAACTCTCTCTGGAGGCGACTTTAACGATGCAACCCTCATGAATGGATCTGCTTGTACTGCATACTGCTCCCAGAAGAACTTTGTCTACGCGGGAACGGAATATGGAGATGAATGTTATTGTGGAAACATGCTGGCAGCGCCCTCCTCGCTCCAAAATGACACAAAATGCAGCATGCCATGTTCTGGCAACTCGTCTGAAGCTTGTGGAGGTGAGTTGGGACTCTAATTGGAAAGTATCAGCTGACTGAAGCTTCAAGCTGCAAATTATCTCTCCATCTATTTCGCGAACAAAGACGTAGCCAAGGGGCCGAGCGTGAATCCTGGTCCTTCGAACTGGACAAGCTATGGATGTTGGCAAGATTCGGGAAATCCAAGAACATTGGCACGCACGGACACCAGCATACAATTCAGCAATATGACAGTGGCAGAGTGCACGAGCGCTTGCGCCAACAGTGGATACACTCTCGCAGGTGTGGAGTATGCCGGAGAGTGCTACTGTGTATGTGAAAGAGCAGAGCTTTGGCGTGCACAAGAAGAGCTGACGAGTAGTCCTAGGACAACTGGATTTCAAAGACCGCCCTAAATGCAAGCATCGACGACTGCAACATGGCTTGCAACGGCAATGCCTCCGAATTCTGCGGAGCGGGCAATCGCTTGAATCTGTATGCTTCTGGTACCGTCGTTCCAGGTCCGAAACCAGCGAACTTGAAGACACCAAAACCAATTAATTGGGTGCAGCAAGGGTGTTATACTGACAACCCGGGAGCACGAACTTTGGGTCACGGCATGGATGTCGTTGGTGGATCCAAGAACATGACGAATGCGAACTGTGCAGCCGCCTGCTTGAATGCTGGCTTCACCATTGCTGGTACTGAGTACTCTGGAGAGTGGTACGTACCAGAAAAGAAGGTGATTCGAATCATAGACTGATATCCAACAGCTACTGCGACAACACCCTTCAAAACGGTGGTGCCCCGGCCACAGACGGTCGTTGCTCCATGGATTGCAACGGCAATGACAACGATATCTGTGGAGGCCCTAACGGTCTCACTATGATGTTCTTCAATGGCTGGTACCCTCAAGGCTGCTGGGCTGAAGGCAGTGGCGGAAGAGTGCTCGGGTCAGGCCAAAACGTGGTTGGTGGCAGCGACAACATGACAGTTGAGAACTGCGTTGCGGCTTGTGGAAAGGCAAAGTACTCTCTTGCCGGGGTTGAGTAAGCTTGCCATGCTTGAAATCTATGGCCAAACAGACAAAGCTGACTTCATTCACAGATACGCCGGAGAATGTTGGTGCGGTAATAGTGCCGCGAACGGCGGTGGCCCAGCCCCCGATGGCGATACCCAGTGCAACATGCCGTGCAAGGGCAACTCGGATGAGATGTGCGGAGGACCGAACCGACTGAATGTCTACCAGTTCAACAACGCGAATCTCTACGTGCCACCCAAGCCCACAACCTCCTCGACAACAGCAGCCCCATCTCCAACAACAACCAACAATAACAATGGCGGTGGCAATGACGGACCTACTACTCCACCCTCAACAACTACGACCAGCACTTCTGTACCTACACCCTCAAGCCCGGTCGACCCGAACTCTATCAAACCGTGGAAATATCAAGGCTGCTATACAGATACCAATGGTAATGGCCGCTCGCTGACAAACCAACAACCCGATAACCAGACCATGACCGTGGAAAGCTGTATCAGCGCCTGTTCCTCCAAGGGCTACACGATCGCTGGTATGCAATACGGCGTGCAGTGTTTCTGCGACAACTACTTCCATAACTCGCCACAACTGGTCGACGATTCAGACTGTAGCATGTCTTGCCCTGGAAACACCGGCGAGACTTGTGGCGCTGGCGGACGCAACTCTATCTATGTGAATGGAACAGCAGCCAACTTCCAGTCCCCGCAGCCATTGACGACTAATCTGCCTGGGAACTGGTCCTACACGGGTTGTCTTTCGGACAATGTCAACAATAATCGTGTTCTGCCATACATGATGACTTTCCCGTAAGTTGAGGTTGAGGATCGTCAGGAGAAGCTGACAGCTAACCTGTCTCCAGGAGCAACAACTCCAACCTTTACTGCCTGACGCTTTGCCAGAACTTTGGATATGGAGTTGCTGGTACAGAGTACGGCGAGCAGGTAAGGATTAAGCACGGTACTACGTTATGGATGTCGTTGCTGACGATGTCGACTTGCAGTGCTTCTGCGGTGATACTCTGGACTACCTCAACGCCGGCGCCCAGCTGATCGACAACTCCACTTGCAATGTCCGCTGCTCAAACGATACTCAAGGCAGCAACGGAGGTGAAATCTGCGGTGGTGCAAACGCAATCTCCCTCTACACTTGGACTGGCACTCCTCAGAATTCGTGGACCTACGCCACTGGGGACGCTGCAGGTGCTTACGAGTTTTTGATCGGCGGTGTGACGATTCCTCTGCTGACTGCCCCTTCGAGAAACGGCAAAGTCACATTCTTGGAGAAGTTCGGCACGGGTCCTGGAAATGATACCGGTGCGTACGAGCTGGATATTGCTCTCCTCGATGACTTCTCCAAAGCATGGAGGCCACTGCACGTGTATACGGACATCTTCTGTTCTGCCGGCGTGACATTGCCAGATCGAGCTGGTCGACAACTCAATGTCGGCGGTTGGTCTCGTCCATCGACTGAAGGTGTCCGTGTGTACTGGCCTGACGGCAAACCTGGAACCTGGGGCACCAACGACTGGGAAGAGGATGTCGACAATGTCCATCTTCTCACCGGCCGATGGTACCCCAGCGCGATGGTCATGGCGAACGGATCGATCCTCATCATGGGTGGCGAAGAAGGATCAAACGGGGCGCCGGTACCCAACCTCGAAGTCCTCCCTTCACCTTCTGGTGAACTCCTCCACTGCCAATACCTCCAAGACACAGACCCCAACAACCTCTATCCATTCCTTGTCGTCCTCCCCTCGGGCAACATCTTCGTGGCTTACTACAACCAAGCCAAACTCCTAGATCCCGTCTCCCTTCAACCAATCCAGGACCTCCCCAAAGCCCCAGGAGCCGTCAACAACTTCGACGCAGGCCGCACATACCCCTACGAAGGCACAGGCGTCATCCTCCCCCAAGTATCCCCCTACACCGACCCCCTCGAAGTCCTCATCTGCGGCGGCTCCACCCCCGGCGCCGGCATCGCCCTCGACAACTGCATCACCATCGCCCCGGACACTCCCAACGCCAACTGGACCCTCGAACGCATGCCCTCCAAGCGCGTCATGCCCTGCATGTGTGGCCTCCCCGACGGGACCTACCTTATCGCCAACGGCGCCTACCAAGGCTACGCCGGCTTCGGCCTCGCCAACGACCCGAACCTCAACGCCGTCCTCTACGACCCCTCCCAACCCCTCGGCCACCGCATGACCGTCATGGCCAACACAACCGTCGCGCGCCTCTACCACAGCGAAGCCGTCCTCATGGACGACGGCCGCGTGCTCATCTCCGGCTCCGACCCGGAAGACGGCAAGAACCCCCAGGAATACCGCGTCGAGGTCTTCGTCCCGCCCTACCTCATGAACAACCCCTCCCGCCCGGCTTTCAACCTCACCGACATCGACTGGGCCTACGGCGACACCGTCTCCCTCTCCATCTCCGCCCCGGGCGCTGGCGGGAATTACCGCGTTAGCATGCTCGGCGCTATATCCTCCACGCACGGCAATAGCATGGGCCAGCGCACCTTCTTCCTCGCGGCGTCCTGCTCGGGTTCCTCGTGCACCATCACGGCGCCACCCAATGCGAATGTCTGTCCGCCGGGTTGGTTCCAGCTGTTCCTCGTGGATGGCGCGGGCGTGCCCAGTCACGCGATCTGGGTACGGGTCGGGGGCGATCCTGCATCTTTGGGTAATTGGCCTGATTTCGACGGGTTTACTTTGCCTGGGATGGGGCCTGTTGAGAGATTGTTTTAGGGGAAGAAGACTGTTGTTGTTGTTTATTGATGAGCATCATTACGATCGAGACGAGTTTCCTTGGCGGGGATTATTGCGTATGGCATAGCGGGCTGGATTCATAGCGAATTGATTGCGTTCTGCGAGTGGACGACGCCCCTGAATCAGAGGAGGCTGACGTGACGACGGGCATAGAATAGACTTGCACTGCATTTCTTAATCTTATCATTTATCCACTCCTTTCATTCGATTTCATTCTCATATCCACTATGCAATCTCGTAAACCCTATCCTCCGCCTCAAGCCTGCCAGAGTCCTCCAACTCCTGTACATACTCGCCTTTCATAACACCCGCTACATACACGGTCCCTAGCAGTTTATAATGCTCTCCGACTTTTCTCACCACGAACGGCTGCCTCGCTCCAAAGAGTATACATACCTCATCCCCCTCTCGACAGGATTGATACCCCATCCCGAACCTCGCATTCGAAAGCTCCAGTGGCGCGAATTTCTCAGTAAAGTACGACACCGCCGCGGCGTAGGAAGATGCGTCGCCGTCTTTGAGTACGTATGTCTCTAGGAGACTGCGCAATTCAGGACATTCTGATGTCATGGGGCACGCTTCATTCACCTCGAGCACGAAGGCCGCAAAGTCTTGCACAGTCGCCGGGTCGGACTCAGCATCGCGGTAGGGATTGTCCTTGTCCCTGTTGTAGCGGCCGCAGACGAGAGAGGAGGCTATGTTCTTGATGAGAGATGGGGACCATGTCGTGTTTTTGCTTTCTACGAAGAGGGGATCCCAGAGGTAGGAGAAGTGGCGGTACATTGGGCCGTGGTCCTCATAAATGTTCGTGCGAAGGACATCTGGAGATGCTTTCCGCATGGTCTCGATGCGTCCGAGAGAGACACCGTGGGCTTGCAGGACGAAGGGGAGTTCTGGGTCCAGGCTGACGATTGCCTCGAAATCATTCGATGCGTTTGTTCCCGTGCTGTTCGCCGCGCGGTCGGATTTATCGATATTGAGGTCGTAGCGAGGAACCCATGATGGCCATGGATCGTTGGCTGTGGAGATGTTCTTGTGGGGTTCGTCTCTCCTCGGGGTTATGTTGTTCAGTAAATCTAGCGACAGCTCTTCTTGGATCGCATACCACGTCGCTTCGGCGTAGACCTCTTTCAATGATTTGTTGTAATCGGGCACGATTGGCTCCACGTCACACCCTGGGCGAACCATACCGAGGAGTCCGTAGACTTTGTCCAAAGTGTTGGTCGATTGGAATCGGAAAGCTTGCGTTAGCAAAGCTTCCATTGTCATATCCTCAAGTCCCAATTTGAGGCGTACGATCTTGTTGATTCTTGTGAGATTTTGGAAGTCTCCATCGCTGACACAGTCTGCGCTCCATAAAGCAGTGCGGTGCCGAGTCCATTGGGTCGCTTGTGCAAACGACATCCATGAGAGGTGATTTTTGCCACACAGAAGGAAGGCTTTCTTCGACAAGACAACCTCTTGGACAACCTGGAGGTGGAAATGGTTAGCACATCTCGATTGGAGTATTCTCATTTCCTGAGAGCTGCGCTACTCACCCACATTCTGCTGAACCACCTAAACAAGGGTGAGCCATTTGTTAAAGATATAGATAACATTTCACCTCACCTGTACCCGAGAAGTGAGCAGAACGCCTCCAATTGCCGCCCTGGAGGCGGTGGCAGTCTCATATATGGTAAGGTCTGGCGCTCACGTGCAGGCAAAGAATTGTTACGTTCCAGATAACGGCCGTCGTCTGTCCAACTTCTGCATTCGTCTTCAAGTATCTTGCAAGCGCGCATGGACCTGCCAGCTGAACCATTGTCAGCCCCGAGCCTAGAACAACGATCGTCAGAGCAAGGAAAATGTTTTGATCGCGGCAAGAAACTAACCATATCAAGACACACTCAGCCTTAGAGTAGATGTCTCCCATGATGCTAACCTGGTGAGCTTTTTCGCCATCCGTGTCATTCTGATCAACGCAGATGGCATCTATCCATATTGGCAATGTCTTCAATTTCGCTGCTCGTATGCCCTTAAGTACACCTCTTGACGCCTCCTCAGCACCACGTGGAATCACTAGCACATGGTCATTAAGGTAGATTTTGCTGCACGAAATGTTCTGGCCCCATGTATACGAGATGGCATAGTATGGCGGTATCGCGTCGGTATTCGAGAGTTGGACCGTCTCAACGTGGAAACGGAGTGTTTTGGTCCCAAGTGAATAAGGAGTTGGTCCGACCAAAGGACGTAGAAGTCTAATTTCGTTGGTTGCCTCATCCAAAGTCTTGTACTCAAATGGTCTTCGAGCCGTGTGGCACAGCCCGCAAGGCATCATAGCTTGTGTTTGCGCAGATTGCTATCGATGCCTTCGTGAGTATATCGCAGCCGTAGGACGGATACTTCTAGATCGTAATTGCTCAGATTGCACTGTTGCAGAACAGAAACAGAATGGAGAAGAAAAACATATACGACGCTGGGTAGACAGCCTTTGGGAGATGAGCTCCGCTTGACGTGCTGCAGGGGCCGTACCTGTAAGCGCCGTGACAGCCTCACACCGTGCATATGCTCCCAACAGGTTTGGGATGTCGCACCCGCCATGCTGATTGGTCTCTGTAAAAAGCAGTCAACATCGAAAGTGTGGAAAGGAGAGTGTAAATGATTGCAGCACTTCGTGCTGCACCAAGAAGCAGTATGAGGCCATGGGCAAAGTCAAGTCCAAGTACTCAATCAAGCGCCATAGATGCACGATCAGCACTGCCAGAGGGGCACTGGGAAGGCGAGTGTCGCGTTCTAAGCCCATTTTTGATGTGGTATATCACCCTAACGCCGCCGCTGCCCTAAGCCTGCCGTCCTCGTGGTTCATCAGCTCATGGCTCGTGCCTTTGGCCTCGTGTTGGTAGCATGAAGCATCGGCGCCGAATAGTCTCTTATTTCTTGCCGCTCTTCTTGATGCCCTGGCCACCGGTGTTCAGTGGTCCGCCTTTTCCTCCAATCTTCGCAGCCAGTTCCTTGCGCTTCTTCTCGTCTGCGGCGGAATAACTCAGCGACATCGCCAGCAGACATACAATCTCTTCACAAGTTGATGCTCACCTGCTCTCAGCTTTTCCTGGTGCTCAATTTCCGAGGGATCGAGATCTTCTTGTTGCTTCTTCTTCGGCTTCTTGTTGTGGATGGGGTTCGTGCCCGCTTGGGACTTGTTGTCAGCGACTCCGCCTGTCGATCATGTGCTCGAACATCCTACCTCCTTGTCCTGAAGGCATAGTGATGCAGGTATAAGCACAGGTGCTGTCTATGGGATACCTAGGAATGTATGTATGTGAGGTAGTGGGGTGTAAGTTCAAAGGATGGAAATGCGTGAGGGACTTCAGTGAGCACAGGGCGATGTGGTGCTCGACCAATCACAGCCCGCCGCTCCTACTTCCGTTCACGTGCGTGCAGAAGTGGGTCTCTCTGGTCGTCGCTGCTCTCTCCACTCGATTGTTCTTTCCTCCTCCTCCTCCATCTCCGCGACACGCAGCAGTCGCGCAAACACCACGAGCCACCACGATATCGACCATACCCGCGCACGCGACGCCGACACTCATGTGCAGCCAGCGACAGCGCATGGGCGACAAGCGCAGCCAACACCGCGTGCCTTGAGACGCCCCGCGAAAGCATCCCATCGATCGATCCGCCGGCGTTGCATCTACGATCGCAACCGCCAGTCCACACTCCATACCACCGCCTATTACTCAGGACCCAGCTCCGCCTAACCTCGGGTCTCCGGCGCCATGCCTCCGCCCTCCAACACGAACCACCTGCCTTCGACCCATCCCGCGACACGACAGAGACCCAAATCGCCCAACAGAGTGCTCGCGGAGGCCGAAGCGCAATGGCTCTTCACCGAGGCCGAGCTGGCCAACACGCCCTCCATCCAGGACGGCATGTCGCAGGCAGAGGAGAAGGAAGTCCGGGCTAAGGGCGTCAACTTCATCGTCCAGGTCGGCATCATGCTGAAGCTGCCGCAGTTGACTCTCAGCACCGCCTCCATCTTCTTCCAGAGATACCTCATGCGCGCGAGCTTGAAGCAAGAGCGCGATGGCATCCCGAAACTTCACCACTACCAGGCTGCAGCCACGGCCCTGTTTCTGGCTACCAAGGTGGAAGAGAGCTGTCGCAAGATGAAGGAGCTGATTGTGGCTTTTTGCCGAGTGGCTCAGAAGAATCCAAATCTACTCGTGGACGAACAGAGCAAGGACTGGTGGCGGTGGAAAGATTGCATAATGTACCACGAGGATGTTCTGCTGGAGACGCTCTGCTTCGACCTCACGGTGGAGTCCCCGCACCGCCAGCTGTTCGAGATGTTGAAGTACTACGGCGTCGAGCACAACAAGCGACTCAGGAATGCCGCCTGGGCGTTTGTCACAGACAGCAACAACACCCAGCTGTGTTTGCTCTGCAGCAGTAGAGCGATTGCGGTTACCAGTCTCTACGCTGCATGCAAATACTGCAACATCGCTCTACCGGACGACGCGAAAGGCCGACCTTGGTGGGAGGGACAGCAAGTGCGACTGAAGGAGATTCGGCGCGCCATGGAGTACATGAGCGCTAACTACGACCATACTGCAAACAAGGTCAATGGTATTGCGGCGAGTGGAGGGTCAGAAGGGAACGGATCCATATACGTGGGCCTGTCAACACCCGCTCTGGACGGCGCGAATGATGGCTGGGACAGCACTCGAGCCAAAGACGACACTCAGGAATCACTTTCGCCATGTCCTCCACCTGGCAGCCAAAGACGAGCTAGCAATGCCAGCAGTACCGGCACCAAGCGGAGTCGCGACGAGCGGGAGGCACCGACGAATGGAGATAAAGCTCATAGCGAGACTGCAGGCGATGACAGGGACAACAAGCGGCCAAGACTTGAGGAGGGAATTGAGTCAAATGGCATTGTTGTTCCAAAGCCAGAGACCGCCGCTGATGCTGCCAGTGCTGATCCGATACGTCAGGAAGAGGAGCTTCGGGTCGAGAACGGCAACAAGCAGTCTGCCGAAGATGTCAAGGCTCAGGAAGCGTCTGAAGAGCGAAGTGGCCATGAAGCTCCACCAAAGCTGACACCACCAAAGTCTGCGAAAGGCGGCAAGTCAGCTGCTGAAGAGGGAGAAGTCAGTGAAGAAGGCGAAGTGGGAGAATAGTGGACTCTGCTCTGATTCGACACTCGACGCTTCCCTTTCGAAGAACTAGGAAGAGGATCAGGATGGCCACAAGAGGCGCGCCTCAAGATGGCCCAAGTTCAATCAGGCCATTGGGACGCTTGCAAATTTTGCACGAGAAAAAGCATAGCGACGGCGCACGAGATACGTAAGGGAAAGACACGGGCCAAAATATTGGCAACAGCAACTGTTGCAAGACAGGTTTCATGATTGAGGAACGGGGACAATCGCTGCGTTTTGGTTTTGCTACGGGTGCCATTTGTTTCGTTTTGGTTCCTGAGAGATACCCAAGGCATCGAATTTCTAGGCGTTCGCTTGCGCTGTTTGTTGTTACTAGGATGGCATGAGAGAAGATACGATTGAACGGAATATCAACTTGATGACTTCCACCTCTGCTGTGGCATCTTTCAGTATGGTGATTTCTCATCATTGCGCAGAGGTTGAGATTGAGCCTTGGCTATGCGGCACATGTTCGGCTTTTGCACGGTGATCTTCGCAGATGACATATGACTGGGCTGGACTGTTCTATTCTCCGATGACATGCGCACGCAGACTCCACTGCATCCTCCTGAGCGCATACCAATCTCCTACTCAATACTCGATCAGCACCAGAGAAACTTCATCGGCATGCCGATCTCGGCTCCAACTCATCGGTTGGGGGATTCGCTCGCTTCTGATGGTGGAGAGTACCCCGGTCATAACCTCACCTCTGAGCTCTCCAGGTGTCAGGATGGCGTTGTCACCGACGGACAGGACACAGTATGATCATGGAGAACCCGGATACGTATTTGTTCGTTGCGGTCAACGACCCTGGTGATAAGGCTTCAGGGTCGGAGTTGGCCAGACCGTTTGTCATCAGATCGCGAGGTGAAAAGTCACCACCACAGCATTACGTGTCAAGGACGCCGACGATAAGGAATGCACCTAGATTCGAGCCTGTTCGGGACTCATTGGAACTGCTGCAAGCTGCAAACATCCCCGACCAAGCAAGAGTACAGGAAAGCACCACTTCGAACCAACTACCATCGTGGACCTTCCTCACAGTCGATCCGGCTACGGCACAGCCCACCAAATCAGCAAGACACAACATCCGAGCCCATGTGGCGAGACGACAGCATCGACAGCGTCGTGAACAAGAGGCACTGAAGCGTACAGCCTCTGAGAATGAGGTTCCAAGAAGGGACGGGCTATCGTCCACAACAAACTCACCACCCAGCCTCCTCTCAAGTCGACGCTCCTCTGCCTCCCGCATCGAAACTCTGACCAGACCTCCTACCCGCAACACCAATCCCCCAGCAGCCGTGACCACATCAAATAGCACCCTTCTACTAAACCCCTCCGACCCCGCCGACCAACTCCACCTCTACGCCCGCTCCCTCTCCACCAACGTCCCCCAGCTATGGACCTGCTACCTGTGGCAAGAACGCCAACACGGCCTGCTGTTCCACGCCCAATTCTCCCGCTTCAAAGGCTGGGGGCCGAAGTACCTGCACCCTCTAATCCTCACGAACCACGCCATCCTCGCCACAACGGTCCTCTTCACGGGCTGCTTACTCCGGCACCACGCGGGCGAAACCCCCATCCTCAGCGACGACATCCTCGCATTGCGATCCAGGACGTACGGCCTCGTGCAATCCGCCATCGACGCCGAATCCTCCCAACTCGCCGACTGCACAATCCTCGCGGTCCTCAAACTCGCCCTCTTCGAAGCCATCTTCGGCCAGCTCGAAGCCTACCGCGTTCACATGCAGGGACTCGCGCGGATGGTTGCGCTGAGGAATGGGTGGGAGGGTTTGGGGATGGATGGGTATTTGGCGCATTTGTTGATGTGGTTTGATGCGAATCTGGCGCGAGCGACGAGGAGTCGGAGGTTTTTGGAGGGGACGGGGAGAGGGGAGCTGGAGGAGGCGAGGGCGGATGAGGGGGGGTGTTTGTGCTGGGGGTTGAGTTGAAGGGTGAGTTTCTTTTCTACTATTCTTTCTTATATGAGGGGGTTTGAGAGCTGACTGACGGATTGTGGCAGATGTGAAGCTTTTTGGGGAGATCCTATGATCATAGCGTTTACTGCCTCGCTTCATCGTTTGGCGTGGTACTGCTCACTCAACTGCGAACAGAGCTCGCCAAAGAGAGCAGATGTTCCATGAGCCTATGTCAATGGGTCTCAAAAGCCCTAAGAGGAACCACGAACGTCCTGGTTGATGCGGGGGACGAGCCTAGACGAGCGAAGTTTGGGTGGGCCACTCTTTCTTTTCAGAGGTTTCATCTTAAACCGTCGAAGTGTCATTGTCGTCGTACGAGCCGAATCCATTCCGGTCCACTTTCGCCTTCTTTTCGAGGTATGGTCGGTTTCGGCATCCCGGATTTTGGAGGCCCCGGGCCGGACGAATATGCTTTGTATCGTGCCAAAGGCTCAGTACTGGATGTGATGTTCTCGATATTCTTCTCACAAGATCATGTATATGTATATGGTCGAAGCTATGACAGAATATGCTTGAAATTGCTACATCCTGGACTCCTGCAAAGAAGACAAGCCTAAGCCACAGCGACAAACATGGCACCAACGCTCAAACAAATCTTCACCATCCGCTTGTACCGCAACAAACAAGACACCCTCAACCTAGGCGCCAAAAGCGGCTCAAGCATGCACATCATCACGCCTTACTCCTCAGGCTCTCTCGCCAGCCTTCCAGCCTCGCCTTCCCATCCCATCAACGCCACCCTAACCAGCGGCTCCTCCAACAGCCTCCACCTGGACATGAACGCCGTGCCAGCCCCAACGACCCACCTCGACGCCCGGATCCATTTCGTCGACCAGAAACTCAATGCAACCTTCTATATCCGCTTCACCGGCGTGGCGCGCAGCGACGAGCATATCGATAACATCCTGAAAGGCAACCCCGAGGCCAGGACGACGGAGAGTAGGGAGCATTATGAGTTTATGCAGCCGGTGTTTGCGGTTAGTAGGGAGGAGGATCGGTGGATGGAGAGTACGGCGTGGGTGGGGCATGGGCATTATGTCGTGGAGAGGGACAGCGAAGGGGAGATGGACGTGGCGGTTGAGTTCGAGGTTTACAGATTGGTTACAGGATAAAACCTCCAAGCTTTCTGTCCCACAAATCTCCTTACTTACTTTTCCTCATCAGTATCAACAAAACACTGATACAAAAACCCCTCCGGAACCCTCAACCCCTGCACCCCCTCCACAATCCTCCTCACCTCCCTCTCCTCCTCTGCACTAACCCCCACCGCCGCCGCCGCAACATTCTCCTCGAGGTACTTCACCTTCTTCGTCCCCGGAATCGGCACCACCCCCTCCTGCGCCAAAACCCACGCCAGACAAAGCTGCGCCGTCGTACACCCCTTCCCCCGCACCAGCGCCCCCAACTGCTGAACAACCCTCTGATTCGCGGAAAAGACTTCCCCGGTGAACCGCGGGAACATGCCCCTCCAGTCCCCTTCCGCAGAGAAGTCTTGGGCGCCGCCGAGGAGGCCCCTGCCGAGGGGGGAGTAGGCCACGACGGCGACGCCGAGGTCTCGACAGGTTGCGAGGAGGTCTGTCCCAGCGGGTGTCTCGATGGAGAGCTCCGAGGGGCCGTACTCGATCTGTACGGCCGTGATGGGGTGGATCGCGTGTGCGCGCCGGAGGGTCGAGGAGGAGATTTCCGAGAGGCCGATGTGTTGTATCTTGCCCTCGTTTTTCAGCTACACGAGTCCGCGCATCGTTTCTTCGATTGGGGTTCGCGGGTTCACGCGGTGCATGTAGTAGAGGTCGATGTAGTCTGTCTGTAGCGACTTCAACGACTCGTCGCACGCTTGCTTCAGGTACTCCGCTGAGCTGTTGATGTTGTTGATCGACCCCTTCTCGAAGCCGAATTTTGTCGCGAGGAAGATCTTGTCTCGCGTGCCTGTGCGCGCGAAGTAGTTTCCGAGGACGGTTTCGGAGTCGCCGTACATGCTGTTCACTGTCAGTAAATTGGTAATCGATAGATTGTGGATGGGCTTGGGGGATGGACGTACTCTGCGGTATCCCAGAATGTGGCTCCTAGCTCGATCGCGCGGTCGAGGAATTTGAAGCGTTCTTCGTCCTTGGGGGCTGGGCCGTAGTGCATCGAGAGGCCCATGAGTCCTAGGCCTATGGCTGGGACGGAGGGGCCGTTTTTGCCTAGTTGGCGGGTAGGAAGGGTTGAGGGCATGGTGGTGTGATGTGAGTGATGTGGAAGATACAGTCAATATTTTGCTGAGAGAGATAATGGAAAATCGGAGGAGATGGCTACTTGCAATGTTCTCGCCTAGAAGGCAGCCTTTATCATATGTTCTGATATTTATGTGGGTTGATGACTTGCTTTCATGAACGATATGTCAAATCTTGCACTATAATGTTGAGGATAGCCCACTGGGCGAAGAAGACGGTCCAAGATGGATGAGAAAGGAAAGGCGTAAGGCTGGGGACGGGATGACCTCCTATTGCCGTTCGAAGCTGTTCGGAGCTAGAGTGTTAGGACTGATCATAGTCTTTTTCGAAGCGTATGTGAAGTGATGTGATGTTCGCGGCCGACGGGTCCGAGCAGGTGAGGTCGTCGTCGTGGACTTGGCGGACTTTTCGGTGGGGGCAGAAATGTGGGGCGGATGGTTTTTGGTCAGGGGCGACGCACCTCTTCTTCCACAGTGAACAATAACATACAATTCATCAGAGGCATCGCCAAAAGTCGATTCTCGTGCTTTGAGCCATCAAAGAACGTAATCGAATCGCTGAATTCCGCCTCCGAGCACCTCGACTAGACACCAAGACCAGAATCTACACACTCTGCTACACGACCATGTCCAGAAAATCCATCAGATAAACAATCTCTACCCAGGGAACGGGAAATGATATGCATCAGACAAAAGACCTACACTTCATCTCGATCCCCATTCACAAGAAATTTTCCATCTTGCGTGCTGGCCGCATACAACACTCCCAGCCCCATCCCTCCCCCACAAAGATCAACCTGCGACCGGGTCTTCCAATTGGAGAAACTGCACCGCCAAAGCCCACAGCACAAGCCTTCCGTTCATCCAATGGCTCAGCAAATGCGCTGGCAATTGGTGAACGTCCCATGGCGGCGTGCGTTTCAGCTGTTGGACGGCTGTGGTTCCCGACAGGGCCGATGAAACGACGAGTGCTTTGGCCGCCCCCGTTACACGGCATATCGTGTGGCTTGCACGGCTCTGGTAGGTGAGGCGAGGAGGACGAGTATATGTTCTCGTGGATTCTCGTCGAGGTGGAGGAGGTTCTCTTGCTAAGTTTGTCTTTCGTCTTCTTCATTCCGAAAGGTGCTTTTATCGTCGTTGACGACGTTTCGTTCTTTTTGATTCTCTTGTGCTGTGCACTTCTGTCGTTCTCTTCAACCTCTGAGGATCTGGTCATCCTGTTACATTCACTCTCTTCCTTTCGACACAAGATCAACGCCACCGTCTCGTCAACGACAACCACCACGAACCGCAAACGACAATGAAGCACTTCACAGCTCTCTCCGGCCTTGCCGCCCTCGCGGCCGCCGCTCCCTTCTACCCAAAGCCATCAGGCTACCCACCACTCCCAACAGGCGCTCTCCCACCACCTCCACCAGGCAGCGGCATCGCCCACCCAACTGTTCCTCTCTACCCAATCCCAACTGGAGCTCCACTGCCACATCCATCAGGCAACGGCTTCCCACCATTACCAACAGGCTCTGGATTTCCAGCACCCTCAGGCACGGGCATCTTCACCATCGATCCCGTCGGCACAGGCACCGCACCACCCTTCCCCATCGGCACTGGCACCGCTCCACCTTCTCCAATCGGCACCGGTTCAGCTCCCTACCCATACAAGCGCGAAGCACAGCTAGAGTCCTTCTCCTTCCCAAGCCTGTCACTCCCAACAGGCGGTCTCGGCGGCGGCTCAGGCATAGCTGCACCAACCGGTCTGCCCAGCATCTCCTTCCCAGCCGGCGGTCTGGGCGGAGGAAGTGCCGCTCCAACAGGATTCCCAGGCCTGGGCAGTGGTTCCGGCGATCTCCCAAGTCTGTCCCTCCCATCTGGCGTTGCGGCTCCTACTGGTGGTTTTGGTGAGCAGCGTGGTTATCAGGGCAAGATTGTTGCCGGTGATGAGAGCGAGGGCGTGGAGACTGAGGAGGATGAGGAGTAGAATGGGGATGAGGAGTAGCTGGGGTTGGGGGTGAGAAGGTGGTGGTTTACAGTACAGCACAGACAGTCGTTTTAAGGGTTGCTTGTTCTTCAGTCTTCAGTTCGATGTATCATGTTATAGAGTAGAGCACAGCGATAGGGGAAGCAAAACTCGGCTTTGGGTTTCGATCTTTTTAGGTTGACAAAGATTTTTCTGGAGAAGTCCCCGCTGTACGCTCAGCCTTGCCCGGCTTGTGCTCCCCAGTTATGGACGTTTCAGAATCGTGGCTGCTTCTAGCCCCTGCCAAGGTGTAACACAAGACATGTTGCCTTGGCTGAGCTGAACTCCAGCCTCAGAGGCCCCAAATCGAGGGGATTTTGAGAAGACCGTCAATCCGCCTCGCCTACGAACCTGTACAGCCGATATGCGAACATGACGGTGTAAGTCCCAGGCCATGGAATCGCCACCGAGGCACGGGAGGCACGGCGGCGGCGCCTTTCCCGCCGTTCGGCCCATCGATATCGGAGAAGAGACATACCAACATCAGCCTCTGGACGACGAGGTCCAACAGATACGGCTCCTTCGATATCTAGGAGATACGTTTTCACCACAAGGCTGGCCGATTCTGAGCTTCGCGGTGGAGACTACGTCCCTCCTCGCCGAGCCTGTACGTCCTTACTATGCCATCTCATACGCCTGGGGAGAGCCCGATCAATGGGCCGTTATAGCTCTCGACGGGATCCCGGTCAAGGTACCCAGGACTGCCGACGAGGCGCTACGGGGTGTTTTGATGGGCCATCACAACGCTGCATGCTTGAAAGCAGACTATCCCTTCTGGATCGATGCCATCTGTATTCAGCAACATCATTTGCCGGAGAAGGCGAAGCAGGTTGCTATGATGAGATATATCTACCCACTCGCCGAGGCCGTCTTGGTTTGGCTTGGGGCAGATGACGGCGCGACGGCAGCGGGCTTTGAAACAGCCACGCTTTTGGCGAAAGATTACAGCGAATGTGTGAAGCAAAGAGAAGCCAGTAATAATTTCTCTGAATATTTCGATGATTGTCCGCCCCCAGAAGGTGCCGATTGGACCGCGTTCGATACGCTTCTGAGATCCAGATGGTTCACCCGCTTGTGGATCCTCCAAGAAGTGGTCTACGCCAAAAGTGTGAAGTGCTTTCGCGGTCGCCATTTCCTACCCTGGGGCGTCCTGTCCGAGGCCGTTGGCTGGGCGTATAGACAAAGCTTCCATCTTTATCTTCGGAGCTTTTCTACCTATACTAGCGACTACGGACAGATTGGCTTGATGTTCGTCGACTTGCTGTTCGATATGTCTGACCGTACTCTGAACCATGACACCTTCGATGAACTTCTGGTCCTGAACTTTGGATTTCGCACCAGCAATGCCTTCGACAGGATCTATTCTCTCCTGGGTCTGCGCGGCTACCGGCTTGCCGCTGACTTGCATCCCGAGGAGCGAATCGTGCCGGATTATGAGAAGAGCCTGGCTGACGTGTACGCTCAGGCGATGTACCTGGGGATAATAAGCTCGCAAAGCCTCCGACATCTGTCTTTCGTGCCCGTCAGGCGATCGCGTGCGTCCTCTTGGCCGTCGTGGGTGCCGCAGTTCAATCAATTGGATTTGGATGACTGGAGTCTGCTTGTGGCGAAGCGGTACACAGGAACTCGCTATATGGCATGCAGTGATGTGCCGATGACTGCCCGTCGCTCTGCTGACGGAAAATTGCTGATCGTAAAAGGTGTGCGTATTGGCGAGATTGCCAGCGTGTTCTGTCTCTCGCCGATCAAAGATGGAATGCCTTATGCTGAGGACACCATAGCAGCACTGTATCGAGGTCTCGCCAAAGCCTGGTTCTTGGAACCACTGACGGCAGAAGTGCGAAAACAAGCTAAGGAGGAGTTGGAGACGCTAGCAGCGATCATAAAAGGTCCTCGGAGCTGGAAGATGCAGATGTTTGAATATGAACTTGTCGTGAGAGACTTCGCATCATTCGTGTTCGACGTTGTGGCACATTGCCCTGAGCTCAGCGGCAGCGAGGAGGCGAAGCGTCTGCTGGCAGATGCCGGCGCCCACGACGGCAATAGTCTGCATTTCGTATGGTGGTTGGAGAGTATGATCTGCTGACTGGACCTGTTGACAATAGCACAACTTCAAGATGGCAGACTAGCGTTTTGCAGAGGGTATGTCCAAGCCCAGGATGAGGTATGCATCCTTTTCTCGGCTGGAATCCTGTGCGTACTGAACGCCAGAAGTGGAGGGTATCGATTGAATGGCTTCGCGGATGTGTCTGGAACAATGAAAGTGAGTACACCCAAACTGCAGTTGGTAGCCTTGTGGCAACTAGAAATCACAATCATCTGGCTGACTGCATAATAGGGTCAGCACATACAGAAACTCCGTGACGAAGGTCGGCTAGATGCAGAGACCAGGACCTTTGCCATCCATTGAAGCGATGTCGACTCAGCCAGGCGCTGCCAATGCCGTCAAAATAGCAACCATGATCAAGCTAGCTCCAGCCCTGGCCACCCAGACAGGGGACGAATCGCATTGGTGGAAATCTAAGCTCAATGCAAGTTCAATCAGACCGGAGGGCAATTGTTTCTTGGATCGGTAGAACATTGTCCTTTGCTTGCCGATGTGAAGCACCTCCTTGACTCTGCCGGAGCTGGTGAATGGCGGTCTTGGCCTCCGCTCAAGACTAGCTGCGGCGATAGATGCCGCTATCCACGTATGGCTCAAGAAAGCATTACTACGTTTGATAAAGCTCGATGGAAGTCTGGAAATCAATCATGTTCACTCTGTCGACCGAGCCAGCAATTCTAGCTGTTCATATCACGAAGACAACTTACAATGTCTCCACCTTCCACCAATGGCACCTTAGTCGCGACCCAAAACCTCACAAGCCAAATCGCTCAAAACAATCTCCTTTCACGAGCCTCGAAAAATGAGATCTGCACAGCTTTCGGTATCAAGTTCGTGGCCGCTGGCGAGATGATCCAGATTGCCAAGTCCGCCGGTTACCATTCCCTCTTCATCGACCTCGAGCACACTAGCCTGACCGTGAAAGATGCGGCTCAGCTATGCATCACATCAATAGCGACTGGTATTACACCGTTTGTCAGAGTGCCTCATGAGTGCGGAGTGGGCATGATACAGCGAGTGTTGGACAATGGCGCCATGGGTGTCATCGTGCCGCATATCCATTCCGTTGGTAAGCAAGATGTGGCTTGTTTCGAGGATTGACATGACTGACACGATGATAGCGGATGCCAAACGGGTCGTTGAAGTGGCCAAGTACGCGCCTTTGGGCAAGCGTTCGTTAAGCATGGGCTTCCCACACTGCAGGTTCAATCCCGTGCCTCCTCACGAGTTCACACCCGAAATGAACGCTTTTGGATCCACCGTCTTCATCATGATCGAGACTGCGGATGCTCTCGAGGCCGTGGACGACATTGCTGCAATTCCTGGATGCGATGTCTTGCTTGTAGGCTCAAATGATCTGGCTCAGGAGATCGGCACGCTTGGTGATTGGGACTCTCCGAAGTTCATTGAAGCACTGAGGGATGTGGGAGCGGCGGCACATAGACATGGCAAACCCATGGGCATTGCAGGTCTGTATCATCGCCCTGACATTTTGCGACAGGTCATCAACGAATTTGGTGGGAGATGGATTGTGGGAGGCCAAGACGTTGGCCTGCTCGTGCAGGCAACTAAAGCCAACAACGATTTACTCATGAGCCTGAAGCCAGCTATCGAACATCCGGCAAAGTAGTATTGGTTACACATCTTCATTGGACTGCTGAGACGTTTCAATGATTCTCTCGAGCTCGTCCCAATCGCCGCCAAGTGCCCCTGTCAAATTGAAGTCATCTTCAAACGTGAAGGCCGAGTAGTGTTGCGACTCGTTCTCGTGTGGCGAGAGATTATTAACAGAAGCAACTTCGATCGTTTGAGAGAGAGGTAATTCGTCTTCCGTTCGGCGCAGGGAAGGCGGCTCTAGAGTCAAGTCGCTGTCGATACTTCGACTGCTGTTCAGTGAGATTCCCAGCTGGCTGCAGGCGACTTCAATGTCTTGTCTACGTTTTCCAGCAGTCTTATTGCCTTGGCTCTCCATGTATTGCAGAATGCCAAGCGCCTCTGCAATACTCAAGCGTCTGCTCTTGTCCAGATCGCTCGTCTCAGGCCGAACAAACTCGGCCAGCAATAGCACAAACGCCGCCGAGAACGTGGCGTCCAAGTCAAAGAAGCCAAACTTTGCTAGTAGTTGTTGTCTATGCAAGACCAGTAGGATGGACAGGCCCTTGACCGCGGCGCCCTCACACTGAGCAGCGAGCCGAGTTGCGAGGCCACGAACCGGCGTAGGACGTTTGGCTCATCATTCCTCGCGCCCAAAGAAGTAGTATCGGTCTCGTCGCCAACACGATTGCTTGGAACAACATCAGCTGTAGAGTTGCGGATGTTCGAGAGACGTAGATCGGTTGGTCGAAGTCAACATCGAGTTCTGGGGGTACCCCCTTCATGATACCCGATATTTCCTGCAAGATCTTCTCGATTTGGAGACAGAAGTCTCTGCCGCTAGGGCCATCCGGAGCGTAGATAGTACTGATGATTCTCCCACTAGTACGCGCCAATTCGATATTGAGGTTCAGTGCACTGGGCGAGCAAAGGCCAGTTGCGTCTTTTGGTAGCTCTATTATGATTGCCGCATCGTTGATGCTGGATGGATTGCCCGTGGCCGCAGCAAGCCGCTTCTCTTGCATGTAAATCGTCCAGGCAAGCCGTGTCCGATGTGCTACCTCAAGACCATTGTCCAGCTCGCAAGAAGTTTTCTGGAACAGGTTCTGCACAATGGCAAGGCGCACAGCTAATCCAGCATAGACGTATGCGTCTTCTTTGCGGTCGACACATTGTAGGAAGAAAGTTGCCAGGCCCACGATTTCCACTCCCAGCACGCCGATGGAACGCAACGTGCACAAATCAGGCCACTCGCTCATGGCCGCTAAGAAATGTGATGTGCCAGGAGGTTTAGTGGAGCTCACGTCCACATCGCCACCTAGTAGTTCGCCTATGGCGAAAACGAGCAGTGAGTGGACTTTGTAACGCTGGGCAAGGTCTTGTGGCAATAGTTGCCGCTGGTAGAGCTGTCGTATGCGCAAGCTCACTCCACGCGGATCGAATAGGTGCTGGATTGACCCTATGGAGTTCAGCACGGTATTCAATAAGGCATTTGCCTGACATTCGCTTGGCCAAACGTGGGTGGATGCCGGCTGGTCCACGCTCTGTGGCGTGATACCATAGACGTTGTCGTGGCCTTCCACGGCTACTGTTGAGGGTTTATGAGCAGCATCGTGCTGCAGCCGCAAGATGTTTGCACCAAAATACAGACTTGACGACAATTGAGGCACGAATGGCTCCACTTCTGACTCTAGATCTGAATGCGAGTTAGGGAACTCCGGGTCTGGCTCTGCTGGCTCAGGGGATTGGGCAACACTTGTCCCATGCGGCGACGACGAGATAGGGCGTTGCTGTTCGTTGGGAAAAGAGTATCCGGCACGACCTGCGAGGCTCTCGAGATGCTCTACATATCTGGGCGTGAGCACAGCCTGATCAGCGCAGCGTTCTGTTCCAACCGAGCAGTATGGGATGTTGCGTACGAGATGGGGTACAGTCGCCTGGTGCCACCTGCATAGAACTCACAGTCTATGTCTTTCTTAGTATGTAAACGGCCTCGAGCCTGAGCACCTGATCTTCCGCCGCCGGCAGGCGTAGCACGCGCCGGAAGGTTTCGCCGCTGCATCGGTGTCAATGCCCGCCGCGTGGGCGCTCCGTTTCCGGGTCGCTGGCATGGCAGAAGGCCACGGTGTCACGGCAGAGCGAGGTGATATTCTGTCCAGATGGCGATGATAACAACAGTGAAAGTAAAACGAGGAGGGAGACGAGGAAAGAGATAGTGATGGATTCTTTTGATTGTACATTACCCCGCACGACTCCAACCGCTTACCCCGCACGGAGCATCGGCTTGGCAGGGGGATGGGGCAAATCCTGCAAATTCCTGCAACCTCCCTTCAACATTCTTGCACCTTCCTTCGAATAGCATGCATCAAACCAACTAACAACACTATAAGGTATATCTGAAGGCGTGATCCTGCAACTCGGTAGAATCTGAGTCGGTCGAGATCGCGCCGCTGGACACGTCCGTGTCTCCAGTCAACTTGTCGCGGGTCCGGTTGGCACGCCTGCCCAGGACGACATACAGCAGAAACGACACAATGAGCAGACCCCAGCTGGTCACGCTAGTGATGCAGCCTTTCGTGTATCGTGGTGCGTCCTGCTTTTGCCACAGCTGCGGCCCCACAATGCAGCCGACGCAGTAGAACACGAAGAAGACAGCGGCAACGACCGACTTCTTGGTGTTGCCTTTGACGTTGGAGGCCATGAGGCCGACAGCCTGACCAAGAGGCGGCGCACTGCTCCCTGCCAGCCACGTGCTCCCCACGATCCCCCAAGCCATGCGTGCAGGCAAGGCGAGGAGCAGTATGCTCCCCAGCATTGGCACTGCCGCTAAAAGCACTCCAAAGAAGCATCTGCTGTTCCTTATGTATAGCGGGCCCAAAGCGCCAATCCAGGTCAGACAAAACGCCACGCAGCCGCCGGGCAGGCCGACTAGCATCGTCTGTAGCTGAGAGAAGCCAAAACCGTTGATGACGAGGGAGGAGAACTGCGTTCGGATCAGCGCTCATTATCCACTGCAACAGCCTTGTGGACTGAGTTGCGTCAGCTTACCTTGGTGATCGGAGTTGGAATCGTGATAAAGAGCGCCATAGACGCATAGTGTATCGTCCTCGGGTCCGTCAGCGCTTCTTTCAATTGCCTCTTGTCGAATGTTGTGTGGTCTCGCGTGGCGCGGTCCAAAGCAAGCCGCTCTGTTGCCAACTTGCGTTCCGGCTCACGCAAGAACCATGCAGTCGCGCAGTCCCGCGGCATGATGCCAATGAACAACGCTCCCGCCGCGATTGTCAGTCCTCCGCAGATGAGGAACATACCCGCCAGGGCTCGATAGACAGTCGAGCCTGCCCGACCCCGTACATGACTAGAGCACCCACAATCTGAGAAACTCCGAACATCGACACCCATGTCCTGAAGACCGGGTCAGCACTCCTGCAACGAGACCTGGGCTTGGACGAGACGAATACTTACGCAACACGGAGAGGGTGCTCGCTGCGCTTGTACCAGTTGCTTGTTATGATCATGAACGAAGGCGCCACGGCCCCCTCAGCAAAACCAAGAAAGAATCGAGCTGCGGCAAGGCTGTTGAAGTCTTTCGCTGCGGCGAGGCACATTTCGGCAGAGCCCCATATGATGCTGTGACTGCTTGTCAACACCACGGGCCATATGTTTCCATTCAAATGATCACTCACATTGTAACCCCGACAAAGCTCACAATCGGAAGGCGGCTCATGAGATACGCGGCGGGATATTCGGAGCAGAGTTGACCGAAATAGAACAGCGAGACTGCCCAGGAGAACTCCTGTCCCGACAGGCCGAGGTCCTCCTGAAGCCCAAATACCGCCGCGTAGTTGATGCTTTGCTTATCGAGATACTGGAAGAAGTACACGAGCGCCATGACTGGCAAAATGACTCGATCGATCTTTCGCAAGACTGCCTTCTCTTCCGCGGGATCTATGGCGAGTCCCCGATCGAGCTCCAGCTTCTCTGTTTGCTCCACGCATTGCATGGAGGTGATCTCGTTGGGCTTTTTCAACGACATAGTGCTCGACTCCCTGACCGATCGGCCAGTGACCGTCAAGAGGATTTGAACGGGAGATGGACAGGTCCGCGAGTTGAGGGCTGTAGGATCACCGGCTGTATCACGCGCTGATATTTATGACTAGATGTTCGAATATGGGTGCCCCACCTCCACCATAAGGACTCTACTATATGTGTTCTGGAGTTGTGCGGCGAGTATGCCCGTGAGGGGGAGCGGTGCGTGTTTCCGCACAGTGCGGCGACAAAGGTCGCGCAAGCCGCGGTGCTGCATGCCGTCCAGGAGAACACGCGTGGGATAAACAGCTTTCCAGCCCTGCAACATGATGCGGCAAATATTTATTTGAACAATTGCTGGACCCTTATACTTCCTACTTGACATAACAAAGACTACATACTTCTAGACGCCTCGCAATGGCACCCAGTAGGATCGACATCACAGAAGCGCCAAGCGGCGAGGCTGAGGAGCATGAAGCGATCGATGCCCAGAGACCGTCAATGTACCTTCTCGAGGACTTCCCGCAAGCTGCGGTGGAGTACTGTCAGAACGTCTTCAACACGATCCTTGCAAACGATCCCAAGGTTCACTCCTGGAGGGAACACGCCGATGCCGTACTGGTGCGCGAGAAGATCATCTCTGCACATGACATCGAACATTGCCAACGACTGCGAGCAATCGGGAAGCAGGGTACAGGCATCGACATCATTGATCAGATTGCCTGCGCCAGACACAACGTAGCAATCCTCAACACTCCTGGTGTGAATGCGCAAGCAGTGGCGGAGTTAGTTCTGACTCTGACCATGGCTGTCGCTCGACAAATCAGGAAGATCTCGGTACGACAAACAGCAGGCAAAGAAGTTCGAAAACAGCATTGCGAAGGTATCTCCATCAAAGGGAAATCGATCGGGATTGTGGGGATGGGTGCCATCGGAACGACCGTCGCCAGGATGTTCCAGGGCGCCTTTGGATGCCATGTGTACGCGCTCGATCCTTACGCCTCGGACAAGGCATGGGGAGACATCATCCACACACGCACTCGGGAGCTCGAGGAGATGCTCGACAAGGTGGACATCTTGACGCTTCACGTGCCCCTGACACCGGCGACGAAGGGCATGATCAACATGAGACATATGAAGATGATGAAGTCGAGCGCGATCTTGATCAACGTGACCAGAGGGGGCATTGTCGATGAAGGAGACCTCTTGGAGGCTTTGAACTTGGGCATGTTGCACGGTGCAGGATTGGATTGTCATGTGGTGGAGCCGCCTACCAAAGAGCAGTATGAACTACTTTGGGAGACAGAGCGTGTGGTCAGTACGCCGCATATTGGAGCAGCTACTGTGGACACTCGGCTCGAGACCGCCATGGCTGCTATTAGGAATGTCGAGAAGTTCTTTAGAGGTTAAAACTAGTTATCTTAAACGCGCGAACTTTGTTAGAAACTCTCCCAAATAGGAAGTAGCATCAGAGGAACAGAAGGAGTCGATAGCAAACCAATGTTATTGCGTTGAACGTATTCTGCATATTGATGGCCTTCCCGTTTCTACCCTAGAAGCAGTCAAGTTTACGGTATTGATAGAGCGAGGAAAATTGCGACGAGGGATTTGTAGTTGCGGAGTACCTGGCCAAATCTCGTAGACTCTGAGTATCATACATCGATGCCTCCATTGAGTATATCTCATGCTCGGTGGGTGGTTGTTCTCCCAATGCGTCCCGAAGCGTACCAATAATTTTCATTCCTCGATGATCTACGAAGACCCACCAGACTGCGCAATACCCCCCTCCTCCGTCAACACAAAGCTATACCCAGGATCATACGTCGCCGAAGTATTAACCACAATCGTAATCCAACCAAACAACCCATCAGCCAGCTCATCGCCCAGATAAGCATAGTTGAACACCGGATCCGACGTCGTATTCGTCGTCTCAACGGTAAACACATGATCCACAGCATTCTCCGTGATGCTGATATTGTTCATGTTGTACGGGTACGTAGCTTCAACCTTGCTGATAATGTCTTGGTCCCAGAAGAGCTGGCCTACGTGGGTGAAAGAGCCACCCGTGAGGGTGTTGTTGGGGAGGACGGTGGCGTTGGCGTGCAGGGCGATGTGGTGGTGGGTGGCGCGGCCGGAGTAGTGGCCTGGGAAGATGGATTCGAAGGTCGCGACGCCATCGGAGTCGGTCTTTTGGATGCCGCGGAGGAAGGTGGTGTTGATGTTGGCGAGGTCATTTTCGTTGCCATTACCGCTGCCGATGGCGCCGCTGTAGACTCCGGTGGAGTTGCAGCTCCTGTGAATCGTGAGTTAGACGTGCTCAGATCTTGTCGAGTTCTTTTGAGGGATTGGGTACATACCACATGTCCCACCAAACATCCGTCAATGGAGCACAGGTCTCAATGTCAAGGAACTGGCCTTCAATGACGATTGGAATACCCGACTGAGTCTCACGAACATTGGTGCGAAGATGTTCTCCTTTGACCCAGAAAGGTCCCGTCTCGCCATCCGGGTTGATCACACAGTTGTTCGACTCGCCAAAGACATCGCTGGCGGGAGTATTGGGAGTGAACCCCTCAGTCGAGAGATGAGAAGTGTTGGCAATGACATCTGGATCGCGGACCTTCAAACTCCTGCGATACTTCTCAAACGTAGCAGCTCGACGGGCTTTGGCGCGGGCGTTGATGCCTCGCTTTTCGATCTGTTCGGCGCAGGCACTCAGTCCACGACGGGTGACGGCGTTGTAGTTTCTTTTGTAAATCAGCTCCTTTTCCGACTCGACATGGCCTGGATGGGCAAGGGAGAAGCCAGTGAGGCCGAGAAGGAGGATCGCGGATAACTTCATGGCGTAGGCTCTGGGGTGGTGCGTTGAACGGATAGATGACGATCTGTACACAGCTCTGATGTCTGGCGCTGGACACCACCTATATGCCTACTCTTCCTCTCAATTCGATTCTCGCATCTGTCTTCAGAGAGGCCCATGATCGTTGAGACGCGTGTTGTTGCAACCGCTTGAGAGTGGTCCCGTCGGGTACAGCAATTGTTGTGAAACGTATCAAAACCACGTGCATCAACGCCGACAGGCTGTACAGCATCAACAAGGTGTTTTCAACGTTGTTCAGGTCTCGGGACCACCATGTCGAAACCCTCATGCCTCTCGGTATGCATAACCCCGAAGATGGACTATGCATGGATTGGCCTTGGCATTACGACGACGACAAATTCGTTCATGCTGAATGGTCGCTTTGTGAGTTTGCAGCCCGTGTTTTCGTCAGATGGGTCTGGGGGTCCACCGGGCCATGAAATCCATTCCAAGATGTCTTGTCAGATGCTAAAGCTTTACAAGCAAGCCAAGGCTGGGGACTAGGTAAATATCAAGCATTTCAGAGTGAAAGTCGAGTCTCTTTTCGATCCAACTCTCACGGTGCGGTGGTTCCGTCTGATGCAGTCGAAGTCTCTCGTATCGGGTAGGTAAAGTTGTCCGCGGACTCCGTTTCTCAACTTTCTCTTGTACGAATATCGACCTAACGGCCCATGTTCACGTCTCAGCCGAAGAACCGGCGGTGGACAGAGAGACCCGAGCCGATGCAGGATAGTCATTATCTCGTGGCAATGTGATTGGGTACTGGGTGCTATTCAACCCCCTGCTTTGGGAAAGCATGGCTTGTCACTTGTCGTATTCGGCTGAGAAAGCCGTCGGAGGACTCGCTCAGTTGCTCGCTTTGCCTCATAGTTGTGTCCTGCTGTATTGCGATCGCTCTCTCGGCCGTTTGTCGACCTATGCCTTGAGATCCTTCTCTTCCCCATCCCATCCCTTCATCAAACAACCACAACCTCCCCAAACCCCTCCACCTGCTCCACAGAAAACGCAAACTCATCAAACCCATACAAATAACAATCCCCCACCATCTCAAACTCCCCACCACCCCTCGGCCGCAACACAAAAGGATACAGTCCTCCTGGATAGTACACAATCGAATCACCAGGCCGTGCTTGCGGAGGAGCTAGACCCATCGAGCCGGAGTCCGTGATGAACAAGGTTCTGCTATAGATCGTTTGGCTCATGTGGCGGGTGAAGTGTTCGATGTCGGAGTCTTTCCGGAAGTCTTCATACTTATCGCCCAAGGAGTTCAGTATATTTTCTGCTTCTTCGAAGGCATCTTTGTCGAAAGCGCTGAGGAGGCCGGTGCCGAACTTTTCGTACCATAGGGTGTGAGCTGGAGACAGGTATTTGTCGGATGCGCCGTAATGCTGATTATCGAAGGCGATGAGAGTTCTGAGAAAGGCACTCGAGATTGATTCGCTGAAACGCTTGTCTTCGAGCTTTGTGGCGAGGGACTCCCACTTAGAGAAGATGTCGAGGAAGCCAGGCTCGCCAGGAGCATTGTTAGGATCCGCACCCATCTCTTCGCTTACAGTCTTGATTGTGTCCACATGTACGCCGCGGATGATGAGCTTGTCGCCTTCAAACCGCAAGTCGGGAAGGACGTGTCTGAGTAGCTCGCTGGTCTCACTCACGGTGTAGGTGAATCTGTTGACTCGCGGTAAGATGCTCCCTGGCCGATGAATACTGTAGTCCGGGACCCAGGACGGTAGACTCTCCATGCTTCTATGCGACCCGAGCCAATGGAGCAGCTGTATGTGATTTGCATCCGCCAAAACTGCTCGAGTAAACCTCGTGTACACTTCCTCTACACTCAATGCGTAGTCGGCAGAAATCGGTGACTCTGCAAAGAAGTCCAACATAGCAAAGACCTTATCCCGTGGGTCTTCGTCCTGGCAGAGGCTGATGTATTGCACAAGTGTCTTCATAGATACCCTACGTTGCTGCTCGGCTATTGTGTCCAATAGGTGCAATCTGGTCGGTCCGTGGACTCCGTTGAGAGGATCATACCCATTGCCAATATGGAAGCTCATTGGTTTAACGATCATCTTGAAATCCTCTATGTGGTCGCCGCACAGCAGGTAGGCTTTTCGACTAAACGCCAGATCCTTGATGACTTGAGCGTGGAAGAACCAGGGACGCATTGCAAGATGCTGTAAAGCGTTCCATGTTTCTCCTTTGTAAGAGGGAGGGTTGATGTGTGCTTCGCCAAAGGCATCGTTATCTGTTCTACGGCCAGCGAGGTAATCGTCTCGATATGTAGTCCACTTCTTGACATGTTCGAACACCAAGTGACTATTGTCGGCTGCTTCCCCGAGCCAAATCAAAACGCTTTCGGCTGACTCGATGATCTGTTTTCTCATGCTGGCCTGTCGACTCCATTCTTCAGCGTCCGCTTGATTGAGACAGATGACGTCGATCCATAACGGTCTTGATTCGTTCGCTTTCCGCAGCCTGACCAATGCCCAGTGCAGGTCTCGCGTGATGGAATGTGCCATGTGGTTGACCGTGATATCCACCAGATCCTTGGCGTCCGACGCTACGTACGATAAGAGCTCGTAGTCCACGTCATCAGCAAGATCAGCTTCTACAAGACTGCCAGATATCGTTCTGTCTTCATCTTCTGTTGGTTCAAGCTGGAAGAGACGAACACGATTTGGACCTTGTAGTTCGGTGTACTCGTAGCGCTCGTGCCTCTGCTCTCCAGCTATATTTGCTAACGTTTCATCCTCGAGCAACGACATCGACATGTTCTGCGAAGATCTCCGTGGTGTCGAGCTGGCATTCGCAAGAGGTTCTGGCTCAGCCTGATTGGATGTGTTAGCGTTCGCTGCCAATGTGCAGTTCACGACGGCGAGGATCAGTAGCCAGATGGAGCGCATCATCCAATACGCAAGCATTTGGTATGTCGGGACGATAGCGGCGTCGTACGTCCAGTCGACAATTCCAGGGTAGGGTGAGATCACAGCTGTCCTCATGATCCTTTCAGCCGCAACCAGCTGCCTGCAGCGTGTTCTCAACACTCCCACGAGGCCAGACCCGTGCTCTTGCTGCGCCTTGTCGCAAAAAGATGTTGTAGAGTATCCAACCCAATCGTGAAATTGTTCTTCGAACACAACCAAATCCATCCGCAAGTCCCATCACCCTTCATCGCGGAAACGGCATCCTCGCACTCAAACAGACCTGCTTCCACCACATCCACCTACTCTCCCCACCGTACCCGCGGCAATTTCTCCAATAAAAAACCGTCACTTTCTCCCTCCCCGGCATAAATCCATCAGGACGATCATGGATCCTCATCCCAATCCACACAACCCCCAGCCCCGTCTTTTCATCGACCTCCACCGCGCTCCCCAGGACCTCCGCGAAGTGTTCGATATTCTTGAGGATCGTGTGGCGCATCCAGTGCATGGCTTGCTGTTTGTTGAGGCGGGTGCAGTGCCCGCGGTTATCCTCGTGGAGGAAGTGGAAGTCGGGCGTGGAGTGTAGGCTGTATGGGGCGGCGACGTCGCGGGCGTTGAAGGCGCGGAGGATGGAGAGGGAGCGGGTTTCGAGGAGTTGTGCGGTAGGGCTCTTTTTCGTGTAGGTGGGTTTGAGTATCGCGGATGAGTGGCTCGAGTTGCTCGTTTCTAGTAGAAGGTGGACTGAACCTGTCTTGGGGTGCGATGGCTCTATCGAGGCTGGGGAAGTTGGTGTGATGGGTTCCTGGACGGCCATTTTGTCGAACCTGCTCTTCGTTGCTCAGTAGATCTCAACGGGGATACATGAGGTTCTTATATCGTCAAATGCGGCTTGGATCTCCCATTGACAAATACCCGACTTCAATGCCCCGAAAAGTGTCATTCAGCTACGCAGAATGGCTTACCGCGAGACTCTTACACGCAAGTACGGATCCGTAGAGACCCTGTGTCGAGATATCTCTCTCTCAGCTGCACGAAGAGGCCATGCTTACACATGAGCGAGATGCGGCTTTCTATTCCGCTTGTGCTGGCGTAATGGCGGAATCCACACCCAGCTAAGGGCAAAGCAGGAAGCTTTTGTAGGATCGGGATCCCTGCGCTAAGAGATGCCAATTTTAGTTAGCATGCCGATTGATCCAACCGTCAAGCAAAGCATATCATTGCTAACAACATCGCTTGATGCTGTCGAGGATGGTGATGTTAGGGCAAGAGAGAGATAGGATGGCGAGGGAGGACGAGTAGTTGACCGCTGCAGTGTGAGGTGAAAGATTGTTCATTCTTCATATACATCGTTCCCGGCTACTAGTCAGGACATTTACTGGGTAATAGCTTTGTCGTCCAAGCTATCGATCTTGCCGGTCCAGTAGTTGATCCAGTTGTAGATCTCCTGGTGCCAGAACAGGCTGTTTTCACGGTTCAACACCCAGTGCGTCTCATCTGGGAATGTCAGGAAACGACTCGGGACACCAACAACTTGGAGAGCGTTGAACATGGCCAAGCCTTCACTGATTGGCAGGCGGTAGTCCATCTCGCTGTGGACCAGGAAGTGAGGCGTGGAGAAGTTTTCCGCGTGCTTCAGAGGGTCCCATTCAGCGTAGACGGGGCGACTGCGTGGATCCCAGACCGTGCCGTTGTACTCGTGGTTCACGAACCAGAGTTCATCGGTGCTGTAGTCGGCGTATGTCGTTGCAACGCCGTCGTGGCCGACAATGGCTTTGAACTCGTTGCCGAGGTCGTGGCCCTGAATCCAGTTCGTCATGTAGCCACCATATGAGGCACCGGCTGCCACAGCATTGCTGCAGTTGACGTATGGCAGATTTTCACAGGCGTAGGTGTGAGCGTTGACAAGATCTTCGTATGGCCAACCGCCCCATTTGCCTTGGATACGATCAGTCAAAAGCTGGCCGTAGCTCGTTGAGCCGGTTGGGTTTGGTCCGACAAGAACGTATCCTTGGTCTGCCCATGTCTTCAGGTTCCAGCGAGTCGACCATTGGTTGCCGGTGAATCCTTGTGGTCCGCCGTGGACGTAGAAGATCAGGTCGTAGACCTTGCTGGAGTTGAAGTTTTCAGGGTACACGATGATCGCCTGTTGCGAGTCGCCGAGAGTGCCGTTATACCAGAAATAGCCAATATCTTCAGGACCGAGACCGGCCAAGTTGGCGTCTTTCTCGTTCGATTTGTACAGGTAGCTCGACTCTCCTCCAGGGGTAAGAGTGTACAGAAGCCAAGATGCCCAGACCGAGTTGGCGTTGACCAGAGCCGTGTTGTCAGGGAGGATGTAATAGTCAGTCACAGACGTAATATCGGTGATGTTCGTCGGCTGGAAGTCTGCGGATGCGTCTGCTGGGATCACGAAAAGGCGGGTGGATCCAATCGAATCTGCAGCAACCCACAGGTCATTGCAATCTGGAGACCACTTGATCGTGGACGCTGATCGATCCCAGTTACCGGCAAGAGGTGTGATCTCCTCAGTCTCCAAATCAGCGACGTACAGCTTGGCCCGGTCGGATTCGTAAGACACGCCGTCCATCTGATGGTATGCCAACTTCTTGCCGTCTGGTGAGAACTCTGGAGCGCCTGAGGCTCCCTTGGCCGCTTCAGGAGCAGTGCCGTTGGGACCATTTATAGCCACTGGCAAAGATGAACCATTGTGAGGCACCAAATAGAGGTAGCTGGCAGTGTTGTTGGCTTTCGGCAGCTCCGGGGCCTTCGTCAAGAATACGACTTGCGAGCCATCGGGACTCAGCTCGTAGTCGCCGGTGTCGAAGTATGGCCCGACTGGCGACTCTGGCCTTGTCACGGTGTAATTCAAGCCGTGCACCAGGTTCTTTGGTGGTGCAGCCAGATGAAGTCCTGAGCCATTGCTGACCAAAGATCCAGAGAAGACGTTGTACCGCTCTTGAGTGACATACGCGTCCCAGTGACGCACGTAGATGCTGTCGTACAAGAGACCGGTGGTTTGTGGTGTGCTGGCAAGCTCTTCATTCCAAGCGGTGCCATTGTTGGCGTATGCCTTTGCGCTCACGACGAAGTTGATGTTGCCGGACTCTGTTGAGACAGCTTTCAATCCACTGAATGGTGCAGCCAGGGATGCAACTAGTGTACTGCTAAGTGTTAGCCAATACCGTCAATCTCAAAACCAAATGCATGTACATACGCATTGATCGGCGAATCCGCAAGATCGGCCGTGTAAAGCGTGACACCACCTGGAACATCCTCGTTTGTGCCATTGATGTAAAGGACGCTCGTGTTCGTTGGTCCAACCCAGACAATCTCCGAGACCTCACTTGAATTGAGCGGCAGATCTGTGATCTCTCCGCTTGAAAGGCGTATGAGCTTCCATGTGGACGATGACTCGTGGTCCTCGAAGGAATAGTTGGTAGAGCTGTAGACTGCCCATGTACCGCTGGGATCTGGACTGGCGCCGCTGTATCGAGGTGCAGAGATCATCTGTCTGTAGTTTCTTGTCAATGCTTGCCCATCCTGCGATGCTTTTAAAGGCTCACTCTGGAGTAATGCTCTGTACCACCTGCACAGCAAGTGCCAAAGCACTCAGCAACCTCATCACCGCCATTTTCTCCACTTCACCAAGACTTGACAAAGTGCTTCGAAGCAGGAACAAGCTCTTCTCGCAGGACAGAAGAGCTGCGGCCAAACACTTCTTGTACGCCAGTCGCGCACGGCGACGCAGTTACATCAGGCATGGCGCGGTTGGCCTAGCGGATCGTCTTCGCGTGGACAATACGGAGATGGCCAGACCTAATGGGAAGGTCACATCGCTGTCGTGCTTTGCCAAGACGTCGAAATGCTCCAGGGCGGGGTCTCCCATGCAAGCCAAGACCAGAAGCTGATAAGAACTATCCGCATCGCGTGATGCGGTGGTGTTCTTGTGCTCGCATTTTGCGCCGCTTTGCTGCAGGTACAGAATGGTAGAGGCTGGTAGAGGTGGGATGTTCAGGTTCAGGCAACCAAGGCCGAACTCCGCAGGTGCAGACATGACGCAGTGTTGTGCAACGGCGGCGTTCGTGTCCAGAGTCTCGACTTCGGTTCAAGAGTTCGCCGATATGAAGGTCCAGCCGCCGGCACATTGGGTCAATATATTGTGTGATGAACTTAAGATGGGCATTGAAGGCCAGGCCGCTCGGGTCGCCAGCACCGGTGGCTCATTATCGGTCGCTTGAACCTGGATATCCTTTTGCTTCCAATAGCTGGTCTGGTCGTCTTTGCGAATCAGTATCAGAGGTCAAACAAGATGAAAAAGATGGATGGAGGAGAAGTGAGGTTGTTTGAGAGTTTGAAAGATGGCATTCCTTCATAGTGGCCTGTGCGTTCTGCTTCCTGCTGAACACCACCAAGTCCGTAGTGTTTGCAGGACGACTTTCTGATATAGGCTCGCGAAGAAGGACAGCGCTCTTTGACAACTTTCTGTTCATCCTCCACCTCGAATCTTCACAGCACTCAGCAAGTATGTGATGCAAACACATTGGTCTACTCCACCCGCTTGCGATTTCCACTCTTGTCCAATTCTCGCTTGGAATCATCCGCATTGTCGGTGTCCGCCATGTTCGCAATGGTTGCGGAGTGCATAAGGCCGTCTCCGTGTCCACAAACCACTCCCGGGAAGTTGTTGACTGTCATGTCTGGTCTCGCTCGGTATCTTCTCGCGCGAATAATGGAGCTCCCATTCTCGCGGGCCTGCTTTTCGAATTCTCTCGGACCCGTAGTTATTCACTGTGACAATATCGTTCAGGCGTGGGTAGAGTCGCTCCAGACAGAGCCCAGTCTTTTGAGAGAGGAGAAACACTACATTCCAACCGATGGACGGGCTGTCGTGATAGGAAATGTGGTCTGGACCTTCGTAAATGGTGACTGCTTCGAGATTGAAAAGCAGCGTGCGAAGTTGGTTCATGCTCCTGAACGACATCGAGGGGGTGTTGTAGTCCGTTTCCCAAAGTCCCCTCCAGAACTCCGTGTCGCTGCTACTCCTCGCATTGAATAGGACATACTGGGCGGCATTCGACTCCAGTTCTACATGGCGAACAAATTGCAACTTGTTGCTGAAAGGCGAAGCGATCAGGTCCAGCATCATTCCGGATGTAGACGGAAGATACATGTTGGAAAGGTCCAGTGACATGTTGCAATAGAAGATCTGCCGGCACTCATCATGAACTTGGCGAGACACTCTCAACATCAGAAGTCGAAATGGCTCTTCGGCACACCGAATTTCGTGATTTATGTATTGCTCCTCCAGTTCAGGTTCGAGCTTGTCAAGACGGCGCTTCCAGGAAGGAACATATGCTAGCATGCATGGAACCGAGAACGCATCCTTTGCAACCAGAGCATAGATTCTATTGCGAATCTCAGGCGGAAGGTCCAAGAACCTGAAGCAACCCTTCCTGACGACTTCGGCAACCAATGCTGTCCGTGCTTCGAGACTGAGGGGTTTGCCGCCGAGCGGTGTTGGTTGTGGCTCATCAAAGGCATCGAGGTCATCCAGATCATCCAGCAGGCCATCGCGGTCACGCTGGATTGCCCGGTCAAGAAGCCAGGTGGCGGAGTTGTCCGGTTGTTGTGTCTGCCGCTGAAGCTGCTGGTTTTGACGTTCGAGTTCTTGGATACGATCGGCGTGAGCGGCGAGTGCTTGTCGCAGGGCTCGGTTTTGCTTGAGAGCCGACTCGAGGTCCTCCGGAGGGTCGTCGGCATGCGGCTCTGCCATCTTGACGAAGAGGCCAGGTCTGCGGATGAAGCGTGGAGGGATGCGAGCGCGAGGTGTGTTTGCGGCGAAAAGAAGGAGGTGAAGTCACGAAAAGGCCAGCACGCGGAAGATCCCAGCTAGCGTCTCCGCTCGCGACTTCCCTAGCGCCTGTTCACATGTCAACCGCTCCTTCCCAAACAGTCACAGACTCACATGCTGAGACCAAAGAGAAAAGCATTGGCAGCCACGTCTCCACATTCACTATATACCTACGCACAACATTCTCTCATCTCAAACATTCCCCTTCCCGCTAAAGACCATTCTGCAACGTGTGTGGGTGGGTGCCAATTCCAATCTTGTCCGCGCTCAAAACCAGTCGAGCGCCTTCGCACAGCAAAGAAAACAAACCAGAACTAGCTGGTAGTTTCCCCCGCGGCGGTGTTGGTCAGTCTGTAAAGCAGAGAATCCAGAAAAACATCACATAAAGCACAGTTCGCAAAGGAGATTTGGTAGCGAAGGCAGTCGCTCGCCCAACTGATGTGTGAAAACCAGCAGACTCGCCAGGGCACCCTCCCAGCAAGCTGACTATGAGGGTGATGGCAGCGCGAAAAGCAGAAACATCGCATGAAAGGACGGCAAGAGTGCCCCGAGAATGAGTGTCCTTCGTCTCGCTTGTTCCCCAACACCCGCCATCCGCCAAATTACTTCGTTCGACCGTCCCAGTTCGAAAGATGTACGTGCTAACCGATGTCCTGTGTGAGAAGTGAAATGAACCCTGCGCCGTCCAAAAGATAGAGGTGAGAGCTGAGATCAGCTAGCTCGGAGCAATCGGTGTGCTTGTACCATCTTGAATTGGAGTTACCGGAAGACTTCGTGCAGTTTGGTTGTTTTTGGATTTTGTTTTTTGAGGGGAGATGCGAATTCGTCCATTCTGTGGGGTGGGGTTTACTCCGAGCAGTAGTGAGATCTTCGTGGGATGTGCGATCACTTGTCGAGTTGTGGAGAGCGGCCGGTGCTGTTGATGAGAAAGAGTCAGTACAGGTGTGGCCTGTCAGCAGCCGTGACGAAGAAAGCATCTACAACAACATCCCCTTACGAAATTGACCATCCTACATTACGTGGTCGATTACTGTCAGCAGAGACAAGTAGGAGATGGGGAAACTTGCCCAAGCTCCGCAATGTCGTCGCAGTGGTTGCACAGGGCGACGAAGAGGTCGAAAAACAACTGCGTACCGCCCTTCTCCATCTCCATCTGCATTGTGCCGCTGCGCTTGAAGGTCTTGCGGCTGCGGATGATGAGTGCGAGATAGTGGGCGCGGAGGCGCGAGTCGCTGGCGGGCGTGTTCGCATAAGCGAAGCGTGCGCTGCGCAGTATGGTGGCCACGTCAATGCCAGATTGCAGACCCTGCTTGCGAAGAGCAAGGCGCTGCAGGTCTGGCAGTTGAAGCTTCAGGGCAGTGCAGTAGACGGCCGTATCCCGAAGGATGTAGTCGCCCACGCCGTGATGGTAGATTGACGCGAACTCGTTAAGGCCACCGAGTTTCTTCGGGTCGGACTCCATGCGGGGAGACATGGAGGTGATGGTTGACGGTTCTTGGCCATCCTCGAGCGACCACGTGTTGCGCTTTCTACGGGATGTTAGCACAATTATCGTTTGACATTGAGTGATGGCGAACACACCTGTCATGCAGCAAGCGCGGGTAGTAGTCGCCCTTGTAGAGGAACTCGAGAACGGCACTGAGAACCTCTGGCTCATCGTCTGGAAGTGAGATACGCCGCTGGCCAGGGGATTCGAAGAACTGCGCACGACAGGCCTCGGCGAACCAAGGCGAGCGTGCAAGCACATCTTCGTGCGCGGCAAACAAACGCTGGTCCTTGCCCACTGCAATCGTAACGATCGCAGTATTGAGCTTGGGGGAACACCCGCCTATCGAAGGCGACGTGTCGGGACTGGCATTGTTCAACTGCTCGCGCAACCTCTGCTTGGCATCGTCTCGAAACGAGCGCTTGGATATCTTCCGCGCCTTGCCGGCCCTGTCCTTCGCCGAGGCGAACGACCGCTTGAACATGGTGGGCAGATGCGCCGTCTCTTTTCCAAACGAGTGATGGGAGTGTCGGAGGCGGGAAATGAGCGTTGCGAGTAGGTGAGGGTTGGAGGGTTAGAGGATCGACGCGCGGTGCATGTGGAAGCCCAGAGATATGGGCTTGACAAGAGTCGCGACACTGGATGAGTGTGCGCGGCCTTGCGTGTTGACTGCAGCGGTGACGAGAGAAAGAAGAGAGCACGCGAGGCGGGAAGACGTGGAGTATTTATACCTGCCTCTCTAGGCTGCGCCCTCTCACGTGGCTTGGTGATTGACGCCCGATGCCCCTGGCCGAAGCTTCTCGCATCAATTGCAACCTTATGTTCATTTCGGCCGGCAAGGGATGCCAGCATACCATTCGCATTATTGTGCAATGATGATGGATAAAACCCAATGCTAGATTGTTTTGATGACGGTGGTTGTTCCGCCCGTCGCTGCTTCCTTGAAACAGGTCCGATTTCTAATTGGGCGGTGGTTGCCTAGCTAGATCAGCGGCTAGAACTATTTTGGGCATCGCGTCTGCTGGCCATATCGATAAGACAAGCGAGGAAAGCGCCCAATGTCCACCGCAGGGATATAATCTCTCTACCAACACAAAGCTCCAGCAAAATATGGTTTACTGATCGTGCTCGTCCAAGTCTTATCTACAATTTGAAGAAAGTAAGGCTGCTCGACCCTCTTGCTTCGGCAAATCAACTTTACAAACCGCTGGCAATGACAACCTCTACACTCGCTTCGCAACCGAAACCACCTTTCGCCGTGCAGCAGTCGATTCCCTCTCTCTTTCTATTGAGAGGATCTGTCGATGGTGGGGCTTCTATCTCCTCGTTCTCCGAAACTACTGCGGACCTTCCCGAATCGCCCAGTATCATGTCCAAAGCCTCGACCGTCATGGGCATCAATTCCACAGCCTCGTAGTTGCTGGTGAATACAAGCAAAGCCGGGAGGCTTCAAGCTCCAGGGCTACCACATTCCAGGGCAATTCAGGCTTCACGTCGAGTCGGAAGAAGGTGTATTAGAATTGAATGCGCTGCATTGGATGGGGAAACGAGGCTATGAGGAGCGCCTAACATGCCCACCCCAACCCTCTCTCTCACTCTCATCCTCGTCCTCACACTGCTCTTTACCTTCTCCATCATCCTCGCACTCATCTTCATCCTCGATTTCACCCTCTAAGTCGGGTTCGGCTGACAAACAATCTTAACCGAGTTGGTAGGTCCAGAAGCCGTGACATTCTGAGTCTGGCCAGCGTTATTGGAAGATGCAGCAGTCGTAGAGTTGGTGCAATCGGAGGTGCCAGCCAGTACGAAAAGGCAACCACCCTTGACGTCCGGCCCAACGCTCGTAGTGAAGCACAAGCTCGGCGCCGCAAACGTCAAGCAACTTGTCGCGCCGTTTGCATCTGCAATGCCTTTGAACGTGTTGATGGTGTTGGTGCCGCACTCGTTGGAGTATGCGTCGATTTCGTAGTTGGTGCCGTCGGCGACGGCGTCGACCAAGGTTGAGGAGGTCCAGAGAGCTGCGAGGATTGTTGAGCGTGAGAAACGCATCGTGTGAGATGGTGCCGCTGTCGATGAGGAAGCGGCGTTGATTCTTGAAGGCTTTCCCAGGTAATCGTAAATTTACTAGGGGCAAGGTGGAAGTGGCCAAGACAGGGATTCATAGCCCAGCTCGTGAGGAAGCGAGAGACTGTGAGGCAGAACAGCACGCATAGCAGGCTAGGCTCGGCCGTGGGCAAGCACAACCAACCGATACTTGCACGAGCAAAATGTTCGCCACCTAGAGCACGTCACAGTGCATCCTTCACTCGGTAGTTGTCTTTCATTTTGATATTGTCTTTCGGCCGCTGAGCTAGTTGTCCAAACTATTACAATCGTCCAACTTTCCGCAACACTTCAATCCTTCAATTCTAGTGTGCTGTTATGAATATCGTTCTGCTTGCTAACAAAGTTGCAATTGCCCTATTCTGACCAATTTTATGGTCTCGTTAGCTCTCCTATTTTGCTATCGTAATACTCTGGCTAGCCATTGTCGTATAGTTTGAAGAACGGCCTACTTTCCCGCATCAGTAGCTTCCTCGACTAGGTACTAATAAGGTCAATCCTTCCGCTCACGACGTGAACAACCTGTTACTAAGGCGAAACGTAAGCTGTCATCGGCCGTTCAGGACGAATGGGTTCTAAGAAAGTGCCGAGCAAGCCGGCGCTAAGCACATAGCCTTGCATGGTGCCACATTAGGCTGGCTTTAAGCGCGATGAGGCTATGGATTGATAAACGCCTATGGTGCGACATTGGACTCATGTTACTGCCCATTTTACAACACGAGCGACGCAAAGAAAGTGGGAACTGGTTATTGTTAGGAAAGGGCCAATTGAAGCACGCCAGAATTGGGGCTGCACACTCAAAATTGTCGACCCACCTCATTCGGTGGCAAATGCATCGGAGCAAGTTGTTCGGACTTGCTCAAGCGGCGAGCGTCACCAGATCCGAGCCCTTCAAGAGCGAGCAGACGAAAGGCAGCGCCAGTGCGTTCAACGCTAAGCATGAGCTGCTGCAAAGGCAGTGGAGCTCCATTCTCCATAATCAACGAATATTTGGAACGGTCTCGCGGTGTCATTCCGTAGCTTGCCCTTAGAGGGACGAAAGGGTGTTGTTCCCACTCCTTGTATCACGCTACGGTCATGTCACGGGAGCGTACTTGCAAACCACTCAACATCCCTCGAGAAGATTTGACCAAACCAACGCGATCCGCGGTTCCACTTGGAGAAGATCTGCGAGGCAGTTATGAACTACCCTAGGCTCGGCCGCGTTCTGCAATAGGAAGGTGAGCGAATTTTTCTTGCTTAGCTTGTCTTACTGTAAGTTATTGGAGCTTGTTCGCTTCAAAGCGGGTATAACTCATCATCACCACTGTAGCGTTAGAGAGGAATGACGCATATTGCAATGGTCCTGTGCGACTGTACCGTCGTGAGAGGACGTAGATCGAGTGCTTTCGTTCTTTTGTGACGGATCCTTTACACAGCCCGTCTCCTCTGCAGATACCTAGCGTGCGAATGGCAAAGCAAGATCGTCTTGCGAGTAGCATCTCCATCTTGTCATTGGGCGAAGAGCAAAGTGGGGTGTTGGGCGTGACTTGATCACTGAGAGTTGCGCACAAAGGTCTGTTTAAAGTGCACGTCGAAATACAAGTTTCAGCAGTACAGTAATGTTGATCCCCCCAGCAGATGAATCACCTCTTCCTCCAAAACTTGAATCGTTTGCAAAACACATTTGTTAGCAGAATACTATGTTCTCGTTGCAGATTAACGTGTTCTCCATGAAAAGAGCGCCGTCATCCAATGCATTCTGCCTCTTCAAAAGACATCTTGCAACCCGCATGGCAGGATCTAGCTCCCAGTCAGCTGCCGTCCGGCAAAAATTTCAGCCTTGCAAGGCTACGCACCTAGTTCGGTGGAGTCCCCAAAAGGAAAGACTGCACGCCCGAGGGAGCAGTGTCTGGGTTGAAGAGGTAGCACTCAGGGTTGCTGTCATTGATTCTCACGGCAGCGATGTAGTCGGCACCAGAGTCATAAGTTCCAAGACCGCATAATCGGCAGACCACAATGGGACATGGAGATGCTACATTTTGCTCCTCCGATCCTTTTCAAAGGCTGGGTTGGACCAAGCTATCCAGATCGTTTCCTCATTGATCTTACCGTATTTTCGGCAGTTGTCAATGCAGCGCTGGAAGGCATGGTGTTGGGAGAACGTGTTCGAGCTGATGGCTGTCTCTGGGCCATCACCTTCAGCACGATGAGATGCCGTCGCTGCCGCATCGCGCTGGAGAAACGACCCGACCATCGACTTGTCACGGAGTCGCATGAATCCTCCATGAGCGGAGCGTTGGTCTTCTTAGCTTGGTATTGGTAATGCGAGATAACGAGAGGACGGGGAGTAGGTATCGACGAAGAGCCGTGATATGGCCATTGGCCATTGTCCATGCACGAGTTCATGTCACTGGGAAGAACATAAATATGCCGTGCCTGCCGCCACAGCGCACCTCGACATCCCTTCCAGTCCTATCTATCATCCTTTCCCACTCCAGACTCACTCAACTCAACATGGTCCCAACTCCAAGAACACGGGCTGCCGTGCTGGCTGCGGCCCTGTGGACTCAGCTCGCAGTGGCTACCCGCGTCGCTTTCATGTCCGAATCGACTGGCTCGGGCATCATCACGTTCATGGCCCCCAACATCACCCAGGCAATTGCGTGCTACGATCTCAGTGACTACGGAGAGCTGCCATCGGTACAAGTCTTGGACTCGACACCCGGCCTCGCGGTCAACTTTTTCCCGGACAGTCAGTGCCAGGGCAATTCCACGGTCTTCCATACCGATGGATATCTTAGTGCATCAGAGGTGGCCTTCGGAAGCTGGTCCATCACGAAAGACACGCCCAAAAGCGCGAACACCACTGACCTAGTCGCAACGGCTCCAGGATCTATCAAAATGGGCAACTACCAGGAGTTTGGGCTGACCGGCCCGCACACAGACGTGTCGTTGAGCATTCCGCTGGTAAGTTTCCAACTCATAACGTATCGCCTATGGGAGATTGTTAACGGGACGCAGTAGCTTGCGGCCCTACTCCTCACCGCAACTGGCTCAGGTATCACCACCATCTATGCCACGGTAGTTGCTTGTTCAGAAGCTGCTCAAACGGGCGAAGTAAATGATATTCTCGCATGTATTTCCGTACCCATCGCGACAATCTGCTCATTCACGGGTGGTTATCTCTACAAGCACGCTGGGGCCTCTGTCGTTGCTAACACTGCCATCGATATGGCCACTGGAACGATCACCAACCTCAACGGCCCTAACAAACGCTCAGCCATCGATTCAGCGTTGCACGATTATCTGAGCGTCTTGCCAAACAGCTCTTATGTCGGACACATGTATCATGCTGCGTACGAGCATCCGAGACCAATGTATGAGGTCGAACCAGTCCCTGGACACCGAATGCACTTCTCGGCGTTCATTGGGGATGGCTTCATCACTCACCACATGCACTATGCGCAGGAGACCGAAAAGGTCAAACGAGCCCAGGGACTCGACAAGCGCGATCCACCATACCCCTATGACGGTATCCGATACAGCGAGAACGGATTTGATTGGTACGTCTTTTAAAATTCGACGAAAGCGAGTAGTGACGAATACTAACAAGCATGATAGGAACATGTGTGTCTATTCCCAATCCACCTCCTCCAACTGGGACGACTCTCCCAGTTACGACTACAACACGTTCTACGACCAGCTCACCTGCGTCATTGACAGCCCGGCTCCCTACCAGTCTGCGCAGGCCATGCAGATCGATCTCTACGATATCTCTGGTACTCTTTCTGCTGATATCGAGATCAGGCCTTACTCTGGCTCGTCGGCGACGGCGAATGCTCCTGCGTGCAGCGCGACGCCTCCGCCGATTAATGGTGACTGTGAGGTCAATTAGGCTGTGACACTGTAAAGATTTGAATAGGAAGGAGGAGGAGGACGGCAGGGGGAGGTTCCAGTCGGCGTATGGATCATCTTCCTAGGGATCGTCTTACTCGAGAACGTTGAGAAAAGATTCCACTTGCAAATCACCCGACATGTTCGTGAAGTAGTAAGAGGAGAGTTGGAAGAGTCAGTAGCTACACGTACAGATTCCACATTCGCTTATGATACGCTGGTCTCCGAATTTTGCTTCCGTACGCCCGCTTCTCTCAACATCGATATGGAGATGCCCGACGAATTGTTCGAATTGATCCCCTATCTACTATGTACTGATAAAAGCAGAGTCTAATTTTCCTACTAAAGAATATAAAGAGCATTAATCTCGAAATCAACATAAGTTCTAATTAGGGAATTAGCCGGGTTTGCAGCTATTTTAGGGATCGCGCCTGCTCGCCATATCGATAAGAGAAGCGAGGAAAGCGGATCGTCATAGTGTTCGGCATCAAACCTTCGTCCAGGCTTCGACACAGGCTTCACTCGGCGGCAGCTGCAGGTGTTTGGCGCGCGCCAGACTTGCCTCGACCCTTCACTTTCCACTTCTTCACTTGTCAACAACACACAACTCTCGTATTGCTTCGCACTTTTCTATACACCCAACCGCGCTGACATCAATTGCGACGCACCACCCACCATCCATCAAGGTCGCTACCACCGCCAACATGACCAGCAACAAGCGTCTGATGAAGGTTGGTGGAAAGAGGCACATGGCATGTGTGTTACCGAACTGACCACTTCAACAGGAGCTCGGGGAGATCACCACCAATCCTCCGCAGGGCTGCATCATCACACCCCCGACCGAGGACATGTTCACATGGGACGTGACCATGGATGGTCCCTCAGACTCGGTCTACGCTGTAAGTCAGTTGAAACTTCAATACTAGTCCAGCACTGACACGATCACAGGGCGGCAAATACCACATCCAGATCGTCCTCCCCAAAGAATACCCATTCAAGCCACCGGTCCTCTCATTCAAGACCAAGATCTACCACCCCAATGTCTCCAACGACGAACGCGGCGCGATGTGTCTGGGTATGCTCAAGGCCGAGGAATGGAAGCCACCGAACAAGATCGCCGAGGTCCTCAAGCTGGTCCGCGCCGTGCTCGCCGCTCCGCAGCCAGACGATGCCGTCGAGACTGGAATCGCTGAGCAGTTCAAGAACGATCGCAAGTCATTTGACAAGGTCGCGAAAGAGTGGGTTGGCAAATATGCAAAGTAGTACTTGGACAGCGCAGAGTCAGGCAAGAAGCGTTGGACGTTTAGGGACAAGGGCAAGAAGCCGATGCGGAAGGAAGATATGATATAAGGAAGAGGGCTTCGAAGAGCTCTTGCAGGTCTCCTATCGCACCTCATAGGTGCATGGGATCGGAAGGGGAACAGCATTGAATTGTGCATAGAAGCATAGCGAGAGGCGTTGGAGGCGCGGGAGGGGTGGAAACCTTTTGGACAAGAATGCGATTCGTTAGCCACTGTATGTTGCAATAGCCATGCTATGCCAGAGGAAGTAGTGGTTTCGTCGTCTGGTGCTCTCGAGCGAGCCAGTTCCCGTCGATTTCATGTGATTGTGCTCGCGGGAAATTCAGCCGCAGCCAATGAAGGCAGCAGTTTAAGAACTTGGAACGCCTTTCAATCGACTCCCCTCTGCCTTCTACCAGTAACGTGACGCCCATGACTTCAGTGATATTGCCGAACTAGGAAGTCGTAGAATGTTACGTACCACGACTTTATTGACTGAGACTAGCTCGAAATTCAGTGACTTCACTTTGTCCGCTCGACCTCACAGCAAGACCAACCCTCTCGCACCACGACTGACTGACTGGTTTCAACCTTCTCAACAAGAGCCAGCGTCACTGCTGGTGGAATCGCCCGGCCATCGCGCTGCGCACTATCAGCCTGTGAGAAACCATCCACGCTGGTTCGCGACGACCACGCGCAAAAGACACATCCGCAGTGAACCGATCTGCTAACACTTTGCACACCCCCCGCGCAGGGCCTTCGTCTTGAACACCGCACACGAGGCCGGCTACCAAGATGAGCCCCCGCTCGCTCTCGCCGCTGTCCGACTCGGGTCGCAGCGAGGCCGAGGAGAAGGTCACAAAGAATGCACTATCCAACAAGAACACCAATGTTGATCCGTCCGCCAGACCTTCGTCTTCATCTCGCCTTTCTCGCTACGATCGCAGCGACCGCAAGTATGCGGTCATGTTCAACCCGCGAGCCCACTTTGACGACTACCGCCCAGACGGATCCCGATCGCCTTACCGCAATGACCGCGACCGCTCCCGCTCCAGGTCACCATACCGCGCAAGCAAGGAGAAGGACAAGGTCGAGGACACCGTTGGACAGAAGCGCCGCCGCGAAGATGATCAATACGGCAAGAGCGCATCAGACACGCGACGTCACAAGGTCTACCAGGATCCTCCAGGACGTGGTCAGGCCTCGAACTACCATCGTGGTTCAGACCGTGTATCACACCCAAGCGGTAGACCCCACAACAACGACCGTGATGGGCGCGGCCGTGGCAACATGCGCAACTCTTACGGCGATCGTGACCGCGACAGGAGCAGATCTCCGTACCGTGCACCTGCTGACAACACCTCCCGACCAGGAAGCCGGCAGGAACAAGACGTTTCGAATGATTCTAGATCCAAGAGACGTGGAAGCACGCCTTCTGCTCAACGCGAGTTTACCCCACAAGCTCCACGAGATCGTGCTGATACTAAGATGTCATCTTCTCAATCAGAGCAAGAAGCGGCGGCATCTCAAAACGTCGGCAAGGCAAGGTTAGTGAACATTAAAGCTCCATACTATTCAACAGATACTGATGTTGTAACGCGCAGTGATCAACTTGAAGAAGCGGAACCTGAGAAGCAGCTCTCTGAAGCTGAGCTAATCGAGCAACGCCGCAAGAAGCGTGAAGCAATTAGGAAGAAGCACGCAGCATCGTCGATCGGCGATTCACTTCTGCGCGCTACCTTGGAGGCGAATCAGGCATCCGCAGTTGTCACACCACAGCATGAGAGTGTGACTGGATCCCGAGAGCAATCCCCACCATCGCCGTCCTCGGTAGGATCTCCAAGTACTCCCAGAGACAGCACTTCAGCTCCAACATCACCGGCAGAGTTCGCGACGATGAAGGATGTGGACTTGGCGAATCCTCTACAGGTAAATGCCACGATGGATGACCAGGGCCAGTCTGCTGCAGACTACGATCCGAACCAAGACATGGACGAAGATCGACCAGAATTCAAGCAGCAACATGTGCAGGAGTCGCTGCCACAAGAAGAGACGACTGTCGCAGCACCGCCAAAGAAGTCTGCTGACGACTTCGACATGTTTGCTGATGATGACGACGACATGTTCGCAGCCAACGAAGCACCGATTCATCAAGCTGGCGGTAAACAGGCCCGTGCGCTGGACGAGAGCCTTCACGACAATTGGGACTACCCAGACGGTCACTACCGCATCATCAACGGTGAGCTCTTGAATGGTAGATATGCGGTTGAGCAACAGGTCGGCAAGGGCACCTTCGCCACTGTCGTGCGAGCTACCGACACCAACACGGGCACGAAAGTTGCCATCAAGATTGCCTGCCGAAACGATACCATGTTGAAAGCAGGCCAGAAGGAGATGCAATTTCTTGAGCGCCTCAACGAGAGAGATCCAGAAGACAAGCGGTACATCATCCGCCTGCTTGGCAACTTCACGCACAAGGGTCATCTATGTCTTGTTTTTGAAGGCCTGCACATGGACTTGCGCGAGGTACTCAAGAAGTTCGGCCGAGACGTTGGCATTAATCTGGAGGCAGTCAAGCTCTACGCCTACCAGATGTTCCACGCGCTGCAGCACATGAAGAACGCAGAAGTCCTCCACGCCGATCTCAAGCCCGACAACATCCTCGTCAACGAGAAGCGCACCCTCATCAAAGTCTGCGATTTCGGTACTGCTACCTTGCAACAGGATGCCGAGCTTACGCCATACTTGGTGTCACGCTTCTACCGTGCTCCAGAAGTCATTCTCGGCATGGACTTCGACTATGCGATCGACATGTGGGCTATCGGCTGCACCCTCTACGAACTGTACGCGGGTCGCATTCTCTTCAACGGCTCCGACAACAACAACATGCTCCGTGTCATCCAGGAATGCCGAGGCAAGCTGCCAAATCGACTCATCAAGCGCGCCAAGTTGGCTGATAAGTACTTCGACGATGCCTTCACCTTCCACGGCCTCGATCGTGACAAGATGACCGGCAATGTCATCCACCGACCTATGCACTTTGCACAGGGACTCGTTGGCAAAGACCTGAAGTCACGCCTTGGTGGTAATCTGAACAAGATGGACGCCGTTCAGCTCAAGGAGCACAATGTCTTTGTGGATCTTCTTGACAAGTGCTTGCAGCTGGATCCTGAGAAACGTATCAAGCCGAAGGACGCACTGCACCATCAGTTCTTTGCTCGCCCGCTCCAGGCGAAGCCGAAGACTTCAGCCTCCACGACTCCGTTTCGTCCTGTCTCAGCGAAGAATGCTGGATAGTATTACGGCAAGAACCGCTGAGAGGATGACAGTTTCGAATATATGACCCATCAGATGTGACCATCTGGAGACTGCAGGAATACCAGACATCGGCGATACGCACGACTCTGCATTACGATACCATCATCCCTGCACGAAGGCGAAGTTTGGTACATTGGATTTTCAGACGAGCTTGGTTTTTGCGACAGGGCACCTGCGATTGGAGAGGACGTGCAGTCTGGTATGTTCGAGTTGCCGCGGCAGCAGCAGCGAGCATTGAGCATTGATCATCAGCATCACGACTTCGTACCGGCAGCATGGAGCACTGGGCACAAGCAAGCATCATTGAACATCATTTGCGATCCCCAGGCACTGAAAGAAGGAGGGACTATGAAACGCATGATGACCGGACTTAGGTATGGGGGAAAGACATGAAAGAGTTGTGGCTATGACTCCAGGTGGAAGTTCAGCAGTCTCAATGAAAACGACAATTCCAAGGCCTGTATCATTTCTTGTCTCGTTTCTTGCCTCGAATCGAAATCAATGACCTGATTTCTTTGTCCTTGGGCGACGGCTCAAATGTTCGAGAGGCAGATGTCTAGGATTGCCTACTCGAGGTCGAACAGTCTAGGACATGAGAGTCTCACATTGGGCTGTTGGCCTGCAACAGATACCAAATGGCACTTCGCATTTATACACCATCCCCTCCACCACCTCTTACCATCCCATACCCATCCCCAACAGCAATTGATTCGAAACGCCTTCCGCTTCACTTCATAAGTTCTTTGAGTACAACATGGACACTAACGGCATCTTCCAACAATCAACCGCTACAACCCCAAGGATACTTCCTTTACATCCCCAACGACATCGCCCCGAAACAGGTTCAGCTACCCCCAGTCTCTTCACGTCTGGAAGCAACAGCGGCCTTGCTCGCACAGCACCGATTTTGGCTAGGCCCGGTCAGTCTTTACCTCCTCGACGTCTTATTGGTAACAGCGCTGGCGCTGCTTTTACCTATACCGAACAATCCTTTGCTAGCCCAATTCAGCGTTCTTCAACTTCGGGAAGGCACATTGGCAGCGCCGGTGCTGCTTTAGCGTTCACTAGATCACCCTTGGGTGACCGCGGTCAGTCTTCAATCTCAGGTGGTCTCGTCGACAATGGTGCTGGCGCCGCTTCTCGGATGACCTCGACGCCCTCCCTACATCATCCGACTTTGACAGTCAACAGCGTCCCAGCCACGCCGCGGATCAATCAAAATCTAGGTGGGAGAAGGCAGCCGGTACACGACGTGCCCGGCTCTCCTTCAAGTCAGGTATCTAGCAGTACCCAACAGCCAACAACATGGAAGCCCTTACCGCAGACCCCATTTGAAGTTAACCTGCATGATGGACGAATTCAGAAAGTCTCAGGCGCAGGACATCCGTCACGAGGACATCCATTTCAAGAAGCTTCAGGCTGTTCGGGCGAACACCTTCAAGAAAACAAACCCGCAACATCCAGAAACGAACAAAGCTCTGCTATGAAAGCCGGTGGAGCTGCTCGGGGACAGCAGCCCTGTTCGGGCTCCAATACCTCTCTTCTCGAAGACATTCCTGAGCTGAACATCCTTATCCTGGGCCAGATAGGAGTCGGCAAATCGACTTTCGTCAACGCAATCTTGAACTATATCAAATACGATTCGCTCGATGATGCATTGAGATCGCAGAGAGTGCAGTGCGTTATCCCTACGTCCTTCACTTGGTCAGTCATCAAGCCACTGTTCAGATCTCGACTTCACTGACACTAGTCCTGAAGGCAGCGCCTTGTCAGGGGCGACTACGTTCCGAAGGTCATTTCCGTACAGCCCAATGCCGGCGACTACACAGCCAGTCCTCCGCAGAGCCAGGAAGAGGCAAAACCAGGTCAATCGGCTACACGAGGCATCGGGCAATACACAGTTCCACTGGGAAACACATTGGTGCGGCTTATCGACACACCGGGCATTGGCGACATTCGCGGCGTATCACGAGATAACGACATCATAGCCAAAATCACGGAAAGCCTTGGTTCCCTAGAAGTTCTTTCTGGTATCGTCATTTTGCTAAAACTGGACGAAGCAAGACTCACTGGTATGCTGGCGTACTGTCTGAAGGAATTATTCACCTTTTTTCACCGCAATGCTGCCAAGAACATTGTTTTTGGATTTACCCACTCCAGGGGCATTTCCTTCCAGCCCGGTGCAACTTACGCAAAATTGCAGCAAATGCTGGAACGCGATCCAATATCGGGACTCCATGTTGGACCCGACGTCACATATTGCTTCGATTCGGAAGGTTTCCAATGCCTTGCTGCTCATTGCGCTGGTGTCAACATTAAAGAGATGGGTAAAGTACGGGACTACAGAACCAGCTGGAAGAAATCTGCCGCCGAGGCGTTACGAATGTTGATGCATTTTCGACCTTCTATCACGGCGCCACATCGTACTGTGGAAACCTTGGATTTATACTGGTCGAGATGGGCGATGTGGCGACTTGTAAGATCATCAAAGGAGATTTCAAAGGTACGTATCGCAGCAGCCTGGCCAACAGTTGACACCGCTAACGCGAATAGTCAGACCACACAGAGCAACGTCGAATTGCAACGAGATGAAGAACGAAATCTGAAAGAGGCGTTGCTACGGTGTGATGAGCTTGAGAAGGTGCGGTGTCTCAGTGAAGCGATCCATAAATCAGAGCAGCAAGATGTACCCAGCGTTGTCTGCTCACACCCCGACTGTACTGTTGTCAGAGATGGCCACGAGCAGTATAAGAGTAAGTCCAATCTAGGGACCTCTTAGACCGTAGCTAACTACCATGTCTTTGATAGGTATTTGCCACGACGATTGCTTCTGCGCCGACATACCGATTGGGCAGCGTTATTGTACGTCGATCGTGCGTTGCAAGGCGTTCATAGGTCAAAACGGTGCGTGTAAGCCATGTGGTCATTCATGGGGATTGCACATGCGAATTCTTCGAGGATCAGTTGAAAAAGTCTCGTCTGGGGACACGGCAATCCGAAGGCGCATTCAGATGAATGAGCAGGGCGCCGAGCACATCAAGAAGCGCATCCGCGAGCAGCAGAGGATTGTTGACCAGTACAGATGCGAGATTAAACCCTTCCATGTCTTCGCCAATCATCTCGCAGGCGTCATCGAGAGAGACTCAATCAAGCCGTGGAATAATTCGACCCTGGGCTATCTGGATTGTCTCATCGACGCGGTAGGTCAGATGCATTCCAATCACTGGCTGCCTCTCCGCAGGCCTACTTATTAATGCGCGCGCTGAAGTATTTGGCTAACACAGATGCCACACAGGAAAGAGGGAAGGTCGAAACCGGTGCATCCAACAAGCAACTGCAGAAGCTTCTAGCTGAACGCTGCGAGCACAAAGAGAATACTGGGGCTTTGATCAAGGGTAACGACAATGTGGTTCTTGAACCACAGAGCCTACAAAATCTGATGGCTGAGCTAAGTTCGTTGGAGCTGACCCGTCCGTTTTGGGACCGCGTTTGGGATTCGTCTTCAGACATCAAATGTGCGAGTTCCAGCGATACAGAAGAGCGTGGTTTAGAGCCGGACTCAGACATCTCCCCCAACGCCAGCGGCCTCAAACGCTGCCGTCAGTGGCAGCACGGTCCTACTCCTGACGAATACGGCCATCCGGACTGGTACAAGAGCAGGTGGGCTCACTAGGGTCTGAAGATATTCGGGAGCAGTGGTGTCTGATATGGACTGTCCATTTGCTTCAGCCATCAATCGCACATCAGAGAGAGAAAAACAAAGACACCGTTCTATTTGCATCGCTATTGAGGGTTTCCGAGACAGGCGGGTGGATCGTAGGTTCTGATTATGACCTCCCAGTTCCAGAACTCCATACCTTGTGATATGGGGCCATCTTCAAGTTCCGCTAAAAGTGGACCGTTAAAAGCCCGAAAATCTACGAACAATTTCACGATGTCTTCATTCACTCACGCGTGGCAAGCCTGACATGTGACAGTTACTGCCGGGCAGCAATCATCCGCCGTAACAATCTCACCAAGCATCTCGGCTGTACCGTCAGCAGTTCGCCAGCACAGTCGGCCCATATCCCATACTCCTTCCTCCAACAAAAGTATCCTTACAGTCCCCAATAGAAAATTTTCCATTTCTGGCGGTGAGTCACTTCCTACGGGATCGATAATATACCACAGCTCACAAGAAAACCTCCCGGATCCGTTCTCGAGCTTCATCCCCATCACCAAGCCTACCTACAGTAGTCTCGCTTCTCGGGCCCCGAGTAACGAACCAGAGTAGTCGGGAGGGATCCCTTCATCAGCTCATGCGGCGTGGCCAAGCACGGCATTGCTCGTCTCGTGCGATCAATCAGCACAGACGGGAACTGATAGCAAGCCCCGCGACGTTCATCAAGTCAACCTATTCTGCTACAACGGCATAGAGAGTTCGTGCGTGCGTCGACTATCGTCTGGAAAGAGGAAAAAGCCAAGGAGAGCTAGAGCAGAAGGGACATGTGCTTTGGTGATGCCGTGGAGAGGTGCTGCCGTGTTGGAGTTGTACAGAGATGGGGCTAGACTTGAAGGGGGAATAGAGTGGGTGTGTATGCAGAGCTTCGGTGAGATCTTTCTTTCTTTCTGGAGTTTGCTTTTTCGGGGCTAAAATCGTCGCCGGAGCTGCCATGCGGAAGACTTGGATCCGACTTCCTATGCAGCTGGTGCAGGTGTCGTCAGTAGCACCGCCGTCGAAGAAGACAGACGGACAGTCCGGTTGAGTGCATACAGACCTGCGGTACAGCTGCGCACAACACGGTACGGGCAGGACAGGCGGGATCTTGATGAAGAAATGTGACGAGCCAACCGCTCACTGCATGATCGAAGAAGCATCTGGTCTCGGCCGGTCTCTTCTTCGACGATCATTTCCCAGAAACACAGTACAGTACCTCTTCGTCTCTGCAGGAAAGAGTCCTCAGCCGCAGAATCTGCCTTGTGCCGCGACGCGACCGACGGCGACCACGAAGGAGTACAACAAGCTGAGCGAGGGACGGGAATGTATCAAAGTACAACACGGAGTCCACGGAGTAAGCCTGAGGATCACAACCTGCTGCACGAAGCGCTATCCCTTTCCTGGGGAGCTTCTCAGACACCACCAAGTCTCTTGCTGCTGTAGGCTGACGTCGTCGATGTCGCTGGGAGGTACAGTACCGACGCAAGGTGCTCCGTGGTTCTTCTCACTTGCGGTGGGTGCTGTGCCTCGCCACCGCCAACCAGATGCACGAGAACGTCCTGGCTGGCGGCCTGAATTCTGAGGCGAAGAAGGCAACGGAGACCGATCGTACAGGGAAATTTTCTTCCCTCTCCTGCTTGTTGGGTGTGTTTGTGTGTTCTGTACGACGTCCTCGCCACGCTGCCGTGCTCGACGGAACGGGCAGGTATAATCAAGGCAAATAAATTTGACTCCCAATGCTCCATTATCGATCTCACGCCCGGGTTCATGCCTGCGTGCCCAGCATCATCAGTAAGTTCTCGTGTTTCGAAACAAAACCCAGTCGAGTTCTGATCCTCTGAACTGTGTGTGAGAGAGTATTCTCGTCACTGCAGCAAGGGTCCGTCCATGCGTCCAGCCGTCTGGCTGTCTGCCTTCTTCACAGTCGACGGACAGATTTTTTCGCCACATGCACGTCCCAACTCAGGCAGGTCGTTTTTGCTTTTTTGTTACTGTACTCATGATGGAACCGCGGAATGCTTCGCAACAGTCACCCGTACCGGCAGCTCTGTCTCGTCATGTGATCTACATTCCTGCATTCCCGTGGTCCCTCACCTTGCAACAAGAACAAGAAAGGAAAGGGTCCAGAAGAACACGTCCCCCATCCCATTCGCTGTTCATCATTGCCTCGTTTCGTTGAGAGGGAAGGAAGCATTTCCACGTGCATCCATCCATCCCCGCCACACCTCCCATTCCCAGTGCCAGCTCGCAGATGTGACGAAACCCGCAGTGCAAAGAGAGCTTTCACACAGCGAGGCGAAGTGCAGCAACTTCCGGGATCGGGATTGGTTGCCCTTGGGTTTTGCTGAGCGGGACTTGCATGCGTGTGGCCGCCCGCCCGCCTCGTCCTTTTTGGCTGGGAGTACGGAAGGCGAGATGGGTGAGTTGGAAAGATATTTTTTCTTGGAACTTTATGGAATGGGATCCTGGGGTCGTTGCCTGAGGGAGAGGGAGGGTTTGATGAAGTAGGGCATTGTATGAAACACGTTGGGTATGGGAATAGATACTGTTAGTGGTGGTGATGGTTTGAGTCAAGTGGAGAGATGAGATGAGGTGTTCGAACAGTATATTTGGTCTTGATCTTTGTCATGGTGATGAGATGAACGTTAACGTTGTTGTGTGAAGCAAACTTGCCTTGCGGTCCCGAGTCAAAGATAACAGCATGAAGAAAGTACAGTCAATGACATCGTCAAAAAGCTTCAATCGCCGGCGACGGCATATTGATAATTTACACCAAGACGTATTGTATTCGCTTCACATTGGCCCCAGTCAAGTCCAGGAAGATCCAGCACCATCATGGTACATCAAAAGTCGTTGGATAAGCGCTATCCATATGCTTCTATCATTTGCTCTCCTCGAGCAATGGCTCCAAAGGTCTGCGACACACTTCCCATGTTCAAACTCCTCTCAAGCATAAGTTCCCTTTTCAACAACAACATCGGAAGAAGCAGCAACAGCGTTTGGGGGTATCTAGTACAAAAATCCTCTTTCCTTTTCCGCGCACCAGAAACATTTTCATTCGCTCAGATTTGGCTCCCTCATGTCGTCGTCAAAGTAACGCCGGTTTTTGCCGTAAAGAAATTGGTATGCAATGGTCCGGTGGTGTAGTTCTGGACCATCCATAAAATATGAACATCCGGAATGGAATATTAAAAACCCAATAGGTGTTGTGGTGGTAGGCGACAAGCCAGTAAACAAGGTGGCAACGTGGTATTGGCCGATGCATCAATAAGTGGGAGTCCACATATGATTGGCCGGAAGATTGAAGTTGGAAAACATCTGGCCGCAACGACGGAAGTCAGGAAGACCACCGAAGAAATGACCGGATGTATGGACCACGGGTGCCACGACTGACTTGGGAGGGGTCGTATAAAGAGTTGGTTGCGGAGTGCACTGGCCAGAGCTGGGCGGCGTCAGGATCACATGGTGCGGTTGTGGTTGCTGGTGCGATCCGTAATACTCTGGAGTGGGTGGGTACTGCTGGGCCGGCAGCTCCATGCGCGGGACAGGTTCGTACGCGCCGGTGAAATCCGAAACGGGCGATTCCATGGATTTGTCCACCACAGGGCTGTAGGGAGGCGTTGGAGGTGCCGTGGTTGGGAGGGAAGACCCTGAAGTGGTCGTCAACCGCGGACAGCGGATGATGAAGTCACGAAGCTCTTCGAGAGTGATTCTGCGGTGAGGGTTGACCTCGAAGATCCGCTGAAGAATGCAGTTGAGCTCGTCAGAAATAGGAAGAATGGATTGCAGGAAATTCCGGTCACGCATGAATGCCCGGAAAGTGGAATCGTCCATGGATGCACGCTTCCAAGGGTTGCGTCCGCAGGTCAGGTTGACCAGTATTACGCCCAGAGACCAGACGTCATTGGGTGCCGAAGCGTAAGCAGAGTACGGCTTCGGGTTGGGTTGTTGACATTCTATCAGAAAGTCAGTATTGATCTAAAACGTGAAGGTAAGTGAACGTACCTGGTGACATGTAGAATGTCGAGCCACAGCCATAGTCGGAGGTAATTCGATCCTGAGTGGCCAATCCAAAATCCGCGAGCTTGGCGGTCCATCCATTGTCCATGACAAGAACATTCTCAGGCTTGAGATCGCGGTGGTAAATCCCTTGAGAATGGCAATGCTGGACAGCGGAAAGAATCTGCAAAAACACCTGCTTGGCCTTGAAGTCGTCTCCAATGTAATGGCCCTCCTCGGTGATCTTGGAGAACAAATCGCCTTCCGGACAATACTCAATCACAACGTACGTGCAGTCCGGGCTGTCCAAGATCTTGACGAGGGAAACAACATTTGGATGACTGCTCGCGGCGTAATGCAATTGGATCTCCCGGTTTTGGAACTTCCTCTGGCGAGCATCGAGACCGACTTTGTTCAGTGCCTTGACGGCGTACTGAACATCAGTCACGATGTCGCGGGCCCGGTAAACGGTTCCATATGCGCCAACGCCAAGGACTGCGGTCAATTCGATATTACCAGCCAACACAAGGCCAATGCTATCTTCTGGGCTGCATTGTCCAGAAGGCTTTGGCGATGCGGGAGGAGTTGGGAGCATCGTCGACCTCCAAACGGAGTCCTGGTCCAACACGGATCCGACTGGGTTTATTGGGTCCGGACACTCATGAGCTGCTGTCAAACGGATTGGTTTCCAAGTGGCAATTCCAATAAAAGCGCGTCCTGAAAGTCCAATTGGGATCGATGGGTATGAAGCTTGGTAGAGGTGGTTGTTGAAAGGAGTGTCGAGGTCAGTTGAGAATAGAGTCGTAGGAGTGTGATGTGAAGTGAGGTCGTCGGTAAAGGTGAGGCGAAATAGGCGTATGATGTAGCTCTGGCTGCAGAAGGCAAGAATGGCGGGGCGATAGTCGGGAGTGATAAAGCCTGCGGACCCTTGAACACGGACGGGACAGGTGCTCTGTTATTAGGAAGGATTGTGCTCAGAAGGCCCGGATGACGAGAGGTAACGGGCTGGAGTAGACAGGTGGTGCATAAGGTGGTAAAGTAGTCAATCCGACGCACACAGCCTGGCTCGCCTTTGGCTGTGGGAGGCAGGCGAGTGCGTGTTGCATGCTGTCAAAACGACACATCTCCATCTCCAAGCTCGACGTTAGCGGCACACGATCCCTGGGCGACATGGCTCGCACCCACTAGCGCCCTGCACGACCAGGTCATGATGGTCGCATGGGCTAGCGGCGAACTCTGTGCGCTGCCTGCTATTTTTTTCGTGTCTGGTCTGGCGAGCTGGGTGGGCTGCGGGCTTGGCCTGCGCGCGCCGGTCAAAGGACAGGCTCAAAGGATGGCTAGCCTGCTGCTGCTGCCAGTAGCGCCCCGATGGGCCCACCCCTGCGCGACGCTTGCGTGTCAGTGGCTCGCCGCACGGGGTGGCAGACGCCACCGCACGCATGCGTCCAGCGCTTTGTTGTTGGGGCGGCGAGCGAGCGCAGGCGGCCGTTGCTGTGCGGCGGCGCCAGTCTTTGATGCTGATGACGCCTGGCCTTGCCTTGCCGCCGCCAGACAGCAGCGAAGGGGACGACCAGGCCGTGTCGCCGTCCCACGGCTCCCAGAGGCCCCCCTCCACCCAAGCCGCGTGCGTGTCCAGCGATGACTCCGGCTGGCGCGCGAATCGATTCCTGTCCAGCGGCTCGGTGCAGGGCGTGTTTGAGAGCAGCAGCAGCGCTTGCAAGGAGACCCCGGGGGCGCGGTGATTGGCTGTGCAGCGGGCCTGAGGCAAATGGCCGCCCATCCCTCATCATCCATCCTGACATCCACGCCAACCCAAGCGAATTGCAGCCATGATCGTCGCACCAATCACCGCGGTCTTGGCCGCCTGAGCCGTAGCGTTGCGTGCGCTCGCTGCTTTGCTCTGCGTCGTTTGCATCCGCTGCCTCTCGTAGCTACCGCTCTGGGCTAGCACGTTGCCGCCTCTGCGAATCCTGCTCTTGTTGCTGCTCTCATTAGCCGGGGCGGCGAGATGAGCAAAAGCGCCCAGAGAGGCACAAGCGCCGGACGTTACGTGAACCCGTGCGTGCATCACGCCAGGCCCAGAAAAATTTGCTCACTACAGGAGCAGCATCCAGCGATGGACTTTCCAGAAGATCGCTCACGCAAAGCTAGAACCACACCAGACTTTGAGAGGCCGTGCCGTCAGCACTTGGCGTGCGCCCAGCAGCGAAGTGACTTTTTGCGTTGCAACCTTAATCGAGATGCCAATGACTGCGGCTGGGCGCTGATTGGGGGGCCTTGCTCATCACTCACTCGTGTTCATCACTCAGAAACGAGCAAGAGGCGAGCAACAAGCAGCGCCCCGGCTGTTTGCTCATGTTGCACGTCGGCACATATCGCCGTGCGAAGACGATTCAATCTGCACAACGTGTGTGATAACGCCCCGAGCCCCAACCTGCAGCCCGCCGCGTTGAGAGCGTCGTCGTGCAGGCCCCAGGCGAACGAAGGGGTCTCTGCCACTGTCTCTGTTCGAGACGTACAGTACAGCAACTCGTGTCTCTGATCCAAGGCAAGGAAAGGCCTCGCATCCACTGGGTACACCCGACGGTCTCGCATGAATCAACGGCGAGGCTTGCGTCAGGAATCCCTTCCACTCCTCGTCTCATTGGACACGAGCTGGGGGATCGTCGGCTGTACATCCTCATGCTGCAGCTGCGTCTTGATTGGATGCTTTCAGCTTTACCTCAGAATGAGCGTGAGATTCGCCCGTCCACCGTCGCTGGTAGTCGACGGTTTGTACGAGAGGATCATGTGTTGCATCCAATATTGCAAAACAACCACAACCGCTAGTGGTGAGCAGAAAATTCTCCAATCGTCATCTGCTCGGCTGCGCCATGTTTCGAGAATCCTCATCTATTGCAGTCGTTAGATCCACCGGGCCAACGTCAGCTAGAGGCGACGTTTGAATCCCGAGACAAACGAAAGACATGGATTTGTGCAATGGACCGACGTCCGTTGGTCACGTGTGACTGGACTTTTGCAGTCTCTTGCTGCCAGCCGTTCACAGATCGGCGGTAGCACTCTCGGGAACAGTCCTGGTCGTTGTGCGTGGCCGCGGTGACTGTGCCACCATGCGGGGCCTGACTCCAAAACAACTTCGTACTCTGCAGGGTCTCGTTGACGCTGACAGAGGGATGTTGGCATCTGCAGCAGCGCGCCGCATCGACTGCTCCAGAGAAGGTCTCCCGCCTTGCCAACAAAAAGCTGTCCTGTACTGCTTGACCAAGACCACGTCACAGATGCGGCACCTCGATAGCAGGACCGAAAAGGGGAGTCTAGGCCTCGTGGCCTGGCGTCTTGCTGGTGGCTGCCACAAAATTCAAACAACACGATGCTTTGCAGTAGCGTCCACGGTCTGCTCGGACCACCCAAAACGCTTGACGCTACCCGTCGTTGAAGTCTCGAAGCGTTACCTTTTTCAGGCAAACTCCCTCCTCTCGATCCCTGTGCTTTGATGCGTACTCAGAAGTATCGCATCCACTGGCGGCGCCAGCATCTGCAGCTCTATCAAATTCGATACGCCCCAGAAGCTATCGTCGCGACGTTATGCGAGTCCTATCCGTGGCTTTCCGCTACTCTGGCGGGCACTTGATTGAACTGCAGCCGTGATTCGTTGGCCTGAGGCACCCGCGGGAACTCAGGCATCCCGACTGTGGATGAAGGAGTCGGTCTCTCACACAACCCACCTTCTGCAAGAGTTCGCCGAGTCTTGGAACTGCAGCATGTCGACGTGAACCCTTGATATCAGCACCTTGTTTCTTGTCCCTGTCGAAGTTTACAAGCGCGTAGGATGAGTACATCGAACTTTCTGAGATTGAGTCGTCGACGTGAATGGTCGATTCTTCCTACCAGGTCTCCACCTGCAAGAGCTGCTGGTGAGATGAGTTTATCTTCGCATCGCCGGTCGCGACGAATCAGCGAGAGATTTCGAGCTTCGATGTTCGGAAAAACCGTCACCGCCAGCAGGTACGAAAGCATCATGGCGCTCGGTGTTTCTAGTCAACGCGCGACGACGACACCCTCGACGACAGTCTTACACGATAGTCATCGCGATTGATTGTTCGATCAACCGCTTCAGTCGGCACCTAGATCGTCGCTTGTGTGGGCCATGCAACCAAGCATGCCGTTCGGATGGAATGCGTTGAGAGGTATTCCATCACGATCCATCCAGCGTCGCTGTTGAAGCAATGCTTGGTCTGGCTTGGGGCCACCAACGACGAGAGTCGTGGCATTCGAGAATCCCGTAGCGTACGATTGCTCACTCTCGCGGTTGCACCAATAGCCATCTGCGTCCTGCGGAGCAAGATCCGTCTTTCCTCGCCAGAGCTCTCGCGCGCTTGATCCATGGATGAGTTGGTGGTTTCTGTTTCTGGCGGCCGCACATGCGCTCGCGATGTGAGGCAAATGCACGACCGCGCACAACCACCTCCCGCCAGCATTTGCATCCTTCCAGACTACCAAGGCCGACTGTTGTTTGGACCAGAATATCCTGAAATCGTGATTGCTCCCGTCGTCCCGCTGGCGCGCCAGTCAGCAACACGTCCTCGTGAAACGCACTGGGTGGGGAGCTCTATCGAAGCCTCTGACCCGCGCCAGCAGCTGGTGGTTGCAGCCACCATTCCGCGAGAAAGGCTGGGGTAGGTCAGCTGCAGCTTCCGCGGCGCTGTGCTGCGTATGCGGTGGCGGTCTCGTGATCCCGCTAGCCATGTCGTGAGAATAGCACGCAGGAGTAGTTGGCTGCGTGTTCACTATAATGAGCTGTGCCGTGGGAGCTGGCTGTTATTGGGGTCCATTTGATGAAGAGTACGAGGTGTACGAGACACAGGACTCACCTTTGAAGCTCCACACATCAACGAAGAGTGTGCGCCTTCAGCGGCAAGGTCTTTGCCGTCCTGTCGATGAGATGCAGCTTACCGCCGAGGCAACGACTTCCAACATTACCTCACGAAATACTCGTCTCCGAGCTGGGCCATCCCTCAGTCACAGTCATGGGCAGCTTCGCTTTCGAAGGAAAGTGGTTGGTATCGGCCCGCTGAGCATGAGGCGCAAGCCACAAAGCCATGGCGAGAGACCAGTGGAGTCTGACCTCGCCTTTTCGCAAGTAGCTCTCACAACACGTGAGACTCGCGTGGCCAAGTCGGCCTCGTGTCACCAAGAGGTGAAGTTCGCCGACCGGTAAAGGCAGGCTTCAGCAACGGAGTTGTTGGCTCCCATCATCCAACTCGCAGCCACTTCCTGCGTCCACATGGCAGCCATTCCAACGGCATCCGCGTTCGAGAATAGATGTGTCATGCACATCGCTCACCATTGCCAACATCTTTCTGACCCTCGACGCCGACGCCAGCCGTCGAAGGAAATGGAATTCCCGGGCCTTCCAATGACATTTCCCCGTCGCGCTCAACTCCGCAGGCGTCGTTCTAGTGGAAGCCACAGAGACTATCGAAGAGCTTCTTGGGCAGCAGGCGTGCGGGCTCGCATCATCCTCTTCCCACTAGAACGCCGAACGCATTTCCACTACCCGTCTCGCAAGCCTGGCCAGGACAGCCATCGAAGCTGTATGATTCAGCGTCGCTGATCGAACCTACACGGAGACTAAGATCATCGCGGAAGCCGATAGAATCGACATGATGTTCGTCCATGCAGATGCTGGATGCCGAGAATGCCTATCGACAGCCACGACTCGCTTCCCCGGTGGGATGCTGGACCATGACATGCCGTGGATGCCCTCATGTGGAAAGAGCGAGCTTGTAGAGCGTGGCCGGAAGAAAGCTTGGCTGCAGTCATGATGTGCCTATTTCACGTGGCTCGCTTGAGATGGCCCACAAGACCAGGCCAGACCTCTGCTTGTAGATGACAAATGATGGCAGTGAATGCGTAGTTGATCCTATGGCGCAGATGTAGGTGTGTTGAGAAAGCTGCCGAAATGCCATTCAACGGTGTCCGATCCAGGTGCCACCTGCGAAGTGTGATCCTCTTGAGACTGTTGGTCCAAGACCGTTCTTTCATGATTCTTTCAATTTGGGTCAAGATTGGCGATTCCTTGTCCTTTCGATGGCTAGCCAGCTGTCACCACTGCCATGCGAGTGTCGCAAGCATCGATCGTTCTGGCGCTGGTCTTGACAAGTGGACTGCCGATCGATGGAAAATGCATGTCCCCCAGTCCAGGAGAAGGTATGGGGCTACGCAAATTGCTCTGGCAAGTATGAGGGCACCGAATTCCAAGTCCATGAACTTCGACGAGGTCGACCATCCAACCACGAGCAGACACATGTCACAGCAGTACTGTATCCTACTCTGTCACTCATCATGGCGCGATCGAGGATAGCCTGAGGATTGATCTCCAGCTTGGGGTTCTCCGTGTTCTCCTCATTTGGGCTTCAACAGCCGATGATGGGACGAAGTGCCCCCTTCGCAGGTCTCGACTTCGCGAGTTTGCGAGGCTCCCATGCTGCCGTACAAGGAGACTTGCAATGTGCGAAAGTATTCTGATCCAAATCGCAACGATCCAGAACAAGCGCAATGAGAGGTCAGTGCCAAGCTTTTTGAATGTATGGAAACTCCCTGATCCGATTCGAGTATCCTCGTTGCTGGATTCGTCTTGCTGACCTTTAGATTCATAAACGAGGATGAGACGCTGGCGAAAGCACGCAACCACTAGATTAGGGCGCCGAATTCTCTGCGGTCGAGTCGGAACCAGCCGGTCAACACAATACTCTCGTCCGCGTCAGTCCTTGTCGACTTGCCAGGCTCCTGGTCAGCGCCGTCGAACTTCTCCACACAATATTCAAGGATAGAGGAAGCATCAAGCATAATCCCTCCTTCTTCGGATGCCAATCGAGATTGTATGGATAAGCCTTGTCGTGGTAATAGACATGGTTCAATTCAACACGGATCAGGGAAGCCTGTTCACCCGAGACAGATCATGCTTTCCTGGTGATGATTCGTTGCTGCTGGGGGACTGGTGACTTGCGTTCACCATCGAACTTGTCGCAGTTTCTGGCCTTGCCTGCGTCCAGCAGATACTCCTTCAGCGTCAGAGCCATTCACCCAATCTTTGTCAACTCGAACGAAGGCCGACATGATAGCCTCAATCAGAGCCAGTACAGGTGCAGCTTGGGTCCACAGCCAGGAGGGCCCCCATGAGTGGCAGTCACCAGTCGTTCAGACTTGCGTCCAATTCCGGTTCAATACGCTGCCAATCATCTCCAGCAGTTCAAAAGGATCCAGCTTGACGATTGCAGCACGTCGACCGAGTAGTAAGTGCAAGAGAGAGCCCACAGCATGTCTCAAAGTGCACTCATGGCTCGATATGTCGAAGTCCTTGGTCGAAAAGTGTCAAGAGCATGGCCGTCCACACATAGCCGTTCATCTGATACTGTGCAGGTTCAGCGTATGCTGTGATGTAGCAAGTTAATCGGCCGCTGGCTACTCGACGATCTTCTTGCGCTGGCATCGCGGCATCCACTGCCATGGTGAGTCGTCTTCATGGCTGCAAGTTCGCGGCGTCGTTAGTCCTGAGTTACCGTGACATCAGGCCGTCTCCTTCACACGATGATTCCTGGTTATCCTATCCAGTCTTGTAGTCCTGGCCCCCAGGCTTGAGAGTCGCGTGCTTTCCGTAGTCAATAAGTCCTGAGACTGGTCCAGTTTGCAGGTCCATGTCCTGTAGTAGCGTCTTCCAGTCCTGATCAGCGTCTGCGTAGCACTTGTCCTGTTGCCATAGTCCCTTGGAAAAACAGTCGCTCACGTGCATTTCGCACAAGTTTTGCTGTCGTCGCTGTTGATGTAGAGAGATTCATTCACCCACACGCGCCTCGACGCGCAAGTACTCGAACAAAGTTTCGCACGGGCCGCCGCTTCGGCACCCTCCGACGACACCTGGTGGAAATCTTGGGTCGCCGACCAATTTCTCCCTCTTCTTCTCTCTTCTTTCTCTTGGAGGTACGTACAATTCCATACACCACGGACAGGAACAGTTTGCTAATCGACGAAAGAAAGCACCGCAGCAACCATGGTTGAGAAAGTCTACATCACCTACAACCAGGTACATACCCACGCCCCACCTGCACGAAATTTGTCACATGCGCAAACTCGAGCCCCTCCAACATTCACTCACACTTACCCACTCTCTGCAACAGATCCACAAACTCTGCCAAGATGCCGCCCCCCGCATCCTCGCCGACTTCACCCCCACCCTCATGATCGCCATCGGCGGCGGGGGCTACGTCCCCGCGCGCATCTTGCGCTCATTCCTCAAAAAACCCGGAAACCCCAACATCCCAATCCAAGCCATCGGCCTCTCGCTCTACGAATCCCTCCCCACAGACTCCCAGGTCGAAACCCCGGGCACAAAAGTCACCCGCACGCAATGGCTCGACCTGTCGTCCCTCGAGATGGCGAATCTGATCGGCAAGAACGTGCTGATTGTCGATGAGGTGGATGATACGCGGACGACGCTGGAGTATGCCGTCAAGGAGCTGCAGCAAGATGTCGCTACGGCCGCGAGGAATAGTGGACGGGAGGCGGAGATGGGGAGTACGAAGTTTTCGATCTTCGTGTTGCATAACAAGGACAAGGAGAAGAGGGGCGTGCTGCCAAAGGATATGATTGATGAGAATCGGTATCTTGCGGCGAGGACCGTGCCAGACGTGTGGATTAATTATCCGTGGGAGGCGGCGTATGTGACACTTTACAACTCGCGGGAAGAGTGCGAGCTAACTTTCAGACAGTGACATTGATGAGCATGACCGCCTAGCTACCCAGCAGACTATTCAATAGGTTGAAGGTATTGGTACGCAGGCATGAGAGCACGAACTGGCGTTGGAAAGGAGGCGGGCTGGAGCGCAGATCAAAACGGCATTCTCCGAAGGTCAAAGCTGGAACTGAAGGCCTACGTTGATTGAGCTATTGTTTTGAAAGAGATACACCCGATAAAAAGCTACACTTCTTGGGAGACCCCCGGCATTAACATCCCTTCACGTACATCGAGGCAGCACTGGCTATGCTGGGCGTAGTGACATCGAGCTCCTTGCTTTCGCAAATAGTGTTCGTCAGAAGTATCGACATTCGAACGGAAGCTCCGCAAAAAGTGACAACGTATGTACATGCAGAACCGCCCTAAATCTCCACGCAGAGAACCTCGGACCCCAGAACGCCATCGCTAAAAGTAAATCAACCATCACACGCCGTTGTCATGGCTTTGAGCCATCCCCTCTTTCCTTTATGATCAACTTCCGACCACCTCGTAAAACAGCATATAAACCTCCCTCTGCATTCCCAGCACCTCACTCGTTTTGCTCTCCTTGATCTTGTCATCCGAGATTCTCCACCACCTATCATTGCTGTTCTTCTTCCTACCGCGAATCGAGGGCATTCTAGTCTTTGGCGGAGGAGGCTCTTCCACTATAGGTGTCGATGAGACGGTGGTGGTCATCGTCTTCGATGGTTCTGACGCAGGAGCTTGCTGCGGCGGATTGGGCAAGCCTGGTGTTGGCACGGATTCAATTGGTGGAGCTTGCTTCCGTCGCTCTACAGCAGCTGGCGCCAGGGCTTGCAGTGTCGAGGAAGCGGAAGAGCTGGTCGGCGTGGCGCTAGTAGGCGTGCTGAGGAACTGGGAGTCGGTCGATAGGCTTGGACTGTCGGATCCAGAGCCTGCAGCGTCTTTGGAAGACCTCGCACGAAGTTGGGGACTGGGTACGGCGCTCACTCTTGGACTTGGGGCAGGGCTATTGCGTAGGCTGTACACGCCCTCCGTTCCCATACTTGCGGGTGTCGAGAATGGTGGATTGAGCACTTGTCGTCGGAAAGATTCGTAGTGCCCACTGTTGTGCCCACCCTTGTGCGTGACGACGCCCAGGAGACGATACGTTTTCCTATCGAGAAGACCTCCCAAGGGTAGTGTCTCAGGAAAAGAGACCTTGGCCATGTTCTTGGACGATGCAGCTGAGGGGTCCCAGACCGAACGACTGAGGTGCACAGCCAAGACCTGTGGGAAGGACGATATTCGCGTATGACGTGAAATCCTTCTCTTGGGAACAGTCGATAGGTCTGGGAGCTTGACACCTTTAGGCGGCTGCTCTGGATCTTGCTGCAGAGCCGCCTCGATCTTGGCTCTGTCGGACTCAATCTCAGAGCGATCCTTTTCTGACGCCCGAGCAAGCTGCTTCGCATTGACCTGTAGCGCATGTTCTAATCGGCACTTATCACACTTGAAGTCGTCGATGTACTCGATCTTGAACATGCCGTCGAAGCACTGGTTCAAAGTGCTAGATGTAGAGTCGTGCGGTACGTTCAGTGTGAGTGACAAGAATGATGACACCGTAGGTTTGGGCTTGAAGTGGCAATGTGAGCATTCGACTTGCGACTCCATTTTGCCTTCGAGCGGAAAGATGATCTCGTCATTTTCAGATGCGTCGTTCTCCTCGGATGGTTGCTCATTAGCTGGCTCGTCCTCCACGTCGACTGACAACATCTTGCTGTCCCGTGGCCGTCGTTCGCCTGATTGAGCTTCCAAAGAGTCGATACCCCTGGGAATCACCCTTCCGTTCCCATGCTTTTTAGCATAGTCTCGCACTTTCCTTCCCGCCGCATACTCCTCTGACAGCCTCTCAATCACCACCTGCAAGAACTCCTGCGCATCCTGCTGTGTCCTGGATATCCTCGTCCGGAAAGCCTGCTCCACGCATCGAATGAAACTCTGTGCCGAGATTGTCTTCTTATAGATCGGCCTCTCATTCAAAGCATCTAACACCTCTTTCAGACCGGCCGTCACCAATCCCTGCTGCAAACCCAGAGTCTTCCACTCCGGTATTTTCGTGCCATTGGCATTCTTCCTCTCCTCTGCTTCTACCGCCTCCAACGAATTGTACAGCTCTGGCCCATCCAGCTTTCTTCGATGGATCTCCCGTATCAGATATGTTCTGAGCTCAGGCAATCCCGCCAATGCCTGCAGCACACTGTTTATGAAACAGTCGTTCGCCGGATTGACCAACCCCACCACGCCCTTCTTCCTGCTCGATTTGGAGCTGTTTGCTGCATCGTCGTCCAGAAAGAACGTCGGCCCAAAGACGTACACCAGCGTGATCGCAGCCAAGGAGGCTCCAGCGGCATAAGTAGCTATCGTCAAGGGTTTCTCCGGCATCTTGCGCGCCAGCAAGCCGGTGCCTGCAATGGCTACGAGAGTCCTTTCGCGCGAATATTCGGCGTGCTTCGATTCCGGGGCGGATTGGCCAGCAGGAGGAGGTGGGTGGAAGGCGGCGGAGATGGCAGCTCCATAACGAGCCAAGGTGGTGAAGACGGTCTCCAGGGCCGAAGCAGCAAGTGAGGCTTGGATGTGGTGAAGCAGCCCGGTTAAGCGTCTCGTCTCTGCCTAGTCGGCCAGTGAGAAGAGGTGCTTTGCCTTTGTCCCTGCAGCCCGGCTTCTGCTCGGCTTTGGGGGTCGTCTCCGATGCCAAGCTTTGATGTCTCGTTTCCGAATCCGAGGAGCATTCACTTCACTTCACTTCACCATTAACAGTCTCGTGATCAACACCCAAACAGGCAGGAACACCATGGCACTACCATTGAGGACGAGATCGATACCGCAGTGCGCTACTTGCCTCCGCAGCTATGCCTGGGCGTCTGCAATGGAGAGCGGCAGCTCTTCGACTACGGCATTGAGACAGCAAGTTAGGGGCAAGAAGAAGATGCCCAAATCAGATGGCAACGTTCCAGTCCGGCTGCTCAAGGATCTTACGGGGTTTGGGAAGCAAGGTATGTATATCAGCCTTACGGTGTGGTACCAGGCTGACAAGTTGGAAGGCTCAATAATCCCTGTCCCTCGCGGTGAAATGCGCAACAAGTTCTTCCCCCAGCGAATAGCCGAGTACGTTCCTCTATCCGAGATTCGACACCTTCGCGCCAACAATGTCCCCATCGAACGCGACTACGTCTATGGCAGGGATGAGCCGATCCAGCAGATTGCCGCAGACTTCACGTCTACAGGCGAATCTGGTGCATCTTCTCAGACACCTATGCCTCCACCAAAGAAACCTGAGATCGAGAAGCTCACGCCCGAGAGGAGTTTACAATTGCTGGAGATCTTTGTCGGACCAAGGCTGGACTTCTACAGACAGCCCAGAATAGATGAGAAGGAGAAAGAGCCAGAAGAGTCGAAGTCGCAGCCTAGGCGAGAAAGTCCCCGCACCGCATCAAGCGCGGCATTCGACCTCCTCGCTGCCCGTACATCACAACCAAAACCAGAGAGTACCAGTCCCCTGGCGATATATGGATCGGTATCAAGACATGACGTTTTGGTGCACATCCGAGCGGCAATCGCAAGGAATGACGAAGCGGCCAAGGTGATCCTGGAAGAGAATGATATCGAGTTTTTGGACCCTCAGGTGGAGAGGGAAGGAAAGTTGAAACATGTCGGTGACTTCACGATTGAGGTTCACGTCAAGGGAGAGGAACAGAGGCTTAAAAGGACTGTGAGGGTTGTGCCGCAGGAGGCTTGAGAGAATGTGCAGATTACTTCGCGAGGATCTACCAATGAGACCAACATGGCCTACCAACGGCGGATGATACTTCGAGTTTAAGCTCGGTCACGATGCGCTTGATCGCATTTGATCAACCGAGATGATCCACCGATCGAATGTACAATATACTGTTCGCGCCATGAACTCTGAGGCTAGGCTCGGGAAGAGCAGGCATAAGACCACTGTATCACCAGACTATGCCAACATACCAGCTCATCAGACCTATCCTCGATATGCAATGCTGTAAATTGTTCACACAAATGGATACTTAACGACTCTCCAGATCGCATCGGTCCGTACACAACACAACTTCCACAGCATCGACCACTACATCCAAGCAAGATCAACGAGTCCCCAACACTACAGCCCTACAGTCAAACCTCGAATCAAGAACAGCAAGACAAACAAACAACATCCCACAGACACAATGTGCATGCTGATTATCCGCACCTGACAACCCTGCCTCCACATGCGCTGCACAGCGTCCGTTCGGTGCTCAGGTGAAGTGGCTGCCCTCGGCATCCCGGAATACGATTGTCCCAACGCGGATACCCGCTACGTCGATGAGTTACCCGACATGCCGTGTCCTGTTTGCGAGCCAGAAAGAATAGAGCAGCATCTTGACGAGCTGTTGCGGGAAGGTGGGCAGAGCAATCTGGAGAAGCAGGAGAGCTCGACGGAGACGAGGAGTATGTGGACCCAGACCGAGACCACGTCAGACCCACGAGGCCGAGGGGAATCTGATTCGAAGGCGAGTAATGTGGACACCGCGAAGACTGCCGATCATCCACGCGCCTCCCATGACACATCTTCCTCACTTCCCGAAGCTATGCTGCCAAACGATGTCTCAAGTCTCCGGATCGAGCAAACAGAAGACTCAAGGGACGCCCACGAGGCCCGTCATCGCGGCAGAGAAGCTGCCGACGAGCCGTCGCTGGCTTCACTGAGGAACGAAGAGGTGCGAGAGTTGTTGCGGAAGGAACTTGCTGAGGATGGAGCGTGATGAGGCTCAGATGATGCTGAAGGTTCGGGTCTCTTCCTTTAGTCGATCAATGTCTCTGAAAATCTGACGGTGTTCTCGTGAGAGTAAAACTAATAAATACACTACGAAAAACCACACCTATTCATCCAAACCAGAGACCCTGAACCCGCTAACTGCACAATCCGCATTCAGAAGCTGTAAAACCAAAGTCAGGCGCTCCCATTCGCTCAGTCAGACCGTTTTCCCGCTTCGAAACACCAACGCAATGCAACAAATCAAAAGAACCCAGTCCTGGGCTTAGGCCATCAGTCCTTCAAGCGATCAATCGCCACACGGATAATTCCCACCGTCTTCTCCACAGCCCTCTGTGCTTCTTCCTTGTCGCCCCTCTCAATCGCATCCCATACGAAGGGGTAGTACGCAGTCCCGTACCCATCCCACATCTTGGGTGCGAAGATGGCGTGCTTGAACTGCTGTCTCCCGGGAAGGCCGTGATCTTTTTCTTTCCCGCCGTCTTTGAGTTCGTCGCCGGTGGGGATGTCGAGCAGATCTCGTTCGAAGTTGGTGACTTTGTTGTTGTACTCGATTCGCTTCATGGCGAAGTGTGAGTTTTCGAGACCGCCAGAGCCGAAAACATTAAGGGTCCAAAGGTCTTCAAAGCGATGGAATTCGTCAGCGCAGGAGGAGAGCTCTTCCGCGATGTCGATGAGAGGTTGCAAGTCAATGCCGATGTCCCGTTTGCCCAATTTATTCTCTGCAAATTTGCGAAGCTCGTCGAAATATTGCCCCTTCATCTTTTCTGCGTAGGATTTCACATCGAAAGGTACGATAGGTCGATCGGCAATTTCGAGGATGAGGAGAGCCCACACTTGCGCGAGGGTTCTGTGCCAGCCGAAATCTGGGTCTCCGAATCTTTTCACCCAGTCGAATGTCTCGTGGCAGGAGTGATAGGGGAAGCCATGGTCTCCACCTCCGAAGCCGAAATCGATGGATGATGTTCCCGCAATGTCTTGAAAGGCCACGTAGTCACTACCAGCACCGAGGCCGTCGAACTGAGATTGCTTCTGATCCCAGATTTCGCGAAGGGTGTTGTTGCCGTCAGGAGTGCTAGTGCGGTCAAGGACATGCAGCAGCGATGGCTGCCAGACAGGACTTCCAGATGCCTGGAACAGTGGATCAGGACCGTACACGCCGACATCGACATTGAGATATGCCATGCCGTTTACTCGCAGGTAGTCCAGGTTGTCTTCGACGTACTCCGTGCTGCCGACCAAGTTGTACTCCTCAGCATCCCAGCTGACGAACTCGATAGTTCGAAGAGGCCTCCAACCAAGTTTCCGCAGCTCTCCAAAGATCCTCACCATTTCCATCATGACCGCACTCCCACTCCCTGGATCGACAGCTCCAAAGCACCAAGAATCCCTGTGGTTGCCAACAATGATCTTCTTCTTCGGTTGCTCCAAGCCTTCAATCATTCCGTGCAAGTTCCAGATCTGCTGAAGCTCATTCTCATCGTTGAGATTCCTGAGGTGGACGACTGGTCCATCGTTACCTTCCTCGCCAGAAAACCACTCGTTCCCAAAATCCTGGCTGCCCCCAACCCAATTCTTGGGGACCTGCTTTCCATGGCCTTGTAGTGCTTGCAGGAGGACTTTGGCATCCCTCCATGCCAATGGTAAGGATGGAATCTTAGTCAAGCCAACATTATCGTCCTTGGAGATACGAGTCGCATCCAGAGTGCTGGCATATCCAGGGGTCAAAGGGTCTCCTACAAGAAAGCTCATCATCGACACGCCTCCTCGTTGTAAAGAATCGTCCGGTCTCCATGGTCCATCCGGCCAGACGGCGCCCTTTGCTGAGCCGTCATCGCTAGGATCCGAGTAGATCAAAGCACCCACACATCCCGCTTCTTCGGCAGCCTTGATCTTCAGCGCTCGGTCGCCCTGCGTGCTGTAGTACCGCATGAGCGCTATGCTTCCATTCAGCTGTACTCCCTGCTTCTTCAACCAATCGAAGTCTTCCCTGCTGCCGCCGTTGGCATATACCAAGTGCCCCTCCACTTCTCCATTCTTGCTGTTACCATGCCACGCCAACGTTTGTTGTCGATTCGGGTCCACTACCTCCTCTTCCAAAATCGCTCTCCATTTCTTGCTTTCCGGCTTCACGATCTCCACGCTCCTCCCATCGGGGGTGGGATAGTTCAGATATACATAGTAACTCAGCAAGGCAACATCGTCCAGGTTGCCTTCCTCCAGCCACTGCTCTTTCATGTACTCTGCCAAGTACAGATCGCCTTTGCTCCCTGCGACATGGTCGTATCCAGTTATATGGGCCAAGTAATCTTCTATCCGCATTGCATCCACATTGTCCTGTACATATGCTCGTACGGATTCCGGGTCGAAGCGTGTCCCCATGAAACGCGCATTGCCCGGAAATACATCCAATATAAACAGCACATATATCAAAATCGCTATGCTGAGCAACCCGCACAATCGCGCCGCAGTGCCTGCTGACATGCGATATTGCTCGGGAACAGTCGGGAATCGTCGAATCGTTCGTGTGAGCCATGAATCGGTGGACGGAGGCGTAGGGTCGGTAGAGGTTTCCGTCGCTACTGGGGTATACAAGGATCGAAAAGAAGGCAGTCGAATGGAAGACAAAGTGGCGCCAAGACTTGAGAGATGCTGCGAGAACTTGGAACGTAATCGGGCGCGGTGATATAGGCGCGATTGCCGTTGCGCTGGATCGGGTGCGGAGGGATCGAGATAGTCCAACTCCTCTATTTGCCGTCTTTCCTCATCGCCTTCGCCAGTGACTTCCGGCAGCCGCAAGTCGCTATCCTGACTCGATCGCGGCGATTCCACTGTCGGTGGGCGATAGCGACTTTCGTTTGGGAGAAGGCCTTGCCTCTCGGCATCATCACTGACTTCGTGTGGTCCTCGGAGGTTCTGCGAAGATGAAGGCCGTAACGACGTGGCCTCATCATAAGTCGGGATGGGGATGTGTCCGTACTTGTCGGCGGAGTCCATGGCCGGAGGCTGCTGGGCTGCTCAGCCCGCTGTGAAGGGAATCGTTCAATGTGGTCCACTATCGGCGCATCGCGGTGTGCTCATGACTTGATTGAGTCGTTCACCAAATCGGGGTGGGAGTAGCTGTACGAATAGTTGGAGGGCAAGGAGGTGATGCTCGTTCAGCGCACGTCGTCAGTCGTCACGCCGCGCTCTCCAAGACTAAACGGGCAACGCGGCGACGCCTCGGCACGCGAACCTAGAATCGATCTCAACCTGAGGCATCCGGGCTGGCTCTGCTTCGACCACACCTGTCTCATTAACAGTGCCTCACAAGTCTTACCCTCTCCTATACGCCAGAGCAGCGACACACTGGATAACACCGTATCAGGTCAACCTGGCTATGCTACGAGCAGCGTGGGCGAGGCGGATTGACGGGTCCCGCGTCTACGTACATTGAGCTGAGTGAGAGCTGCGAATAGCAGCCCTAGTTCAAGACGATCATTCGAGTTTTGACATCGGCTTTGCCCTACTCCAGAGAGCATGTTATTAAGGTGTGTTGCCTCTACTGTTGCCTCTCCGGTGAAGAGCAAAATACCGAGCTGCCGATGAGCTAAGCTGATGTTTACGATCAAGACACATCCGGGGATGTAAACATCAATTGAGGACTGCAGAAGAATTCACAACGCCAGCTACCTACTCGTACAGCAACTTCTTCTCGACACCGAGTGCGCCGACTTCATCCATCGTCTCACGCCAAAGCTTTTCGATCATTTTGTGTCCGTCTGTGCCGTACAGCAATGCTGCATATCTACATGGTGTATCAATTCAGCTGGGATCGAAACGCAAAATCGAAGGCACGATCACTTACGGCGAAATCTTCCAACTCATCAAGCAACAGCCATGGCTCTCCTTGCCCTCCACCACGGCCGCGTGGACGTATGTGCTGGCTCCGTCATACAGACTCCTCGCCGTCAACGCCTCGAAGCCTTTCATCAATGGCTTGAGCATTATAGAGACCTCCCTAGCGAGACCGGTGCCTTTGATGTAGCCGAGCACGACAAGATTCACAACCACCTCAACAGCCGGCACAAGTTCTGAAAGCTTCCAGACGAAGAAGTGCATCAGCACCTTGGACGAGTTGTACCACTCTCCCGCGCTGAAAGCCTTTTCGTCATCGAAAGAGGCGAGCATGGACTTCGTCTCGCCCGTAGTGTTGAGGAACGGAGGCTTGGCGACATGAGAAAGACCGGCGTTGATGATTGTCAGCCTTCCCGGACGGCCTTCCTTGGCTCCTTTACGCAGCGCTGGGAGAAGCAGCAAAGATAACAGGGCGGTCGACAGGTAATTGACCTGCAGCATATGTTCGTGGCCCGTAGACTTCACCAGCCCGAACTTGAACGTCATCAGGCCAGCATTGAGGATGGCGATGTCCAGCCTCGTCAACTCCTTATCCGCCCGCCGACCAAACGCCTGAACTGAGTCGTAGGATTCCAGATCCACTTTCCAGATCTCAATGTGAGATTTGGTGTACTTCTTTCTCAGTCCATTGGCCGCGGCCTCTCCCTTTTCGATTGATCGGACGGCAAGTATGAGATGGCCAAGCTTGAGATCGAGCAGTTGACGACAGCACTCGAGGCCGAGGCCAACATTTGCACCTGTAACAACGGCGACTTGGTCTTTGAGATTCATGGACGACGGGACTGGGGGCGCTTTGGCTTTGAATTGGTTCTGGCGGAAAATTGTAGGGAAGAAAGGGTCAGTAAGAGGCCCCATATCCTTGGACGAAGTCATGATGGCGGCTGAGATTGATCAAGGGGATCGAATGCCTCGTGTCGCAGGATCTCAACGATCATAGCAGCATTTATATGAGCACGGCAGAGGCTCTGTCTCGTCTCTCCGACTCCGCTCGAACCAGAGACTTCAAGACAGCCCTCCCATGACGCTCGCACAGCCTGAGCAAAAGGAACGCTATGCCCAGACAGGATATTGATGTCGTGCATTTACCCGCGTACCTGTCCTCCCGGTTTGCGTTGGAGCCAGCATTCATTCACCAACGGATCCGGGGATAAGCCTTAGCGCCACCTCAGCTCGTTCAAAAAGAGCTCTCAATCTCTTGCATACGACTGTCTCCCTTACTCCACCACTCACAATGGCGACCGACATGCCCTTCATCATCTCTTCGATTGGACAGTACGGAGATGGCGCAAAGAACAGGCAGCTGGTCAGGAGGCATGTCATGCTCGGGAAGAACAAGGGCAAGAAGAGGCCGAGGAAACCCTTCAGACTTGAACAGGATCATGAGTCTCCATTGGGCGATGCAGACCAGTCATGTCGAGGAAAAGATTACAATGTCCCGCCGAAAGTAGGCACTGACCTCTCCTTCATCGACTTCGCCGACACAGTGGAGCTCTCCCTCATCGGCGACATCCTCAAATGTAAGCTCAAACCCATGACACGCCTCGCCCGATATAACATGCTAAATCAGATCACCAGTCACAAAAATTTCGAAACAAACCTTCTTCCCCCTGGAGCCCTGCATCGCCTTCGACAAAAAGCTCAAATTCCAACAATCCTTCGTCCCACTGACTTTCGACGCCCTCTACCTCAACGCCATGGTCTTCTCGACGCAGTCATGGTACTGCGCAACGACTTCCAGAACCATCGACAAGCGGATTTCGTACCATCTCGTCAAGTCCATCGGCTTGCTGAGAGATCGATTGACGGATGCTGCTGGAGAGGGTGGGAAGGAGAGGATCTCGGATCCGACGATTAACGCGATTGTTATGCTTGCAGGGCAGGCGTTGTTGATGGGAGAGGAGAAGACGGCGAGAAAGCATGTCGTTGGCATGAAGAGGCTTGTGGAGATGAGAGGTGGCTTAAGCACTTTGGAAAAGAACACGAAATTGCTGCTCGAGGTGTTGAGGATCGATATCTCCCTGGCCCTGTACACGGATTCTCCACCCATTTTCCGAGATGCATGTTCGAAGGAGCGCTGGTTTCGACTTCCCCAGACAGCATCCACCTGCGAAGCTGAAAGGCACACTCCTCATCTCGTCAGCGACGAATTGATCCAGCTATGGCTCACGATGCACCACTTCGCCACTCTGATCAACAATGCGACATCCGCCGGTCATAAACTCCCCGAAGAACTCATGCTCGAGACCATGGCGGCTGTCATGCATCGCCTTCTCGACATGACGTTCGAAGACTCCTCGGTGGAGGAAGCGGTCCGTCTAGGCCTCCTAGCCTTCTGCTCACAGGCCTTCCTCCCTTGGATGAGCGTGAAGTTGCCGTTTGATATGTTTCCTCAGGCTTATGTACGCTGCATGGAGGCTGTTACGACTTCTGGGTCCATAACACCTGGATTGGCAATGTGGTTGCTCACCATAGGCAGCATTGCGTTGTTCTCACCGGGTTGTGTGAACGATAGTATGCAATCGTCGCTACGAGGTATAATTGTTGGCTCAGGAGTTAAATGCTGGGAAGATATGCGGGGAATATTGAAAGGATACCTCTGGCTGGATTTGATATTCGACGACGTTGCTGCGACTCTTTTGCGAAACATGATGGAAGTACCAAGACAAGACGATGACACCTCCGCCAATTCTACTTGATACCAAACACCACAACACACTCGAGTCGTCATCCATAAGCAGCATACCCATCACCGTCTCATGGTCGGGTATCAGACTCCCTCCCTGCATCTCTTCATACCACACTCGACTTGCCCCTCCTCCTCCCCGTCAAGAAAACCAGCGCCATACAAAGAAGCGTAACCAAAAATCCAATGAACATAAACGCCGTAATTGTATCGAACCTCGACCAGATATGCAGCCCCTGGTGATCAATCCACTCGCTATTCTTCGCCCTCAAAACCGCCGAGTTCTATCCACACCCGTCGAATTAGCACACACAATCATCACACTCCCAAAGGGCATAAAGATAATACTCACCACCCCACCCGCCAAATAAAACACCCCCGCCAACGCATCCACCCCCACAACAACCCACCACGGCACCCCCATCACCACAACGCCAACCAACCCCAAAATCCCATCCAGCAGTCCAAAAGCCCCCGTGAACGCCGCGTACGCCGTCGAGGAAGGGTATCGACCCACCAGGTCGGAGCACTTGATCTTGTCGTCTGGGTCCCCGTGTTGGTAGCAGCCTTTGCCGTGGCTGATGGTGTTGATGTCGCGGGCGAGGGTGATGCCGATGCCGAGGACGATGGCGGCGGAGATGAGCTGGGGAGGAAGGGGTTAGATTGTGGTGGAAGTGAGGGGATTGGTGGGGAAGGGGAGGGTGTACCTGGAGGACGCGGGTGATGTAGAGGGCGAGTTTGGATTTCTCCATGGTTGTTCTTGGGCGAGGATGTTGAGATTGGGAGTGATGGAGGTTGGTCTTTCTGTTCGACAGCGAAGATTGTAATGAGAAAAGAGAAGTCGAAGGAACTCGAACGAAACTGAACGGTGTCACACTTCCAACCACCCAACCCACCGTCCTTCCCCTTGTACTTGTACTCATCCTTGAGTTTGTGCGCGCGCTCGTGCATTCACCGGTCCTGCCAAATCCCCAGTAGTACCACCACTGCACTGCGCCGCGCTGCAAGCAACGCTGAAACAGTCACGACCGCAACACACTATTTCCAGCGACTGGTCGAGGACACTTGGTGCCACAGGCCGTGCAGGCCTTCTGCCTGCCTGCCGCGTTGGGGGCCCAATCCTTCTCGATAAAGCGTGAAGTTTAGGTCGAAAGGCGCATCGCTGCATGTGGCACAGCAATCATCTAGCCGCTGGATTCTTCAGCCGCTGGAGGGGGAACGAGTGCGGTTAATGTTCGGGCGAGATGTTCCATGCGATTGCTTTATATAGGTCTCCTCTCCCCAGGCGCCGCGCTAAAGGATGTTTCAAACAATCATGTATGCTCGTAGGTGAATCATAGAGTATTCCTCTCAGGTCAACATCTCTTCACAGTTCCTTCTTGCCCTTCGCAGCTTCCTTCTCGTCAATGGCCTTTTCGATGTACAGTTGTCCCATCTTGGCGCTCTCCCTCCAACCCTTCTGCCGGCTCCAGAACTGTTCGATCGGGGTCGAGCTCTTTAAACTTCCCTGCCTGGCGTCCTCCTCCAATGTAGCTCTGGTGATCGGCGCGGAGTTGCTGTCATCGGTCTGTACCGTCTGAGGTAGCTTCTCAAGACTGTTTTGGAACAATTTTTGCCTTGTGAGGTATCGGTCTCGACGTTCCTTCTGGCGACCAGGCGAGTCGATTCTTGAGATGGCGTCGGCGACGATGTGGTGCACGAAGAGGTAGAGGTGCTCGCTGAAGAAGATGCTCAGCAAGAGACCCCACGCTTTGATATCATGCGGTCTGCCATCAGGACCGATGCCGTCATTCGAGAACATGTACGTCAAGGCCGCAACGGTGATGCTGCCGAACCAGGTTAAGAAGCTCAAGGCATCCAACCAAGGACCAATAGTGTCTGCTCGCCATGGAGTAGGCCGCTGCATTTCAATGCAGATCTTGACGGCATCCGCACGAAGTTCGAACCAGTTGTTCACCAAGTAGCTAGCCGGAACAAGTGGCCACACCACACCAAAGAGGGAGAGGTAGCCAAACTGGATAATCATCTCGCGCAGATCGGTGTACACATCGTAAGCGGGAAGTCCAGCTTCGCTGCGTACACGATCAAGAAACTCCTTCTCATCGGGTGGGTCTTCCGCGTTCGCTGACGGCTGCAAACCAGAATTGGTCCCCTTAGCTGTCATTTCCTTGAACTTGATCAGACCTTGACGTTTGAAGTATGGTACGACCACCTCCATGGCAAAGTTGACAATCGATGCTGTCACCGCAAAGTAGATGACTTGCTTGCGTAGACGGTCGGGATTGATGGTGAAGCCCTTCTTCGCTGCGGTATTTAGCTGGCTTTCGTCTTTGGCCAGCACCTTGCCAAAGACGTCCAAAGACGGCACGAGGACACTGCCGAATGGAACATAGACGAACGCCGTGAGCATGATGCCCATATATGATGTGATAAAGTCGAGAACGAAGAGCTTGCCAGTATGTTGGCGATCGTATTGCGAGTCTGTTTCGTAGTTCTCATAGTCATTGAGTCGTTTGGCCAGATTTGACATCGCGCCAGTGAGGAGCGGCAGGCATGTTGTGAGAATGACTGTCGGAGTGAAGGTCAATACTGACTTGCCAGGTCCACTGTAAACTTCGCCAATAAAGATCTCAATGGCAAAGCAAAGGCAGATAAGACTCCCGAGCACCAATGCCGCGATGAATGCAAACGGGATTTGCAAGAGTTGGCGCTGCAGTCGTTCGGACCAAGGGAAAACCTTCTGCGTCTCGCCTGTCGCAGGATCTTCGACTTGCTTGGTTGCGTGAAACTCGTGGCGCTTACTCTCGATGTTGCTCACTCCTCGAACACCCCAACGGAGGGCAAGGTCTCGCTCCTGGTGTTTCCACCACTCGACGAACACGACCGACCAGAGACATTGCAATGCCGCGTAGAACGGGCTGAATGAGCCAAGGATGAAGTAGGCCAGGATACCGACCACCGTAGGAGGAATGAGAAAGGTAAAGTAGGTGTTTTCGAATGCAAAGTAGTAGGCGACCTTCTCGCCAAATCGATTCCGGATGTCGTCGAGGTCGTCAATGGTCACACGATACTTTGTAGCCCATTCCTTAATCCAGTGCTTGTTGAAAGTATGGTCATGCAGGGCAAAGACATTCTCGACAAACTCCCACTCGCGAGATTTCGGCCGAATGCCCGCACCTCCCTCTTCCTCGTAGTTGGTGATGAGCTGGTAGATGATCCGCAGCCGCTCAGCATCCGTCAGTGGATCCTGCTCGAGCGAAGCCCTAATGTCTCGTGGAGGTTCTGAAGAACGAACACCATGGATCCAGTCCTTGACACGGCTGCGGTAGATCTCGGCGTGCATGTGCTCGTCGCTTGCAACCTTGACGAAGACCAGTACTGAGCTGTCCTCGCCATTGCGGACTTCTGTGGCCAATCCGACTGAGGACAGCTTGTGACATAGCTTCTCGAAACTGGCGGTAGCTTTCGCTTTCTCTGTGTATATCGTCAGTGTGGTCTAACTTCTACGAGGGACGAAGACCGAACCGGACGGCTTGAATCGAAAGACAATGACATAGTCAACACCCATATTGGTGTGCAGAGCCTGACTCTTAGCCATGTCTCCTGGCACCAGCTGGTTTGTGACCAGCTCCGTGAGGGATCGTGGGAACGTTGCTCGCTTGCGAATGGGTTCCAGCGGCGGAGTGTTGTCGACGGAGGTGGAAGTGTCTTGTGACATTCGCAGAGAATGTAGGCGTATATCAGAAAGCGGAGTAGGTACGTAGAGGAATGTCACGTTGGACCAGCCAACGGCTTGCTTGGCAGCAGGATTGTCGTTTAGAGGGTGTGTTTGTCGCTCTTGTTTCCTGCTTCTGCGTCGTACATCATCCCCTCGTCGTCGTCATCGCGCAGGGACGATTGACCTTCTTCGCTTGGCTCGGCGCGTCCCGAGCGCGCTAGCTCCGCCAAAACACATGACGTTCGAACGAATGTATATGTCAGCAAGTGAATGTTTCCCTTCTCGAAACATGTGAATCGACATGGACACCTATCAGCCTGACCATCATTTGATATGGCAGTTCAATCACGTGTGGCCGCCGTAACTGGTGCTAACAAGGGGATTGGCTTAGCCATCGGTAGGAGAAGGAGGCTTTATCTGTCCATGTGTAGCTAATCCCACACGTAGTCCGCCAACTTGCCCTGCAGTATCCATCATCGCCCTTCAAATCTGGACCGTTCCTTATATACCTTACGGCTCGATCTCCTGAACGAGGCGCTGAAGCGGTGAATACGTTGAACAACGATGCACAACTGAAACAGGCCAAGGTCCTTGCACAAGATGGAGGAGATACGACCGTCAAATACCACGCGTTGGATATAAGCGATCACAAGAGTATCCACGCGTTTAGAGACTTTCTGAAGGAGGAGCATCCCGATGGCATCGACTTTGCTATCAACAACGCGGGCGTGGCTCTTGATGGCTTCGATTCGACAGTCGTCAAGACCACCCTAGCCACAAACTACTACGGGACACTCGAGGCCTCGAACGCCTTCCTGCCACTCATACGCAACGGTGGTCGCCTCGTCAATGTTTCGAGTACAGCCGGTCGACTGAACAAATACTCCGACGAAATCCGCAATGCCTTCCTCTCAGCCTCGAAGACTTCGATCCCAGCCGTCACCGCACTCATGCAGCGATTCCAAACAGCCGTCGACGAAGGCAGAGAACAGAAGGCAGGGTTTCCATCGGCAGCTTACGCGACGAGCAAGGCAGGCGAGACGGCATATACCAAAGCCCTAGCAATGGAAGAGACGAAACGGGATAGAGGTGTTCTAGTCAATGCCTGCTGTCCGGGATATGTCGACACAGATATGACCAAGGGCAGAGGAAGGAAGACGCCTGATCAGGGTGCTATGACGCCTGTTATGTTGGCTTTGCACGACATTGGTGGGAAGACTGGCGAGTTTTGGATGAGCGAGCAGATCACCGAGTGGTAAGGACCAGCTCTGTTATCCAGAGCTTGGTGAGCGGAATATAGCAGGTCCTTGAGTCACAATATGACAGGTCTTGTTCTAGGCAGTATTCGTATGTTCGTACGGAAGGTAGGTTGACCTTGTACGGCTATCACATGCCCGGCCGGGAGTACTGTTCGATACTCTCGACATCTCCGAGCGTTTTACGACAGGCAATACACACATCAGCATTGCAAACATTGCGATCAGCATCATTGCTGATGTACGAATGACTTCATTCTCCTTTCTGAGCAGTCCATTGAAGTGTGCCGCATTGGTTGAGCGGTCAAAAACTACCGCGAAAACACTGAAAAGTCCGGATCTAGCTCTCTGGTAGCTTCATCTTCAGCCTCACCAACTAACTTGACAACCTTATGACGGAGACAGCTCGTGCGTACTATCTCCGGAGAAAGACTACACGTCACGGGTCTCTTTTCAGCTATATCGGTATATAGATGGACCACAACGAACCATTGCAAAGCCACCCCAATCAACCAGACCGACTTCCTATCACCATGGCATCCAACAAACTCCTCCTCCTAATCACAGGCGGCAACCAAGGCCTAGGCTATTACGCAGCGAAGCAGCTCTCGGCCTCAGGAAGATACCACATCTTCCTAGGCAGTCGAAACTTCCAAAAGGCAGAACAAGCCATTGCATCCATGAAAACAGACGACTCGTCTCCGTCCAACACCGCCAACATCGAACCCATCCAAATCGACGTCAACGACGACGCCTCCATCCAAGCAGCCGCCGATTACGTCCTTCAGAAACACGGCTACCTCGACGTCCTCATGCTCAACGCGGGAATCTCTCGAGCCGCAGGCGTGGAATCCGACTTAGGACCTAACGAGGATGGCTCCGGGCCAAGTCTGAGAGAACAGTACCGCCAGCAATACGACACCAACGTCTTCGGCGCCGCAGTCTGCGTCGACTCCTTCCTCCCTCTCCTCCGCAAATCCACAGCCCCAGGAGGGAAGCGCATCGCCTTCACAGGCTCCAGCACCGCGTGTCTCGAACTCGCGCGGACGGATCCCACTCACTTGAATGGCAAGCACTACCGCCTGTACCGCTCGACCAAGACGGCGCTGAATATGGTCATGGTGAGCTATGCGCGGGAGTTGGAGGACGAGGGGTTTGTGGTTAGTGCGAGTAATCCGGGGCATTGTGGGACGAATTTGAATTTGTATAAGGGGTTGAAGGATCCGAGGGAGGGGGCGAAGGTGTTGGTCGAGTGTGTGGAGGGGAGGAAGGAGGATGTGCATGGGTTTTTGGTTGATGAGAGTGGGAAGTTGGATTGGTGAGAGGAGGATGGAGGTGATTCTTTGGGAATGTGTTGATATTGGATTAGATTTTGTTCCGTGGTAGCTACTCGGCATGGTAAGCCTCCAAGCTGTCGTCTCTTTGTCGTCTCTGCGCTTAATTAGGCGTTCAGATTCAGCGGCGACTTGCAGGTGAAGGAAGTAATCTGCGGATTCTTGAAGACGTCAATCATCCTGCAGAAAAAGTCATCAGCAAAACATCCCATTCACCAGAAATTTCGACAACTCACCCTTGAATGGCAGCATACATGCCCAACCCACACATACTCAAACTGCACAAGACGTACAGCACATGCCAGATATTCTGCGCGACCTGCAGCGGCCCTCCAGAGAAGAACCCACGGATATATCTCCTCAACCCCGAATCGTCTCTCCGGACCTCCCCAGTCGTCGGGTCGAACCCTTCGCCTTGCTGCGGTCGAATCGCGTTCTTTTGAATGTCATACCCGAGCGCAAAGAGCGGTGGCAAGGTATATGTCAAATTGAGCAGCGTCGACGCGGACATGACACTGACGAAACCGACGTAATCAGGAATCGCCGCGGCGATGATGAAGGCGGTGCTCCACCACACAGGAACAAGAGCTCCGTAAAAGATCTTTCCGGGCTTGGTGACGAGCGGCGGGGCGTTGAACCACTCCATCAAGATGTTGTTGTACAGGACCTTGATGCCGATGTTCCCGTACAGACCGCCGGCGATCAAGGCGGCGACGAGAGAAATCATGTTGCCCGCGGTTTGCCAGCCGTAGACGCTGACTCCTTGGTAGGAGGGTTGGAAGCTGTACTGGCCTTGGTAGTAGTACACGAAGCAGCCGTAGACCATGTAGACGGTGTATATGAAGAATTGAGCGCTCCACATGGCTTTGAGGAAGTCGTTGGGTCGTTTCATCTCGGCCATGAACTCGACGAAAAGTTGGGCGCCTGCGTAGCCGAGGACGCCGGACAAGAGGCCGTTGATGGAGCCAACGAGGTTCTCTGCGGGCAACCCGGCGTAGTGGATGACTGGAGGGTAATTCCCCTGGGCGTCTGGTGTGATGGTAGCAGGGTCGACTGCACTGCCCGCCGAGCCCAAGACGGCGATGGAGTAGTTCGGCGGTGAGGCGGATATGAATCCCATGGTCATGAAGATGACAAGCAGGTTCAACCACACCGCAAAGTTGGCAACCAGTCCATAAGCCTTCAACGTCCGAATCTGCGTCAACAAGAACCCGGCAATCACGAACAAGAGCGGACAGATAATATAGCAGAGTCGAAACTTCGAGACCACCGAGATGTTCTGTCCGAATTGGATCGTCACCTGTCCCAGCAAGAGTAGCAATCCGATGGCTTGCAGGAAATTGGTGATGTGCCGCAGCGTCGTGCCCCAGGTTCTGAATCCCATGTCTCCGTAGTTTCTCACGGGGAACTGGTAAGAGTCGATGCCTAAGAACGTTTTCCACAGCAGATAGCCACTGTATCCTGCGAAGAAGCCGAATACAGTGTACAATGCGATGCCTGGTCCCCATCCAAGGGTGCCTAGGGCGAAACCGACACCGAACGGGCCAAGGATGTCCGTTGTGATGAGATAGAACGCCGCACCCCAAGAAGCAGTCCGCAGGGCTCGACTGGCGTTCTCCCATTCTTGGTCACTGATCTGGATGCGATTCTCCTTTTTGGCGAAGTTGACGTTCGTGACATTCTGGGCGACTTCGGCATCCTGCTCGTCCTGAATATTGCGTGCTTCTTTCTTCCGGGAGAGAATCTGTCGCCATCGTAACTTGGGCGACTCGTACCCCTTCTCGATTTCCCGCGTTCGCTGGGCATAATAGTAGTATTCTTCCAATTTCACCGCCGGATCGTTCAGCTTGCGAGCCTGTGGCTTGATGTATGTGGAGGGACGCTCAGCCGGGCTCCATTCGGGAGGCTGGGAAGATGGGGACTCTTTCTCTTCGAATTTGCCCGACATGATGGCTGCTTGCGTAGAGGTCGCGAGAGTAACAGAACGGATGAGGTTGCCTGGCACGTGGGAGCTCTTGTAATTGAGCAGCGATTAGAAGGTTGCACGGAAACGCAGGGTGATGGAAAGCATCGGCTCATGCAGCCATGCATCGTTCTCCACATCCCTGTTGCACACACATGGCACTGCGCTGACCACCAAACTATCGGTGTTGCAGACCGCTATGCACCGATGGGGATTAGGTGGTCGTTGCTGCGTCGTCATGTACCTCCGTGCGGCGACTCTCGCACGCGCATCGTCTCCGACGGTTGTCGTGCCTGCCGAACGCCGAAGACAAGCTCGTTGGTGCGATTGCTTGGCCCTGTCAAGCTTTTAGTAGCCTCGTCGTTTGAGTGGGCTGTCCAGATATCTGGCTAGCCTAGAGAGGAAGGTGCGGGAGTGATCAAGGTGCTGACATCTTCCTCCCGCTCTACGAAGTGAAACTTTTCAGCTTCCATGACTGCTTGTGGGAAGAACGCCGCCCAGGCGCTTGACATCACCCGAAGATTTCCTCGTTCCGGTATATTTGTGCGATTTCGCAACGATGACTCCAACGATGCAGTAACAAGTATTCCTCTCGTTCTGTTGGACCGCTGCCGAACACATCCGGGCCTCGTATCAAGCATGCAGGATCTTCATGCACCTTCGCTTCGAACAGAAGCCTTCGATGCTGACGGAATGTTGATAAAGGATCAAGCGAGGCACCCGAAGTTGAGTGTAGGAGATAGCGTCCTTCGTCGAGGGCATTCGTTCGTTGTTCATCCAGACATCCTACGGTTGGTTCGCGGCAGCTGCTGTTCTCGCGAATTGCAACGTTACACCAAATGACACTGGACTCAATACAGCCGCTGATTAGGGCAATGCTAACGAGAATCCACCCTGAGGATGAACGTGATGAAGGCCTGCTCGTATCAGCTTCATACCGGCTTACTCGAGTATCTCCTCTGCACCGACTACATGAAAATCAGCAGTAACCTCGGAATGGCACTGCACCAACTCGTCGATTCTCACTAGAGACCTCCTCCAGATCGCTTCGCATCCCTCCCTCTGTCCTTACTCTCCATCCAGCAGCCAGGCAAACCCATCCAAAGTGTCCTGAATCCACTTCTTTGACTGGTCTAACTGCTTAAACGAATGCCAGAAAACGTGTGGAAGACCAGCATACATATCCAGCCTGGTCTCTACCCCAGCCTCTTTGAGCATGTCGTCAAAGATCAATGCTTCGTCCCGTGGAGGATCCATGCCACAGACTTGAAAGTAAGTCCTTGGATACCCAGCATGACCATATGAAGGGCCACTGGACCAGATCAAGGGCGCGAAGAAGACAGATTCTGGGTCTTCGTTACACCGGCGTCTGACAAATCTTGACATTGCTTCTGAGGAGACTCCGCTGTTCACGCATTCTTCTTGCGTCCGGCTTAGGTATCTCTCGCGGTACTTTGGAGGCAAACGATCGGTGTACTGCGAAGCTAGCCGCATACCACCGCAGCTGAGCCAGACGCCTGTCAGCGATGGGTGCAGACTGTTATCTCGCGCCAAGTGTGCAACGACATTGGCAACGTTGGCTCCAGACGAGATACCGCCAACGACGAAGCCTTTGCCTGGGTTTGCCCGAAGTGACCCTGAGGCGTTCTGAGCGATCCATTGAAAGACGTCCCAGCCGTCATTGTACCACGTTGGAAAAGGGTGCTCAGGGGCAAGCCTGTATGTTGGAGCCACAACCACTGCGTTAAACTTCTTTACCAGGAGTCGAGCAAGACCTGCCATCAAAGTCGGACTGCCAAAGATGAATCCACCTGGGAAGTATAGAACGATCAGCGGCGATACCGAACGCTCGGCAGCTGTCTTTTGGTCGCCTTTCGCCCTTCGAAAGGTCTTCAGCGGCAAAAGTACTCCATCCCGACTTTCGACATTGATCGTAATCTCTGTTATCGTCGGGTCCACTTCGTCTGCTTGTTCTTCCTGAGAGACCATGTGTCTCATGAGAGCGAGCGTCTTGGAAGCGTCTGAGAAATCGAACTGCGGGTGTTCTCTCCCTTTCACTAGCTGTGAGCTCGTTAGAATCGATTTCAGCGAAGGGCATTGAAGTATGGCATCGAACCTCTTCCAACTCATGCAAAGGTTTGCCGAGATCCAGCACCTCCTGGGGCGAGAGGTCGGTGAACTTCATTATGGTCGATGAGATCTTCGAAAAACTGATGCTGGGTTGTAAGATGACAGGCTTGATTATAAGATCTCGCATTTTTGCGAATGCGAAAAGTTGAGCTTTTAGCTTGATGCCGCCAACTAAAGTACCGAGCGGAGGTAATGCCGGCAATATGTGGCCTCAACGAGAACGTGACAGGCTTCGCTAGTGAAAAGTAGAGCCAGCAGCTACTTGCACATGAGCCACTGGAGCGCTAATCAAAGGGCAAATCTGCCTCGCTGTGCCGTCGTAGAGAGCGCGACGCGCTCGATGCGGAAGGAGCAGAACGCCGAAGTTCCCCCGATAGGTGAATGTTTCATCGACGTAGAACTAACCCAGACTATACAACAAGGCTGTGATATGATCTTGACCAGAACGCATTTCTGTCAAGCACCATTTGGGCTGCATGCTGGGGCATGAATCTTCCAGCAATCCGCATGTTTGGCTGGGAATCGACAGCGAGCTCCCGGAGGCATTCTTCCGATCGATGGCCCCAAAGAGTCAGGGCTGACATGATCAAACACAGGCGACTGCGCTGATTTTATCTGACAGGCCATTCTGTGCATGAGATCCATTCTTTAGTGCTGCTTGAAGTACTTGTCGTAATACTCCCTCAAGCAGCTTGAGACTTTTGCGGAACGTTCCAACACAACTACAATAACTGTGCCATTCATGGCATCGGAAAAATGTATTTGAGCCGAACGAGTAGAAGTTTTAATCCGAACGACGATGCCCACATTGCGATCGACCGATCAATTGCCCTTTGCGGAAGGAAGTGTAGCGAAAGACCTGCATATCCTCCCGCCCACGTGGGTACCTCTTCCCTCTTGGCAATATCTAGATCGTCTTCACTTCGCCACAACTAAAAATCCAATAACCTACTACACAACATGATAACATCCGCCCCATAACAAGCCATCCGACTCCCCAACAGACAAGGCTGCGCCATGGCAACATTCCTCCGCCGCCTCTCCAACCCCTTCGAAAACTGGCAATACAAATCGCCCCGCATCAACGACCTCCTCCCGCAAACCAAAGACCACATCTTCTCCTGGCAACTGGACGCCCCAGACTTCAGCCGCATCGACCAGGACACCATCCTCCGGGCAGGAATCTCCCCGAACAAGACCTACGCCGCGAAAATCATCTCCTCGGCACAGAAACTCGGCATCATCGACGCGGCGACAGGACGGCCGGAGACTTCGAAGATCGACCGTAGTATGGTCAAGGCGATGCCGAATATTAGCGTGCAGAAGCAGAGGGAGTTGGTCATGCTGCTGTTCTTCTGGGAGGAGGAGATTACGCGGTGGAGGCTGTTGGAGGGTGAGGAGGCGGAGATTCGGGGGAGGTTGGAGGAGGAGGGGGAGTGGAGGGAGGGGGCGAGGATGGAGCTGGAGCATGCGCTGAGGGTGGTGAGGGCGAAGAAGAGGGTGCTGCCGAGTTTGAGGGATCAGAGTGGGAGGGTGTTTCAGGGTGGGGAGGAGAGGTTGCCGAGTTATGCTGAGGCTAGGGCGGGGAGGTATGGGTCTGTTTGAGGAAAGCGTCTATGACCGCTCGAATCGGAGGTTGATGAAGGGGGTTTCGCTCTTATGAAGCCATGGAAGGTTGGTCTTCTCTTCTGTCTACGTTCGTCAGATTTTTCCAGTTTCTATGCAACATCGGCTTGCTTGAGTGTCCAGTTAATGTCTTTGATGTTGGAACCGTGAGACCAGGCTCATTCTTGCTGCCATTCAAACGAACCTCCCCATCCAGTGTGAATGGATATGAGCAAGTAGTCAGCCTGATCGATGAGGTCAAGAATCTCGACCTGATCAACAGAGCAATTACCACTTCAATAGATGAGATTGATCAATTGCAAGGGAAACCCCTGGTATGAACCTTCTCAACCATGTGCCTTGAGAAGTACCAGCATTGCAAGCCGCATGGACCACCACTTCGCAGCCTGATCCGACGCTCGCAAGAAGAAACGCAATATTCCCACAACACCCGCTAATTACATGAATGACAGATACGACACCAGAAGTAGACACCGACATCAGCATTGATACATTCAGGTAATGACCGAGAAGAACCCGATGGTCAGCAGATGGCGTCACCCTGCAGCTGTTTAAGGCCCCCAAAACAACAGCTGAGGCAGCTGTTCAGTCAACACCCTTATTAATCTCAAAGGGAAAGATGAGACCGACGACCTGCGAGTCGAGCCCCGCACAGCTCATGTAATGGTACCGCCGAAAGAAAAAGAACGCCCGACCAAGGCCTTCAACCCATTGACCGAGTCCTCTGATTCGAAACCGGACCTCGAAGCTACAGCCCCGGGAGCCACATCCGAGGAACCGGAAAACCTCACGCCAACTGAGACACTCATGCTCGACCTCTCGCGAAAGTTCATCGCAGCGGTCAACGAGCGCGCATTCGACGCCGCTCTCGCCCTGCAAGACACCAGCGTGGGCGAGGAATTCGGCGTTGCGATCAATTTCACCGCGCAGCTCATGAACTCTCCCAAAGTGTCGGACTGGGACGAGTATGTGGGTTTCTTCCGGGATACCGTCGCGGAGTGGCCGGAGTACCATATCGGGCTGATCTCTTCCACGGTCAGCTTGGACAATGTGAGAGATAAGGCCGATGTGTTCTTGCTGGCCGAAGAGACCGGTAAGCCGCCTGGAGTGCGGACTGTGGCGCCTAGTCGGCTGGAGTGGTTGAAGGTTGGGCAGAAGTGGATGCTTTCGAAGCATTTGATGTTCAGGGGTGCGGAGATGGATCCAATGGGTGTCGAAAAATAGGATTTCATCCGTGGCTATTGCATAGCAGAGCGTGATAGCGACTTTCCCACGTCTGACAGGCTCCCAGTCTTCCGGCACGGAACGCCGCACAGCGGTCATCTGTCCGGCTAGGATGTTCTGGAGCATGTTGTTGTAATGCCTGTGTCTATCACTGGGCATGGCGCACGGCATCTAAAAGCAGTCTTGGACGGTCGAAGTACATACCATGGACCCAGTCACGGGCTCGTGGACAACCTCGATGAAGTCGTGCAGTTCGACCAGGCTACCCCATAGAATCGGAAGGCCCGCGGGTCCGGCTGCGACGTCGTCGTGTCCACCAAGCGGCGGCGAACAACGAAGAGCTCTTCTGCCATGAACACTCAAGTCGCCTGCGCTAGGTCAGTGCAGCGCTACTCTCTCCAGGATGACCAAAGAGAATCGGTCTTCAGGGGGCTCCAGGGGCGCGCACGGGAAAGAAACCACGGCATCAGGGACGGATTGTTTCTATGGGGCTTGGAGACGCATCCAATCGTTTGTGCCAATGGCGCGAAGCACTTCCTAGGAGAGTTCCATGTTCGGTGGTGCTTTGTTGTCTGGTGAGCCGAGTGTATTGTTCTCAAGCGTTCTTGCATTTCTGAGGATCGACATCGGTTTGCAGAGCGAGGGGAATGGTCTCCAAGCAAATTGGTGGATAAGGAGGATAGCAATCGATGCTGGCGGCCGCTCGAAAAGGGGGTCCGGTTGGTGTCTTGCGAATGCTTACGCAGCCTCTTTCTCTATTCCCTGTCAAAGCTCCACAGGAGAAGCTATCGGTTCCATCCATGCCAGATCAAGTGCGAAATCTGTTGTAACACGGTACGTCTGCGATCCTCGGCTCCAGCGACCGTACTTCCAAGGATACCAATCGTCAAATCTAGAATAATTCCACGTCGTCGTTTCGAACTGCCATGGCGGCAGCAAGCACGAAGGAATTTCACTCCTTATCAGCGTCAGCTTCCGCAGACACAATTAGGCACGTCCAACCTGAGCCATCTCAAAAGGCGAACCCAGTCCCCTTCACTAGCTTTCTCGGCCACTCAACCCCGTCCCTCCTCAACAGGCCACCTCGCCATAAACGTAAACTCCACACACCTCCACTTCCGCCTCTCCTCCCTCCTCCACTTCAACACATTCAAAACCTGCCTCCTCACCCCCACCGGCATCCCTAGAATCTCGGTGAAAATGTACACTTCTGCGTAACCGGTCTCGTCACGGACTTCCGTATTGCCAGAGAGGAAGACGAGTTGGAGGTCCGGGAACTTGGCAACGAGAGCTGCGCGGTTGCAGAGGAGCTCGGTGACGGATGTGCAGGGGATCTGGCCGGGGGCGGAGGCCGTGAAGGTTGTGGAGAAGTGCGTGAGGAGATGGAGGCACTCGAAGTCGCGGGCGTTGAAGGCGTCGAGGAATTGCCAGGAGAGGTCTGCCAGAAAGGAGGCTATTGAGGTAGAGGCTGATGTGGATGGTTCTTTTGGAGCTGTATCGTTTGAGCCCGTGGCGTTTGGTTTAGACGATGCAGTTTGACATGACGTGTCGTCGGACGGTTCCGAATTGGTGGGGGTTGGTAGTCTTTGCGCTTGTATTAGTATAGGCGTCCAAAGACCTACGTGAGGAATGCCCCGATTGTGTGGAAACTGCTTACTGCTGCATCCTTCCAAGAACACATCGATATGCGTCAAGCAGGTTGATGTTCACCTCGGCCCAGAGCTTTTTGTAGGCAGAGACTGCTTGGCAGCATCATGCTTCGTTCGAGGAGATTGAAGAGCAGTCAATTGTCGAGACACCGGGAGCATTGGGTGAGATCACAAGAACAGGACGCCACAGTCGCAGAAAGAGTCCTAATGACTTTCTTTCTCATCAAGGCCAATGCCCTTCAATTGCCGTCTCGCTTGATCACCGTTTAAATGGAAGGATTGTGGCCAAGATTAGAATGGGCTAGATTAAAAGAGGAAGGTCTTCCAGCGATCTTGGCTGCTGAGTCAATACTGGGCATCATGACAGCGCCGACGAGGTGAGAAAGGATAGACGAAATACAAGGAGTCTTCGTACAACTCAGTACCGAGACGTTATCGTATCTTTCTCAGGTGATAGGTCCTGCCGGTTGAGAAGGTAGGTCGGGAGCTCGGATCGCAGCAAGGGAGAAGGTATGATGGTGGTGACAAAGGCTACATCGAATGCTGTATGTTGTGAGCGGCGAAATTTGCTGGTTCTGATGTATGTGGAGTGTAGGTAAGAGCAACCCAGTGAGAGACACTTTCCCTTCCAAGGTCGGCCTCAAGCGACAGGCCACAGAGGAGTTCGCACCGAGCCGCTCAGTACGGCGCCTGCTTAACGGCCTGCACATACCGCTGCACACAGCCCGTATCATTGCCCTTCCAGACAAGCTGCACAACAATTAGCACGATCCCTAAACTCCCTTCAGATAGAGTTTTCACCACCTGCTGCTCCAAGTCTCCCGGACAAACTCTCCACCCCTCAACATCCCCTTCAACACCCAGCAGAAAGCCATTCTCGAGACTGAGGGTGCGGCCGCCAGTCACGAGCCCATCGTTGAACCAGAACGGCAGGTGCTCACTGACGCTGTGGCTCCAGTACTGGTACTTGCCTTGTCCGTGGGGACCAGTAACATCCGTGGTGAGAAAGCCGTCGATGAGGCTGAAGCAGGGAAGAGAGCCATAGCCGGGGCCGATGAGGCGAAGAAAGTAGGCCGACTAGAACACGGGCTGGTGAACATGTGCGATTGATACAACCGAAACTTGAGCTCTGCAGGGAGCTTTGCTGTAGCACTAGCTTACGTTATAGAACATGTACGGATCGAAGAGAGACGTGGCATTGACATCTGGCAGGGCGCGGATGTTGCTGAATTTGGCTGGTGAGGAGGTAGTGACGAGGAAGAAGTCGGTGAGCGTGGATGCAGCGGTGGCCGTGAGGCTCATGAAGGCCAGGATGAGTGCAAAGAGGAGCATGTTGGGCAGCGTCCGAGGCGGGGTCGTTCGTTGTTGCGGGTTATTGAGCCGTGTCGAACTGGTTTGGTGTTGACTTTGGTGTATTGTAGACGGGGCGAAGTGAGAAGACAGTCAAGGAGAGTGATCAAGTGCAGGTGCGGTCCTTGCTCTCTTCTAGTGAGTGAACAAAGAAAGAACGAGCACATGTGCAAATCGCACGAAATCGACTCGAGAAGGAGGAGCGGCAAAGGTACAGAATATTGCCGTTCTAACATCTCCTGCAAACATATCAAATCGTGCTAACAATGATGTGTGATACTTACCACAAAGAGATCCACATTCCCAATTCACATTCGCTGTTATGCCTTGCGTAGATCAGATCTCCACACTTGCTCGCGCGCGCCATCGTACAGCTGCACGGATGGTTCGTGCCACCTCAGGCGCTTCGAACGTCTTGCTCGACACTGCTGAACGCCACACTCTGGCGGCTGAAGATGAGAACTCTGTTTGCATTTCTAGGCGATACATATGTACAGTGTCCAGCTCTATAGGAAGTTCAGACCGACGCCAAAGCTCAAGCCTTTCCTACCCTCCTCGCCTTTCCTAATGACCAACGGTAGAGAAAAGTTGACTTCAACTCTGGCGGCAGGGTGGGCGTATACTACTCCAAAACCCGCTGCGGCACTGGGAAGGCTGCCGGTAAGATCATTAACTGTGCGCGACAAGCCATTGGTGACATCGTTCAGGCTCTGAGGTCGATCTTTCGCCTCGCCTGAGCGAGTATCGCGCAGCGGGAGTAATCGTCCACCGTTGATGAAAGCCTGGAATCGCAGTGGCGTGTCTTTGCCTAGCCGAGGGAAGGGGAACAGGAGTGATGCACCACCAGCAGCGTAGACGTCTCCTCCAGCTGCGTCTTGGCCATCACGAGGACCCAGACCAGAGATGCGGAATCCGCGAACGTCTGTTGGACCACCCAGTTGGAAACGGTCGTTGATCCTGCTCGGAGCCGGACTGTCTTGTCCACCAAGTGGGAGAGGGGCGAGGATTCCACCTCTCAGACCGGCTGTGAAAGACACACCGTTGTCGCCCTTGATGCCCGAGATTGGGATAGGTACAGCAGCTTGCGACTCCGCCTCAAACTTGCCGAAAGCCACATCACCTTTGAGGGGGCCCACACCAGCGATCTCCGAGACAGTCTTCAACAGATATCCTCTCGAAGGCAGCATTGGGATGTCCCTTGAATCGTGTGTCCAGGTGTGTGAGATACTCGACTTGAAGCTGTCGCCGGCGTCTGCTCTTACTGTCGGGCTGGCTTTTTCGGCTAGACCGGTGACCTGTCTCCAGAATCCATTGTACGCGATGTCATGCCTGCTGTTTGCGCCAGTCTGCCACAAGAATCGAGCCTGTCCACCAGTCAAGACCTCCTCGTGGCTCGCCCAGGGCTTGAGGGTGCTGCTCTTCAGACCTCCAATTTCTAGTCGCAGGTCAGGATTTGATAAGATGGGAGTGTCGAAGGTCGCGCTGTATGCGCTTCTTGTGCGTGTTCCTAAGCTCGCGTTCGCGGACAATCTCTCGGCTCCTCCAAACAGGTTCCTCAACACAGCATTCACGTACGCGCTTCCCTCTGCACTGCCAGCCTCTGTGCCCGTCTTGATAGTGTATCTGCTCCTCTCCTTGGCACTGATAAAGACTGCATGATCGGTCGGAGTGGTACTGGGGTCCGTAGGCTCGGGTCGATCGATGTAGGTAGAGATTGGCTGCGCAAAGATGTCCAGACGATTCAGCTTGTCTACGGCACCGGAGATCTCGGTCAAAGCTTCACGAAGGGTGCAGTATTGCTGGTTCTGGCGGTTGTGGGAAAGTATTGGGTTGAAGATTCGCTCGAGGAAGCCATGGCGGGTGTGGTTGGCGTGGAGGACTCGGATAGAGGAGATGGTCACCGGCGCGGTGGAGTTCAGGGAGATCTGGATTGGTAACGGGTCAGTGGTGTTGACAGTGGCTCCCTGGCAGTCCTCCACACACCAGTTCATGCTGCCGCGCTTCTGCCTTCTCGTATGCGGCATGGACACGCTCGTTGACAACCTTTTCCCGCTCTTCGATCACTTTCGGATCCAGAGGTTTGCGGAGCTGCTCGAAGACCTAGAGGACATGTTAGTACCGCGCGACGACATATCTAGGGCAATGATAATTCATACATCGTCACCCAGCGGTGAGGAGGCCATTGACCTCAGGAGCAAGCGGCAATGCTCGTGGTCGGCGGTTGGTGCAGCAAAACAAGCATGTCGGAGCTTCAAGCTCGACGTCAGGTGGCAGATCTGGGACTGGCATGCGAACTTCTGGGCATTGAAACCTGCCCTCTAAATTTTGACCCGCAGAGGTCTCTCGTCAACACCAACAACACCTGCACGGGACATGTATCGTTTTTCCGTACACTGCGAAACCGCTGCACTCGCCGATGAGTTCTCGATCATCGGACAGACTAGACGGACAAGCCGCATCGAGGCAAACGCCCGCTCTACCACACCACAGTCCTGACTAAACAACCTCTCCCGCCTGGATGTCTAATAGACTTTGACCACACCTAGCTCCCGAATCTCCTACCGGATGAAGCGAGCCCTGCGGAATGATGCAGCTATTTCTGAGAGCTAAGTAGTCAGCCAAGTCATCACCAGGAACAAGTAATCTCATCCTTGTCTACTTCGCATTTCTTGACTGGTTCAGATGTATAAGATATGCTGACAGACAGTGCGTTTCGCCACACACAACAACCACCCCGGGCACCAGCAGCATGACTGAAGAGGACATTGACCCCGAAGAGACCGAGGAGTCAATCGAAGATCCACCCTCTTTGGAGCTTCTGAACCTCTTGCCAAACCCGGATGAGATGCCATTGGAAGACTATCTCAAAGCTATGGGCGTCTTCTGCATACAAATGCACAACCACCTCCACCCCGTCGAGATCGCCAAGCTCGCGCCACTCTTCGTCTCATCAAAGTTCCACGTAAAGGCCAGCCCCGAGATATACATGATCGCCACATCGCTCAAGGAATATCTGTCCAATGTCAAGTACTTCCGCAAGACGAATCCACACTATCATGTGGTTTCCAAAAATTTGTCTGTCGACCTGAACGAAGAATTGGGCGAGGCGACTTTGATCGCCACCATGGAGACTCACGGGCTGCTCGGCGCCAGCGATAATCTTGTCCGCCAGAGTGTGTACATGGGTCATTGGAGGCGCAGGAAGCACACTGGACGGTGGTATGCCCAGAGGCTGGAGATCATTCGAGGACCTGGATCGGAGCCGACTTTCTGAGTGCGCGATGAGGCTGCCGTCTTCAATTTGGATACGTTACTCTGGAGCCGGCACAGTGTCAGGAGGTATATCTCCCCAGGTGGAGCCTCCTGGCTGACCGCAAAACGGGCTGCGATTATGGCCTCGATGTGAGCCTTGCCGCCTGCTGAGCTACCTTGCAAAAGATATCGCCGGTGTCGTTGTCAATCCCATGCCAAAAACGATCGTTTGGTACCAATGGAGACACAGCATAGTGCGCTGTGTTTCCAACAAGAGCCAACGACTTTGCGAACAAAGCAGCAAGGCGGCTGGCACGCACTGAAAAGACACCAATGGGCGATTTTGACTTGTGCAGTGTGGCCATTTCCACCGTACTTGCATCGAAGACTCAAAATACTGTATGGACTGGATCGAGACGAACGCAGGCTCGAAGAGCGTCAGCTCCTTTTGATTGTGTTGGCTTGGACGCCATGCGGCGAGTTCTCTCCGTATCCAACACATGCTCGTTCGATCCCACGATTTCGACCAATCGGTCAGCTTCTCCCAAAATCCCGAGCCCATCGATCAATACTGCAGCAGGACGTTTCAAAGAATACTCTACATACATCAGCTTCCACCATCGAGGCTGCCGCCTGATCGCAGCATCTCATACGACGGAGTCGGAACATGAGATGCGGCGAACCAACAAAGCGCCGACATGTCATACTCCACACTTGTCTGGATCGCAATGTTGCGAAGGTATAAAGCTCTTGGATTGCCCACTGGATGAGAATATCAAGGCACTACACCAGAACACCGCTTCCACTTTTGCATTGGGTCGAATATTTTGAACGAGTCCACAAGTTCGCAACCTAAACACCTTCCGCCATGCCTCACCTCGAAAGACCAGGGGCCAACATCTGGCATGAGTCGGTTGGTGAAGGGCCAGTGCTACTATGCATCTCAGGTGGAGACGGCTCGGTCGACATCTGGCGAATGTTTGCCAACGCTCTGAAAGAAAAGTTCACCGTCGTGATGTGGGATCGTACGTCTGCTGTCCATCTCCGCACAGATTCCATTGACTTACACCCTCCCAGGACGAGGCTTCTCCCGCTCCATCCTCACCGACGCCCAGGACTACTCCCACCGCCTTGAAACCGACGCCAACGACGCCGCCGCCCTCATCAAGCACTACTCCCCCAAAGACACCCCCGCAACAGGCGCTTCAGCAACCGTAATCGGCAACTCCTCTGGCGCCATCATCGCCCTCCGGCTGCTCACCCTCCACCCCACCCTCATCCACACCCTAATCTCCTACGAACCACCCCTCGCCTCCATCCTCCCAGACCTCCAATCCCTCCAGACCGAACACCAAGCCGTCTACGCCCTCTACCGCTCCGCCGGCCCCTTCCCAGCCCTCGAACGCTTCGCAAAACTCACGCAAGCGAACCAGCAAAACCTCCGCAACATCATCAACTTCGAACGGCCCTACATGTTTTCGAACATGATGTATTGGTTCGAGCGGGAATTCATGGACTATCCTTTTGCGAAGTTTGATGTCGAGGGGAGTTGGGCCCGCTGAGGGGGAAGTTGGTGTTGGTTTGTGGGGAGGAGACGAAGAAGGCGGCGTATCAGTATCGGGGGAATGAGAGGGTTGGGGAGGTGCTGGGGTTGGAGGTGCAGGATTTTCCTGGGGAGCATGTGGCGCATTTGACGCATGCGGACGCCTTCTCCAAAAGGTTGGTCGAGGTACTGAAGAAGAAGGATGGGGGATTTTATGGGAAGTTGTGAATGAACAGCTATGTATCATTTGGTTGATTTGATGAACGCCCCAGTCTTAAGAGCGCAAGAACCATGCCAGTCCAAGCATCTTCCCCAACAAAGCCTGAAAGCAGCCTGTCTTCATTTCAAGCTTCGCTGCAAGTTGAGCACGCAATCCCAGCAGCTCGCCAACAGCGTAGCCAACTCGCGCGTCGGGAGGAAAACGAGGTTCGCCCACGTATCATTTCTTCAAGCAAAAAAAAAAACAGAAAAAAAACAAAAAAGAACGACCAAGTGCTACACGAATCTTCTGAGCCTTATGTCCTTTTATTTCCCTCGCCTCTCCCTCAACCCCTCCTCAATAGTCCGAATCATCTCATTCCCCACCCTCCCGGCCTCCTCAAACCTCCCCTCAAAATACCCCTGCACCTTCTCAAACTTCTCGCGATAAGCCTCCATATTCCCCAAGCGGACCCTTTCACTCCAATCCCGCGCCGCAAACGTAAACTCCAAATCATCCGCGCGGAAACTCGTGTCCTCGATCGCCGTGTCGATGCATTCGTTCAGGAGTTCGTCGTTGCGGTAGAGGTACTCGGTGATGCCGAGCCAGAGGCGGAATAAAGGGGTCGAGCAGATCATGTGGTCGTAGGGGATGATGTGCAGGCGGTGCCAGCAGTCGACCATGGCGAGGAGGGAGAGGTGGTTGTTCTTGACGCGGTGGAGGGGTTTCGTGCCGAGGGAGAACCGATCGAGGAGGTCGTCCTGGAGGAGGAGTTCCTCGTCCTTGCGGCGGGTGCCAGCGCCGAAGACGGCCGCTTTGGCGGCGTAGATCCGGCGCGTGAGTTCGTCCCGCTGGCCCGCGAGCATGAGTTTGAAGAGCTCCGTGACGGACTCGGCGTACTGGCGGATCTGGGCTTTGGCGGCCGGGTTGAGGATCGCGAGCCCCGCGTAGACGTGCCATTTGTTCGAGTAGATGCGCATCATGAGGTTGATTTTGACGTTTTCGATGCCGCCGATGTAGCGCGGGAGTTCCCAGGGGAATTGGTTGTTGGCGTGCCAGGCGGTGCCCATGGAGAGGAAGGCGGCGTGCGTGACGGCTTGGGTGTCGGCGGTGATGCGGTCGTGTTTTTCGGCGGAGAGGGGCACGAAGGTGGATTCGAAGCAGGAGAGGATGCGGGAGACGAGGGCGACGGATTGGGGAGAGGCGCGGTGGTCGATGATGACGAGGGGTTGGCCTTTGGGGTTGACGCCGGGGCCGTGGAGGGAGTGGCAGGAGACGATTTCGACGTCTTTGGGGAGGTGTTTTTCAAAGGCGGCGATTTCTGGGGCTTTGGTGGATGTTTGACCGCCTACTATTGCACCCATCTTGGTGGAGGGACCGAACTTGGCTACGACGGCGTCGATGTTCTTGGCTTCGACTGAGTACATGATCCAGTCACTGCTGCGTGAGACGAGGTGGCCATTTTCAAGGATGCTGACATTTTTCTGCCTACCTTTCAGCGAGAGCTATCTAACATCTACATACAGGAGGCAGGCCTACTCTGTCGGCGAACTCGGCCGTTAGTGAATCAAACTTGTCTGGCACGTCGCAGGCGTGGACTCTGGGGATGTATTAGCATGATAAGAGTTCGAGACCTGAGACGAAGTTAGCCTATGATCTCCAACAAAATTGGTATTCGTGAAGGAGTTAGGTGTATTGCGTTCAGACAAATAAAAGATAGGTAGCTGAGATTTTACATCATTGACTGCTGCCCGGTCAAAGGCGCCATTACGGAAGCCAGTGGTGCCAGACAGCAATACTCGAGCCAAATGCACTCAAGTCATCATTGCAGAGCGGTGGATGCAGGGTGAGGGGTTGACTTACCATTGATGGGTATCACTTCCAGTGGATATGACCTTTCATTCCACTCACTTCCATCCAGCATCACTGATCCTCCTGGCGTACATCTTGCCCATGTCGCCCATGCCAATGATCCCAACCACAGCGTCTCCCATGATGGCGGCAGTTCAGTAAACGGCAGACAGCCAGACACAGTCGCTTCAGTCGTTGCCAAACACGATCATGGTTCGACGCCTGCAAGAGTGAAGGCGTCTGATGTGGGATGCGATGTCGATGAAGAGAAGGAAGAGAAGATGAAGTTTGAGCTCGAAAGCAAATTGGCCGCGAACGGGCTGGGCCGAGGTCGGGCTTGGCTTTCTGAGCTCCGACCACCCACCAATTTGAACCTCTGCCCGCGCAAATTCGAGACTTTGACTTGAAGCAGTGCACATCAGCAGCCCACCACACCCACCGCCAAATCACCCACACCCTCACGCAACATGGCACCAAAGAAGAAGGTCGAGCGCGGTGCGCAGGAGAACATCTCCCTCGGTCCTCAGGTCCGCGAAGGTCTGTCCACAGCAACCACCCCCAGCGCACACGCGAGCAGTGAGAAGAGAATATCACGACTGACTGAACATTCACAGGCGAACTCGTCTTCGGCGTCGCCCGTATCTTCGCCTCCTTCAACGACACCTTCGTCCACGTCACCGATCTCTCGTACGTCTGATCCTCTCGAAAGACCTCTCCCAGCGGAAACGCAAGATTGGGATTGAAAAGAGAAAAACATATCTACACATACGTGGTTCATAGGCTAACCTGGGTGATTCCAGTGGCCGCGAAACCATCAGCCGTGTCACCGGTGGCATGAAGGTCAAGGCCGACCGTGACGAGTCCTCTCCATACGCCGCTATGTTGGCTGCTCAGGACGTCGCGACCCGCTGCAAGGAGTTGGGCATCACTGCTCTTCACGTCAAGATCCGGGCTACTGGTGGTAAGTCTTGAAAATGCGCATGAGTGGTTTTGTGACAGGGACTGACGGATGCTTTTCCAGGCAACGGCACCAAGACCCCCGGCCCAGGTGCCCAGTCCGCCCTCCGTGCCCTCGCTCGTTCCGGCATGAAGATTGGCCGTATCGAGGACGTCACCCCAACCCCATCCGATTCTACGAGAAGAAAGGGTGGTCGCCGTGGTCGTCGTCTGTGAGCGATTCGCAAAGTGGTGCGAAGCTTGCTTGCAGTGGTCGATGGACTCTCGAGCATGGATGGGAAGCCTTCGTGTGGTATGCTGATTGTGACACTCTCGCGGAGAACGGCCTTGTTTGCCTGGTCTCCATGGCGCGCTATCTAGTCACATAAGATGAAGCAATGCCAGAACACTTCCAAAAACCTCGCAGTACCGTAACTCGTGAAACACAATTTAGTTGAATCATCAATGTATTGAGTGAAGCGTCCTTGCATAATGACAGCCGTTACACTGCATGGCCTGGTCACCGTAATCTATGCCCAATATCCATACGCCTCGCTAACCCCAAAGATCGTGCATATCCATCCACCCCATCTCTTCTCACGACGGCTGCTGATCACTCAACAACCTCGCCATAACCGCATACGCAAACAGCGCCCCGGCAATCAAATACAGCTTATTCCTCGCCAACCACCCCTGCCCAGCATCCCTCGCCGCCTGTCCATTCTCCACCACCTGCGCCAAGCCCGCATTACTCCCCTCAGTGCCGCGTCTCCTTAACCCATCAATCTCCGGCGTGCACGACGGACTCCCCTCCCCCGCAGCAACACTCTTCCTCCCCGTCTGCGGATCCACCCCCTCCCTCTCCATCCACCGCCAATTCTCCGCATCCAACTCCGGAAACTGCTCCCGGAACCTCTTCCCCCCATCCCCCGCCTGAATCGCCCCGAACCCCTTGCTATTACTCCCCAAAGAACTCTTCTCCAATGTCCGACTCGTCGACCCCCCACCCGTACTATTCCACCACCTCGACCTCGCCGCAAACGCCTTCCGCTCCCCCTCGCTCGCGGAGATGCTCCCCGTCGTCATCTCCTCGCTCGTCATGAAGCTCAGCACGCCCAGCAGGATCGTGCTGACCTCCCACGCGGGGTTGAAGCTCTTCGGGTGGAAATCGGAAATGCTGAGGCACAGCCGCTCGCTGCATCGGAAGCGGCCCGAGGGCGTGTGCATGCGGATGGCGGGTGGCGCGAAGGGGTAGTTGGGCGGGAAGGTTAGGGTGCCCCAGTATTGGCCGTCGGTGTAGCTGGTTTGTGGGGGGCCGGTGAGGACGTAGTGCCATTCTAGGATATTGCTCTCCGCTGGCGCGGCCTGGACATACTCTACGGGGTTCTTTTGGAGGGTAGCGTATTCGCGGGTAAGGCGTTTGTGGGCCGCTTTGGTTGCCATGCTTTCGGAGGGTGTGGAGTCGTGGAGGGAGGAGTTGGGAGTCGTTGGATGCCGGTAGTGGGAGGGTTACAGAGGCAATTGCGATTGTTAGAGAGGAGGTTCTCGGAGAGGTGGGTGTTGGGTTCGCGGAGGTAGAAGGTGATTTCGTTTGGGGTAGGCGGACGTTGGCGAAGCGTAGCGGGTTGCTTCTGTAGCGATGGAAATGATCGACAGTGAATGCAGGCGTGCGACTTGCGAGTAACGCGTCCTTTGCTTCTTAGACAATACGTGAGACAGAGTGCGACGTGTGGAAAATAGAGATTGAGTGTTTGTACCACACCCGCTTTGCTCGAAGACAGGTGAAGTCATGTTTGGCTGCCTCAGGCACGATTTAGGCTTGGCATGTATCTCATGCGCAAGACAATTAACTACAGAATGAACGAATGTGCTCTATCGTCAATAGCCTTCTGAGCGACGGCCATGCACCTTGTCAGATTCCACGCCGCACCAATCCTACTCTCCCTCGTTGCGCCGCCTAACAGATGTCTCAGATACCGCGTCTTCTCTGCGTCAATCAACCCATTCATTTCCGCTCCATCGATCAGCTCCTGAAACACCAGAAGAGTGAGATCATGCATGAACGGCAGATGGCTGATGTTCGAAAGTCGCTTCTCAATACACGTCTGCTGCATGTTCGACCTAAGCATGTACTCATCCAGCCTTGGCGGCCACTGTGGCGATGGAGTATGTCGACGCATGACAGCAAATTCGGCCTCGAGCTTGTCGATGGAGTCTTGCGGCCCGTCAGGCTGCGTCTTGGTGAAGTGTCGATCGAGAACATCCCACTCGTCCCACTGAATCCAGCCGCCAGGCTTAAGCATTCTGAGGAGGTTGTTCAAGAGTGGTGTTGGGTCATTGTCTTTGACTACGCAGACGAAGTGGCGGATGTGGATGATGTCGTACTTCGCGATGAGCTCCTCCGGTGGTGGCCTGAAGACGTCGACGAGGCGAAGAGAGATCTGGATCATACGTCAGCATCTTGCTACACCTTGTCTTGTCTTGGAAAGGAATATTGCATTCTTACATTACTGGGCAACCATTCTTGTGGCGGAAATTGACCGAAGCTGATGTCGATGGCATCTAGCTGGCAAGAGCGCGGCAATTGTTGTGCCATGTCCAGTAGCCATATTCTACCAACGGCTTCAGCTTGAATGGCTTCACCATGTAGATAAAAGGCTGACTCACCCAGTTCCAGTGCCAATGTCCGCGACATGAAGATTCTCCCTGCCTCCAATGGCATCCTTGATTCGTGGATGCAGGTTGTATCCGAACGAGCTGTGCCAGATGTAGTGAGACAGATTCAGTCGTGCAGACGCAGCCGCATCTCGAGTTAGGACATAGTCATCGTTCAAGTCCACTGCTGAGTCTGGCCTTTCAGGCTCTTTCTCGGGGCCTCCATTGGCGACCACGTCATTTGGAACAGTCATGGCGCGGGTGATCTTGAGATTAAGGTCAGAGAACTTGCAGGTGGTAAAGAGCACAACATATGAAAAGCTGTGTGTTTCCCGATGCCGACAATCGCATCCACCTACCGAGCCCACTTACGTATGTCTTTGCTGGAAGCGCTCCGTCAGGCCACTGGGGGAGTCCAGAGCAAATCGAATCAACCAAGCGGTCCCGAGTGGATGCAATGCTGAGCTGGCGAAGCGGAGCAGATCAGCACGAGCAGGATAGCAGCGAACTCGGTTGCGGCTTGGGTGCTGTCGGTCGATATGCTAGTTCTGGACTATCTCGCGAGTGATGCGGCTAAGTAAGATAGGTTGCTGCTTCTACGGGTCCTCTATGCAGCGTTGGAATGCTCGTGCGGACAAGTCACTCCCTGGCTGACTTCTCGGTTTGCTATTCACGAGCTCTCGGCGTTGGCATCGCGTGATAAACAGCGCTTCTCTGACCAGGCGTGTAATTGCTGGTCCCATAGCAAACCTTGGGCGGCCGGAACACAGGAACTGCGAGATGCGCATATTGCCGACGGTCTGCAGTGCGCCGGTAGTGTGCTGTATGCATGCAGGACAGGAGATGGTGGCAGCTGTCGTGAGAGGTTCGCTATGCAGCAGCTTGCAGGTTCGGTGCCGGCGGTTCAGGAACAACTCCTTGTGCTCGCTCCTTTGCGCCGAGCCATGCCGAGACATCCTGTGATTATCGTCACTTCATCGTGCACCACAAGTAAGGCCATGAGTATGGGACGGCGAGGGATGAAGTCCAGTTTGACTTTTGGCAAAATGAAGTTGGTAATTCGTTCCCACCACTGTTTTGGGATCAGCTGTCACGTGATCAGAGCAATTAGGTAAGCGACTGTTGACAACACCTGCTGTTCTCGCGTTCTAGATCTTTTGTCTGGCATCAACAAATGCAACACAATACAATGACCAACCTGGAGAAGCTGCCCGTGACAATCATTGACCTGCTCTCAAACACCATTATCCTACGGCAGACGGCGCCATATATTCCTGTCAAGGAGCTCCACCGTCTTGCGGCAACGAGCAAGTCACTGCGGGATATTATCCACAACCAATCTGAAGCGTGGCACTATCTGAACCTCACGCCTGTGAAGCGAGCAATCATCGATTCTACACCAATCGATGTCGGTGGCTTCGCGTGGCGAGCTGAGCGAATGGATGAAAGCCTTACCGAGGATGACTTCTACGCCGGACCATTGCGTGGTATATTTGGAAACCTGCACTCAAAACGGATCCTCCAATATGTCCAGACACTGGTGCTTGACGGACTGAGCGTACCTGCGGACTTGGTTAGGGAGATCGTCGCAGAGGACCGATATCGTGTGAAAGTGCTGTCTTTGAGACAGCCGACACACTTGAACATGTCGAAACTGCAACAGGTGCTGAGATATGTCTGTCGACCTACACGTGCAGAAGGCACGCCTATTCTCAAAGCTCTGTATGTGTTCGGTCCCAAGGATGCACCGCGGTCGTTCACCACAGCTCTAGAGGCGCCACCAAATGTTCGCGAGCTGGGAGTCATGAGCTCATCGGGAGCGCAAATTGGTGCCGAGTGGAACCAGCGGTCTTCCAACAGCCTTGCTTCGAACCTTCTTGATGAAGAGAGCAAGTGGTATGGAAGCACTGGTCGAGCCATCAAAAGACCGTTGAGCTCCTGGCCGGAGACTTTGGCAGTGTGCAAGGGCTTGATCAACTTCGATGCTGTACTGTGTAGAGGGCCACGGCACGATATCACCAAAGTGGACAGCAAAGATTTCTTGCAGCCGACTATCGCGAATGTAGCACTTGGGAGCTCAGGCTGCGAAACGTGCGGCTCATGTCCAGAAGGGCCTGCAATATTTGGCCAAAGCCCAGACTCAGCAATGCCCCTACTCGGTCCTGTCCCCTCACACTCCTCATCCCTCCGAGCGACGATCCGACCAGAGCAGCGTCCGGATGGGAGCTTTCCAAAACTCATACTTCGATGCGAAGATTGCCTTCGCGGCCGTTGGTGCGAGCAATGCAATCGGTGGTGGTGTGAAGACTGCTACCAAGAACCCGTCTCTCGAGCCCACCACACGAGGACCGAGATGCAACAACTCGAGCTACGAGACGAGTTACAACGTAATGGCTGGGCGAGCGTCGAGCGCGGTGTGGCAAGTACTCCGGTAAAGGTATTTTCCAAACTTTGTGTTGAACACTGCCTTGTTGGCGAGATGATGGCCGGCGCTGGAAGCAATGGCATGTGGGGATGAGCAGGCCCATTCAATGTATGATTTGTACATGCATCTCGACTCAATGGTTCTTCCTTTCAAGCCGCTACATATGAGGTGCTGACTTGTGATAGATGGGTGTCCATCGAGATTGCTTCGCTTGCGGCCGAACGTGCGAGACTTGCAAAGAACAACTCATCAGACAATGTGCGACCTGTCAATCAGAGTACTGCCTTCCTCACGATGAGGGGTGCTCAAAGCGAGAGGTATCTATCGCCACGTGGGTTTGTACTACATTCGCTGACATTGACGAGTGCGGCTGGTGCAATTCGTCTGGTCGACGTACCAGAGAGCTTTTCTGAAGAAGTAGCTACTGTTCGACATCACGTCAACCATCAGATGAAACGACGCCGTGAAATGAAGTCGGTCACGTTTAATCTTTCACTGCGCACAACGCTGGCTTCCTTGTTTTGAATTTGATCAATGCATGCGGCGAGTCTTAAGATAACAGCACCAGGGAAACATTCCACAGGCATCCCAGCATGGAGCAAGCAGAGACGATATCGAAGACGAGAGACGCGCATGCGCCAAAGCATGATCAAGATCAATCTGTCCACATGGTTGGCCGGTGCAGGAGCAGAGTGACGAATCTAGCGCGGGCTCAATGCCGTCGAACTGAATCGATCGATCAATGTCACGATCCCGTTCTCAACAGGACCGACAGATTTTGCGATCAATACCTTGTTGAGGCTACTCAGCTGTATACGAGCTGACGCACCCAATCAAGTCTTCATCACATTTGGAACTGAGGCTCCCATTGATGACATGATGAGTAAGCTGAAAAGTTGATCATTGATGTTTCCTGGATCAAGTTTCTCCGGGCAAAGCGACCTCACCTTATCAACTTCCCAGCCTGCAAAAGCGAAGAACCATCAAGAGATGCCTCCCCCAAATGTTAGTCTCTTTGCGAGCCACCGTGCTGCTCTCCAATCCATGTTTATACGAAGATATTCAAAGCAGAGTGGAACGTCCATCTCTACGCCGAGGGCTTTCAATGTTTTTGGTAAGCGTTTCCACAAGTATGATTTCATCTTTCCGCGCCGCTGACAATGGTGGCGAACGGCCTTCACAGTCCCTCATACCTTCGTACCCTTTGATGTTGCCCTCGAGACGAGAGCAGACAACACGCTGTCTTTCTCTTTCGGACTTTGATGAGGCTCTCAAACCGACTTACCGCAACTCTAAGCGGATTCAGGACTTGATCGCAACGAGGTCTTATGTTTCAAGTCAATGGGATTCCCGCAGCGCTCACTATAAATACCAAACACGGAGGCTGTGAGCTGCGATCATTACGTTCGTTCGACCCACGTGGAGCCGCAACCTGTTCCTGCTAACTTTTTGAGTGATTTACCTCTTTTGGCAATCTGTGCCTCTCGCTTCTGCAGGAACCGGATGTTGAATGAACCGTCCATCTATAAGATCGTCACGTGGAGAATACTCGAGGCTTCATCATTGGCCGGTACCTCTCCGCGTTCCTGGTTCCTGGACGTTCGATCTTCGATGCGCATGCTTTGCGTTCGTATTCGTCGCCCCGAGACCAATACCACCATGGCCAGCGTCGATTTCACTTCTGAACGAGAAGCACTGTCCAGTCTGTGCCTATTCATCGGCTGGAGTCGACGACAGCCTGTGGAGTTGGACAACAGTTACGTAGGTTCTTGGTCATCTGATCCTCTGCGATGCCGGTCAGAGACTCGGGTATTTGAAGCGTTGTAAGTCTCCCTTCACACCTTCTTCCCATTGACAATTGATTCAGCTTTCTGAAAAATTCCTGTCTTGTCTTCTACCATCGTTTTACATCCATCACTCAATCATGAAAGCATTCATTGGCGCAGCAGGTCTCGCAGCCGGAGCTTCCGCAGCCATCCTCCCCAGAGATCAATGCTGCTTCCAGATTACTGCTTCTGGAGGCAAGTCTGGCACAGTCGGACAGCTCTCCGATGGCCAGAATCGTATTGGTGGCTCCCACCCAGCCGGCACGTACTGCCTCAATAATGGCGGCCTTACCGATTCGCAGGGTCGAGGGTGCATCTTGACTCCACCAACCACGCAGTTCCAGTGCGATCAGGGTGCCACTCCTACCACTGGATTCTCTATCGGTCCAAACGGTCAGATCGAGCACAATGGTAGCGATCAGTTCTACGCCTGCGCAGCCACGGACTCTGAGTACAACATCTACACCACTCCTGTGTCTGGTCAGGAGAAGTGCGTCAAGGTCACCTTGAGCTCTGGCGGCAAGTGCGGGAGCTCTGGCAGCGGCTCATCTTCTGCGTCTGCATCGAGCGCTCCTACTCAGTCGCAGCCGGCGCCATCGAAGCCGTCCGCTCCCGCTCAATCGCAACCTTCCGCACCAGCATACAGCTCTCCTCAATCTTCGCCAGCTCAGTCCAAGCCCTCGGCACCAACGGTCACAAGCACTGTCCAGTCGACTGTTTACCACACCACATACCACAGCTCGCCGGTTCAGAGCTCCCAGCAGCAACCACCTCCAGCGTATAGCTCGGAGCAGCAGACCACCCCTGTCCAGACCAAGCCAACCGCTCCTGCCGAGACTCACCCAGCTCCATCCTCAACGGCCCCATCTGGCACTCAGCCAGCTACTTCCGCCCACGGATCTGCCTGCCAGACCTCCTTAACCGGCGCTTATCAAACCCCACACCTCATCGTCCCCGTCTCGAGCAGCCAGCCAGACAAGTCGTACGGAACCCAGTACAACGCAACAATCAAGTCCGACGAATGCACCGTCTTCAACTTCGACATCCCGCAATCCTACTCCGGCAAAAGCTGCAGCACCGTCTTCCTCTTCCCCGAGCAGAGCCAGCTCGAGACCTCCAGCTACACGTTCTCCGGTTCCGGCAACCTGGTCTTCTCCGAGCTGAGCAAGGCCGCCAGTCAGGACGTCACATGGAAGTCTCTCCCCAGCAAGAAGAGCCAGCTTGGATCTGTTGGTGTCAGTCCAGGTAACAGCTATGCTATCTCGACCGAGTCTTGCGCCGCTGGAACGACGCAGAGCATTGAGGTGTGCGGTACTGGCGATCTCAGTTTGGAATTCTTCGAGGACTGGAACCCATCTCCTATTGGAGTGTTCATCACGTCCTGCTAGACGTGAACTAGTAGGTGCATGGACGGGAACCAACTCGTCGCCATGAAAGGATGATCTAGATGAGCATACGCCCGGCTAGAAAGCGAAATAGAGAGCCGAAATGGGCTTATGATATATAACGAACACAGATGTATTGTCAAATAATGAACGTTCCTTCCAGATACGAATCGCCTCTTGTGGTATCTTGTCTACATCGCATGAGTCTCTCGCCTCATTCCTCCAAGAACGGCCATAATACTGCTGAAGGGACTCCATCAAAATTTGATTGACAGTAGCTAGCTACCTATTGTCACCCCTCTGCCCTCCGCCTATCAGGGTGATCAGAAGACCCGCCAATCAACTGGGTAATTCCTTCTGCGCCGCCAAACCTTAGCTTCTGAAGAGAACCACTTCACCTTTCAGTATTCTCGACATGTTCTGCAGATCGTCCCGAATAGCTTCTACCACTTTACGAAAACCGCCCTGGATAGTTGTTCGTCAGTGTTCTTCTAGGATGGCTTCCACGTATAAATCAATCGCGGCACTCCAGAAAGATCTCAAGGACGGCAAGACAACTGTGAGAGAAGTCACGAAATACTATTTGGACGCCATTGAGAGGCTGGATAAAGAACTCAACTCTTTTACCACGGTCAATCAGAGAGCTTTGGAAGATGCTGAGAAGCTGGACGGCATCCCGGTGGGGCGAAGAGGTCCGTTGTTCGGAGTTCCAATCGCAATCAAGGATCAGATAGACACTGCTGGCTTAAGGACCACTTACGGAAGCAAAGCCTGCGAGGACTATGTGCCGCCCGAAGATGCCACGATCGTTCGCAAACTAAAGGAAGCTGGTGCAGTAATACTAGGAAAGACTACGTTATGCGACTGGGCTACTGGGTTCTCTTCCATGTCATCCATGACGGGAACCACAAGGCATCCTATCGATCCTACTCGAGACCCTGGTGGTAGCTCAGCCGGTAGTGGCACAGCCGTGGGAGCAGAACTTGCTCTAGCAGCGATCGGTGGCGATACAGGAGGCAGCATTCGATTGCCGTCTAGCTTCTGCGGTTTGGTTGGAGTACGAATGACGCCTGGAAGAATCAGCAGAGATGGGATGTCTGCTTTGGTCAAGACGCAAGATACACCTGGTCCCATGTGTAGGACTGTTGAAGACGCGGCGAAGATACTTGATGTGCTTGTGGGATTTGATGAGAAAGATGATTTCACATCGATCAATGCTCTGACTGGTCGGAGTGCATCCGCAACACAGTTTCAAGATGCTGTTGCTCAGCCGTTTCTTGAAGGCAAGAGACTTGGGGTTCTGAGACAGGAGTTCGGATCACATCTTGGCATAAACGATATCCTTGACAAGACCCTCGCCGACCTCAAGGGCGCCGGTGTTGAGCTTGTCGACGTTGAGATACCCAATCTCGACGACTTCAAAAGAATCACTGCGCCGTATGTCCTGCGAGCCAAGGCGGACATCAACGAGTTCTGCGCCTCTCGCCCAGCATTGCAGCACATCAAGCTCGAAGATCTTTACGACAAAGGGATCTACCACAAAGGACTTGAGCTGATCCCTTCAGCCGTCAAAGGCTCCACCAAATTCGAACAAAGCCCTCACTTTGCAAAGTATCTTGTTACTCGCGAAGAGTTTCAAAGAAAAGTAGCCGCTTTGTTCGCGAAGCATAGCTTAGACGCTATCATCTATCCAACATGCAAGACACTCGCGCCGAAGACACAGCAGCTGCTTGATGGGGAGTGGCAGCATGTTCCTAATACCGTTATCGGAAGCCAGCTACTCTTCACGGCACTGTCAGTACCTATAGGGAGGGCCAAGGATGATGACTTTCCGGACGATCCTGCGCTGCCTGTTGGACTTGAGATACTCGGTGTTCCCCTGAGCGAGGAAAGGATTCTGAACATTGCGGCTGGCGTTGAGGCATTGCAGAGCAAATAGCAAGAACAGCTTCCCGTTACAATGCACGCACGTCGCGTTGACTTGTCTTGACCCGGTGCGTATGAGGAATCGATGCTATGATAGCCAAGCTTTCGTGCGCCTCCTGGCTTAGGAGCTTCGGACACTCTGCGCTCCTGGCAGACAGTAGGCCAATTGTTGATTAAGACTCTTCTCACACCTGCTTTTATATAAAGGGGGTTCTTTTGTACAGCAAACAACGTGGTAGTAGACACTAGCCTGACTAATGCCTACATATACCCAGCTCCTAGATAGAAAGTTAAATCGAGCATCCAAGTTTACATTAATATAGTGTTTTGATACTAATCGGTATTATGGAGTAAACGGAGCTCTCTTAGCACTCGCCCAGCAGACCTATTATGCCAAATGTCGCTCCAACATGCCCTGCTAGTGTTTAGAGACATAGTGGTTGTGTGGCATCCGTCGGGATTCGATTCCAACATTCACTTGCCGTCCGTGCGAGGGTTTGGACTAGAAAGCGCTAGCGCCGCTGCGTCACCTTCTCGACACACAACACCCGACGTCGCAAACAAGTCAAGACTCGCTTCAACTTTCGGCCAACGTCCTCACTATCAGCATTTCCGATATCAGTTTTCGAGTCTCCACGCCCTCTACGAAACGCTCTTCACACTTCCACGTTAGTACCTCCAGCTAACAGCTCTCTCACGCACACTTGCTAATGTTGAACAGTCTGCACCATGGCAGGTAAAGAAGATGGAGCGCCCACCCATCGGTCTGGCTTCATACTCAAACTCAAGAACCCTTCCTTCTCGAACGGCGACATCAACAGTGCGAGTCGACGCAGGCTGCGCAGCAACTCACGCACTACTTCCAACAGTCCGTTCCCACAGCAGTGCGGACATAAGATGAAGCGCGCCAGATCGGGAGAACTCATCGAGGGCGACATGGAGAAGCCAGAACCGAGGAAGCGCGTCCGATTCGAAGAGCCCATGGATGTCAATACTGCGGTAGAGGAAGGACGTGCCAATGAAGAGGTGGATGCCGAGAGCGACGACGACGACTCAGTCGACAACTGGCCCTTGAGCAAAGTCTCCAAGATCAGAGACATCTTCAAGAGCGGTAAGTCCAACAACGGGCTCCTCAACCTCGCGCCGAACGAAATCAGGGGCGTCAACCTCCTTCAACTACGCCTCGAGTACACCATGCAGAACCTCCTCGAGACTTACAAGGAGCGTCACGACGGAGAAGAGCTAGCTCAGAGTACCATCAAGAAGGCCTTCACGAACGCGTTCAATGACGCTGCGAAGCAGAACGGCGTGCCTGTGGAGGATCTCAAGAGGGTGTACAATCGCTTCACGAAGGGCTCCAAGACGCGCAAGTTGAGGGGAACGCTGGACGGCGCGTCGAAGCCGACTGGGGTTGTCAGGAGGTCTACTAGACCTCAACGTGCAGCTCGCGATACCACGCCTGCGGTGCCAATGCCCAGAAAGGAGAGGATGCCACGCAAGAGGACCGTCAAGGACGAGATCATCGGCGCTCCAGAAGCACCCATCACACCAGCCTTCGAAATGTCCGAAGGCGAGATTGCAGTCCAGAAGCGCCTCACCCAGGCTCGTGCTACCGGTGTGAAGGTTCCGCAACTCCCCTTCTACCACTCACTCGTCAGGGCCCTCAGCGAGAAGTGCGATTTCGAGAGCCTCAGGACGTCAGATCTGAGGGAAATCAACCACATTGGCAGAGCCTACTCGGTCGAGGAGTTGGTGCTCGCTCTCAACTGCTTATTTCCAGGCCGTGCTACCACCGAGAAGGTTCGTGAGCTTGTCGAGAATTGTCGGGAGGAGATGGTCCTGAATGGCATTAAGGAGTACGGGTACGATAGGGAGAACGATATGTTTTTGCCCAAGGAGAGGTAGTTTGAGGGAGCTGTTTCGAATGGTCTGTACGGCCTTGGAGGGAAGACGTTGTAGTGGAGACTCTATGCTCAGGGCGTGGACTCGGGTGATTTCACAAAGGAGTTCGGTGGAACACAGTGGCAAAACCAGGTCTTCGAATAAGATGCTCAAGGTTCATTCACCTACAAGCTACATAGGTGAAAATAATGTCTTATCGAAGAGTCCACATGCAACTTCATTGTTTCTGTGTATAACAATAGCAACTGGTGTCTCATTAGGCTACTTAATCAGGTGTCTCAATTCTATTCACTTACAGCTCATAGTGGTGAAGACTGGAAATGCACATGTAACTAGACTCTTCTTCGGTCTGACAATAGTAATTAACACTTGAATGGGTCTTTTCAAAAAGACCGCCTGTCCACCGCTTCAACTTAACTTCTTACACATCTCTTCCAACTTTCTACACTGGACTTGAACAAGTTAGAACATACCACACACTCGAAAGTCAGCATCCAGCGCTTCCAGCCCCTTACGCCTCGACAAACCTCTACCAAGACCTCGAGACTTCACACCATCCTACCGCTCTCTCAGCACAGAACTTCAACATGGTCAACTCGCGCTTCATCGGCAACACCGATCCCATGAAGGAAGATACCACCTTCAAGAGGGTCGGCGACGCAGCCGCCCCAAACTTCCGACCCGACCCAGCTGCGCAGCCATATCTCGATGCCATGGCCGCCGAGCAAGCTACGGAGAAGGAGCGCGAAAAGGAGCGCGAAGATGGCGACCGTGACGACGAGAAAGAGGCGCTCTTCCGCGTCTACTTCGACAGCGGCCTCACCAATGAGGCTATCCTCTCCGGCCCACTCGCAGACATCGATGGCAAAGCGCTCCTGCAGCTGCGGGTGACGATGACCTCCCAAGAGCTTCTCGATGCCATAGAGGCGAAGCACGGCGCAGGTGCGATCAAGATCACTACTCTCCATCGTCGGTTTGGAAGTGCCTTCGACGATGCTGCGGCGGAAGATGGGGTCGACGTTGCTACCATGAAGGATGCGTTCAACAAGGTGTCAACGGTGTCGAGAGCGAGGAAGACGGGCTGGACGAGGCCTGATGCGAAGGGTCAGAGGAAGGCATCAGCGTCGACGTCGAAGAGTTCGGCATCAGGGTCGAAGGGAAAGAAGGTGACTTGAAGGCGAGTCTTGATTGCTTCGTCCTCTACCATGGCCTTTGCGGCTCTCGACTTCTTCAAGTACAGTTTCTTCGACTGCAGCACTCATACTTCAGCCCCATGTTCGACATCGCAAAGCAGCAGAGAGATTCCGTCAAGGCAACTATCCATTTCATCCATTTCCAAAGCAGCATACAGAGCAGTTTCGAGCACAGCGTTTGCGTTTCAGCGACATCAGCGACCATGAGTTCGGCAAGCGAACTCTGGGCAGGAATCGATCTCCTTGGGTGGATTACTTGGGTTCAGGGCTATTTTCTTGGGGTTGTGGGTTTCAGCAGCTTTGGCCTTCCCGCGGCGTCTTCGATAAAGCCAGCAAGCCGCCCCAAAGACGGGATCGGCGCAGTCCACGACTGTGTCTGCGGTCGACACGGTTAGTTCAGTATGGGTTATAGTTTCAGTGTAGATAGGATAGAGAAGCACTCCTTCATGTGCCAACCATATCTTCCCAGACTCACAGGAGATATCCTCAACGCTCCAACGTAGCTGAGCTGGAAGCGTACTTCAAAGCCTTAACCCACTTTCGGCTTGTTATCGCTTGGGATGGTTGCTTCCCGCATGATCGTCGTAGTCTCGCTTATTCCCGTGTCTGGTATTGTTGCACGAAGCTACATAGACGTTTTTGGTGTCAGACATAGTCTGCTTTGTTCAAGAATCTTCTGATTTGCAGGAATGGTATCAATTCAATACAAAGCCCTCGTAAATCCAAGACGAGGACTAAAGGCCATGTCGAATCTTCCCAGATAGCAGGACGTATTCGGATTGTCTATCGCTGTGATGGGTCGAAATATTCATCTCGATGCATAATCTTGCCTGACTTCGATCTCTTTCTTCCGACCATCATGTGGCCGGTACAGCGACGGTCTCTCTCAGGTGCCTGTATCCCCATTCGCCTTGCCGTTCTGGCAATGCTCAAGATGCCATTCATTTTTCTCCCTCATGCTCTTCACCAGATCCTGAAACTCCTCAACCGAGTCCTCCTCTTCCCTTCCGCCACTGACATGCCCTGACCAGATGACATCCTCAACATCGCACTTCGCATTCGTTCGATTCAGTTGAGGATCGGTCGACAACACGCGCGCGTCGCGGTGGAAGGAGGTGAAGTCGCGACTGGAACCCAAAACGGCTCGACGGATTCACTTCCGCGAAAGCCTCAGCTGCAGGGAGATCCGTGCGTCGTACGATTCGACCTCGACATCTCCTTCTGTGGAAACACGAAAATGGCACGACCGACAATTGTACGAATAGAAAACGACTGAAAGGTCACTGTGGACGACATCACCCTCTTTTCGATTCGACACGCTCTTTTACAGGGATTCGTTCTGGACTTCGAAAATTGAAAGGAAAACAGGGGAGAAAAAAGAAAGAAAGATGAACTTCCTCTTCGTAGCCCTCACAGTCCTCTTGGCCGCCGTGGGATACCGAGGATACCTTTCCCTGGAAGAAAACCTCGAATCATTCTTCATCTTCAACCCGGACCAGCTGAAGCAAATCTCATCCGCAGCCCTCGAACAACATGGCAACAACACCGAGGCGGTAGTCTCGCACATCGTGGCGAGTCTGCAGCAGATCGACAGCGTGAAAAATCACATCAATCTCGAGCAGGAATGGGTCTTCAACAATGCCGGAGGAGCGATGGGCGCCATGTATATTATCCACGCCAGTAAGTGCCCAAATCTCTGCCTTTCCAGACCTTCCCCAGCTAATCCTCTCCATCACCAGGCATAACAGAATACCTCATAATCTTCGGCACCGCCCTAGGAACCGAAGGCCACACAGGCCGGCACACAGCCGACGACTACTTCTACATCCTCAAAGGCGCCGAGCTCGCCTTCGTGCCCGGGCAATTCGAGCCGGAAGTCTATCCCGTCGGCTCCGTGCACCACCTGCACCGTGGCGATGTCAAGCAGTACAAGATGGAGAGCGCGTGTTTCGCGCTCGAGTATGCGAGGGGCTGGATCCCGCCCATGTTGCCGTTTGGGTATGCGGATACGTTTTCGAGTACGTTTGATTTTCCGACGTTGTGGGCGACGACGAGGATTACGGGGAGGGAGATGATTGCGAATTTGGTGAAGGGGAAGTTGTAGAGTTGTGATGGGGAGAAGGGTGGGGACAGACTGGGTTGTAGGTCTTGTCGAGGTATCGACCTGAGTGAGTCGAGTATGATAGAGTAGAGAAAAGGCCGGGAAGCAAGCTGTTGCTTTGTACTTTGTATTGTAAATCAAGATGCTCTTGTTTTCAAAAAACGCCTGTTGCTATGCTTTTCATCTCTGTACAGAAACAACTGGCTGGGTATCACTGTCCAACACCGTAGCAATGCATGTGTACAACAAAAACAAACCACCACTCAAAATCGGCCGTCAAAATCATCTTTCCCACATCAATTACACCATTCAACTCTTCCTCTTTGCCTTCCCACACTCCCTCTTATGCAACGGCTCATCCGGCCAAACCCACCCCCTAATCCTCTTACTCCCCCTCTTGTCCTGCTGATTGACCTTCGGCATCCACTCATCCCTCTCCAAATGCCTCTTCCTCGTCAAAGCCGTCGGGCCCCCAACATCCACCCTCCAATGGAACTGCCTGGGAAACGGCTGCTCCTTCGCCAACATATGCAGATAGAAAAGCGCCAGTCCCGCCGTCATTTTAGTCTCCTCGTTGCTGCTGCAAGATGAGGAGATCTGGATCGGAGGGGAGAGTTCGAGGTATCCGAACAGGGGGATGTTTTCCTCGTTGGGTGTCCCGCCCATGCGCACGCAGACGAGTTCGATTTCGGTCATGATGAAGCCGTACCGTGTGCCGTGCTCGCGCATGAAGCGCTGGAGGTGCGCGAGGTGTTCGAGGTAGCGGATCTTGTCGACGGGGCTGCCGTGGCGGTAGCCGGAGTTCCATTGGTCGTAGGACTTAACGATACCGACGACGCGGCCGCGGCCGTCGCCGTAGATGGTCTTTTCGGCGTCGGATTGGTAGTTTGCGATGAACTCGGGTTGCTGGCGGGCGCCGGGGGCGAGGCGAAGGGTGCGCATGGAGATGTGCTTGTCGCCTTGGGCAACGCGGAGGGCGGCGTTGACTTTGACGGCGTGGTGGCTGGCGCAGAGCTCGGCGAGTTGGGCGGGTGTTTCGGGGGCGAGGTTGACTTTAGATGGGGTTGGGAGGGAGCTGAGGGAGATGTCGATCTTGAGAAGGTCAAGGAGGCCGGGGATAGAAGAGATTGTGGAGATGTCAAAGTCAGACCAAGCACGGAGGTTGCGGATGTCGAACCAGAAGTGGCTGTTCTGGGCTTTGTTGGTCTCATTGATTCTCTGAATCAGCGATGGGGTTGGGTTCGAGCCAGTCAGGTATTCCAATACCGTCGATGTACGAAGGTCTTCTTCCTCTGGTGGTTCAACTTCCACGGAAAGGCGAGATGGATTGGCTGGAGGACTGGCAGTTCGGCGGCTGTTTGGGTAGTTCTGAACCTGGCCACCAGGCATGGCGATTGGAGCGAGATGGCTCATTGCGCTGGGAGTGCGAGACATCGAGGCCCCGTAGGTTACTGGTTGTGGAGTTGGACTCTGTCGATAGGTGGGATAGCCGTACCGACTCAGCATGGAGGCATCAATGCTTGAAGACGATGCATTCCGCGAGTGTGACCGTACGCTTGAGATGTGCGAAGAGGATACAGACCTCATGTTGCCCATTGAAGGTCTATTCCCCAGCATCGACTCAGGCTGAAGATGGCCGTACGGCGATGGCGCAGGAGTTGGTGCCGCATCCACAGCTCGTCCGCGCGGGCTCGTTGAGCGTCTGTCCAGACTCGGTCGACCTGGTAGTGCAGGTCCGAACTGCATCGAAAAGACATTGCTGGGTAGAGAAGCTGTTCTGCTGTGGCTTGGGAAAGAAGGCAGGCCTGAAGCAGGCTCCATAAGTTGATCTTGGTCGCGAGGTTTTGGCAGGAGTCGTGATCCGTTCTCCCGTATTATCATAGGCGATCGCGGTGGTGTAGTTGCGCAAGTCATCACAGTCTGTGGTGACCAGTCGTGAGGGTAGTAAGTGGCATCCGTACTTGCGCTGCCTCCAGGGCATTGCAGATCATCGTATTCTCCAGCATCGACCTCTGACGGAGGCGTGACATGTCTAAAGTCCATTGTATCGAGGTCGTAGCTTCCAGAGCTGTCGCTTTTATCGATTGGTCGTTGCGTATATGCAATTAGGTATTAGCACCAGCATTGACAAGGAGACCAGCTCCAGACAAATGCCTATCAAGCTGACAAAGGAAAAAGAGAAACAACAAAGAGACTCGTTGAGCTCGTCACAAGCTGGGGCCGTGCAGTCGAAGCAGTTGGTAAATGATTCCTGTCGAGGGAGGAAGCACGTATGGGGGCGAAGACGCCTAGCTATATGTCTTGGATCTCGAATGGTATCAACACAACAGACCAAGGCTATTCAAAGATCGTAGCGTCATTCCTAAACTTGAAACGAACCCGTGAGCAGTGCAGCGAACATCCGTGCATTCGCCCGGCAGGACGCATTTGGCATTGGCAGCAGGCCCAGTAGCAGGCTAGACGTCGGGTCAAGGTAATCGAAACGGCTCAGGGTCGTGAAACGGTTCCGGATAGGTTTCACAGAATGCGGTCGACATTGCTAAACCAGATGGGCAATAGGGCTGCCATGCTGCATCCAGCGAAACCGAGTGGCTGTTGCTAACTTTGGATGTCGTGCAAAGAATACCTTTGGCGGTTAGCAAGATGAAACACTTTGCAGGTGGGATATGCACAATCTGCAGACGGTCCACATACAGTCGCTTCATTGCTAGAAGGTGAAGTCGGCGCTTCGAAGGCTGGGTGGTCGGCGCGTAACTGCAGCAAGCGCGCCTGCAGATGGAGAACGAGGGACTTGGCGCGTAAGTGAATGTTGATTGGGTGGCTCTTGATGCAGCTTCCAACCACATCTGAACCTTGTGCCATGCAACCCGGTGATCAAACTGCCGAACGATGGCCAGGAAGAAGTTAGAACTAGGTCCAAAGTGTTTCAAGAACTGCATACCATCGTGAGTCATATCTTGACCGCATCTCCAGTCTGCAGTGTTGCCTGTTCGTTTGTATTCAGATTTTGGGCTTGAAAACTTCTTCTCACATCCTCCGTCTCTCTTCTCAAATTTCGCAGAAACACTTTCACCAAAAGCCCTCATGATGACTTGTCATCTGACCTGTCACTAATTCCATCAGCAGGACTGTAGCCTTGTCTCTGTTAACGCGCGCCATCTGGTGCAACTCCATCAGCGCCAAGCAGAACCCCATCTGCCTCATCTCTCGACAGCGGGATGTGGATTGCTACTATATTCGGAAGATATATTGCGCAACAGCGTTTGCATCTCCAGTATGCATTACGCGCTGCACACATTAGCGCCGCATAGCCATGTTCTGATCTTATGTGTGGAATGCTGTTTCAATTGTCGGGCGTCATGGTGTAGCGCCTTTTTTCGTCAGTCATTCGAAAGCGTAAGCTCGCCGAAGTCCTCGGGGACTGATCGTGACTTGCCCGGCTTCCAGTGAAGACGGACCTGTGAAGACTTGAATGTTCATGAAAGCTCGGCCGCGACTGTCTGGTTGTAGCTGTCGTTGTCATCATACACTGCATCTACGCCCCAAAATCGTACATCCTCTTGTCGTAAATCATCATTATCATAAGATTGGCTTCTTCAAGTCGATCCCAACAATGACCTCCCCAGGCTATGGCCTCGAGTTGGCGGGCCCAACACCAAGAACGCTTGCTTCTCCAAGAAAGTTCGCTGGCAGGCCAGCGTCGGCTGCGTCTTGTGGTCGATCACGAGGACGTCTTCTCCGTCCAGAGGCACGTTCTCCTCGACGACCCATATTTGCATCTCCAAAAGCGCTCATAACGACATTGGCAGCATTCTGAACGAAATTCTCGTTCAGAAAATGGCCGCCTGCATTTCCAAGTCCCCATGTTTCCACATCAGCTCTCTGCCGTGCTTGGCGGCCGTCTTCAGGCTCGAGCAAACTTGCAAGCTGCATCCTTCTTGCCAGATCCTCATCCAAACGCTCCTGGCGCTGCCGTTGGTCAATCTCTTCTGTGTACGTCGGCTGTCGTCGTCGATTGACAGGTCGTGGTGGATCATTTATCGGCGGCGGTGGTGTTTGGCCGGGCTCAGGTGCACCAAAAGCCCTTCGGTAGACGACTTGAATAGGTTCTGGTATCCGCCATTCATTAAGCCGATCTGGATCTGGTAGCTGGGAGTAATTGAACCATGGGCAATCGCAGGTCTTCCATTTGCAGCCACATATCATGCAGAACTCGGCCATACATCGACACGTCATATGGTTGCAGCCTTCTTTCAGCTCGACCATCGCATGGCAGCTGTAGCACGTCTGCCAACCCTTTTCCTTAGCTTGTTCCACGAGTTTGGCGATTTCTGGATCTTGAGGACAGTCTCGCGATTTGTGTAGCTTTCCGTTGCAAGAGAGGCATACTTTGGTGCTGCATCGAGGACATTGCGCATACTTCCTGCCGTGATATGTGTGCATGTGAGAAGGCTTGATCCACTCGCCGCATTTCTGTGCAGGGCAGTAGATCCTGTTCTTGGTGTGATATTCCTGGTATTTACGATTCCACAACATTTTGAACTTGAGGTCGAACAGCTTCTCAACGTGCTTCAACGGTATGTGGTCGTTAGTGCAACATTTCGGTGGCATCATAGCTGGGTCTTTGACAGACATCTCAAATACATGTTTCAAACAATCGTGGCACATTCGGTGTCCGCAGGCCAGCTTCACGGACTTGTTAAAGGGTACATCGTCGGAAGCGCAAGTCAAACACTCGACTAGCTTTGGAGTGACAGGAAGTGCAGGCTCCGTGTTTCGGCGTAGTATCGATCCAATAAGCGAAGGGGTTGGCTGCCGTTTACTTGATCGTCGAGACGGGCTGTCTCTGGGTTCCGATTCCCCTTGTTCGTCAACAGGAGCAAGCCTCGCCGACGAGGTGCTGGCTCTCTTCAAAGGAGATCGAGAACTCGACAACACTTTGGAAGATCTCCTCGCAGGCTGTATCCCGACTTGTGATATGCTATCATCTGGCGTGACCTCCGACTCAACGACAGTAGGTAGGCTGTGTCGCTTGGAGGAGCTCGATCGTGTGGAACGTGGTCGTGAGTCCGATCCATGCCTGTTGCCGATACGCTCTTTGCTCTCAGAGGATCTTGAAGTTCCATACACATAGTCTTCTGTCCTACTTGTACTCCTCCCACTGCTCTTCTCAGCCTTCCCGGGATGACTATGGTGCTTCCTTCGTCGACGTTTGTGCTCGCTGGATGGTTTTCTAGAAGACAGTGTTGACTCTTTGGACTCTGGCCTAGTCTCGACCGGTACCACAACTCTTCTGCGTAACTCGGGCGGAACACTAAGGTAGGCTACTCTTCTTCGTCGCAACTCGTCGAGTTCAGGCTTCGGGGCGACTTGATCTTCAGCTGGCTTTGGCGTGCGGTGTTTGGGAGTCGCTTTCGATCGATGGGCCCGCATCGACCTGCTGCTGCTGCCATGGCGACTGCGACCGCTGATACTAGCAGTCACCATGATGGCGATGAAGGCAGCAAGGCTTTGGACTAGACGGGAGACAAGAGCGCACAGAGCGAAGCTCGTCAGAAGACCAGCTCAGACCCCTGTGACCTGGTGTGGCGGGAAGACTTTACTGAGAACGGTTAGTCTGCCGCTAGTGCATTGCTTAAGCGAAAAAATACGCCCCGGTGCGCCGACCACAAGCAATTGTGATGCACGGTGTCGTGTGCTGCGATGTCGGTGTGAGATAAAATCAATTCAGACGACGAGATAAAATACTACTCAACCTCTCATTGATGACGGGAGACTGAGGAACCAGCAGGACTTCGCCTTCCGTTGCCGAAGATTGGCCGTCTGGTCCACCGCTGCCAATGACTCCATTGCTGTGATACAGCTCAAAATTCCCTCGATTTACTCCAGTCTAGCAAACATATACAATGGCGCTGGATACGAAGGATGTGCGACCAGATCCCACGTCTGATCTCCATTGGTCGAATTATCGAGGAGCCATCCATGAAATATTTGCAGCCAGCGCAGGGAAGCATCCCGATCGCTCTTGCGTAGTCGAAACGGCGTCTTCGACCTCTCCAAAACGCGAATTTACCTACAAGTCCATCAACGAGTCGTCGAACATTGTTGCTCACCACCTGGTCAGCAATGGCATCCAACGTGGCGAAGTCGTCATGGTCTACGCCCACCGTGGCGTGGATCTTGTCGTTGCCGTCATGGGTGTTCTGAAGGCTGGCGCTACATTCAGCGTGATCGACCCAGCTTACCCTCCAGACCGTCAGATCATCTACCTGGAGGTCGCTCAACCACGAGCGTTGATTAACATCGACAAAGCCATCAGAGACGCTGGGCCATTGCACGAGACGGTCAGAGCGTTCATCAACGAGAAGCTCCAGTTGCGGACCGAGGTACCAGCACTGAAGTTGCAAGACGATGGCTCTGTCCTTGGAGGCTCTTTGAGCGGAGGGGCAGACTGCCTTGAACCTGAAGTCGCCAAGAAGGAGAACTTGCCAGGCGTTTTGGTAGGACCGGACAGCGTACCCACTCTATCATTCACATCAGGATCCGAAGGTCGACCAAAGGGTGTGCAAGGGCGTCACTTTTCTTTGGCCTACTACTTCCCCTGGATGTCAGAGCGATTCAACCTGACTGACAAGGAGCGCTTTTCCATGCTGAGCGGCATAGCCCACGACCCCATTCAAAGAGACATCTTCACTCCTCTTTTCCTTGGCGCCAGCCTCATTGTGCCTCCGGCCGAGGACATCACGTTCGACAGACTGGCGAAGTGGGCCAGTGACAATGCCATCTCCGTCACACATCTCACCCCAGCCATGGGTCAAATTCTGCTTGGAAGTACAGAACCTAAAGTCGAGAGTCTCCACGCAGCTTTCTTCGTTGGAGACGTTCTGTTGAAGCGTGATTGTCGACGGTTACAACAACTTGCCCCGAACTGCAGGATCAAGAATATGTACGGCACCACTGAGACCCAGCGAGCTGTTAGCTATTACGAAATCCCGTCTCTCAATGAGGACGCCGGCTACCTTGACAAAATGGGCGACGTAATCCCCGCTGGCATGGGCATGATCGACGTGCAGCTTCTGGTCGTGGATAGAGAGAACGTCCAAAGGCAGTGTGAAGTTGGAGAAATTGGTGAAATCTATGTCCGAGCTGGTGGACTGGCAGAGGGATACCTTGGCGATCCAGAGAAGAATGCTGATAAGTTTAAGTGGAACTGGTTCGTGGACAACCAGAAATGGGTCTACGAAGACAACAAGCGAGTGGCTGCGGCTGGCACAAAAGAGGCCTGGAGGGAACAGTTCAAAGGACCACGAGACCGCATGTACCGGTCTGGAGATCTTGGCAGATACATGCCAGACGGCAACGTCGAATGTGTCGGCCGTGCCGATGATCAAGTCAAGATTCGCGGCTTCCGAATCGAGCTCGGCGAAATCGACACTCACTTGAGCCAGCATCCACTCATCCGCGAGAACGTGACTTTGGTCAAGCGTGATCACAATGAAGAACAGATCCTCGTATCTTACTATGTGCCAGATATGCAGAAGTGGAGAGAGTGGTATTCTCAGCAAGAGGAGAAAGCACAGCGCCAATCATCCAACGGCCTTCTTCAACCCAGTGGCGTCCCACGACGCAGGACATCTGCCAAAGAGACCCATGGCGTAGCGGAACGCATGAAGATCTTCGAGCTCCTGACTTCTGACGCACGAGAGCTGCTGAAGAAGAAGGTGCCCACCTATGCCGTACCTACGCTCTTCATTCCGATGCTTCGATTACCACTCACACCGAATGGAAAAGTCGACAAGCGCGCTCTGCCATTCCCTGAGGCAGCTGAATTGTTGAGTGCATTGCCGAGGGCCGCAGACCTTGAATCTCGCACAGAGACCGAGAATGCTTTGGCTGAGATTTGGGCTTCTCATCTCAAGACACGAAACCACACATCCGAAACACTACCGCGGGATGCCAGCTTTTATGACCTTGGCGGAGACAGTATCATGACCGTACAGATCGTACCCAAGATCAACCGCAAGTGGCAAGGCGCGAACATCCCAATGTCAGTCATGGCAGGTGGACAGCCAACACTGAAGACCGTTGCAAAGTACATTGATCGGTCACTCGATCCAGTCGGCCTCCGTCTTGATGCTGCTGATGAGGCTGATGAGCAACAAACTGAGCACTACTCCAACGATTTGCCCAAGCAGATAGAGCTCCTGCCAAAGTCGTTCAACAGCGAGCTCACCCGCTCACTGGATGTTGGAGTGAATGTGCTCCTTACTGGCGCCACTGGATTCTTGGGAGCGTACTTGCTGCACGATCTCTTCCTGCGATCTCCACCTAACCACGTCCTGGCCCATGTCCGAGCACCATCTGCTGCGGCTGGGTTGGAGAGGATACGACAGACTTGTACTGCGTACGGCCTTTGGCAGGAATGGTGGGCGACCGAAGGCATTCTCGAAGTTGTGGTTGGGGATCTTGAGAAACCACGTCTTGGGCTGAACGACGCCGACTACCAGAAAGTCGCCGACGACTACGACATGATCATTCACAACGGCGCACGAGTTCATTGGCTCATGCCATATGAAAACTTGAAGGCAGCCAACGTCTCCAGTACCATCGAAGCAATCAAGCTCTGCGCGACTGGCAAGCCCAAACGCCTTTCGTTCATCAGCTCTACCAGCGCACTCGACACCGAGCATTACATCCAGCAGTCAGATGCAGGACAGCCTGTGTTTGAATCTGACAATCTCGAAGGCAGCCGACAAGGTCTTGGGACGGGATATGGCCAGACCAAGTGGGTCTCCGAGCAAGTCATCCGAGCTGCATGCAGTCGCGGTCTCAATGCCACCATCGTCCGCCCAGGATACGTCTTGGGTGATCCTGAAAACGGTGTCAGCAACACAGATGACTTCCTTGTGCGTATGCTCAAGGGTTGTGTACAGGTTGGAGCGAGTCCTGACGTGAAGAATACGATCAACATGGTTCCCGTCACTCGAGTTGCCAGAGTAGTGACCGCTGTGTCAGTGTATGGTGAGAGCAACACCGTCTCCCACGTCGATGCCCGACCACGACTCACGTTCAACGAGTATTTGGGCATTCTGGAAGAATACGGCTACGACGTTCCACTCGAACCATACGAGACCTGGAAGCACAAAGTCGAGCAATACGTCGAAGCTGGCAAAGACGAGCTCGCCCTCCTTGGTCTCTACCACATGGTCACTGGTGACCTGCCAGCTGCTACAAAAGCACCCAATCTGGATATTACCAACGCAGAGCGCGCCGTGCAAATGGACAAGCAGCCAACCGCGAAGCCGGCCCCTTCGACTGTCACCAAGGAGGCAATCGGGGCATACCTGAAGTTCTTGATTGATAGAAGATTTATGCAGGAACCGATTCAGCAAGGAACGCCACTACCTGCGATCAGTCTCAGCAAAGAGCAAGTCGAGGCTCTGAACAAGGTCGGCGGTCGTGGCGGAAGCTCTTCATAGAGATAAAAGCTAGTAACATGTAAAAACATAGACACAAAAGTTGGGACGGAATGAATGGAAAATTAACGCTATCCAGGCCATCGAAATCCCCTCAGTACTTGCACATTCCCAGCACATTCAGCCAGCTAACGCGAGAACTAGGCTATCGTCGACTTCTTCATTATAATCATTTTTTGCAGCTCCCTACCGGCTAAACATCTTCGAGCTCTCGGTGGTCATTGTTCCTGGGAGAGGAGACACTGCATGTGCGGGGGATCCAAGCTCCATGTCCTGCAGCCACCTGACCTGGCATTTCATCATCAGCTGCAATACATAGACCTGAACGAGGCCTTGACTAGACTTGTTGCGTGCAGACTGACTGACCATGCAGGATCGTCTAGGCCTCACTCCATGTCTCTGCGAAGACCCCGCTGTTGCTGTGTGCAAGCGAGGGAGAGGTTTACTTTTTCTTTCCTCTACACGCTGCCTATTCTCCAAAGTTGTCAAGATTGTATTCTCTGACTCTCTCGTCTTTGTCCATTAGAAATATCCCATCGCTACAATGCCCCCCACCAAACTCCTCCTCCCCCTCCTAGCAACCCTAACAACAGCCCAAACCTTCACCGAATCCATCGCCCCCTCCCTAACCGCCGCAAATGGCACCCAAATCCCCAACCCAACCCTCCTCGCCACGACCCTCGCCATCAACGTCGAAGACTACTGGAACCTCCGCATTGGCCCCGTGCAAGAAGCCGCAACCACGACGACCGTCTCACCCACGCCGATTCCCTCGACAGAATTGATCCCACCTCCGCCGTTGTATTATGCGCCGTTCCCGACGGGCCAGCAGGTTTTCCAGACGCCTAAGAATGAGAGTTGGTCGTTTCCGAAGGACTTTTGGTGGGGTGTTGCTGGGGCGGCGCAGCAGATTGAGGGGGGTGTGAAGGCTGAGGGGAGAGGTGAGTTGATTAATTTAAGTTCTTTGGAGATAAAGGGGGAAGAGCAGGATCTTGCTCCTTCTTGGCTACTCTTATTCTGCGCCTGACCGACTCATCCCATCTGACTGTAGTCTATTAACATTGACGCAGGCCCCTCAATCTGGGACAAACTCCCCCACGTCCCCAACTACGTCGTCAACAACTACACCTCTGACGTCGCAGACAACAACTACTACCTCTACAAGCAAGACATCGCGCGGATCGCCGCTCTGGGCGTCAAAGTCTACAGCTTCAGTCTGAGCTGGTCAAGGATCCTACCATTCGGTAAAGGACCTGTCAATCAACTGGCGATCGACCACTATAATGACTTGATCGATACGTGCATTGAGTATGGGGTTACTCCTATGGTGAGTCTCATTCATTTTAACGCAAGCGGCCTACAGACCTGACTCTACAACCAGATCACCCTCTACCACTGGGACCTCCCGCTCTACCTCCAAGACACCTACGGCGGCTGGCTCTCGCCCTCCATCGTCGCCGACTTCGTCGCCTACGCCCGCATAGCCTACACCGCCTTCGGTGATCGTGTCTCGTACGAAAAAAGCCCCTCACCCTCCCCTCAAACACCAACTAACCCCTCCCCTCCCCAGCCACTGGTTCACCGTCAACGAGCCGATCGTCTTCTGCGGTTTCTACCCTCTCCCCACCCAACACTTCCCCAACTTCACAATCCCCAACCTGCACCAACGGTACTGGTGCGGGCACCACGTGCTCCTCGCGCACGCCCAGGCCTACCACCTGGGCAAGGCCCTCCTCGGCGCCAACTCGACCATCGCCCTCAAACACAACGGCGGCTACAAGATCCCGCTGACGAACTCGAGCGCCGACGCGGAGGCCGTGCAGCGCGCCTGGGATTTCAATGAGGGGTGGTTCTCCGATCCGGTGTTTTTGACGGGGGATTATCCGGTCAGTTTGAAGGCTTTCGTGAGGGGGTTCTTGCCGGAGTTCTCGGACGAGGAGAAGGGGATGATTAATGGGAGTGCGGATATCTATGCGCATGATGCGTATACGGCGCAGTTCTACTTTGCGCCTGAGGAGGGGATCGAGGCGTGTGTGCAGAACCCATCAAATCCTCTGTATCCGACTTGGTACGTTCCCATGACCATTCACTCACCCCATAGCTCCCTCTTACTGACCACACCTCCAGCGCCAACACATCCTACACCTACGCCCCCACCTCAGGCTCCTGGCTCATCGGCCCCGCCGCCGACCCCGGCTCCCGTACGTCCCTCTCCCCTTACAACCCGAAACCCCCAAAATCAAAACTAACACTCCCCCTCCAAAGCCTGGCTGCACACCGCAACCCCCTACCTCCCGTCCTTCCTCCACTACATGCAATCGACCTGGAAACCCCGCGGTGGCATCGCCATAACCGAATTCGGCTTCGCGGAACCCTTCGAGTCCCGCAAAACCCTCCTACAAGATATCCTCTACGACCCCGTGCGCTCCGCGTATTATCGGAGTTATATGGAGGGCGTGCTGGCGGCGATGAGTGAGGGCGTGAGGGTGGTGGGGACGTTGGCGTGGAGTTTTGTGGATAATTATGAGGTATCGTATCTATCCTTTCCTTTCCTCACCTCCCCCGTTTTTCCTTTCACCTCAGCCCCTCCTGGCTTTTCCCCCCTGGTCGTCAGGAGTTTGCTGTGCCGCTGCTGATGAGATGTCTTTTCACAGTGGGCCCAAGGCTACTCCGTGACCTTCGGCATGCAGTACGTCAATTTCAGCGATCCGGCTTTGCCGCGCAGGTTCAAGGCGTCGTTTTTCGAGTATGTGAATGTCTTTGAGGTCTACCAAGAGAAATGAGGCGACAGAAGTCAAGTTTCTCGAGGTATTGTTACTACCTCAAGGGCTGGCTATTAGGGGGAAGCAGGAGTTTGAATGTCATGCCAGATCTGGAAGTTGGTATGGGAGAATAGGGGAAGAGACCTTGCACCCTCACATGTTCTTTCATGCAAAGCATCTCTTATTTTTCAAGTACTTACCTAGAACACAAACTCCACAGAAAGGGGCATTCGCTCATACAGTGATGATAACGATGTAAAGCCCTCCAGAATACCTGTACAGATAGATGCCTTCGTTTCGGAGCCGGTGCCTTTGGGTACTAGTATCTAAGGAAAAACGACAAAATTTAGGCGCCTGTAAAACGCCACATGTAGTCTCTTCTTGCTCTCAAGTCACAGTCGCTGTCTCTATCCCACGCGGCGTCGATCTTTCACACGTGCCAAGAGAAACCGAATAATACGAGAGGCTTCCTTATCATTCTTGCACACAAGATCGATCCCGCTCTCCAGACGCTCCATTCTAAAACGCTGCCTGCCGTTTGTGTCCCGTCGGCCTTTTCGTCTTCGCTGCAGGACCCGCTCAGCAGCAGTTCTTGCCCAGTCCACCGCCTACACCACCTGCGCCGCCGCCCACTTGCACGCCAGACTGCTGCTGTTGTTGCTGGGGTTGTTGGGTGTCGACGATGCGCTTCTTGATGTCGCCGGCGAGGTTGTAAAAGGCCTTCTCGACGTTGATGTTGCTCTTGGCGGAAACTTCCATGAAGGGGATCCCGAGCTCGTCTGCTAGCGCCTGACCGTCCTCGGTCTTGACTGCGCGCTTCTCTTCCCAGTCGCATTTGTTGCCGATGAGGATTTTGTTGACGCCTTCAGTGGCGTGTTGTTCGACATTGGAGAACCATGTTCGGATGTCTGCATAGCACGAGCACGAGTCAGCAAGTCTGTCCTCTACCACACCGCCACTTCTGTCCACTCTATTATCGAGACAGGCGTGAACGTACTATCGAAACTTCTCTTATCCGTCACATCATAGACCAGTAGAATGCCCATGGCACCTCTGTAGTATGCGGTGGTGATGGTCCTGAAGCGCTCCTGTCCTGCGGTATCCCATATCTGCAGCTTTACCCGCTTGCCGTCGAGCTCAATCGTCCTGATCTTGAAGTCGATGCCGATGGTGGTGATGAAGGACGGTGTGAAGGAGTCTTCGCTGAAGCGCAGCAGGCAGCAAGACTTGCCTACGCCTGAGTCGCCGATAAGGAGCAGTTTGATCTGTGAGGGTCAAGTCAGTATGCCGGTCATTTATGCCCTCTGACTCCCACATGTGATGATCGGAGCCAATGTATCCTGTGCAATCTTCCCGCCGGATCATCTTCCCTCCGCCTCAGGCAAATGAAAGCGGTATACATACCAGAAAGTCGTAATTCCTCGTGCCTGCCATGATAGCAGCCTCCTAGCCTGTCCGGCGTATTGCGCACGAAGCTACAGGCGCCGCAAAGTCGTATGGGTTGGGGATGCGGCAGTCACGGGTCTCGCAGATCCGAACGTCCTTTGTCCCGTCTCGCGTGTTGTGACGATGGAGCCTGGTGGTAAACGTCTCGCCGAGGCTCGGTGTGGGGGAGGGGCGAGAAGGTGAAAGAAAAAGCAGACAGAGAGCGTCGCAGCTGAGACAGACGCTTTCGCTCGAAAGAAAGTGCGGGTTCCAAGAAGGGGGGTGGTGGTCGTCGGTGGCGTGGAGGGTAGAGCAGAGAGAGGCGCAGGAGGTGAGGTGGTGTCAAGCGATGATGGAGTTGGGAAGGTTACTTGCCTTGGTCGGCTTCGAAACCTCCGAGACCCTGAAATCTGCTGGCCATCCCTGTTCATTACTTTGATGGAACATTAGGCGGGCGAATACTTGATCCATGGGTCAGGTCAACGCCTTTGAATTGTACCGCACGTTTCACAGAGCAACGATGATTGGGATGGGAGGCTTCAAACACTTCTCATCAGAACATGTATGTGAAGACAGTCATTTTATCAATTGGAAGCGAGCTGCATCACTTCACTAGCACAATTCCAATCACTTCAGTACAGTCCCCAAACGCCCACATGCCATGCTTGAACCCCAAACGTTCCTCCAGTTCCTCTAGCGAACGACTTTTGTGTGTGTGTGAAGTGCAAGAGTAACAAGGCGTGAAGGAGTGAACGGTTGTGTGTGCTGTAGCCATATAGACATCTCGCGAAGCTCTTCGTCACCAAAACTCGGAATCATGCCCATACTCCTCTCTTTCCACACAGCAGTTTCAAATAAGTCCCGGCCCCGATAGTCAGGCCGAGAATGCAAGAAATCAAAGGCTCGTGAAGGTCGTGCGTGTAATAAACGGGCGTCGTTGGACTTCGTCATCAACAACGGGCTCTGAGGAAGCCCATGCAGAGCAAGGGCGGATCATCTTTCGCCAGCGTCTCGCTAGATTCCTGGCGTCTTCCCATTTCCACCACAGCAGCTGGCTACCGCACCTTCTTGACTTCTGTCGCCCATCCCGCTATGCCAGCTCCTTTGCTCTCGGCCTTCACATCAAGCTTGACCCAATCCATGCCCTTGGTATCTGTCAAGAACGCATGGTTGGCCATGCCGCCTGCGTTGGCTCGATTGACTGGTAGGAGCTTCAACATAGGCTCCAAGAACGCCGCAATCTTATTGCTCTCCTCGGCCGTGAAATGGTACTTTTCCTCCAAAACACTAGGCAGTGCCCAATGTCGTAGTCGATGAATGTTGCGCAGTTCACCTTTGCGGTTGAAGATCTCTTGCGACCACTTGCCCGAGATGCGCAACTCATCAGGGAATGGGCCGAGCAGCTCGATAATCTGCGCGATGTGGTCGTCGTCCTTGCCGTACTTGGTGCCCGATTGCGGATCGAACAGATAGTCACCTGTGATGAGCTCGAAGACCTGTCGTCAAAGTCAGTATGTGAGACGTAGAAAGGGCACGTCTGATGTCTCACCATGCAGGCCATACTCCACACGTCGGTGCTGGCTCCCCACTTCGCGCCCAAGATGACCTCAGGCGAGCGGTATTGCCTAGTCTGGATGTCGTTTGTGAAGTGATGTCCCACCCAACACGCATTTCCCAGATCTGCAATCTTGACCGATATGATATCAATGCCATCGATTGGATCCGTCTCTTTCGGCTTCGGCGGGTGGGATTTGTCGAGGTCCATGTTGGACACATTGTTCGCGAGGATGTCACTGCGACTAACGTCAGTTATACCGGCAGTTGTCGAAAGTTGGGTGGTGGTCAAAACATACGCCGTCTTTTCCCGCTCCTTGTGCGGGTCCTGTTCTTTCGGGGAGCTGTCGTCGGGCTTGATGCCCAGACTCTCGAGCATTGACTTGGGAGGGGACGTTTGTTGTGATGAAGCAGAGCCTATACCACCACTCATCTCAGCACCATCCTTGGACGTCGGCGACGCCCCTTTGATGGGCGAATTACCTTTGCTCTCGCTCATGATCTTGTTCAAGCTCTGCGTGCTACCCGGGAAGTTGGTCAGATCGCTCTGTGAAAAGCTGGCGTTGAGGGGACTGGGGAGAGGTTGGCTGCCGGTGATGAGGGTTCGTCTTCGTCGGCGGCCGTTGCGGTGGTCGTCCTTTTCCTTTTTGGCATTGTCTTCCTTGACGTAGGTCTTGACGATTTGCTCGACATCACCAATCTCGATGAGGACGTTTTCGGGTTTGAGGTCAGTGTGGATGATGCCGCATTCGCGGTGCAAGTAGTCGAGGCCAAGTAAGACCTGCTTGGTGATTTGCTTGACGAGGGGCATGGGGATGCCGCGGTGGTTCCATCGCTTGATCAAGCCGAGCAGGTTCTCTCCAAGCACTTCAAACACCATGCACACGTGCATGCCGTGAGGTCCCTTGTGGTTGAACGAGTCCAGCAGACTGACCACATGCTTCCGGCCCGGATGTTCCTTGTTGGCCTCAACCACCTTGTTAAGGAGCTTGATCTCATCCAAGGCGGTTTCTGTGTAGTGCGCGGCGGAGCGAACGACCTTGAGGGCGACGTGCTTGCCGGTTGTGTTGTCCTTGGATAGCCAGACGGTGGAGAAGTGGCCCCAGCCAAGCTTGCGCACTATTGTGTACTTTCCATCCTTGTATTGCTCGCCTACTTGCACAGGGTGGTAACCACCCTTGCAGTAGTCCTCGGAGTCCTCCTCGTCCGCCGTGTTTTCGGTGCCCTCGTCGCCAGAGGACTCGGATTCGGAGGGTGATTGGTGAAGGTCGTGGCCGTAGGTGGCCTTGCTGTGATTGAGGGGCGACTGGTTGCTGTTGGCACTGCGCGGATCTGGAGTCAGCATGCTGCACGGGGCACGAGAGGCATGGCCGCAGCGCGCGCAAGAAATGGTAGTAGTGCGGCGGTAGAGGTGGGCAAGTGATTGGGAATGTCCGGGGGAGGGGTGGTGGTGGTGAGTGCGAGGCAGTGAGAGCGTGGCGGCGGCGGCGGCGGCAGCAGCGGCGAAGTCTCGGATCGAAGTCTAATGGGCGAGTCTGATTCAAGCAGCGTTGCGAAAGCCCAGCCAGCTTGCGTGCGCAGTGTCGCAGTGTCGCAGGCTCGACACATTCACCGTGACGGCGGAGGCGGCCGCTTCACCTCGTCCCTCACTGCTACTCTTCACTCACTCCACGTGCACCGCACTCGGGCGCTGTGCGAGCGGGCGGCGGCGGTGGTGGTGCTGGGGCTGGTGCGGTGCTGGGTGTCGCGGTCATGGAGATACGTACCTGTACGGGTTTCCCGCCTGCTGCTGCTGCTGTTGCTCCGTGGTAATCTATAGCAAAGCACTCGCGTCAGACAGTATTCTCGCGCCTGTGCAGGGCGTTGGGCTATGCTCACAATGGGCTTCAGATCCTGCTTTCTCCTCTTCTTGCCATTCGAGTTGGACCCGGGCACAGCTCCACTAGCGATGCTCTTGGCCTTGTCGATTGCTTGCTTCTTCAGACTCTCGCCGCCGTTGTTCATGGCGGACGATGCGTGATTTAACGTCACGTCGAGCAAGCGTCGGCGGCGGCGGCGGTTCGGCTGCCAGCGCTGGGCTCGGGTAGTTGTCTCGTGGGTGTGGGAGGTGCAGTGCGCGGGCAGCACCTCGATCGAATTCGATGGATGATGGAGCGGTCTACGCGACTACTGCATGGACAAATCCCCTCCGGCCGTTTCCACCGCTCCAGTCCAGGTCGCAGTCGTGTCGCGCCAGCAGAACCAGCACCAGCGCAGTGAGCAGTCACGCCGTTCCCTTTTCCCCTGGACAGCACACAAACCCAAATCGCGGTGCATGTATGGCCGCCGCAGAATGACGTGAGTGGGATGATGCCGGGGTTGGGAAAGATCAAGGCCAGGCGAGCAAGCAAGCAAGCAAGCAAGCAACAGCACAGCAGTCGCAGCAGCTCTGACGGAGACGACAACAACGGTCAGGGCCAGCGAGTCCCACGAGAAACGCCTTCCCACTCTCTCTCCGCACACCACTCACATACTTCCACCACAATTCATCAGCAAGCCGAGCACACGCTTGGTGGCGGTCCTTTAGCGGCGACGAGCTCGATCCAACCATGAGCTGCATGTGGGGGAGGGTTCCCGACCTTGAATCATTGACTTGTCCATCAATCCTTTAATCAATCAAACGTCAACCGTCGACAATCACCCCTCATCAATTGATCACGTTCATAGTCTATCTAGTATAGTTACTACCATCTTGGATTCAAGTCTGCACACAGGCAATATAACTATCCTACTCTGCAGTTCAAAACATTGATGACCTTTAACTCCACCAGCTCCCAGCCTCCCCCAAACACCGCCATATGTACGTACCACAAGCGACAGCTGTAGAGTGCCACAAGTCCAATATACACTCACTGCCAATCAATGCAGGAACGCGAGACCGTCTCGTTGCCATGCAGCTATGTCTTTGTCCTGAGAAAAACAACCTTGAATCTGGTGGTGGGGTGGGTACATGTGCCTGCCTCCTGTTCACCTGCATAAGGCTAGAAGCTGCGCTTGTGAACTCAACCACACCACAGCCTTTGTTCTAGATGTTGCATGTGTTACACAAGCTACAAGATGAAGGTAAGGTCTTTCTTGGCCCGCCAATATAGCGTTACCTCAGGTAGACAGAGGTGAGGCGAGGTGAGGTGAGGTTGCAATAAGCTCCTCGTTGGCGATGTACATCGGGAAGGCACGCCTGCGTTCCTTCCTGAAATGCCTTCTCTTCTCCATGCTCCCATTAACAACTCCGTTCGCCAAGATCATGCCTTCGATATCCGTACCCTGTTCGATGTACCAATCTAGACACGCACCTGGATAATCTCGATGTGGCCGCTCGATAAACCGAACGCAACACGATCATGACCAAGCGCGACACTCACGGATCTGTACTGGTGCGGTAGCCAGAAGAGCCGTTCGGAGCCTAGCATTACCCAGTTGTGCGCCAGAGAGAGCCTTCGGTGCTGGATGTGTGACGTTGGTCCTTCTGTGACGGGCAATTCATACTGCGTCTCGTGCTCAAGCGACCACGCGATCAGCAGCTCACCGTGGAAGTTGAGATGGTCGAACATCGATGGCTCGAAGAAGATTCTGTGCAGAATGCTCCCTGTGCCAGATTGTCGGATCGTGACCTCATGGTATTGTAGACAAGCTAGGAACGCACCCCCTGGAGAATACGCCAGGGCATCGATAAATCTTTTGTCTGCCAAGAGTATTTTCGCCGTATCATCGTCCAAAAGCCACAACTTCACGGCGAGATCTGGCATGCGCAATGCTGATGCCAAGGTCTTACCATCCGGTGCAAATGCGAGGGCATCGATGTTGGTGTCATTGTCCTGCGAGTTCCACAGCTCGCGAGGAGAGCCACCTAAGTGCAAATCCCAGACCAAGAGCTGGTGTTTTGTGCAAGATGCCAGAAGCTTGCAATCCGAGGAAAATGCCATTCTTTTGACATATCCTCTGCCACTATGGACTAAGCGTACGGGCCCCTTTCGCGACACACTGAGATGCCTCGGGGCCCTCACAGCCTCGAGGCTCCATGCGCGAACGGTGGTTGACTCTACAGATGCCAGTAGACTGCTATCGGGAGAGAATCGTAGTGCTCGTACACTGCTGCACCGGAACGTACAGAGTAGCACGCCCAGGGTGGTTTCGAATATTCTAATGTTATGGTCCTTGTACGAAGCCAGTAGTTCGCCATTTGCCGAGATCGCGACATGAGGACTACTCTCTTCCTGGTCTTCGAGTTGGGACTGATTCATCGAATCGGCGTGCCACTGCCGGACGGTGCCTCTCTGAGAGGCTGTAGCAAGCACATCATTGTTTGGCAGAAACATCATGGCCACAAGCGGAGAAGCATCGTCGCACTTGAGATCACGGATCTTTTCCCAGGTTTCCATGCTCCAAACTTTGACGACATGGTCGATGGTTGCAGAGGCCACTTTCGTAGAGTCGGACGTCATCGCCATAGTCCATACGCAATTATCGTGGGGCTCGAGCCTCGCGATCAATTCGCCAGTGTCTAAACACCATGGCCTGGTGGTGGTGCCAAGAGAGGTCGATACCAAGACTTCGCCATTGCCCGAAAACGCGATTCCGGTTATATGGTCTCCGTGGCCTTCCAGTGTGCGGAGCAAAGCTCCAGATGAAGCATTCCAGATTTTGATCGTCATTCTCTTTGATGCCGTGGCTATCAGGGTTGAATCTGGAGATAGGGCGACCTGGAGAAGTGCATCACGCTCTCTTATGATGCACGGTCGATCTCTTCCAGTCGCTACCCCCCACCACATGACGGATCCAGTGTATGTTGCCGCAACTAATTCATCGCTGTTGGCGGAAAAAGCGATGCAGTTGACCTTATGTATCCAGCGCTCGAACTTGTGGATCTGAGGATTCCACTCAGGCGCCATGATGGGGACATGATCAAGCCATTCTGGTACGTCCTTGCGGAACTTGTCTCGGATGATGCTGTTCTCCGGAGCAAAGATGAGCGCACTTGCGTACGCCTGGCGTGGTGTTTCGTCGATAACGTGGCGATTGCGCAGAAGAAACCCCTTGGCATCTCGTAGAAATGCTGGTAGCTCAAGGCCATTAGCCTGCTAAGAATATCGTCAGCATACGCCTAATCGCTCCTCTTGTGGCCAAGAAAGCTCACAGCGACCATTGACTGCAGGACGTGTAACAAAGGCAAGCTCTGTGACATTCCTTCTATCCAACCCAAGGCTTCGACCCAGGCGAGAAACTTCGTCTCGATAAAATCATGGAACACATCGCCATCTTTGATCTTGCGCGAGCTGTGCGCGAGATGCGGAATCCAGAAGCGGCAGGCGTAACGCACTGGGTTCAGATGGCTCAATGACACAGCGTCGACATCTTTCCGCACAGTACCGTAGCTTTTGAGTCCACACATGTTTTTGACGAGCCCGTCGCCCTTCATACAGTCGAGACACCTTTCCATGATATCCTCATGCGTGACCAGCGGACCTCCGCCTTCCAGCTTCGTGAAGTTCTTCACCAGGTGGTCTTGGGCAGATTTGTGGATAAGATGGACGTATCCGTTGCGGTGAGTGAGGAACGAGCCGCATTGTAGAACAAGTCTGTCTGGTGGCTTATCTGATGGTAGGCTCGCCAGTTGTGCGAGCTCGGACAAGGTCAAAGGGCGGAAGGCAAGAGTGGCTATCGCCAAGATTCGTTTGCAGCAGGCACGCGTGGCAAGCGGTACTTTCAACTTGTCAAGTCGCTCTAGTAACTCGTCGTAAAGGCGCTCCAACCCATTCGGCATGTCTTCGAGCAAGGCCATCCAGTCGTGGGCTTCGGCCGCATTCAGTTCCTTGCAGACCAGCCAGACCCAGAGATATGTGTTGCCGGCGCGGCGCTGAAGTGCTTCCTTGACGTCTGCACGCCACTTCTTTTCCTGATCATTCATGACCTCCAGATGGTCGATTTTGTGATCGATATACGCTCGAATGGGTTCTCGAAGGTCTTGGTCGTCGAGTCGAAGTTCAAGCTTATTCTGTAAATGTAATAGCCTCCGCTCAATCGCAGGCAGCCGTCGATTGGAGACGATCCATTTCAGCTTCGGCGAAAGGTCGCTGCAGTTGATAATTGTATCGAGAAGCTGCTCTCTCGAGGCTTCTTCGCATTCGTCAAGAGCGTCAACGATCAGAACAACCGGTTGCAAAGCCGCATCTTTCAGCATATCGCCGAGGACTTCAGACAAGGTTGTGCAGGACAGAGCGTCGCTGAATCCCTTGCCAGCCGAGCTTCTGTACCTCTCCAGGAGATATCTCGTCAACATCGGCTGTTGCTGAGCAAGGAGCCAGACAAGGCCCTTGAGCGCTGCCGTGGCATTGTTCATCTGGTTGTTATCGGCCTGGCAAAAGAAGTAAGCAACACCTGGCGCGCCTGGGTCAAGCAATTGGGTATGCGCGAGTCCTTCAATAATCCCAATCAGGAGCATCGTCTTCCCCTTGCCGGCTCGTCCGTTGATCCATAGTTGCTTCGGCGAGTCGGGGTCGTTCCAGTCCACGAATCGCTTATACTCATCGTTCTGCAAAATCCATGCGAAGGAAGCTGCGACGAGCGGATCTTTCTTGATCTTTTGCAGCTCGATCTTGCAGTGCGCGGGTCGATGCCTCTCACGTCTGCCAGACATGCTCGTTGCTCTTTGGCTACCTGTAGCTCGGCTTTGTGGCGTGTCGCCGCCTCTCTGGACGCCACAAGGCTGCTCAGTAGATCGTTCGACTGAATGCTCGTATACTGCTCTGCATCCTTACAGACCAGCTTTTCAGCTTCCATCACCGCTTGCAAGTCGCTCGGCCAGTCGTCGACCTGGGCCAAAGCGCGCAGAAAGACAACAGACTGGTTGCGGTAGAAGACGCAGACGCCGGTCATCTGGTAGTGAAGCAGCGTCTTGTAGAGACGCACCAGCCGTTCTCTCAGCTCAGAACGCGATCTCTGTAGGCGTGCATCCTCCGCCAGTAGGTTCTCGGCCAAGCTGGAGTACCAGGACATTCTTGTGACGACGTACTCAATCCCGGTGTAGAGCGCCTTCGTCACTTTCGCGGGATGAAGAAGGATCTACGAAGCAATTACATTAGTCGACCATTTGCTTCTTTCGAATCACTTGATACATCTTACTAGGAGGCTGGCAGACACAACAGCCCAAGGCAGAGCAGTGCAAGTGTTGCTAGACAGGGCCGGGTTCAGGACGGCCTGGAAAGACGCCACCAGGTCAAAGATTCTTCCGTATCCTTCGGTAGTGGACCTCGCTTTTTGTATCTTTCTCAGACCGATCTCGACCATTTTCTTCATCTGCTCCTCGCCCGCGAGAAGGCCTCCCCCAGGAACAGTCAATGGATCAGTCACATTCCTGCTTTGACCGAGTCTTTGGGCGTTTCCCAGGAACGCATTGTCCAGTATGAGTTCGTATTGCCTGACGAATTTCGGCGGTATCCGCATCTTGCCTGAGGTCATCATAAGCATCGCGCCAAAGGAGATCACGATCGAAGGCTTTCGAGTTGGTACACGAAATGGATGGTGCCGTAGTAGTCTGTTGCTGGTCTCTCGTCTTCTCGTGCGAGATCTTGGAAGATCCACCGATGGAAACTGTCGCTGGTGTAGGAGCGTCATTGTCGATGGGAACTAGGCGAACAGGTAGCCTAACATCGTCTTTCGGCAGGGTCGTGTGAAGTTGAGCCTTGCCACTGCCGTTCTCTATCCCACACGCTTGGCCCCGGAAGCAATTGAAGGAGTGGCAAGGCATATTTGCACAAGGCCAAAGCCACGTACGTATGTCTCGTCGAAACGCAAAGTCCATCCAGCGCACGTCCTCGGCAGAGGATATACACTCCAAGTCGATCGACCCTCATCAAGAGCCGAGGGGAGGACCATCCACCGGAAGACAGCACGAGGTGTCGCAGCAACCTGTGCGTTGAAACGACGTGCATCTGGGGCTGATTTGGGTGAGTGCAAGACGGAATCGTGCATATCTCCAGACTGTGTACCATCCAGAGCAGGTTTGGGTCGGATTTTGACAAGTTGTGCGTGAGTCCAGCATCGTACATGTACATACCCTCTCCTGGTAGCCTGCCAGAGCATGGGCCGCACGACCTCGCCATCGACCTGCAGGCGGGAACGGAGCCGCCATGGGGACCACTCTACCCCCTGTTGGAGGCAGAATTGGCCGCGCTAAGTCACCGACATCTCTTCGTGGAGCCAAAGGTCCTGTCTCCCAGTCATGTATGCGGTTCTTCCTCTCCTGTGGTAGCATCGTACATGTACATACCCTCTCTCGCTTCGTCCGCGCTGCCAGGTGTCGATTCTCGACCTGTGTCAACAGCCCTTGGCTCGCTCGTGGTAGCACAACCCGGACTGGAGTCTTAGTGTCATTGACAGAACGAACCCTCAGAAAAGGGGTCTCAAGATAATCATTCGCATTACGAGGACTCGCAAACGAATCCCTCATCCGCCGCGCAACTCTAAAAGTACTCGCTATGCCACCATGCTAAAACGCACTATATACACATTCCCAACCCCCCTTCCCCCACAACGAGACTACGAGATACCGCCGCTTGGCATTCCTTGTTATACAGCACACAATCATAACCATTGCTTCATCCACAAACGCTCATCAGACGCAGCGTGGAGATTCTCTCACTTCGCCGAAACCACAGCCTGCCACTTCTGCTCCTCCTCCGGCGTGAAATGCAACAGCATCCGCAGCACAGGCACAAACTGCATCTGGTGCTTCTTCTCCTTCGTCTCCATGAACTGTAACAGCACGTTCTTCAGGTAGACGTAGTCAATGCCAGAGTCCTTCTGTCCTTGAGCGGTAGTCGAACCGTTGCTGCTCTTGGGGACTGGCGATGTGACTCTGCTGGAGTCGATCGAAGAGCGTGAGGGTGTTGAGCTGCCGGCTTGTTTCTTGGCTGCTTGGATGGCACGTAGTTCTTCAGCCATGGACTTCGACGATTTGGTCAGCTTCTCCAGCCGTGCATCTTTCTCATCGACCATCCTGCGTAGCTCTTGTTTCTGCTTTTCGAGATCGTGGGACTGGCGTTCGGTCTCGTCGAGTGTGTCACGCAGCTGCGACATTGCTGTCCGGACTTCGTTGATCTCCTCTTGTGCCAGGGCAGAACGACGCTCAAGTTCATCTTGCCGGCTCTTGAAGTCCCGCTCTCGTCGCTCGGCGTCTTCTTTGGCCTCCGTGGCCCGGCTGGCTTCCCGTTCGGCATCGCGTAGTCTCGTCTTGAGATCTTCAATCTCTCGGGCCTTCCTCCTGCCAATAGTGCTTGCCTCATCTTCAGCACGGTCACGCTCTTCGATCGCAAGATCCATCCTCTCGCGCATCTCTTTCACAGCGCTTTCGGCTCTACCCTCGGCCTCAGCCAGCAACCTTCGCATCTTCTCACCCTCACGTGAACGCTCTGACAGCAAACGCTGCGCATCTTCCAGCTCCTCCTCGAGATTCTCACACCTCTGCTTGATCTCCTTCATCTGCGTTGCAAGCTCTCGAGAGCCATCTTGCAAGCTTTCCATATAGGTCTTTGCACTTGCGTATTCGCCCTTTTTCATGTCAAGTTCCTCTCGAAGGAGTCGGGCTTCCTCAGTCGACTTCTTGGCTTTACTGTCCAACTCTTCGAGGCTCGATCTCGACTTCCTGACCTCTTCTTCGAGCTTCTTGATGTTCGTCTCCAGCCTTTCACGAGCCTCGATGGCGTCATCTCTTGTCGTCTCGCTTTTCTCGAGATCCTTGCGAGCAGTCTCGTACGACTCTTCAAGCGCCGTGCTCCGCTCATCACTCTTCTTGGACTTCTCCCGCAGAGATGCGATCTCGGTATCCTTCTCAGTCATCTGCGATTTGTATTCTGCGATCTCTGACCTGAGATCCTTCTCCTTGGCTTCGAGCTTCTTGATAGTAGCGGTGGTCTTCTCCAGCTCGGCCTTGACGTTCTTGAGCTCGGCAGATTCTTCTCGCAACCGCTTCAATTCCGGCTGCACCTTGTTGTACTGCTCGCGAACGGCAGACAGGTCTTTAAACCTGGCCTGCGCGAGATCGTTAGCAGCAGCCAGATCTTTCTCCAGTTGACTCGTCTTCGATCGAAGTGCATCAAACTCTGAAGAAAGCGCCTTGTGTTTGCCATCGACTTCTGCACCGCTGGCGGAGTGTTGCGCCTTGAGATCCTCAATCTGCTTTTCACAGGCGTCTTTCAATACCTGCAAGGAGTCCTTCTCCCTGTTCGCATTCTGCAGTTGTTCTGTGAGCCCATCCATCTCATCGCTGGAGACTGTCTTCGTCTTGAGTTGCTGCATTTCAAGCTCGAGCTCCCTCGTCCTGGTACCCAGCGACTCCTTCTGTGCTTCAGCATCTTTCATCTTCTTAAAATACCCGTCGCTCTCCCTCTGCAGCTCATCAAACTCCGCCTGCAGCTTTTTGCGGCTCTCTGTAAGCTCCTTGGCTTCGTGTTTTGCATCAGTAGCGGCTTTGCCATACTCGATCATGTTCTCATTCGCGCTCTCTTTCTCTTCAGTAAGATCGTCAATCTTCTCTTGAAGCACGCTCTCCCCTTGAAGCCGTTCTTGCAGCTTGCTGATCTGCGCGTCTTTCTCCGACATCTGTTCCTGCAAATCGTTGATCTCTTTCTTCAGGCCCTCAATTTGCTTGACCTGTTCTTCACTGGTCCCCGATGAAGTCGTACTCTTGGCGATGCTTTCTTCGAGTTCCTGGACTTTGTCGCTCCTATCCCGTATCAAGAGTTCGTGGTCCTTTATCTTCTGCTGGTACTCTTCGATACGATCTTCGAGGTGATGCACCAGACCCTCGTTGCCATCAATACTGGTCTCACTTCTTTGTTTCAATGTCTCTATTGTTCGAAGTAGCAACGGTACCATTGGGTTGTTCGGGAACTTGGACTTCACAAGCACATCGGTTGCAAGCTCAGGGTTCAGCAGCAGATCTTCAACCGTAAGATCGGCCTTGTCCGTAGAAGTGGAGCTGACGCCTTCTGCAGGAGCTTTCTTCTTTGACTTGGACTTCTTCTTTTTGTTCTTCTTCTTTCCATCACCCGGAATTGCCAGCTCGCCGCCCTCAACTGACGGTGTCGTCGGCGTCTCGCTGCTGACCTCAGTAGGCTGTGTACTGATTTCTGTCGTTTCAGAACCCATTCGTGATCTTGTCTCGGGTGTGCTGCTGGGTTCCGTGGGTGTCGCAAGGTTGCGATCTTGATCTGTTTCCGGCATTTCGCACTTGCCACAGTCCAATATGATTTGATATGCAGCGTCGCGATCATTCCCGGCACGCTTGAGCTGGCTGCGCAGATTGGCAATCGTCGCCTCCTGTTTCTTAATCTTCTCTGCAATCTTTTGAGCGTTTTCCCGATCTTCTTCAGCCTCGGCCAATTTTCTCTTTAGATCGTTTGTCGTGGCCTCAGACTCTCGCAAATGCCGGATGGTGTTGGCGTTGGTGTCGCTCTCAGATTCCAATCGGTTGATCTCAAGCTGCATATCGTTGAACTTGCTCTCCGTTTCTTTCTTCGCGTCTTGGGCTTCTTTGAGCTTCCCCATCAGCGTCTTGTTCAAGCCCTGCAGTTTCGACTTGTCTTGATTGTTCTCGAGGTTTGCCTCCGCAGCTGCGAGTTTCTCCTTGAGCTGTTTGGTGACTTCCTCTTGGCTCTTTTGATACTCTCTCAGCCGCTCCTGTAGGTTCGCTAGATCGCTTTCAGCACGTGCAAGGGAAGCTACGGCTTCTCGTTCCTGCCCCTGAGCAGTCTGTCGTTCACTGTCGGCTTGCTCGAGCTGCAGTTTCAAAGTGCCGAGCTCGGCTTTGGCGTCCGTGTCATTGCGGTCCCTAACATCATGCTTGTTTTCCATGGCGTCCAGGTTCAGGCGAGTATCATCAAGCTCTCTCCGCAGTGACTCGAGGTCTCCACGCATAGAAGCGTTCTCCGTGGAAAGCTCATCGATGTAGGCCAGGTGCTCTTTCACTTCGCTTTGCAGTGCTGTGACTTTGCTTCCGTACTCAGCTTTGACCTCTTCGACCTTCGCACTTGTCTCCTTGTCATCCTCGACTTTGGCACGAGAGACTTCATCTTCATACGAGAAGAACGTGTCATCATCCGCTTTCGTTTCGGGGGTTGGGCTCGGCTTGTTGACAGCACTGGCGCCCAGTGGATCGGAGGCTCGGCTATTCGAGACAGGTTCTGCAGACTTGAGCTCGTCGCGCTCCTTTCGCAGCCCTGCGGCGTCGTCGAACGCTTCTTTTGCCTTCCTCTCAGCCTCCTCAAGCTTGGCCTTCAACTGATCGCGCTCTTTGACTGCTTCATTGTGCTCTCCGCTCACTCGCTTCAGCTCTTGCATAACCATATCACTCTGCAGACTGCGCTGGTTGAGGAATTCGACGAGGGCACCTGGATCTGATATGGAGGTAAGGGGAGTGTGTTCGCGAAGGGTGGCTTCGAAGGGCTCAATGGCAGCGACGTGAGCATGTGCATTGCGATAGTTGCGTAGTAGATCTAGACAAGTCGAGTTCTGTGAGTAAAACAAAAGGTGCCAATCACGATGCAGTGGCTTGGACGTGATCATACCTTGATACTTGGCCGTGAGCTTGTCTAGCCTGGCCAACTTTTGTCGAACTTCCAGCGGCAGCTCGTCCTCCTCTGCCATCTGCTGGCCCTTGCCCTTCTCCATGGCGGCACCGTCCTTCTCTTCAACTTGGTCCTTGTCCTCTGCCGAAGCAGCCTCTTCCCCATCTTTCGCAGGGGCTGGAGTAGTTGACCGGCTGGGGACGTCAGAGGCATCGTCGCCTATCACGAAATCGTCCGGATCAGGACCTTTACTCGCTCCCGGTGTACCATCCCCTGCTTTTCCATCTGGAACTTGGAGCCTGCTGCTTCCACCTCGTTTGCTGGGCGAAGCTGTCCTGCCATTTCCTCTCCTTGCACTGCTAGGCGTTCGCTTCGCCGGAGAGCCTCCTTTTTGCTGCTGCTGCTTCTGCTTCTCTTGTTCCTCAGCTATCTTGCTGTCGAGGAAATCGAGGTTGAGTCCCTTCTGCAGGCGCTGGAACATGGTTGCGCCGGCGTTGTCCTCCGCATGCAGCTGGCAAGACCAACACCGCTCATGGTAGTCGGCGCGTGGTTGTTGGTTGTAGTCGCACTGTTATCGCAGATCCCATCCAGTGCAGCACGGTAACAGGGGTATCGCAAGGAGAAGATATCGAGATGCAGCAAGCCGCAGATGATTACAACCAGACACCCGCGACTCGGCCCAGCGAGCCAAGCCAAGCTTCGGGGGGTCGTTCGGATCGGCATGACTTTGTGTCTTTTTTGCTTGACAAACGTCACGCTCTATAAATACATCCATCACCATATGAACTGATAGCAAGAATGCCGACAGAACTCGAGGAGGTCAGTATAACGATATAGTCCAATCGACAATCAATCTTTTCAATCTTGGCTAACAACACATCCAGCTCGTCGAATTTCTCCATCATGGAAACACACAAATCCGACAAATAGGCATGCAACAACCCACCTCGGTAGACGTTGAAAGAACAAAAGTCTAACGCCTTGTGACAGCCGCCGAAAACCTCGTGGGATACTCGACGGCCCAACCATCGCTCTTCAAACGCAATCAACTCGAACCAGTCAAGGACTTGAAGCTTCTGATCAGAGACTATGGTCCCATCGCCAAGAACGCAATCACGATGCTCGTCAACATCTCCGAAGACGCGGAAGTTGTCAAGAGTCTGGCGGAGGACGACACGTTCCTCGAGTCGTTACTACGGAGGGTGACCGTATGTCAGTCGATCCAGCCAAGTTCGTCACATGTTGCTGCAGAGTTTGTACTGATGAGTGTTGTTAGAGTGCAAAAGAGCCGAACGCGAACCTCATGTGCATGCTGCTCGCCAACCTGGCCAAATCGGACAGCGTGACGAAACTGTTGAAGTTGGAGCGAGAAGTTCCAAAACCGCTCTCGACGTCACCTATCGCGATCGATCAGCTGCTGGACTGTTTCGTCAAAGGCGCGAATGGATCGTACAATGCCAACGCCGACTATGACTACCTCTGCTACCTCTTCGCCGATTTAGCCAAGCATGAGGAGGGTCGGAAACACTTTCTGACAGCGCGATCTGAGGGCGAGGGCGACAGCGTGGAAAAGGTCATTCCTTTGACCAAGCTTGTCGTCTTTACCGAGCATGCGTCTGCCATTCGCCGGAGAGGAGTGGCAAGCACCATCAAGAACGTATGCTTCGACATCAAGGCTCACGATGAGCTTCTGTCGGAGGATGGTGTTAACCTGCTGCCGTACATACTGCTTCCCCTGATGGGCAGTGAGGAGTACAAGGACGAAGACACCGACGGCATGCTGGACGAGTGTCAGCTCCTACCTCCGGATAAGGAGCGCGAGAAGCAACCCGACATCATCTGCATCCACCTCGAGACGTTGCTTCTCCTTACCACATCGCAAGATGGTAGAAAGAAGTTGCGAGACGTCAAGGTGTACCCCATCATTCGAGAGTTGCATCTGCATACCGAAAACGACGATGTGAGGGATGGATGCGATCGACTCGTTCAGGTTCTGATGCGAGGTGAAGAGGGAGATCCAGACCCAGCGGCTGATATTCCGCGGGTGCAGGAGGTCGAGGAGGACGAAGATGAGCAGATTGTGGAAGTGTTGTAGGGCATGGTGGTAGAATAAGTCGAAACGATTGCAACGTACACATGGGAGAGCACCCCGATGACGCTACGTTGGTAAGTACTGTTTGAAGGCAGATGCCAGGAGATAGAGTCGTAGCAATATCAGGTGCGGCTTCCATGTTAGTGAATGTCTCCTATCGGCTACCATGAAGTCCAGAAAGCCAGGGTCAGGCAACGGCCGAAACAGTACGATGGAGAGTCTGAGCAGTAATAGGATGTGAAGTTCTCGTACCAATGATCACGCGGTGAATGGTATGGTCATACGAGGTCTCAGCAGACATCCGGAACGGATATTGTGCGAGGACGAGATGCCAAGACAGGCGGTAAACGATCTTACGATGACGATCATCGCCCTTTCTCCATTGAAATCTCACGTGCCGCGCCGAGAAGGCAGGGTCAGGATCCCTGCCGATCGGATCTGGCCTTCGATATCACAAGCTTTTCGCATCGTTCGCACATCACAAAGTGCTGGCATTGGGCGAAAGGACGGGGCGGATGAATCGCGGCCGACAGGGTTGACAATGAGCAGCAGATCACACGAGAGAGCAGCAAAAATGCTTACGAGAAATCAGGAGGATAAAGTGATGAAGAAAGCTGCAAGGGCGGCGCTAGCCGTCACTAGCGCGCTGTGTCCCTGACGAGGAACGTACGACTTTTGTTGGAGCTGTTTGGACGTGCGATTCGGGAGGCGATTGGCATTCATTCTTTTTATCTGCCGGGCACCACCTCGTCCTGCGAAGACATCACCACCACCACCACCTCCAGGACACTCAGTGCGGCCTTCGACAGCGAGCAACATGTCGCTCACTCTGGGCATGGATTACTTGTGAGTTTGCGAGTTCTTTATCTCCCAACAAACTTGTCAAGGGTCCGGGTTGCGCCACGCCGAAAACATTGTGCTCGACCTCACCCTCTCGACCACCTGTTTGCTCTCGAGGTGAGCACTTTGAGAACATGGACTAACATGTGGTCTCTCCTCAATAGCAACAACGCTACGGCGTCCTCGATCGCCGACGTAATGCTCCCCCATACACGAAACACCTACTGGCACGAGTTCGACGAGATCGCCAAATACAACGTCTCCCTCAACTACTTCGAGAAGCTATGGGCCGCCTGGTACGCATTCATGGGCAACGACGTCCTCGCTACGGGTATCATGAGCTTCGTCATGCATGAGGTGGTATATTTTGGAAAGAGTCTGCCGTGGATCATAATCGACCGCATACCTGCTCTGAACAAATATAAGATCCAGAACGTGCGTGGAGATACGCCTTGAAACTGCGTTATGTGGAGACTGACCTTTTCAACAGCAAAAGATTCCCTCCGCGAAAGAGCAATGGGATTGCGCCATGCTCGTCCTCCTCTCCCACTTCACCGTCGAACTCCCCCAAATCTGGCTCTTCCACCCAATGGCCCAATACTGTGGCCTCGAAACCAACGTTCCCTTCCCACCGTGGTGGAAGATGGCGTACCAGCTCGCAATCTTTTTCGTCCTCGAAGATACTTGGCATTACTGGACCCACCGCGCCATGCATTGGGGACCGCTATACAAGAACATCCACAAAATCCACCACCAGTACTCAGCCCCCTTCGGTCTCGCCGCAGAATACGCGTCACCGATAGAAGTCATGATCCTTGGACTCGGCACGGTCGGAACGCCGATCCTGTGGTGCGCCATTACGAAAGATTTGCACCTTCTGACCATGTATGTGTGGATTGTCCTCCGTGTCTTCCAAGCCATCGATGCGCATTCAGGGTATGAGTTCCCATGGAGCTTGCATCACTTCCTACCCTTCTGGGCTGGTGCCGACCACCACGACACCCACCACGAGAAGTTCATTGGCAACTACTCGAGCTCGTTCAGATGGTGGGACTACTGCTTGGACACTGAGAGTGGACCAGAGGCAGCGAAGAGGAGGAGAGAGCGAAAGATGGCCAAGCTGCGGAAAGCGCAATAGCTGTCGTCTTCGTTCGGTGTTTGGTGGTATTGTTTCCTGGGGAAGGACAACATCTCGATTGATCGTTCGCAGCGCTGCTTCTTAGAGCGGTCATCCTTGGTTAGGCATACGGATGGAGTTCTGGCGTTTGCATACCGATCTGCTGCAAGGCAAGGCAAGGCCACGAAGGTCAAAAGCTTCGGGGAAAAGGCTATTTTACCCTGTAAATATATTCGAGACGGCAACAATGGTGGCACCTGAGGCTCGCTCTGGTTAAGACGTTTGAAATGAGAAAAGACAACAAAGTTAAAAGTGCAGCTCATGGCTTGTTTCTTCGATCCGGGTTCTTTGAACTCAGGGAGGCGAGTCGGCACGTGGAAATGGGAGGAAGAAGACGCACTCCTGCAGAGACCTGCAAAATGCTGCCATTTCAAAGAGGAGCACAGGTACATGTATACATATGTACTTATATTCTGGCTGACTGATGGTCACCTGCCATGGCCGGCTGAGTCAACGCATTCTTGAAACTTGAAGCGAGGCTGGCCAGAACCAGCAGAACAGCTGCAGCAGCTAGCTTCACGCATCCAAACAACGACGTCACTTTTGTATATTTTGACCGTTGTGCTACCACCTCAACGACCATTGAACGCCACATGAGTCGTGTCCATTCTTTGCGAACCTAACCACCTAATCCCTTTCTTCAAACAAGCAATGCCTTTCCCCAAATCACGACTCTCCTAGGCGGACCTCCTCCATCTTCGTCTCCGCCGCAGACCACACCCGCCTTCGAGAATGTCGTTCGTACTGGAACAGGTCCAGCGAATCGACGCCCAGCTCGACCGAGTGCAGCTCTCGCAGCTGAATACCACGATCTCTGCTTCGTCGCAGAATGAACAGCAGCGACTGAAACCCACGACACGAGTGTTCGCATTGCAAGCTGCCATCAGAGGCCTGAGCCCAGGAAGCTCGGAGAGGAGTGGACTGGTGAAGATTGGAGCTGTAAGAGCATGTCTCTCGGCACTGAGGGCGAAGGGAGAAGTCGGCGCGCAAGTGGAAGAGGAAGTGGAGAGGAAAGATGGATATGAGCAGGAATTGGAGTGGATGCTCGTTTCGAAAGCTACGACGCAGGTTTATGGGCATGTGCTGAATGGGATACTGGACGAAGCGGTAAAGCTTAGCGATGATATCTGGTATTGGGATGAGGTGCTCGGCTCACAGCAATACACGGCTTTGTACAGCATTCAGACGTCGCCGCTCAGGTTATGGGATTGGGGGAGTAAAGTCTGGGAAGACGTGAAAGAGCGAGGTGGGAATTTCAGCTTGAGGAGTGCAAGCCAAGATGCACAGGACACTGTCTCGCAGAGGTGGAAGGAATTCTACGGTCTGGTGCGGCAGGTCGTGAGGGAGAGGAGTGTGAAGGAGGTACACAAGCAGATGCTCAGCCCTGTGACTAGGATTCGAGGGGAAATTCGAGCAAAGCAGAACGCGCTGAAGAAAGTACGGATACGCAATGCGAATGCACTGGGAGTACTGCTTGGTGAAGGGCTGGCGAATGACAGCGTTCACGGAGAGGGCTTGACGGCTACTGTGCAGACGGAGGAAGAGTCGCAAGAGAAGTGGCTTAGATGGAAGGCTGCTATCAAACACAATGTTGCGCTCATGGAGGCGGTGTTGGCGAAGATCAACGATCTGGAGACGCCGGTGGACAACTTTGATGCCAATATTGCTGAGTTGACGGATGATGACCCACTCTATGCTGTCGATTCGCAGGACTCATCATTACCACCACAAGCGGTTGCTGAGAGGTTGTCGAGAGTCCTGGTGCTTGGATTGAGCCAGTACACTAATTCGACGAAGGCACTGGTCCAGGAACATGGCACACCGTCACGACTCGTACGGTACTGGCTACCCATCAGCATAGCCGTTCTGTCCTCAAGTACAGTCCTCAGAGTCGTGGTCAACCGCCAAGCCGAAATCATCCAATGGATCCAAGAGCTGGGGACAACAGTCGTGGATTTCTGGCATAATTGGGTCGTCGAACCGACCCGCAACGTAATCCGCACGATCCGTCACGACGAAGGCAGCGAAATCAGCATCATGTCCAAACGCTCCCTCCAAGGCGACCGCGAGAGCCTCGAACGCATGGTCGTCGACTTCGCCATCGACAACCCATCCAACGCCACCGGCTCATCTGCCCAACTAACAGAAACCGACATCGCCGCCATCCGCACCAAAGTCGCCGAAGGCGACCTCACCCCCGTCCTCAAAGCCTACGAAAAAGACCTCACCTCTCCCTTCCTTGGCGCCGTCCGCGGCAACCTGATCCGCGCCCTCCTAATCCAAATCCAAAAAACCAAAGTCGACGTCGAAGTCGCCATGGGCGGCATCGACGCCCTGCTCAAATCCCAAGAACTCCTCATAGGCTTCATCTCCTTGACTCCCGGCTTCCTCCTCACCTACGCCATAGCGCACTACATCCGCGGTACGCTGACCACGTCCCGGGGCTCGAAGGCCGCGAGGAAACACGGCAAGATGTTGCGCCAGCTGAGGAATATCGATCGGATTGTTAGTGGTGCGACGCCGACGGAGTATGGGGAGTTGTCGTATAAGGATCAGGGGTTGCTGCTTTGTGAGGTGCATGTGCTGAGGCAGAGTGCAAGGAGGGTTATGGCGACGGAGGTTTGGAGGGAGTTTGGCGAGGAGTGTGAGGAGCTTTGTGATGTTAGGGTGGGCGTGGAGAGGCAGAGGCGGTGTGTGGAGAGGGTGAGGTGGGCTTATGGGAGGTGGTTGGGGTGATTGGTACGGGGTTTTGAGTGTGAGACGATGTGGTGGTTGTTGGAGAAGCAGCGAGGACAGCGGTGCGAGGAAGGGCTCGCGGCTGTCTGATACTGCTGCTGCTGCTAGTCTACACTCCCAGGTTAATGAATGAAGAAAACGAAGAAAACGACCCATCAGAGCAAAGAGTCCTTTTTATGGTTGTATGTGCACTATCATCTATGCACTAGTCTCGTGACAGTCTGCTGCCGGTGCTCGGTTTCGCAAGCCACTCTCTTCATGCAGTTCAAGCAGTGTGGCCCCTTCGACCCATTTCTGCAACGAGGGATCAATCATCACCATTCAACACCGCCTCCGCAGCACCCATGGCAGTATGCTCTGCCTGGGCTTCGGCCTTCTTCCGACGGAACTCCTCGAGGTGAGCTTGCGCCTTCTGCCCATCGATACTTGCGAATCCCTCGCCCTCACCCTCCTTCTGTCCGTTGCTCTTCTTGCCGCGGGTTCGGACTTTCGAGGCAGCACCTAGCGATGGGAATGCGTTCTGGTCTGCGACGTCCAATGCCTTCGCTTTGGGCTTTGGTCCTTGCTGTGAGAGTGGGCGGTCAGCGGCGCCGTCGAGAGTCTTCTGCTTCGTCTGGCCATTCGAATTTAGCCGCTCAGGCTGTTCTTTGACCTGGTCGGCCTTCGCATCGCCGTTTGCCACACTCAAAGCTTTAGTCGCATCAACCAGATCTTGAGCCTCCACAAGCGGTGTGAAGAGCTCGCCCTCGTGTGACTTGTACCCATTGCCAATGGCATGCAAGATCCTGTTGGCCCGCCTGAACTCGTCTCTGATGGCGACGATGCCGTTGTGCGTCACAGTCCGCGCCACATTGTGGGTCAACTCGAATGGATCCTCGATGCAGAAGAGATAGCGATGTTGAATCTTCTTGCCTTCTCCTTCTTCTGTGGTCGCCTTCACCCAGCCTTTCATCTCCTTCGTGAGAATGCCTCCCTGTGTACGAAGTGAGAGCACTTGTTGCGTCCAACGGAACTGAGGACCGTTTCCCATTGATGAGTAATACTGGAAGAAGCCAGCGAGCAGCGAGCCAAGAGACTCCTGATTGCAGCTCATCTGGCCCTTCTGTACCGCAGACTTGATCTCGTCTTCGTTTCTCCAGAAATCAACGACCCAGCCGTCCACTTCCGTACGCGTAGCACCAGGTTGAGTGCAGGCTTGGTTCGGTCTCCACGGCGACTGAAGGTTTGGCAGGACAGGCGGCTGCGCAACGTTCATTAGATAGTGAAGAACCATCATGACGTATCCATAGCTTGACAGTGTGCCAGAGTAAGAGCTGTTGATTCTGCGCGCTTTGGCCCAAGACTTGACGAAGAGTACTATTGGTCGCACTCGAGGATCGCAAAGAGAGTAGCAGCGGAGCATCTGCGTATTGTGGAGCCCCAGAGGGTTAAAGAAGTTGATATCGCACTGAATACCAACACCGTCTTTAGGGAAGTCCAGTGGGCCAGCCTTGCGCTCTCTTGTCCAGGTCCTGAACTGCTCACGGTTCTGTGAAGGTGGTTGTGAATCTTTGGTGACTGTGACTGTGGCTACCTCCACTGCTGTGGCCGGCGTTACTTCCGCAGTCTTCTTGTCTGCCTGAGTATAATCGGCAGCGACCTTGGTCTGCTCAACTCGCACACTCCCTGACCCATCTGGTACAGCAGCAGTCGCAGTAGTCTTCTCTTCCAATTGAGCCCCCGTAGCTGTCGGCAGCACGTCATCGTCATCACCGTCCCCATTGTCCTGATGAAGATGCGGATACTTCTTCTCGTTAGGAAGAAAGTCCCACTTCTCGCGTTCGACACGTAGCTTCGAAAGTAGGCAAGAGCCAGGGCCTTGGCAGACTTTGATGATAGGCACTCTCGTTCGAGTCAATAACCGTGCACCGTGACCGGTAATTAGAAGCTTCCTCTCGAGTTCTCTTGGCAGGTCGTTCTCCAAGAGCGAAAAGCACGCTGCGGTGCTTGAGTTGTCTTGGACCACGATGACCAGATCCATGTCAGATCCCGCACTAGCGAAGCCCGATTGGAAACTACCAAAACATTCGAGAGATACATTTGGAAGCTGCGGGTTCTCGATGCAGACTTCATGACAAAGCTTCTCAAGTTCCTTGCGGAATGATTCTTTCTCGTCCCGCTCTGATTGATTCATTTCGACATTGGCAACTTCTGCGGTGGCAACCTGCTCCAAATAATACGCTTGTCGCTCTCTGTAGTCGTTATGGAAAGCTGGGGGTTGGGAGCGACGTGCGTTTGGGTCGAATAAGTGTCGCGAGGGCGGATTTCGGACATTGTTCTGAACTGGCCCGCCACGTTGGAAAGCGTCCGGGTCAAGCTGGATCTGCTGGTGTCGCTGCTGCCTCGGTGGTCCACCACGTCCGCGAGAAGGTATGGAGCCTCGAAATCCAGGCGCAGAATGTTGTGCGTACTGTGGTGGATGGCCTTGGTAGACGGGGCCTGACCCGGGCGATGGCAAAGTGTGCACTGCCGGTTGAGGATGACCGCTTGGTCGTTGGAAACTAGGAGGTGCCATTTGCGGAGGTGCTTGCTGATATCCTGGAGGGAGCATTGGCCGCTGAAACGCTTGTTGATTGAATGGAGATGCCGGGCTTGAGGAGCCACTATGCCATGAGCCTTCTCGCTGATGCGGCGGATTGAATGGCGGCAGACTTGGAGGCTGCTGGGTCAGAGGCGCCGGAGGTAGGCGTACCCTGGGCGTGGTGTTGTACTCGCCGGCATCAGGAACCGAACTGTTCAGCAAAGCCATTCTTCTGATGCGGTCCTCGAGGTTCTCGGCCTGTTGGCCTGCGTACCCGTCCATTTTCGAGGCGGATTGGGAGGTTGTCCAGCGTGCTCGACTATGCGCAACTGATGATCAGCGATGCGCCCAAGCAAGAAGACACCCAAACGCCGCGCATTCCGCCGCCCATGGCAACATTCGTGGCTTCAACTTGTTACTCGTTTGTCGCGGAGCAGGTGCGTGCACTTGAGGTCGGGTGAAGCTCTCGCTTAGCGGCAGCAGCCGTCGCTAGCCATTCTGGGACTAGATCAATTCTGCGACGTCAGGTGAAGAGAACAACATGAATGCTTCCTGCATCAACATTCTCGCCATAGAGCTTGTTGCACGGAAGGCATCATTGAGCCTCTCGCAACGAAGAGAGCCTTTCGTGTAGCCACACCCTGGGCCATTGAATAGCACACGACTCGTGTCGCCAAGGCATGCTGTGCCTTTATGCGAGGGTTACAGAAGGACAAGGCAGCGGTGCCCTCAAGAGACCACGAGTAACTTTGTGCAACGGGCAAAGTGGTTGAATCCTGTTACTGCAAGTGTAACAGAACACGAAGTGCCAAGCAACACCAGTCTGCAACCTTTGCTTCTCCTCACCAGCCCCGCGGTGTGACTTTTCTGTACTTGTACAAAGGCTACAGTAGTCCTGAGGGCTCGCCAATGCGCTGACTGTTTAGTCTTCATCAAGCGAGAAGTATCCTCACAATACGAAACGCTAAGTACTACTTTATTCCGACTACCAATCCTTTCTTAAGTCAATTGGCTACTTACCGCAGAAATCCACAGGAGACGTACGTACTGCATCGCAGGCAACAACCTTTAGCAAACACGCCTGAAGTCTCACATGCGGCCATACAAGGACTGGAATTTTGGCTCCCACTGCGGTGGTTGAGGGCCACTCAAGATGCTGCTCAGATCAAAACTACAATCGTCGCTGTGAGCCTCTCCCATTGGCAGCGCATTTTGGGGGTTTGTGGTCGTCTACCTTGCCACCATGGTTTATGTTCGACATATCACCTACCTCGACCCAGGTACGCTCCTTCTGAGAGAAGAAGGCAGAAGTCTAATTCGGTTATGATTGCGTAGGTTCCTGGTTCTTCAATCGTACATTGGCTTACACCCGACAATACTCGGAGATCCGACGTCAACAAGCCAACGAATACATCAGAGCTGCGACCAAGTCCACATTTCCAACCCTACTTCGAGACCAGTCGACCTCACCAGACCTCTGTGTAGGAGTTGCTGGCTTGCTAGAGGACCCCGCGCAGTACCTTGAGACGAATGTTGGCTCTCTGCTGGAAGGGCTGAGTGGCTACGAGCGAGACCGACTTCATCTATCGGTGTTCTTGACCCATCGACGAAATGCCGACTCCAGCCAGATCCCTGCCCACTTCGAGCCCTGGATTTCCAAAATTGTGGACGAAGTTGAGCTATACAGGCTATCCGATATCCCGCATAAGTCCTCGACAGAGCACGAGTCAAGGAAAAAAGGCAGACCTTACTACACAGACTTGATGAAATCGTGCTACGCAAGCGGTGCGTCATACATGGCCACCCTAGAAGGCGAGACTGTGGCAATGGATGGCTGGTTTCACCGTACCATGAAAGCGATCGACCAAGCAGAAGCTCTAGCAGCTACCCACGACTGTAAGCGACTTCCCGATCCATCGCAAATACACTACTGACTCTGTTCTAGTCAAGATCAATCTCTTCTACCCCGAGATATACCTTCCACAGTGGCATCCTGAAGATGCACTACGCTCGTTCATCATGAGCTCCTCTGCACTTGTGGTCATCTTCGCCACTGCCATGTTCGTCATACGCCTGTCCTCCTCCCGCCTCAGACCCCATCTTACGATCCGAGTCATCCTCACGGTCTCCTGCATCTGCGTACCAGCACTCATTGCCCTTGCCATCTCCGCCGGACGAACTATTTACCGGCCATTACCACTTGGCCTCAATCGTCTCGAAAACCACTACAGCAACTCGCAAGCCTACGTCTTTCCCCGAAAGCTCGCAAAGGAGATCATCGAATGGAATAACGATGGCCACGCATTAGGTGCTTCAGCGGTCGTCAATGGACGGGGACACGAAGTTGTATTCACGCTCAATCCGAGCGTCGTTCAGCATGTCGGAAGGCACAGTCTCAAGGCGGAGTACTTTGAGCTTGCGGACGAGGCAGACAGAGCGACAGCGGAAGAGCTGTTCAATTTCGCCTTTGAGCTTAACGATGCTGACGAGTTGCGCAAGGAGCATTTGAGAGCTTTAGAACAGCAATCAGAAATCGTTTGATCAGATCAAAGACGACCGGCAGACGGCCTTTGAAATGACATGCAGTCCAATGTTTCGGAGACTAACAGACGTTGGTGACGATCACTTTCAATTTTAGCGCCAGCTGTCAATCTACATCCATGACCGTTCTATGAGTGGTGAATATGCAGCACTGGAAGCACTTCCAGCCATCGATAACGGAAATGAGCAGGATTCAGCCCGACGCATTGGCAGTGATGTTGCGTAGTTCGATATTCGTTGGACTTATATTGAGGCTCCTTTGCTGGAGAATCCAGAACCACAGTCTCTGGGCTAAACTAATCCCTCTAGCGAACACTTCCAGATCTTCTCATTGACACAGGGGCTCGTCACAGCTTTACGAGCCCTCCGGCTGAATTTTCCGCTGCCACAGCAAGCTCGGAGACGACCTATCTTCGACCTACGCTGACCTTGGCGGAAGTGTTCGAGAAATTGTGTCATCATCTCATATTCGCTTGTACTTCAATGTTGTTGGGTCGGTGGAGGCTCGCCATGTGGCACGCTCTCGCGCCTGCTTCAGTAGTCCACTAGCCCTAGCCTCTTGGCATCCGCGTTAACTATTATCTGGATTTGAATACCATGGTAGGAGAAGTCCATTATCCAGAGAGGCTTGCAGTACGCTTTTTCCAAGTCATGTGCTGGCAGTCAGTATTGGGTATACTGCTTGAGGTCAAGCCAGGAGCCAGCCTCGTTGCGCAGGGCGGAAAACTTTTCCGGTACGAAGAGGACGATCTGAGTTGAGAAGCATCACAGCTCACTACACGCACTCATTGAACATGGCATGTCTGGCTTCCATCTCCTTATATGGACCTTGTGAATGGTCGCCACTGAACAAGTTGTGGGCCAACAGGTTTTGAAAGGGCCTAGGTCCGTGCACGCGGCTGAGGCTTGTATTCCAGCCTTGTTAGCACGTGGAAAGTCTTGACTCAACAGCTGATCGTATTCGTGGTTTACTACTCGTTTACTCTTCAGTATCAGATCAACTGTACGCAGACTCTGAGCAGGTTCGGTTATCAGTTGATCGGCAGCGAGTCCGGTGTTCGCGAGAAAATGTTACAGACAGTCGATGCTTCCTGGTTCTCGAGCACCTCAAATCCACGAACAGCGGAGCAAGGGGCTCGATCTTACGCGAACGAGCGCCCTTGTGACAACTATACCTCTATATATGAATTGATGCTGTTGTTCCTGCTCGCTTGAGGTTGCGAGCAGCACTGTTCCCGAAACCGTCAAAGCCGGCCAATTTCCCGCTTATTCATGCGTTCAGGGATACCAAAGAGCAGGCCCAGATGCTTCCTTGCCGGATTTAATCGCCTTTACCTTCCTGCACACCACGCGCATCCCACGTGGACCTGGACAGACTCGCGGCACCGCATGCTAGAGAACGAGCCTAGATGCCCCCTCACAGGATCTCGCGGTCTATACCTTGAAACCTTCCTGCACGCCACGCGAGACCTCACCCACCATGGCGGACCGGAGTAGTGCACTACCTCCAGCCTCCTTCCCCGCACGATGGTCTATATGTTCCCTCTGGGAGCTGATCGTCTGCTAGGCTGTCCCATCCTCACATTTCAGAACTTTGATCCGCGCAAGACTGGGAACAGCATCAGCTGCATACTATGGACGAGAAGCCTGGGCCAGTCACGGTCGAATATGGACCAACTGATACAACAAGCGACATTCAGCCTACTCAGAGCAATGAGCCGGGCATCGACGTTGTGGTAGTATCGCACAAGAGACCTTACGGAGATGTCAACTTCATAGGCACATACGTGGCTGCAGGGCTGGGGGCATGCAGTGTATATGGCGCCTTTGTTCTGCCAGCTACATCGCTTTCGTACATCAACACAGCGATTGGTATGTCATTCAACGAAAAGGGATGATGTCAAGCTAATGGTTGTGATAAGGCCCTTCAGCGAATATCACCGGGGTCGTCCTAGCATGGACGCTGTGTCTAGCCGTTGGCTATACTTTGGTCGGCCGTCTTTCAGACATCTTCGGTCGGAGATGGTTCTTCATTGGAGCCTCCTTGCTCGCGACCCTGGGCACGATCATTGGCGCTACAGCCCACGACGTGAATCAGCTCATCGGCGCCAATGTACTGCTCGGACTTGGAGCGGCGGTACAGCTGTCCTTCAACTATATCCTTCCGGAACTTGTCCCGATGAAGGACCGCTTCTACGTGGTCAGCCTGATCTTCATTTTCGCTCTCCCCCTTTCCGGCTTTGGACCTGTCATTGGCCGACTCCTGATTGTGCATACGACTGCTGGATGGAGGTGGTTCTACTACATCAATATCATCCTCAACGGCTTGTCGTCCTTGCTGTATTTCTTGTTCTACTTCCCTCCTGCCTTTGGAAAACTGCACCGCAATCGATCACTATGGCAAGAGATTAAGGACCTGGACTTTGGGGGCATAATCCTCTACAGTGGTGGCTTTCTGGTCCTCTGTATGGGACTGTCTTGGGGTGGTGTCGTTTATCCATGGGGTTCGGCCCATGTCATAGCCACGCTGGTTGCCGGGGCTGTGACTGTCGTGATTTTCGTCCTTTACGGTATGTCATCAACTTTCACGCAAGACACATCTGACTGACTGCTCAACTCCAGAGATCTACATGCCTCTCAACCGCCCGCTCGTCCCAATGCATCTCTTCAAAAGCCGTGACTATTGCGTCTTGACGGTCATCAGCGCTGTTGGCGGCATGCTGTACTATTCCCTGAACGTCATCTACCCAACGATGATCGCCGCTCTTTTCACAACGGACCCCGTTCGTGGTGGCCTGCTTGCCTGTGCTATCGGCGGCGGCGTCGCGGCTGGCCAATTCTCCTCCTCGCTATGGGCTAAACCTGGAGGTCAATTCCGCTGGAAGCTTTTCTTCTCCGTCGTGGCCTGCACGGCCTTTACGGCTGCAATGGCCGGAGTCAAATACAACGAGCATGCTGCGTCCGCTCTCATGGTTCTAGCCTCCTTCTTCATCGGCGCCCTGGAGTCACTGGTCGGCATTGCCATTACTTTCTGTATCAAAGATCAGTCTGAGATTGGCGTCGCTGTCGGAGTATATGGTTCCGTCCGTTCTGCGGCAGGCTGTCTGGCCACCTCCTTATTTGCTACCATCCTGATGAACCGTGTCACCCACAACATCGAGCACACGGTTGTACCGGCTCTCGTCGAGGCTGGTCTGCCCGTTGCTTCGGTGAAGCCATTCCTGACGGCTCTGGAGTCTGGCAACAAGTCCGCCATTGCACAAGTTCCTGGTGTCACCACCTCAGTCATTGGCGTTGCGGTGGAAACGACAAAGTGGTCGTACTCGAACGCTTTCTCGTTAGTCTTCCTGGTTACGTTGGCTTTTGGTATCTGCTCGTGCATTGTTGCGTTCTTTTCAGCAGAGGTGGAGAAGTACTATACCGATGATGTGGTTCGACAGCTGGATAGGGGGTTCTTTGGAAAGCATCGTGCTGCATCTGAGGATACAGATAAGATCTAGAGGCTGCTCGAAAGAAGCCCAGGGGAGAGGAACTGTTCTCTAACACAACGAATATCGTGTTTTTCCTAAATCTTATGTGTGTGCACCTGCGTCAATGTATTCAATAATGCACTCATTTAGAGCTTTGAAGATGCCTTCTTGGGTCTCGTGAGCCCAAAATCAACTTCTCTGTACCATGGATATATCGGCGGGCCGTCCTTCTCCAAAGTGGCCTCGAACTTAGGTATTCTCTTCTCGAAGAAGCTGTCGACGCCTTCTTTGACATCACTGTGATCAGAAATACGTTAATCATCCCCTTTGGGTGTTTCTTTTCATCAGACTCACCTCGAGCCACTGATAGAGAATCCGATCGCACTCTCCAAGATATGCGTTTCTTCCGGAGTTGGAGGGCCTCGCCACATGAGCTCCCTACTCAAAAACTCGCAAGTCCACTCGTTTTCTCTGCCATCAGAATTGCAATCTCCAGGGCCCTGCTCAGAACCCTCTCCCTCTCATCGTAAACTTCATGAAAGAGACTCGAGAAGAACTTCGAATCACCCCTTTGCGGCTCACTAGTCGTGAGGAGATATATGGCATTCGAGTACCCGATCAGCCGTGGGAGGAAGAAGGACCAATTCGACTCCATTGTGATGCCCAGTTGAGAAAAGGGGAAGACATATTTCGACGATGCGTGTGCAATTCGTATATCTGCTGCGAGGGTCATTGTCATGCCTATGCCAGCGGCAGATCCGTTCATAGCAACGATCGTAGGCTTCCGGCAGCGGGAGATGGCGAGATTGATTCTACCTCCTCTAGCAAATGTCAGAATCTAGAGAAAATCCGTGAAGTAAAGATCGTACGGATCTCTGTTATCCAGTAACTTCTCCGTCCGTCCCATGGCATCAAACCCTCTTTGCAAATCGATCCCCGCGCAAAACGTGTCGCCAGCTCCTGTTAAGACGACGCATTTCACTCGTTCGTCAACGTCGAACTTTGGGAACAACGACTCCAGATCTTCCATCGCTCGGAGCGTGAATGCATTTCGCTGTCTAGGACGGTCGAGCGTCACTACTATTACTGGAGTTACTGAGGATGCATTCTCGGGATATGTGGTGACTTTGAGATTTTCTAAGGATAACGTGCTGTACGATTCGGGAACGTGATGTTGTATGAGCGTGTTGGTGTCATTATTGATGCTGCTGATGACTATGGGAACTAGATAGACGAAGGTTCGTTGTGGGCAGCGGGAATAGTCGGTCGACGGAAATATCACTTGTGCCGCAGAAACCACTCGTACCGAACCATGTCTCTGATATCCGATTTACAAGGGTTCAGTTTAAACCCCTAAACAGTTCAAGAAGCATCTATTGGCAGAAAGAAGGTGCAATCCTCTGTTGGAAGAATTAGCTTGGCAATCACATGACAGAGTTGGTCCATGCTCTCAAATTAACGTGCACTAAGAAGCCCTCGTTTCCTTAAGTACAAAGCCGATCGATTGAAAATCGGTCTCAAACACAGCAATCTGATATAACTGTGCCTGCCTCTCTGAAAGTGCGATGGAGCGGCAGAAAACCAGGAGGGAGGAGCTTAGAGGCTTTTGCAGGCTCTTGTGCAGTCTCTCGACCTCGTTTCAAGCACAAGCCCCTCCTCATGTTTTCCTTGAGCTCAACTGATCCTTATCCATGAACATCTTCTTGTGCAACAACAACATCGATAGCTGGATTATTCTTCGCAGCCCCCAATCTCGAAACGGTACAACCTTTCAACAATACCGTCAATCGTCTACGGGTTGACAAGATCGAGCTTTCGGCCTCTAAAGTCACAACATACCAGTGAAAGAGGTCCAAAATCAAAGAGATTGAAAATTATCCGAAGGGCTTCATAGATCGACTTGAGCAACGTAACAGCAATCTCAGGACTGTTCAATTACTTGTACGTTGTTACCGTCATTAAAACCTCTAACATCCTGATCTGAATATCTCCTAGAAAGCTGCTATTCTTATTGCTCCACATCAGACAGCGCTTGGTGCAACATGCCCAACGTCGTCGTTCACCGACCATCGGGCCCAAACCCTGACAACGAACCATCAACGCATGATGTTAGGCACGGTAACGTACGGAAATAGTAGAACAAGACAGCTTGTCGAAATCAAATGGCCGTGGTTGAAACGTTATGCGGAGTCGTCGTAGGGTGCCAAGAACCCAAGCAAGTGCTGTGAGATGCAGTTTTGAGAAAGTCACAGACTGGACAACATTGTCTCGAGGGTGGGAGGCGAACATAATTGAAGGAATTTTGAAAGAGTACCTGCACATGTGGTGAGATTCATCCGTAGTACGAAGAGCACGTGGAGGAAAGTAGGCTTGCACGATGCGGTGAAAATTCGGAATATCAGGCTGTCGGAAAGGGGCTCCAAAATACATCTCGTTGGAGACATCGGATTGGCCGCGATAAAACTTGTGTAAAAGAAACCGGAATACACCGGCGACTGAGTATGAATGCTTTGTCAGACTCAACTCTATTGAAGACGAGGGGAGGAGTGTTCTTATATCAGTAGCTTTGATATAGTTCACAAGAACTCGCTTCTAAGCCTAGTCTAGAGGCTGTCTTCGGTCTTCTTCTGGCCACAGACTATATTTATCCGCTCAAAGCCTCCCTTCTCGGCTAGCTCTTTACGTAGACGTGCTTCGAGACCGTTCCATTGATTCTCCCATATGCCAAGACCTAAAATATTCCGGAAACGAAGTACATTAGCTTCCATTCTTAGGTGAAAACACAGCAGAACGAGGCAAACAAGGCTTACCCTTCATTGCACTTTCCATCTCATTGACAACTGCAGCAGGAGTCTCAATACCTTTGATGGCAAGTTCCGCCGTAGGAGCCGTCGTACCCCACGGAACCATGACGTCCCTCCGTTGCACGTTAGTCAGGCCAGCATCTTTCAAGACTTGATCGAGGTCCTTGAAAGGTCTTGCCTGGCGGAAGCTAAAGGCCAGCAGGGCCTCGATCATGTCAATAAACTGCGTAGCAGATTCCGCGTTTCCCGGTATTTCATCCGTATCTGGCTCAACGAGCTGTATCCACCCGCCAGGGCTTAGCAAGTCGGCGAAGTTCTGCACCAGAGGCAATAAGCCCAATTGGGCGCCCCCAGCCAGCGTGAACCGCTGATGGACGATATCAAATGTGCCTTTCCACGATGCTGGCCAAGGGTCTGCGATGGATTGTTTGACAAAGGTAAAGTTGTCCGGCGCTTGATCAGGAAATGCACCGTCTGAAACATCGATGCCCACGTATGAGTGTTGCGTCGGAGCGACGCTTTTTGCGAGGTCTTCTAGCCACCGCCCATTTGCGCAGCCTGCGTCGAGGATGCGCAGATTCGGCATCGATAGGTCGATGGGGGCGTAGATGGCTTGCCCGTTCATGGCGTGCAGGACATTTTCGTGTTGGCCTTCTAGGCGAGCTTGTTCACGGATTTTGTGGTCGGTTTGCTGCATGCTCTGCACGTAGAGTTGCATTGGATCCATCTTGCTATGACTTGATTTGGGGTGGAAGAGTGACGTTCTATGGTTTTGCGGCTGGATAGAACTGATACGTGGCAGTTGCTCGTCAAGGAAGTTCCGCCCTGTGCCGCTTATTTAAAAGGAATGAGAAGTAAGCACAAACGAGTAGAACTAGAGCGTAGGGCTTGTGCTTAAGTAATACGGCTTGTGGATTAGGATGGGCTATAGCTAAAATGGGATTAATGTAGAGTTCTAGTGCAATAAAGTACTGTACTTACTACGTTCATGCTTGTAAAATTTAGGAAAATTAGGCTGTCGAAAAGGGGCTTCGAAACATATCTAATTACTAAAATCGGAGTGGTCACGACAAGCCTTGTGCAAGCTCGCGGCTGTATATGAATGTTTTGTCAGGCTTAAGCAGTGTGTCGAAGATCAATGTTGTCGAATTAGCTAGTAGCGGCAATTTGGAGACGGATGATGGGACTCGCACTCCTCGAATGCGCTGGTCTCTCGTCGAAAAGAGACTGCTTAAGGAGTTCAGGTACGATGGAACTGATATCAGTCAAGTGCAATGCGGACAAATACAACGAGTACAGCAATTGGCACTTTCTGAATGTCTACTACAAAGGCTTCTGCGCTAGGTGACACCACAAATCGTATTTCAACACAGGCCTGCAGCCTTCAATCTCATGGTTGACCTTCACTCGCATATCTCGTGCATCCATCTCACTCATCTCATCAGCCTCCTGCAAGCTCTCAATGAACCCAGCTACGACGACTTTCGTGAACTCAAGCTCTTCGGTCTGAGAGTAGAAGTCTGTCTCGACGCTCTCGAGGCCACGAGAAGCGAATGTGCTCGGGATGCGGTGCATGTCGCCGATTGCCTTCGTTTTCATGTTGTCGACGTAGCGGACAAGAACACTGCGTATTACTGCAGCGTCCTGTGATTCAAACTTGATAGCGGCGATGCCGGGCGTCAGGGGATCAAAGTCGGCCCATTGGATCCAGCCCCCGGGGCGCAAAAGGGCGATGATATTGCTCATGACGATATCCCAATCTTCCTGCCCCAATACTGAATGCAAGAGTCTCACAGCCACGACGTCGAAGCGGCCCTTGTGCTCTGGTTTCATGCCATCTTTGCGTTTGATATCATCAAAAGTAAAATCTGTTGTAGCAAGGCACCACCAATTCAAACCGCCCTCGCCATCGATTGTCGGGAAATGGTACAGCCTCTTGCGACGGCGGAATTGTCGAGACACATGTACGAATTCAAGCCTTGATTGTTCATGGCCTTTGGATTCGCCCGCTCACTGCGGAAGTTATGAGTCAGATCAGAGACGACGTTGGAGCTCGTGAGGATCCGGACAATCAAGTCTGGCACTTTACCCCATCCTATAGAACAAATCTGTCGTGCCAGCTCTTGCATATGCTTGTCATAAGCTAAACTTAGCTTGTACATTCTACATAATCTGGGTGTCTCAATTCTTTACTGCATGCTCCAAGGCTGCTAAGGAAAATATAAAATAGCATTCCTTTTAAGTATAAACGAGACATAGGTCGAAGGCAGCTAAATCAGCAGAACAGCTCATATCCATCGTACCATTGCATGACCTGACAATGACGAGGGCTTAATAATAGCGCCAAACCACCCCTGAGTAGCTAAATCCCCTTCGAACACGGCTGTCGTGTAGCCTCATCGGGAAACCGAGACCAATCGAGGACCCCTGCGTTGTGCGACCCACCCACCCACCAGCTGATCGTCAACGAAAGCGAATGCGAAAGATCCATATCTGGCTACTTAAAGCTTTGAAGCTGAGACTCCATCTCCATAATACACACATACTTTGCTTCGTTTAAACGGGACCGTCAAGGACATAGCGATGGCCTCCAAAGATACCATCCAGCAACTAATCAACCGCCGAAATGAGCTTCTCCAGAAAGCTTCTGAAACACGCAACGTCAATGACTTGATCAAATGGTACTCGAAAGATGCGACGTTCTGCAATGTCTGTACGCCACACACCACAACCCCCAACCACGGCAAGGAGCTTTTCTAACTCCCAGATAGACCAGAACCTCACCATAACCGGCACACAAGCCCTCCGAGAGTTCTACACCTCCGCCTACACCGCCATCCCAACGTTCAAAATTACTTCCGCAGTCAGCACGGGTACGGCGGAATTTGTCGCTTCGGAGTTGGATTGTCAAGGCATGGCTGGGGTTGCTCTTCCGCAGATGGGTATCCAGAAGGGCGCGAGTTTCAAGTTGAAGGGAGTTTCGCTTTTCTGGTGGAGATGGGATGGTGAAGGGGAGGAATGGGGTGGTGGGCTGGATGAAGAGAGTGTGAAGGGGTGGAAGATTGTGAGGGAGAATGCTTATCATCAGGTAGTTGAGTAGGAAGGGGAACGATGAGGTTACGTACGGCCTTTCAATTGGCTTTTGAAGCTGAGCAAGTCCTGTCATCTTTGAGTATCTTGTGGTTCATGAGTGCACTCTTCTCTTGCGAGTCGTCCATGTCCATCTTCCTGGAGAACGACACCTTCCGCCTTATACAACACGACTCAGAAATCACCCGTCCCACCATCCGCAGCCCAAATCTGGCCGCTAGCGAACGAGTTCTGAGGATCAGCTAAGGTAACATACAACGGCGCCAACTCCACAGGCTGCGAGTTCCGACCATACGGACAGTCCCTACCCACCTCCCTGATACTCTCTGTCGTATCGCCCTCAGTCGATAGGACGTTGCTGATGGTCATATAAGGCGCCACTGCATTAACCCTAATCCCTCTCGGCGCAAGCTGTTTCGCCAGGCCTCTCGCGAAGTTCGCCAGCACCGCTTTCGTAGCCGCGTAATCGATCAGATTGGCCGAGGGCACGACGGCCTCGCCGGAAGATGTGAAGATTATGGAGGACCCAGGCGGAAGATAGGAGACGGCGGCGCGGACGAGGTAGAAGGGGGCGAAGACGTTTGTTTCGAAGGTCTGGTTAAACTGCGCGGTGGTCATGTTGCCGATGAAACTGTGGTAGCGACTGTAGCCCGCGTTGGAGACGAGGATGTCCAGGCCGCCGAGGGCGTCGTGGGCGCGGGCGACGAGGTCGGCGCAGAAGGACTCGTTGCGGAGGTTTCCGGGTAGTTCGTGGGCGCGACGGCCGGTGGCTGAGATGTGCTGGGTTGTGATGTCGGCGTCGGGTTGTTCTTCGGGGAGGTAGTTGAAGGCTACGTCGGCTCCTTCTCGTGCGAATGCTATGGCGACGGCACGGCCGATACCTGAGTCGCCGCCTGTGATGAGGGCTTTGCGGCCGCGGAGACGACCTGTGCCGACGTAGGAGGTCTCGCCACTGTCTGGTGCTGGGTGCCAGTTGCTTTGGAGGCCTGGGAAGGATTGGTTGGGCACGATGTAGCTGTTGTTGTAGCGGGTGACTGGGTTCGTGAGTTGGGTGCTGTTGTCAATGATCGCTGAGAGGAACGTTAGCAGAAGCCTGAATGCCATTGATCCAGTTTTGAAAACCAACCTTGAGCTGTCGTTGACAATGGCAGAAAGATACCTATTAATACGATGTTTCGAGTAGCCATAATGTGGGTTCCTGAGCAATGAATTCGGGGTTGAGTATGATTTGGCGATCCAAGACCTTATCATGGTCTTTATATTCATATCCATTCAATGGACATAGGTCAACACTACCTCCGCTCTTGGCCAACTTGACAAGGAAAGAGAGCAACCAATCACTACGAGATGGCCCACGCCAGGGTTTCAGGGAACGACGAAAACGCGCAAATCGTGCCGTAACACTGCACCTACCCGGGATGGGCATCCGTCTTCGGAAGCGTTGAGCCGGCGTGAGAAGACAAAATGGATCGCATGTATGAAGCGTTATGTCCGGCGATGCAAGATGATGTGCAGATGTCCGCGGGCAACTTATGTCGTTCGATTCTTCGTAGAGGATGTGATGGTCGTCCAAGATCCGAGACACCCTGCAAGGGTTTGGTGCTTGCGTAGGTCTTGCATAGACTTTCCCCTAGGAGAGTAAGACCGAAGGCGTACATGCCGTGAACGAGGCTGTCACCCGTCAAGGCTCTTTTCGACATTCAATCCGACGGCAAGGTACACTCTCAGAAATCGGTCTTCAGTGCCGTTCAAGTATTTCCTATACGGCTTCTTACCACACTGTCCATGGCCATCGCATTCCAGTAAACCGAAGGCCTGAAGAATCACCATGGCCCAGTTGTAACCGGCTCAGAGTTCCAGCACCTGTCACTCTCCAGGGTAGATGGTCAAGCGGCCCTGAGAGCGCCGTGCATTACAATGTACGTCTTCAAGATCCATGCTTGTTCAGGGTGATTTGACTGTAGTGTTCGATGCACAAACAAGCCCCAAGCCCCACTTAGCGCAGTGGAGTGTCCATCCTTGAAGTTGCCCATTCCAGACATGTAAACGGTGTGGCGAACTCGCTGGCGCTCATGAAGTGCTGCAGTTCGCTGCGCTGGCTTCCTCCAAAGCAAGAGGAAGCAATTCATGGCTGTGCGATTTTCGGTTGCCTGGTGGAGGGTCACCATGCACGGACCAGCCAAGTTTTTAGCCCCGTTAGGGCAGATAGATCCGTGACATGTGAAGGTGTCTCTCAATTATGAGTACCGACATGCTCAAAATTGCTGCGTTGTATCCACAGTTGGAAAGTCTCATCATGGTGCCATGTTCGAAGGCAGCAAATTGTTGCACTGTCAGCCAAGACATAAAAGTCGGACGGGAACCACCGAGCAGTCTGCTACAGAACCATTTGATGCTCTACGAGATAAGAGTGCAGCTCAAACGTGGCAGAGCCACGCAAAGTCTAGGCAACTATTTCTGGTTCCATCGCTTACTTGTGATCTGGCGCGGGTGATACGGCAATAGATCCTCAGGAACATGGAGTCTGTGAAGATCGACCTTTCCACACCCTTGGGGACAGTTCTTCCTGCCTGTGTGGCGCAGAGATGCCGGACACAGCTCAGAGGAACCAGGCCCTCCTATATTGCCAGCGCCGTCCAAGCAATGGACGATATTAGTTAGAAAACTCTCAGTAAGCCAATCGGCCGACGCTTGCGCGGCGTCCGCTTCGCGGTGGAGGTAGCATGTCCCATTTGCACACGATCTGATCATGTGCCAAGAGGGTTGGTAGTATTCATACGCCATTGTGAAGGTACAGTAATGGACCAGTGACTGCCAAGGTGGACGTGGGAATTGACGTCGTCTGAATTTCGTGTCTCTTGGCGTGGAAAGACTGGCAGACCGAGGACGCAGAATGAACGATCTTGTACTGCGGCTCGTCAGCAGGGCAGTCAGGTATGTGTCATCTTGAGTAATGAGTTCGTTTGTCACACGGCCATCATAAGCATCGTCATTCTCGTCCACTGCAAACGTGTCGCAGCGGGGTCCCGAGATGATCACATCTTTGATATGTTGCCATGAGCATTGGTCTTTATCCCAGTCTTCAGGCGTCCAGCAGATGTGATCCGTTGTATAGCGATCGAATTGGAAGCTTCCTGGCATGTGTTCGAGGCGGTATATAGGTGTTTTTCGTAACGTTGACACCGTTATGCTCCACTGATCAAGCGCGTTGCTGCACTCCAGGAAGAACTGCAGCGAAGAATCCGACGTTTATGTACTTATGGGGTTCAAACATAAACATGTCTGCGCTGCAGTCGGACAGACTGGCTTCGCCGTCGGCAATCATTTGTTGAACAGCTCTGATGTCGCCTGTCATGCATCGGAAGAAGACCTCTGACATCGCAGGACGAGGCGTGAAGATCCGCAACTTCAGATTCCAGCCAGATTGTGCTTGCGTCAGAGAGACACTCCAGATTTTGGAACAGATCCACCGAGGAAGGCGAATGGAAAAATGGCTCCCATGGGCCTTCTTGCTCGAGTTCGCACGTTCTCCGTAGGTTCGCTGGCTTGGCTCCATTCGCAGCTGACCATCGCTGTCCGAAGCGGTGGGACGAGAAACGGACGAATGCGGTATCTTTGCCAGCGCAATGCTATTGGCTTGTGTCTGAGTCCAGATCAGTTGCAGCTGCACGCTTTGTTGCTCCATTCGGGCAAGTTGAGTGTTCTCCATAGCCGACTGCTTTTGCGAATTGTATGTGATCAGAGACAGGCTCAAGGTGGACTTGGCCTGCTCCAGCTCGCCCAGCAGTCTTGCGATGTCTGGGTCTTTGAGTGCTGTATATAATCTGCTCAGAAGTGCGCGTTTCACGCTTACGCTTTGTATCTTGTCAACGATCACCTGTATTCTCGAGGTGGAGACGCGGCACCGATCAAGACAACGCGTAAGCAGTGGTGGATGAGCGGCAGGTTGACTTCGTTCGAGCTGGTCGAGACACAAGCCCATGGTCTCAAGGTCGAAGATGAGGTCTTGGAGGGTGGTTGGTGCATTTTTGATGCTTCCGCAGAAGGCCTTCAGCTTCTGAATACTCTCGACTAGCTGGATTCCAGCCGAGAAGACTCCCAATAGTTCAAATCCAGACATGACGATGAAGGACGTTTTCCATCTGTTTGTTGGAGAGCGGAGACCGGAGAAGGTTCGAAGCTGCCATCACGGCTTCCTTGGATATCATCGTAGCGAGGTGGCTTGGCCTGCAGTACAGTGTCTGCACATGTGGGAGTTGGCACTTGGCTGGCCAGGGGTTTCAACGTTGCGATTCGCCGCTGGACTTCAGCTTTCGAGGACAGCACATAGAGAACAGGTCCATGTGGGTACCTGGTTGCTCCGGTGTGCAGTCCCTGGCAGCCCACGCATTCGCTGGTGGCAGTACCCATTATGAAGGCCGATGAAGCGAGCAGAGTTGCAGGGCCAATTCTGGGAATAAACCAGGCTGAATGTCGGTACTGCTGTGGACGACAAGAGGGAGCGACGTCTGGGCAAGTCAAACGGAGTTTCGTTTACGGAGCTTGTTCCGCACAATTTGATTGGCCGGCGCTCGGAAGATTTGCCCATCCTCAGCTCACACGAGACGGACCAAACTCTCACACATCCAGACTTGACCTTTGGGCTGAAACCTCACCTCCTCCAACCAACTCCTCAAAGCCACACCCGGGATGTATTACTTCTGGCTAGTCGTCCTACCACGCGAGCCGTCTTCACCTCGCAAGACGCTCCAAGCTCCGCTAAGCATTCTGGTGCAGACGAGACAACATCTCCTCAGCATGAACTCTGCTTGAGCCACCATGCATATAACAAGTCTCGCGGCCTTGGCATGTTCTTCCAGAACGACCCTCACCTACATGTCAGCTCATGGACAAGCGCCACCAGAGTCGAGATGTGGCAGCTTGTCAAGTACAGAATCAGTATAAGGTGATGGCGAGGTAGGTGGGCTTCTTGAGCATTTAGACAGGACTCGATCACAAGCACCCTCTTGCCCTCCTCTGCTGCTTGACTACAAGTATGCAGCTCGTACAATTCTGGTCTTTGACCTTGTTGCTGGTCTCTCCCGCCTCTGCAGCAGCTGCAGTACAATATTGCGGTGCTGTTGGAGTCTCTACTAAGCTTCCCTACTTCACATCAGCGTTCTCCACCCTGCGATCTTCGGCGGCATGCGGGAAACATCGTGCTGCTGATACGAAGTGCCAGAGTTATGCGATTGGTACTGGTCTCTGTTTGCACTACGCCTCTCCAGTGTGAGTCAATCAAGCTCAAACAATGATGTTTCGACATGACCGCTCACTTCTCGCAGAGCCAGCCTATTCAAAGCGTCGTCCATAAGCCCGTGGAAACTGTACGATCGTATCTGCGCGCCAGTTGTGCCCAGCTTTCCCTCCAATACCGGGTCAGCCTCAACACCGACTGCAGGCACTGATGGCCATACTTCGATAGACGTGGGAGGCTCAGTCACTTCTCCTGTCATCGCAACGACAGATAGTCCGGACCTTCCATCCAGCAGTGTCGTGTTCCCCACGGACGACAAGAGCTTTACCGTCACCTACACATACTATGAAGAGCCGCTACCAAGCATCATATCGATGGGCTCACCTCCAATTGATGGTCTTCCAGCCCCAACGTCAGGACTGCCCAACCTTCCCTGTATCGTCGACCCGTCATCGACAAACAGCCAGTTCAATCTTCTCGGCTCCAACTTTGTACCCCTGGTCAGCACATCTGGCAAGCTGCAGCCTTTGCCAACTCCGACGTCTGAAGCACAAGCCAAAGCCATGGGTCCGCCCGACTCCGTTGCATTGCCATACTTCTTCTTCCAGAAGCCAGCGTCTGGTACCGGAGCTTATGACATCGTGCTGGCTGGCTCCACGGCTCAGTACATCGCAAAGACATCAATTGGTGGAATGATACTTACATCTGCCTCAACGGGTACAACTGCAAAGACCGTCAATGGGCAATCGATCATCACTTCCATCTTCAACGTCGATTGCAAGGGCCGGATAAGCGTTCAGCAAGGTACAACCCTGTACACTTGGGATGTCAACTCGGACGGAACAGCTGCAACATTCGTGACAGGTGCACCCACCAATAACCGAACTATGGTCACCTACTCGATGCAGATGAAAGCCAAGGCTGCCAGGAATCGACGCAGAAGCATCTGGACTGAAGGTGCCGCACCGCGATGTCCCAACAGCCCTGCAAACCTGCATGCTGCAGTGTTCCCTGGAGCCCGTGGACTGGCGCCGAACGGCTGTGGTGCTGCAAAAGGATTCGACTTTGTGCCAGACTTCTCTTTTGGAAAATGCTGTGACGGCCACGACAACTGCTACGATGACTGCAATCGCGGTACGTGGGAAGGCTGCAACAATCAATTCCACGACTGCATGCGAGGCTCAGGCTGCGACTATCTCAACAACTGGTACTCCTACATTCCCTATCTCGCGTGCCTCAAAGCCGCCGACTTCTACTACTGGAGTGTAACAGGCTCAATTGGCCGCGGCGCATTCTACTCCGCCAACACCGAACGCTGCAAATGCTACTGTCCCGACTCCCAAGCCCTCTGCGGCACCCAGCCCAACGGACCATACACCTGCACCAACCTCTTCTCGACCGACGTCAACAACTGCGGCGCCTGCGGCCGGACGTGCTCCGCCAAATCCACCTGCACCAAAGGCAGCTGCACCTGCCCGATCGACCAATGCGGCGACCGCTGCGTCAACCTGAAAGACAACCCCAACCACTGCGGCTCCTGCAGCACCAAATGCCCCTCCGGCCAAGACTGCTACCAAGGCCAATGCTACCTCCCACCCCCAAATAAATGCGCGTCCGTCGACGGCTTCTCCATCTCTCCACCCGTCGAACAATGGAGCACCTGCCCGCAAGGCTGCTCCGCCGACGGCTTCACCCAGCCCCTATCGCCCTACTACACCGGCTCTCCCACACTCGGCTGGAAAATCGCCAAAAACGGCTACGCCACCATCGGCACGACCGTCAAAATGTGTCCCGGGACGGACTACCTCCTATCTTTCAACACGAACCACTGCGACGGCATCGGCATCCACTGCAACGTGAAATGGAAATTCGGTCAGCGCGACTGGAGCGCTCTACAGGGTTTCCCGACTCCCGACGATTGTCACGATCATGCGAGCCCGCAGTATGAGGTGCCGGGGTTTAATGTGGGGGATGCAGGGACGACGGGGGATGGGTTGGCGCTGGATGTGCCTTTTGCGGTTTATTTGAGTTGTGATGGGGAGACGTTTAGTGTGAAGATTAGTGGGTTTGAGTTGGTTGCTCAGGGGTCGGGGTGATGGGACTCAGGTTACTTGTGAGAAGATGGGTTCAGGCTTTGGAGTTGGTCATCGTCGAAGTGTTCACACGCACCGTTTTGAGGTGGCTGATGGAGTCAAGCCGGCCTAGATGTGCTTGGGACGAATTCCCGCTGCTCCCCGAGACTGATGATTGATACATGTAATGATGCTACTTGTACAGTACAGTGGATTCGCTTTCTGGGTGCTGTTACAAAACAGAAATGCAGTCATGCTCTCAAACAAGAACTTTCCCAAAACGCTATGCTTGAGTGCAGAGCCCCGTGGGCTTGTGGAATTTATCAATCAATCGCTCGCTCGCTGGCCAAAAACTCAAGCTTCAATCATGAAAAACAAATGCAGTTCCTCGAAAAAACAAAAATGGACAAGCCGTTCCTCCTCACCACATCGTACACACCCCCTTCCTTCCTTCCTTCAGCACCACCACCTCACCCCGTCACCCGCCTAACCCACAACCCCTCCTCCTCGCCCTCCTTCCTTCTCGCCCTCGAAATCGCAATCCCAATCTCCCGCTCCTCCAACAGCACCTCCGCCAACGTCTCCCGATACTCCTCCAACTTCTTCTTCGCCTCCCTTAACTCCGCGAACGACACCTCCAGCGGACTCGCCTTCTCCTTCTTCTCCAGCTCGTCGATGACTTTGAGGATGTTCATGCGTTGGTGCTGTTTGTCCTGTTCGGAGGCGAGGAGGGTTTCGAGGTGCGACATGGGGGAGACGGGGGTGAGGAGGTCCGGGGGTGGGGGGAGTTGTTTCTTGCCGGATGAGGATGATGATGGGGTGGTGGTGTCGAGGGCCCGGGGCGTGATGGTGACTTTGGAGCGGGCGGAGAGGGGGGTGTAGGTTGCTGGGTCTTGGAGGGAGGTCTTTCGTGGTGGTGGGGTCCAGATTTCTCGATCTGCGCGCTGGATGGGGCGGTGTCGGGAGAGGATGGACTGGACGGGGAGGGTCTTGAATTTGGAGGGGACAGGTGGCGGTGGGCTCGGCGGAGGTGAGTCAGGGCGGATCTGGTTCGTCATGTTTGTGTTGACGGTGCTCCAGCTGAATCGACTCTGGAGTGGTGCTTCGCCTGATGGTTGTTTGCTGTGTCTTGAAGTTGGGTAGCCGCCTGTCTCGAATGAGGGTCGTGTTGGTGCAACTGAGCCTGCGTATGTCGTCCAACTGAAGTGACTCTTCGGGTCGCGGTATGTGTGCTCTTGAATGTCGCTGGTGTTGCTGTCTCGTGAGGGTGGTGGGATGTTTTCAGGTGAGATCGAGTGTCGGCTGGGCACAGATTTCCGAGTCACTGTCTTGGTGTGGGAGGGTGTCTCGGGAAGTGAATATCCATTCATGGGCATGGGTGAGTGTCCGAGTGGGATGCGGTAGTAGTCAGGCGAGACTTCCGACACAGGTGAGATGGGCGACGACGGCACATCCTCCCACTGCGACTCTCCTGGACTCGCTGGCTCGGCATCATCACCAACCATTGAGACGGGCGATATGCTTCGGATGCTCTTGGGTGGGCTTTTCTGCAATCGCGTTGGAGATCGTCTATCCCGAACGACTTCAAAGGCGCCTTCATAAGGGCTCTTGTAGGTCGAGGGCTGGACTCGAGGTGCCTTGTCGCTCACATTCCCCGAAATCTCATCATACTTGACCTTGTTTCCGGCGGGCTTGTGCAGCATTGAGCGCACCTGCTTGAAGATGGGCAGTCTCGACTGTCGAACTTGAGGTCCATTGTCGGTGATGCTCTGCTCGGGATGTGCATGGAACGGAGGATGGTAGGACTTCTGAATCCTCAGTGGCGGTATGGCAGGCATGTCTGGATGATCGAGGACTCGAGCGTCGATGGTGGTGTCGTCGTCGGAGAAGATGGACTCGGGAGGGACAGACGAGCCGGGCGCTGGTTTTTGCACCCAGGCGGGATCCTTTTGAATGGAGTAGGCTGGCATGATGGCGATGCCTGCAAACCTTCAGCGGGGTTGAGTCCTCTCATCAAAATTGGCTTGTGACCCGGCAACGTGGTAACGGTCAGGCGTCGAGTCTGTTCTCTTTCCCTCAACGCATGCAGGTAGAAATTGGAGAGTGCGGTTGGAGAAGAAAGGAATGTCGCGAAATGCAGGCGTGAGGATTAGGAAATGGGAGAGACGCGTGGGGTGTTTTGTTGTAAACACCCGTTCAGCAGACGACGGCGGCGTCAAACACAGGGTTGGCGGGAGATGGTCACAGGCGCAGGATGGACCCTGCAACACGACGTGCGGTTGACGTTGGTTTGCCTGAGGGTGCTGGAGACGGGAGCCGTTGGTTGCTGGCGGCGAGAGAAGAGAGATGAAACTCGTTTCAGGATGGAAGCCAGTTCGAGCCGTTGCAATCCAAGTGCCGTGATTGGCTGGGAGAGCTCGCTCGGCCGTTCATCGCCGTTCGCACGTGCGCGCCATGTCATCACCGTCGTTCCATACGCCTGCTGCTTATTCCGACTACAACTCCCCGACCACATATCAAACGCAATCATGGCAGACGGTAGGGACGATATCCACGAAGGGAAGCATTTCTGAAGACTAACGTATTCAGCAGGAAGCACCACAAACTCCTCCGACGCCCCCGCGGCGGCCGAAGTGTATGCTCGTTGTCCTGATCTCCGGCTGCCAACATAGCACTGATCATAACCATAGTGCTACCATCGCTACTCCCATCAACCTCATCCTATTGTCCCTGTTCATGGTACTGGTGTACATGCGTCTGCGACCGAAGAAGACCGCAGCAACCCTTCCGCAACCTCCACCACCTACAGTCTTCAAGATCTTCACCCCGCCCCAGCTCATACCATATAATGGAACCAACAACATGCCTGTGTATTTGGCAGTAAGAGGAAAGATCTTCGATGTAACGCCAGGCCGGAACTTCTATGGTCCAGGCGGTCCATACCAGAACTTCGCTGGCCGAGATGCTTCAAGAGGTCTGGCGTGTGGGAGCTTCGATCCAGAGATGCTGACGGAGGATCTGAATGGTCCGCTTGACAAGCTGGAGGATCTTGGTGGTGAAGAGATGGAAGCGCTGAGGGGATGGGAAGAGAGGTTCAACGAGAAGTATCTTGTGGTCGGAAAGCTTGTGCCTGTGGGCCACGCAGAGGCAGAGCCTGATGAGAAGGCGTCGTAAGTCACAAGCTTTCGCCTGGATCACACACGCACGAATCACAAAAGGGACGGTATTCAAACCTTTGATCCTATTGTGGGTCTGTCAAGGTCATCACGAGCTGTACGATTGGGCGGCGTTCTCCAAACTCTAATCAGAAATGTGTCACTACCATATTTGTCCTTTCACGTGGAGATTATTTGGGTCATATATCACTCACGTTCTCTAGATCTCTCACTTTGGCTCCAATCAGCACTCACAAAAAGCAGTCTCGACGCCAACACAGACCTCGACGACTTTACCAACTCTCCAAACCGGATCAAGAACCGATTTCGCGAAAGCAGTCCTACGTACCGCGCATCATGGTGCCCTACTGTCCTCCGAAGCGACATCTGCGGATACGTGAACCGAGCCTCAAGGCGCTCATAACAGACCTACCCAATGAGCTACTGCTGCAAATCACAGCACTTCTCACCAAGACTGAACTCCTCCGACTCCGACTCACTCACTCAGCTCTTGCTCCTGCTTGTCTTACTGAGATCCAAGGCCGCACAAAGGTCTTATACATCCATCCTTCAGCCGGTGTGCTTCGAAGGATACCTGACATCTGCGATCATCCATTTACCTGGCAGGTGGAAGAGGTCATCCTCTTGGGTCACGTCCCACGCCCTGAGATCGATCAGGCTCTCAAAAGTGACCATGCTGGCAGATGTTTGCGAAGCAAGTTTGCGGCCTGGCCACATTTCTTCCCCACTGGAAAGGCGGTGGCTCAAATATCAAATGAAGAGGTTGGTCAGAGGTAGGTTGGCTCACATGCTTCGATCCTTATTTGGGAATAATTGAGCTCACATCTACAGACTGACATACGATGTCCTCGTCGAATCCCTCCGCAAACTATGCCAGTGCAAACACATTTCTTACCAGATTGACTGCCCCGAGCCAGGCATCAACAGAATGCAAAAGTCCAGCATCAAAGTTTCTCGAAGAAATACATGTACGCACCCAAGGACGATACCCGAGCCAGCGACATGGAAATTCTCCTCGATCTTATCACAGATCCGACCTTGGACTTCACCGCCCTCTCGATCAAAACCACCCTACCCATGGCACCACAAGGTCTCTCCATGAACCAGCAGAAGCTCACACGCTTCGAGCTCGCTTTGGACCTGTATTCCGACACGAACCACGTATACTGGACCGAACAGCACAAGTACAGAGAAACCTGCGAGGACCTGCTCAAGTCGGCGACCAACCTCGAAAGCTTGACACTGGTACTGGTGGGAACGGGCAAGATCAAGAAGGTGCAAGACATGAAGGGTCATGCTCTGAACTTCGTCAAGCTCACCGACCGCACTTGGAAGAATCTCATACATTTGAGACTGTCCCAATGGCAGGATGACTGGCACCTACCGCCTCAACGCCCCGCTTGCCAGATTTTTAGTGATCTCGAGGTCTTGAAAGCGTTCTTCCGGCGTCACACCCAGAGCTTTGAGACAGTTGAGATAGAGAATATCCTCTTCGTGGAAGAGACGCCCACGGGACCACCGGCCATTCAGACTATGGTTTCTATCATTGACATCTTCCATGAAGCTAAAGTACCCTGCGAGTACGTCGTGAACAAATTTCGACATCATCAGTACTGCAAGAAGAAGGATTTCGATGGTGTTGCAGGATGCGGGTGCGATTGTGCACGTTATACGCCGGATAACGTTGATGGTGGGACGAATTTGGGGGATTTTGAGGGGTTGGTGGAGAGTGTTGCTCTTGGTGGTGGGGATGGAGTGGCTGAGTGGTTGGATGTTTGCATGGGGGAGAGGGAATGGACGTTTGGGTGGAGGGATGTTGGGGATGAGGGTGAGGGTTTGGAGGAGCTGGCGGAAGGGGTTAGTGAGTTGCATGTTGGTATGGTTTAGAGGGAGGTTCTCAGCTCGGAAGAATGATAAAGCTGCTCCTGCAAGTGCATGGGCAAAGTTGTGCAAGTTAGTGGTGCCTTAGGCAACAAGTGACACAATAGGCCCGTTCCACGGCCGAGGGTTTCTCCCGTTCGACACTTTAGTCCTTCCCCCCTGCAACGAGTTCCTGCCCCACGCTCTCTCTTTGCAGAACTCTTCTTGTCTCCAAACACTCAAGTCTCACGAGGGTGTACCTTGAGACTTGCCGTCTGATGTCGTCGGGACGACTGGACCTCCCTTTGCGGTCCTACTTGTCCAAGCTATCTGTGCTCAGTGCGTCCGAACCCCACCATACATCCCGCCACTCGCGAGCATGTCGCCAGTCATCGTGGCAGCCGTCACCGGAGTCAAATGTGCACCTGCACTCTCGTGCGATGTCCTCCAAGTCGAAATTCCTCCCGCTCAGGCCACGCTGGCGGTGCGCGGCAGAGCGGTGGCCTTCGGTAGTATGAGGCAGGAACGCATAGGCGTGATCGACCTTTGAAGGTACATGCATCACTGACGTGTCCTGCGCGAGGCCTGCAGTCGTGCAGCACACCTCCTCAAGGCAGGGTGAGGCTGAGGCTGTGTACCCTCATGAATGTGCCCTCCTCCACAACTTTTTGGTGTCTCCAACTTCGCCCGCTGGTCGACCCGTCTCTGATTCACTGTTGAGTACTTACACTCCCAAATGGCTGAAGCAGTCATCGGTGTTGTCTCGGCTGGAGCTGGGTTGCTGTCGCTTGCTATACAACTCGGCGAGAGCATCCAGAAGTTGAAAAGCTTTCACGCCAGGGTCAAGAATGCGCCCACCATGCTTGCCGATCTCATTCTCGAGCTGGAATCCATGGGTCTCAGTCTCGACATAGTCGAGCGATATAAGAGCCAGGACACGATCGAAGCAGGCCTTGTCGCCCATTGCCTCGCCCGTTGTCGAACGACCACGGAGAGAATCCAGAACATCGTGGACAGAATACACGATATTGGCACTAAACGTGCTCGACTGGCAAAGTTCTATGTGGCGGTCAAGGATCCGGAGATCATGAGGCTGCTCCAAGAACTTGGCCAGGCACGGGGCTCTCTAGCAATGTCTCTACTCATGTTCTACTCAGAACGGCAACACCAGTGCAGTGAGGTTCAAAATGAGATACTGCAGCGCCTGGTCACACAGCTCAATAACTTCTTGGCGCAACCTCAAGCCAGTGGCGTTCCGCCTGCGACGGTATCGCACCTGTCAAGTTTTTGCTCCCGCGGCAGAGACCTTAAGGAAGCTCAGTCTGACACAAACTTCGCCAGTAGGCAAGAGTCGTGTTCTTCCGATCCTGACCAGACTAGAAATCGACATCACACGAAAGGCAAGCGTGCCTCGGAGGAGATATTGGCGACAATTCGATTGCCTAAGCTGCTCTTCTCCCAAGCCTGGAGTGTATCAGTGGTTCGAACCTCGATCGGATTCGCGGTCAATCTTTGTCCGTATATGGGTAGAGATCCGTGGTCTGAGATCTTTCTGCGATGCGCAACTGGCAATACGAGAGCTGTGCAAAGATTAATTGGCGAAGGGCAAGCTAGTCTTCGAGATGTTAGTGAGGGCTCCGTCTTTTTACAACCCCGGACTATTATGCATAATGCAAGCTTCGATCTACTTCAGGTACGTGAGCGATTCAATATAACGACTGTTCGGTAATTGAGTTCACGACAGATAGCAATTTTCCATGGCCATGTCGATTTATTTCAGTGGTTGTGGCAAGAACACAGAGGCCAAGGGATCGACGCAAATGCTGTGGTACACGCACTAGGGTGGAACTCATCATCACAATCGGCAGACACTATTCTTCGCACATGCCTCGATGAATTTGACTTCGATCTCTCCATGGACTCGGCCTCGTTCGATGGTGCTCGAGTCGCCCGTTTGACGGAGAATCGACACCTCCAGCTTCTCCTGGATTACCAACCATCGTCTCCCGCCAGACGCACCGCTTCAGAGATGTTTGAGGTCGTCAGCCACCGGTACCGTTTCATGGCGGTAGAAACATTCATCAGGCTCATGGGAGCGAACGAATGCTCCCCTCACTTATCCGCTTTGGAGGACCAAGGATTTTCCGTGTTGCACTTTGCAGCAAGGATGCTGGCCGAAGCTTGTATAGAAGAGGACGACGGTCTCACTGCCGTAAAAGACTGGGTTACAATGGTAGTAACATCGTTGAGGCACGGAGCTCAGCCGAGTCAAATAGCTCGAAGAAGCGGGGATGGCGCATATTCCGGACTTGATACAACCCCTTTCCTCGAGCTTGTAAGAAGAATGTATGACAACTACGGAAGAGGCGGTAGACACTTCTTTCAAACCACCATACAATCCTGGTTGGGCGCCATACAGGACGCGGGGTTCGACCTTTATGTATACGGGCTACACGAAGAGATCGCCTGGCGCAAGTGTCAAGAACTCTTACCCGCCAACATCGATCAATTCCACCTCGCATATGGTCAAAAATCATGGCAGTGGGCTATATCTGTCGCAAGGTCTCGATCTGTGCCGCATTGGCGATTGGAAGAGATGCCATGCACATTCTCACAGAATCAATCCAGACTGAATCCATACATATCCAAGGACATATGTTGGATGCCAGACGCTTTCGAACGGGAAAACAGCGGCGAGCACTCATGGCGCCGTGTGGAACATGGAACATACCGGTGCAGCCCATGCAGCGTGCTTGAGGTCGTCTCTGACAGGAGAGATTTCACGAGAGCACCGCAAGTTGTCATTGACGACAGTGCCATAGTGGTGTCGATGGCTCATCAACGCCCACGTCCTGTGAACTCAAAGGCCAGGTCTGCCAGTGTCCCTCCGAGTAAGTATGGACACAGGTGCAATGAACTCAGATCACCGACAGTTGGGAGGTGGGATGATTTGAGTGAGAGCCGCGCTCACTTCTGCATCGCGACAATGTCCTATGAGTACGGACCGTTCTACGGCGTGAGGCATTGCCTTGCTGGGCGCTATCACGAGAATAATGAACGCGCCCTTCAAACGACGAGGTGGTGGGCATCTGATAGCTTCCTCGCCGAGATCTGCAATTGCAAAGATGGATGGGCGAACCGCAGATCCATTCCCAAAGACCCACGATTCCCTCGACATACAGGCTCTCGAGAATGTCCCCAAGGATGCTCTAAGGTCAGAGTCGACAAACTTCAGGTGCCCCGGGAGCTTCGAGGATTTTATCCCAGTAGACAAGGCGATGAACGTTGGGACGAGCCGTAAACACGAATCGCGCTTGGAGTAGTTCACATTTGAAGTGAGGCTCCAATCAGTAACCTTCCACAAAAGCACGCAGCCTATCTCTGAATGGGTTTCCTTAGCGTAATCGCAATAGAGAAGAGTGTCGTAACATGGGAACAGTACGGGTCCGGCTAAGCGAGCGCTGCAGCGTTGGTTATAGTAAGAATTATGCACAAAGCCATTCGAAATTCCACCCTCCCGATCTCGGCACTGGCAGAAGTATGCATGACCAAGCAGCGTGTGTCTCAGCGGATCAAGCGTCTAGAGGCAATGTGTAGAATATAATGCGAATCGAAGCCAAGGCTTAGGCAAGAGAAACTTAAGCACTGTCCTTTTAGTCCGTCGTTTGAGCTTATAGATTCCGACGCAGGTCTGAGGCGATGAGACAACGTATTGTCGGGGATCCAAGAGTGTCTCCTTCGATTAATCGTCTGCCACTGCAGGCCCCACAAGAACACGAGACAAACCATCTCCTCCAAGTCACGATGACCATGTACCCACGTCCACGGGACACACGGTGCCCGGCGCAGGAAGTGAGCCGTGGTTGAAGTATGCCGCGATCGCATTCGACGTGCACACCGAAGCTTGCGCCAAAGACGTATGCTAGGTTCAAAAGTAAGCTTTCACTCATGACCGAATTCGTCGTTATCAAAAACTTCCTCAACAATGCAAAAGACTTACCCCAACCCCATCCTGCCGAAGCACAACGCTCCCCCTAAACCCAGCACTAACATTCCACGCCGAGACCAAGGGCGTGGTAGGATCGACCGAATTCCCGATGAACAGCACGGGATTCCTCGTCAGGATGTCGCTGCACTCGACGCCGTAGCGGGACTCGGTGCCGAAGCCTACTCCTAGTAGTCCCAGCTGCGACTCGAAAGCCTTTTCGAAAGCAGTGACGTTGTTGGTGAGCAGGGCGTCGAGTGTCATGGAGAAGCTAGGCCAGAGACTCGGGAACCATAGATTGTTATAGATGAGGCTCTTGACCGTGGCGTAGTTCAGGAGAAGTTTCTGCTGAAGCAGCGGCAGCGGGTGGGCTTTGATGTGTTCCAGACGCGCGAAAATGGCGTTCTTGAGTTGTGACGAGGTTCTGTTGCGGGCGAGAGGGCACTGGACGGGGTTTGCGATGCAGGCGTCGAGGAAGATATCGAAGGTTGCTTCTGCGTCCGTGAAGCCTTCGATTGTCTCGCTGGATAGTCCGAGGTAAGTTTACGATGATTGGAGTATGGATGGCGGACTTACGAGCCCTGGTAGTATTCGCGAACATTCACGACGCCATCGAGGATGATCGCGTCCATCCTTCCTGGGAAGAGCTTGGCGACGGTGGCTCCGAGAATCGTACCGTAACTCAGGCCTAGATTTTGACAATCAGTCCTGCGAACCTACATTCCATGTCCGAGATGCGTTGTACTTACCCCAATACCGAAGCAAGCCATCCTCGTCCAGGGCATCCACAATCGCCATCATATCGCGAGCCGTAAATGCTGTACCAACAAGCTCGCCAGTCTGATTCTGTGCCTTGCCACAGTCGTTCGCTAGGAGCCTTCCGAGTCCCCAGGCTTCGCCCGGCGCGACGTCTGATGAGTTGAAGAGCGGCCTGTCGTTCAGCTGTGCGAGGACTCGCTCCTGTTCGGTGTCGTAGCAGGTGAATCGCAAGCTGTCATTGCCGGTTCCTCTGGGGTCGAAGGCGATCAGATCGTGGTTCCCTCCTGTAATACTGAGGACCTGTTAGATGTTTCAGACTGCGTCCTCGTGCGTGCGCTTACTTCAACTGCTGCGGTCCGAAGATCGATAAGCCTTCGAGACCACTCAGCCCAGGGCCCACATAGTTCAGCAGAATGCTGCCTTTCGAAGGGGCATTCGCAGCAGGTATTTTGCGCAACACCAATTTGAGGGTTCTGTTTGATGCAGGATCGGTATAATCGAGCGGCACTGCCAGAGTCCCGCACTGGATATCTAACCCCTGGATGCTTCCGCAGCTGGTCCATTTGATGTGCTCGACGCGCTCTTGACGGGCTTGCAGGGGCGACGGAGCAGCCTTTGCGATGGCGTAGAGGGCGAGCGATGGGAGGATGTGCGAGAGGAGCATTGTTGATGATAGTCCCGCCTTGATAATGTCTGGAAAAATGTTTGCACGGTAGCTGAGGTCAGGTATCACCCTTTAAGTAGCTACGAGATATGATGAACCGAATTTGAGGCTTTCGAGATGTAGCCGCAGTCAATCAGCAGTGCCAGGGGCTTCTGCCAGCCTGAACGTCGCGGTTGCCAAGCAGACACCGCGGCTGCACATTGCGCTGCAGTCTCCATTGAGGAGACCGCTGATCGTATTAGCATGCAATTTGGGATCTCGCACCAGGCAATCTGGTGCCCTAACCGTGTGAATCTGGTCTCTCTCACGAGCGATACCTCTCCAAGTCCAGCGCCTACAGCGAGAAGAACGGTGAAAAGCTGACTTTGGAACCGCGCTTTCCGTGGAGCCTTGTGTCGATCTTTACCGCAAGAGCTGAGCATGGATTCGGCACCAAGCAAGGCTGCGTCAGCCAAGCCTTGCCGCTGGGAGCTAATTGAAGAAAGCAGCTGAAGAGTCTCCAGGCATCTGCGGTGGACATTGACCGGGACCCGCGCGCAGTGGTGCTGGATGTGCTCTCAATTGAGCAAGACATGTCGATTGGCAGGATCCACAACGATCTAAGCCACGACGACAGGGAGAACGCGAATCCGAGATGCGCTACGCCAACAGCAACATGAAGTTTGGGAACGACAACGATATGCTTCATTGCAACGACAGCGATCCGCCAACTTGGAGGCAGTGAGCTTGGCCAGTACGTGTTGAATCAAGCTCCACCATCAGAGACTGCCCAGCCTCGCGCCGAAAAGCTTTGAGATGTACATCATGTACTCAGCCTCAATATGGCCATTTATATCGTCGATCTTGAGCACGCCAAGGGAGAATGTACTGCCTTCACCTATGTGATAGCGCTATGGAGCGCACGTTACGGCGGGTATAAATTGGATATGAGAGGTGCTCTTGCGCAAGGGCATTCGCTTTCAAGCACACGTTCCAAGCCGACGGATCGACCCACCACGGATTACAGCATGTTCCCAATCGCACAGGCAGCTCTTCTTTTCCTGTCGGGCGTGCAAGCTCAAAAGATTTACGGCAAAATCAACGCGCTCCGATCAAGGATAGTGACGTGGTGTCGCAAGCTTTCCAGGATGTGGAAGGCATTGAACTATTGTCGCCGGCTTTCACTACGCCTGACTCACTCCCTCCCGGGTGGGCAAACGGTAAGCAGGGATTGCAAACTGGCGAACGACAGAGAGATCAGCACATGCTTGACAGGTTACTGACAATCGACCCAGGCACGTCTGGTCCAACTTCAGACGCGGTCCTCCAATCCTTCTACCAATCGATAGCCGCACGCAACGACTGGTTAACGTACCAGCCGGGAGAGTTCCTTTCCGAAGAAGGTCGCGCAATCCCATATTTGTTCCTCGCAGAGTCGGCGGGAAGTGCTGCCAGGAATGACACCAAGCTCCAAGTCTACATCCAAGCGGCCATCCATGGCGACGAGCCCGCCGGTGACCAAGCCGTGGCTGCACTCATCGGCAAGATGGACCGGAACCAGACGTGGACTGCCTCTCTCCTCGAGCGCATCAGCATCAAGATCCTACCGCGTTACAACCCAGACGGAGTCGCTTACTTCCAACACCAGCTCGCCTCGAGCCTAGACGGCAACAGGGATCACATCAAGCTGGACCGACAGCAGTCCCGCGACATCAAGCAGACCTTCATGGATTACATCCCGCACATTTCCGTCGACATGCACGAATTCGTCGGCCCGACCGTCTACGCCGGAGACTACCACATCGCCGCGGATGCCATGATCAGCGGAGGCGTCAACCCCAACATCCACCCGGACATCCGCGCCCTGCTCCTCGACAACTTCATCCCGCACATGGGCGACAAGCTCGCGGTCTTCGGCCTCCGCTGGGAACCCTATGTCATCGGCGCATCCGACGGTTCGAGGATCGTGCTCGCCGAAGCAGAGACCCCAGCTCGCACGGGGAGGAACGCCTACGGCTTGACCCAGACCGTGTCGTTCCTGTGCGAAATGCGCGGCATCATGCTCGCAGAGCAACACTTCCAACGACGCGTGTCGACGGGGCTTCTGCAGCTCGAGGCCATCCTCGAGACCGCCCGCAACGACTTCGCGAACGTCTACACCACCATCGAGCGCGCCCGTCGAGAGTTCATCAACTCGACCGAAGACATCGTGGTGACCGACTCGCCCACGCTCCAGAACCGCACCTTCACAATGATCGACAGGAACAACGGCAGCGTCCTGCAAGTCCCCGTCGACTTCTACGGCACAACCCCCTCCGTCGCCAACCTCACCCGCCCCCGTCCAGAGGCATACCTGCTCCCCCGCACCTACTCCTCCCTAGCCTCCCTCCTTCGCACCCAAGGCCTCGAAATCTCGACTCTAGACCACGCCTTCCACGGCCCAGTCGAAGCCCTCCGCATCACCTCGTCCAGCCTATCCGACACGCTCTACGAAGGCCACGTCCGCCACACGGTGACGACGTCCCAGCGCGAGAGGGAGGTCCATCTTCCCGCCGGCAGTTTTCTCGTGAGTACCCGCCAGCAGAACGCCGCGTTGGCGTTTGTGGCGCTGGAGCCGGAGAATGTCGATTCGTTCGTGGCGTTTAATCTCATCCCTGTGGGTGTGGGGGATGAGTATCCTGTTTATAGGGTTTTGGCGTAGATGGGAGAAGAGAGGAGGGAGGGATTGGGGTGAGGAAGGGATAATGCCTGGGACTTTGTTTTTGTGTTTTCATGGGTTGACTTGTTATAGCTATTCGTTCTCCCTGGTCTAGGTAGGGACTTTGTAGGGTGTGGAGCAATAATGGGGTTTTGTAGGGTGTTTGATTTAGATCGCTTTTCTATCTTTGACTTTTGTAACTTGAGAAGGTTTCTTCGAGATCTCAGTGGACACACTTCGAGTGCCTTGAGACATTTTGAAAATTGTTGTCTTAGATGACAGGCCGAAGGAGGCTGGGACGGAGCCGCAGTAGAATATCGACCGCAGTCGTCAGTGGATTCACGTTGACAGAGACGAGGAGTGAGGATCTATGCTCATCTCATTCTAGATCGAATCTCACTTCACATACAAATCTCAATTACTCACAATCTCCCATCCTTTCACACTCATCCATCAACCCTCAAGCAAACCCCTTCTTCCCCAACCACTCCACCACAATCCCTCCCACCTCCTCCGGCTTCTCAAACGGACACCAATGCCCACTCTCCAACTCCCTCACCTCAACATCGCTGACGATCCCCGCCTGCTTAGGGATCTCAATCGCATCCGTCCGACACACCGCATCGCCCGTACACCCAATAAACAAATACGGCTGATCGACCTTGACGCCCTGCTCGGCCAACTTCTTCTCCGTCGGGAGCTGGTAATTCTCCCGCATGGCGCGATACCAGCACCCCGGGGCCGTCATGCCGCCGTCCTTCTTCTCGGCGATGAAGGCGGTTTTGAAGGATTCGTCCTGGGCGTACTTTTTGAGGGGCACGTCTTTCCGGCCCTGGGAGACGAAGGCTCGGATTGCGCCCCGCGTGCAGAACATGGCTTTCATCCAGTCGTCGGAGTCGCCGTGGATGGCGTAGTAGAGCGATTCGAGGTTGGGGTCCATCACCGTGCGGGGGCCTTCGGGGTCGGAGAACTGAAAGTGAAGGGAAGAAGGTCAGCGAATGTCTGGGGCACGAAATGGGGTGTCTTCTGCACTTCGGTGTACGTACGAGTTCCCAGTAGGCGTAGGCCGGGTAGCCGATTGTTTTCTCCGTGTAGGCGTTGAAGGTATCGAGGTCGAAGGCATCGCTGCGTGGGGGCATGAGGGCGACGTTGAGGGTTATGAGGCCTGCGGTGCGGGACTTGTTGAGGAGGTAGACGCGTTGGGCGAAGTAGGAGCCCCTTTTGAATATGTTAGTGGATGTGTAGGAGGATGTTTGAGGCTGATGGAAGACTGTACCAATCGTGACCCACGGGAATGATCTGAGAGTCAATCTTCTCAGTTTCGAAAATCTCTAAAATATCGTCCGTCATGCCCTTGATCTCATAGTCTTTGGGATCAGTGGGTTTGGAAGTTCCACCATAGCCCAGCAGATCGGGAACGATTATCCTGTTCTTGGTCTTGAGGAGATGGGGAACGACCCATTGCCACATGTGAGCATTATCTGGCCAGCCATGGCAGAGGAGAAGAACAGGCTTGGAGCTGTCTGCCTTCTCAGCTGGAGAAATATAATAAGTGTAGCTGAAGCCACGCTTGGTGTCGATGTGCTTTTTCTGGAGCTGGTCCATGATGGTTTGTGCTATTCCGGCGGAGTTGAATGGATTATCTGGTGATGTGAGAAAGAGGAGACGTTGCTTGACGGAGGGAAGAAAGGAATGAGAAGTCGTCTGACGAGGCGAAGAGGCACCGGCGCGGTGATACTGCCTTATGGAGCTGGTAGAGAGACGATGAAAGTGGGGTCTAGCCAGCAGACAAGCAAGCAAGCAGCCGACTCGGCGTGTGAGATTCGTTCATAGCTGTGCTTACCCTCCATCCCGCCTTATGATGCACCGCTTTGAGTACATGTAACATTCAGAGGAATACTTCCTACCTCATACATCGCTTAGTACGAAGGGTTGTGCTCTGCTGTGGTGAGTAGTAAGCCCTTGTGGCAGTGGATCCGGTTGGAGTTCCGGCGTGCATGCAGCGAATGGACTGTCTTGTTGGCGCAGGTATATAAGCATAGGAGCTGTCGCTCTCGCGGTGTCCTCTATTCAGCCGCAATGCTGAGTAAATGTCGCCGGTAGGATGTTCAGGCCAGTCGCCAAATGAGCCGTCGTTGTCCATCTTGAACATATTCATGGTATGTTGTCCTCGTTTCAAACTGAACGGCGACCCCGACGTTGCAGGCTCTCTGACGGGACATTGTTTCCTGCTCGAACATATCATGTTGGTTCGTTGTCGGGTGGCTGGTGTTGAGAGGGTGACGTCCCAGTGGTAGAGGATGCGCGAGCGTTGTCGGATGGCAGCCAACCGTCGATGACATCAAGCAACCAACGGCCATTCCCATCGTCGTCCGCGGCGATTGACATGTGAAATCTGATGGGAAAAAGTTGGGTGCGCACTTGTGTGTGTTGATGGAAGCATCACAGGCGAGGCGGGCGCTGGTTGGCAGACATTGGCGAACCCCTGCATGGGTCGAGGGCATGTCGGCAGGTCCAGCTGTACCTGGAAGGATTGACTTTGTCGGAACAGAAGGCTAACCCGCAGAGGCACACGCCAAAATCGCGAGGAATTAGGAGGAGTGTTCGCTAGACAGGCCTGCCTCGATTTTCTGCGACATCACCTCCCAGGGCCTCGTCGTAAGCAGCAGCCTTCATTCACCTCCTTCGCAATCATCACATCCAACAATTTCCCTCGCGATCTTGACGACACACTCCCGCGTGAAACTTCCCCGCCATCTTTGCCGCGTGTTGCAGCACATCTCTGGCGCTACCGCTGCAGTGTCGAGTGATACAGAGGCGCAAGCCCACGAGCTACTGTCCTGCAAGGTCGCACCTGGTCCCCCGTTTGCCTGCCGCCCGGCCAGGAGCACCGCAGCAACCATGCCCGACCACGACAAGGCCTATAACATCCTCCACGTCCGCCCCGTCGACTACTCCCTCACCTCCGGCACTGACATCCCACCTCCCCCCGACTCGCCAGCAGAAGACATCACTACTGCACATAACCTGCGCATTTCCCGATCGCCCACGCCAGGAGGAGGCCCTCTCTCTTCACACCCGACAAACTCCATGCCAGACGCCTTTCCACCCACCCCCGAGCCAGAGAAAGACACCGCCTCCCGTCCAGCAGACACCACCATGTCGTCCGAGAGCAACAGAGACGCCGCCGACAGCTTCCAAACACCCACCTCGCCCTCCTCCGCGCAAAACACCCACGATGGCCTGCACGACTCTCCCCACGCCCGCCGTCCCTCCGGTGTGCGTCGCCTCTTCTCCCTTTCCAGCCTGCGCCAGTCCTTCAGCAGCTCACGTACATCCCTGAGCGTCAACCGTCCAGGCTCCTCCTACGCCGTCTCCTCCTACGGCACATACACCAACAACGACTCCACCCCACGCAGCGCCGTCGCCCCAAGCATGATCTCCACCACCGCATCCACCGCCCAAGCACCCTCATTGCACTCCTCCAAACCCTCCGCGACCCTCCGCAAGAAACGCTCCAGCAACTGGTTCAAGCGCAAGAGCGGCTTCTTCACCATGAACGAGGATGGCGTGCTCGACGTCGTGTCCGAAGACGACGGAGGACGCTCGGGCGCGAAGAGGTTCAAGGAGTCGAGTCATCGTCTGCCTATGTTGCCGGAGATCAGCACGCTTGGAGGCGGCGAGTTGAATGAGGGCAGTCTCGGTTGGGATGAGAGGGCGTTTAGGAGCTGAGATACCCATGGAAAGAGGTGTACAGATATCGACTTATGAGATAAAGGACAAGAACAAGGCGTTTTGGGGGAATGATAGCAGCAGATGCTGTCTGGTTGTATTCATGAGAACACATCATAAAGTGCGCTTCCAACTGAAGAGGCAAGCAAGGAAAGAGAGCAAGAGCAAGAGCGTGGCTTCTGGAATGTACGTCACTGTCTTTGGGACAAATCGCAGGGCAAGAGGATTGTACATTTGTTGTTGTACGCTACTACAGTGAACCAGTCACGACCGGAAAGAAAGATGCTTGGATGGTAGGAGCTAGCCTGCCTCTTGACATCGGATTGATACCCAAATGGAAGTTTGAAAGAAATGCCGTTTTACCTACTACTACGCTGCTGACTCGTTGTTTTATTTGACTTGTTCCTGTCCGTGTTGTGGGAACTTGGTCATGATTCTCTGCCGACGTCAGGCTTCGTCTTGCAACGTGCATCATTCAGTCATCAATCAATCAGCAGGAATCAATCCGATCATGAGGTTTGGCCATGCATGCATTCATAACAAACAGAGATCTTTCTTCTGAAAACTATCATTACACCCTCGTGGCAAACTCCCCCACAAAGACACACTCTCAATCAACAACCCTCAAAAACGTTATCGGGAGCAAAACCGCTAAGATCGTACAATAAGATACTGTAAAACACATATCATAACCCCATCAAAGATCCCTACCGCCTTCTGAACACCCCATCGAAGCGCTCATCTTCGGAATCCTCATCCATGACCGTCGGAGGCGCCGTGGTGGGCGGCGTCAAGATGAGGTCGTCTTCGTTTTCGTCGGAGAAGACGCTCCCTTGTGGTTGATGCGGCGGCGCAGGCTGTTGCTGTTGCTGCGGTTGAGGTGGCTGATAATGCTGATATCCTTCCTTCCCCGTCGCGACCGGCGGCGGGAACCTCGGCGCCGCAGAGCCATGCAGTTCAGCCGGTCCGCGTCGTGGATTGGGATTCCTGCGGTCGTCGTCCTTCAAGACGCTATCGTAGCTCGGCGGTGGGTTTGCTTCGCGGGCGGCGTCTTCTTCTGGAAGCTCGGAGCTGTGGCGGAGGGCGATGTCTATGGCGCGTTCGGCGGGCGAGATTTCGGCCAGGCTGTTGGAGGTGGTGGAGGACGAGGATTGGCCTCGTTCGGGGTCGGGTTTGGGGGGTTGGTGGGCGCTGCGCTTGTTGCAGCAGCAGCAGCAGGGGAGGTAGACTGTCCAGGGTTCTTTCATTGTTGTGTTGTGTTTGGTGCGGTGGAAGGATGAGTGGCTTCAAGAGATGACTTCGTGGGGTATACTGGATTGTTGCTATTATGGCTCTGAGAGTCTTGATAATGACAGGTACGATGATACAGAGTAGGATGGTCAATTCTGTGTCACGATGAGGGACTTTTCTCGCGGTGATATCTGAGTTACGATATTCTGTTGCCTGAGAGGGCGCGGCTTGAACGAGCTGAAGTCTGTCGACTGACTGGGCTGCGGAGCTGAGAGAGCTGCTGTGCTGTGCCGCACAAGAAAGTCTAAATCAATCGTGCATACTCCTCGGTCTTGTCCTGTCTTGTCTAATGATGAATGGGGGATCTGTACCGCAGGCAGTGAGGAATTGGTACTGGAGATGATGTCAATGTGCCTGGTTGACAGCAGCATTGAATCGGCGCCAATACCTAGGTATTAATCAGGTTGTTGAAGAGATTGATGAGATCGAGTTCGCGTATGGAGTCGAAAGTGGGATGGATCGCGACGTCCAGTTGATGCCTGAGGCCTTTTGCAGACCAACCTCACTCTTTCTTTCTTGTCTCGCATCTCTGCCTTCTTCAACACCTCTTTCCTCATCATCGCCCTGCCACTTTATCATCTTCGGCCGACAGTCACGCTTTTGACCGGTCTCCCTTCGCTTTCGCCTCCCAGACGAAATTGCAAGCAACGCCACAGACGGGAACCCACCCCTTTAGCAAGCTTCGAACGGTGTAGACCGAATCCTTCTCGACGTTAACAACGTCGAACATGGCGCCAGCACAGCGCGGCGCTTCGCCGACGACAGCATCAAACATCGTTAAATTGCTGCAGTTATAGTGCCAAGAGAGTGTGATTGAATCAGGTGGAGTTGAAAACCCAAATGGAGCCTTGCAAAGGCAGCCCTTCGTCTCGAAATGTGTTTGCCATGCGCGCCATGCGGATCCTTCTTCACACACGCGGGACGTAGTTTCGAGGCGGCTTTGGATCTCCTAACGGTTGCCTTACTTATACCGGTGGTATGTCCTCATCTTTGGAAGTTGTCTTCTTTCTGCGAGTTCTGCCAGATCTTCGCCAAGTTTTTCGTCCTTCTACACTCGTTTAACCACAGTCATTACCATACAAATGCTCAAGATGAAGACTTCAGGCAACATCGCCCTTCTGGCGACAACTGCCGGATTGGTCACCACAGCCGTCGCTGGTGCTTTCGACTCAGCTCAAACCATATCACTCTACTGGGGACAGAACTCGTACGGCAACTCGACCGGCGACTTCGCACAGCAATCTCTGGCGACCTACTGCTCGAACGCCAACATCGATGTCATCCCAATGGCTTTCGTGACCAAGATCACCACCGGCAAAGGCGGCCAACCGGAGGTGAACTACGCAAACTCTGGAAACACCTGTGTTATATTCTCAGGTACCAATCTTTGGGACTGCCCCACCTACGCCGACGATATCAAGACCTGCCAGCAGAAGTATGGCAAGAAGATACTGGTGTCAATTGGGGGCCAGGGCTATACTGAGGGTGGATTCAAGGACAGGCAGACTGCCATCAACAACGCAAACCTACTTTGGAACATGTTCGGCCCCGTCAACTCTTCCAGCAAGGCTCTCCGCCCATTCCACGACGCAGTCGTTGACGGCTTCGATATCGACGTGGAGCAGAAGAACAACTACTTCCGCGCTTTCGGACTGCAGATGAAGACCCTCATGAATGCCGACAAGTCCAAGCAGTTCTACCTGACCGCCGCACCGCAATGCCCATACCCAGACGCAAACCTAGACCCCATGCTCAACGACCCCAACGGCGGCGTCCCCTTCGACGCCGTCTTCGTCCAATTCTACAACAACCCCGGCTGCGATGTCCGAAGCTTCACAACCGGAACGGCCACGCAGTCGAAGTTCAACTTCCAGACCTGGCACAACTGGGCCACGTCCAAATCCGCGAACAAGAACGTCAAGATCTTCTTGGGTGTGCCTGCGGGTAAGACTGGTGGGGCGGGATACATGACCGCAGCGCAGCTGAAGCCGATTATCAATTACTGCAAGGGGTTTTCGAGTTTTGGCGGCGTTATGGCGTGGGATGCGTCGCAGGCGTATGCGAACAAGCCGTTTCTGAACGATGTTAAGACGACGTTGAAGGCGGCGAAGACGAAGCGGGAGGGGCATAGGTATTTGCATTTGCATGGGCGTCGCGATAGCCATGTTCATCAGGAGAAGTAATGAGACGATGGGACGGCTTTGAGAATATCGATATCCACGGTTTCTTGTTCAAGTCTCACTCACTTACGCACTCACTTCGGTGCATCACATGTCATTCCCACTAAAGATTAGTTCGTCGCGACTCGTCATTTCCTAAGTGCATCTACCGGCAATGACCACCTGCCAAACTAAAGTCAAGACCAAACAAAGCAAGCCTCGCTAACACCAGCACGTGCACCAACCTGACAAACACCAAAAACGTGGCTTGGACACCGCATCCCAAGCTCGACACCTTTCCACCTATCGCATCCCACCCTGCGGAAGTACGGCACGCAGCAAACGCACAACAAACACCCACAAAGCCGGGGCCCCAATCTAGTTCTACCCCAGAGAAGAGAAACGCTACCGTTACATTCCTGCAAAAGGCATCCACTGCGAGACGCGAGCTGGTGGCGTTTTCCCAGCCGCAATCTTTCACAGCAAGCAAGCAACGTCGCATACAAGTGTGGCGGCTTGGGACTTCAGGCCTTCCAAGAGGTTTTTCCTTTCTCGATTCCTTTTTCGGACACCTTTTTCCTACGGAGTCCACACCCATCTCTCTACCACCCACACAAGCATGGGCGCCATAAGCTGGGCCGTCCCCGTCGGCGTCTTCGCGGCTCTGGCTATCGTGTGCTTCGTCTTCGTCTGGTGGTGGTTCCCGCGCGCGTGGAACCGCGGCAATAAGAAGGATGTGGAGGTTTTGCATGAGATGTCTTCAGAAGATCGAGAGGCGCAGCGGAGGAAGAATCGGGAGATTATTGAGCGCTTTACGAGGGCGAGGGCGATTGAGCGCGGGGAGATTGTGGTGGAGGAGACACCTGAGGTGGAGAGGGAGAGGGAGGGAGGAGGAAAGGTTGGAGCTGGGGTGAGGGAGGGGGAGGTTTTACGGTAGAGACGGGTTTGGGGGAATGATGCATACCGTTCACGACATGATGGAGGCTTCGACTTGATGCGTGCATTTCTACTACGGATTGCGGCGCGACGACTGCTACCGACGATTTGGGAGGTGCCATGGTGCACGAAGCACAACGTTCGATCTACAAGCCATTCGATCACCACACCTGGTTCCCAGCATGAACACATCGAGACAAGGTCGCACAGATGATGCAACGCCAACACCACCGCCCAAAGCTACTGAAGCTTCGAGCGCGCATGGCTGCAGCTTGCTATACGGCTGCATAGTCTCCACCTACCTCTGCGATATCTCGATTGGGAAGGAACCATCTTCAAGCAGCAAGCACACAGAAAGACCTGCACACTTGTGCCTGCTGTGCATGTCAACGCGATCTTCTTATTGGCCATCTCATCACATCAGCTCTTTCTTGCACTCGATGAAGCTGCAAGAGCACATAAGCTTTAACGAAGCCAGTGCAACGATCATCGGGACACGATCACAAGACAGGCCATACCGCTGATATACAAGCCTTGTTCTGTCTCTGTTTCTCTTTTTCCTCAATTCACTCCAACCATCACCAGCTTTGAAACGTCAGAATGTGTCGCTGGTTTGCCTACATCTCGCCTGCTGAGCCGACTCTGCTTTCAGACGTTCTCATCACTCCCGCCAATGCCATCACCAAACAGTGCTCTGAGCACTACCTTCCATATCTCCTTCCGTGAGGATACCGCGCCGACGCATGACGCATCATACTGATCATGATGACCAGACATGGCGAAGAAAAGGAGTTGGACGATGCTCCTGATGCACTTCTGCGGATGCGCAACTCGCTCTTGAACATGGGTGCGTGAGAAAAACCACCACAATCGTTACGCAGCCGTTCTTACTTCTTGACAGACGGCCTCGGAGTCGCCTGGTACACCCCCTCAGCTTCGGCCTACACCAACAAGAAATCCGGCATGAGACCCGCGCTCTACAAATCCCAATCCCCACCCACCAACGACTTCAACTTCCGCAGTCTCTGCGAGAACACCGAGTCCAACTGTCTCCTCTCCCACATCCGTGCCACCAGCGGCAGCGTCGTCACGCCCGTCAACAGCCACCCCTTCGTCTTCGGCCGGCACACCTTCATGCACAACGGCGTCGTCTCCGACTTCACCAAGATCCGGCGTGACATGAGTCACCTGATGGCGTATGATGCGTATGAAAACGTCCGCGGCGCCACCGACAGCGAGCACGCCGCAGGCCTCTACATGACCAACCTCTGCGGCGCCAACAGCACCGCCGCGGACTGGGAGAAAACCTACCCGCTCTCCGCCATGAAGGACGCCCTACAGAAAACTCTCGTCGACATCCTCGCCCTCCAGCACAGCATCCTCGGGACGAAGAAGGCGCCCAACAGCCTCAACTTCTGCACCACCGACGGCGAGAAAATGGTCACCTGCCGCTTCCGCAACCACGCCACGCAACAGCCCCCCTCGCTTTACTGGAGTGAGTTTGCTGGCCGCACGCTGAATCGCAAGTATCCTGGGGATCCAGATGGGTTGCGGGAGAATGAGGAGGTAACGGAAGGTGGGGAGGGGAGGGTCGGGAAGCATACGATTGTGAGTAGTGAGCCGACGACGTATGATGAGGGGGAGTGGCATTTGATTGGGAAGAATTGTCTTTTGCTGGTGGATGAGAGGGGGGTGGAGACGGAGGTGGGGGTGGTGTTTGATGAAAAAGTGCTGAATGCTGAGTAGGGAGTAGGAGGGTCGTAGGGGCATGTCTTTAGCTTTGATTTCTGCGGGTTGGGAATTTGGAGGGGGAAAGGGAGACAGGATTTTCGGGGTGTCTTGTGTGTACGACTGATCATTGAAATCCTTGCTCCTTGATGCATTTTCTTAGGGGCTTCCGCTGTGGTCCCTTTCCCAGCCTGATGGCCGTAAAGTCCCACCCAGCCGTCTCCGTCATATCGAAAACACACACGAGCATATCTTACCCTCCGAAAAGAACCACCGACACTCAAATCACCTACCCAACCCTACGAAGCCTCCCATCCCCCCTCTCCACCCACTCCTCACTCCCCACAGCAGTCTTCGCATAAAAAACCCCTCCGGATCATACCTCCTCTTAACCCCCAACAACCGCGGATACTTCTCTCCATGAAACGCCCTCCGAAAATCCGGCTCATCCGGATCCGCCTCGTTCATATACGACCCGGACTCGGGCGCCAGCGCTCGTAATCTATCGCCCCAGGCGTATGTCACTTGATCGTCGACGTCGGCTTGGGTGCTGTTCTCGCGCCCGGAGATTGCGTAGAAGAGCATGTCGGACGACTGCCAGGCGGCGTTGACCGCGGTGTCGGAGCGGCCACGTCCACCGGATGAGACTGGGGATGCATGGCGGGGGCTGACGACCATTTCGAGAAGGTACCCGCCTTCGTCGACGATGGAGCGGGCGACGCTGGCGAAGTTCTGGAGGTCTTGCGTGAAGACTCGCCGGGGCAGGAGGCGGGTTGTTAGGTGGTTGATGCCGTAGCCGGCGCCTTTTTGCGGGAGGAGTGCGCGCCAGGCGTCGTAGAAGCCGCGGAATTCCGTCGTGTTGGAGTCGTAGGGGATACCCAGCTCTTCGAGGCGGCGGTGGAGAGGGGAAAGGAGGGTTTCCATTTCTTGGCGGTTGCTGTTCGGGACGAAGACGGGCGTGATGCTGAACTCATCCGGGCCGATGTTGGTATAGGCAAACCCCTGGACGTCCGCGATGGCCGTGATGAGCGAGTTCCAGGTGTCGATGGCTTGCCAGTACGCCTCTGTGCGATTCCCAGCCTTGAAGGAGATCACGTTGCCGACCACGGGCACGTCGCGGAAGAGCTTGTATGTCACGGACCAGACGACGCCGAAGCCTGGCCCGCCGCCGCTGAGAGCCCAGTATAGGTCTTCGGTCTCGCCGTCGCGGGCAGCGCGCAACAGGGTGCCGTTGGCGAGGATGACTTCGAACTCTAGCGTTTGGTCGGCTGCAAGGCCGAGATAGCTGCTTGCGGGACCGTGGCCGCCACCGCTGGTGAAACCCCCAGCGATCCCCACGGTCGCGCATTCGCCTCCTGCGATCATGTACCCGTGCCGGTTCACAAACTCGTAAGCCTGGTAGCTCTGTGTGCCGGCCATGAGTTTGATCGCGGGGCCGCTGTAGTCATGGGTCTTGTAATGCGGAATGAGGTCCATGCCTTGGACATTGTGCATCCAAAGTCCAAGACCGCCGTAGCCGACTGATCTTCCCAAGAAACTACCCAGAGGAGCTCCATCAGTCTCAAACAGAAAGAGAGCAGGGAAGAAGCTCACTCACTCATGCCCCGTATTCTTCACCACCAACCTAATATTCCTCCTCCTCGCAAACTCAATCCCCCTGGCCACATCCGCCGGCGTCGTCACATTAACATTATACAGCACATTCCCCCCAACCGTACACGGCATCGCCCTTGGCGCAAATGGATCACACGAATCGCCCGCAAAAGCCGGCGAAAGCAAATTATCCGCCAGCGAGGTCCGCCACTCGACATTATCCCAGTTGTCCTGCACGTAGCGGCATGCGTCGGCATCGTAAGTGGGATCGTGGCAGACGTGGCCGATCGGGTCGGTGCGAATTAGACGGCCGCTGAGCGTGGTGTTGAGGGCGTCCCAGTCGGCGGGCGAGGGCCATTCGTGGTCGGAGGGGATGCGGCGGCATAGTTGCGAAGGGGTGGGCTGGGCGAAGGGGAGAGTGCCTAGAAGTCCTGCCCAGAGGAAATGGTTCTGCATGATGGGAACGGGGTGTTTTTCATGAGGATGGGGAGGTAAGACGGAGTTGGTGTTAAACGCAGCGCGGTATTATATTTGTCGTGACTGCAGCAGGTCTCTTTTATGGTTGGACGTCGAGAATCTCGAATAGGCAGGTGCTGAGGATCCAAATGTGACTTTTTCATCCTCGACGGCTAATTCGCTGGACGTACAGAAGAGGCTCGTTTTTTGGTGGTGCTTGTACAGTTTCCACCAAAGCTAGACCGCTTGCGAAGTAAAATGCGAGAACGGCTAAAGCAAGGCTGAAAGACTGCGGGAAAAGAAGTCAGGTTGCCTAGGAAGATCCGAGTCCTCGGCGTGGATTGAGTCTCGAACGACTGTTCCGTGACTGGTCGAGAATAGTCGTCTGGAATTGGAACAGCTAGTGGGAATATCGATGTCTATTTCGAACGAATGGTTAAATTCTACCACTTCCTCGCAATATCCCTCCCACCAATCCAATTAAACGCCCAACTGATGCCAATCATAATCGTTCGTCTCCAGCTGCGCGGCCAGTGGAAGATACTCCCGCTTCGCCAGGCCAACCACGCCGATGAACCGGTCCATTCTTCTTGTCCGCCGATGACGCCGTCGTGTTGGCCTAGGTATGCGAGGTTGGGCTTCTGTTTGTATTCGAATGGTTTCGATGGTTCATCGGCTTGATTTAGTGCTTTGGCGAGGTATTCTGCTTTTTGGACGGCGACTTCGGCGAGGGTGGGGAGAGTGTAGCCTTCGATGTCTGCTGCGTCTCCCATGGCGAAGACGTCTTGGAGGGGTGAGTCGTGTTTCGATGAGAGGACTCGCAGTTTTCGGTCGGTGGCGATTCTCTGTAGTTTGCCCGACTTTTTCACGTCCAACTTCTCCACTAGCGAGTTGACGCTGTTACCTGTCGCCCACAAGAGCATGCCATATCTGATCTCGCCGCGCTCCTTCGTCCACAGCGCACCCTTTTCGACCCTCTCGATATGGCTTTGCGTCTCGATCTTGACGCCGCGGTCCTTCAGTTTGTACAAGGCGTACTCGCCGAGCCTCTCGTCGAAGTTGCCCAGAATGGTGGGCGCTACGTCATGGATCTCAATACTGAGCTTGCCGTCCAGATGCGGGTAGACATGCCGCATGTCGTGTTGCCAGAGATCGAAGAGTTCTGCCGTAGCTTCGATGCCAATCGCTCCTCCACCAACAATAACAATTCTCAGCAGGTCTCGCTGCTGCTCATCAGTCAAGCCAGGTGTAGTCGCAGCATCCAACATCTCCAGTAGCCGCTGCTGAATGCGTCGTGCATCGTCCGTCGTTCGAAGGAAGTTTGCGTGTTCAACTGCGCCGGGAGTTCCGAAGGTCTGGACATCGCAGCCTGGTGCAATCACGAGCTTGTCGTACTTGATGCTGAAAGGGTTGGCGTCCTTGAGATGTAACTCTGCAATGTCAGAGACCGAAGGCCTGCATTGGAGTTCTTTCTTCTCCAGATCAACGTCTTCTACGACGGCTTTGTAGTACTTCAAATCAGGCACACGATCACGTCGACGAATGGGCTCTTCTGCTAATCTGGGTCGATGTTAGTTCGGACGAAATGGTATTGGAGAAGAGAGACTGTTGGCACCTGAAGTTGAACATGCCCGCTGCGGCGCTGGCTAGCAGTGGCGTATATTGAATAGTGCGTATTGGCGCAACGACGGTAATGTCATACTTCGTGGTTGACAGACCTTCTGCAACTGTGAAGCCTGCCCATCCATTTCCAATGATTGCCACGGTAGGTTTCGAAGCCATCTTGACTCAAGCTGGAGTAGTCTGAAGTCGGTATTGGTGCTCGCCGTCTTCGTCGATGTGAAGAATGTTCTTGGCGGATGAATTAAGATAGCTGATATAAATCTTGTTTTCCAAGTGCAATCATCATCATGTCGTCTCCATCCAGGGTGTGGTTTTTGACGTCACGCAGAGATCGATGCCAGGATGTTGAACATGTGCCGAGGTTCTGCCAGCTGTGTCAACTTGTGAAGACGCTTCCAATGCTTCCTGGATTGCCTTTGAGGGGAAGCGGCAGCGATTCCATGGTGGTACATGAACACATCGATGCTCGAATCACAAGCTGCCTTATCGGAGGATGGCCAGGTCTCCTTTGCTGTGTCTCCAAGAACGTATCAACCGTGCGGATTCATTGCGGCATTGGTCGGAAGATTCACACCGAACCTTGCGGCAAAATGGGCGAGTGCATCTTCGAAATCGTCTTCGGAGTAATCGTCGCTGCCCTCTTCGCTATTGTCGTCGTCGTACCAGAAGCTGGTACTATCGAACCCCAACAATATATCTTCTTCGCGCCACTCTTGCAGCGTCCTTTTCCGCCATTCCCAGGCCTCTTCTGTCAGCCTCTTAGCCTCTGTGACCAAGTCGCCCAAAGTCACGAGACCCGTCAGCTGGGACACAGATTCATCCGGCCATGGTCCATCCCCACCGCATAGCTTCAGGTCAACGTGCAACGGATCGACTGAGTCTTTGATGAGAATCGTTCCCCATGAAGAAGTTCGGGTCGAAGCAAACAGGGCCTTGGGTGGACACTTCAGGTTCGAAAGGGACCAGTCTTCAAATGTCAGAGTTTTGTCTTTGAAGAGCGGATTTGTGCAGAGATAGACAGAGGTACTTACGAGGATCGATCTCAACGCTGGCCCCGATCTTATCCTTATGGGCATACAGGCGAACTCGGAAGGGACGAATTGCCTCTCCCAGCTTCGAGTACTCCTGAAACCCCAGCAGCTCATTAAGCTCGCTGCGGACGAAGTACTTCTCGGGCACAAAGTACATGTATCGCCGAATTGGTTTTGATCTTGAGATGAGATCTCGAAACAATGTGCTCACACGCTGAAGCCGGTATACTTCCAGGGGTGGGACGAACTGTATGATCCTCTCCAAGATTTCCGGCAGGCCTAGACAGGCGTGTGCTGCAGTGCCCTGATCGAGGTCATCGTCAAATTCCCTGCTGGCACCATCCTCTGGAAGTGATTGTGGGTGTGTCGTGGTCACTTTCGCCTCTAGTGCCGTGAAGTACTCTTCGGCGTTTGGCAGATCGAACTCGTCATCATCCGACATCTTGAGTGCTGCACCTCTTTGCAGGTCTTGCAGCAGTTGGGCTTGATCAATGTGCTTGTTCGTTGCGGAGATGCTCAAGTGTGTTTGTTTGTCGTGGAAGAAGCTCAAGATGGCCCCACATCTGCACCGACAGAAAGTGGCCCGAGCGCAATGGCACCAGGATTGAGCCTCGCGGCATTTTCCATCTTCAATCCTCAACATTCACTTGTTACTCTTGAACGGCTCACAATACTGTAGCAGGATGCTTGTCAGCAATGCGATGGACGACCCTGCCATAAGAAGACATACCTTGATCGAGTGAGCCTCTTAGTCTGAGGTCCGGTCAGCAGTCTCCACCACGACCCACTGCAAGACCTCAACACCGTCTAGTCGAGGCTGTCTCTCAACCTGGAGCATTTCCCGTTGCAAGATGCGGTATAAACGACGACCAAGGAATCATGCATGTCTGCAGCCCTACGTGTGGACGGCTGCCTCGCCCATGTCGCAGCGGCCAAGGACTCGAACGCGAGCATAGCGAGCGGGGTCCATGGTACACAAGTACGCAAGCCATGGCAAACACAATTCCAGTCTATCTCACCAGTCAGCTGGAAATCTGAGGAATCAAGCTGCTTTACTCGGCAAGGATGTACACTGCTTTCAATAAGCTCGTTGGACCGGCGGAAGTTATGCGGACGAAACAGTATATGTATGCGACAAGGAAGAGCTCACGGCAAAGGTAAGGTTGTTGAGAAAGTCTGGTAGGTCTACTTGCTCAGCTACTTATCTTTCTTACTCACCTCTCTCTTCTCGCATCCTTCTTCTACAATCTCTCCAAGTATCAAGAACGGACATTATCAACATGGCACCAATCGCAACTGAATCCCCCCTCGCCTCCCACCGCAAACATCCTGACTTCCAAAAGACCGCCGGCGACGACGTCGGCTTCGGCGTCGCCGAAGACACCACCTCATTCAAAGACAAGCACGCCGAACGCGACTACATCAAAGGCCGTCTCGCAGGCGCCTACCGCATCTTCGGCCACTACGGCCTGAACGAAGGCCTAGCCGGCCACATCACCGCGCGGGATCCCATCGATCCAGAGACGTTCTGGGTGAATCCTCTAGGCGTGGATTTCAACATTATCAACAAGTCTGATCTGTTGAGGGTCGATCACAAGGGGAATGTACTCGACCATGGACCGAAGAGCAAGTTGCTTAACAAAGCGGCTTTCCTGATCCATGGCGCTATCCACGCCGCGAGGCCCGATGTCATCTGCGCCGCGCATACACATAGTGTGCACGGACGGGCGTACTGTTCGCTGGGCAAACCGCTGGAGATGATCTCGTTGGAGTCGTGTTTGTTCTTCGAGGATCAGGTGCTTTTTGAGGGGAAAGGGGTGGTGTTGGCTGAGGATGAGGGTTGTGATATTGCGGATGCGCTGGGGGAGAAGAAGGCGGCGTTGTTGAGGAATCATGGACTCTTAACGGTTGGGCAGAGTATTGAGGAGGCGGTGTTTTGGTTTTATACGTTGGATAAGGTGGGTTCTTATTTCGAAAAGTGCTGTACGTGATTCAGATGCTGATGCAGTTGTGACAGTGTTGTCATGTCCAACTTCTGGCAGACGCCGCCGCCGACGGAAGGGGTGGCGCCACGGTTAAAATCACCGACGAAGAAGGTAAGTCTAGATCGGTAATGTGTTGCAAACTCGATCTGACTGACTTGTTCACTGCAGCGGAATACACCAAAGGTATCGTGGGCACGCACAAGGGCGGTTGGTTTGGTGAGTGACTCGAAAGCACCGGTGTATTGAAGTGACGACGTACTGACTTGAATTGGTTTCACAGGCGGCAAAGCGCTGTTCGATCTGATTGATGAGGTTACTGGCAAGAAATACTGGCAATAGGTAGAAGTCGTTGTATGAGGCCAGCATTGGTGGTATAGCTCGGAGCCGAACTTCGTCCGTTAGTCCTCCAGGAGCATCTCACGCACTTGCTTACGCGGCTCTGGGAGTCGTTCATCACTTCACTTCTCGTTTCTTGCTCACCTTCATCATCATCTCAAACACCACGTGAGTTTGACTTTCAGCAAGCGGAAGCATAACGATGCCGTCGATAGAGTCTTGCATCCACGTTCGACCTTCCACGGAGTGATTCGGCGTTCGCTGCCCTAATCGTCAACGACCGGAGTTCGCATCCTTCGCGATTGCAATCTACCAAGAACATAGACCTGCGAACTGGACCTTGGGATTTCGGGCGTGCCGACCAGAAGGGAAGCTCCAGCTGTGCTTCTCAGGCGTCCACAATCGACGCTTGTGCCAAGAGATGGATGAAGCAGCCAAGATATATCATGCAGGGAAATCAAGAGATGTCGATCTTTGACACTGCGCATTTGATGCAGAAAGATGCTTCGGACGTGTCGGTGGTGATGATGTGCTGGTGAGGTTGAGATAAGGTCGAATGTTCTTCCATTGGACAGTGGACATGCTGCCACGGAGTTCGGTAGGCCTGACTTGCAAAAGAGCAGTATTGCATTGATACACTCGTGCACTGTCAACAGCTGCATTCTTAGTGCTCACTGCTCAGTAAGCATGCGACATGGTCGTCTCCAAGACTTGGCTCGTGTTGCGGACCACGAGGAGCTCGCTTGCAAGCACTTCAACCCCGACCTTCTTGATGGAGTATTCTGGTGTCTCCAGCCACGGCGCCTATAAGGTTAGCATGCGATCAGGTACCCGTACGGCCAGCCTGTCGGCATAAGGTAGCGCACATCCGGCTTGCGCAGGCCCAAGCCGCAAAACACGGCTGAGGCGCTTTCCAACAGACACCTCACTTGGTTAGTAAAGCTGAGGAAAGAGCAGCACAGTCATGTCCGAGATAACAGTACGAGTGCGAAAAGAAGGTTGCAGCTGAGAGCGATTTGTTGCCGGATACGGGATCGCACAGATACTGGATGCATGTGTAGGGCGTGGTGGTCGAATCACAGGCAAAAAATTCTGTCATCTGGGCGCGAAAATGGCAGGTGTTCCGTTCGGCACTACTGTACCCCGTCTTGCTGGCGCGATTCCTTGTGAATCTTGTCTTTTTTCTGATGGGCCCGGGTCGGAGTTGCTTGCGATGATGAAGGGAAGAGTTGGGTTGATGAAGTTTGAAGTGGTGGTGGGTTGGCAAGTGTCGTCTGGGAGTGGTGCAGAGGCAAAGGCTTGAACATGCGGCCCAAGCGATCCAAGCACGACAAAGCATCTGGCATCCCGGGCGTGGCGAGCTTCATCAGAGGTGTATGTCTTGGCTCCCGACTTGCCGGACGTCTTGACACCACCCAAGAAGTCGCGATGCAACGCTGCTTCCTAGCCTCGGGCTTGTCGCTGCAAACACTGCCCGCTGATTGGTGCCAAGCCACGAGGTGTATGAGAAGCGCACGTCCAGGATCGTGACCCTCACGCGACAAGACCACAACCAGATCCAGCCGTCGCCTGCAATAGGCTCGAATGCCGACTACTATCAATTCACTCGCCCCTCGCCGCAGTCCTTTTTGGGGGTTACCGTCGATAGATTGATGGGACGGTTCATTGGCCAAAACTCACTCCACATACCGTACCAGCAGACGTCTTAAAAGCCAGAGCTGCCCGCACTCACTACCCTGCCAGCTCTGTCTCGCACTTCCGCCCTCTCCCTGTCTCTCTCCCGCCACATACCGCCATGGCGACCAACCACGAGGACGCAGCCGCTGAGCTGCACGCAACTCTGGAGCAACGAACCGGCTCGATTGGCAATCGCGGCAGTGTCGATATGGCTGGAGCGAAGCTGGACATCAAGGAGAAGGATGACGTCGATGTCGATGCTCGAGATCTGGACCCGAGCGAGGAGGGCATGGAGCCGAATGAGCACGAGAAGAAGACCTTGCGCCGCATTGGCGACAAGTTCCCCAAGTCGGCCTACTTGATCGCGGTGGTGGAATTGTGCGAGCGCTTCACCTGTAAGTCATGATCATTGCGAGTATGTGAGGACGACGTGGATGCTGATGTATCACAGATTACGGCTGCCAAGGTCTCTTCCAGAACTACATCAACAACCGTCCAGGCGGCGAGGACGGGGCCCGCGGTCTGGGACTCGGCCACCAAGGCGCCACCGGCCTGAACGTCTTCTTCCAATTCTTCTGCTACGTCACGCCCATCCTCGGTGCCATCATCTCCGACCAGTATCTCGGAAAGTACAAGACCATCCTCATCTTCGCCGCTGTTTACTGGGTCGGCCTCATCATTCTCTGGACCACGGCTTTGCCAACGAGCATTGAGCATGGTGCTGCACTTGGTGGTTATGTCACCGCCATCGTTATCATTGGGTTTGGTACTGGTGGTATCAAGTCGAATATTGCGCCTCTCATTGCCGATCAGTACACTCGCCGCAAGATGGCGGTTACTACGGACCCCAAGACCAACGAGCGTGTCATCATTGATCCCGCCATCGTAAGTTATAAAACGTCACTGTGACAGGGATCGACGGCACAACTGACATGCGTTTGCTCTCGTAGACGTACCAACGAATTTACATGATGTTCTACGCCTGTATCAACGTCGGCTGCCTTTCGCTCCTGGCCACCCCTTTCATGGAGAAATACGAAGGCTTTTGGACCGCATACCTGCTGGGTTTCTGCGTCTTCTGCATCGGAGTAGTCGTGCTCATCCTCTGCCGCAACCGCTACATCGTTCGCCCTCCACAGGGCTCCATCATCACAGACGCCTTCAAAGCTATCGGGCTGATGATTGTCAACCGCAAACTCGACGCAGCTAAGCCATCGTGGCGTGCTGCCAATGGCAAGACCAAGCCAGTTGCATGGAACGATCACTTCGTCGACGAGTTGAAGCGTGCCCTGCGTGCTTGCAAGGTCTTCGCCTTCTATCCGATCTTCTGGGTTTGCTACGGGCAGTTCAGCTCCAACTTCATCGCACAGGCGGGTCAGATGGAAGGCCATGGCATGCCGAATGACTTGATGCAGAACTTCGATCCCATCTCCATCATTGTCTTCATCCCCATCTTGGACAAGCTGGTATACCCGGCGCTGCGCAAGTGGAAGATCGAACTTCGCCCAATCGCTCGTATCACGATCGGCTTCGTTCTGGCTTCTCTTTGCCTGGCATACGCCGCTATTGTGCAGCATCTTATCTACTCTGCTGGACCTTGCTACAAGCAGCCTGGAAAGTGCCCAGCCGGTATGGATGGGGAATCTCCATTGCCGAACCACGTCCACATCGTCGTCCAGACACCCGCGTACGTCTTTATCGGTGTTTCTGAGATCTTTATCTCTGTTACAGGTCTGGAATATGCGTACACAAAGTCCCCGCCGTCCATGAAGTCGTTCGTCCAGTCCCTGTACCTGTTGACGAACGCCCTTGGCTCGGCTTTGAACGAGGCTTTGGTCCCAGCTACTGGAGATCCAGATATGTATGTGCACCCATTTCCAGCTCATTGAGACCACTTACTGACAAATCTCTAGTCTCTGGATGTACACCGGTATCTCCGTCGCCGCTTTCTCCACTGCCATCATCTTCTGGTTCACATTCCACCACTACGACCAACAGGAACAAGAGATGAACGAGCTCGACGCAGAGGAGGCTTATGGTGGCATGACTCACGGGCAGGGCAAGACGAAAGACATTGATGGTGACTATGAGTCTCAGCGGGCTGCTTCGACTACAGGGCGCGAGCAGAAGTCCTGATTGAATGGGGCGTTTGCACGGTCGCTAGCTTAGTAGCTGTGATGTTGTACGAGGACACGATGATGTCTGTACTTGCTCATACGATGGAATGAAATCATACTCGATTGACTGATATCACTTCCCTGCAAAATTTCAAGCGTCTCCGGTACTGACTGCAGCCTCGCCACCACGGCAGCCATGATGTTGTCCTGTAAGGGGTAGATGGCACTCACTTCGGCGTTTTGCAAGTCATTGCAAGCTGCAATCCAGACTCGCCTCGTATGGGACTGGCTCAGCCAGAGACAGCGTGGCTCAAACATAACATCATGTCTCGCGTCAAGCGATATGGCCTCGAACATCTATCTCAGACGTTCCGGAACATGAGACAGTTCGCGAGTGGAAGGAAGCTGGAGTGAGTATAAAAGAGCAGGCATCATACGTTTCCTGGAGTACGGAACTCGAGAGACCTTTCGCCACAAACAAAAGACGAAGTAGTCCATCATGCCCTCAATCAGTGACGAGATGGGTCAATGTGGAAGGCCGGGTACATCACCATCTGCTTGCACAGGAGACGTGCAAGCGGACTTTAGGAGCCTTGCCCTCGACAGACCGTCAGAGCAGGGTAAAGGGACGTCGGATGAGCACATTACTGCTGCTGACTTCCGACACGAACGAGAAACTTTCACATCTAGTGACACGAGACAAACTGCTAACCTGGCAGTACAGTTGAACGAGTCCCTCGAGATGGTTTTGAAAGATCCTGACAGAATCCGAGGACGAAACGATGACGCTTCCTGGAGCCAGGCCGTCAATGAGGATGACGATGACGAGGAAGAGATGCGTTTGAGGGCGGAAGAAGCACAGCTGAACAAAGAGATCGAGGAGATCCGACATCACCTCTTGCTCCGAGCTCATAAGTTGAAAACCGAGAAGAATAACCGATTCAAGCATGTCCAAACCATTGCAAAACTAAAGGAAGATGTCGAATCGCTAGAGGAACAAGAGCGGGAGGCCGAAGCGCAGTATCGAGAAGGTCTCGCTCGCAGCAGCAGTTGGTGGAACCCAGGACGGTCCCTCTTTGGATCGACAGCTGAGCCTGAAGCTGAACGACGCGAGAGAGATGAAACCCGCGCCGAACGAGCACGAGTGATCGAGATAAATAACATCCAAATCGAGCACCACGCCAACGCGCTCTCCCATTTGGACGACAGTCTCACCAAGACCCGTCAGCGAGTGAGAGAGTTGAAGGCCACCCAGCGGGGGCTTCTCGCGAGGAAGGGGCAAATACTTAGGGCTAGGAAGGGGACGGGGGCAGGTGGGAGAAAACGTCGACGGAGCGAGGGGGGCGGGGGGGGAAGAGGTTGAAAGGGGGATGTGTTGAGGATTAGGGAGGTGGGGAGTGGGATTGGGGGATTGGGGGTGTTAGAAGAGTGAGCGGTGTGTAGCAACTACAATGCTGCTGGAAGTCTGGTACATATCATTGCGAAATGTAATCACCTAATGCCGGAGAAGCAATCATGCCATATATTTACGATCCATCGTACGTCCTCGAAACCCCCTTCAGGGAGATTGCGGTCTTGCCCAACCTCTACCGGTACTAAGATGCTGCAGCGTCTCATTCCACTTCGACCTGTCCTTACGAATAGACACATTGTCGCGGGCCAGAACATCGCCGCCCTTCGTGAAAGATGACAAGTCTTTACTAATGATGTACAGTCTACGACATAACACCCCGAAGTCGATGTATAAGGCCGAAGGCTTTTATCTCTCAATGGCCTCGTTGAGATTTTCCCTCGTTAAGATGTTCCCTCGCTAAGATTTTCATTCTTTGTCAACTTACCCATAGCACCCGAAATCTTTCAATTAACCATGGCCGAGATTGTCATGTGTGGCATACTCGGGATGTCGACATCGGCTAGCACGCAAGACATCGAAGCGGGCTATGAGCATCTGGCGCTTGAAAGACGTCTAGGCCACGATAAAGGAGAGGATGAGTCTGCGGCTCGTTTTCAATAGGTAGGGTAGATCTCGATGTCTCTACTGAGGGAAAGGATTATGTTTGCCAATCGCAATCGCAGAAAGAGGCAGAACTCCATGAGCTCAATATGGCGATAGACAACTGTGCAATTCGCATGGGACACTTGAAACGACAACGCCGAGAGATGAGAGCACATCTTGCAAGTATTCGTAAGGAAGCCCAGGGATATCAAACAGAGCTGTATCGGCTGGACAAAGAGGACAGTGAAGACCAGCACGGTGACACTTGGGAGCTGAAGGCTATAGGACAGAGTTGGAGCTGGTTTTCATTCAGAGTCGAAACCGCAGAAGAACGAAGGGAACGAGGCGTCAGCTGAGACGAGAGAATCACAAGGGCTTGGAAGACAGGTTGAGTGAGATTGAATGGGTGGAGGGTCGAGTGCAGGCTAAGTAGAAAGAGATTCTGAGGGCGGACACGCTCTGTTGGAGGCTCGATGGAAGATTCGTGAAGGCCATGGAGGCCAACAAGGCTACGTCAGGCTGGGAGTCGGCAGATTCGCTGGAGTCTCAACCGCCAGAACGACAGACGAAGAAACACCAATGAGCTACGCTGGGACGCTCAGACTTGATGAAGAGAATGGTCTTGCAGCCGGCATGTGGAAGGGAACGTTGGAGGGGTGAAGGGTGGAGGCAGATTTCAGGTGGTCCTATCCGATTGTGGATTGTTTAGAGAGTGTCCGTAGAATCTTGTCAAGATATAATCCAGCCAGCATGTGGCAGAGGCTTCCGTTACTTTCCAAGGCCCACTTCGAAACGTGTGGGTTGAACAACTACGCTTGTCTTTATCGAAGTCTTGTAGATGGAGCGCACACCCTTTGTCAAATGGTCAAGTGAAGGAAAACAGAATAGTCTAGAGATATAGTCTCGCTTTGACTACTGTAGAGTGATGTAATAGGGTCTCTTTGACTGTCTTTCTTGGTGGAAATTGTCTCTGCATGATGCAGACCGAGCGCTGGTTAGACCCTCACTGCTGCGATCCCGAGTCTTATTCCTTACCACCTCCGCCTATCACGACTTGTAGAAGCAGGAAAAGACCAATAGCCCACCAGTACCTGTCATATGTTAGCACACAATTCATCACGAGACTGAGAACGTGGAGCGTACTTCTGCAAGAACGTCTTCTCAGGCTCCTTGTCGCCCGTAGTGCCATCTTCGTTCACCACCACGGGCTTGTTCAGCTGTGGTACTGGACCAGGCTTTATCTTGACAACCTCCACCAGAAGGTTCTCCTTTGCCTTTGAGCCCTTCGTCTTTGGTGTCTCGTCACCTGCCTTGAATCCGACCTGGTACAACTCCCCATTTCCCTTCACGTGTAGCTGCAGCTTCTTGCTCTTCTCCGTCGCAAAGTTCGACGCGGCGGTCGCGATGCCACTCCACGATCCAGAAGGGTGGTAGAAGCCGACTCTCACGATGTCGTCAGTTCCCGGAATGGATGGTGAGTTGAAGCTCTTGATCGAGGCATTGTGTGCGGTGAAGGAGACCTTGGCGAGGGTTTGCGGTTTCGAGGCGGACAAAGGCCAGGCGAAGATGTCGACATTGCGCTCTTGGTCGGCGGCCAAGGCCAGAGAGCAGATGAAGGTCAGCACGAGGCTAAAGATGAGCTGCAACCTCATGATGCCGGATGGTGTGTTGGGGCTGTCGGGGTTGATTGTTGCTGATATCTCATGCGCCGGACTGATCTGCGGAAGGTTTTCAGCCGAGACCCCCGAGCAACGTCCAAGCTCCCCGGACTCGAAGACGACGGGAAAGAGGTGTCGAAGAATGTCGTCTTTCGATGTATTCCTATGGATAGAGGGCACAAGTTGATCAATCAATTCTCGCAATGTTCACCAAAGCTGCTGATAACGGCCAAGCTGACCAAGAGAGCGGAAATCAATTCGATGGCCAGCAATGATTGAAGCCACCCAGACTTCCGTGAACGAACCCCCCGCGTCTCCACCAAAAATACATCATCGTGCTGAGTGATTGAGAGCTGCAGGTACAGGGTCTCGTTGAAGCTCACCGAAAAATCGACTCCCTTCAATTACTTCCTTGCCCCTCGAAGCAATTTCTGCTTCACCCGCTTCCTGGCTCGTTTCTGCCTGCTCATCACTCTTGAAACGAGCTCTCACAAGCTTCACTCCAGCCCAAGCTCGCCGCCGAGCATTCACTGACGCAAGGGATCCGTGACAAACCATTGGAAACGCCTCCCTACAAATAGCTGCCCGCCATGTCGCACTCGCAAGCCTTCGGCGGAGGCACGTCGATGCCCTACCGCAACCCAGCGAGATCCGGCTCCAGGCAAATGTCGGTCGATCCACACAACGAGCTCAATCCCGAGAAGAACCACTACATCGGCATCGATGTGGGCACCGGTTCTGCTCGGGCATGTATCATGAACGACAAGGGCGACATCGTCGGCCTGGCCAGCGAGAACATTGGCCTGTGGCAGCCCGAGACTGGATACTACGTGAGAGCGGCCCATTGACTCGAAGATTCGAGGTTCAAGACTGACGAGATGCCAGGAACAATCGACAACTAACATTTGGCGATGCATCTGTTCGTCGATCCAGCGAGCCATGTCACAGCACAACATCGACCCCAACAGCATCCGCGGCATTGGTTTCGACGCCACTTGCTCTCTCACCGTCTTCAGAGAGGACACCGACGAGCCCGTCTCCGTGACCGGCCCCAAGTTCGACAACGCCGACGGCAACGACCGGAACGTCATCCTGTGGCTCGATCACCGCCCAGTCGAGGAGACGAAGAAGATCAACGCCACCAACCACAACCTCCTTCGATATGTGGGTGGCTCGATGAGCATTGAGATGGAGATTCCAAAGGTGCTGTGGCTCAAGAACAACATGCCGAAAGAGCTATTCGACAAGTGCAAGTTCTACGATCTGGGAGATGCCCTCACCCACATGGCTACCGGCAGCGAGACGCGCAGCTTCTGCAGTGTCGTTTGCAAGCAGGGCTACGTTCCAGTCGGTGTCGATGGCAGTGTCAAGGGCTGGCAAGAGGACTTCTTGACCGAGATTGGTCTCAAAGACTTGTGTGAGGACAACTTCAAACGCATGGGTGGCGTCGACGGGGTGGTATAAACCCTCTAGCGTGAATCGCGAAGGACAATGAGCTGACCACGATTTAGAACGGCCGATACCTCACCGCTGGTGAGCTCATCGGTACGCTTTCAGAAAAGGCGGGCGCCGACATGGGCCTTCCAGCCGGTATTGCGGTTGGCAGCGCTGTCATTGACGCATACGCTGGCTGGATTGGCACCGTCGGTGCAAAGGTGAACCTGTCGGGCGGTAGCATCGACGCAGGCAAGCCCAAGAACGACGTCTCTCAAGCCTTCACCCGTCTGGCTGCTGTCGCAGGTACTTCGACTTGCCATCTCGCCATGTCCGAGAAGCCCGTCTTCGTTAACGGCGTTTGGGGTCCGTACCGTGATGTGTTGATCCCAGATTACTGGCTTGCTGAAGGCGGTCAGTCCGCCACCGGTGAGTTGCTCAAGCACGTGGTCGAGACGCATCCGGCGTTCCAGGAGGCCATGTCCGTGGCGGAGACGTTCAACGCCAACATTTACGACTACCTCAACGAGCACTTGACCGAGTTGCAGCAAAGGGCTGGAGCTCCAGCAATCTCATATCTCGGCCGCCACTTCTTCTTCTACGGCGATCTCTTCGGCAACCGCTCGCCAGTAGCCGATCCAGACATGAAGGGCTCCCTCATCGGTCTGTCAAGCGACAAGAGCATCGACGGCCTTGCACTGTACTACTACGGTACGATGGAGTTCATCGCTCTCCAGACCCACCAGATCATCGAGCAGATGAACAACGCCGGCCACGTCATCTCCAGCATTTTCATGTCTGGTTCTCAGTGCCAGAACCCCGTCCTCATGTCTCTCATGGCCACCGCCTGCAACATGCCCGTCCTCATCCCACGATACGTCCACGCCGCCGTCGTCCACGGTGCAGCCATGCTTGGCGCAAAGGCTGCAAGCACCGACAAGCAAGGCAAGAGTGAGCCACTGTGGGATATCATGGACCGACTCAGCAAGGCTGGAAAGGCAGTTTATCCAAACAAGGATGAGGGCGAGAAGAAGCTGCTTGCAGCCAAGTACAAGGTGTTCCTGAAACAGTGTGAAGAGCAGAGACAGTACAGGAACGAGATCGACGACGCCATTACGGGCTGGAAGAGGTGAGAAAGAGGTTGATACAGACGTCAAGCCGACTTGGTCCGATCCTTGTACAGCGTAGACATAGAGCACAACGAAGGAGTCGGTTTTGAGTGAGGGATAGTTCTACACGGAGTTATTCCTCGTTCGAAACTTCTCTTTCATGGGCTACAGGCATAGCGGAGCGGATGCGGCTGGGAGCTGCGAGTTCTTCGGATGATCGGGATGGACTGAACGCTGCTGCTGCTGAGTTCGGAGGCCCGTTCCTTGCACGAAGAAATGGTAATGCATTATGAACCCCGCGATCCTTCCTGTTCTCCAGAAGTGGTATCCGCTCTCATAGTCAGTCTCGAAAGAGAAGCAAGATCGCTTATAGTGTAGGTTTGCATGTGCGCTGCCGAGAGCCGGTTTGTTGATCTCCACGACCCGGAACTCGTGAAGTTGGCCTGAGGCAGCCGCAGCCTTGAACAGACCGCCGAGGCCTTTCGATGCGAAGAACATCTAAAGTTTAAACCCGAAGTTCCTCGCGTCAACATTCTTCTAGGTACTCGACAGGACTCTTCTAGCTGATATTCCCTCCTAGACTCGAAGCCGCCTCGAGATTGATCAGCCGTAGCTGAGTTGACTGCTTCTTCTATAAACTATTGACGACTTTCTAGAATCCTCACGAGTAGTGCATAGTTCGAATCGACGATAGGGATACACCACGACTTTCTTCTACAGAGCCATTTGCGACTTCGATTGGATTTCATTTCGAGCAAGAGATAGAGAACGCGCGCGCTGGTGAGAGCTCACAGCTACACACGGTTGATATTCTTTGAGGAAAGAGCGCGGATGTGGTGGACTGTGTAACAATCACCTTGCGACCACTTCTGTTGTCAGTCTTCTGAGTCCGTGGCTGCATTCGACGCCAGCTACTCGTTCTGGCGTAGATGCAACCAAGGCCCAAGACTGAAAGTCATACCAGATGTATGTGGCCGAGGGAGTACTTCCGAAGCGATGAACAAGACGATACACGGGGAGGGACTCTTCCCAAACAGCTCTGCTTCCTCGAGTCCGTCAACTAACGAGTACGTCAAGGCGGAGTACGGAAAAGGCTTTATCGAAGACCGTGTCCGGCAATCAGTCACAGCCATGAACGACCGCGACTTCTCACCCTCCCACCCAGCCTGGGCAGCCTACAACGTCGTCTTTAGCTGCGGGTCGATATCGCGATACAAGCAGACCCCTTCGGAATACCACCTTCAACAAACCCGCGACATCTCCCGCGCCGGCATGCTGGAAGTCATCCAACAATTCACAGAATCGAACCCCAGGTGTCGCACTCGCCTCGTGGACGTGTTGACGTGTGTGGACGAGAAGAACCTCTTCGCCGAGTGCTATGTGACATTGGAAGAGTCGAACTTACCGCGGGGCACGGGCACGGTCAAGCAGAATGTGTCGAAGACGGTGTGGAGGTGGTTGGAGGGTGAGTGGCGGTGTGTTGATTATCGGAATATTGAGGGGTTGGATGGGCTTGCTGGGTTGGATGTGTGAAGTGGATGTTGATGGGGCGGCTATATTGTTCGATTAGACATGCTATGCGTCGGGGTGAGATCTTTTGTATTGGTGTGCAAGGTGGAATACTTGCAGCAATGCAACGCTTGGTAGGAGGGATCTCCGGATCTCATTCACCGCTTAGAGCGACAACGTGGAGGTTTCGTCAAACTACTATCAGTCGATTCTACATCTCAAGAGAACAATTGCAGACCAGCACGATCAAGAGGACAAAGTGTCTGCCCACCTCGATTCCACAACCCCGAAGCTTGATCACGCCCAATCCTGCATGAGGAGTAAGCGGCTAAACTTTAAATCCATCCGAAGTGGAGGAGGCAGCGGTTCCTGCGTCTGCTCGACGCCATCACCATCACCGACCTCTGGATTTTGCGGAGAAAGAGGCACGGCACATTCGCGCTTGAACGGCATGCTACGGTGTGATATGCACGACAGACATGAGAGGAGGCGGGGGAAGGGCAATCTATTGCGGTAGTGGATGATGTAGGTAAAAGTGGTTTGATTCCCTTCACTTTCTCTTGTCGTTCTTTACGAGTGCGGTCGCCTCATGGTGAGTTGTTTTCCTGCTGTTGTCAAGAGCTGCCGGATCTCGACAGTGCCCACGATGCTATCCCTCACCACGACCGCCCTCCTCCTCGCCTCCACGGCATCAAGTCTCCCTCAATGGGGCTGGCCCGGCCACGGCCCTCCTCACAGCCCAGGCCACAACCACGGCAGTCCCATCACAACAACCGTCAACCTAGGCTACTCCACCTACGAAGGAACCCGCCTCTCCCCCGCCAACGTCCTCCAGTATCTCGGCATCTCCTTCGCCGCACCACCACTTGGAAACCTCCGCTGGCGAGCGCCCCAAGATCCCGTTCACAAGACTGGCGTCCAACCTGCAGATGCTTTCCAACCGACATGTCTGGGATACTTCGGTGGCGGGCTGAGCGATAGTGTGAATGAAGATTGTTTGTACCTGAACGTCTTCGCTCCTGCGAACGCTACAACGGAGAGTAAACTGCCCGTGTGGTTCTTCATTCAGGGAGGCGGGTATGCTGGAGATACGGATCAGAATTTCAATTTCACGGAGGTGGTGGAGAGGAGTGGATATGGCATGATTGCTGTGCAGGTGAGGTGGATGGGAGATTATTGCTGGTGGAAGATTCTGATGCTCGTGTTAGATCAACTATCGAGTGGGAGCTTTTGGATTCCTTGCTAGTGAGAAGGTGAGAGGCGATGGAGATTTGAATGTTGGGCTTTTGGACCAGAGGAAGTGAGTGTTATTATTAAAAACTTCTGAAATCTCAACACTGACCACTGGTAGAGCGATGCATTGGGTACAGCAGTACATCCATCTCGTAAGACCAATGCTTGGGTAGACAAAAGATGCAGAAGCTGATGTGTAGCAGTTTGGCGGTGACCCAGAGCACGTTGTCATCCACGGCGACAGCGCAGGAGCTGGAAGTGTTGCTTTCCACCTCACCGCGTATGGCGGCCGGGACGACCACCTCTTCGTTGGCGGAATCTCGGAGTCGCCCTTCTGGCCAACGCACAGGACTGTGCCCGAAATGGAGTTCCAGTTTGAGAGGTTCGCGCAGAACGTCAGCTGTGACCCGGCTGAGGGCATCGACGTGATGGCTTGCCTTCGGTCAAAAGACACCGCGACTCTCCAAGGCGCAGACGTCACCTCGCCTTTCCCCGATGCGCCAAGTACGCCGAACCCATCGTGGTACTTCTTGCCTGTCATCGACAGCACGTTCTCGACCGATTACCTCTACAACCTCTTCGAGCAAGGCAAGCTCGTTCGTGTGCCTTTGATCGTTGGAGATGATACAGATGAAGGCACGGGCTTTGCAATCAATGCCAATACGTCCAGCGATTTCCTCAACTTCATGGATGCCAACTACCCCAAGCTTGGAAACTCGACATTGCAAAAGATCAGCAGAGCCTATCCAGAAAACGGCTTCGGCGCACCGATTGCTCATGGCCCATACTTCCCAGCAGCTGCAGCGGCATACGGAGAAGCGACGTTTATTTGTCCCGGGATCCAAATGGCCAGCTCACTAGCAAAGTATAACTCCGCAGCAAAGACCTGGAACTACAGATACAATGTTCAAGACCAGGCCTTGATCGCGGCGGGTCTCGGTGTGCCTCACGTCTCTGAGAAGCCTGCGATCTGGGGACCGAATAACGCTGGGGCTTGTGGTGACCCTTGCAGCTATCTGACGTACAATGCTAACATTGTGCCTGTTATGATGAGCTATTGGATTAGCTTCATCCTGACTCTCGATCCAAATACGTACAAGGTCAGGCAGGCGCCTGAGTGGCAGCCTTGGCAGAGTCAGGGTGGTGGTCATGGGTGGGGCGGATGGGCAGGCTGGGGTTGGGGCAATGGCGGCCATGGTGGTCAAGATGATGCAGAGGTCCAGCGGTTGGTCATCCAGACGAATGCATCGAGGATGGAGAATATCCCCAGTGCGCAACTACAGAGATGCGAGCTCTGGGAAGGCCTTGCTACGGTCACCGAGCAGTAGATAGCTGTCGTGGTAGTCCAGTATCGTTCAGTCTTCTGGGCAGACCTACGAAGTGCAGTCAGTAATGTATCCGAACAACGACCCACGCTCATCATCCCTACCATCTTTCGAGTAACTCCCCCATCCACAACCGTCTCCGCCCCTGTCACAAATTCGCTCTCGACGAGATACTCCACCGCCCTCAAAACATCCTCCACTCGTCCCACCCTACCATTCAAATGCCACTCATGATCATTCTTACTCAAACCCTCCTCCCACGCCTGTCCCTCCTCATCCGCCTCCTTACATTCACTCTGCACATGAATCCATCCCGGCAAAATAGCGTTGACACGAATATTCAACGGCGCCAGACTCGTCGCCATCGACTGCGTCAATCCCAACAACCCAGCTTTGGTCGCCGAGTAAGGCTCATTATTGACCTCGCTCATGAAGGCTCGTGTTGAGGACATGTGGATGATACACCCTCCACTCGTCCGTGCGCCGGTCTTCTGCAATATCGATAGACATGCCTGACTGAGTAACATGGGCGCCGTAAGGTTCGTCTCAACAGAAGCATTCCAATCCTCCAACGTCAGTTCGGAGAAATGACTCCCACCTACGCCACTCGTGTTCGCCGCGTTGTTGATCAAACAATCCACATGGCCAGAGAAGAATTGCCGTGCAGCTTCCGCAGTGCCTTTGATCTCTATCGGACTTCGCAGATTGCATTGGATCGATTGGAAGTCTCGGTCGGGTTGGTATTGCTGGGAAAGGAGGTTGTTGATGTGGTTCAGTTCGGTGATGTTGTTGTCCACAAGCATCACTCGGTGGCCTTTTTGAAGAAGAAGGCGGCTGAGGCCACGGCCGATGCCTCGGGCTGCGCCTGTTATGAGGAAGTTTTTGGATACCATGTTACTGCTGGATTGGTTGATTTGTGTAACAGAGTGGACAGGATGAACCTGGAAAGTGATGGAAAAAGTGGTGGTGACGTCATAGGACGGTTTTTCTGCGTTGCTTGAGGTGCACAGGAGCTTTTGAACCTCGAACATTCACTTACATTTTTGTCGCACTGACGTGCTTGTCACATGTTAGTGTCGGACCTAGTGAGCGCTGCATTCCACTTGGGGCAACAGCTGCAAGCAAAGTGCGTCTCACGTTTCACAGTTGAAACGTAAACTTCATGTTGTCGCAGCTACGTTCCAAGTCAAGTTTCCCGGGCAAGACGAAGCATCGATGTGATGTACTTTGTACTCTTCGGTGCAGGAATAAGGATGCGAGCCCGAAGTCCTTCATTCTTATTAAACAAGTTACAACTGCGAATCCTCCGCCGGCTCCCATCACCAGCCAATCCGATCACTCATCACACAGACTCGGCCCCGGTCCTCCGTCGAATCTTGTTCCACGGTGCTGACATTGCAGAGAGTAGGATGCCTCCTACAAGCATCAACAACCCCGCTGTGAGCACGCCGGCCATCCATTTCCTGTGTAGGCCAGAACCGATGATTGCGTATACTGCGCTCGGTCCGGCGAGGGTTCCAAATCCAACGGCGGTGTTAAGCAAGCCAGTCTTGGATGCTAGATTCTCAGATCCGAACATATCCGCCACAACGACTGGGAAGAGGGAGATGAAGCCTACGGAGAGTCAGTTCGGGGCAGCCCTCTGTCTATTTCATGCAGCTCACCGGAACCCAAGACGCCAACGAAAACAACGAAGAGGGTGAACAACGCTATGGCTGTTTCGGTATTCTCATCCTGGAGTGACACGGCAGGAAGCCAGAATACGACGTGTCCAATGCCGCATAGAAGAAAGCTAAGAGTAAGAGCAGTGCCCTTGCCAAGCCGGTCTGAGAGATAGCCTATGCCGATTCTTCCTATGATCGAGAGCCCGTTCATGAGACCCAAGAGCCAGGATGCGTACGTGGACCCTATGCCCTTGGCTTCAGCTGACGATGAGATCAAAAAGTATCTTGGCAGGAACCCAATCATAGCAATAGTACAGGCCGCCAGCAGCCACAGGAAACGTTTGTTCTTCAGAAGCTCGACATCGAACACTTGACCCCTACGCGTTCGTGAGTCCTGAGATGCTCTCGGCTTTAAGAAGAAGATACTCGGTACGAGGACTCCGATGGCGATGTATCCTAGGATCCGGAATGTTTTTGCGAGGCCGTACTTCGCCATCATCAGATCCACGCAATACGGCAACACGCATCCGCCCAAGGCACCACCTGATATAATGATTCCATTTGCGAGACCATGCATCCGAGCGCCGAAGTATTGCCTGGAGATCGTTGTCGTTGGCATGTACACAAAGGCCAGGCCTAAGCCGAACGTTAGGCCTTGTGACATGAACAGCTGCCAGAACGTGGTCGATACACTCGCCGTGAACAACGCAACCACCATCAAGGCAGCTCCGAGTATGAGCGATACTCGATACCCCACGAGATCGGCAAAGCGTCCAGTGAATGCTCCCAAGATGAAGTAAAGACTGGAGGCCACGCTACCAATGAGTATGATTTTCTCTGGAGGGTCACCAGCCAGTAAGTGAGTCTGATAATAGTTCGAGAACACGCCAAAGGTGTTTGTGTAGCCCACGCCTATGAAGAGCACCGCCCCGGCGGCTGTAACGACGGTCCATTTCGAGGCCTCTGCTGGCTTCTCATCTCCAGTCTCTGTCTGGACGGTAGTGTTGTTGATGTCGCTGGGTCCTTCTGGCATGATGAAATGCGCTTCTATGCGCTTCTCCAGGGTGGCACGAAGCTGCCTTTTGTTCGACTGCCATCTTCAAGCAACACCGAGGTGACGTTGAAACAAACGTCGCTGGAGGTTAACTCGGTGTTAAGCTCCCAAAGAGGCAATCCGAGACAGAGCCCAATGTCACCATCTCGCCGAGGAGCCGGCGAGCACTGCCGTGGGATCAACCTTCTTTGTCTCAGCCGTGTACTTTGTACATGTACCGAGGTCGACGTAGACATTAACAGTCATCTTGGACCTGTCATCTCCTTCCTCCTCCAGCAATAGTCAGCTGGACGACGGGCACGCATCCATCTCGCGAGTTAGAACTTCTTACAGGCTATCGTTTCCTGTTGGACCATTCCTCACCAAACTTTATGCTTTCCAAGCGCAACCCAGGATCGGCGCGGTGCATCTTCGTCGCCACGTGAAAGAGATAGCGACCAAAATTCTTTGCTCAGGCTTTGCAGGGCGGCGTCGTCAGAAGACAAGCCAGCAACCAACTGACCAACAGCAACTTCCGCACGTACCGCCAACATACCGTCAGCCTTTGCGAAAGTACCCGCGGGCCACGTTGTGTCATAGGGGCAGCTCGTGGTGTACTTGCCTGCCAAGTCACAATGCTGAACGTGTTGTTGAATAATCCACCGAGATGACCCCCGACGCAGCTGATATCGTTGGCTGATGTGATATCTTTAAAGGCACCGGTGGGTCGTGCTATATCGTAGTAGGTCCACTCTCTCTTTCAACCAACTCCACCGACTCCACGCACTCCACGTCACTCCAGAATATTTTTCCGGGTTCTCCAAGTCTTCTCCAGTCCTCTCCAGCTTGTTCCTCATCCACATCCAAACATGGTGGGCTGGAAGACTTCGCCACATATCGACGTGCAGTTGCGCTTCGACGCAGAGAAGCAATCTAAACAAGCTCGTGTGCCTGCCTTCAATGGCGACGATCAAATTACTGGCGCTGCCACATTCACCTTGAAGAAGAATTATGAGGACATTGGGTATAGAGTCGTTGTCAAAGGTATGTCTACTCCGGATTCTTGGACTGTAACTCAATATTAATCATTCGTATCAACAGGCGTCGTCGAGACGAAGACCCAAGAGTACCCTCCTGGTGGCCTCAACAGTGCCTCACAGGTCGAGACCCACACATTTCTGTCGGCGGTAATGTTCGACGGGTCTGCCAATGCCTCCTCCACGCCAGAGTCCAAGTTTCGAACCCAGATTCCATTCAAGCTCGCGCTGCAAAACGAAGCCAACTCAGTCGGATCATGGGGCGACTCCAGGATTAACGGGGAAATCGTACAAGAAATCTTACCAACCCTCAACTCGAAGACGGCTCCAAAACACTGGGCAGACAGTTTCAAGCCCAGTTTCAACTCCGACTTTCGCATCACTTATACCGTAATTGCATCGGCCTTCCATGAGAGGAAGATTGTTGCATCGACGTCGAGAGACTTCAGCTTTCTGCCAACGTCTTCGCCACCACCGCCAGTACCAGTAGAAGACTTCTCTGACGAATATTCACTTCGAGCATCGAAATCGTTGCAGAAGGGCAGCCAAGCATCCCGGATTGGTCTCATCAGCGAAGAACCTCCTGCCATGGCTCTGAAGCTAGGAGCGAAGGGCGGATCCACCAATGTCAACCTGTTCGTTATGCTCTTCAGGCCACATACGAGGGACTTCGACGCCAACGAACTGCCCAAGCAATTACGAATCACGGCCAAACTGCGAAGTACGACGTTTGTCATGCCCAAGCGCTCCAAGCTCAACATGCACACAATGCAGGGCGCCATGTACGACCGAGAGGCCGCTGTCAAGCAAGACAAAACGCACACTCAGAACTACACAATGGCCATTGACCAGTGGCAGACGAACGAGTCCGAGAGCGAAGGTCAGTTTCCAAGCCTAGGCACACATTGTTGATTGACCATTGCTGACAATTGTTGTAGATGACAAATCCATCATCAGTGAGGAGGTCTTCTCCACTGCGGTTTCGTTTCCGTTCATCGTCGACGGCGACAACATGCCCAGCCCGACATTCTACTCGCCTTTGCTTTCGAGACGGTATGCGGTGGATCTGAATGTCACGTTTGACGAGCAGCCGGGGATGAACATGAAGCTACGACTGCCGCTGCAGGTGTTTTACAGGTCGACTGTTTGAGGGTGCTGTAGTGGGCTTTCTTTGAGCGAGGCTGGCGAGATTGGTGACGAATTGACGACTATCGATACCCTGACATTCGAATGAAATTAGATTTGGTCGAGGCCTTTCCAGAATTATCTCTGTTCCAGGAGCGAGTGCGACCTTTTCAAGTAGATTGACTTTTGCAGGGCAATGGGCTCGAACGCGGAGTTGAGACTGCATCGTTTAGATGATTGCCTTTCCGATGCCATTTCGTTGGAACCACATCTCGTCGAGAACAATTCCGTCGAATATGGATTGGCATGTTCAATCCCCCTTTCAACGCAACGCCCGGTGTGGCATGACCAGCTCAGGACCGGGCATGTGAGTCAGCCTTCCCGAGCACATGTCACAAGAGGGCAAGACCAATGTCTCCATCAGGTAATTATACTCGTAGGATTTCGAGAGCACGAGACGCATGCCAGGGCAGACATCTCGGACAGGACTCGGTCAAAGACTCCTGGAAAGATGTATCCTTCTTCTGCGGCGCGGAGTTCGTGCGGCAAGCGGCTTCGAAGCGGTATAGGAGTCAGAGCGGAAGTTACGTGATGGCCATGTGCGAAAGTGAGGGGAAATGCATGTGGTTTTACAGAAGGAAGATGGAGGACGAAATGGGAAGCGAGCTTCGCGACTTGGAGTAAGAAAGAGAGATGGTGCTGACTTGGCTGACTGTTCGTCCTGGTTAACGCCGGGTGGAGGATGAATTGACTCGGATACCACCTGGACCGGTTTGGAGTGGACCGAGACCAGCCGATTTGGCTAAGCAAAATTTAGTTAGACATTCATAGGGCGTGGAATGGGCGGCTCGGTAACGCCGAGTGAGTAAGATGGCGTTTGCACCACGACCTCACCTCATGAGCTGAGCAACTCTAATCATATCGCTCATCATCAAAATGGACACGTCCGCAACACCAACAAGCTCTGCAGTCGATACTCCGAAGCCCAAAAGACGAAGGAATAGACGACCCAAAGCTTGCCAGCCATGCCGAGATCGTAAGGTTCTTACATGCCATGGTCAACGTTGATGACTGTGCTAACAAGATTGACTAGGCAAGGTACGCTGCGACTACGGCACTCCCTGCTCGACATGTCAGAAGCGAAGGCACACTCATCTGTGCATTTATGACCAAAGTCCGAGATGGGTCGTAGAGACTCGGAGTGGTGAGAATGGTCGGTGAGTGGAGTTCCTTCACCAAGTACATGCGACCAGTCTGACGGCAGTATCGCAGAGCTGTGATTGAGACCCTTCAATCACCTCCATACCACGGATCATTCGATGCTCTGGGGCAATCTTCAATTCTGAATAGCCGTGACGAGCATGCCGGCACCTCGCAGAGCATATTGGATCCGGACCTTCCTTCCCCAGCCACTACCAACACATCTACCAACCGGAGACCTGGTCAACTTGAGTTTCTCAACTACCTCTCGGAAAGCATCACCAACATCTGCGAGCGTGATGACCAGACCGGGGAGACGCTTTACGTCGGCCAAAACTCCTCGGCTGCATTCTTCCAAGCTGTCCTGGCTACACAGGAGGAATACCACCTACCTCCTGATGTATCCATAGGATCTGCGTTCGGGCTTACAAATCGAACCCCTTTACATCCTTTTGGCTCGCTGTGGTCTGCGACTGTAAAAGTCACTCTCGGTGATATCCTGGGATCGCTTCCTAGTACCGAGAGATGCATGAGGTAAGTTGTTGCAGCTCACTGGACACGGGGACGCTGCGCCTTGTGTGCCGCAGATACTGACGCTGTTGATAGATACTACAGAGCCTATAGTCAAATTGCGGTCCCTTTCGTGCCATATCTCCTCGATCAAGAGGACTTTGAAAGACGTCTGGTCAATGTCGTTCAGCTGCTTTCAGAACATCCTGACGATGCCATCCTCGGACAGGCGGCTGCTGATTTGACATATCGTGAGCTGGCAGGCTACGCACTGCTGTTCTCGGTGCTGGCCTCAGGATGTCAATTTGCTGATGAGGTCTCGTCGGAGAGAATACTGACTACTAGAGTCTTTGGTAAGCAATACAAGTACACGAGATGATGAGCAGGTCTAATGGTCTCAGTCGCATGTTCGTTCGAATGTCTTCGTCTTGCCAACTTCTACGTGCAACCTTCGTTGGACCATGTCCAGACCACACTGCTCCTCGAGTACGTTGTTGCGAACGACAGCAATCCTGGCGTTGGATGGACGTTCCTTGGTATGCATGCTGCTGCTTGAGAAGAACTCACGCTGATAGTAAGATGCAGCAATAAGCGTCAGACAAGCTGAGAGTCAGGGCCTCCACCTTCTCACTCGCCAACATGGGACGACTTTGCTGGCCGAAGAGGAAATGCACCCGATGTGGTATGCTTGGCTCGAAGCTTCTTCACGCTATTACTGACTCTTTGTTAGGAGAGCAATCATCCACATGGACTGCACTTTGGCGCTAGCGTATGAATACTACCATCTAGCTCCCTCACAAAGTCTCATGCTGATATGTACTAATAGCTTCGATCGTCGCCCCATGAGCTTCCTATCTGCTCGCTACGATGCAGTGTCGGCAATTCAGAGGGCATCTGAGGTATCTTTCTTTGACCTCGTCAATGCCTTGAATTGCGTCAAGCTGGAATGGCAGACCGCTAAGCAGATGGATCCTGTTCTCAGAGCCGTGGAGACTGAGCTTTACATGGCGAAGGTCGAGCAGGTCGAATCGGTCTCCCAGAGCGACACATGCATAATCAAGTCTGGGAAGTCGATGGAAGCGAGGCTGCAACAACTCATCTTCAAACTTCATATCGAGCATTTCAAGGCCAGGCTCTACCGCTACGGATCGCTCGCCAAAGATGCGTCGCCGGAGAAAAGGAACCTTTACTTTAGTCTGCTTGAGATCAGCTACGCCACCGTCATCGAGACCTTCCTCAGCGTGAAACCGCTGTCCCCCATCGTGCAGGTCGCTTGGGACCTGCTGTTCTATGCGATCAGTTCGGCATTGATCCTGGCTGGCTTACAACTTACGCATCAGACTAGGTCTCACCAGACGTTATTGCGAGCGTTCATCAACTCTCTTCACGCATCATCGGAGAAGCACATTATCGGGCAACCCAATGAAACTTCTGCGTATCCGTTTTATCACGGGTATGCGGTGCTCGAATCTATTCTTCAGCAATGTGAGGAGCGAGGCTGAAATATTGGATCGACACTTCGAGTTCTCGATCGCGAGTGCCTGGGGCTCCGATGTACCAGCAGAAACGCAAGTGCGACGCTGTGGAACATGAGAATTGTCGAATTGAAGGATTGCGCGCCCGCATGATCTTCTGTACGTGGAGTTCCACGGACGCCTTATCTGTAGCATCCATGTCAACATGACTCATGGCCTTTCAGCCGTTCAGCTACCGCTTGGCGATTTGGATCATATAAGTGTTCACAGTCCTAGAGGTTCTCCAAAATTATCCCATCAGGACGCCACGCCACAATGGAAACTGAGACACAACTAGAAGGTCACTCGCAGGCCAGCACAACCCCCGTTGCCGCAAACACTACCCTCAATGCCCTTGTAACAGGCGGAGCGCAGGGCATCGGAGCGGCAACTGCCCGCAAGCTGGCTAGCAGAGGCATGAATGTTCTCATCGCCGATATGTCGGTCGAAGGAAAACAGCTTGCTCAGCAGATTAAGGACGAATACGGCGTTGATGCGGCATATCAATACATTGACGTTCGGCGCGGAGAGGACATTGACATGATGATCAAAACATTTGTTTCGAAATGGGGTCGCCTAGACTACGCCGCCAATGTGGCGGGTATCAATTTAGACGGAGGTGAACTTAGGGACGACGAAACAAAAGTCTCGCAAGCTGTGTTTGACAGGTGTGTGTTACTCCTGCAATACGCTGTGGAATTTTCTGACTCGCCTTTATAGAACGTATGAAGTCAATCAACGCGGTGTCTAGCTCTGCCAAAGAGCCGAAGCACAGCAAATGGCCTCTCAAGAGCCCAGACCGGTCCACGTAACTCCATCCACCCCAAAGGAGATCGCTTATCAACGCGGCTCCATCGTCAACATCTCTTCGACAGCTGCCTTGACAACATACGGTTTCCCGTCATATAGTGCTACCAAAGCCGCCGTGCTCGCCATAACTAGAAATGGTGCCGTCTTCTACGGCAAGCACGGTATCCGCTGCAACTCTGTTTGCCCAGGTTTCACTGCAACACCGATGGCTCGACCGATGTACCCAGACAGCCTGGAGGACCAGGTGACGACCAATGGCCCGGAAATTGCTACGAATGTTCCGCTGAGGAAGAATGCTTGGCCAGAGGAGACAGCGAGTGTGATCAGCTTCTTCCTCAGCGATGAAAGTAGTCATGTTACAGGAAGTAATCTTGAGGTTGATGGGGGCTTAAGTATTACTGGAAGCTCTCCGTTTTGATTCAATATCATCGAGTAGCGAGTCTAGCCATCCACATTGATTATGATCACAGTCTTGTACAGCCAATGTGCCCCGGCTCTCTCAATATCACAGTATGAACCCAAGTGGATACATCCCCGTATTTGTCATAACTGTGCTACCTGTAACGCTTACATGCCTGCAAACACAACGGCCATCGCTCCCATCCCAAAAGCCGCCGGTGCCATCGCTGCCATGGTCTTGGCTGCTCCGCTGCCTGAGGAAGTCGTTGCAGCAGAAGCAGATGACGCAGCAGACGACGCTGATGAAGAAGCAGAAGCGGACGATTGTTCCGCAGATGTCGTAGCGCTGGTGGCCATATCAGAAGAAGAACCCGCCGCGCCCGTCGCAGCAGCAGAGTCGGCGGTGATCGTGACGCCGGCCGTCAAGGGAACACCGGTTCCCGTTGCACAGGTCGTGCCTTCTCCTTCGATCTGGCTCCCACTGGGGTCTTGCGGGCAGCAGACTGCACCGCTGATGTCGTTCCCGTCGCTGCGAAGGGTGCCGCCGCAGCAGGCATTGTCGCCGATGCAGCTGATGCCGTTGCCTACGTTGATGTCTTGGGCTGTGGCTGCGAAGAGGAAGGGGAGGGCGGCGAGGAGGATCCTAATTGTGGAGGGCATTGTTGTTTGCTGGTGTTGTTGCTACTGATCGAGTAAGGCGTAGGGTTCGTCGAGGTACGAGATATTGAGATGTCTGTGAGTGTGGCGTGGCGTGGCGTGCTCCGTCGCTGGCTTGGTCGTTTTGGTTTGAGGAAGTCTCAGTAGCACAACAACAGCTCAGAGGTGCTGGGCTCTGTCTTTATATGTCCATCGCGTTCAGGATCGCCAGACAAGTCACACCCAAACTCTGTATACCTCGGAGATTTCCCTCCCCATTTCAACGTAGAGCAGATCAAAGCAGAGACACAACAAGCCATATCGATGGAGTCACAGACGATCTTTCATGAAAAGGGTTGACGGCCACACCCGAACCGGCTTTTGAGGCGGGTAGCTTTCATTCTAAACTTCAAGGCTGAAACGCTTTGACACGTGCGATCGATCCCAATCAGGAAGGAGCTGACAAATCCGGTATCCCGGTCTAATTTTTGAACAACGATGGGCCCGTTCTTATCCTCCGCCACGGCTGTGCCACGAGATCATGCGAACGGGCAGCATGCACACTCGAATGGAGAGAGGCAACACAAGGCAATGATCTCCTCTCTAGAGTCTAACCAGAGGCGATGATCTGCATCGGAAGATTCTTGCTGCAAGTGAATCGGGATCATGAACACGATCTGAAATGGATTGCAACACCTGCATTAGGCGGAATGAGAGTTGCAACTCATGCGTCTAGCTTGCGGGGGTGGGTTTCAATCCTTCTCGAAGATGATAGGGCTCCTGAGTCATTTTTAATCATTGATGTTTCTCAGTGCTCATACGTTACAATGGATTGATCTCGAGCTGGTACTCAAGAATACGGCTTGATGACACCGAAAGCCTGCTTGCTCTCATTATGAGAAGTGTCTGGAGGTCGTGCGAGCTGTCACTGTTTCGGCCCGTATCAGTGCGACTAAGCTGGGCGTTGATGTCTTGTAGTCATGATCTGGAGTGGGCCCTGCTAATGGAAGCCATGATATGATTATACGTCGGTGTATCTCTAGTGAGTTCTCAATTGTGCAGGTGCCAGCATCAGATATCGTAGAACTCCACTGCGCCAACAAACAGCTTCCGTGGCTTAGGTTTCGAGATACGGTGGGTCTGCCAGAGGGCGCTGCTTGGTTCATGGTCGACGGTAGCAGCTCTATACTCCTCGATCTGCTCCCACACAAGAGGGAAGTGGACAGCATGCCAATTCTTCAGCCAGGGCCACCGTTTCATCTCTATCAGAAATTCATGCAGAGAAGAGATACCGAGAAGTTTGGCTGCTCTTGACAGTACCGGTATCGGAGCTCGACCTTCACCTTCGTCCATGGAAAAGACCGTCAGCGTTGACAGTATCCATATGAGCGATGACGGTGATCCACCACTATCGTCTATCCAATTTTTCACGAAATCCGGTGTAGTTGTGAGTATAGAAAGAGCTTTCCTAAGGCAAAGCATTCGTACGCCCCAACTGAGCGGCTCCCAATGTCTCGCCACGATCCAGAGATGGGACTGTATTCCGTACAGCGCCAGTTCGAGAGATCTTCGCACTGTAGCAGAGGGCTCGCATTCGCCATGATCCATCAGCAGATCCGCGTGGAAGGTGCGTAGGGTGAACTCCAGGTTGTATATAATGCCGAGTGGCTCAGTTGGGAAAGCAGCTAGGCTCGGCCATGCCAGGTAGAATTGCCACATCTGCCGGACGAGGCTATGCATTCCCTTGTCGTATGTCGAGGACTCCGGAAGATGATCCATGGAGTCGGAGATGCGCTCTTTAAGTGCATCTTGATCTATGTCCGGGACCAAGTTGTCGCGGTCGTACGGAAGATAATAGGACATGGCCGGTTTGCACCCCAGAATCAACGCCAGCCGGAAGTCAACAAGCCACACACCCACCCATTCGTATGGTGGAATTCTTTCAGGAGCCTTGATGGCCTCTAGTGCTTCAAGATGCAGTCGTGCGGCTCGAGCATCACCGTCCTGGAACGCATGGATGGCCATGTTGGCTATGACGAATATGGTCGGAGAGTCGAGCTCAGGGCCTTCATTCTCAACAGTTCGTCGAAGTCTCCGGATGATTTGGCCTTTTTGTCGAAGGTATTCTCCCTGATGCTTGGTGTTGTCTCCGGCGATTTCAATTCGTTTCTTCATTACGTTCAAGACCACGCCTTCGAATAGTCTGATGTGGCGTTGTCAGCAATGCCAACAATGGAAGGAACTCGTATAAATGTGACTTACACTTCATGTTTCACCGCCCAATCCCATAGCTGCTTCATCCAATGATCAGCAGCAATTTGGAGTGTCCCACGTGAAGTAGCCTCTTCTTTGCCCAGGAAGAACCAGTTGATGATCTCTGTGACCAGCTTGTCGTCGACATTGGGCGAAGGTGATCGAAACGCTCCATAGGGAGTGTTCGTAATGAGCCGCACGGAGCGTGGATCGGATGGAAGCCTTTTCGCAATAGTGGTGTCGACGTCTCGCCATTTGAGCGCTTTCGCTCCCTTTTCAAGCTTCTGCTTCTCTTGGCCTTGGCATGACGATGAAGGCTGTTGCTCCTTCACTCGAAACTTGAGCGTAGATGGTTCAATGCTGCCGCTGGTGGCCTTATACTGATTACTATCATCATGCAAGGCCGCCGATCGATTCCTCTTGGTATTTGCGGATGATTTGAGGGCCGCATGGCGATTCAAACGTGCCTTGCTTTGCTCAGAAGGCTTTCCTCCCTCATTGCAGTCCACGAATAAGACCTTGTTGCTCTGCTTGGATTTCTTTGCAGCCGAAGCCGCCGAGGGAGTATCGTACGCGATGAAGACGGACATGCCTCGGCAGGGTTCGTGGAGGGCGTCTGTGACAGCCTGATTGCTGGTTCCGGTTTCACTTGCGACGCATCACTATTGAGATCTCTCCTTGAGCAAGAAGTCAGGAACTGGTTATGATAGAAATGAAACCACAAGTCGGTCCTCGACGCCCCTCAAGTTGGGGCAAGGAAGTAATAGCCGTGGCTTGATCGGCAAGTCGTTGCCCTATGCGATATGGTATGGCGTCTAGCAGAAGTCAATTTTCGTGGCCTCCGCTTCAGTCGCCGTCTATTTCCATCTCACAGTTCTGGCCCTTACATGCACCTCGAGCCTCCCTCAACTACTGTGTCGTACTCTGACCCACGTGTCCATCGCTCGATATCTCCAGCCTCGACCAGTCGGCGGAAGCACCGCCGTGTTACCATTTGTTGTCGAACCTTGTTCCTTGTTTCAGCAGAACCATCTCGCTGACTGGCGGCAGATGATCCTCAGCCGCACCGAACAATATACCCTTCCGCATCACAGCTCTGTAGTTCTCCCCGGGATTGACTTTCCCAAGGACATACTCTCTCCTCGTCTCCACCTGATTCGGCACGGGAATAGATCTCCCCACGACGGCTTCCATAGCCTGCCAGGCGAACGTTACAGCCTCTTTTGCACCGGCTGGAACTCCTGCGTCATCGAGCATGTATATTGTCGTTTGCGGATAATGCATCTGTATGTGCTCCACAATATTCGGATTGTAGGCACCTCCGCCACACATGAAGAGCTCGTCGATGTTTTGCGAAGGAGCGTAGCGCTTGTAATGATCAACGATTGCCTGCGCTGTGATGCGGGTTGTTGTGGCCACGACATCGTCTGGGGACATTCCCAGGGCTTCAGCCTTTCGAATGAGCTCGAACGCAAATGTATCCCGGAACACTTCGCGGCCTGTCGTCTTGGGCGGGTCCAGGGAGAAGTATTCATGCCGCAGGAAATCGTCGACGAGATCTTGGTTGACAACTCCTCGTTTGCCCATCAAGCCGTCCTTGTCGTATTCCATCTCGCCATTGGTGTAGTGCCGCACGACTGCGTCTATGAATACATTGCCAGGGCCCGTGTCAAAGTCAAAGCATTCATCAACGCCGCCATCACAATCAGGAGGGATGAAGCACACGTTCGCAATGCCGCCAATGTTTTGACAAGCACGAAGCTTTGTTGGATGATGCAAAAGGAGAGCATCGAAGAAGGCGATGAGAGGCGCACCTTGCCTGCCAGCGGCTTGATCACTGACCCGAAAGTCTGTAACTGTAGTGATGCCAGTCCGAGAGGCGATGAAAGTCCCTTCCGCCATCGTCAGGGCACTCTTTGTTTGACCTGGCTCTGGCATACTCAGAAGCCATATGGTCTGACCGTGAGAGCCAATGACATCGATACTGTGGAAGTCGACGCCATTGTGCTTGCAGAAACTCTTTGCGGCCGAAGCAAAGGTTTCGCCAAGAAGAACGTTGACTTCTGAGAGCTCTTCGGGAGTAGTCTTGTTGTGTAAGATCATCTGCATCACTCGCTTTTTGATCACTGGCTCTAAGGGCACTTCTCCATACTGATTAGGAGCACAGTGAGCTAATACTCCTCTTGTGAAACCAAGATAAGGGCAATTGCTCACCTTCAGCAATTCAAATTCGACTGGGTCGTTTGGGGTTCTTTGACGAAACCTACACAGGGCACAGTCGATCCCGTCCATACTTGTGCCGCTGTTAAGACCGAGAACAGTCAGATCCAGTGGCTGTGAGGTGCCTCCATTTTGGCCTGTTTGTTGATGGTCGCCGATGCTGCCCATGGTTGTGTGGGCTGTCCCGAAACTTGATGGTGTTGCTGTACTCGCAGAAGCAGTTTGGCCCTAATGCGAAGACAGGTAATGAGGTTTAGCAAACAGAGGCTTCGATACTCCAGAGCGAACACAAGGTATCTTTCAAGTCTTTGCTAGCCCTCTTGCTTTTGTCGTCAATGCGATAATGCGGTCGTTTCGCCCCTCCATAGCTTCGTCGCTTGCTCGCTTGTTCGCTTGTTCGCTTATTCGTCTTCGTCTTGCCGGAAAGCCTGGACACCGATCATGGTCGTCTACTCGCTTATTCGCTTGTTCGTCTGGACGTCTTTTCGCCAGTCAAGAAAGTTGGGGTGCATGACCCTAGTGTGACGACCTCGTGGCAATCCTACAGCGATGTTCATCTCATATCAAATGCCACGAGCTCCCCAACGCTACCTTTCTCCACATGAATGACTTCTCTTTCTGGGCATCATCAATATGCAAATCACCAATGCTTGGAAAAGGCTATCAGCCAAACAACTCGGGTTTGTTATCCAAACCTTTTCTCTGATAGCAATCTTTTTCGAGGGCTACGATCAGGTACGTCAATGATCCATCGCATGGTCGTGTTTCAAATGACGCTAACGTGCAGCAGGGTGTTATGGGAGGCGTGAATGCCAGCCCTCGATATGTCCAAGAAGTGGACATCGGCCTGCCAGACGGCACGGTAACGAACGTGACGAAACAAGGTGGCATCGTGAGCATAGTACGCCAGTGATACATGGTCCAGATCCGAAGACCTTCACCGCTAAGAACTTTTTGCAGTACTACCTCGGTGCCATTGTTGGGTGCTTCCTCGGGGGTTGGATAGCAGACCGACTTGGGCGCATTAACGGCCTATTCCTTGCAGCCCTGTTCGCTTTGGTTGGAGGCGCTCTGCAAGCCGCGACGCAGAGTGCCAGTTTCATCCTGGTAGCTCGCGTCGTGACGGGACTTGGAACTGGAGGTATATCGAATGCTGTCGCATAGACCCTCCTAGCTCAAGCTAACGAGATATAAATGAGCAGCGCTGACCGGTATCACTCCCGTCCTCATTGCAGAAGTGTCGAACGCAACTCACCGCGGTGGCATGCTCGGCTACGTCTTCATCGCCAATTACCTCGGAATTTCCATCGCATATTGGTTGTCATTTGGCCTCTCATTCATTGATAATGGATATTCCGACATCCGGTGGAGATTCCTCCTCGCTTTTCAATGCATACCTGCATTGCTGCTGCTGGCAGGCATCAGACTGCTCCCAGACTCGCCTCGATTCCTCGCCTCAAAGGGTCGCAATAAAGAAGCCAGGGAAGTCTTGCAGCACATACGTGGAAATGTGGACGTCGAAGTCGAGTTTCAGGAGATCTGTGCCATGGCAGAGCACAGCAAGCCAAATTCTCCCATCGAATTCGTGAAGATACTCTTTGGTATTGGGCAGCAATACGCACCACATCTCTCTCGTAGAGCTTGGCTTTGCCTGTGGCTCCAGATCATGGCTTCATGGACCGGCATCACTGCCGTGACAGCCTATTCGCCTGTTCTCCTAAGCCAGGCTGGCTACAGCACTCTCAAGCAGAATGGCCTTGCCGGCGGCCTCAACACGATTGGTATCGTTGGTACGATTATATCTGCGCAGTTGGTGGATCGAATAGGGCGTCGTATTTGTCTGATGGGAGGAGCCGCAGGCCTGTTCTTGGTCAACCTCATCGTAAGTGCAGTTGAGTCAGGTGATGTCCACGACGCATACTGATATTGGGATAGGCAGCAATCCTTTACGAGGTATCCCTTCACAGGCCCTCGATATCCGGAAGCATCGCTCCGGCAGCGGTGACCATGCTGTTCCTTTTCAACCTCATCTATGCCAGCACTTGGGGTGCGGTCGCCTTCCTGATCCCGACTGAAATATTTCCCAACGAGCTCAGGGCCCAAGGCAATGGATTCGGTATCGCTGGGTGGGCAATTGGTGTTGGCATGACGGTGCTCGTAAACCCCATAATGTTCGGCGACATAAAGGTACGTCAACATCTCCTAAGATCAAATGTGCAAACCCTGGTATTGACGCGTTCTCCAGAGTCGAACCTATTTTCTCTTCGCGAGACTCAATCTTCTCTGGATTCCAATCGTCTTCTTCCTCTACCCCGAAACATCCAAGAGATCATTAGAGTCAATCGAGGCCATGTTCTCGTCCTCGTCACCGCTTTTCAAAGATATGGAACAGGCGTATCGCTCGGTGAACAAAGACTTTGGGGTTGTTGCGGATGGAGTTGAGCCAGAAAAGAGCTCTTCATATGTCGAAGAACATGTATGAGATGAATTCGATCTCTCCGAACTTGTATTGAATGGCAATGCAGGCCTTTTTGGCGTTCGTCAAAGTCTCATGTGAAAGTAAAGGCCCAATTCCAGTCTTCGAAGAGCTCCGGTGGAAAGCTGATGTCCAGCGACTGCTGGTCCACGTCTGGTCCAGTCAGTGCAACAGGCACCACGTCGGTGCTTTCAGAATTGCCATCTCCCACGAATTGAGTCAAAGGCTCGCTGAGCAATTGATGCTGCTCATGAATGAATCGATCAATGCGCACGACTTGTGACTCGACCTTTTTGCTCGCATCAGTCGCACAGCAAAGCCTCTTCTCTAGGTCGGCCAAAAAAGCGGCAAGGTCGAGAAGAACCGAGCGTACCGAGTGATAGAGTGCTGCGCTCATTCTTGAACCAAAGGCGGCACCGAAGATTCTCCCTATTTCGGCGAGGTGATGGAATAGCGGTGAGCTAATCGCACGAAGGTAGGCCGTAGGCATACCTGCAAAACCAGTAAGGACCTCGCTGGCGACCTGGCACTTTTGCTGTAGGGTTGAATCGTCGCTGCTGAAATAGACCATGCGAACGAGTTGGACTGTGGCAGCAATGTTTGCCGCTTGAAAGCTGAACAAATCTCGTCGCGGATCGTGTGTCGGCTGAGCGGCGACCTTGAAGATATCGGGAAGGTCGCCGTACATTGATGTAATGCGGTCGAGGACGGTAGCTTGTGAAGGCGTATGATAGCTTTGTAAGGCCTGAATCCGGGGTGTCCTCATCACAGCGGCGCGGGATCGCTGCAGATCGCTTGCAGCGTACTCCAATATACGATACATGTCAGTAACGTAGTTCCAGCCGCGCAGCCAACTGACGCTGAGTGGCTCATCTTGGACGCTGGTAGACGCAAGGGTTTCGTCGTCATTTTCTGCAGGGTAAGAAACGTTCGAAGAGGCTTCTCGACTACTGATGATTCCACCCCACACGATGGACGTGAACACATCCAGCGTGTAGGCGGACCAGAAGACACGCCGCCGCTCTTCAGCCTCGATGACGGAGATCCCTGCCGGCCAGTGCGTCTCGTCGTGCAAAGACCCGACAGCCACGTAGGTTTGATACCTGGAGAGGTGGAACTTCATTAATTTTGGGGAGCCATATTGTATCGCTGTGATAGCTAGAAGCAAGGAGGCGCGCATGTAGTCGAGCGACTGGTCGCCTAGAACGTCCTTGGGTGTTGCGTCCACAGCAGCTTCGAACAGCTGTTCTGATGTCGGGTCTTGCAGCTTGGAGATGTCCCAGGATGATCGCAGCAGTGCGCCATCACGGGCACGGGCGGCAGAAAGTGCACACATAGCTGCCACCGACCCATACAGAGGACGATTCTGAAGGTGCTCGCCGCGGGAGACTCTGTGTACTAATGATGGGCGATGGAACAGCGGAAATACGGGATACACGACTTCGAAGAATATTTCTGTCAAGTCCATGACCAGTGCCTGGTTGATGGCAAGTTGGGGTGTCCAGTGAGATGCAGATTTCTCTGCCAGCTGGGGCGTTAGGGCCAATACAGTCGAAGAGGCGCTGGCCGAAATTGCATGGCGCTTTCTTGGTTGGCGTCCGGGTCGATCGAAAGTGCAAGGTTCGTCATAGTCAACACAGTTCTGGCATGAGGAGGTGTCGTCTTGGGCGGGTTGACATCGGACACTCCTCCGGCTGCAGGCGTCGCATGCTCGAGGATTTCTTCGGAGCTTCCGTGCATGTTTTGATGGAGCGGTTGATGGCATCGGTGTGGGCGATGGAAGACATTTGGATCTGTTTTTGTTTGTAAGACATGGAGTTCATATCACGAGGGACGTGAAGTCTGTAGGTTTTGGCTAGCGTGACACAGAATGAGCAGGAGGCTCAGCCTTGAGCTTGATGCCTGAGGCACAAGCGTTCGAACAGGAGGACGCACGTTTGGATTCAGAGACAGACAAGAAGTGAGTCAACATACCTGTACGTAATCTGGAGAGAATTGCAACGCTCTCGGTCTTGCACTGAATTCGACCTCTGTGGGAGGTGTAGCTGACTGAGAAGGTAGCTACAACCTGTTCGAGCGTTTGGTGACGAGGAGAGGCAGGCAGTGAAAGGGTAAGATAGTTCATTATGGAGAACCTCGTGATCCGCTTCAAACCGCTGTCAATCCAGCTTAGAGCGTCACCTTTCAAACTACCTCTACGCACATTAGATAAAGGGCACGTCCATACGTCTTAGATCGCCCTTTCCCCAAGACGTCACTCGAAGTGTTTCATCGTCTATGCGCGAGATGAGCAAGACACACCTCCTCATCCCTACCCTGTCCATCTCACTCGAAAGCCCCCATCAGCGGCATCCAAATCCCATCCCCACTCTGCAGCGCCGCAAACCCATCCAAATGCCTCTCCGTCAACACACAAGCATCCCCACTCAACTTATTCGACCGCCTCAACAACCACAACTTCACAATCTCCATATCATTCTCCGACACCTTCTTGGAAATCTCAAATTCCGACAGCACGCCCCAGACCGCTTGTAAGGCTACGCTTCCGCGCATTTTGGTGATGGATCGGTAGGAGAGGATGGCGGACCAGGACATCATGATGTTTTTGGCTGTGCGGGAGCCTTCGCTTTGTAGGTCGGAGGTGGAGAAAATTTCGGGGCAGATACTGTTGAGGCGGCGGCATTGTTGCAGGACGAAGAGTCTGGTTGTCCAGTATGCGACGGCGGCTTCGTACTCTGTGAAGGAGGAGAATTTGAAGACGTAAGGGATGAGTTCCATTCCAGGGGATTCTCTTTCGGACGTCTTGACGACATTGATACTGTGTAAGAGACGATCCTCGGCGCGAGTATCGTTTAGTCCATAGAGGAGTTTGGCAACTTTGATCGCTGCTTCTTTCGTCTCTTCTTCCTCATCACCTCTTCGTACTCTCTGACAGAGCTTGATCAGCCGTGGTAAGCAGATGAACAGCTTGTTACTGATCTTTCTCAGACTCCTTATCGACTCCACCACATTTTCAACGCCCCGTGCATCGTCCACCACGGGCTCAAGATCCAACCAGACGGGCCTTTCGAACGGCGAAGTCTCCGGACTGAACAGTTGGAGTATAAACGCCACGTAGAAACTCGTTGCGTACCACAAAGCTCTGAAAGCCGCACTTGCTTCGGTCTCAGATCCAGGTGGCCGTGACGAGAACATCGCCGCGAGGCCTTTCATATGCAGCACAGCAGAATGATCCACCGGCCCTCTCCTCCGTTCAATCGACCATGCCCGGACATCAGCTTCGAAGTTGAACAGCAGCGCGACAGTGAGCATCGCCTCATCAGACGTCGCGCCTCGTCCACTCTTCATCAGCGAATGCAGAGCTCCCGTAGCAAGTGTAGACGTGTGAAAACAGCGTTCCTCGGAGATACTCGCATCCCCGGTATCAATGCTATGAGCTTCCATATTAGCCGTCAACGCCAGGTCCAGACAGGGGCTATGGCCAATCCGAGACGGGATATGGACGTAGAGCGAATGCTCCTTCCCCGTCGACTGCAGCCATCGGATCGCCTTCCTCACCAGCAAGCTGGTACTCGACAACGAAGGCCATGGTTTCGCGAGTCCAGGATGATGAGCCTTGCGGTCCTTGATCGTGGCTGTTTCATGTTCCTGTCTGAGACTGTCCTCGTCGAAGTGGACTCGTACATTCCCCACCCAGTTCATCATCTTGCCACTTCCTCACTTCTGCCCAGGAGCGGTAGGGCTGGCTATAAGGCTGACGAGGAGGCCACTGTTCCCGAGAAAGGATTCCTCCCGCAAAATCAGCCCTCTGTGGACAGGATCGCAGGATCAAGTATAAGTAGGTTAAGCTTGTTTTGTTTCTCCCGCGGTAGTTGTTGCCTTCGTTGATCAGATTATCTCCATGATGCTCAATCGTATGCCTTCACTCCAAGCAGAGATCAGTGCCCGGGAAGTTCGTATACTTTCACCAGATCTGAGCTGTTCAGCTGAAAAGCATGTGGATACCGGCGACGAGTCCCAACCTCGGATCCGTAGTATTCACTATTACTCACCGCACCGAAGCCGAAGCCGAAAAAGGGCGCGATGGAGAGCATAAAGCACGCCAACGCAGTACAAATTCTCAATCCTCTAGATGCAGACTAAAGTTCATGCGATGAGGGCTGGCAAGATCCCGACATCAAAGGGGATAGATAAGTAAGCGCCTTGCCCAGAGAAATGAGAGACGGCTATGCTCTTAGCCATCTTGGCATGCTTCTTGACATCAGCTGTGAGACAGAACAGTTCAATGGCCACAATGTCTAACACTCCAACGCATATAGCCTCGCTTTTGGTCCGAGTCTACCACAAGAAAGTTCCCGCTCCATAATCTTCATGCTTTCGTACCTCTTGAGCCCGTTGAACACATTGTATTCCCACCCAAAAACCAATCGTTTCTTGACGAACGACGATCCAGCGCCAACCATCCTAACGCCTCTTACCAGCCAAATGCCAGCTACCATCCACAACAACTCCACAAACACACTCACAGCCTCCCATCCTCCTCCCCAGTCCCGTCACTATCCGACTCCTCCTCCAGCACAATCTTCCTCAACACAGACTTATCAAACAAATCAACCACAAACCTCCACTGCTGCACACCATAAGCATGACTTGCCAACAGAACCATGACCTTCCGGAACAACGCCACGCTCTGGAACCCAGCTGCCTTCTTGGTGTGCTTCAAGCTGTTTAGTTCTGTCAGCGCCTTATTTATTAGCACGGTATTGCCCAGCTTGGTGATGGAGGCTAGGATCTGTTGGTTCTGCGGATCTTCGTCTCTGACTGGACCGGGTCGATTGCGAATCAAGGCGCTGTTGGGGCGGTTCTCAGAGTTGAAAGGTTGCAACGAGAAGAGCTTCTCGAATTGCAATGGGAGCACGTAGCCCAGACTCTCACCCATTACATTGACCGTTCCATCCCAGCCATGCTCTGCGAGTATTTCCTGGCCGTGCAAACTGCGTGAGATGAGTCCCAGTACGAAGAAAGCTGTGCCACGGAATGTCATCACTTGCGACTGCTCGGCGATTTGGACAATGTACTTGACCACGTCAGTGCGCTCCAAGAATGGTGCGCCAAGTTCCATGGAGCCCACGTTGCCAACTGCCCAGAGACAGCCTTTGACCTTCAGGATCGTCTCTGGGTCATCCTCTTCCATGGCGAAGTCTTGGATCGTGGCTGTGAACTCCTCGAAGTGACCTTTCGCTTTCAACAATTCGCACCCTTCTGCAGTGCGTGTGAGCTCGCGGTAGAAGTGCGGTGGCACAGCGCCGTAGTCCTGAGGCCCAATTGTGTCGTCTATGGTAGATTGTGGCTTCTCCTGAACATCCGACAGCGCGCGAGCGAGCGATGCTTCCACCACAGTCACGTAAGTGTCATTGCGCCCAAGGAACCAGTCGTCCATCTCACGGGTGATGTAGTCCAGTCCGTCTAGGTAATGGTATCCAACAGAAGTTGACAAGAACCGCAGGAGCAGCGGCGCACCGATCTCACCCAGATGATCGAGAGCAGGCCGGCATTTGACCACGTACTCCAGCGACGTGATGTCGTTGCAAGCCTCTTCCAGAATCTTGATGGCAACCTCACACACTTCGATCTCAGGATCGTACAGTTGGCTGACCAGAAGCTTGATAGCCCATTCAGCCGAGCAGCCACCAAGGACTGACGGTTCGATGGCCTCAACCGCGTATGTTCGAAGTATCCTTGTCGCCATAATGCGCATTTGCTTTGACCCGGCAATCATGGCCTTGGAAAGAATGATACGTGGATGGCTGTCGAGCGAGTAGTCCAGATTTGACAGCAGGCACCTGATCAGATCGTCACGGTTCTTGAGCTCGACAATGTGGTAAAACATGTTGATGATATGCCACCTCTCTAGAATCTGCAGCCCTTTGGCGTCGCTGCACATGACGCCGAGCATCGCGAAGTAGCCACCTACGAGTGTCTCTGAAAGTCGATCTGGGGAGAACATTGGATTCTTCGAGGTGATACCACTCGCCGAGTCAAGCTGAGCCAGACACTCTGCAAGCTGTCGAATGGACTTGTTGTTGATCAAGTAGTTGGCGCCATCGTGAGTCTGGAGCAACGTCTTCACCAGCGCGCAGGCCATCTTGAGGTATCGCTGATTTGCCTTCGTGTTGGAAGCATCGGAGAAGCGAAACTGGAAAGGCCGCAAGAATTTGAGCAGACGATGCACAAACTTTGACTTGTCGGTCGCCTCAAATAGAAGCTTGGGGTTCGTGAGTGGGCCTTCGATCAATTCGAGGATGAGATTCCAGTCCCACTTGATGTAGTTGACGGTATTGAGCACGCCAGTATCAAGCATCTTGGCACGGAATTGGACCTCATCCATATCCGCACTGGCTTGCGTTTTCGACCCAGATCTTGTCCTCGCACCATCAAGATCATCGTGAACTCTGGAATGGCTGACTGTTGATGGATCAGAGCGCCACAACCTCAGGTTGACCTTATCAACCTGGTAGACCGTAGACAGGGCGCGATATCGCTCTTCGGAGTTAAACTGCAATGCCCCATGGACGAGCCCTGGCATCGCCTGTAACTCGGCGCCCCAACAAGTGGGCAGAAGCTCACTCGCTTTCTTGAGTACCTCTGCAATGATCAGACTGGTCCGCCTTTTGAGGGCATCGTTCGGGGCGTCACGTTCGGCATCTAGTAGACCTTCCATCAGGCCCTGGCGCAGCAGTACAGCCAGTGAGACGGCGGTAAAGTGCTGAACAAGATTCCTCTTCTGGCTGTCATTATCGTTCTCCGATTTCGAGCGTTGAGTAGCGTCATTTTCCTTGTTCAAGTTTACAACTCGCGCGTACGTCGTGAGGCGTCGACCCCCAATGAAGGGAGTTGACCAAGAGCGCTTTTCCAGCCGTAGGATGTCAATCAGCAAGTCCAATGTCGCACTACGTGTGCGAACATCCGTAATATAAAGCGAAGACACAATAGACCGGACCGGCAGGAAATCGTGCAGTGATAATGTCATCAAACCAGACCAGCTCTTAAACATGCCAGCGATGACTCTCGAGCTCGCCGCCAGCTTCTCGTCGACGGAATGCGATGTGTGAGGTTCGGTAAATGTAGCAAAGGCCGAGCTGAACTCAAAGCCAGAGCGCAGTACGCCTCTGCGGGCTGGTAGGTCCATCAAATGGAGAAGAGGTCCAAGTAATGTCTCAGGTGCGTGGTAGACTCCATTTCCCATGGCCTCGGCAATGACACTGATTCCACCAGAGTTTACTACCAGCATAGGATCCTTGAGGAGCATCTCTGATAATGTCAAGATGGCAATGTTGCGAAGCTGGTCGTCCGAATGGTCTGCAACTGCCGCGATAATCCGAACCACCGCTGGGTGGATTTCTCGAGTGCCGTCTTTCACATCAAGAAATGCCCTGACAAACTTCAACGCCTGCTCTCGTTCAACCCGAGCCCTACTTTCCTTGATGAGCGAGAGTATGACGAGATAATCCGTCTGCAGCGCGCGAATCGTTTGTAAGGATTTCCGGTCCGTGATGGCATAGCGAATGACCCGATAGCCTGCCGCAACCACTTCTCTACTGTCACTCAGAAGCATGATTTGCATTCTGAGCCCAAATATCGACCACGCCAAGTCGTACTTGAGAGTGGGATGCCGGCGAAATAGTTCAACCAGGTCATTAGCCTGGTTAACGTAGTAGTCCGCTCCCATGTCCTCAGCTTCCAGAGCCTGCAGAATCTCGGCGAGTATGTACGTGGGCGACTCCAGCTCTGGGTCCAGTCGATCTGCCGGATCATCAGGGAAAGCATTCTGTTCCGGCAGCTGCTGGATCGTGGGCCTGAACAGTTGTGAAAGTCTACCCTTTGGACTCATTGGCTGCTGCTCCTTGCTCCGTTGAATCTCGGCCTCCAGGTCCAGCTTCAACTGCGCAATCTTCCTGTTCGACGCATTGAGCTGACTTTCAGCAGCCATGCGCTGGTCGCGCGACTTCTTGGCATTTTTCGAGTTCAGCGCTTCGAGCAGATTCTCCGTACCTGCCTTGAGGCGTGTCTGTTTCTCAATTTCCTGTCTGTACTCCGCCTGTCTTTGCTCTGACGTGACCATGTCCGTGTTTCCATCATCATATGAGGCATAGTTGCTCAGGTCCAATCTCGAACTAAACGACTTGAGGTCGGCAGTGAAGCTCCCCGGCGGCGGCTGAGCTGATCGAGCATATGATTGATTCTGCTTCGCGGTCATGAAGCTGGCGGCTGATAATGAACCGCCTTCTTTGGCGGACCGGGAGGGAGGAAGGACATGGCCAGGCTGGGCGCCGACGGTGGGTGCGTTGGCACGGTTAGGAGGTTGGTTCATCTAGGGCATCCGCCGGCGCGATGGCCGTCATGTGGTGTGTTGTGCCTGCGAACGTGGACGTCGAGATGCATCGAGGTCACCGGCGAGGTCGCGTCTTTAGCATCGTACGGAGGCGCATCGAATGTCGGGAGTGTTTGCGATCGAATGGTTCGTTTGGTCTCTTCTAGTAGCCGTCGCAAAATCTCAGCGTTCCAGATCGTTTGGCGCGTGATGGTCGCAGTTGTTGTGCCCTCGAAGAGTGAGGTCGCGGGGCTCACTTGACGGCTATTCTTGGATCCAATTACGCGGTTAATCAATTGCTTAATCAATTGCTTCTTACCTAAATTCCCGAGTCCGAGAAGTTTGGACTTCACTCCTCTAATAATGCAATCCACACTTGAACAACTCTCCTCATTGCGCGCCATCACACAGTCTTTACCACATTGAGTCTGGTATCGTCGCAGAAAGAGCAACACCACCTTGACCAAGCCCTCAGTGGGCATTCACACCACCAAAATGTCACACTACATTGGCAAAGTACATCACCCCAACCTCACACACATCTCCCACAATCTAACATGCTCTCCATAGACCCGCCTAGCCTACTCCCGCTCCTGGCACCTCCTCAATGCCTCCTCTGACCCACGCCCCCTCGGCCGCCTCGCCAGCGCGATAGCCGTGACCCTCATGGGCAAGCACAAACCCACCTACGACCCCTCAACCGACTGCGGCGACTACGTGGTCTGCGTAAACTGCGCGAACATTCACACGACGGGCAAGAAATTCTCTCAGAAGAAGTACTATTCGCATACGACGCGGCCGGGGAGTCTGAAGGAGATGACGATGGAGAAGATGTGGGCGAAGTGGGGAGGAGGAGAGGTTTTGAGACGGGCGGTTAGGGGTATGCTGCCGAAGAATCGGTTGAGGGATGTGAGAATGGGGAGACTGAGGTGTAAGTCTCTGGACACTGTTGGATGGGATGATGATAGGGAATTTGTACTGACGTGAGGGCTTTAGTATTCGAGGGCGCGAATCATCCTTATAAGCAGAATCTGCTACAGATGGGAGGTCAGGGTGAGAGGAAGAGCATGTCACAAATACCGGAGGTAAGAGCAGCGATACAGGCTGAGTCACAACCTAAAGCACCGGAAGCTACACCATCACAATAGGAGAATTGCACAGCAAGGCGTTTGGGGCATGACATGTACAGAGATAAGAGCATGACGAGGAGTTTCGGTAAGAATGGGTATCGAGCTTCTATGGCAGAACTTCTATGTAACAACACCACCACCAACGGCCGTGAAAAGCCAGGGCTAGATGGCCTCCCCGACGCCAAACTCCAACGCATTCGCATTCTACAACTTCGCTTTTCCGCCCTGCCTGGTGACGGTGCACTGAATCAGGCCGTTAGGGTCGCTCTGAGGCGCGTAAACCTCCGCATCAGCACCAGTGTTCTTCATGCCCTTGTACCAGCTCAAATCTGTGATGAAAGTCAGCAACCGCACGCATTCGCCCTCAACTTGTCCAAACTCACCAATCTCAAAGTAATGCTTGTTCGGCAAGCTGTACTCGACACTCTCCACCAACGGCGCCGCCTTCAAGATCTCCTCGGACATGATGTACATAGTGTTCTGCACGCTGGGGCTGTTCTCCTTCGCGAAAGTCTCCAGCGTAATCTTCCTCGCATCCGTCCACGCGACATCGAAGCGATTCTGCTCTCTCCGCACCTCTTCCACATCCGCGAACGTCTTCCAGTTCCAGTTAGCTTTGACGGCAGTTGAGAGAATGCGGTCCCATGTCTCGGGAAGACGAGTAAACTCGTCACGGTGGAAGCCCCAGAATTGCGAGCCGGTGGATTTGAAGACGAGCAGGTCGTTGATGCCGCTGCGGATGGAGATACCACCGTTTCGTTGGGCCACTGCTTCGATTGTCCTGGTCTCCGCGCCGTCTCGCAGGAAGCTGTGTGGGTGTGGCTTGCCCTCTACCTCCATCCTCGTCCATCTGTGTACAATGATGTTCACTGTCGCAGCTGTGATGTGGCTGTATTGCTGAATGAAGTGGTTGCCGAGAATGCTGGCAAAGAGCTCGGGCGGGTTCACGGGGTGTAGTTTGGCCATGATGTAGGTCGTCTGCTTCTGGGTATCGGTTGCAACGATGTTGGCATTGTCGGAGTGAGTCCAGGAGGCCGCGATATCGCCTTCGAGGAGTGTGCAGACAGTCATCTCGGTGACGGATTGGGTGCCATCGGCGTGTTTCTGAGTCTTGAGGAGGCGGACATTGTCCTTGCCGTAGCGGGCGTGACTGAGGGTGGCCATGGTGTATGGTATATCTGTGGTAGAGCTGCTGGAAAAGGAGATGGTGCTCAAAGACGAAAGCGGGCAAGCTAATACTGATGATGGTGGAAGAATACTCAACGAAGCTTACCCGTGCGATTGATATAGATATGGCAGAAGCATTGCGAGCTCTTATCGAAGGTAACACGCGGAAGAGGCCGTGGTGAAGGAGACGTGCAGTCGATTCGCGTCTGGACGATCACTCGTCGGAGCTCACCGACGCCGAAAACATCAGGCAATCGACCCTCTACCACCACGGCGGCTTCGGCGGGATGGGATCGACTCGGAACGACGGCACTGTAGGCATTGAGTCTAGAGCAATGGCGAGAAGAGTTCTTTGTTGTCGTTGACGAAGATTTGGCGAGGGTGTTGTTCAAGGAGATGGAGCGATTGGCCCCACACTGCGCAATCATTGAAAGGTCATCAATATTTGATTGATTTCAAATCAACCCACCTCACCTCACCCCTCCAAATCAACTCACCACCATGCCTCCATCAAGGTCATTCTCCTCCAGACAACCCGTGCACGATCGACAGCCACCATGATCCCACCCTTCGAAACCACCTTCGCGGTCCCGCTCAGCTGCGAAGACTGTATCAAAGATGTGAGCTCTTCACTCTACAAGATCGATGGTACGGCAATCAATATCGCTCAGCTTCCACCGAAACCTGATCATCTTTGCCAGGAGTTCACAACGTAACCGCCGACCTCCCCACCCAACTCATCTCCATAACCGGCACCGCCGCCCCCTCCGCCATCGTCTCTGCCGTTCAATCCACCGGCCGCGATGCCATCCTGCGAGGCTCCGGCAAAGCAGAGGCCGCCGCAGTCTGCGTCCTCGAAACTCATGCCTCGTCTGTAAAAGACAACGTCCGTGGCTTGATTCGCATGGTGCAGGTCAGCCCTACCATGACGATCCTGGATATGACGCTGAAAGGCGTCTCACCAGGGTCGTATAACGTGACGGTTCGCGAGACGGGAGATATCTCGCAGGGTGCAGTCTCGACGGGAGGTGTTTGGGATGCGGTGGCGGCGAAGCAAGAAAAGCGATCAATCAAGGGCGTTTTTGGAACGATTGAGGTTGGGAAGAGTGGACTAGGCACAGTCTTCATCACTAAGCCGATTCAGATCTGGGAGATGATTGGAAGAAGTATTGTTGTGAGTCGGAAGCAGGATTCGTTTGATAAAGAGGACCCAGATACACTTGTGGGTGTGATCGCGAGGAGTGCGGGTGTCTGGGACAACGATAAGACGGTGTGCAGTTGTAGTGGAAAGACGGTTTGGGAGGAGAGGAAGGAGGCTACTGCCAAGGGTATGCTCTGATCAACGAGATGCATAATATGAATGCGATATACCGGCAAGCATGTGCAGGCTCTGTACGTTGCCACGGTCTTCTGCGCTCCTTTGTTCATTCGAGCAATACCGAACAACTGCAGCGAGCAACGCCTTATGAATTACAGAGGATCGCGAGGTACAGGGAAAACGGAGGTCGTTCTCCACCGCCGCCATCTGCGCCCGTTCAAAGCGCAGGTTTCCTTCTATCCCTCGGTGGTGAAGCGTGAATATTAGCGCGGGTTCCGCCGGATATAAAGAAGATATATTTTGAGTGTGTACTATAGTACACTTTACAAATATATACCTAGGTAGAACAACCTGAAGCTTTACTCAAGTATTCACTTCTTTGGATAAGCTTTATAGGGTCATTTACTTATTACATAGGTAACTAAGGTAGTTAGAGTTATGTGAGATTTAATGAAAGTCGTTAGGCTTCGGATTTAACTTAATCCTGCCCATTCTACGCTTCAAAACTTCAAAAAGAGATTCATTCGCTCGATTCCCGCTCCTTACATTGGGTTAGACCACAACCGGGTTGTTCTGCTTGGATGCTCATGTTCTACTAGTCTTTCTGGACCACGTACGCTGCCTCTCATGTCGCTGGCCTTGGAACGAGTCGCGGAACATCTTGTCACCGAGAGCAATCCACCACGACATGACTTGGATGGCATGGATAGTTCTCGGTGCATTGCGCTTCACAACGCGATCCTGGAACATGGTTGGGTAGCGTCTGGACGAACGGCGGAAGACTTCGCGACAAGTACTCGACCTTGGTGGCAAGAACATGGAGAAAGTGCCGAGATTGGCAGATTCCACCCTTCACTGCGAACGTTTCTCGAAGGAGCCCGACTTGTGCCGGGCGACTACCTGCCGGAGACCAGTCTGTTCTACAATGTTCGCGGGTTACATCACCCGGAGAGTATGTTCGCTGGTCCTGGCAGCTCGATTTTCGACGATGCCGACATGGTCTTGACTTTATACGATACGCACGAAAAATTGGCTGGGACTCCGGACGGATTGCTGTGCGTTGGCGCTGTCAGCATTGGCACAATTTGGACGGACTGACATGTCGGCAGTTACGAGCAGCTCAACCACAATGGTATCATGCATTTCGACGTTGAAGACGACATCGTACTCGAGTTCGAGAAGTGGGAAAAACTTGAAAGTATTCTAACCGTCTGGATTGAAATGATCCAGAGAGGCAAAATCGTCTCCCTGCCAGCTGAGGTAGGCAAAAATGACTACGAGCCCGCGCCTGAGGGAGGCTTCAGGCTCGTTCAAGGTCCTCAAGCAGACCCTGCCACTGGCGCCCGGCGAATATACGATGAATTGTCGCCATGGACTGCCCAGCCATGGACTTCTCAAGACCTTGACGAAACTTTGACATTTTGGCACGCTCTCGTTGATGCCATCGAGCGGAAGATAGATCTCGATAATACGCCAGATCCCATCACAGGGATTTACGACACGGCTACTCTGGACTCTGCCCGGATCCCAGATGGCTTTGCTCGGCATTTCTTGTCCAGGGCAAGACGTCCAAGGTTCGACAATATCGCGCCTGGACTCCGAATTGCATCCTATCAAGAATTCGCAGACCAGCCATTCATAGAGCTGCAATCATCTTCGGGCGACGCATCAACCGAAGACGAGGTCCCGCCCATCCTGCTCTTCCGAAACGATGCCAGAGTCAGCGCTGAAGAACTTGGCTTCCAATACCCATACTCCGGACCCAACGCACTCGCGGAAGACTGCCACGCGGGCCTCTGGCTCGATCGATGCGACCGGTCTTTTCACACGCCATATGAGGATGGATGTCGTCTTGTCCTACCCATCCAATTTGGAGCCGGCCATGCTAAGCAGAGTGACCTGGCACCAGTGGAACGCCCTGACGGATTACTGCAGAGCGGTACCAACCCCTTTAATGAGCAACATCCTGTGCAGCTGCTGGCTTTCTTGGAAATGGTCTTGATGAATTTGCAACGGGAGTACTGGTCAGTCGACATTCAAGGCGTAGCTGGCGACATCGATGTGTGGAGTGACGCCGATACTGAGGAACGATGGCTCAACTACTTTGTGCCCCTTGGCCCGGGGAAATTCTGGTAAGAACTTTAGAACTGCATGTGATAGACATTTCCAGCCGACAGGAACTTTGAGAGCTCCAGACCCCGCCCCTAGCGGCCCCTCGCAAGGCTGAAGTCGTTCTGCTGCGCCGCATCGTCACACCTGAACATCTCAAGCCATGCGAACCGTACGGAAGGTATCCCATCTCCCTGCGCCACAATCGCCCACCACTTGGCCGCTGACCGACATTCTTTCTATGGACAACTGTCGAAATACAAGTGCACCTATCACCTACGATGCGGCTACTGAACGTTCACAGCCTTGAGTTCAACGAATTCTACAGTCGTCAGATTCCGAGCTATGTGATCGCATCACATCGATGGGCGAGAGGCGAGGGAGATGATCGGGAAGCGACCTACCTCGATGTAAAAGATGGCCGAAACAAACATACAACGGGTTATCAGAAGGTGCAGAACTTCGCCGAGTATGTGAAGGCATGGATACCTGGTGCGAAATGGTTGTGGGTTGACACATGCTGTATCAACAAACAAGATGCGCAGGAGGTCACAGAGGCCATTAACTCGATGTTCAAGTGGTATAGCGACGCTGCCGTCTGCATCGCATGGATGGCGGACGTCAGTACTGCTCATGATCACGAAGGGTTCAAGTCAAGCGTGTGGTTTACAAGAGGTTGGACACTGCAAGAACTGCTTGCACCTCGGGTCATGATATTCCTATCACAGGACTGGCAAGTTCTGGGCCATAAATCAAGTGACGCAAGCCGAAACGATCAACTTTCTCTAGACTTTGGGGTTTCCCTCAATGCAAGCATAGCCCAGGTCACAGGTATACCTGAAAACGTCCTGCGTAACTTCCAAAATGGCAAGAGCTTGAGCGTCGACGAGCGGCTAGCCTGGATGGACAACCGGAAGACCACCAAGGAAGAGGATATGTCGTACGGCCTCATTGGAATACTGGATGCTCCGATCATGGCCAACTACGGTGAAGGTGAAGACAAGGCGCGGAAACGTCTTCTCGCGGAGGTCAGGAAAGACGATACATATCTTGAAAAGCTACCCATCGCGCAAGGGGCCGCTTTCGATGACAGAGAGAACGAGCTGGTCTCGAAATGTCTCCCCGAAACTCGCGTGCAGCTCGTACAAGACATCAACGCTTGGGCAAGTTCCAAGAAGGGCCAGTGCATATTCTGGCTCGTTGGCATGGCTGGCACAGGAAAATCAACCATCTTCAAGACTGTTGCTCAGAGGTTCAGAGACCGGTGTCATCTTGCAGCAAGCTTCTGTTTCAAGAAGGGCGAAGCTGATCGAGGGCATGCTTCCCGACTGATGCCGACGATTGCTGCTCAGATATCACGGCGAATGCCCGAAGTGAGGCAAAGGGTTATTCTGGCTCTCAAGGAGAACCCTGATGTCGTTCGAAAGAGTTTGAAAGAACAATTTGAAAAGCTGATACTCCATCCTCTTGAGCATTTGAATCCATCGCCAGCGAGTGGATCGGCCTGGGTCATCGGCATTGATGCACTGGACGAATGTGATGAGACAGACATTGACATCGTGATAGGACTATTCGCAAGGCTCGAGAAGTTGAGGACGGCCAATATCCGGCTTTTCGTGACTAGCCGCCCTGAGTTGCCTGTCCGATTAGGATTCGTTGACATACCGAAGGATACACATCTTGACGTTCGACTAGAGGAAGTCACCAAGGATCACATTGCGCACGATATCGCCATCTACCTGCGGCATAAGCTAGCCGAGATACGTTGTAGGTACGCGCGAATGTATGGAACAGATGCGATTGGACATGACTGGCCCGGAGATGATGCCGTCAAAGCTCTCGTCGAAATGGCCCAACCTCTCTTCATCTTCGCTGCGACAGCCTGTCTTCTTCTGGGAGAGCTTGATGAGGATCTGGATGAGGCTCTTGCCATGATTTTGAACCAACGACTGGAAGCTTCTCAACTGGACAGGACGTACGGGCCGGTTCTAGAGAAACTTCTGCTTGGGAAGACCGATAAGCAGCAGGAAAACATTGCTCACGAATTTCGGATTTTAGTGGGAACTATTGTGCTCCTCCACGAGCCCTTGCCCGTCTCAGCGCTTTCAAGACTGTTGGAGGTGGACGAAATTAAGGTCAATACCAGATTGAGTCGGCTGCACTCTGTGTTGGACGTGCCTGCTGTTGGGGACCATTCTCGAGCAGTCCGACCGCTCCACCTATCTTTTCTCGACTATCTCACAGATCCCGACACACGCAAAAAAACCTCACTTTGGATCGACGAGGTGCAGACACATCGAAGCCTTGCTAAGCAATGTCTTCGTCTTTTGGCCGAGATTCGGCCACTGGAGCAGGATTTGTGTTCCGTTGAGCAGCCTGGAACTCGACGGGCCGAAGTCAGTAGAGAGCATATCGCAAACTGTATTCCTGCCCATGTGGCGTACGCATGTGGCTACTGGGTGCGGCATCTCGTGGAGGGGGGAGAGCAGCTATGTGACGATGGACAAGTGCACAGGTTCTTGCGGACGCACTTTCTGCACTGGCTCGAGGCCCTGAGCTGGCTTGGCAAACTATCTGGAGCAATCTCATTTTTGAGCGATCTGAGTCCACTTGTCGAGGTAGGTCTTGAGTAGAATTTGAACAGAGGTAGCCGGCTAAGTCGATGCGTATACAGGTCAACCAAGGCGAACTGTTACTTGCCTTTCTTGCAGATGCCAGGCGCTTCCTGCTTCGGAATCGTTATGTCATTGACCTTGCTCCACTCCAAACCTACTCTGCAGCGCTTGTGTTTGCACCAACGCAGAGCATAGTCCGACGGCACTTCGAAAATTGCATCCCACAATGGATACGGCTTCGACCTAAGGTTCTCTCAAATTGGGACGCCGAAATTCAGACGCTCGAGGGTCACGGTGAAGATGTGGTAGCATTAGCCTTTTCTCCAGACGGAAAGACTCTGGCCTCAGGGTCATACGACAAGACGATACGGCTTTGGAATTTCTGGACTGGCGAAGAAATCTGCAAGCTCGAAGGACACTCTCGGGCTGTTCTGGCTGTAGCCTTTTCCCCCGATGGACGAACGGTAGTGACCGCATCAAAGGAATCGATCCGGCTATGGAACGCTCGAACAGGCGAGATCACGCACATGGTCGACACGAAGTTTCAAGATTCTGACAAGGTTTACAACGCAGTCTTCTCTGCCCACATGCACATCATTGCAATTGGATTGTCCGATGGGACAGTACGACTGTGCGATACCTGGACCGGTGACGAGATGTATGAACTCGATGGAGACCCTGGATTTGAAACGGCTATGGCTTTCTCGCCAGATGGGCAAATGGTGGCGGTACAGTCACAAGACATGAAAGTACGGCTTTACAGATTGAACACGGGCAAGGAGATGCTCGAGCTTGCAGGGCATGGTACATATGACGGAGTAGCGGCTTTAGCATTCTCTCCCAATGGCAAAGTTTTAGCATCCGGGTCAGAAAACGGCACTTTACGGTTATGGAATAGCCGAACGGGCGAGAGGATGCGCGAGCTCGAAGGACATAACAAACAGGTTCTCAGCATAGCCTTCTCACAAGATGGGCGCACGGTCGCGTCAGGGTCGTCGAAAGACTGTATCGTATGGGATGCACACACGGGCCAGAGAAGAATCACATTCGATGGACGACACGGTACAGGATTTCTGCGGTTGGCTTTCTCCCCGGATGGAAAGACTTTAGTTTCGGCATCGACACTAGCTACCATCCAATCATGGGATATTCGGGGGAGCAAGGAAAGGCAAATACTCGAAGGCCATGACAGCATTGTTGCGTCTGTTTCCTTCTCTCCTGACGGGCAAAGAGTAGCTACAGGGGGCCGGGATAATACGATACGACTGTGGAATGCTCAGACCGGCAGTGAGACGCACAAGCTCAAAGGACATAGTGGTGTTGTTAAGACAGCAATATTCTCTCCGGACGGGCAGAAAATAGCTTCGGGATCATATGACAGCACAATACGAATTTGGAACGCGCATACGGGTATGGAGATACACAGACCGAAGGGCCACAGCAGCTATGTTGGTGCGATAGCTTTCTCTTCCAACGGATGGATAATATCGGGATCTCAGGATGGGACGATGCGGCTGTGGGACACTCGGACTGGCAAGGAGGAACGAAAAATTGAAATCAGCAGTATCATGCTCGAGGTGGCAATTTCTTCGGACGGACAGGTAGTCGCATCATCATCCTACGGTGGACTGGTGCAGTTGTGGCACACCCGGACAGGCGCGGAGATTCACCGGTGGCAAAACGTCGGATATGTGAAAGAGCTGGCGTTCAGCGAAGACGGTACCTGTTTAACGACGGGCCGCGGAGACTTGGACATTACCCCATACGTTTCTTTGCCGCGACGCCACGATCCGCCTCGCCAATCTCCCCAAGCACTTCTCCACAAGCAGTGGCTACGATATCTAGATCAAGACCTCTTGTGGCTCCCAAAGGACTATCGTGGGGTTAAACGGGAGTCTTATGAGAATACGTTCGTTGCAGGTCAAGCTTCTGGGGCCGTTTCTTTCATTCGACTGAAGCCAGATTGCATACATAGGCCAGACAATAGCAAATCGTAGCATGACAGAAGCCGAACAAGGATGCCAAACGCGCACAGTAACAGGTAAATGAAAACATCGTTGGACATCGCAATCAGAGAGCCAGAAATTACTGAAAAATCCAGCGTTACGGACGTCAAAGATCCCTTGTACGTTTAAGGAATCCAAACAAGGCTGTAGGAGCAAAAGGTGGCTGTTCAGGGCTTCTGTGGATCCCCAGGATTCACGGACTTCTTAAGTCCGCTCGTGTACGCCATGAGGATTGATTTCCGGTGGCTTTCCAACCTGTCGACTCTGCTCAATCATCGCGACCGTGCACGAAGTTGTCAATTTTATCGTGAGAATCTCGTGATGTGTTGGGATCTTCAATTTTCGAAGCAATACTTTAAGCGCATGGTGGAGAACCTCTAGATCGCAGCCGGCTGTGACAAGGCTGCGACTTTCACAAAACGTTTGACGTTCGCAGAATCTACCACGTCGATATCGCCTGCAAGCGCCCCGCTTGTCAATTTTCGATGGCATGGTCAGATTCACGGGCCAAAAGAATCGGGCCACGTGCGTAACCCCATCGGAAAACTACCAAGATGAGAACGTCGCATTGGAGCGGGCTTGACTAGCTCCGCGACAAGGAACAGCCTTGTGATCCTTGCGATATAGGAGGACGGATATACAGATCGATTCTATTCCGACGTCCAGTTCTGACTTCATATCGGCGTAGTTCGAAACATTTGTATTTCAAGCCTAAGACAGCCGACGGTAAGAGTGGACTTTGCATCAAAATCGACCCCTAGTGTATCATTGCCTGGCACGCTTTCTTCACTCGACCAACATGATATCTGCAAGCAGCACACGGAAATTGGCATCTGGCCACTCAATGCCTGTGATCGGATACGGGACATACGAAACGCAAGACAACACTCTCACCCCAAACGCTCCACAGCCAACACTAACCCACCCCCCAGAACCCCCGAGATCACCTCCTCCGTCGTCTCCCAAGCCCTCGCATCCGGCTACAACCTCATCGACACCGCCGCCTTCTACGCCAACGAACGCAGCTGCGGCCACGCCATCACGCACTCCACCACCCCCCGCTCCCAAATCTTCCTAACAACCAAACTCGCCCCCAACAAAATGGGCCGCGACGCCGCCGCCGCCGCCATAAACGCCTCCCTCCACGAACTAGGCCTGGAATACATCGACCTCTACCTCATCCACGCGCCGTTCGGGAACCCGGAAACGAGAAACGGAAGCTGGGAAGCCCTCGCGCAAGCGGTGGTTGAGGGGAAGGTAAGGAGTATTGGGGTGAGTAATTATGGGGTGCGGCATTTGGAGGAGTTGGAGAGATTTCGAGAGACGTTACCAGAAAAGTTGAGGAGCGTTCCCATCTCTGTTGCGCAGTACGAGCTGCATCCTTGGATGGGCAGAGGGGAGATTGTGAAGTACGCCGCTGAACATAACATCGTTCTGCAGGCGTTTGGGCCGGTGGTTGTTGGCAAGAAGGCTGAGGACTCGACCCTCAAAGCCATTGCAGCTAAACACGGCAAGACGTGGGCGCAGGTTTTGGTGAGGTGGAGTTTGCAGAAGGGGTTTACGCCGTTGCCGAAGAGTGTTACGGAGGAGAGGATTCGGGAGAATGTGGATGTGTTTGATTTTGAGCTCGATGGGGAGGATTTGGAGAGGTTGGAGTTTCCGGGGGCGTATGAGTTGAATAGGGGGCATTGGGATCCTGTTAGTTGGGGGTTTGAGGGGCCGGGGTCGAAGCCATAGTGAAGTGCATCCTCGTACCTCCTGAACTGTGGGCAAACTGTGAGAAGAGTTCCGTCGGGCCGATACAAGACTAGGTGTGTACCTTTATGTGAGAAATCATTTGCTTGGACCATTCAACCTTGCACAGTCAGATTAGCACTTGTGATGCTTGACATTTCGCGCTCGTTAGTTCAACCCCGATATTTTGGATCTGTAGTAGCCTTGAACGCTGCTAATTAATTCCAGTACTCCTTGAATTGCCGCAAGTCCTCAATCAGCGCTGGCGGATTATCCAGCCCAGGGAAATGACCACCAAAGTCATGATCTATCCCATCACCACACATTAGCGTCATCCCATACACCACCAAACGACCATCTCAAAACTTACTCCTATACTCCACCAACCTCCCCACCTTCTCCACAAACTCCCTGGGCCAAAACCCCACATTATACTTGAAACTACTAAAAAACAACGGAGCATCCGTCTCCGCTTTCGTGTACGTCGTGGCGAAGCCGTTGGGGTTCTGGAAGTAGATGAAGGCGGAGGAGACGAAGGATTGTGTCAGGTAGTAGAGGGAGACGGAGCGGAGGATCTCGTTGTGGGTGATGAGCGAGGGGGGTGTGCCGGCGCGGGGGTCGGACCCTAGATGGGGAGGGGTTAGACGGTGGATGGGGGCTGGGGATTGTAGATTGGGGATCGAGAGTGCATGGGGAGACGTACAGGATATCATCTTCTCGCCGATCCAGGAGAGTTGACCAACTGGGCTATCTTGGAGAGCGAGGCCGATGGTGTTGGGCTGTGTCGAGTCAGCGTCAAGTATAGCATAGGATGAGAGGTTCACATACTTGGAACGTCTGCTCCACAAAATACCCATCCCCACTCCTCGCCCACTCATTCGCCCTCTGATACTCAAACTGCTCCAGCGGCGTGAGAGTAATATCCTCCGCCTCGATCTGCGCTGTCGTAGGCGGGTACACGGGCAAAAACGCAAGATGCGCAGCCCTCACCGTCTTCGTATAGTTCGCATACAGCGTATACGCCGGCGCGGCACCCCAATCCGTGCCGTGGACCGCGAAGGTCTTGTAGCCTAGAATCTTCGTCATGAGTGTGTTGTAGACTCAGGCGGTGTCTTCTGTCGTCCAGTTCGCGGGTGCTGGAGAGGAGAACGTGAAGCCGGGGAGGGAGGGGACGATAATGTTGAATGAGACGGGTCTGCCAGTGGAGGTTTTGGCTTTCTTGGTGAGCGGTTCGATGACGGGGAGGAATTCGAGGAAGGAGCCTGGCCAGCCGTGGAGGAGCATGAGGGGGATTGCGTCTGGCGAGGAGGATTTCTCGTGGATGTAGTGGATCGTTTGGCCTTCGATTTCTGCGAGGTAGTGATGGAACTGGTTCAATTCTTTTTGCTCCCTCGTCCAGTTGAAGTCGCTCAGCCATTGAGACCGAAGGTCGTTAAGCACTTTCGTGTCGATTCCGGCGGTGGATCCCAAACCGGGATAGATTGGTGATTCAGGTAGCCTGGTCTCTTTTGCCAGGTTGAGCATTCGTGGAACGTGGCTCTCTAAGGCAATGTGAAAAGGGCGAACGTTGAAATGATCTTGCGCTGATACCCCTTTTGCGAGCTCTGTCGCCATGAGGAACAACGAAGCGGAGATAAACTGCATCATGGTGTGTTAGCTTCGAGACGGACAGTGTAGGGGCAAGAACTGGTAATATATGGGCTTGCAAGTCGTATCTTTTGTACTTCAATTCTCTTGTCAAGTGATTACCATGCAGCCATCTATCCTCTCCGAGCGGGGAGGACGTTGTGTAACGGTGGCTTCCAGTCGAGGCGAGATTTGAAAGCAAGCAACGTTAAGTCATCGTGAAACTCTACATTATCAATAAGGTCTTCGGTGATAACGCTTCATCGATCTGTAGCAACGGATTAGTCTCGAGGCTTGGTGCCCGTTCGTATCACCGTGATATACCGCAGTCTAGAGTCAATGTTACTGCATACGGAAAATGCGGCCCGTGGGCTATGTACTGTAGAGTTGTGGGCACGAACAGGACCACCTGCTGGATAGGGCCGGCTTGCAAATGGTGTCGTCCTGAGGTGTAGTGCGACTTGCACGGGTCCGCATTTCCGCCGTAGGCGTATGAGTGTTGTGATTTGGCATCTCTGTGACAAGATCGAATTACTCCATTTCCTCAAGCACTCCGCGGACGCTGCCCTGTTGAAGGGGCTGGAACCCTTTTCGGTACGATTTTCATGACCGTGCCGGGTTGCTTGAAGTCCTTATCGTGACAAGATACATTCTTCAACTCCACGTTGCGATGGTATGGCGTTGGTAATCTCAGAAATATCTGGAGAAGAACAGTAAGGTCGACGAAGGGTATGGTAGAGCTATTCACTTACAAAGGCCTTTGCATACGAAGTTCCTACCACATCATTCATCGTCCCGCTATTGCTCATAGAGAACATCTCTTCGCTGTTTGGATTGGTAGATCTCTTACTAGAAGCTTTACCGTGGGTACGGCGGACATCTGACCTGAAGATTCTTCCCGGTTCGCGGTGTGAGGACTTGATAGTCGTGCCGACCTGACACCATATACACTAAAAGATGACGGTATTGCTGTCGCCTGCGTGATTGCTCGTCAAGGACAAGGCTGAATTTTGGAGGTCGAACACAAAGTTCACGATCTCCTTCGATAACACCAGGCGAACGTGTACAGTGACAGCCACTCGTTCGATGAGGTTCTCCAGTCCACGCAACCACGCAACCACGCAGTCATGAATGTCCATTTAGTCACGCCAGTAGGGACAGACAATGGCGCACGCAGACCAGCGAGGTATGGACGGCAGTAATCATGTGCGACAGTCAGCGATCAAGACCATGACTACTTTCCAAATCTTGTTGTCAGCAATTGCCACCTTGCCACTGAACATGACTTGCCAAACGAGGATGGCAAATCGTCATTGCCGTACGTAGCCATGCCATCGTAGTCGGCTATGATACGAGATTTGCAGTCGTCCGAATCTAACGCATCTCATCGAATCTCTAGGTATTCAGGTTGCTCGTGTAATGGCCTCAGGGGCTTATGAAGTCGGCCTGGATGCAAATTTGTTTTCGCACGAGTGCCGCTGAGGAGCTGTTCATGGTTGATCAAGACGGGCAAATGCTTCTCATATGCCGGCGAGGCAAGTGAAGCATGCATGAGAATGGTTGCATCGTCTCCAGCAGTAGATCTGTAGCGGATGTTGATCCTTTGATATGCAGGGAAAGGAGAGCTTCCAGGGAGCTTCGTCTGGAAATCTTGCATGCCATTGAGAGGAGATGCGAGGGAGGCTCCAATTGTGTCCCCACTTGCATTGCAGTAATGGCATCCATGTGGGAGACTTCTTCAAACCGTAGATAGGTCTGCGATGAACATATATGCAGTTCATGTCAAGAGCACAAGACACATGCACAAGTTGGAGTGAATGGCGACATGTGCAGACTAGTCCTCAAATGGCCAAGCGCTCCCGTAAATCTTACGCCGACCGCAGTCCCTGCAGCATCTTGAGTTTGTTGATACGCGACGAGACTTGTTTCGCAAGCGAACATCTCTGCAGATGCAGCAATATGAACTGAAGATCAGTGCATCAGGCAGAGTCAGAGTCGTTTGGGGGCAGCACAGAATCACCGGACTGGGTCCCGAGGCGACTGACAAAAGCGGAAAGCCCCGGATGAGATCAAAGCCAGATCATGCACGAGAAGATAAGTGGCACATGGCGGCCAGACCCGATGGATGGTGTGGCTTCTGTGCTGCCAGGACTTCGACAAGAGCTGAGGTTGGAGGGTTGTCTTCTCGTTCAGCTTGGAGTTTCAGTCCGGGTTTTGTGCTGCCAGTCGGCGGAAGAGTGAAGGCGGAGTGTGAGTGGCAGGCGTCATGACGAAGTGGAGCTATCTTATCCGGAAGCGAAGGTCTGGAACTCCAGGGCGGATAAAGATCGACGAATGCTCTAATGCACCCTGCACGCCGTGCTGCCAGTACAGAGCAGCTCTTGTTGGAGAGCCGGTGCGGTGTAGCGACGGTATACATCAATATGTAGACAACACAATTGTACGAGACTGTTGTTCTGGGTAAAAATATTGATTGATAGATTCGGTGCGGTGGGGGCAACAGATCTGAGTGGCGGGCCGTAGACGTCATGGGCGGCTTACGATTCGCACGTTTTGGACGAGCAGACCCTCGCCGACTCGCGTGCTCCAACAGCGAGCGGACCCTGCCTGCGATCCTGCGCTGGCTGCTGGCTGCTCTCCTGCTCCTCTGCCGGCCGCCGCTGCCCACCAACTTGTGCCACTCACTCACTCGCCGATTAGCAAGCAGCTGTCTCTCTCTTCACACCGCACACCACCGCCCCGTGCCTCTCCTATACCACCACTCGCCCTTTGACCACGCCCGCCCAAGAGGCCGCATTCCACTTATAGCAGCGCCCCTGTCCGTCACGCACGCCGACGTCATTCAGCCTGCGATTCAGCCACACTCGACTTTGGACGCACATGATGATGGCTCTGGACCAGCCTGACAACTCGACCCTCTGACCGGGACCCCTACGCAATCGACCACCACCACCACCACCACCACCACACGTCTCTCCACTTCGCCGCCCGTAGCTCGTCTCACAGCCGCCGCCGCCGCCACAACCATGACCGAGACGACGCGATATCACTCCCAGAGCCGCTCCCAGCAGCGTCCCACCACCACGCCCTCCAATCCTCCCGCCATGACTCCATTTCTCTCCCCTCGTCGCGCCAGCCCGCAACGGCGATCCAACGCCCCCCAGACCCCCAGCCCGAATTACTTTGGCTTCCAGGCCGACAGCAGTTCCTACCTCAGCGACTCTCCCCATCAACATGCCAAGAGCAACTGGAGCCCGCCCTCTAGCACCGTGCGGTCGACCGCCGCCATGTCGCCCAGTGTTGTTCCCCTCGACCAAAATCCCGACTTTGATCAGTTTCGCAAGCAGTCCGAAGGGAAGGCCTTTAACCTGGGCGGTCTGAACAATTTTAAGATGAATGCGCCCAATCCGAGACCGGGTCAGAGCAGATCAAACAGTCGCACATCCGTAGCACAACCATTGGCAAGGCAAAAGACAGAGCCAAAGGAGATACCGCGACAGAATCACCGCGCATCGTTGGATCAGTCAGCGACTGAGTTGTCACGCTCTCCCAAACGGGTTCTCTCGCCCGGATCTGCGTACGAGGGTAGACGACGTGGCTCGCCGCCAGAGGAAATCGATCTCACTGCAAAAGATAAGGCCTCAAGTCCGCCAGAAGCACATCGTTTCAAACTGCCACTGGAGACACTCAATGGATCGTACAATGCTCAAAAGGCACGGGCTGAGACACTTCCCACCACAACCGAAGGCGACACTCAAGTTCTGGCAACACCGCAGCATGTCGTCAATCTGCTGACGTCAAGAATGGATGAGATACTGATCCTGGATCTACGAGTGCAAACGCAGTACGCCAATTCTCACATAACTGGTGCACTAAACCTTTGCATTCCTACGACTCTACTCAAGCGACCTTCTTTCAATGTGCAAAAACTTGGCGATACCTTCAAGGACGAGGAACAGCGAGCCAAGTTTGAGAATTGGAGGAAGAGCAGTTACATCATCGTGTACGACGCAAACTCATCGGTACTCAAGGACGCTACAATGTGTTTGAACACCATCAAGAAGTTCCGTGGCGAGGGTTACGAGGGAACGCTCTACATTGTCCGAGGCGGCTTCCTTGAATTTGCGAAACGATTCCCCAACTACGTCGACAGTGGCGTGGATGCTACCATGCATGACTCGGTGGATGGCGACGGTCCAGCAATTGCACCCGCCGTGGGAGGATGTCCGATGCCATCGACGGACAAGCCCGCGAACCCTTTCTTTGGCAACATCCGGCAGAATATGGACCTGATCGGTGGTGTAGGACAACAGCCGATCCAGCACCCATCTGGAGAGACCAAGTCTGCAGAATCGGATTACCCTGACTGGCTCAAGCTCGCCGCTAGGAAAGACGACGAGGGCAAGCGGGTGTCGGAGAAGTTTGAGGCCATCGAGCGCAGAGAAAAGAAGCGGATGGAGGATGCACTGTCAGGCAAGGTCTCATGGGGAGGTAGCACTCCCAAAACTCCCTCGCACAGTGACAAAGTCCAGATCGCAGGCATCGAAAAAGGCAACAAGAACCGATACAACAACATCTGGCCATTCGAGCACTCGAGGGTCAGGTTGCAAGGCGTACCGAGCCACGGATGCGATTACATCAATGCAAGCCATATCAAGGCGTCGTGGAGCAACAAGCGCTACATCTCGACGCAAGCACCAATCCCCGCCACCTTCAACGACTTCTGGAATGCTGTCTGGCAGCAAGACGTTCGAGTCATTGTCATGCTGACTGCGGAGAAAGAAGGCGCCCAGGTGAAGGCGCACAACTACTGGGATAGCAACCATTACGGTGCGATACATCTCGACTTCCTGTCCGAGAAGCGAGCCTCTTTGGAGCCGTCTAGGATCCATCGACACCAGAAGCGGCCTTCGAATGTGAAGCGGTCGTCAACATTGTCACAGAACCCACAGATACCCCTGGCTCGGATAGATCCCAAGGACGAGAAGAACGGCGAGCAACCGTACGTGATTGTGCGAAAGTTTACCGTTAAGCACGACAAGCATCCCTTCGAGCCGATGCGGGAGATTACTCAACTGCAGTACTCCAGCTGGCCAGATTTTGGAGCTCCCGCGCATCCGGCGCATCTACTCGGATTGGTAGAGCAATGTGACGCGGTCGTTCGTGCTTCTAACAAGACCAACTCCCGCGAGCCGGACCCTCCGAACAAGCGACCTGTCCTGGTACATTGCAGCGCCGGATGTGGTCGGACTGGCACTTTCTGTACGGTGGATTCTGTCATCGACATGCTGAAGCGACAGCGACTAGCAAGAGACACCCGAGAAGGCTCACCGATGGATATCGACAAAGCGCCACCGTCCAAGCAGAAGGAAAGTGGTTTCTTTGCTTCGCAGTATCGCGACAACAACGATGACATCGAAGGGGCGTGGGTCAATCGTGACGATTTGGATCTGGTCGAAAAGACTGTAGAGGACTTCCGTCATCAACGGTTGAGCATGGTCCAGAGTCTGCGACAGTACGTCCTATGTTATGAGAGTGTCATGGAATGGCTTGTGGATGAACGTCTTGCGGCAAAGGATGGGTCCCGAAGCTGAGAGAGGCATCGTCGTGGTGCATCAGCAAGCAACTGGCGTTGATTGGGATGGTGGGAATTTGCATTGCCTGGTGTTTTATCCATACACAAACAAGAAAGGACGACTTGCATTGGGAGGTTCAAGGCTTGAGAACCATGGCGTTTCAGGGGCAAAGGTCTCCATCCTACGATGATAGAGCTTTTACAGGTCGAAGCCCTATAGAGTAGGGATCGGGCTGGGCGGTATAGGTATTGATTGTTTGAAATGAAAACGCATAGCGTGGATTCATGAATGCAAACACGTCTTGGATCCAGACATATGAGAAGGTGGGTTACTGTATATGTACCCGCTCTCGTATCCCTCAGAATTCGCCTCGGCTTGGAGAAAAGCCGTTTCCGAGGATTGTACGCATGTCTTGTGATGGATGGGTGTGAGATGGCAAGGATGCATTCGATGGGCGTGGAGATCACGATTGTTCGGACTGTGATCAGGAGCATCGATCGTGATACTTGATGAGTGATAGCATGCAGACAAACACTTCCAACAAGAAGAGTGTGTACTACAGCGACAACCACAGCTGAAAGGTACGTCTAGCGATATCGATCCAGTGTACTCTTACGGCAATAGCCTGACATGCCGCTACATCCCATACCATGTGGTTGATGGTGTTCGTGCCTTTTGCCTCTCTCCATTCCCTTCCTTCCCGCTGACATCCGCCCATTCACTCTGTCAGCATGTTGCCGCGCGGCTGGCTGCATGGCTTCTAAGGTTCTAGGAATAATGATGATTTGTGTTATCCCATTGACTAGCAACGAGGCTCGGTTGGGGGTATTGTAGCGCGTACATCTTAGAATGGCGGTGGAAGTGAATGTTGTAGTGAAGGAAGTCTCCAAGAAATGTGCAGAAGCCGATTCCAAACCACGGAACCAATCGGCACGCGCCCAGTCTCGTCTAGATTGCTGGAATCTGGAGAAGTCGCAGCCGCCGAGCCTCTTGTCGTGTGGGAGTCCAAGGGCTCGTCTGCTGCGCGATCTCCGGGGCACGCACGCATCCGCTGACAACCACGAGGAGAGGGGCGGGCTTTCTTGCTGCGCATTTCTTGGGAGACTTCTTGTCGTCTTGTTCTTCGCCTCTCCTTCTTTTATGACTGATAGAAGAGTGGCAGTGCTGGGCACGCTCGTTGTTCGTTCGCTCGCCCTTCCTTGTCTCGCCTCCCCGCGGGGTCTTCCTTTCTTGAGATCATCCAAGTGAATGACAACATGCGGGACGGGAGGCGATTTGGCTAACTCTCTACCACTACTCCTGCTCCTCGCACCGCTGCTCCTCATTGTCGTACATCGACCATGATGGCCTCGTATACCCTCCGGACAGCCGCCGCGCTGTGCGCTCTTCTGGGTCTCGCCGCCGCGCAATCGATCTCGCCTGCGAATGCCACGACGGCGAATGGATTGGAGACTGAAGGGTTGAATGATAGTCTACAACTCGCAATTGCGCACTCGCCGGATAGCACGTCGATCACGGTATTTCCTGTCGCTGGGCTGACCAGTTCGGCGATCCATTACACGCCGGTAACACCGTCCCACATCTCTGGTAGTCCATGGCATCCGTACTGACGAGGTTGTGTTTTTAGAACGAAGGCTACCGCGGCCCTATCCTCCTCGCCAACGCCTCGAGCCAGCTCAGCCTCGACCCGCAAGACGTCGCCTTTATCTCGTGCGATCCCTATACCGGCAACATCCAACCCTCGGACGTCTTCAGCGCCGCTGCAGGTGACAATGTCTCAGCCATCGTCCTGTACTCCGAGCGCTCGGCTGGCTGCATGTTCAACGAAGACACCAACAACGAGTACGGTCGCGTGTATAGCATGAGGACATCGAATAGCACGAAAGAGATGTTGGAGTTGGTGAATAGTTTGAATACCGGGAACAACGGAAACAACGCCCAGTCGGCGTATGCGTTTGTCGCGCCGCGCGATGCGATTTCGAGTACCAGTTCGAGCAACGGGACTGCGAACGGGACGGGGAATGGCAATCAGCAGCAGAATGCGCTGGGACCCTCTCCCAGTACGGCTGTGGCGATGATTATTCTGTACTCGATCACGGGTGTCATCACAGCTCTGTTCTTGATTATCATCATCATGGGCGCGGTCAGGGCTCATCGACATCCGGAGAGATATGGACCTCGCAATGGAATCGGCAGGCCGAGGCAGAGTCGAGCACGAGGACTTGCGATGGCGATGTTGGAGACGATTCCGATTGTGAAGTTTGGGGATCGCGAGCAGAATCCCAAGGCGAGTGATGTTGAATTGGCGGAAGGACAGCATGGTCAGGTTGAGGTCGTGCCGGAGCAGGATGCTATAAGAGCTGCACCAAATGCAAACGCCACGGACGAAGAAGCGAATAAAGATGGCGCCCATGAAACGAGTAGGGAGCCACAGACGCCTGCGGCAGAGGACGGAATTGGCGGAGCCGTGGCCAACGAACAACCCAAGCCAAACGAAGAACACCAAGGCTGCAGCATCTGCACCGAAGACTTCCAAGTCGGCGAAGACCAGCGTGTCCTGCCTTGCGACCACCGCTTCCACCCAGCATGCATCGACCCCTGGCTATTGAACGTATCCGGAACCTGCCCATTATGCCGAATCGATCTTCGTCCCGACAACGAGGACGAAGACGGGCCTGAGGACCCGGACCACATCCTCCGTGAAGGCGAGCCGGGTGAGATGCCGCCACCTCTAGCAGAGCAGAACGATTCTCGTCGCGCGAGTGTGCGAAGAAGTATCCTCGCGGGCGTAATGGGTGTACGTCGACCGGAACGCATGACGAGGGAGGAACGTGTAGCCGCGTTGAGACAGTACCGCGCGCAGCAGAATGCCAGGACCGTGGCGGAACGGCATCAGAGTGTCTCTGAGAACAATCTGGAGACTGTCGCTGAAGGACAGGAGGAAGAAGGCGAGACCTCTGTGCGGAGGCGGCTGAGGAATGCGTTTAGGATACGGACGAGGAGGACGGGAGAGGAGCAGCAAGAGGATAGGGATAGGAGGAGGGATGGGACGTTTGCTGGGGGTGTCGGACGGGCGTAGTATGATGAGGGTGTGGGATGGCGTTTAGGGAATTGGGGGATATGATGGATGGTGGAGATATGATTGAATGAATTTATGTATGGGAATCCGGGATGTTGCATTCCTCTGGCGTTTGGGTTTGGAGAGGATGGGTGAGGGATGGGGTCTGTGAGATCAGAATGGTTGTGTATAGGATGAGAGAGAGTCTGGGAAGACTTCTAACACGTCTCAATGCCAATGACGAGAAAGATTGAATGTTGAGCTGGCTGTTCCGCTCGTTTTGTTTCTATAAACTCGTCTCTCAAATGGGATTGGGACTTGCTGATTGTTCGCAGCTTTAGGCGCGGCTTGAGAAGGTGTGGTTACGAGTAGTGACTACTCAGTGTTCTGCTTCTGCTCACGCTCTTCGAGCACCTTTGGACAGCGTGTGTATGCTGATCTTGTGGTCAAAATGCCACCTTTTCTTGATCGATTGAATTCAAGCAGTGTTCACTGTCGACTGTAGGGACAAAAAGACGTCTGAAGCCGGCTTCTTGTATCAGAAGTCTTGCTGTGCTCCTTCAAGAACATGACTTTGGTACCCTTCATCCTCCATCTGACCAAACCAAACCTGCCACTGTCTCATCAAGACCGTCTCACCTTCGTTTCCGCCATGGCAAGTCTACGTCCTATGCAGGAGCAAAAAGATTAATAGCTCCTAGCAAACACACAAAAAGAACAGGATATTTCAAGTTGCCCACTCCCCTGGATACTGTTAGTTGGTAGCTATTGCTCACGGAACTAATTAAACGCATACCGAATCGAACGAGGGATCTTCTCATGAACATATCAAACGCGGTTTTGAACACGTGGAATACGAGTGAGACGCTGTACCACTAAGCCAAGCGGGCTTTGAACAGATGGTTAGGACGGATCTGATTGGTGGCGAAAATCGCTAATCTGAATATCTCTACTCAATCATACGAAAGGGGCCGAAAACTACCATAGCTGGCACACGGCATTGGCACTGGCCAAGTGTTGTCAATCCTGGAACAGCTGTGTGCTACAAATTCGCTGTGGGTGCCTGGTTTGCAGTGTTGCACTCCATTGATCAGGGGGCGGGTCAAAGAATTTCCGGATCTGTTTGAAGCTACCTCCCAAAGTCAGAACGCATTCGTTCTCTCCCCGACTTACAACATTACACACTTCCTCAGCTCCTAGCCTAGATGCCATGCGAGTTCAGCGTAATGTCTTGCTAGCATCGATTACTTCATACATTACGCTGGTCTCTACGTTCAGTGGCTTCCCGTATGCTCGGCGCTGTTCTTGCCTTGCTAAGCACGGACATCCACAGGCCAGGTCTTACGCAAAGGCGCAATGCGACTAGGCAAGTTACGATATGTTCAGCCTTCTGATCTCTTGATGTTTGCGCAATACCGATATCGCTGTTGATGACCGCTTCGGAGACGTCCAAGCACCCCTCGGAGCGTTCCGAGCTCACGGTCTTGATGCGAGTCCTTCCCCTCCCTTGCTGCCAAATCTTTCTTTAGGTCTTGCAATCGAAAGGAAAAGCTATGGCAACTGCGCTGACGCGTTCGCCAGTATGGCGTCGACTACGGCTAGATTCGAGTCATGGTTGCAAGATCCCACGGCGAGCTTACTACTCTTCCCAGCCAACACCTCGCGTGGCTGTCCTGCATCAAGCTATTGAGCCTCCCATCATCAACGGGGTTCGCAAGCCTATGAAGCCTGGCGGTATGCACACGTACTATGACTACTTCTTTGCCGGAGACTGACGTGCTTGTAGGCTATCAAGACTCTGGGGCAGACATTGCATACGTGCTACGTGAGAGCTGCAAGATACCGATCGCAACACCTCAGGCAAACCTGGACCCTCGAAAGGATGAAGGATGGTGTTTTCCGGATACCGAAGAAGGTATCGTAGCGGCAGTGAAGTCTGGAGCTAACTGCCTGTGGGCGAATACCATCTTGTTTAGCAATCACCCACTGCAAGTTTCAAGTCAACTGGATGGATATGCGAGCCACGTCAAAGTTGTCGGCCAACCGCCTCGCCTCGTTGAAGCGTACGACGACAAGAACTTTGTCAATGCATTCCTTCGAAAGCAAAGCTACTTCACAATGCCCAAATCGTTTGTGGCGCCCAACAGCTCGAATATTGAGTCTTTGTTGAAGAACCATGATCTCACTCTTCCAGTCGTTGCGAAGCCTCTCCGCGGACGAGGCAGCCAGGGTGTGAAAGTTTGTCGAACGATACAGGATCTATCATCTCATATCGATAGCTTGGGCCCGAGCAATGCCATGCTCGAGGAATACCTCAGCGGCGTCGAGGGAACTGTCACGGTTATGCCACCATCCGACAGCAAGCCGGACTACTGGGCCATGCCTGTCGTGGTACGCTTCAATCACGAAGATGGCATTGCACCATACAACGGTGTCGTTGCCGTGACAGCCAATTCTCGGGTTGTACCTCAAGAAGAAGCGAATAACGATCCAGCGTTTGACAGAGTGCAGAGAGAGTGTGAGGCGGTGGCAAGAATGCTGAAAGTCAAGGCACCTATACGAATTGATGTGAGGAAATGTTCAGAGCAGGCAGGAGCGACTTTCTTGCTGTTCGATGTCAACATGAAACCTAACATGACCGCACCTGGACGACCCGGAAGAGAAGATCAAGCAAGCCTTACGGCCCTGGCTGCTGCTGGGCTTGGATGGACACCTGCAGATTTGCTGCAGAACATCTTGGAGACTGCATCGACCTTGAAAGATCTGAGGAACATTGAATTGCCGATTCGAGAATGATGACGCTTTCAGGAGACGACTATTCAGTGTACGTCGAACCACCAGAGACTTGGCATAATCAAAACTTGATTGACGTCGAGGCCGCCCGGACGCGCAACGATGGCTGCACATGCATATGCAGCTAAGCTGACGAGGACTAGTCGAGTTTGCCCGGCCGCCAGCCAGCTGTGCTGCGGTCTGGGCGGCTTGCTCAGCTCACTCACTCACAAAAACGTCTGGACTCCATGATGACGGGCGAAGTTTTCATGAGACCATTGGAGGTTCCACCTCTGCCCACGCTTGTGAAATGGCGGACAACAATGGCAACGCTTTCTTCACTGAGAGCCCGTCGATGATGTGGGATCCCTTCCTGGACCCGAGCATACCGCCTTTGGATCTGGATGGCAGTGGACTTGAACAACTCTTTCCCAACAACAATGCCGGGGTCGAACATTGGCTTCAGGACTCGAGCACTGGTAGCGATCAACCTGATCTAACAAGTCGCCATGGGCATGCTCGAGCCTTGTCAACGTCAGCCATTCCACCTGAGATCAACATCGATTTTGCGCCGCCAACGATAGCACAGCCCTCCCACCATGTCAATCATGGCGTTAGAGAGGGATCTGGAGACTGGTATCAAAGTCCCACGTTATTACCATTTGACGCTCGACAACGTTCACGGCCGTCGTCGCCTGCGCGAAGCATCGGATCGATGGGCCGTGTTCGAAGCTCCAGCACAGGTTCAATACAGCGTGATTACATGCTAGATCTTGCCGACTCCCAAGGTCCTCCAGCTCCGCAGTCGTCACGCGTGCAAAAGCATCCTGCAACCTTTCAATGCACTCTTTGCCCAAAGAGATTCACACGAGCGTACAACTTGCGATCCCACCTGCGCACCCATACCGATGAACGACCTTTCCTGTGTACAGTCTGCGGCAAGGCCTTCGCACGTCAGCATGACCGTAAAAGACATGAAGGCTTGCATTCCGGCGAGAAGAAGTTTGTCTGCAGGGGTGATCTGAAAACGGGAGCTCAGTGGGGTTGTGGAAGACGCTTCGCACGTGCCGATGCCCTCTACCGCCATTTCCGGTCAGAAGCCGGGCTGGTCTGTATACGATCACTGGCACAAGAAGAAGGCCCTCAGATGCAGGCTGCGTGGATGGAAGCGTATGCTCAGCAACAAAACGTCGGCGAAATCGGCTCAGGCATGGATACAAACCCAGGCGCCCGAGCTTTACTCCCGGCAGCATTGCTTGCTCAGTATCCAACGTTGGCCAACGTGCAGCCCGATGACTTCAGGACTTCTGATGCCATGAGTCCACCATCTCGCACAAGCTCGTTTGGGGGAAGCTCGTATGGTAGCAATGGTTATGGGAGCTTCGGTTACGAACGCAGTGTTTCTCGGCAGGTGTCTGACACCAGTCTGCACTCCATGTACAGCGCAACATCCTTTGCGAGTCTACGTGGAACTCGCATAACCAGCGGCTACGAGTGCAATCAATGCGGTGCTACATTCGACGTTCCGAGTGAGCTGCGTCACCACGAGAGAAACCACTTACCTAAGGAGTCGAGACCCCATGCTTGCATTCACTGCGGCGAACGGTTTCTCTATCCCAAGGATGTTCAGAGGCACATTGGCCGAAAACATCCGGGTGTACAGTGCTCTCCCGTAAAATATCCGGCATCATCTCATACTACTCAAGGCAGCGCAGAGGAGCTGGGGATTGGCGGCTTTGCTTCAAGTCCATATTTGACAGCAGTCGATCCAAATATGGACGGCATAAGCCACGGATCGCCACGTTTTTCACAACAGGCACAGATCAACGTACTTCCAGAGTTCCCCAGGCTCGATTTCAACTCGACCGATTGGATGGACTCGTCGATGTTGCAGCCGGACATGAATGCACTGCCGTCCTCGGCGAACGCCGCAGATGGAACACACCTAAATGAAGACGGACATAACAACTACGAAGAACATAATGAAAATGGGATAGCCGATCACCTTGATAGCGGTGCCATCCCTCGAAGCAGATCCGCCGAAATCCTCCACCTCAAGACGGCCCTCGAAACCGCCGAAAGAGACGCCAAACTCTGGCGAGAGGAACGCAACTTCTACGCCGAGCTCCTCCAAGAGAGCATGGCTCCTGAAGACCTCAGCGTCGCCTTGCGCTTCGTCCATCGAAACGAGATCGTCTCTCCCGTCAGACGAGCTCGAGGCTGGCTTGGAGGGATCTGGACGCTGTTTCGGGCGAGGAAGAAAGGCGAGGAAGAAGATGAGGAGCATAGGGCGGCTAGCAGGGCTGTGGTGAATTTGGCTGCGCAGCTTGAGCGTATGGATGTTGGTGGGAGTCCGGTGGGGGGAGGGAGAAGAGTTAGTAGTGAGAAGGGGTCGAGAAGTTCGAGCCCGATAAGGGCGAAGTGGAGGGAGTTTGAGGGGTGGGTTTCTGGGGGAAAATGAGCGATGAGATGCGAAGGTCATGTTAAAGATACAACTACACTCGATTGATAAAGAGACTACGAACAATTCATCGATTATAAAACGCCTATTCTCCCGGGACCATGCCAGAACTTGCATCACTTCATCAATCGTATCGTCTTCTATCTCCTCCCCGCTGGGGGGAATCCATTAATCGGATTCGCACCAAGACTCACAGCAAACGTAGTCGTCGTCGACAACGTCGTCGGCGCCGCAGGCGGCAGCCCATTCACAGGGTTCAAGCCAGTCGTATCCGCCGGTGGAAGCCCATTGACTGGATTGACGCCCGCACTCGCTGTGGACGAAGTCGGTGCTGCCGGGGGCAATCCATTGATCGGGTTCAACCCTGTCGATGCAGCTGGCGGTAATCCATTGATGGGGTTGGCGCCAGGAGGTGCGGAGCTTTCGCTGGGCTCGGCGGGCGTGCTCGATGCTGCTGTGCTGGATGCTGGGGGAGGGGCGGCGGAGGTAGTGCTGCCGCTCCCGACAGTTGGGCCTCCGGCGATACATGTTGAGAAGACAGCCGCGCTGGTTGAATAGATATTAAGCGAAGACGTCGACGCGGACTCCAAATTTCCAAAGGCGAAGATCCCGTCTAATTGCACCCCTACTCCAATGTCCAGGTCGACGCCGAGGGTTTGGTCGCCGCCGCAGACTCCTGAAGAATCGGCTTCGGCTGTGAATGTGAGTCCTGCCTCGGGGCCTTCGAGTTGGATCCCACCTTCGACGCCCTCGCCGAAGACGCTCGCTTGCAGGACCAGAGCGACCGTGGGGCCTATGGTGCTTTGCAACGTCACCTGGCCCTGGATGTCCGGGTTGTTTGCGGTGAAGCTGGGCGAGAAGCCCGAGAGGGAGGGACTCGCGCCACCTTTGAGGGTGAAGTCTCCGTCTGTAAGAGTGAGGGTGAGGTCAATCGATGCGTCGATCTCGGCGCTGACTTGGCCTAGATCTGCTTGTGCGCCGACGATGAGGAAGAGGACGATTTTGGTGTCGAAGGGGCCGGAGGGGCTGCCGAGGGGGATCTCGGGGAAGTCGATCGAGGCGGCGGGGATGGCGTCGATGGCGCTGGAGATGGAGAGTTGAGGGGTGAGGGTGAATGATACACCGGTTGTTTGCAGCGTGACGGAAGCGTCACTGGGGGAGAGACCGTCGACTTCGACGCTCCATTGGAGGTTTCCTTGGGAGCTGAGGGTTCCGTCTAGGGAGACGCTGACGGGCCCGGCGACTTTCTTGTCGAAGATGTTGGGGATGTTGACTTTCTCGGCGAGGTTGACGTTGCCGCTGTCGCCGACCCGTCGCTGTAGGCCCGTCTGAGCGATGCCTGCTGAGCTGCCCGAGAGGTCCAGTGGCCGTTGAGGAGTTGGCCGAGAGGGGCGTTCGAGCCTGTCAATGTTACGGTCGAGGTGCCCGGTGTGAATGAGATCTGGCTGATGCCGTATGATTCGTACTGCTGCGCGGATGCCGAATTCCCGCTCGCTTGGGGAGTCGTCGAGCAATCCGTACCGCCTGTCACGAGGATGATGAGCCGAGACGGATCTTGGTTCACCCATTGCCATGCCGTCTGCGCTGTTTGAAAGTCCAAAGCACTGGAGAATTGGATCTACACGGAGTTCCCGGTGCAGCTCATGGTCTTTACCACGTTTGCGAAGCGTTCGGTGGATAGCAGCTGGGTATCAGAGCTGTTTGATCGACCGTTCAGCTGTACCAACGGGTTTCTTGGGTCGTTCGCTGAAGGACAGTCAGTCTTTTTACTCTGCAATAGATGAAACACCACTCACAATTCCCAAGGTAGAAGGTTTCCTGGCTTTGAAGTGTCACGGCAGGGGAGTTCGACCCCCCGTGAGAGTTTTCCAGTGGTCCCGATGCAGGGACGCTGGCGGCAGGGAGCCTCGACAGGTCAGCAGTTGCTTGCTGCAAGACCGCCATGAAGGCAATGGAGAAGAGTTCAGGAATCCGCATTGTATATTTTGGGACTCAAGGACTGAGAAAAGGGGGTTATGCTTGCTAGAATCAGGGAGAATGTCGATGATCGATGTCTTTGCAGTGTCAATGTCTTGGGTGGTTATTGGGATTGTAGCAGACACCATGTTGACTTCTGATCCGTACTTATGTGCAGTGGAGCGACTTCAACTAGACACTGGTTTGGGCAAGACTTCCATTCTGTAGGAGTTGTTGGGGGCCCTTGCACGTACCAAGTCCTTCTGATCCTCAGGCTTTCAGCTTGAACTCCGCTACGCCTCTTGCAAGAAGCCGTGTCCTACATCTGTCATAGACGAGAATAGAATACGAAAATGGAATGCTTGGGCAATGCTTCGATACCCAAGTGTGCTTGGAGCTTCCAAGTGCCATTCCTGCATCGATCAGATTTAGCGACTGCTTAGTCGAAGTGCTTTGAGCATTAGTCTGTCGGAAGCCTGGTCGCTAATGTTACGGCGTGTTGGTCACAGGACTAGACATCCTACCATGGAATCGCCAGGAAATGACTCCCATCTTCCAGCGCAATGCCCGAGTACTGCCCGACTCGAATGGCGAGGGACGTGTAGGTCGAGAACCGGATTTGACTAGCCACCCAGGAGAACTACTCCTTCATCCACTGCTAGTGACAGGCTTCAGTATCGTATAGACTATGACAGAGGGCGGGTAGTCGAGATGGCCAATTCCCGAAATAGCATTGTCGCTTGTATGTTATGTTTGCGAAGCGTGCCGGTGCTCGACAAGATCCCTGATTGATAGTTTCGTGTCTACCACAGATTTCTTTTTGATTTAGAAAACCAACACAGAGGTGAGCAGATCCTAGATCTCAATCCGTGTGCTCAGTCCATTTGGTGGAGGCAGTGTGACCATTCGTATAAGTGATCCTGGTGCGGAAGAACAGCAGACGCACTTTGTAGTCTTTAGATCCTCTTCGCCTAATGCGAGATTAGCGCAGGCTAAATCACTTCATGTTATTATTATCGATGCTTAGTCTTCAAGATTGTTTGATTCTGAAACATATACCAGCTGATGGCAGCAATGCTGAGAAGGGAGGATGGGCATGGTATATGGGGATCATCTTGCGAGCTTGTGGTGGCTGGAGACCTTCGATGGGAGCATTACGCGATCAGAGAAGGAGTCGACGTATTGAAAAGAACTTTGGCTCAACTGATGAAGGAGAGCTTGCTCGTTCGATGGGGGCAGAGGTTCGAAAGTGTTGCCCATGCTCTCTGTTCTTTGGACTTTGGCAATCCCAAGTCCACACATGCTTCTTGCTTACACTATTCGTGGCCCAGTATGGTAGTCTCAAATGGAGCAGTCTGCAGAGATTCGGAGGGTTTTTGGCCCGCTCGTAGTCTGTACGGTCGAAGTCCTGCGAGCAAGCAAAGAGCCATCCAAGATGTCGCCGGGCCTGGCAAGAGGGATGTAGCATCAGCAAGATCTTGGCGAATGCCAAAAATCTGTGAGTGATGACACAAATCTGTTCACTTCCGCTGACCTATACGAGCTTTGGAGAAGTCTTCCCCCAGCTATGTGTCTTGCGGCCACTACTGGAAACAGGACTTGTCTCCTGACAACCTGGAAGTTCCTGAGCACGTCGACCTTCCACAGTCCCACGTGGCATGGCTCGCATCCTTAGCGTCTGTCACGGATTGATTATTTGGCGGTGATAAGCGAGTTTTAGAGCCACCGCTGTCATGAGTGAGAGAAGGTGTTTGCCTTTTGCGAACCACCAACCTTTTCGTCGTGGATATTCACTTATCAACCCCATCAAATGCGGGGATTAGATTTTCTGGATGGCACAGCAGACGCTGCTTGACGTGGCAGGCCGGGACTCGTCCAAAATCGCAGGCCTGCGATGCTCCTCGTCATTGCGTCCTGTCTTCGTGAATCGAGCATACTCGTCCAGGATGCCTGAGGTCGTGGGGGATTTTGATCGCAAGGACACGGATCCTATGGCTAAAGGCACTCCAAGATGACTCCTCCATCCCCTCGCAGGAGTGTTGGTGCCGCCGCATTCGCATAACCCTCGCAAGTCCTTGATTCGTTCGGAGTTGATGTGCGTGAGATGGAAGCAACGAATTGAGTTTGCGGAGCCATGGGTTGCCTTGCTTGGTGTCCGCTCCCGCCACTCCGCCCGCCAACGGTGCCAGGATAGCCATGTGTCTGTTATTGGTCAGTTTGGACGACACGTCCTGAATGTGTCCTTGACAGGGAGGATATTGTGCCGCTGATGGCGAGGTCCTGACCAGTAGAGCGACGGGCATACGCAAGGCGATGCCCTCACCGACCTAATCGCATCCGTGAATCGTTGGCAGGCCGTTTCTGACCCGAGGAACGCGTCGTCAAGGGCGTTGAAGGAGGAGACGAGGAGACGAAGAGGTCGTACATGGGGTACTCATTGTTGGTCAGACAGATTGAAGAGCAAGAACCGAAAGAGATGGTCCATCGTAGCTGCATGTCGGCCGGGACAGAGCTTGGCGCCCACAAGATGGAGGAAGCAAGGCGGCAGTCGAGGCCCAGGCACCAGAGGACACCCATCTCCATTACACGATGGCCTTCCACGGGAGTTTGATACTGTCCTGTGGCATCTCGGTGCTAGTGGGCAACACATCCATGCAGATGACATGGCGGTCCTCGTGACTCAGACCAGCGTCGGCGTCCACGGTTCTTCCGGATGAGTGACCAGTCGCGATACTCATATCAACTCGCCGCTGGGTTAAGATGCACAAACTGCAGTCCAGTCAACCACATTGCCACCCTTGGTGGATCACCGGGCAATTTCCGGACTACGCGACATATGCCGCACGCCATGTTATAAAGCCAGCACCGCTACCCCGAGATGGAAATTGCGGCCGTTGCAAAACTTTTCCACTTGCAAATGGTCCATGTGGCACTTTCTCGTGAGTCTCGTTTTTCTCTGCTTCACTCTTTAGAAGTGCGTGGCTTCATTGCGTGGAAATCTTAACTCCAGCTGCTCGCTCCAGGGAATGACGACGCCAGCCTCAGGATGCCAGATCAAGTACCTCTACGGACCTTCACAGCTTCACGACTCCAGGAAACCGAAGGGAGATTGTTTTCCGATACGAAAATCTCTCAGAAAGACTCCGCATGCACAGGGTGTCCACCAGACGAAGGCTTGACATCGGAGATTGACCTGGGAACGGCCAGACTTCAACCCATGTGTTGCAACGAGCAGCCAGTTGAAAACAGCTCGTGTGCAGGTATCTTAGACGCGGAGTACGCGGAATCTCCTGCTATGGATTTTCTCTGAGGTTCGAATCGGTTCACACGAGCCATGCCGACGAAACCACGGCGGTGCCAGTCTATTGAGGAAGTGCGCCAGGTTCCGAATCGTCACAGATCTCCGGTCCGGAAGTACGCGACCGCGATGTGAAGCATGAGGAGTGCATACCCGCTAGAGACGCCGAAAATGCATGTTGGAGAGCGGCTGGAAGCGCCACCACGCTCGGTAACGCCGGCGTGAACCGTTCGAAGCAATGAGACAGACGAGCGCACTGGGTCTTCGACAGTCGACAAAAGACCGTTTTCCCAGCATCAGTTTTCCAAAGCGAAGACAACCGCGTGACTCTGGACTGGTATAGTGGTACCGCCCGCACCGCTAGCGCTACCCGATCTTTTGCACCGCACCGCACGCAGTCTCTTGCAAACCTCCTTCGCACGAGCTGCAGACTCACATCAGCTGGCCGCTGGACCCAGGACACGACGCCGCGATAGGGCTAGCCTAGCCACGCACTCCATTCATGCTGCCAGCGGTCCGCCGGGCGTAATACGAATAGTAGTAGCTCGTGCGCTGTTTGCCGGGGACCATCGGCTCACCCACGGTCCCACCGCGCCAGCGTGGAGTTTCAGCACCGCCTCTCACATTGCTTCCTCAGTCGTCGTCTCTTGGGCCCAGGAACGCGAATGCGATGGCAATGGCAAAGACCTCTCCAGCGCGATGAAGCCAAACGATCCCTCCCCGGCGGCTATCAACCAGGCGTGGCATCGCACCAAAACCTACCTCGCTGTACTTCATTCACTCACCGGTATGGGTTTCCGCAAATCAGGTGCTTCAGAATCGTGGCCATGGTCAATCGAATGGGTGGTATTAGGACCGCATCCCTCGCGCTGCCCAAGGGATCCGTGAAGCATTATTCTCCTAACGCAATCGGTACATGTTTTCCCGCCAGATGTTATCACTGCGCCGAGCTTGCGGCTCTGCTGTCTTTCCTCGCAGCGCGTTCCACCACTGAATCCAGTCGATTGCGGCGATCACACACGTATCCGGAGCCTGCAGCTGTGGCCGGCTAACGACAACACGACAGACGGCGTGCTCCCCACGAGACTCGCGGCATCATCACCTTTTGTCATTCAACTGGGTCTGCTCTGCCATCATTTGACTCGCTGCTGACCCCAGTCTCCGACTTCACAATCCTTCACGCCAAGTACGTAGTACCCCAGCTAGCCAAAAGGCAAAAGATGCCCCAGGCTATTAACGTGAGTGCTCGTCCTGTCTCTGATCGCATACTTCACACTTTCTCCCAGTCTCTTGCCAGTCCGCTCTGCCCAATCGAGCGATTGCGCTTACGAGTGGCCGCTTCTCGAAGGATGTATATGAGAAAACCGTCTTTGCCTTCCTGCAGTCCGCTGTCCTCCATCGTACTGCTCAAGCGGCCTCTACGCCCACAACCACCACGACCGCCCGAGTAGCCTTGTTGCTACTTCTGAAAGAGCATTGAAGATATGGGGACACGTCCAGCCTCGTTCCAGCCGAGCAAGATCTCGAGGCGAAACCGACTCACCAGCCGACTCACAAGGATAAAGCGGTACCCGTGCCCAGAGCTCCATTGCCGCAGCGCGTTCAACAGAGACTCGGACTTGCAAAGACACCGCAAATGCATTCACGATCGTATACCTACTCTTGGGGACACATGCGTCTATCGCTGTACTGTGCCTGGCTGCGCGGGCAGACGGAAGCGACTTGATCACTTCAAGAAGCATGTCAAGCAAGCCCACCCGGATCATGACCTCGACTGCGTTGTCCGCGAGTATGTCACACATCTACGTAGAGCTTTTCAAGCGCTAATCACTCATCAGATCTGCCGTTCCTGTCGTCGATACCTTGCGCACAAACTTCGAAGATTCAAGGTCTCGCCAAAGGAGCTCTGAAGTTGAAGCACACCATCATCATTCAGCATCATACGCCGAGCTTGAGTACGCCGAGCTTGAGTACGCCGAGGATGACTGTTCTGAACGCATCCATGGTGAAGCAGCTCAACAGTACTCGGAACTCACCAAAAGCCTGCCACGCTCTTCAGACACCCTGTCGCAGCCTCCTCTCCGAGCCACGCGGGCCTCCTCAAGGGCTCCTATCAAGTACAGCCAGTCCCCATTGGGAGTGGACGAAGGAGGTGCTGCACTCAACCACGCCACCATCGTGAAGATACTTCAGAGACTCAATACCATACACGTAAACTGGACACAATGTTCGGAGCTGCCTACCGATCCAACCTCCTTCGTCCCCTCTATTGAGCATGACAGTCGTGTCGTTCCGAGCGATGGCTACGGTGACAATTACAACCAGGCTTCGGGATGTTTCCACGGCCTGCTACCTACTGGCAATGGAGGTCCCAGCAGTGGCGGCGGCCCTGGCAAAGGGAAGGAGCCCGCCAGAGGACAAGGCTGGCGAAATGCCAATGCATCTGACGCCAGATCGAATGCAACCTCGGATGGTGTATTAAGTGGACTACCCTGTGTCTTCTGCCTGTTCCACGACCCAACAGATGATCCCACTCGTGATTGCTGCACGCGGAAACGATACATTTGCTACTTATGGTAGGTTTCGTTCCCATGATCGTTGTGACAACATGGAGACTGACTTCGTCATCAGGCCTCATCACTACCGACACGACTTCACCTGCTGCTGGACGTGCTTCACGAGGTTCGAAAATCGAGAAGCGCTTGAGCTTCATCGGCGAAACGGTTGTACATCTATCTGTCTGGACCCAGCCTGTCGGAACTACGACAGGCCATCTACAGCAGACTCACCATGCACACACAATACTCAGTTTTCGGCGATTGTCAGATGGCAACGACTTTATCGAGAGGCCCATCACCTCGCCCGTGGTGTCTGGATACCTGACCCGACCCGTCTACAACAAGACGTGCCGGACAATCTACCGCCACATCATCCGATGTTCCCATGGTCGCAACCAGTCCCCGTTCATGGCGCAGCGCCCATGCCTGCCACCAACGGGACCATCCCTGGCCCGCCGTTTGCAAACATGCTCGCTGGCATAGGTGGCGGAATCGATGGGAATTTTCCCCAAAATGCACCTCAACCGCCACAAGTTCCGGAGACGGATCAAGATCGTTTGAGATCCATACTGGAGATAGTCTGGGCACGCGTGAACAGACGAGTTCCGTCCTGGACCTGGGCATCCCATGACCTCTGGCAACGTGTACCTGCAGTGAACTCCCAAGTCCTTCTCACGTTACCTGTGGAAGCGGTATCAGTGACGCAAAGGCTCCAAGTATTGGCCGCCCATTATGCCATGCTCATTCAAGAACCTTCGACCAGGACCCCCGAACACTGGCTCTTGGTGCGCCGGAGTACTATTCCGCTGATTGGAGATCTCGTCGACGTCCCCATAGAATGTCCGTGGGATTTGGCTCAAGCTGGGCCGTCGATATTCCGAGCGACTGTGCACGGCCCAGAGATCGATCCGGCGTTGAGCAGCCAGTCTTCAATGTCGACACTGAACGCTGCCACCGGCCTGGCCTCTACTACAGGCAGAGACCTACAATCAATCTCTTCAGCAGCTTTGACCGCAACTAACGACTTCTGGCAAGTGGACCTGAGCCAACCCTCGCAGAATCCGACGCCTCAAACGCCGATGGATCGTCGACCAAGTCGTGGCTCCTTGACCAGCCCTTCGGAAGGACCTCTTTACTCGGCCACGCCTTCCATGAATGTTTCTCCTTTCCACGCGGGTCCTCCAACACGGCCGCCAAAACGGCCGCCAACACAGCCTCGACACCAGCAGCACACTGCCACGCAATCAGATGATTTCTCCGAACTTTTCAATGACCTGGACGATAATGAAGAAGAGACCTAGCTTGATGACCCTGATTGATGGAGTACACATTAAAGAAAAACACGGCCTTATACTAACGAATTCTTAACGATATATTGCTTGCTATGGCGTCCGACACGCCTGCGTTCGCTACTGCTGAATGACTTGTATATAATCTGTCTCTTATACCAAACCAATGCTCCGACAACCATGCACTTTTACAGCTTACTCTCCTCCCTCCCCGAGAAACTTACCCCCTCCCTCCTCTCCACCGTCCCACTCTTCGTCAACACCTGTCTCCTCTTCCTCCGACTCAACCACTCCCCATCGTCCCTCTCCCGAATATAATACGCCCAATCCGCCGTCTCATCCAACTCCGTCTGGCTATACCCATTTCCCAACCACGCGAACCGATTCCCATTATACTCCACCTCGTAATCCTCAAACCGCACATTCCCCAACGCCTCGATATAGTGCAACGTACTGCCCGGCCACAAAGCCGTGATGGGTGCGTCGATCTGCCCGGACTTGTACCATGAACGGCAGGGGTCCGCCCAGACGGTTCCCTTCATGAAGTCATTCTTGTGCGCGATGAAGTCCTCCACGGCGGCTTTCTTGGGCGTGAAGGATTTGATGTTGTGTGTCTGGTAGTGGTCGATGAGTTGGCACATGTAGTCCGCCTGCAGCTCGATGGCGCTCAGCACGGGGCCGTTGCCGATGGGACAGTTGGGGCCGAGGAAGATCATGTAGTTTGGGTAGTCGGCGGCTGCGATTCCCAGATAGGATTTTGGTTCGGACGCCCATTCGTCTTGCAGGTTCTTTCCCGCTGGGTTGATTAGGGGAAAGCGTGGTTTGAAGGTCGTGTCGAAGCCTGTTGCGCAGATGAGGATGTCAATCGGGTATTCTTTGCCGTCGTCGCAGATGCAGCCTCTTGGGGTGATGCGTTCGATTTCGCCGTAGACGACGGAGACGTTGGGTTTTGTTAGCGATTCGAGGTAGCCTACTCCGGGGGTCATTCTGCGGCAGCCGAAACTCCATTCGGGGATCAATTTGTCGATTAGATGTTCCTCGCGGATTTTCTCTTTCATTTGCTGCACCATGTAGTCGTGTGTGTCGTTGTTCATGGAGGTGTTCTTGAGGAAGATGCCGAATTGGCCGTTGAGTCCCGTCTCGATCCTTTTCCGGTAGTCGGTTAGGACGTCTGGCTTCGTGGCGAAGTCTTTCTTTTCCTCGTCTGTATAGACGTGCTGTTCGAGGCCTTGTACTGGCGATACGTATGTTGGTTCGCGAATGAAAGTGGTGACATGTGAGGCGTGCGGCTGGACTGTGGGAAGGACTTGGATTCCTGAAGAGCCGTTCCCGATGAGTCCAACATGTTTTCCTGTGAGGTCGACGTTCTCGTCCCAGTTAGCCGTGTGTAAGAGAGTACCCTTGAAGTCATGAAGGCTTGGTATTGCCGGCCATCGCCAGTTGTTCAGGATGCCAGTTGCGTTGACGAAGATGTCGCAGTGATCATTGGTCTCGGTGTTGATCGACAGGTCTTTGACATTAACATCCCAGCCAGCTGTCTCCTCGTTCCAAAATGCCCTGGTGACTTGATGGTTCGTCTGAATGTATTGATCTAGACGGTATTTTTGTGCAAAATTGTTGAAGTAGTTGTATATCTCTCCAGATCCTGCGTAGACCGCCGACCAGTCGAGCTTCGGTTCGAAAGACCAGCAGTAACAGTGTGCTGGAACATCGCACGCGCAGCCCTAGCATCGTCGTTAGCAGAGATCAGTTACGTCTGGCACTCGTGCAACTCACGGGATATCTGTTCTCTGCCCAAGTACCACTGATCTGGAACAGATTGTCAGTAAGTAGCCGGAAGTCCCTCTGCCACCAACGTACTTCCTTGTTCTTCTCGTAGATGACCAAGTGGATATTCTGAAAGTGCCGCTGTATCTTGTATGCAAACATCAATCCCGATGCCCCAGCTCCAACACATATCACCTTCACATGGCGTTCTTGATGGATGGGACCTCCCAGTCGCCGCCGAACATCTTCGTCTCCCCGACTTTTCCGTTTACCAAGCGTTGGCAAATTGACGACCTCGCGGACTGGGAAATCAGCCATGGTGAAAGGCGATACTAATAAGATGCTCAGAAGCGTAAAGATGGCGCTCAACGGGGATGGAGACGGTTGAGAGAGGGACGACAAGTAAGAGAGAAGGGAGAGATCGATGCTATTCGACACGTCGTCCGTTGCAAATAGTGCTGTGACAGCCGTGGCGGAATTTCCCCTCGCCAGAAATGCAACAGATGCAACAAGACAGGGAGTGAAGTGGAGGTTAGATTGGGGCTCGGATATACGAAAATGTACCTGACTCGCGAGTGCAAAGAGTGTTGCCACGAGCCCTTGACTTGTCATGCTAAATGGACGACGAGCGAAAGAGCACCCACCAGTGCTTACAGTTCAGGCACGATGTCTCCGCCATCCTCGGGACCTTGTCATGGACAGAACCCGCGGATGAGCATACGCATTATCCGAAGCGGGCAAGACGGGCGGTAGCGTGGCGATGAGCGAGAAGAGCGTCCTGCGCAACTTGAATCAGTAGAAAAAGATGTGCCCTCGAGCTGCGAGTCGAAATGCCGTGGCGGGTAGATGATGCCGAAGCAAGCTTGCGTTGATGCATTGACCCCGCCGTAGATTCTCGGAGAAGGATTGGCGACTGCAACGTGGGCTGCCGCTGAATTGCGGTGGGAAAGTTTGACGTGTATATGGCACGTGAAGATAGGGTGCTTTGATTGACAGCCTGAGATCGCGAGTGCTGGATGAAGAGTTTGGGGATCGAGAGGGAAGAAGAAGATGATGGAAGAAGGTGACGTCGCTCGGCCCCTGTCCGGCAGTCGCCCCTCACGACAGCCTTGTTTACATACTTCTGCTTCAAACTATACATACATCCATTTCTACCCATCAAACCATGGAATCTCATGTCTTGTTGTCCATCAGATCCACTCGCAGTCCTTTTACCACTCGATCATTCCGCTCGTTCAAGCACATAGATTCGGACCCTTCGACGATCGCGTCGATCCAGCTTTGAAACCCGCAATCAGAGCTGTTGTAGAGAGTGACCCGCTGACTCTGCTGAAAGGAGCCTGTGGCGATTGAAGATGTGTCTCTGAAAGCCGTGACATTGATGCAATCGCTCGTGCCATTGATTTTATAGGAGAAGACGTGCTGCCCGTGGCAGTCTTGTCCCACTAAGCCCAGGATGTCGACAGCTGATGCGAAGGAGGCTGTCGAAAAGATGACCGCGGTGGTGGCAGCCAGACGCATTGTTAGGAGAGATTGTTCTGGGCTGATTGAAGGCAGGGGTCGAGTGGTTTCATTGACCGTAGCAGATTTCATGGCATGCAAGCTGTCGGCCTCAGATATACATTTTGAACAAAGGACTTTAGCATCTGATCTCAAGTCGTCGTACTACCATCCAGTAGAGACTACTGATTATTTGCAACATCGAAATCTTGCTTTTGGAGAGCACAGAAACTTTCACAAGTCGTCACAACCTTCTGCTAGGCACGAAATGTTCTTTGACTGTCCATGTCTTCGACTCTTCGTCACTGGGCAGTATAACCACCATCAACAGCCAGAGTCGCCCCAGTCATAAAACTCGACATTGGGCTTACCAGATACACGATCGAATCTGCAATCTCCTCCATGTCGCCCAACCGGCCCTGCGGCACTTTCGCTATCTCAGCTGCCATCACGCCGCTCGCTGTGGCAGATTTAAGAAGAGGAGTAGCAACATAGCCTGGGCACATGGCGTTTATGCGGATGCCTTGTGATGCATAGGTCACGCCATCAGTCCTCGTGAGACCAACCACTCCATGCTTCGACGCCGTGTATGCACAAGCTGGAGTTTTGGGTGACGAAGCTACTAGTCCGAGCATAGAGGCAACGTTGACGATGACGCCCCTGCCACCTCTAGGCGGAGGGAGAAGTGGCTCTTGTTTCAGCATCTGTCGAATCTGCGCTCTTTGGCACAACCAGACTCCGTGAAGGTTTACCGACATTACTCTCTGCCAGTCATCGAAGTCACTCTCCGCCGTGGGCTTTGGCGTCCCCCCAATGCCAGCATTGTTGACTGCGATGTCTAGGCGAGAGAAGGTCTTGATAGTGTCGTTAAGTGCAGAGTTCACGGAGTCTTCCTTGGACGTGTCCATCTCGAGGTTGAGAATCTGGACGTCGTCGCCATGTCTCTTGCGTAGCTCACTGCTGGTATCTTCGAGAACTTCTGGACGGATGTCACAAAGAGCAAGTTGCCGAACCCCATGGCTGGCAAGGGCATAGGCTGTGTATTGACCAATTCCTACATCTATACTCAGCTTGTCTCTTGTGTATGCGGTGAAGAGTTTCGGACAACACACCTGAACCAGCTCCAGTGATGAATGCTGCGCCTCTTAACAGACTAGCCATGACGAGTGAACGCAGATGCTGTTCTGATGATCGAGTGACAAGCAAGGAAGGAAGCGGCCCCAAAGGCAAAACCTGTGCTACTGCTTCGTCGACAGCTCAACATGCAGAGATACCACAGACAGCATGCATCGGTGCCGAGGGAAATAATGCAACAACGTCCACAAAGTGCAGAAGATCGTCAATCTCCTACGTATGCTGCATCAGCCGGCTTCCTTGTCCAAGAACCTTGCACTGAGGCTTGACAAGAGTCGCAATCGCCATGTGCTCCGGGAGACTTCGATGTCAATTTGAATCGTGATTATAGGACGAAGTCGTCCTTGTTGACTCGTCCCAAGTGAAGGAGCTGGCCACGAGGCGCCTCACCCGCCGGCTGAAGTTTCCCGCAGGAAGAAGCCACGAGCCGTTGTGAAAAGTGGAGTCGCAGATCAGAGTTTGGAGCTTGTTTTGATCAACGGGAGCACGTTCCGGAAGCAGTGATGCTCGCGAGGGCGAATGAACTGGTACACGATCCCGGAAGACGTGTTGCTTGTCGTTGTCGCGGTAAACATGCAGGCTGGCGCAACCATTCGAGCTCGAAAGTGACAGCCAGCCGGCATAGAGTTCTCGATTCGTGCCGCACACGGGCGTCAGCGTCGGTGGCGGTATTGGTCAGGACCATCTCCCGACATGCCCGTGACGACGCGCTGCAAGACTGTCACGACTGGACGAGCAGCAGAGGGTAAGTTGATCCACTGGACCGGTACGACATAAGGCCTGGACAGTCCAGAGGTCAGGGTTCCAGGGCCATGATAAGCTGTTTAGATGCTCCTGAATCTGCATCCAGAAGGCCGGGACTCACCGCAGGCCGTCTGACGAGCCTCAACACTCTTCCAGCGGGCCAGCAGCAGCCACGATGGCGGCAGTGGATAGCAAGATCGCCGGGCATCAATCGGAAGACATCGAGTCGGGGCATCAAAGGCGATCCGAAGACGATGTCGCCATCCATACGGACACCTTTGCGGTCAAGAAAGAAGCTCTGGGAAATGACCTCCCGCCTCGGTACTGGCTCAGTCCGGGTTTCATAGGCACAGTTGCGGCACTCTGCTTTGGGAATATCAGTAACTATGCCAGCTGGGTGCAACCATCGAACTCCTTGACTGTGATCAATGCGGACATTGGACCTTCTGCGAACATATCCTGGGTGGCGCTGGCTTATACCCTAGGATTGGCTGTTGGTTTCCTCCTCGTAGGTCGGTTGAGTGATATCTTTGGCCGTCGCTGGTAAGTGTAAACCCGTTGATGGTAACGTTGGTGTACTGATACTGCTCGGCAGGTTCTTCATCGGCGGCAACTTCCTGGCCTTGCTGTGCGGAATACTGGGTGCAGTTGCTCAGGACATCAACACACTCATCGGAGGAAATGTCCTCGGAGGCCTGGCAGGCGCGGTCCAAATCTCATTCACGGTGGCAATATCGGAGCTTGTCCCCAACAAGCATCGTCCACTCTGGGTGGCAGGCATCTTCTTTTCCAGTATTGAGTTTGCAGCATTTGGTCCAGAGATAGCCCAGTTACTTGTTGCAAATACAGCAGCTGGTTGGAGGTAAGTTTGGAGCTGAAGGCTGAGTCTTGATGAGGTCTGACGTGAAGCAGATGGAACTACTACATCAACATCATCGTAGCAGGCATGGCGGTTGTGCTCTTCTTCTTATTCTGTCAGTATCCACCCTTGATCTTTCGAGCGGGTATACTGACTATGCAGATCATCCGCCGACGTTTCACCTGCTCCATTCGAATCGTTCCAGATTGGAGCAACTCAAGCGGCAGGATGGTGTTGGATTCATCTTGTTCACCGGCGGCCTAATCCTCTTCATCATGGGACTCAGCTGGGGCCAGGTCGTGTATCCCTGGAACTCAGCTCATGTCATTGCCACAATCGTTGTGGGATTCCTGGCTCTGGTCGGGTTTGTCCTGTGGGATGCTTTTGGCCATCGAGGAGATCCACTCTTGCCGCTACATCTGTTCAAGACCCGAGGGTATCTGGCCATGGTGATCACCGCGATGGTGGGCTCTTGCGTGTACTACAGCATGAACGTAATCTGGCCGCAGCAGATTGCCTATCTGTTTGGAGGATCGCCGGCTCATCGAGGATGGCTTGCTTGTGTGGTCGGTGGTGCAACGCTGGCCGGACAGGTCATTGGCGCTGCGATGTGCCAGTACATCAGGAAGTCACGGTACATACTGATCGGCAGCTGTATCTCCTTGCTTGTATTCTCTGCCGCCATGGTCAGCATCGGTCCAGGGCAGGAATCGAAAGGTGTAGGCCTAATGTTCATGGCTTGCTTCAGCGTTGGCGTGATCGAGGCATGCAGCTTGTCGTTGGGTAAGTATCATGGCCTTACTTGCAGAGCCGGAGAGAGTGCTGACAGTGACGGTAGCCCCTCTCGCTCTGCCCTCTGAAGATATCGGTGCCGCTCTTGGGGCTCTGGGAAGCATTCGTTCCGGAGGGGCTTCTGTTGCTACTGCAATATGTGTAAGCAGACATCGTGCAGCGAGGCATAATTAACGATACCTTGCTAATGTATTGACTGTAGACAACCATCTTGAACAACAAGCTCGCCAACTACTTGCCTGAATACGTAACGCCAGCCGCCACCGGCGCTGGACTGCCACAATCTTCTCTGCCGGCTTTGTTCACAGCGATAACTGCTGGAGATCTGACCACGGTCCCAGGAATCACGCCGCGCATCACTGCAGCCGTGGGCGTTGCTAGTGCTCAAGCAGCCGCCTTATCGTTCAAGTATGTGTGGTATGCTGTATGTGCATTTGCCGCATGTGCAGTAATTGCTTCATGCTTGACGATCAACTACGGCGAGTACTTGAACGATACCGTGGAGAGGAAGTTGCATGGCAAGACCGTCGAAGTGGTTGCTCATGATCGACATCGGTCCAATGACAAGGCTTGAACGTTGAAGATGCGTCTTGAGTGTATGTAGGATTAGATCATTGTGAGGAGGCCGGTGCCATTCCGTGGCTTGCTGCTCGATCGTTCTCTTGGGTCAGCTGCATTCGGCGAGTCCGAGGCCTCTACCCAGCGTAGTAAAATTCACTGGCGTTGAGGACATACGGCCAACCTCGGTAGCCACGTGGCGAATGCGAGAGACCGCGACTCGTTTGTTAGATCGCATGCCCGACTGCCGACGTCTTGAGAATGCAAGACAAGTGTACTTACGCAGAGCAGAGAAAGGGAGGGAAGGTCATCCGCGAAGAAGACATTGATCCTTTCTCGCACGACTCAAGAAGCTCCGAGAGACGACAAGCTTGACGCCACAGTGCGCACATTCTCCCCTGTCCTCTCCACTCGCGCTCCCCCAAACGCATGCCGCCCCATACGCTGGGTGGGAGATGCGGAGTAGTTGACTTGGCTGCGACTGTCCGGCCAGACTCTCAAACGACAACTTCTGTTCGTGTACGACTCGCAGAAGCCCACCTAGTACCAGTCGACGGTCAGCTGAACCTTCTTGAATCAGTAACTTCTGTCAATGGCTAGTCTTGCTTGGAAGCGAAAGTCTCCTGACGGTGAATGAAAGTCTCTGAGTGTCTTGGCAAGCCATCACTGGTGGATCCCCGGCGAGCTTCTCCCACCCTGACTCGCATCTCTCTTCTCCATCTCCTCCGCAATCAGTGTGCATGACCACGGCCTGTGTGGTGCCGCAGGGTCTGGGCTGGCCAGCATGGGCGAGCAGTACGCAGGTTCGGGCGATCTTGTCGACGGCCAGAGGCGCGTGCTCGTGCAGTCCAAAATGCGAGACCCGTCCGCCCGCCGTAAAAAGTTCGGCCCACTTCTCGCGACTCGTCTTTCCACCTCTGTTCCGTCGTGTTACAATGCAAGCAACGACTGAGACAACAATGGCCCAACAGTCCGGCGAGCTGCCGAATACCGTCGAATCGCAGAACCAACAGGACAGTGAGACCGGGACGAGCTCCAAACGACAAAAGTCTCGTCACAGGGCTTCAGTAGCGTGTGCAAGCTGCCGTGAGAGACGCATTCGGGTCAGCCTTGATATGATGAGATTTGATACATGGCTGAGTTGAACAGTGTGTCGTGCCGCAGGGAGAAAACCACTGCCTCCAATGCCAGCGGGCTGGAACGGAATGTGTTATTAAGAATGATGATGAAAGAAGACGTCCCGTTTCACGAGCCTACATGAGCACATTGACAGATCGTGTTGCTTTGCTGGAGTCTATGCTGAAGGAGAGAGGAGTGGAAGCCCCTCCCGTCTCCTATCCCCCGAAGACTACGAGAGGTACTCTCTACGCAGACGGAGATGAATCACCAGCAAGAGGCACAACCCAACCACCGCAGTCCTCAGGGAAGAGCGACACTCTCAACACCGATGGTATAAGCCCTGCCAGCGCCCCAGACGACAATGTCGAAGATTCACATGGCGGCTCCAATGCAAGCCTTGACGGCCAACATGACCGTGGCGAGCATGAAAACAGCATCGGAACACCAATTGACGATAAGAAGGACGGGATCGTGAATCGGTTGCTTTCGACACGAGGTCATCTCTCTTTTGATCAGCTCAGTGGTCGACTACGGTTCTATGGCGGCACCGTGAATTGCCACATCTACTCAGAGCTGGACGTCGACGACTCCAAGAACACCCGCGAAAGTGTCGAGCAAGCTAGAAGATCAGAGAAGTGCATCAGAACGCTGCCGATTGAGACCCATGAGTATCTCATGCAGCTGTTCTGGCAACACTACAACTCTGTACTGCACGTTGTACATGAATGTGCTTTTAATGAAGACCGAGAGCACGGTTGCACACAGTTCTATTCGGGATTTCTGCACGTCTGTATTCTGGCGATGGCTTACCGCTTCAGCGATAAGTCTCGACCAGACATCCAGCGCTTGTCCTTGCCAGACCGGGAGAGCACACTTCACAGAGAAGCGAAGTACATGCTTGACTTAGAGCTGGAAAGACCAGGCGGAATCCCATCCATTGCGGCTCTCCTCATTCTCGGCGACTCCGAGGTTGGCGTTGGCCGTGATAATGTCGGGTGGATGTACGCCGGCATGGCCATGCGACTATGTTACGACATTGGGTTGCAGCTCGATAGTCGACAGGCCGGCCTGTCCCAGCGAGAGATGGAAATTCGCAAAATGACTCTCTGGGCTTGCGTAATATATGATCGATACTGGTCGCTCTTCCTTGGTCGACCACTGACCATGAAAAGTGTCGATCTTGACATCTACTCCCTCTCCGCGCAGTTCGAACGGCTAGGCACCTGCATGCCAGCCGGACCAGGAAAGAGCATCAACACAAGGATCTACGAAGCTCTCATCGAACTCATGGAGATTGCCGGCAAAATCGTAGAGCATGCCGAATTCCGTCAATCTCACGAGATGATACAAGGACCGGACCAACAAGCATACTTCAAGATGGCTGGACTTGATCGAGATCTTCATAACTGGGTATCTCGTCTCCCTGCTGATCTTCGCTATGCCGAGGAGAACCGAGTCAATGCTCCCTACTCTTTTTACTTGCTACATCAACAGTACCACGCAGTATTGATCCTCCTTCATCGACCCTTCGCGCGATACGACGACCCAAGCACTGGGGAAACAGACGAAGTCAGTGCACTGGATAGCCATTTCTCTCGAGCAAGCAGAGCCATCTGCACGAAGTCTGCAGTCACGATGGCTCGGATCTTTTGGCAGCATCGACAGAAGTTTGATGGAAAGAAGATTTTCTGCGTTGGTATGCAGCACGCCGGTGCAGCGGCGACAGCTCTCATCTCGGCTCTCGCATACATCCCAGATGCGAGTGACCGCAACAACAACATGCAGTACCTAGAAGTATTGCACGCTGCCCTGCAAGACATGGCACATGCCTACCAGCCTGCCGAGAGGATGGCTGCCGTTTTGAACGCTTGTATGATTGAGCTTCGAGGTGGACCGATTAGTCCAGGCAATACCACAATCCCAGCCCGGCGCGACAGCACGCTTTTGGAAGGTGAAAAGCCACCCTTGAAACGGAGACAGACGAATCGATCCTCGAACAAGAGCGGTACTATGCAGCCACCACGGACCACCACTCGTAGATATCGATCAAGTGACGTGAGCACCGACTATAGCATGCAATCACAAGTACCGCCCCTGACTTCAGGAGACTACGTGATGGTCACACCCCATACTGAGATTCCATGGCCGACGATGCTGTCCAACGACAGCAGTCAAGGTCCGATGCTACCCACGCCAGACACGAATGGAATGAGCTCACCAGAACGACGACAAGAATGGATCAACCAGATTGGAACGGATTTCCCCCAAGTGCCACCAATGACAGGTATACCTGGAATCCCAGACGGAGACGTCAGCAGTTTGGAGTTCTTGCATTTGCCTTCGGAAGATGACTGGGCCAGATGGCATTCAGCAGCCGGTGGTGACGTGACGACAGATCTTGACGGCTTTCCACCTCGAGGAAGGTTTCAGACGAGTAACTTTGCTTCTCCGCCGATGAGTGGAATCATGAATGGATGAATGTTTTAATATGACGACAGTGGGAATGCAATGTTTCAAACTATAGCTTGGAGGCCTTCAGGCGAGAAGCTTTCAACCGAGCAGTACTTCCGGCTTCTCGACACCACTCATGTAGTTACAAAATATTGAGCTTACTACCTTCCCTTCATCTTTCACTCCACGCTCCACTCGTGATCACTGCTCCGCATGTAGGTACTCAGCCCAGCAACGTCCCTACTGGCCGTTGCCTTGACGTCTCCGTTCCCAAGGAAAGCAAACCCTACAATGTAACGTTAGTAAGACCAGACCCCCTTTAGATCGTGGTCACGGACGAAGGACTTACGATTCCTATATCGCCAAGTGATGTTATAATCCTCCATCCTCGGCTCCTTGATCGTCTTCAAGAAATGAATCGTACTCCCCGGCCATAGGTAAATCCGATTCTTGATCTTCCCGTCTTTGAACCAACTCCGACACTCCTCCTGCCAAACAGTATTCTTATGAAACTCATCGAAATGGGCGTAGATCTCATCCACAGCTTCTTGCTGGACCTCGATCGCTTTGATCTGCTCTGTCGAGATCTTTCGCATCATTTTGACTGCGTACTCGATTGTGGTTTCGATGGATGGGAGGAGTGTCCCCGATGACCACGTCGCGCCTGGTCCGACGATGGTGTAGTAGTTCGGGAAGCGGGGGGCTGAGGTACCTAGGTAGAGGTTTGGGCCGTTCGACCAGTCTTCGTCGATCGATTGGCCTTGGGCGTTGATGACTTGGAAAGCGGGTTTGAAGGCGACTTTGAAGCCTGTTGCACAAACCCTAGAAGGTATGTCAGTCTATAGTTCGATGTATGAAAGGAGGTTGGACTTACAAGACGTCCATCTTGTGCTCAACGCCATCTTCGGTGAGGATTCCTTGTGGAGTTATCTGTTTGATGCCTCTCATGACTGGCTCGACATTTTCTTGCACTAGTGCTTCGAGGTAACCGTCTCCTGGGGAGATTCTTCGACAGCCTGGTGACCATTTTGGGATAATGAACTCCTTCAGCTCCTCGTTGCCAGGCCCCATTCTTCTATTCATCTCCTCGGTGATAACTTGCCGGAAGGTATGTGATAGGTCTGAGCCTTGTCTGTACATGCCGAACAAACCTGCGGCACTGTCAGGGGAGGCATTGTTTCGAACATGGGCCAGCTCATACCATTTATCTCCGCCTCAATGCCCTTCCTGAACTCCAAGTGAAAGTCAGGGTCTTCACGGAAGCGCTTCTTATCTTCATCCGTGAACTCATACTGCCTCTGGCCAGGGTCCACATCTTTGCCTTTTTGTACACTCGTGAGTGCTCCAGCACCAAACGGAGGACTGATCCAGGTTGGACTTCGCATGTAGACCTGCACTTGTTTGGCAATCTTTTGCAGTTGAGGCACGATCTGAACGCTTGTACTACCAGTACCAATCACGCCGATGGTCTTGTTGTCGAGGTCGACTCCGTGGTCCCACGACGCCGAATGCATCTTTGGGCCTTGAAAGTCATGCAGGCCTCCGATGTCGGGCCATTTCCAGTTGTTCAGGATTCCTGTTCCGTTCACCCAGACATGGGCCCAATCATGCCAGGTCTCCTTGGTGACTTGATCTTCAATCGTTCTGCGCTGGTTGTGAGCCACTCCATGAACCGGACTGTGTTCAATCCCAACCTACAGATCCCAAACTCCTTGCTCTGCGTCCCACCGTCCTTCCACGACCTTGCTGTTGAGCTTCATGTATCTTTCACTCCCATGTCTCTTCGCAAAGTTTTCGAAATACTTCTGAATCTCTGGGCCGTACGCAAAGAAGTGGGACCAGTTTGGGTTCGGATCCCAGGTGAAGGTGTAGTTGTGTGATGGAATGTCGCAGGCTACGCCGGGATCTGATCATATCAAAATCAGTGAACGACAAAGGATGATATTCAACTTCAGGGGCTGAACCTACAAGTATTCTCATACCAGGTTCCACCGAAATGTGCGTTCTTCTCAAACAGTGTAAGCTCCCAACTCCCAGCCTCGAGCATCTTCTCCATCTTGTACGCCAAACATAACCCACTGGCTCCAGCGCCCACACAAGCAACTCTCAGTCGTCTGGGCTTGCTATGATACTGATCCAACACCCGGTATGGGCCTTCGGGCGTTGGCTCCGGGTAGTCGTAGCTATGCGCAATGCCGTTGACCCCATTGACAATGCTCGGCATGGTTGTTTGGCCAGGTGCGGCTGAACCATTGGGGCCTTCGTTTGATGGCATAACGACACTTTCGGCGCCTGACCGTCCCAAATAGGGTTAACGAACACCTTACCAGAAGTGTTTCTGACCACCTTCGAGCTGCACGCTCCTCGGTCGAGCTGCTCTGACAGCCTCGTCTCGCTGCACAGAATGTGTCTGACGGTTCGGTACTGTTTACCATCGTGCAGCTCTCAAAAGCAGAGGCTGAATCCTTGAATGTCGATGCAGGGGGTGTCCACATGAACTTGCGGGGATGCATGTGAACGTGGGACTTCAAAGTCACGGATGAGCATTTCCGACTGATGTACGGGTGTGCTTGAGTCATGTCGTGTGACATAGTGTGTTCAGAGCATATTACAGCATGCCGGTCGCCGAGCAGTGGTGCCATGATGAAGTCAGAGAACTGAAGGCCAGGCCTTGGTAGTGGATGTGGCTGACGAACTCCAGATTGAAGGAGGCGTTTACACGTCAATGAGTGGGAAGCCTGCAACAGTTTCAGCAGGAGTCGAAGACTTTTCACAGAGGTTCTACGCGTACTGACGTGGTCCTCAGACTGCCCGTGACGTTGATTTGAGATGCAAAGAGGAAAGCTGACATGATGATTTGACTGTTCATTGATTCTTTCATTCGACATATGTCTCGCGTTCAGTGGCCTTCATACATGCTGCTTGATGACCCGAACAGAGTGGAATCTGCTCACGATAGTAGTGATTAGTCCCTGACAGCTCAACAGCCTGGCCGTACAACTTCTCGCCACTGGTCACGCCATTGCTGCGGTGAAGGGGCTCACCCGAGCCGACAGCTTTGCCGCCAAGGTCGTAACCATCGATCAACATGAGAACAGCTTCGGATATCTTTTCGATCGGCACAAAGACATCCTTGTCGAAGGTGTTCCAAGCAGTGGAGTCGAGCAAGTTGGTCCGGACGCTGGCAGGGCAGATCGCATTGACTCGAACACCATGATGTTTGTAAAAGAATGGTGCAATGCTCCGCATCAAGCCCACAACGCCATGTTTGGAAGCGCAATAAGAAGGTGAAACCAAACATCGATAAAAGCCGCCAACGGAACTTGTCATGATTAAGTTCTTGTTATCACTATCCGTAGACTGCCTGAAGTAATGCTGAGCAAGCCAGGCAGTGTTCAGAACCGACTTCAAATTGATGTCGACGACGGTCTGATCAGGGGGTGGCGGTGGTTTCCCCGGTGGATGTGACTCGTAAAAGTTGAATCGCTCTACGATTCCCGCGTTGGCGAAGACAAAGTCCAGTCTGCCTTCGGTATCGTACACTTCTTGGAAGACATTTGCGAGAGAGTCGTAGTCTAGTACGTTGACTTTGTGGAAGGTCGCGTTCCCAACTTCAGAAGCTGCTTGCTTGCCTCTCTCTGCGTTGAGGTCGAGGAGATGAAGGTGCCATCCGCCCCGACGTGCAAGAGCCTTGACGACCTCAAGGCCCATTCCACTGGCTGCTGTTGATTAGCGATATGTCTGATTGAACGCAACGCGTCGTGCTTACCTCCACCAGTAATTAGAGCGCTCTGGGAAGTCGTCGCCATGGCACACGACGACCAGCCTTGATCAACTTGTGGTAGTTGAAAGGTCCAGCCTTGTTGTGCTGAACAGGCAGTCTCAGGCCGACCCAGAAGGCGGCAAAGGCAGTGCAAGTCGCGTACGCAGCCGCGCCCGTATAGAGCAGCTTCGTTCCTGCTGGTGTTGCAAACATGATTGCGGTGGTAGAACGACGAGGACTTGATTAGATGCGAAACACGTGACAAGGCTATGCAATAGTAGAGTGGAGAGTTGAAGTTGTTGAACAAAGAAGCGAGGTACAGCGGAACGAGTTATCCAGGAGGACGAGGTACGGTGAGGTACCACGCAGCTGCCTTTGTACTTCCTGATACGGAGGTCACGAGAGAGTACCAGGGGTTTGTTGAGTGCTACCCCGCGAGAGCCGATCACGCTGGCGTGAGCTAAAACACGCCGGCCGAGCAGCTCTGACATGTGATTGGCGTGCTATTCCATTCATCAACGAAGGTTTGTCACCTCTGGGGGCAAGACGCGGGGAAATTCTGGGGATGGCGACGAGGCCGAGACTCTGGAGTTTCAGCGGCGTTTGGACCACCAGGCTGCGGTAGTGAGTCGACGACAAAGGAGACAGCCAAAGACGTAGATGCTGGAGAAGTCTGCATCTTTGCTCGAAATTGTGAGCTTTTCGGCAGAGCAGTGAGATAAATTGAGCTGCAGCAGAGAAGGCAACAAGTCACACCATCTGTCCATCGCCCACTGATTGGCTGATAACGTGAGGGATTTAGCGCCTAAGCCACGCAGCCCGTGAGAGTGAGACGTGGTGTTGTTTCTATCCATTACTCTTTCTCGTACGCCCAAGTCCGCACCACCCTCGCTTCCTCTCTTCTGCTGGAAAACCTCACCCAAAGCACTCCATGAACCTGCGCAAGAACGACTTCTGCAGACAACCATGAGCAATTGGAAGCGGGTGCATCGACGTGATGCTGTGGGCTGGTGGGTACAAGTTCTTGTGTACATTTAATTTGTCGGTGTCGAGTCTTCCGTTCGTTCTCTTTCATATCAGTGCTGCGCTACAAGTCCAAGATGTCGTCGTTCTCTTTCAGCAAGGACAATCTTCCCAAGCAACTGATCATCAACAACGAATATGTCTCCTCACGAAGTGGCAAGACGCTCACGGTCTACAACCCAAAGAATGGAGAGTTGGTAGCAGACGATGTGCCTTTGGCAGGGGAGAAAGATGTGGATGAAGCTGTAGCTGCAGCGGAAAAGGCCTTTCCTGCTTGGAAAGCCACACCACCTAGCAAGAGGAGGGACATGTTGAACAAGTTGGCGGACCTGATCGACGAGCATGGCAAAGCGTTGGGTGAGCTGACGAGGATAACACTCGGGGCGCCTTGGGGCAGTTTTGGCTTGTTCGAGATCAGCCTCTGTGCCGAGACACTGCGCTACAACGCCGGGTAAGAGTCTCGCAGCCTTGCCGGACATCCAGCTGAAACTCGCAGATGGACTGACAAGTTTGCCGGCGAGTCGTACCCTCAAGAAGACGGCTTTATCAAGATCGTCCGCAACGAACCCCTGGGTGTCACAGCCGGCATTATTCCCTGGAATGGCCCAATTGGTAACGTGGGGCTCAAGGCTGGACCTGCATTAGCGACTGGCAACTGCTTCATTCTGAAGCCATCCGAAAAGACACCTTTCGCCGCACTGGCACTCTTGCCCTTGATCAAAGAGGCCGGGTTTCCGCCTGGTGTGTTCCAGGTGCTATCAGGAGATGGTTCGACAGGAGCGCTGCTTGCGAGTCACATGAGAGTCCGGAAGGTCTCATTCACCGGCTCAATACCAACAGGCAAGAAGATACAAGAGATGGCTTCCAAGTCGAATCTCAAGCGAGTGACACTGGAACTGGGAGGTAAATCTCCTGCAGTAGTTTTTGACGACTGTAATCTCGAAAATGCTGTGACCTGGACCGTCAACGCCATTACGGGCCATTCCGGGCAAGTCTGCTTCGCCGCTTCGCGAGTGTATGTCCAAGAAGGCATATACGACAAGTTCATTGAGAAGTACAAGACTCAGTTCGTCGAAAGGACGAAGGCCTTGGGCGACCCCGACTCAGAGTCAACTTTGCTTGGTCCTCTCGTCGACGAAGCCCAGTTCAAACGAGTCACCGGATTCATTGAGAGAGGCAAAGAGCAAGGCTCGGGCACTCTCTTGACCGGTGGTGCACGAATAGGAAACAGCGGCTACTTCGTCGAGCCAACGATCTTCACCAAGGTCAAGGAAGACTCTGAGATACACAAAGACGAAATCTTTGGTCCCGTGTCAGTCGTCAGAACATTTCAAACTGAGGAAGAGGTCCTGGAGATGAGCAACAACAGCGAATATGGCCTCATGGCTGGCGTGTTCACTCAGGATATCAACAAGGCCATGCGCGTGGCGAGCGCCTTTGACTCTGGAATGGTCGGCGTAAATTGCATCAGCTTGATGATGACGCAGGCACCATTCGGAGGCTCAAAGCAGAGTGGTGTTGGAAGGGAGAGTGGTATTCATGCACTGAGAGCATTCACCGATCCCAAAACGATCATGGTCAACATGACATACTAGACGCTGTAGCAGTATGGACTTTGCCTGGCCTTCTCATAAAGACACTGGAATTTGCAATCAATCTCACGCCATTGCATCCCATGGCTGCTTGCTGCTGTAAATTTGAACAGAGTGCACCATGTCCTAATCCAATTCTCATCTTGCCACCAATTTGACCTTGACATTCAAACTCGGCTATTCAGGTCAGCGTTGCCTCACATTTCAAGATCCGATCACTCACCTTCTCCCAAGTCGTGAAAGCCCTCATATGCTTCATCTCTCCTTCCGGGTCCCACTGCCAGGCCCCATCAACACTCTCAATGTCGAAGTTCCACAACAGCCTTCCCAGAATCAGCCGCATTTCCATGTAAGAAAGATGACGACCAATACACCCTCTCGGTCCAAGCGAGAACGGCTGAGCGGCCTTCTTGTAGTCAGTATCAAAGGACTTATCCAGCCAGCGTTCAGGTATGAAGCTATCGCAATCACGGAAGTTGTCTGGGGAATGGCTTGCTGCCCAACCTCCAACGGCAACCGAAGTGCCTCCTGGAACCCAGTGTCCATCGATAGTATCGCCTCCTTTCGATACTGTTCGCAGAAGGCCTGTTGGGACGGGTGGGTGGATTCTAAGACCTTCTTCAATGCAAGCGTTGAGGTATTCCAGTTTGCTGAGGTTCTCGTAGTTGACCTCTTCCTCAGTCTTAAGAGACGCGCGGATCTCCTCACAGAGTTTCTGGTATTTGTCTGGATTGTAGAAGAGTCGCGCGAAAAGCCCGCTCAGAGCGTTGGCCGTGGTTTCGGAGCCTGCCACGATGAATAGCGCGCTGTTGACGATGATTTCGTCTTGCTTTAGGTCGTGCTTCTCGCGCTGCTTGAGAATGTACCAGATCTGAGTGTGTCAGTCGTCACTCCATAATACTGGAATGTCTGGACCCCCCTTACAAAGTCCTTGTGGTTACTGTTCCCATTCTCAAGCCTTTTCATGCACTTCTCCCGGCTGCGGCGAAGATGATCGCTTCGATAACCGCGTACACGTGCAGGTATGAGATTAAAAAGAATCGTCTGAGTGAGAGATCCGGCTTCAGCGAAACGGCGAGTTGCTTGCTCAACGGCTCCAGCCTTGACGGTCTCGAAGATGAGAGCAACCCATTCGTGGAATCGACCCATGTCGAGACATCCGAAAGGATCCCCAAACGCTAGATCGCCAATGATGTCGAAGGTCGTGAAATTGAGCCAGTTCACGAGGTTAAAAGGTTCGTTATCTGCGGCCATGCGTTTCATGTTGACAATCAGCTGATCAATATAGTGTTTGACGATGTACTCTTGTTCAACCAAAGCTTTCTGTGAGAATGAGTGCGAAAGGGCTCGTCTCTGCCGGGCATGATTGTCATCATCCGCCATTGTCAGAGTCGTAACACCTGGAACAGCTTCAACTGATCCGACGTGGATTGGGTCCTTGTGGAAGTTGGCATGCCCAGGGCGATGGCCTGTGTAGAGTCAATCACGTTGTCTACCCCGACGTTGTTCTGTTTACATGCCATATATATCTTCCCATGCCTGAACAGAGTTGAACGATAGCTCATTTGGCGAGACACGAACGACACCCCCATACTTGTCGTGCAGCTTCTTGACTTCCAGGCCAAATCGGCCTTTGAGAAGAATGTAGATTCCAGGGAGGTCACTGATCGCGTTTAATCGCGGTCCAGGGAATTTGGCCAGTGGGTGCAAGAACGAGTTGTAAACGACTTTCCAAACGATCGTTGCTAGTGCCTTTCTGAGATCAGCGTGGAAATGGTCCAGGGGCGAGGTCGAAACTCACGCCAGCAATCAGCGCCAACGGCGCTATGGTCGCGATACTGTACATGTCGACAGGATCGATCAGAAGAAATCTCAAGCAACGAAAGTGCGGCAGAATAGCCTTGATATTACCATGAAACCCCGTCTTATTGCTCGATGCCCTCCACAACAGTACAAGTCCTACCTTGGCTCAAGGTCGGCTGTCGGAAAGCAAGAGGCCACATTACCGCGTTTACACCAATGAGTCTGCTTACCACTCGTGAATATGCGCATAACTATGCGGGGCCCCGCGTTGCTTGGTCGAACGGCGAGGATGTATGTGAAGAGGGAAGAAGTACTGTTTGAGATATGCGGGAAACGATATCCGGTGTTAGCATGTGACATGAAGACCTGTCATTGACTTGAGTACGTTGACCGCGATACAACATTGGACGTACTGAACACGCTGAACGCCTGGAATGCTTGAAAGCGCAGTAGACTATATCCTGGCGCGCTCGAAGGTCTTTGCTACCTCTGCTGCGTCTCGCTTGGACCAGTCTCTGAGGATCTTCCGTTGAATCTTGCCACTTTGTAGTTTCGGCTGCTCAAACGTTAGCAAAAGCGGACGAAGTAGCCCTGTATGATGTTGAGACTCACAATCTCGTCTACGATTTTCACGCCGCCTACTAGAGCCTTGTGCTTCGCAACTCGAGGCTTGAACCAATCTTGGATTTGCTTCGGGGTTACCTTTGCCTTCTTCGCTTCGTCGGTCAGAACGATATAGGCCCTTGGGTATTCTTCGTCGTGCACTGTGATTCCAACAGCGGCGGCATCGGCTACTGCGTCGTTCTCTAGAAGTTGGGCTTCGAGCTCCGCAGGGGCGACCTGCAAGGCGTTGACTTTGATGAGCTAGAGAGGATTAGCAGTGTTTCGATCGAGGGGGTCGTGGATTCCAGTACCTCCTTCTTGCGATCTACAATCCAGATGTATCCCTCCTTGTTAATCACAGCTACATCACCAGTCTTCAGCCAGCCGTCCGAAGTGAAAGTGTCCTTGGTAGCTTGTTCGTTCTTCCAGTATCCCAGCATGACATTCGGGGCTTTGATCAACATCTCACCGGGGGTATCGAAGCCAACTTCCTTGTCGTCGTCATCTATCAGCTTCATTTGGTTGTTCGGGATCAGTCTCCCAATGGTGCCGTTGTCCTTCGGCTCGATCTGCAGTATTGAACCGCATGTTACCTCTGTCATTCCCCAGCCCTGTTTAACTTCGCAATTGAATCTTCGAGCTACCTCGTTTTGGAGTTCTTTGCCGAGTGGTGCACCCCCTGAGAGGATTGTCCTTATGCTGCTGAGATCATCTACAGAAATGTTAGAGGCATCGTTTAAAGTGGTTCAGCAGGGGTGAATCACAGTTCTTCGTTTCTGGCCTTTTTGCAAGCATTACCAGAATAGGCGGTGCCACCTGCAGATCTGTGATGCGAGCCTCCTGTATGCATTTGAGGTAATCGGTATAAACGAATTGCCGCATTATGTAGATAGGGACGTGGAACTTGCAAGACATGAGGTTGGCGTACATCTGGCCGTAAGCGTGGTAGAGGGGGAGGAAACCGATCCATCGTTCGTCTTCCACTGTGTCGCCTCTGTCGAAGTCCTTGTCTGGCCATCGGATCTTAGCTGTTTGCGCGACCTGCGGCCGAGAGAATTAGCAGAGTCCGCAAGTCTTACTCACACAACCTTGGCACTCACATTCGCAATGAGTGCATGATGGGATATCATGACGCCCTTTGGCATTCCCGTCCTGTCCTACGGTGTCAGAAGCGTCGTTGCTCAGCACCATATCCCCCCTGACGATATACATACGTGCCCGAGCTGAAATTTATTGTAGCAATCGTTTTCTCCGACTCCTCGCGACCTAGCGCCCGCCATCTGAAGTTCTCTGCCTCTTTCTCACTCGCAATCATGTACCTCCAATCCTTCACCCCAAGCTTCTCCTTGCAGGGCTCCGGGTCGTCATTGAACTGGAAGATCTGATCTTTGCTGAGTGTACCGGCTTTTTTCGCTGCTTCGAGGTCTCTCTCAATAAGACTGGGGTGTGACAAGAGGCATTTGGCATTCGTGAGCTTCATCTGGTGAACGATCTCTTCCACGGTGTAGATGGGGTTAATGGCGCTGAAGCAGCGGCCACCACCTACGATACCCAGATACGCTGCCGGTACCAACACGTGGTTGGGTGTGTGTATCAAGCAGACGTCTCCTTTTTGTAGTCCCAGCTTATCCAATCCCATGATCAGTCTCTTGATCCACGACAGCATCTTCAGAGGCGACACATTGATATCGAATTTGGCCGCATCGAACCAGATTGGATCGTTGCTGACAGGCGCATTTTTCGGATAGAGGTAATCGAGAACATTGCACTGGGAAAGATGTCAGTTCAGATTCTGCTTTGAAGCTTGCAAAGGCCACTGACCTTGGGAATGTCGAGATCCTCTAGCGGTGATCTGTGAATCATGTTGCCAACCTAGTACCCCGCGTGTATGCTGTATTGTCGTTTCCTTCCAGACACGAAAAACAGTCTCCTTGCCTTGAGTATATGCCAGACCTACCTTCTCAGAGCTGACTCTGTGGTGAGCTCCGTCAAACCACGTCTACTGACGCAAGAGCTAGCTTAGCAGCGACTACCTCGGGCTGCTCTTCGCGAGTCCTGGTTAGAACACGTCCCAAATTGTGCCTTGCCGTTGTGTGGGAGGGTCATGTTTGGCGGAAGCTTTCCCAGACACGGCAAATGCGGCTAAAAAGCAAGCGCGTCCCGGGTTGTTTCCCCACTTGGAGTTCGGCAAAGGGAACCCGGCGACTGACAACAACCTCACTACTCAGCGACAGCACCACTACAATGGCATATTCACGATCAGGCCGTGGTATGTCTGCCTTGTTGGTACTGTTAGAGGCAGAGGAACGTCAAAGCCATGTCTGAGGTCAATATCGATGGGTTCTTCTCGCTTGAAGGCAAGGTCGCTCTGATCACAGGAGGTCAGTTATAGACTCAGCCAGATGGAAGATCAATAGAGCTCACGTTCGACATCAAATAGGCTCGAGAGGACTGGGACTGCATACAGCAACCGCATTCTTGTTAGCCGGAGCTAAGACACTTTTCATCAGCGCACGCAAGGCTGGGGGCGAACAGGGCATCGACCAGGCAGTCAAGCGTCTCAACGATCTCGCCACCCAGAAAGGTCTCAAGGGGCGGGCGATTGGCATTCCGGCCAACGTGGCCCAGGAAGACGATATCAAGCGGCTGGTCGGCGAAGTCCAGAAGCATGAGTCGAAACTCGACATATTGGTTGCCAACGCTGGAGCAACATGGGGAGGACCCTTCGGGCCAACTCCAGACTGGAGCAGCCAGAAGATCCTCGACCTGAACGTGCGTGGAGTGTTCAACCTTGCACGGCTGTTTTCTCCCATGCTAGCAGCATCCGGCTCACCAGATGACCCTTCTAGAATCGTCATTGTGTCCTCAGTAGCCGGTACGAACGTTGCTCATGTCGGAGACAACGGCACAATAATGTACTCGGCATCGAAGGCGGCAGCACATCATCTCGGACGTAACCTGGCAGTGGAACTGGGCCCTCGAAACATTACGGTCAACACCGTCGCCCCGGGATTCTTCCCATCGAAACTTGCTAACGGCCTGATCGACATCTTGGGAGGTGTTGATGAACTTTCTCGAGAGAATCCCAGAAAGAGACTCGGGGTTCCCAACGACATCGCCGGCGTGATGTTATTCCTATGCTCTAGGGCAAGCAACTACGTCAATGGCGAATACATCTCAGTAGATGGCGGATCACGACTGGGATCTGGCAGATTGACGAAGATGTGAAGCCATTTCCAACTGCAATCGACGTTTGCATGCATCGGGAGTGATTTCTTTCTCTCACGCGGGCGGATATGTCGCAAAAGCCCTGGTCGTATTCGAGGTTTTCTGCAGAGGACATCTATGTTCGAGGGTCGTACACAGTCATCCCATCTTGGTGGCCGCCATCGAATTCCGCCCGCAATAGATACTTGATTAGGGGTATAGTTGTCGACGTAAGCTGGCATCTCCAACAACTAACACAATATTGCCATTCATGGGCCATTCACGGCACTTCAATCTCGCTCATTCGTCTGCATTTACTAATTCGTCTCACCTCAGCGTGGATGTACTTGCATCCTACCAACCCTCAGCTGTCGGACTATAATAGCCATTATTGGTCCGGTGCCTTCAAGCAGATGACCAACACTCTCGCTAAAGCACTCTTGATCCGTTATGCAGTATTTGGCGAAGCTTGCGAGAGCTGCAAGGGATGGAACGATGCGTATGAAAAGGGCATCACTTGCATGCTCGAAACGATGACTACCTGATGCCTTCTGGCCAATGGAGCTCCCTTCTTTCTTAACACCCGCTTGGCTCGTTCTCGCCCTACTGACCGGCTGCCTTGTCTTCTACCTCACGGCTTTGCCGCGACCATTACCTGGCATCCCGTATGTGCCAGAATCACGATGGAAGCTATTCGGAGATCTGCCAGCAGCCATGGCATACCAAAAGAAGACTGGCACACTGATAGGATATTTCGCGAACCAGCTAGTCAAGCGCAACGAACCAGTCATGCAGTTTTTCCTACTGCCATTCGTTCGCCCTTCGCTATATATCTGTGATGGACGTGAAGCTTCAGATGCAATGACCCACCGCATCAAGGAATTTGATCGGAGCAAGCTGTTCAGCGATATCTTCCGCGCATATGTGCCTCATAGCAGCATTACCTTTCCAACTAACAATGATTGGAAGTATAACAGGTCTCTGATAGGCCAAACAATGCTCCCACGCTTCCTGGACGCCTCAGGCGCAAAACAGGCATATGGAGCTTTCCAGCAACTGGTCTCAGTGTGGCGAGAAAAGACGAGGATTGCCAATGGTCGTGCAATTGATGTCGCCGGTGACACCCACATGGCGTCCACTGATGCCATCTGGGCAATGACCTTTAGATCGAGCATTGACACGTGCAAGACAGCGGCAGAACATGTCTCCAAGGCTCCGAGTCTTGAGTCGCCCACGGGTGCGGACGCTTCATAGTTGGCCAACCTCCCTCCGTACCCGCACCCTCCTGTGTTTAAGAGTCTGCAGACTCTTCTACATAGCTCTAGCATTGCTATAGCCATGGGCTACTGGACACACTGGCTGGCAATGAGTTTACTCCCAAGCCTACGCAATGCGAAGAGGATTCGAGACAAGCTCGTTCGTGAAAGACTCATTCAGACATATGCAAAGTTTGCCTCAAATATGCAGGACTCCAAGACCACTGCGCAAGGCATGACGTCTGCAATTGATATTACCGTGCAGCGAGAAATCACTGTTGCCGCGAAGGAAGGCCGGCCAACCCTGGGCCCAAAGGCGACCGAACGCATACACAACGAATTGAGTCTTTTTCTAGCAGCCGGTTCTGCTACAACTGCGGATACCTTGTCATGGGGTGTGTTACTTTCTTGCCACAAGCAATATATAGCTGCCCGCTGACAGTTCATGTTGCAGGTCTCAAACGAGTGACTGCCCACCAAGACTTCCAGTCTGTTCTGCAGGCTGAAATGATTGACAAGTTCTCGTTATTCCATAAGAACAGAGTACCACCTACAGCTGAGGCAATAGCTACAGCAGGCCTACCACAATTGGATGCTTTCATGGAGGAAGTCCTTCGATGCCACCCCCTTGGAAATGCAAATTTGCGTCGAACCCTTCGAGACACCTTAATTCTCGGATACCATATGCTTCTTCGTAGTTCGTTGGCTCAGTCCAATGTCGGGCTTCTTCAACTGACTAATATCCTTCTACAGACCGCCGGTCCCAGTCTTACCAGTGCCCCTTTTCCAGTCTCCGATCAAAACCGCTCCGGAACCTCGTTGAAAGCTACGACTTCGAGATGGGATCGCTACTCCGATCTCGAGACGTTTCGTCCAGATCGCTGGCTAATTCAGGACTCGTCAGACCCTAGCAAAGTGAGGTTCGATCCGTCAGCATACCCTATGCAATCATTTGGTGAAGGACCGAGAGCATGCTTTGGGAAAAAGTTCGCATATCTGGAAATGCGTATCGCGTTCACGTTCATTCTGTGGAATTTCGAGCTGCTGCCTCTCCCCGCGGAGTTAGTTGACTTCGATGTTGATGAGAAGTTGACCAGGGACTCGAGGAACGTCCGGTTCAAGCTGAGAAGAATCTCCTAATACCTGGGGTAGCATTATGCCTCTTAAGGTTTCGACTTGATATGGGATGAGCGTAGCGAATGTATCCAGAAAGTTCAAATGTAGGCTCAATGCTACAGCTCTATATCACGCGTACGGAAACCTATGAATGTGAACTGCTTTAGTTAGCCTTTGCACCTTTTGGAATCAGTCTCCCTGCTCTCATGCGGTCGAATACGCCGCCCCAAGCCTCCATTGTACCTCGTTCTTCCGTAAAGGGCTTCTCTGCCGGAGTACTGTACATCTTCGTCATGTCGTACTGTCTGTCGAAATCGAACTGCGAGAGCAAGAAGTGCTCAAAACCTGGATACACGAGACTTGAGTCTGCGATGTCGGGCTTAAGGCTGTGGACCTGCTCAAGCGGCTTCCAGACACTCAGATGTTCCTTGATATATGACCTGACCTCCAAGGCCTGTGTGGGATCTGTGGGCGGCGGAGTACCCTTCAAGCCAAAGTAGCTTGCAAGCTGAGGCCATTTCTGGCTCCAGGTCGACGGTTGCTTCGAGTCGGCGACATTGAACCCCTTCCCTTTCTGCTTTGCGGGAAGATTGAGCGACAGATGTATGGTCTGTCTGGCGATCATGTCCGAAGAACTATCGTTTGACTTCGCATTCCAGGATTTGAGGGTACCTGCTTGGAAGTTACATGGCGAATCCGCGAATTGAGAAAGATGGCATACCGGGAAAGGGGCACTCGACACCGTGACCCTCCACAGTAGCAAAGAGCGTGAGGAAGATGCCTATCGACTACGCAAGAGAGTAAAAATTTTGGTTTGGCACGAAACCAATGATGATATCTGGTCGCGTCTCGCACCAGCTCCATTTCTTATCTCTGGCATACTCGCTGATCCAGTCCAACTGTGGATGATAGAAAAGCATGTCATGGTACGGCTGCTTCAAACGCGGCATGTCTTCGGAAAGGGGTACATGGATGTACTCTGTTGGGTGCTCAGTGGTCAGGTGGCACCCGTACATCTTGGCTCCTGTCTGTAGAACGACAAATTTCAGGGCTGGGCTCAGCCTGTCCATAGCTGTTGTGGAGCGTTGAAACATACTGACTGCATCTTGGAACTCCTGTTGTAGATTTGTGGAGGCTTTGTACGCTGGACGGGTGTTAGAATGTACTCGATTTATAACACAGGCAGGCTACAACTCTCACCGAGATAATAAACATGTGTGATTTTCTCGAGATCTTGGACTTTTTCTCGAAGCGCTCCCTCGATCACTTCTTGACTGTCAAGCAGGTTTACCCCTGATACAATCTGAAGGCGAGAATCTGCCGGCCACAAAGAGTCTTCTTGGTTGAGCGTGCGGTTCGTCATGGCCACCACGCGATTCCAGACACCCTCCTCAGGATAGTCTCGAAGAAGCTCATTGACAAACGACCATCCAGTCACTCCGCTGGCGCCGAACACAATTGCTCTGTTATCCATGGTAGGTCGGTTGGATGCCACCAGAATCGAAAATTGGGAAAAACCACTGCCAGGAGTCGACTCGACACACCGTTCTTTCCTTCCTTTAGAAGATAGCTGGGCCTACAGATCTCCACAAGAAGTGGTGAGATCGCGTTGCGGGTACGCTGGGACTCGTTTGCCAGCCGTAAGCCGACCAAGCCTGCAGCTGTATGCAACCCCGCAGCGTGCATGATCAAAAATCAGAACCAAAACTGTGTGAAGGAACACTCATCAAAAGTTCAGACGATACCCAAGAGCCACTGAGTGTTGGTGCACCACCAAGCTACAACATGGAAAGACCAGCAGTCGGTCCAGATCCCGGCCTCCTTTATGTCAACTCGAAAATCATTCAGCCTGATAAGCTATCCAGTGAACAGTATACCCAATGGTATGAGGAAACGCACATTCCAGACATCTTTCGAACGTCAGGGATAGACGAGGCATACCGCTGGCAAGCATTAGACCCGGCGACCGAGCGACCCTATCTGGCTTTGTACCCTTTGAAAGACATTAGCTTTCTGCAGTCTCCAGAATTCAAAGGTAATCTGCTCCTTCGTAAGATGTGAAGGGATGCTGACAGTGCAGCAATCCCCGTGGAAGAAGACAAACTTCCCGATGAACGTCAAATCTTCGACTTTGCGAATTTTGACACCAGGTACTATCAGTTCGCACAATTGTACGAGTCCAAGACATCGAACTCCAGTGCGCACAGCATTTTTATCGGCAGCAACAAAGTTGGATGCTGATATGAAGACCCAGGTCCCCCAGAAATCGTCATCTCTGCAGGCTTCACACCAGCAGACGACGAAGATTATGAGAATTGGTATCAGCAAGAGCACCTCCAAGAAATCTCTGGCATCAGCACTTGGCGGAGGACTGAGAGATACAAGCTTTTCTTCTCACGAGAGAATCGCAAAGCTCCAGAGAAGCGAACAATACCTCATCCACCAAAGTATCTCACGCTGGTGCGTCTATCTTCCCACCTCTTCTTGCCGGGAGGATCTGACCTGTTTTGGAAAGCACTTCTTCGATGGCGACTCGTGTCCAGAAGACGAACTTGCGAAGGCCAGTGAAAGCGAATGGACTAAGAAGAACATGTCGACCATGAAAGAAGCGCAGGTCGCGGCGTTCAAGAGGTTGTCATATCACAAGAAGCAGTCATAGAATCCCTATAACATCATCCGTTTATCGATATTTGGATGCAATGAAAAGATCCGTATTGTCGATGTCGTTGTGATGAGTTGATGGAGTTGCTACAAGTAACAAGGTGGCAGAGCTGGCTGGTCGAGATGACGTGGAGTGAAAAGGGGCAGACATGGTCCAAGCGCAGATTCTTCCGACTTCACCTCATCCGCTGGCGTTGTTCTCTTCCACAGTTAACGTATATAACCTGAATCACAAGACCGCTTGAATGCCCATGTGACGATGGATACACAGGCCATAGAGACTTTCATGGTTGTTGGCACTCCTCGCGGGGCATATTGCAGCACGAGAAGCACTCAAGGAATTCCTTTTCCGGGCCCAGAAACGATGCACCCACTCCAGACTCACGACGCCAAAGCACCACAAGATGTGGCCTCATTTGTTAATGGCTGCTTGCCTTTTTGTTCATCAAGGTTCATCTTCAACCAATATCCTCTCGTCCGATGTCTGCGTCAGTAGCTGTTGCCGCTGAAGCTCACTCGCAGCTATCACCCGAATCAGGAAGCCTCAAAATCAAGCCAGCCGAGACCACTAGTTTCTTAATGAGAGCTGGTAGATGGAACCCAAGTGAGAAGAGGGTCATTATCGAGCATGTTCCGATTCCTCAACCTGGACCCAACCAATTTCTGGTGAAGCTGGCGAGTGCGTCACTATGTCACTCAGACATCATGGCAATCGATGCTGGCCAGACTGCAACACTAGGCCATGAAGGGGCAGGGTATATTGAGAGCATCCATCCCAGCGCAGAAGGGAAAGGCTTTGATATAGGGGATAAGATCGGATTCCTCTACATCATCGGGTGCTGCTTTAGTATTGAATATGACCTCCTCTATGATGAAGTTTGATGCTGATGGAGCGATGACGATAGAATGTGAAGGTTGCATGATACACATTCTGTACGTAAACCGTATAACCTTAATGAATGACGAAACTGATTGTGCAAAGACACTGCGTAACCGGAAAGCAGCTTCTACAAGGGTTCACAACAGACGGGTTCTTTGCGGAATATGCTGTGGTGGACTACCAAAACTGCATCATACTGCCAGAATCAATCGATGTCAAGAAAGCAGCTCCGATCTTCTGTGCGGGCATTGTAAGATCTCTGTTACTCTAATTTTTGCCACGCATGCTGAACTTGCCTCCAGACTGCTTTCCACGCTGTCGATAGCTCTGAACTAGCTGCATGCGATTGGCTGGCCATTGTCGGCGCTGGAGGGCTGGGTCAGATTGCTACACAAATCGCCAAAGCTAAGGGTGTGAATGTCGTCGCAATTGACATCAATGACGCCACTTTAGAGGTTTGTAAACAACAAGAGGCGGACCAAGTGTACAACTCGAGGACCAGCAAAATCTACGTCGAAGAATTGAAGCAGCTCACGAACGGTGGCTGCAAAACAGCTTGTGTCTTCAGTAATGCACAGGCGGTAAGTCACTTGCGAGCTGTGGATTGAGAGTTGACTGACTTCTAAAGGCCTATGCTGGCGTTCCACCGATACTTCGACTCGGAGGTGTCATGATGATCGTAGGCTTGCCTCATGATAACATTCCAATTTCGACAATGGATCTTGCTCTGGGTCGTTACAAGGTCAAAAGTGAGAGTACGAGCATTCCACAGCGGATGAAGAACGCTGTGGACTTCCTTGGTGAGCACGGCATACAACCCGAAGTGCAGATTCGTAGGTTAGAGGATCTCAACGACATGGTCAACGAGATGAGAGCTGGTACGGCTACCAAGAGAATGTTGGTGACGTTCTGAAACGCTATATGGCGTAGAAAAGGTTCTTAGAAGACTCAATGAAGCGTTCTGATATTTGTGACTCCATCATTGGGTTTATATCACGGCGTCAACAGTGACAAGACATCAAAACCAAATATAGAGGCTGCACCATCGCAATGAGGTTCTCCACGGAAAGCAGCTCTCCTCCCGCCCATTGGATCCCAATCTCTTATGCAGCATGCAAGAGGAGCAACCAATCACCGACAGGACAACTTAGACCAGCAATCCTGGCCCTCGGAGATCAACTTGACGTGACCTTTTGGAGTCGGGTCAGTACATCCACCGTCCATCTTCCCCGCGCCTGATGAGAAAAGACTCGATAACAGAGTAGAAGTGGGACGGGACCTACGGTTCGAGAGGCTCACGGGCGGAACTCTTGACACCAACATGACGCTCCAAAAGATCGACCATCAATTCCAACATCCGAAACTCTCCTACGATGCGAAGCCAAATTATCAACCATCTGTGAAGCTCAGCTTCTACTTCAGCAAATTACCTGACGTATCGGACGAGCAGTTTCATCGCCACTGGGAAACCGTCCATGCTGATCTTACCGTGGCTGCCAAAGGCTTCAAGGCGTGCAAGATACAACGTTACGTGCAAGTCCATCAAACTGCAGAATGGAAGGAGAGGGCAAAGAGCCTAGGCCTGGTCCACCTTGACTTCGATGGTTGCTCTGAGATTTGGGTCGAGACTTGGCAAGATTGGTATAACCACGAGATGGCACATTATGTATTAAAGCTGACAATCTCAACAGGATGGACTTCTTCAATTCTGAGGAGTATGCCAAAGTGATGCAGCCGGATTGCCCGCGCTTCATGGCTTTCCCGGTCAGTGTCACTCGGTCTCGGAGAATCCACGACTGACATGACCGCAGATCTCCGTCTTTGTGGGAGAGGAGAATTTAATCTACGGGGAAGCACTACCGGGCTTAAAAGGGGCAGATGGTGTGACGAGCTCAACACTGCAGACCCGAGAGTAGATAGACTGCCTTGAGCACTACGAAGATGAAACTAAAACTTTCTGCTCAAAACCGCAGCCCGCATTTGTTCAGGGGCAAATTCTGAAAACTGCATGGTTGGAATCTAGAAACAAGCAAGATAGCCTATGGTTGGGGGCTAGCAGCCTTGTGAAGGGAAGGTACAAAGTTCGTCGTCCGGAGATGCTTTACCGTCAAATAGTCCCTTGATGGCAGTGCTCACTCCAACTGCTCTCGAATTGACTGGGTTGACGTTTTCTGTTGGCTTATGGAGCATAACGAGACCCGAGACGGTGGTTGAGAGAGACACTATGTAGTGCTCTTCGCGTCAACGCAATGCAATTGATGCAGTGCAAAGGTGGGCGTATGATCTTCACCAAAGACTAACTTCAGCATGGCGACTAAGGCAGAAGTCCAAGCGGAAAAGGGGGATGTGCAACATGAAGAGCAGATTGATGTCTCAGACATTTCAAATACATCTAATCCAGCCCACGCTGAAGCAAGCTTGACATGGAAAACATGGGTAGTTATATTTGCAAGTTCAACACCGAGCAGCTGTTACAAGTCCATCCTAACTTCAACTAGATCCTTTCATCATGCTTCGGGTTAAGTTTCTGGCCAGTCCCTACAACGTCAGCCATGCAAACGAGCCTTGCAGCTAAACTCGGAGACCTTACAGGGACGACTGTATACTGGTTTGTACCAGCTTACACGACTGGGAACTCGTTAGGATTTCTCATAGCAGGCGCCAACAGCGACCTCTTTGGGTGTCGCATATTCTTGTTTGTACAACGTGGACGCTTCTACTATTATCGCTTCTGACTCCACAACAGACTGTTTGGCGAGGTTGCTGCAGCAGTGGGGATGCTCATCTCAGCAACGTCCAAAAGCTCAGAGCAGATGACCGCGGGTCTTGCGATAGCAGGCTTTGGTGGAGGCTTTTGTCAAGTCAGACTTCCATCGTCGAGTTTCGGGTCATCAACTAACGGGCACAGATGGCAATGTGCTCAATACCTGAGCTCATGCCCAACAAATACCGCCACATAGGCATCTGCATCTCAGATGGTTTCGTCTTTCTAATCGTGATCATTGGCCCAATCGTCGGACGGTACGCCATCGACAGTGGCGACTCCTGGAAGTACATCTACTATGGCGGGTTCATTGCTCAGACAATCTCTCTGATATTTTTGGCATTACTCTACTTTCCGCCAAAGCATCCCAGAGGTGTTCCACGGCGTGAGGCATTGCCTCATCTCGATTATGTTGGGACACTTCTCGTAGTGCCAGGGGTCTGCTTGGCTCTCGTGGGCATCATTAATACCACTGTATGCATGCCAAAGGATTCTACAGCATTCATGCTGACGACAGTAGTACTTACAATCTTCAGACGTCATGGTCATCGCACCGATGTGTGTCGGTTTTGGCCTTCTGGTTGCCTTTGGCTTTTGGGAGACACTGTCAAAGACGAGGTATGAGCCCCGACTTGCGCCTTAATGGGGTTGCTAACACTCGCAGGTATCCCTTGTGTCCTCCGCGCATCTTTCGATCTCACCACGGCCGCGAATTCACAGTACCTTTCATCTTGGCCTTCATCGTTACCATGTTCTACTATGGGATCAATATCATCTACCCAACCGTGCGTGTTCAGTTTGCCTGAGAATGCCCTGGGTGCTGACGGAGATAGATGATAAATGTCTTCTATATCACACCGACCACTTCTCGGTCGGAAAGCCTGCTGTTGACTTTACCAGGCAATCTCGGTCTTGTGTTTGGCGCCGTGCTGTTGATCTGTTTCGGCAATTTGTTCGGGCACTGGAAGTGGACCTTGACAGCCTCGTGGGTTGGGATGGTGCTTTCCGGTGGATTGATGGCCCTTGTGACACCGTACAACAAGGGAACGGTTAGTGTTGACTAAACCCCTCCCACGACACACTGACCCATAACCTTGCCAGATGATTGCTTTCACGTTCCTGGAGCAGACATTCTTCGGCTGGGTAAGTTAAGAAGAGATCGTCTCGATCAACCAAGCTGACAAGTCAGGCTCAATATGAAAGCATAGCCTTTACTCAACTAGGCGTGCATCAGCATGACCTTGGAATGTCTGGTGGACTTGCTGGCGTGGCTCGATACGCTGGAGGCTCACTAGCTCAAGCTATCTACACTTCGATCCTGGCCAACACTCAGTCGTCTCGAGCTGTACAGACAGTTCCCCGAGCAGCGAAGTCAGCAGGTGCGACAGACAACACGACATTTGCGATCCTTGCCGCCCTCCCATCGGGTGCCTCTGCGCTTGAGAGCATTCCTGGCATCAACGGCGAGATCCTGGCAGCAGCCAGTACGGTCTATCAATGGAGCTACGCTCATGGCTTAAAGATGACAGCGCTGGCTTCCCTCTCGTTTGGTGGACTCGGTCTTGTCATGTGCCTCTTGTTGGAGAACATCGACGCGAAAGTAAGTTGATCTCGTTCCAACGGGCCCAGTTATCTAACGACTGCAGATGAACGATCAAACGAACGTCTTCCTCGAGAATGATGTGCACGCGGACAAGAACGAGTTCCACTAGCAGGCAGGCAGTTGCCGCGGTTCGAAAGAGGGGGGGGGGGGGGGGGGGGGGGGGGGGGGGGGGGGGGGGGGGGGGGGGGGGGGGGGGGGGGTATGGTTCTTTGGCCAGGTGTTCCACAGGTTCGATTTCGTCTTCGCGAGACCGGATGTTCGGTCTCAGGGAGTATTCGTTCCGTAGTTGCTTGACACGAGCGGCGATATAGAAGATCAACTCATGTCTTGCCTTTTCTTGCCTCAAGCACAGACCTCAATCCGGTAGTGTCGAGTCTTTTCGTTTGATCAAATGGCTTGTCATGGTCACGAGTGCTCGATGACGTCGCATATCTGGTTGTCGTTAGCCGGGCAGAGCCTTTGGCGACGGATCTGAGACACGATACACTCTTGCGTCTGCCCTTGCACGATGCAGCACTCTCTCTGCCGACTGTACGAGCTTCTCCTGGCTGCACCTTTGTTCTTCGTTTGGTGGATCGGCCGGATCGTTGTACAGCCCTTTGAACAGAACTACAGCCTGCTCAGCGTGATATCTGCCAAAAACATCAGCACTGGCTTCTCAAGCAAAACGAGTACAGCGTACACATAGTTGTCGGGAGAGTGAGCCAAGATCATGTGGCATCCTGCTTTATGCAGGTCACCCACACGAGGATCGTTGACAAGCCGTTGGCTGAGTGCGTTTGCCTCGTCAAACCGCTCTGCTTCAAAGAGCTCCCATGCACGAGTGCACTGCTTTTCAAATTGCTGACCGAGTTGATTGAGCTGACTTGTGGGTATCATGGCTGTTGGATGATGTCTTGCATAGTGACAATGAACGGTGATAGAGGGATGAAGAAGTATTTGAAGAGCGCCAGTGGCGGCTCGCACGAAGACATCATCACAACAACAACAGACTGGGATGACACATGAGCCTCACTCGCGTAACCAGCATGACCGCTGCGAATGAAAGCGTGTCGCACGACAGCTTATCTTGACAGCCATGGGTGACGATGCTATCTCCAGCGGGGAGAAAGCAAGCACAAGCAACCCATGACGTCGAGCAACCGGTCCTCCCTTACTTTCTCTAAAAGTCCCCCTCTCCTTTCACATCCGGCCTTTGCGGAAAAAATCATCTACCACCCTCGCCACCTCGGATGTAATCACAGGTACTTTCACCGATATCAGAGAAATTTCTGTTGGCGCCGTTGGTGCGAGTTTTCGGACGTAGAGAGCCTGCGAGAGTTGCTTGAGAAGTCACATCGAACGCGGTCGAGACCATCCTGGGTCGCAACGTGTAAGCGCATGGCACTGTCCACGTAATGCTATTATTGTTTACATTCTGCCATTCCTGCGGTTGGGCATCGTTGACGCCATGCTTTCTGCTGGCAACCGCGTCAGCATAAGCTTTGATAGACGGGGATACCCTGGCTCACCATTAATGCTCTTGTTTTCTGATGTCTCCAGGTCCTAGCTCCAGTTTCATCTTTGTTGATGTTCAGATGATTATACACACTCATGCCTGTGTTCTCGACCCCAAAAGATAATATTGCCATCTATGCTCAACACGATCTGGCCGATGGCATCTTCGATCGACCATAGCACATAACCAAGAGGTGGTTCATGCTTCGATTGGGGTGTCCAAGCAAGACTCGCTGCTACTGATCTCATGGTGGACGTGGCAACAGATGTGGGTTTGGCAAGGGCCGGCTGGACATGATCGCCTTGTGCTTGGTCTTGCCGTCGTCGAGATCGTCTCGGAGCTGGTTGCCTGCAGGACGACTATGAGCGTTAGGTCGGGACACTACTGATCGTCCTCATCACACATGAGAATGGAAACCGATCCCGCTTCTTTCTGTCGGCTTCTGGACCACTTTCGCTAGCTGATCATCTCCGTACCAGAGTCCAGGATGAAGAAGTGCCTTTCGGGACCGATCAAGGCTGCGTGGAAACGCCCTCGAGTACTTTCTCAATCGAGCCAGATCGTGATAGACTCAATTATCCTGGAGAGCCAAATCAGCAAATGTTCTCAACTCTGCGTGGCCCGCTCACCAATCTCTGCGAACACGGTCCACTCGACATCTTGAGAAAACCAGACCGGCTGGCCGTTCTTTTGTGAATCCATTCAAGTAGCCGTCCATGGGATTGGACTTCCTCAACAACATCGCTGTCGAATGCTTGTCTGGCAATGGCTAGTTCCTGGCACTTTTTGCTGGCTTTCCAGGTCTGTCGTCCTCTCGGCAGTGTGTCAAATGGCAGAGCACCAGAAAGATTCGGTGCAACAAACATTGTTAAAAGAGACCGTTTTTGCGGTCGATGCTGGGGACTTGTTCTGGGTCAAGGGTTACCTACTTGTACGAGAAGTGGCAGAATGCTGTCTCTGCACAAACTGGATTCCATTGCCTTTTGAAGTGCCACTAGACATGGCATGCGTCTCGAGATGGCGCCAGCGAGCGGAGTGCATGGCGAGAGAGGTCACACGACGGAAAATGAAAAGCATTCGAGTTGTGCAAGCCGCTCGTCGGCTAATTCTTCCGAGCATCCGTGCAAGATATCTATCACGTGTTAAGGAGAAGATCAAAGTAGTCTAGATCGTACACACACATTCTACATACCTACAGTTTAGAGCTGCTTCCTGTCTTGTCCTTTGCGATCTCGACTTTTTCCCAAGCCATTTCTGCGAATGGAGCTCGCTCCAGCGCGTACGATTGAGCTTGCGCCGAACTTGCTTGTCTGAGTGCGTATCGTGCAGCGATACCTTGAAAGATGATCGAGTCTCTGAAGAGCGCGAACGCGGTCGCCCAGGCGAGATCCTTGTCTGTGACTTGGAAACCGACGTCTTCTTGATACCACTTGACGCACTCTTCTCTTGTCGGCAATCCAGGGTGGTCTTTGTGCGTAGACTTGGGACTCGAGGGGTTCAAAAATGCTTCGTCGGCGTGCTTGCGCGGCCAAGTCGGTGTAGCGTTGGAAATTGTCCAGCCTTGCGTGAGATTCGTGAAATCTGCCAGAGGATGCCCGATGGTTACCATCTCCCAGTCCAAAATTCCAATGACTCTGGGCTCCGTCTTGTGAAAGACTAAGTTGTCGATCTTGTAGTCCCCGTGAAACAGCACACCGCGGTCATACGGCTGGTTCTGCTCTTGTCCAAAGAACGACAAAAAGTCGTCGAAATGCGGGAGTTGCCCAACTTCTTTACCCGTGTCCGGATCCTTTGCCTCTGCCTGCGATTTCGCAAGGCTGGAGAACGTCTTGAGCTGTCTCTTGTAGAAGCCATTTGGACGACCAAAATTCTCCAGTCCAACATCCTTGGGCTTTATCCGATGCAACTTGGCAAGCGTCCTCACTGCATCTCTCCACATTTCTCTTCTCTGATATGCGTCGACGCCAGGCATGGCTGCGTTGTCGATAAAGCGGCCCTCGAGGCATTCCATGATATACCATGGCGTCCCGATTACACTATCATCATCGCAGAAGGCGTAGGTCTTCGGTACTGGGACATCGGTCTTTTCTAATGCATGGAGAACCTCGTATTCGCGGTCGACGCGATGCGCAGTCTTCGAGAGCAGCTTGCCCGGAGGCTTTTTCCTGAGGACATATTTCGATTTCGTGGAGTCGGTGAGTTGGTAGGTGGGATTGCTCTGCCCAAAGCCGAACTGAGACTGTACATCAGCCTGCTGCTGTTGTCATCATGCCGGGCATTGAACCAACCTGCTTGAGTTCTAACGGCGGCTTGATCTGAGGAACATTCTTCTCCAAGTACCTTTCCAATGACGCTTGGTCGATCGGTTGTCGAACGGGGCCAGCCATGGTTAATGTGACGAGCGGTGTTATAATATTGGAGCCTTCTCCGCTGGTATGAATGGAATGGTAAGAGCAGAAGATTACGACTTACAGACTGGACCGTCTACAGGATATGCCATCGCATTGCTGTCCTAGTTGGCAGCCGTTCACCCAACTGGACTTCCGAGGTCCAAGTCAAGGTCCAAGTCCCAGCCACAGGAGAGGAGCTCAACGGCAGCCTACAGCTTTGACTGGGACAGAAAGAGAAGCTCACCTCAGCTTGTTCCTGAACTTCACCTTTCCTCGTCGACAACGCTCTACCCGGAGTTCGTTTCGCGAGCAGCGTACTCGGTACCTTGGTGCTAGATGCAACATGAACATGTGCCAACGCGTTCTGCTGCCTACCAGTGGGCCCCTGGCTGGGCTGGTGGCCTTGCATTTGCGACAGGTAGGATTTGTACGAATCTCGAGATCATTAAAGAAAACCCCAGGGTGCATTTTATTGCTGAAGCACGTTTTCCATCCTCATGTCGAACCACGCTCTCATCTTCGGCGCCACAGGCATCCAAGGCTGGGCTGTGACTAACCAGCTGCTCAATGGCTACCCATCGTCAGACAGCTTCTCCAAGATCACAGCCCTCACCAATCGCCCCATCACCGAGGAGATCTTATGGCCGGAGAACGACAAACTGCAAGTCATAAGTGGCATCAATCTCCTGACCGATAAGGGCCTAGAAGGCCTCAACCACGAGCTCAAGGAACGAGTCCCCGACATCGAATCTGTCACGCAAGTGTTCTTCTTCGCCTACGTTTACAAGGAGAACCCAGACGAAGAGATCAGCGTCAACGCTGAACTACTGAAAAGAGCAGTCACAGCAGTCGAGTCCCTATCGCCAAACCTCAAATTCGTCTTGCTCCCTACCGGCACTAAAGCGTACGGTGTTCAGTGCCTCGCAGACTTCCCATTCGCCGACAAGCTACCACTGTCAGAAGATCTACCCCGAATCCCCGAGCCCTACCGCTCACAGAACTTCTACTACAACCAAACGGACTGGCTGGAGGCAGAGAGCAGAGGCAAGGCGTGGACATTCTGCGAGATCCGCCCTGACGTGGTGGTAGGCTTCGTGCCGAACAACAATGTATACTGCCTCGCCCAGACACTTGCAACATATCTGGCTTGCTACCGAGAGGTTGAGGGCGAAGGAGCAGAATGTGCATTTCCAGGCACAGCAAAGAGCTGGAAGAGTCTTTCGAATGACTCTGGACAAGACATTGTCGCTCGGTTCGCTATACATGCCGCCTTTCACCCTGAGACATCAGGTAATGGTCAGGCGTTCAACGTAGCCTCGCACTCGCAGCCGGCATCCTGGGAGCAGAAGTGGCCTGTGATTTGCGACTTCTTTGGCCTGAAAGGCACGCCGCCTCCTGAAGGTGGTAGTGGACCTCAGCCTGGAGAGTACCTGGCCTCAAATATCCAGCGATGGAAGGAGCTGGAGAAGCAGCACAGCCTTGTGACGGGTCGTGTTGGCAACGATAGATCCCTGGCTGGCTATCAGTATTTCATCATGACACTGTTCGATTTCGACCGCCAGCTGGATCTGAGCAAGATGCATGCAACTTGGAAGAAAGGTGGAGAGGCGGAGGAATCTGACACGAAGCTGGTGTGGTGGACAGCGTTCGAACGTTTCAGGGCCGCTAAGATCATACCTTAGAGCGTCATAGCCTTGTGGTATTGGAGGCTGCGCACTCCTTCAGCTACAACCATACTGCAGCGACTTTCAACTATGTCTTTGTTCTTCCTTTGAGGCTTCCACCAGTCCATGCTCCCTGGGGCGTTTATGGCAAGCATCGTTACAGGGCAGCCTGCGACTTCAAATCCTCGCCCTTGTGTTACGATATTACGTCGCCAAGCGTGGCGCCGCCATTGGTGTAACCAGACCCCAAAGGCCTCATAGCGAAGCAAGACGAAACCGCCCCCAATCGTGCTACAACGTATACGCGTTAACTACTTCGCCATCCTTGGGATGTGTTTGGAATTTGGAGCACAACAGTGCATAGCCCCTGAGATTCCGCGCATATATGGCAGAAGCCCAGTTGAGAAAACTCGTCCATCACCAAAGCATTCAATACCCAAGCAACAAACAGCAACGCTTCCTCCCAAATTCTGCGGTCCAACAACAAAATGGTCGCCATCAACATCTCCACCCTCACAGCCGTCCTGGCACTCATCACCACCATCACCGCCGCACCAGTCAAGCTGGAAAGCGACTCCCTATCCGTTCGATCGAAGCTCGGTCCGGAGTTCGTCCACGCAGGTGCCGAGGAAGGCTTACAGCAGATCAACAACGACAATGACCAGTACAAAGCTCCACGGCCTAACAACCCATCTGGGAACCATAAGAATCCCGATGGTCAGCATCTGACTGGAGAGAATCTTCCTCGTCCGCAGCAACCTCCTCCGCAGGCGAAGAAGTCTCGTCCACAGCAGTCTTAGTTGGGACAATCTCAGCTGTAGTAGGGGCAATGTTTCGGAAAACGGGTGGGGTGCGTTGAGACGGCTCTGCACAGGGATTCAATACCATGTAGCAGTTTGCGGACGCGAACCGGCCCTTTGAGGCAACAAGGGCAGAGTATTAGATCCAGGAGCAACTTTGTATTTGGTGTACTGAGTATACTATGAGACGCGGCATTGTAGCTGATAACATCAACCTATCAAGGTTATCCAGCACCTATTTCTACCTCAAGGTCCATCCTTAGCCTCACTAACTTTGCAAGCAATACTCACAGAATCGGCATCCCATGCCAGGCTTTGACGAAATGGGTGTTCATTAAGATGGGAGAGTTGGCCTGAAAAGCGTCAGCTACGGCGATGCCTGGTGTCGAGGTTGGAGACGCTTATGAGAGGGACTCAGAGATCATCACTCAGCGAAGGGGCAAAGACTCATTTGCGTGAGCTTCAGCAGATCCATTCACTCCTCAACTGACACGTAGTCTCGAATAAACTCGTGAACGATCCTCGCACCAGAAGACGGGATTCGTCGCAAGTAAGGAGAAGAAGCAGCCTGAGGGCTGACGGCCACCTCGACTATTCGCTGGGTCAGATACTCCAGATCAGAGACATGCTTTGCCACGCCGAGCCACTGTCGATCTCCATCCGAAAGCGAAGAAATAGCATTTGCCCAGAGTCTTCGCCAGGTGGACAGGGCCTTCAAGACCTTTAGCGACTGGTCGATAAGAGCCATTGTGACATGCAGGTTGTAGACGTGATGCTGAAAAGCTACAACAGGGCTTGTTAGCGGAGGGGATGGGAGTTGAAGGGACAGCACTTACCACACAGGACGACATGCAAATGGAACGTGGGTACGTTTTTGAAGTCGCCGATAGGATCATCATTGAGGAAACCCGTCATCAGCTCCACCAGAGTAGGTCGAGGAGGTTTCCTTTGGCATTCCAACGACTCAAACCGCAAGGCAGTGTCGATTTCCCACGTGGCAGGGTCACAAGGAAGGTCGCCAGACATTTCCAATAGTGAGAAGCCTGGAGGTTTGTTCGATACCAACGTGGCAAGACAGTCTGCGCAGTAGGTCCAGGCGACAAGTCGGATGATCTGCTCACGGTGCAAGAACTGGCCCCAATCTTCAGAAGCGTCATGTCGACACCCAATAAGGTCCAGCTTCCTCAATGTGGGTATCAGCGTTGGAAGTCGTTTGGTGATCGCGGTTTGTTGCATTGATGAATCGCTTGACAACAATACCCCCAACCCGTACATTAGCAGCGCCGCTTGGCATAGCTGCAAGCGATACTTCCCATCATGCTCCCTAGCCAAGGCTGCATCCAGCTGGTCAAAGATATATACATCAGCGATTGCATAGAACTTCCGGGCGCCAGCAGCATGCTTGGTTCCATGCTCTTTGGACAGCGAGTAAGCCGCTCCTGTCAGGGAAACGGCCAGCAGCAACGGAAGGGGCACTTCTTCAAGCATGAGTGTCGGCCAGTGGATGATGGGATACTGATAATGTCGCTTGCGACAGAATGTCATTGCAAAGAATTGCACATTCGTGGTATTGAAGAACGCGGAAAAGTCGTCCCGATCGGGGCCAGTGCCAAAGATACGAGATTTCGAGTATTGGGAGAGCTCTGACCGCAGCATATCGATGCGATTTGAGAGCAAGGCGTCCCAAGGCTTAGGGAACGCCATCACGTCCACGAGGCATTGATCTTCAGTCGAGTACAGGCCATCCAGCTCCGGAGGCATGAGCAAGATGTCAAGGTCGAACGGTGACGTTTGCGAAAGATCGAGGTCCCACAAGCTATCACTTGGGCTTTGGTCCTGTGTTGATAGACATGTCGGTCCAAGCAGGGTGCGATCAGGCTCTTCCGCGATCGCCTTTTCAATGACGAAGTCCTGTTTATCGTCTGTAGAGCTGAGCAAGAACGACAAGGATACACGTCGACTCTCAAGGTTACGTGGGCGATATGTCTCTTCCTGTAGAGGTTGGGAGCGAGTGGTACTAGCCCGAGCCTGATCGAATGTGCACTTGAGCTTTCGCGACGCGCAGCGCTGGCAAGCTTTGTCAAGCAGGCGATCGCAATGCACTTTCAACCGGGAGCATTCGTCACATGCTTGCGCTCGACGACCGCGTGTTTTAAGCTGCAGTGCACGACCTTGTCTCTTGGGGCATCGGAGAGCATGACGTCGGGTAGCATCGACCCGTGAGAACGTGGATGCGCAGAACGGGCACTGCCGACTGTTGGATGGCCCGGAACGAGGGAGAAGGTCTGCATTCTCCTTTTCAGGGGTATCAGGCATGCTAGTGTAGGTGCCTGCAGACACGCTCAGAATTGTGAGATGAATTGGTAGATGCACAGGTAGTCGAGCAAGTGGTGTGTTTTGCCCGATGGTGTTCTTTTGCCGATGGCACGTGCGCTACTGGTGTACCGATCCAATAAGAAGTGCTCCAGTGGCTCGTCAGGCTGTGTCGAGTGTGATTTTACCGGTGTGATGGTCCCGATGGCAGCAATGCGTAAGTAGTTTGTCTTTTCGGCAGTACCCAGAGACAGTTTCGATGCAAGTGTGGACTTTCAATTCCCCCTCAGTCTCAGCAACCTTTCCTATGTTTGCCATTGGACTTTCTCTCGTCGAGCGCTGACGAACCGGAAACAATGAGCCCACCACGCCTGGCAGCTCGTACACTGCCTAGATTCCATCCACAAGGCTCGCTGCCCGCTCTGTCAAGCCCATTCAGGACGAGTTCTCAAACGACTCATCTTTCTTGGCCCCGCCCAACAAAGATCATTCTGCGTACGCTCACGCACGAGTGGCATCAGAAACGAGGTCCCCTGCCGAAACGAGCCGATGCAGAACAGGCAATTTCCACAGAGGTGAAGCCGACTGGAGTGGTGGAGTACACACTGTAAGCAAGCAAAGAGACAAAGCAGGAAAGGCTGAAAAGCCCCCAATGACACATCTTGTCCTTCCAGAACGACCATCGACAAGCTGGTGGGCTGGGCTCGAAGCGGATCGATGTGGCCACTCACCTTCGCCCTCGCCTGCTGCGGTATCGAGATGATGCACGTGTCCATGCCACGATACGACCAGGACCGGCTGGGCATCATCTTTCGCGCGTCGCCTCGCCAGTCCGTTGTGATGATCGTTGCTGGGACAGTCTGCAACAAGATGGCCCCAGCCATTCGACAGCTCTACGACCAGATGCCGGATCCGAAGTGGGTGATAAGCATGGGCAGCTGTGCCAATGGAGGAGGATATTATCACTACAGCTATAGTGTCGTCCGTGGTGTCGATCGAATCTTGCCGGTCGACATCTATGTTCCAGGATGCCCTCCGACGGCTGAGGCGCTGCTGTACGGAGTGTTCCAACTACAGAAGAAGATGCAGAGGACAAAGGTCACAAGGATGTGGTATCGCAGGTGAAGAGTCGGCAAGTGGCAGCGGCCAATGTGTTTGGATCAGGCGACGATTCTGGGGTTAAAACAACGTCCTCTTGATAGACTGTTGAGACAGTCCTTATACATATATGGAGCAACAGAGGCTTGTAGATATGTCCGACCTGGCAAACATCAGTGGAGACTGGCCAAGTACGAGAAGTATATTGTGAGCAACGGCAGCATTTGTCGTGCTCACGATACTTCGAAGAATGGCTACACTCCCATTCAAATTCTTTGTTCCAAAAACTGTGGGCACATCCGAGGGACTCAGAAATAGTGACTTTTCATCATCGTTATCGAAGCCTCGGGCAAATGCACGGAAAGACATCATTGCCGGCACAAGGTAATCTTTTCTAGCTGTACCGCTCCACGATCTTGCCATGCGTATCTGCACTGCTTGAGTTTGAGTTCTCGCCTAGCTCTCCCGACCATCTGACTGTGCCTTAGCGAGTGCCACCAAGGCCGAATGGGTACGGCAATGAGCCAATGGCCTCCAGACGCCCACGCAGAGTACCGGATGTGGTGAATGGCGAGATTGTACGTTGTAGGGCAAGTCGTATCCTGTGTGTTGTTGTCGTTGCAGAGAGGGAGGTGGAAAGAAGAGAAGAGGTGAAGTTGGCTTGGCTGGCTGTCGGATGATCTCACCCGAGCGTGCGATCCGACCTCCTCTCCTCTTTCCTCTGCCTGCCCTCGGCGACGACACGAGCTTGTCGAGACGTCTGACATCAATGGCAGGCTCGCACATTTTTGCGTACAGATAAGCTGAGGAGGTAGTATACAATTTCACTCTTCATTTCCATTGACCTCACATCCACCATGACAGCCGGCAGTAGTATTGACCCCAACCATCCAGCCTTCGCCCACATCCCCGTCTGGGTGCAAGAGAAGCTCTCCCCGAAAGCCGTCCAGACGATCCAGAAAGTTCACGACTGGGTCGAGAACGAGTGCATCCCCGCCGAGCCGATCGTCAAGGCGCAGATTGAGCAGGATAAGAAGACGGAATGGAAGACGCCCAAGCTCATCACGGAGCTGCGGGAGAAGGCGAAGAAGGAGGGACTGTTCAATCTCTTCTTGCCGAAGAGCTTTGGGCATTTGAGTCCTGGGTTGACGAACTTGGAGTACAGCTGTTGTGCGGATATCATGGGCAAGTGTTATTGGGCCGCTCAGGTGAGGAGATTGTTCAGTGTTGAGAGCATGGGCTTATGTGCGGTAGACGATGAATTGTCACGCTCCGGATACGGGCAATATGGAGCTTTTGGCGAAGTACTGCAATGAAGAGCAGAAGAAGAAGTGGTTGCAACCTCTCCTCAACGGCGAGACGTTCAGCGCCTACTCGATGACCGAGCCAGACGTCGCCTCTTCCGACGCAACCAACATCTCCTGTCGAGTCGAGCAAGATCCTTCTGATCCTAACATGCTCGTAATCAACGGCCGAAAGCTCTATGGCAATTGCAAATGGAACGCAGAACTGGGCTTCTACATCCTCATGGCTTGCTCCGATTCCAACAACCCCAACCCGTGGTCTCGACACACCATGGTCATCGTACCCAAGGACACCCCAGGCTTCCGCATGGTCCGCAACCTCACCATCATGGGCTACGATCACGCACCAGAGGGACACGGCGAATACCTCTACACCAACGCTCGTGTGCCGAAAGAGAACATCATCCTCGGCATGGGCCGCGCCTTCGAGATCGCCCAAGGACGTCTAGGGCCCGGCCGCATCCACCACTGCATGCGTCTCCTAGGCCAGACCGAACGAGCGTACGAGCTCGCCCTCCTCCGTGCCACAGACCCAGCCAAGAAGCCTCGCGGCAAACTCATCGGTGCCTTCGACTCCAACATCGAACGCCTCGCGCACATTCGCATGACGCTGGACTCCCTCCGCGGCGTGGTGCTCAACGCTGCGCATACTATGGACGTCCGCGGGAACAAAGCAGGGAAATACGCAATTGCGCAATGCAAAGTCCTCGTGCCCGCGCAGTGTGCCGAACTTATCGATGAGTGCATGCAGATGTATGGTGGACAAGGACTGACGCAGCATACACCTCTGCCGGAGATGTGGACGTATGCGAGATTTGTTAGGATTGCAGATGGACCTGATGCGGCGCATCGACATCAGGTTGGCAGAGATGAGATCAAAGGGGCTGGCAAGGTGAGGGAGAGACATGAGGCGTATAGGGAGAGATATCGAGAACTTTGTGGGAAATGGGGAATTGAAGAGGAGACTTTTGGGATGCCGAAAGATGGCAGTGAAAAGGCCGGGATCATGAGGACTGACTAGTTCTTCACAGAGTATATCTGTACAGAGGACTTCGATCACCCATGTCTTGCAGCTGCTCAGGCGTATACATCGCCCTGATCTCTTCCTCCGTCATCGCCTCCCGCTTCTTATTAACCCTCTCCAGCCCAAACCTCAACGCAAACCCCGCCGCAATCGCCAGCACCAACACAGCGAGCGAAACCGCATACCCCGTCCAGTAATGCGGCGCCTCCAACTTCAAGTAAATATTCGACCCAACCGCCCCGCCCAAATTCCCAATCGTAATCTGCAACGCAACCCCAATAGCCCGCTTCCACGACCCCGCCAAGTTATTCGCATTCCACGCAATCACACCACAGAGAGGCGGATACAGCCCGGACGCAATCACGAAGAGCATCCCGTACCGCGCCCCAGGCCACTTATCCTTCGGCAACGCCATCATGGCCACGAACCCCACCGCGCAGACCATGTAAGGGTAGACGATAAACGGCGCCCGACGCTTCGTGCGGTCGGCAAAGAACGCCGTGATGAGCACGAAGACCAGCGCGACGCCGTAGACGGGAATCGTGAGGAGTTGGGCGTTCGCCTGCGAGTACCCGAGGTCTTTGATCGCGGTCGGCAGGCTGAAGATGAAGCCGTAGCCGGTGATGGTGTTGCCCCAGAAGACGAGGACGGAGAGGTGGATTTTCCAGTCGGTGAGAGCTTGCAGGAGGTATTTCCATTTGAATGTTGTTTGGTCCTTGGCGCCGTTGCTGTAGTCGATTGCCAGGCGGTGGAGGTGGGAGGTGCGTTCGGTGGGGGTGAGGAAGCGGGCTTGGGAGGGGTGGTCGTGGAGGACGAAGGGGAGGATGAGGGCGAGGAGGACGGTGAGGAGGCCTTCGAGGATGAAGCTGGTTTGGGCGTTAGCATTGATGTGGATCTAGGAGAGGGGAAGTGATGCTTACATCCATCTCCAGCCTTCAAGACCTGCGATTCCGTCCATCTTCTCGATGCCGAACGCTAGGGGTCCCGAGAAGGCTCCTGCCATGGTCGCGGCACAGTAGAAGATCGCCAGCCGGGTCTGCATCTCATGGCGACAGTACCAGGTGGTGAGGATGTAAGAGGCTGCAGGGAAAAGCCCAGCCTCGGCCACACCCAGAAAGAATCTGGCTGCGAGAAGCCCACCGTAGCCTTGCACGATTCCCATGAGCGTCATGACCGTGCCCCAGCAGAGCACGATTATAGGTAGCCAGACAGTGGGGCGAAGCCATTTGAGGACGATGTTGGAGGGGACTTCGAAGAGGGAGTAGGGGAAGAAGAAGATGGTGAGGCAGAGGTTGTATTGTTTCGAGGAGAGGCCGAGGTCTTGGGAAAGGCCTGCTACGTTGGCGTTGCCGACTGTGATGTGGATCAGTAAGAGACTGTCAGGCCGATACGTGCTACAACTGACTGTTCGAACGATCCAAGAACGACATCAGGTACAGAGCGGTCAAGACTGGGAGGAGTCTCAGGTCGATCTTGCGGAGGATACGTTTGACCTCATCTTGGTCGAAGTCAGGTGGAGTCTGCTCAGCGACTGTCTCAATGTCCTTGTGCTTCTCATGGTCAAAGATTTCGACGTGAAGATCGGAGCTGCTCTTCTCCAGAGAGCCAACGTGCTGTGCCATGGTTGAGGAATGAGGCTGTGATCGAGCGTTGAGTGAATCCGAGTCTCATCGTCCTCCATCGACAAGGTGAAGTTGCCTCTTCTTATACCTCTCACATCTCCCCTTCGCCAAGCGGCACCGCAAATCCCCCTCCTAACATTCAACACCGACAGCTTGAGCCTCACATGCATCTCCAAAGCTTCCCCATCCGCGGAGAGAAACCCAAAGCTCACTGCCAAAGCCTCAACCATTCTCCAGGAAACCGCAGACATACAATGGGCACGTGGCCATTCTCTACCGCACCTTCCGATCTTTATTCCCGGCGCCCATTCACATGCCCACCCGCTCCAAACTCTGCGCCCCACCCAACTTCCTGTTTAAGGGTTACCGGATTTGCGGAGTGGGATTCGCCACACACAACACTCCGCTTGTAGGTCTTGGTATCCTGAGGCCAAGGTTCTGGGCATGGCAGTGGGTTCTGAGTTCCGGGTATAGCTGAATTTGCACGTGGGAATTGCGAGGAAGGCGCTGCGGGTGTGGTTGGGGAGGATTTTGGGCGGGAGAAAATATTGTTGATGAAGGGTAGGAGGAGGGAGTGCGGTTCTGGGCATTGGCTTCGAGAGCGACTGACTCGACGTCTGCTATTCTGGTCGTCCTCAATCCCGTGGAAGTTGTCGCCACGAGAAGATGAAAAATCTGCCAAAGCAAGATTTCCGACTGCAGTCTGCATGCGGGCTCCACGGGAACATCGCTGTTGTTTCCAGGGCCTTGTTGTCAATAGGTGCGCGTCACATCCAAGTGAATGCTTTCATCAATTGAGGAGAACACCATCCGAGTGAAAGAGATACGTCCAGCAAGGTGGCCAAGAGTCAAGAGAAGGCGAAACCTTCACAGTTTCTACATACTCCCATGGTATTTGATACATCACGTCGTCCATCCCAGAAGCCTTTTACACACAAAAACGCCGAGCATCACAGCCTTTCCAACGCCGACCCCTTTTTGCCGAAGCATCATCTACTCTGCGCTCGCACCACTCCCGAGGCGTCCCATCCGCTCGATGTTCGCTCGCACACCACCGCCTGTGACACGACTCCTACCAATACCACTGGCCGCACCGCGTCCAATCTTGCTCTCGCCTGGCATAGGGATGCCACCGCCTGGTACACGTAGCGACGACGGAGGCCGACCGATGCTCTTCCTGAAGTCTTCGACCACGCTCATGGCACCTTGGGAGGGACCTTGCTCGGATTGCAAAGCAAGCATCTCATCGACGGCAGCCACCAGATCTCCTTTCTCGATGCGTTCTTGCTCAAGTTCGCGCATGAGTTGGTCTTGCTGTTGCTGCGATGTCTGCATTTCGTTCTCAAGGCGTGCGAGATGGGCTCGATGTTCCTTGATCTGGGCCTTGAGTTCCGCCTCGGCCTCCTTCTGGGCTTTGGAAGGTGAGGTGCCGTGGAGAGGACCAGAGAAGGTCGCATCCTTCGCAGCGAGCAGGTCTTCGTTTTGCTTTTCGAGTTCACCCAACTTCTGTTGCAGCTCGGCGCACTTCTTCTCCCCACGAGCCTCGTAGCTCTTCTTCAGCGTCGCCACCTTGCGCTCGTGCTTCTCCTTGTAGACGGTGTGCAGCTCACGACTGACCGCCTCGATCTTGGCGTCGATCTGAGCGGCCACCAGGCGTTGGACCTGCTCTTCAACCGCAGCTGGGTCGCCATCTCCTGAGCTGGCCCTAGCAGCCAAAGATTCGGCGAATCGCTCCTCTGCCCTGATCGCCCTGGCCTCAGCATCTTCGGCTCGTCTCTCACAGTCGTCCATTTTGCGAAGGAGCTCCTCCTTTTCCGACTCTCCCTTCATGACCTCCTCTTTGACGCTCTTGAGAACATTCTCAACCTCTTGTCCGCGCTTCTCCCAGCTTGCCTTCTCTTGCTCAGCCCACTCGCGTCTATCCTTCTCCTCACGTAAAGTCTCTTGCGCTTCACCCACACGACGCTCAGCATCACCGACCGCCCGCTTGAGACTCTCGACCTCTGCTTCACGGCCACTCAAAGTTGCCTTGAGAGAGGAGATCTGTGATAGATATGACGACTTGAGCGACTCCAGCTCGCGGACGGTAATGGTAGGGACAGATCGAGGGGTTGGCGCAGGTGGAAGCTCAAAGTCGAGGAGATGCAGGATGTTGTTCTCCTTGCGAGGTGTGGAGTAGGTGTGATTGCTGGACTTGTTGGGTGACCGCTGGCTGTTCATGTACTTGAGCAGATCTGGCTGGGTGTTGGCCTTGGCTGGTGAGTGTCTGTAGGAGCCGACACTCTCCATCTGCTGGGTGAAGTCTATGAGGAAGGTGGTACCATCGTGATTCGCTGGAGTCTTTAGCCGACGCGGTGTGGGAGATGGGGAGCGGGAAGGCGACGAACGCTTGCGGGACGTGCGTGGAGTAGCATCAACACCTTTCCCTGGCGTCCTCTGCATGTCGCCGCGCTTGGTGGGACTCTGGCCCAGCTTGGCGAAGACGGTCATCTCGGGGATCTCAGAGAAGGCGCTGAAGCAGGTGTCGTCCAGGTTGCTCGAATCGTGGTGTGGTTGTGCGTGGGACATGTGCGAGGCGCGCAGGTCGAGGCCGGCTTGGAAGGAAGATGCGCCGGATGAGTTGGTGTCGGTTCGCTCAAGGCCATTGTAGGAGTTGCCGCGGAGAGCGCTCTGTCTCGGCATGTTGGCTGCGCTTTGGGAGGTGTTCAGGGCAGACCGCTTGGGGGTGCGGCGTGTTGATGGCGGCGGCATCAAGTCGGAGTCTTTGCTGCTCCTCCTCTTCTCCGTCACCGGCGACGCTGCCCGCTCGATTGGCTTCTCTTCGGGCGTGCATGGGCGCGAGTTCTTCTTGGGCGAGAAGACCAGCTTCTGCGGGGATGTCGTGGTGTGTTGCTCCGGCACGTTCTCCTTGTCCTCGTCCATCATGTCGTCTCCTGCCGACTGCTTCATCGGCGTCGCGAAGATGTCCAACGTCTGCTCTTCCATGTGCGTCTCCATGCGGGTCTCGGTGGTGGTATGCGACTCCCACTGCTTGCTCATGGTGCGGCTCTCGACGTGGCTCTGGAATGGAGAGCTACCCGGGCCGTCCACGTCGAAATCGAGCATGCTGTCTTCGACTTGCGGGACGAGTTGCGCCGACGGTGAATCCATCGTGTCTTCAGTGCGTGGGAGCAGTTGTTTGGTACGGCGGTTGGGATTCGGGGTGTCTCTGGCCAAGTCGCGATTTGGCGTCGGTCGAGCACCGTCAACAAGCGGCGTTGCCATGGCGACGCCAGCATCCTTGCCCATGACCTCTTCTCTTCGACCTCGTCTCACATTTGCCGCACTACCTCATCATTCACCTACCTACGGGTACAGATGTGGAAGCCGTCTCCGCTTCGATTCGTACTCGCCATGTCATCCTCCAGGGCGAGGCATTCCGCGGAACCGAGCTGATGGCGACGTGCCCTGAACAAGGATATGTCCCAGAATCCCACCTTCGCCAAACGTGGCCGGAGGAGTCGTTATTAAACGAAAGAGGCTTACGACTTCGCTCGCGCAGGACGTCCGAGATGCGGCAGTCGCTGGGTTCGTTGGTCATCCGCTGGATTCCTGACTGTCCTCCAGCTGCTGAGCCCAGAGCCGCGAGCTGCACCCTGAATCCTTCCGCTCTTGTTCAGCTGGGCTGGCCTCTCAGGCAGCACCTCACCCTATGCTCGCTCTCTTTGCTAATGGACCTCGCGAGTCGATGAGTCGCCAAGCTCGCCTCTCTTTCACTCGCGTTCAGGAATCGTTGAACCTAGTCGGTTTGGCCTACTTAGGGCTTGGGGAGCAACCTTTCTAGCCTGCATATAAGTATTGACTTCACCTACATGTATACCGGCTGAAGTGGGAGCTTGTCTTTTTCACATCGCCATTCCAGTCTCTGATTCTTCATCTACCCTATCTCATATTCAACAACAAAATGTCTCAACAAGTATGGCTCGTGACGGGATGCAGTTCCGGCTTCGGCGAACAGTTCATCAAGACCATCCTCGAACGCGGCGACAAGGCCATTGCCACTGCTCGCAAGATTGATTCCATCAAGCACCTTGCAGATCTCGGCGCTGCCACTTTGCAGCTGGATATGACCGACTCTGGACAACTCATGGATAAGAAGGTCAAGGAGGCTGTTGACATCTATGGCAAGATCGATGTTATCGTGCAGAACGCTGGATACGGATATATTGCTACTCTTGAAGATATTGAGTAAGGATTGAACCTGAAGCCTTCCAAAGTTGAGTGGTCGCTGATGGTTTTGACAGGGAGGACGCTCTCCTCAAGCAATTCGACACCCTTGTCTTTGGTGTGGTTCGCCTCACACAAGCCATCACTCCTTACTTCCGCAAACAAGGCTCTGGCCACATCGTTCTGGTCTCTTCACTTGCCAGTACCACGGCCATCCCAGCAGCCGGTCCCTACTCTGGAGCCAAAGCGGCTGTAGAATGTGCGATTTCCCAAATCTCGCCCACCTATTTTTCGAACAGCTAATGACACACGAACAGCCTTCATCAAATCCTACGCCCAAGAAGTCAAACCCGCCAACATCAAAGCCCTCATCCTCCAACCAGGCTCCTACCGCACCAACATCCGCGAAGTCACCCGCTTCAAAGAGAACCTCCCCAAATCCACCACCGAACACCAAGCCCTCTACGACAACGTCACCAAACTCATGGAAGCCACCCACGACACGCAGGAAGGCGACCCCCGACTTTTCTGCGAGCTGGCCTGGGATCTCGTCAAGGGGACCGGTGTCGCGGAGGGGAAAGAGATTCCCTTGGCGATTTCGACGGGTGGGGAGGCGGTGGATTATGAGTTGGCGAGGCGGGAGAAGGACTTGAAGGAGTTGCAGGAGTGGGAGGGCGTTGTGAGGAAGACGGATTTTCCCGGGGCGAAGAAGGGGTGGAGTTTGACTGAGATATAGAGGAGAGTGCCCACTTCTCCTTGTGGGAACTAACAAGATTGAAATGAAAACAGATGTACACTGATAGACCCCACTCAAACGTGTGATAGGATTTCTTAGGGGTGAAGATGTGAGAGCACGGATAATCCTCGGGCACACTCGTTTCTCTCCACCTTCTGTACTGCCGAGGGTACCTCATCAATCCTACAACCACTTTATCGCAACTTCTACCCCGACAACATCGATAAGGTCGGGCCAAAGCATGACGACACGGCCACGACGAGACGAGACGCTCATGGCGCGGGGTATCATACCCATAGCCGTGCAGATCGGCAACCTCACTGACTCTGATCTGATGGCAGTTCATCGTCTGGCGCTTCTTCGCCGGAGCAGGCACCTTCATGATCCTCTCCGCCGTTCCAATCTACATGACCGAAGCAGTTCCACCACGAAACCGCGGCATGCTCGTCGACATCCATGGCGCCGCTCTGCTCTTCGGGTATATGAGCGTCATCTGGGCCGGGTATGGATTCTACTTCTTCAAGAATCCTAACAATTGGCGAGCGATCTTCGCTCTACAAGCTACTTACCCGTTGATTGTGCTGTGCATGCTGCTATTCTTACCCGAATCGCCAAGATGGTTGATCTCGAAGGGGAGAGATCAGGAGGCGAGGAGGATCCTGGAGAGGCTGCATACTCCGCAAGAGGCAGAGGTCGAGTTTGAGCAGATCACGAGGCAGTTGGAGATTGATCGCAACCTTCCAAGCAGCTACATGTCCATGTTCAAGAAGAAGTCCTACCGCAAACGAAGCTGGCTGGCACTGGGAACGACCATGGGGATTCAGTTCTCAGGTACTCCATCCCTCCTCCCTCCCAACCATCAAATCCCCCTAACATCCCACCCCACAGGCATCCTCGTCATAAACAACTACCAACCCACCCTCTACGCAACCCTCGGCTACCAAACCGAGCGCCAACTCCTCCTAACCGGCGGCTGGATCACCCTCGCCTGGGGCAGCGGCATCATCGGCTGCTTCATCATCGACCGCCTCCCGCGCCCCAAACTCATCGCCAGCTCCCTCGCAGGCTGCATGGTCTGCCTGATCATCGTCGCAGCTTTGATCGCCAACTTCGTCCCTAGCGATAATGACGCCGCTCTGCAAGCCATCGTCGCGATGTTCTATATATATGTTGTCTTCTACGAAGCCGGGCTCGATGGCACGCAGTTTGCGTATCTGGGGGAGCTCTTTCCGACGCATTTGAGGGCGAAGGGGATGAATTTGGGCGTGGCGGGGATTTGTCTTATGAATATCGTGTGGTTGCAGTCGGCGCCGACGGGGATCGCGAATGCTGGGTGGAAGGTATGTCCTGAATTTCGGGTGGTTGATAGGGATGGGTTGACTGATGGCGGGTGTAGTATTTCCTCGCGTACATTATCCCGGGGTGTTTGACTTGTGTTGGGATCTGGTTGTAGTAAGCATCATCTTCCTCAAGATATCCAGGACTTTGAAGATACTGACCTCTGCCCAGCTTTCCGGATACTTGGGGCGTACCGTTGGAAGAGATCGCTGCTATGTTTGGGGTCAGTATACCCTCTCTCGAAGACCGCGTCCTCTTGAGCTGACTGTTGTGACCAGGATGCCGATGAGCTGAATCTTGTGCCTCAAACTGAGATAGGTGCAGGGACGGCAAAGTCCTCAGGGACAGAGCATGTCGACAGTACGGAATTGGAGGAGAAGGATAAAGAAGCAGCATAGACCAGGATGCTGAGTTAGAATGGTCCACGAGATCTTTACTCACTAACAGTAGATCACGGCACATCAGTAGATCAAGACCACCCCTTCACATATAGCCTTTCTCACACATGCCTCCTCCTCGCCCACTTAATCAAAAACTCCCTCCCCTCCAACCGATACGTATCCTCCTCGACATAATTCCCACCCTGGTCTTCCGTCTGCAACACCAAATTCGACCCCCTCCCATACCTCGGCCACACAGGAAGATCCACACCATTCGGATCCCCCCGATACACGAAATGGATCCACTGCGCACTCATCTGATCACTCAACCCCTCATACCCATCCCAAGGCCCCACGAACGCCGGATTATTGAACACGAACGCCACCTCGGAGAAATGCGCCACGCCTCTGTACGCGGGGCGTAGAGAGCCCGTGTAATCGGTAAACGTGGCGTTGGTGTTGTTGAGCCAGGAGCGGGTGTTGAAGCGGTAGATGTACGTGTCGTCGTGGTGTTGGGTGTACGCGCGGGCGTCGAAGAGGCGGGGCGCGTGGTAGAAGACGTCGCCGGCGATGGCGGCGCCGCGTTTGTATTGCCAGCCTTGGGAGGCGAAGCGTTCGGCGCCGGTGTTGAGGGGGATGCCTTGGGTGGGGTTGTCGGGGTAGAGACGCATGATTTCCTCGACGGTGGAGTTGGGGAAGCCCCAGCCTGGGGAGGAGGTCAGCTTTTTGATGTAGATATGTACTGAGTTGAAGATGACATACCTGTCTGCGTGGAGATGTACCACCTCGCATCCTCATCGGTATTCAGCACACCATCTGAAGGGGCGTTATCTGTTCCTTCATCCGAGTTGGTGCCATAGAGATGCGGGATATGTGCGGATCTTCCCTCTTCGAGCAGAATGCTGGGATAGTTTGGGATGACATCTCCATCAACAACGGGGTAGAAACTTGGTCCAGTGACAACGGAAGTGTTCAGAAATGGGTACAGCTCGGCGTACGGAATAGTTCGTAAGCAGGCAAGAGTATCGATGGCGTCTGTGCAGTTCACTTGCGACACCACCTTGTCGTATATAGGTTGGTACCAGTCACTGCTGTTATACCATGCAGTAGTGGCGCTGCCGGATTGTTGGATCGAGCGGTGGAAAAGACCATCCGAGCGACCACCATAAGTTAGAAGAAGTTGGCCGACGGCGAACGAGCCCGAGCTTTCGCCCCAGATGGTGACTTTTGACCTGTCGCCGCCGAAAGCAGAAATGTTCTCTTGGATCCAGACGAGTGCTTTGCGCATGTCGCGGAGGGAGAGGTTAGCCTGGCCGGCTCCCTATGCCACTGTTAGTGAGCTGATCTGATCCATCCGTATACATGTCTCTTGATACCTACCTGAACCTCCCTGCTATAGCGCATTCCCCACCCGCCCTTTCGATAGTTGATACTCGTTGCAACAATGGGCTTCCCAATTTCAACAGATCTCTGCACGATGTACGTCAAGTTGTAGTCAGGCCGGCTACTCGTGCCAGTCTGATAGCTCCCGCCATGTATCCATGTGACGACTGGCAGATTGCTGGCCTTGTTGATCCCAGCAGGTCGGATGACATTGATGCTCAAGCAATTCTCACCAACGCCGTAGGTAAAGGCGTCTGTAAAGTAGTCGGGACAAGCCTCGCTGTAGTTCTTTGCGTCGCGGACTCCTGCCCAGGTCTCGTTCATAGCTTGTGGAATGCGGAAGCGGTTCTGGTTGCTGGTATCTTGTGCGTATGGGATTCCAAGGAAGACATCTTGGTCGAAGTTGGGAAGATAGAGGCCTTCGTAGGTACCGTTCAATACTGTGACTTGGGGACTAGCCGAGTCTCTGCTCTTGAGATCGACGGCCAGGGCAGGAAATGCAGGAACAAGCAAAAGCGATAACATATCGAAACCCCTCATCTTGACAGAAGCGTACGAAATGCATGAAAGAAGACATGAAGTGAGATGTACCTACATGTCGCCTGTGCAACCCTCGCAGAACCCGAGCGTGCATCTTGGCAGCGGCGGGTAGGGTGCACTGCAGGAACTCGAGACTTGGCCGTCGGCCGGTACGTGTTGGTGGGTGTACTCGCCTAGCAAGACAGGCTCGGTCGATCTGAAGGCGCTCTTGGCACGATTGCGAGGTTTTGGTGCAGTCTGGCGGGCTCGCAGCATGCAGCACCGCAGAGCGGAGAAAGATAGGCCAGAGCCGGTATCTGGTGCAGAGGCATGGCTACGGTGGGCTATATATGTCTTGACTCGACTACGGCGTACTGATTATGAGATCTGCTGTGAGGAGATATCGGAGTTAGCTGAGGCAGGTTGAATGATCTGTTGCGGAATAGGCTCACGCATTTCGAAATCAATAAGGTGATGAAAGTGAAGCATCTGGTGATTTCAATGGGTCGATGTCAACAGTATGTCATCCTCGAGCACAGTGCCGAGTTTTCTTTCCCGTGAGCAGGGAGGCCGAGTCACGTGATTGTGGGCTACGCGACTTCCTCTTTCACGCCAATAGCAGAATGTGTGTGAATGAATTTGATGCTTCATTCTGGGTATCTCGGTGTAATTGATGGAGATTTGATTCAATTTAAATGTGATGACTAGGTAAATTGATCAAATGTTGGCGACGAGATGTCTCGACGCATAGGCCAATGATGGCGGAGAGCCCCCCAGATTTGTGACGCGCAGCAGCAGCCAGCCCCAGCCATCTCTTGATCGAGGGCAGGTCTTGCTTGCTGCTTGCTGCTGCTGCTGGCTGTTGCTAGCGCGCTGCCCTCGACGACCGCACTTCCACCCTCGACCTTCCTCCCGACTCCCTTTTCCTCACCACTCTCCACCACCCACTCCCATCCCATCTCACCCCCATCGTCTGCACTCCGCGACGACATTGTTACCACTGAATACTCTGCGCTCCGCCCCGCGACCGCACCACGCCTCTTGCGCCAAGCACTCTGTGTCCACCCGCCTCCACCTCTCGCAATGGCCGACACTCAGCCCAAGGAAGGCGACCAAGGTATGCCACCCCTCCCACGCCGGTCGCGTACACCCCCGTGAGCTCCGCGATGCGTTGGCGACGACACCCTTCCAAACCCGCCGTCGCCGATGAGCCTGTCGCGTCCCCAATGCCATCGCGATTGCTTAGTCATCGCGTCTCACTGTCCACCTGCTGTCCTAGTGTCTGCTGCTTCGAAACGCCATCCCTGTCCGTCTGCCTTCAGTACAGAACGCATGGCTAATGCCTTGTTTCACTTGCAGTCTCCTGGGCTTGGGGCTCGGGCAAGCCTGAAGGTCAGGTCGCCGAGGCCAAGGAGCAGGGCGACGTTACCATGACCACCAAGAACAACAACGAGGTCAAGAAGACGGGCGAGCCTGAGAACCCTGCGCTGCACATCGAGCGCGATGGCCACAACGTCGTCAAGAAGGCTTCAGAGGTCGAGGTAGAGGAGTCTGCCGACAAGAAAGACGAGAAGCCGGAGGACAAGAAGGATGATGAAGAGAAGAAGGAGAACGGCGACGCCGAGACTGGCGAGAAGCGCAAAGCTGAGGAGACCGCCGAGGAGAAGAAGGATGAAGAGGCAGATGCCAAGAAGCAAAAGACTGATGAAGAGCCCAAGGCCAACGGCGAGGCTCCCAAGAAGAAGGGCCGACCTGCCAAGAAGAATGGCGACGCCCCAAAGAAAGAGACCAAGAAGCGTGAGCCCAAGCGAGCTGCCACCGAGACGGGCGAGCCTCGACGATCCGGGCGCAACAGGTCGTAGTCGCCTTTACCCACCTTCTGCGCGTTCTTCAACTCAAGCGCGAATCGCCACCAGTGCAGCGGCGACAGAAAGACGGAAAGCGATCAGGCTTCATGGCGTGGATGGATTGTTTGTCGACTACGATGGATGGCACGGGCGTACTTTTGATGAGGGACTGCGGCAAAACGGAGGGCGGCGGTGGCAGGCAGGTTCCGAAACACAAAAGCCTCGTTATTGTTTGGGTATGCAACCGCTTCCTTCGTGTATTGTATAGTAGCTTCACTGCTATCCGTGTCCTTAGGTATGAAAAGATGTTTGTTCTGCGCTGTACAGAGTCCATTCATGTCACCGCGCCAAGCCGATCCGCTGCAGAGGGAATCTGGACTTCACTCGCTCCCCTTTGTCCGCACAACAGAGACATATCATTATGTGGAAACAATCACCCTTCAATGTGCTCACATTCTGTATAGTCTCGACAATAACATCGCGTGCGCTTATTGCTGTAGGATATGCACTTCACTTGCGCAGCTTCGACGATAGCAAGCGCTATTGTGAGCTTTCTATTGTGGTGAGAGAGTAGGCCCACGCAGGCTCATAGGACTTTATTCCTTCGTCTCTTCGTCAGTGATACAACACCTCACAACGCTTTCGTCTCGCGCCCTTTTCGTTCACATACGCAGAAAACAGTACTCCCAAGCGCAGGCCGCCCAAATTTCACATCATATCCCGTCAAGCAGCATGGCCTCACCACGATCATCCCCAGCTCTCGACGACGCTCCCTGCTCTCCAACGGCTGCTGGACAGCCTGGATCCTCGCAGGTTTGCGGGGATAGCAGCAAGAACCGGCCCCTCGGCAACGAGGTGGCATTTTTCAACCATCGGGCGGCCCACAAGGCGCTTCAGGGGCTCAGAGAAGCCACGGCGAGGCAGTACACCGCCAAGAACATCGAGCACTCGGACGCGCTGGAGACCAGAACTGCGGCCGCGGCGCGTCATTCGCGTTCCCGGGAGAAGCGCAAGCACTACCGCTGGGTGATGGTGAACGCATGGCTCCATGTGAGCGAGGATCAGGAGCAAGGCATTGGCGGCAGCAACGACGAGCAGTGGGAATTGGAGACGGCGTCCAACGTCTCAGAACCAAACTCACTCTTCGACGAGAACGTCATGTCAGCGAAGGAGAAACACAAATCCGCCAAAGAGGCCGTCACCACCATCTGGGAGGAGATGCGAGCCATCCGTACGCAACTCAACCAATACAACCGCATGATTGCCGATCTGGAGAAGCAGTACCCCGAGCTTGGAGGCCACCACATGGGCAAACACCGCGGCACCAAACGCAAGGCCGAATCGACCTCTGACGAGAAGAACGAAGCCGAAGCACCACCAGCGAAGCGAGCCAAATCAACCATCCCCGACAAACATCAGAAGGCCGTAGACGACTGGCACAAGACCTGCACGACCGTTCTGAAAGCCCACGGCGAACTCAAAGAATTCCCAGCACCCATCGCATGGGATTGCGCTTCCCGCGAGATCTGCAACCGCAACCATCCAGACCTCAACAGCCCGACCGCCCGTGTCCTCCGCGCCTGCGAGCACAACATCCGCGAGGCCTGTGACCATCTCACAAAGCGCGAGCTGAAGCAGTACATGACCATGTTCCACCCCGACAAATTCTCGGCGGTTCAGCAGGATGACAAGCGCAAGGCGTGGCAGCTCATGACGAACGAAGTGTTTGTCGTGCTGAGCGAGATGTTTGAGAAGAAGGATGATGATGATGAGACGACTCGGGCGGGTTCTACGACGACGACGACGACGCAGAAAAAGAAGAAGAGCACGAATTGCACGTGCGGCTTTGAGAGGGGTGATCCGACGGCGACGGGCTGTACGTGTCGGTTTGATTAGGCGAGGACTTCAGATGATGTTGCGAAGATGAAGAGATTGCGCGGGTTGCTGTGGTATTGTACAGGCGCGAGAAAACGATGTGGGCGATGAGATGACATGGAAGGGATATGGTTCGCAGCTTCCTAAATCGGAAAGGAAGGCTTGAAGTGCTCGCCATAGCTTGGCCAGATAATGCCATTGGAGCTTTTGCCGATAAACATCCCGGCACGCACACGACTCCTCATCACAAGCTGTAGCAAGCACTTTCTCAAGGCAAGCTTGTCGGTTGAGAGTGGGCGAGGGCTTGGTACTCTGGGGTCGATTGGTTCGGCCTTGGGCTGTATGCTAGATAGGCAAAGGAACTGCTTTCGAAGCACCGCGCGGTGGCAAAGGGACTTGGCATGGCTTTTGCTTTATCGTGCAGATCATTCCACCTTTTTGCTCTCAATGTAACCGTGTGTATGTGGCGACTACTTGCTGGGAGATAGTGAGGTCCCGCAGTACCCTCTCTCTCTCGCGGCGCAACGTTGAGTGCAGGTGGGTAGAGAGCGAAATGCCGAAGTGGTGGGCGTATAAGATTGAGACGACTCCCGTACCTCACGAAACTCGTCTCGTCTTTCGTGCCGGTTATACTTTCGTACTTCAACCTTTTGTCGTACTCGACATATTTGGATCGTCAAGATGGGCCTCCCAGAAACAGACGAGAAGCACGTCTCGGTCCAACAAACCACCTCCAACGACTCATCGCCACCCCGATCCCACTCCGTCAACGTCGAAACCCACCAAGTCCAACTCAAAGACGTCGACGAAGCGGCCAAGTTCGTCGCCGGTTTCCATGGCACCATCACGGAAGAAGACAGCCTGCGTGTGCGCCGCAAAATCGACCTGCACATGCTGCCACTGATGATGATCCTGTACTTCGTCCAGTTCACCGATAAGACTACGCTTGGTTCGTCGTCCATTCTCGGGATTCGACAGGACAATCATCTTTCGCAGTCGCAGTACAACTGGCTGGGTACGATCTTCTACCTGTCGTATCTCGTCTTTGAATGGCCGCAGAGTCTGGGATTGCAGAAGTTCCCGCCGGGGAAGTGGATGGCGGGGAATATTCTCTGTTGGGGCGTTGTGCTGTGCGCTCATGCGGGTTGTCATAGCTTTGCTGGTTTGTTCGTCTGTCGCTTCTTGCTGGGTGTCTGCGAAGGCTCCATCACCGCTGGCTTCCTCATCGTGACGAGTATGTTCTACACGCACGCTGAAGCCACACGAAGAGTCGGATACTGGTTTCTCATGAACGGCACGGCGCAGATCTTTAGCGGCTTCGTGTCGTTTGGAGTATACCACGTGGATCCGAGTGTCATTGCCCCGTGGAAGCTGTTCATGATCATCACCGGACTGATCACGCTGATTGTGGGAACCTGCTTCTGGTTCTTCATTCCGGATTCTCCGATCAAGGCGAGGTTTCTGACCAAGGAGGAGAAGATCATTGCCGTGGAAAGGTTGAGAAACCAAAGTACTGGTGTGAAGAACAAAACCTGGAAGAGGGAGCAGTTCATCGAGGCGTTGACGGATTGGAAACCGTGGGCTGTGGGTGTCGTCTTTCGCCGTCTGGGAGCGATTGCTGACTTCTTGATTAGTTCGCCTTGTTTGCAGCGTTGGGCAATATCTCGAATTCACTTACCAACATGACGCAGCTGATCATCAGTGAGTATAGCCAAGTGACGGCACAGAACGCAATGTCTGACATTCTCTGGCAGAATCCTTCGGCTTCACCACCGAACAGACCACTCTGCTTGCGGTGGTTCCCGGAGTAATCGAGATCATCACCATCTACACCTCAGTGCTCGTCGTCAAGAAGTTTCCCAACTCTCGAGCATACGTCGGCGCATGCTACTCCATCCCCAACATTGTATCTGGAGTCTTGCTGATCAGCTTGCCGTGGTCCTGCAAGGGCGGCCTTCTCTTCGCCATGTACCTGGGAGGATGGGGAACACCCAGCTTCGTCCTGGCTCTATCCTGGTGCGCGGCAACCAACACCGGCCACACGAAGAAGACCACCACGAATGCCATGCTGCTGGTCGGATACTGCCTGGGCAACCTGCTGAGTCCGCAGATGTGGCAGGCCAAGTACGCTCCTCGATACTACATCCCATGGGGCATCATCCTGGGCGCGTACGTCGTGAATCCGATCATCTTGATCTTGATCAGATATTACTTGAACAAGGAGAACAAGCGTAGGGATGAGCTGGGCCATGAGAAGGTGGAGAAGTATTTGGATGAGAATGGGGATGAGATTGATCCTACGTTTTTGGATGTTACGGATCGGAAGAACATGGCTTTCAGGTATCCGTTGTAGAAGTAAAGCGGGTAGCTGTCGCCGGTAGACCCTTGATCCGCATGGTGATGGCGTAGGAAGCAGATAGACGTAAATGTATTCTCTCGAGGCGGCGCTGATAAGAGGGCGAGCTGATATCCATTCTCGTTGTCCGGTCTCTGGTTTCCTTGAGGATGAATTCGCTGATTCAAAAACCTTGACCCTCGCCAAGTGGTTAGTAAAATCCCTTCGCGGATTGGCAGTCGAGCGCATGTGAAGGAGAAGAAGAAGTGCATGTGAGTGAGTGAGCAGAGGAAGATTTGGCGGCTCGTGGTAGCGTCTCGGCCGACGGGAGCACCCGAGGATCCCTGCAAGCGGGCGCGTGCATCGTCACTTCTGAATGGAATGCCGCCCCGGGCTCGACTGTCTCCAACACAACAAAGACGCCGCCTTCCACTTGACACCACCCTCGATCCGACGACAACCTCCGCCAACCGACGACCGAAATATCTCAATCCATCCCAATATCATCAACGACGACGACCTCGTACACGCGCCGAACAGCTACCTCCACCTCCACCACCTTCTGCCAGGCGGCCGCGACCATGAGCGCATCGCCAGCTCAGGCGCCGTCAGGCCCCAACTCCGTCACCCCTACCACGGGAGGGCCACCGGCGCAGATGATGCGCAAGAAGCCGCCGGTCAACATCTTCAACAACAGCAAGAAGAAGCCGCTCAAGCGACCGCCAGGCCAGCGACCTGCTGCTCCCGGCCAGGCACCAAATGGAGCTCGCCCAACCCCTCTCCAGCAACAACCGCCAGTCCGTCCTCCTACACCTTCGCTCAATGGCAATGTATCCGCCGCGCCACCAGCAGCCGACGAGAATGAATACACCGACTATCCCATCGTCATCTCCAAGCGCGCCCTGAATGCGGCTGGCCAGCGCTTCCATGCCCTCAAGTTCCACAGTCGTAAGAATGAGAAGGGCGAGATCATCGAAATCAATCCCTTCGACGAGTCCCAGTTTGTCAAGCCGCTGCGCCTCCACCGCCGTTATGCGCGTGACAAGATGGAGGTCGCCGAGCAATCAGATGCAGCTGGCGGCGTGGACGACAAGGAGCGCGAAGTCATGAATGCGCGCCGAGCTGAACGCCAGGCCGAGCGGGAAGAGAATCAAAAGCTGATTGCGCCGACTGGAGGCGACACAAACAGGCCCATGAAAAAGAAGCAGCAGAAGAAGGTCGAGGAGGGCAGAGATGAGAGCAACCCAGCTCGACAGAAGCGACAAAAGCTGCGATACGAGGAAGCACGTCCGTGGCATTTGGAGGACTTTGAAGGCAAGAACGTCTGGGTCGGCAGCTACGAAGAGGCACTCTCAGAACGCAGCATCATGTTACAGCCCGATGTCAACGTCTTCCGCATGGTGCCTGTCGAGAAGTGGTACCGCTTTATCGAGACGAACAAGGTCAGGACCATGGACCCGGAAGAGGCCGAGAAGATCATGCAGAAGAAGTTTGGCGTGGGCAGATGGGGCTTGAATACACAGAAGGCGAACGACGAGCACCGGCGCGAGGAGGCTGTTGCACGTATCAAGGCTGCCCGCCAAGCCAAGCGCGAGGAAGATGACGATCGACGCGCTTTCGGTGGCGACGATGGTGACTTTCAAGCCGACAGAGACATGCTCGACATGGAGTTCAAGGACGAGTTTCAAGATGACGATGAAGGCATGCTCTTTCAGGGAGACGAGGGCGAGGATGAGAAGGAGATCGAGCAGAAGATCTGGCTAGAGATGCGGAATGCTGGACTTGGTGGCACTGGTGTCAAGGATGAAGATCTCGACCCTGAGGAAGAAGAGCGACGAAAGGCCGAAGAAGAGCGCGAAGAGAAGGACAAGACAAAGCAACTGCGCAAGCAACTCATGAAGAAAGAGCACCAGATCCAGTACGGCAGCGATGACGAAGAGTTCGACTCAGACGACAGCGACGAAGAGGACCAGCGCAAGAAGGAGGAACAGGAGAAGGAAGAGGCAGCCAAAAAGGCTGGTCAGGTCAATGGCGACAAATCTGGTTCGTCGACTCGAGGAACGAACACTCCCTCTGGACGACCCGAGAAGCGTCCTGGCTCGACATTGGGCAAACGGCCTGGCTCCCCAGACGTCTCTGATCTCAGTGGCAACGAATCGAGCCGCAAGAAGATCAAGAGTGCGAATGGTGCAGCCACCGCTCCAGGTCGTGCTTTATCTCGTAAGTTTCTCGTCTGGCTCATCTTGAATCATGTACTGACTCTTTACAGCGGATATGGCCAAGAAGAAGATTCGATCAGGAGGCGGCAGTGGCAGTGGTAGTGACACGGACACATCTCGCGGCCGCCCCAAGATCAAGCTCAAGAACAGCCCGCCAGGCTCTCCCTCCTCCAACACTCCAAATGGTTCACGATCTGGAACCCCAGCTGGTGGCAGCCGTGCTCAAAGCGCGAAGCCCAATGGCGGCGCCAAGGCGTTCCCAACACTCGAAGAGGTCCGCGCTGCCATTCCGCCCGATGGAATCGAGATCAAGACTCTTGTTGGCATGTTCAAGACTCAAGTAGCTGGACGAAGTGGCGAGTTCATCGCTTTGGTCAAAGCCGCTGGCATCCAGAACAAGACGAATGGGAGGATTATGCAGAAGACCTAGCCTGCCTCTGATGACAACTTTCCGACCCCCGCTGAGATTATCTCTTTCGTTCCAGGCCAGGGAATCGAGGTCTCGTCAGTCATGGAACACTTTGCCGGGAGATTCGAGCATCGAATGGCGGATTTCCACGCTTTGCTCAATCGCGCTTGCGTATTCGTCTGGCCACTCGGCTCTGACGCTCTGAGACTTCGGCCCAGGACTTTTCGCTCTACTACACCACTGAGGTTCGCTATGAGAGGCCCACGATGGTAGCGGGGTTTGTGTGGCTGCGAGGTCAATGCGTTGTGGATTAGTCAACTGGGTCCCATCAAAATTCGTCCCTCATATCAGGTCTTGTGATAGTCTAGGAAATGACATTGGCTCCACAATATTGCGGACTTCAATCATTATTTCACATACCGATGGTGATGTGCAGTGGTGCTAACAGTCGCAGAAAGAACTATAGCCACGACACGGCTTTCATAACCTGATTACTCGACCAGGTCAAACTTGGCTGGATTGGATCCCGGTAAGTCCAATACTCAAGACTTACGCCGAACACAGGTGAATAGCCGCTGTATCTAAAATTTACAACAGCACCAGTCCGATGACTGTTTCCGACGAGCCTCGAGATTCCTGAACTGCCTTCTTCAGACACGGAGAACCCAAGTATAGCAACGGCTACCTGCGTCGGCGCCCTCCACGTTTGAGCACAATCCCATTGTGTGGAGACACGGGCTGGTGCTGAGCGACTTATCAGACCCGCTCTTGAACGAGAATCTCTCCGCATTCAAAGACACGTCCTTATCCTGATTGAACCTCCTCGCAGTCAACGCTTTTCCCAAGAGACGGTGGTACACGACGTGCTGACCATGCATCTACGACCACCGTTTCAGATACTCGTAGCTGCATCTGTCTTCCGCAAGCTTTGCTGCTTATAGAGGGAACACTTACCACAGGCTACGAATGCCTTGTGGCCTCATCAATGCGGCCGAGCTGCGTGTTACCCGATCTCATGTCGTGGTGCATGGGGAGGTTATTCTGAGCGTTCCCCGTGGTGCCTGACATGGGTCTGCTTGCATGGCCGGCAGGGATGATGACGCTGTTCTCGATGCTTACTCGTGGACAAGCTTCCCGAAGGCTGGTTAGATTGAAGAAGTGCGTCCGTCTTGATGAATGGCTAACAATGAGTCGGTGGTGGTCAGTTCACTCAAAGCTCTGGGCATGAACACCGATGCGATCCATGCCTGGAGACTGCATTGCAGCTGTCAGCCCTGTGACGAAAGACTAAGGCGTGGAAGTTTCATATGTTCCTCTGGCAACGGACTTCAGCAATCCGGACAAGGCCCTCGACTCTCATCAATAAGGCAGCCAGCAGCAAAAGCCACGCATGCGTCGCGAAACTCCTCAGGCCCAACCGTCTTCAACCCTTGAGCCATAGCTTACGACGTGCAGCCACCAGCCGCAGCAACAAGGGCACAATATCTTGGCATCATACGCCACGGACCTGGCTTCTCGCAGGTACGCTCGTGCATTGATTTGTCCCAAAGCACGATCAGTCTACCGCCAACGTAATGCGCCTGCAATGCTGGGTTACACCACATATGTTTCTTCCGATGCTTCGGGCTTCTGGACCCAATTGGCATGGAATACGAAGGCCAAACACGTTGATGGCTCCACCGCATCACACTGCATGTTTGCGGGATAATACGAACGCAACGCACCTACAGCGGTATGCACTACGCCCTGCCGCCAGCAATTGCTCAGCTATAACAGACGCCTCCCACGGGACTGAATCACTGGTACCGACCTCTCGAATCTTGAAACACCCGACATTGCGTGGACAGACGAGTGCGGGAAGAAGACCTTATTATACTACTGCACGCTCCCCGGTGCGTTCGTTGCTATGCCGGGAGCGCGTGCGAATGGCTTCTTGCTATCCGATACCCCATGTCGTGGGGACCCGAACGCAGCTGCTTGACTCTGGCTTCACTTCCCCGGCCACTCAGTTTTCGACCCTGGCTTGTGCTGCACGTGCATAATTTCTAGCGGGCGTTGGACTTGATGTTACTTTTGGTGGATGAATGAGTCGGTGAAGAATATATCACTGTGGGCTTGCGCGGCCAAGATGCTCGGCCTGGGGAATAGTGTGCCTGGGCTAGCTTGAATACATTGCTTGGTCTTCTTTTACTGTGGTCACGACAGAAAAAAGGTCTTGTGATTGCTTGTTGGCGTTGTTCAATTGAAGGTATGCACATGCTCGACATATGCCATGATGTGGAGTCATTTGACTAATTGAACATATAACAGCCCCAAAACATCAACAACAACCTCCACACACTCGTCAACAACTTTGTCAACAACACCACACCTCAGACAGCAACACTCACCCACCCACCAAAACCACTCTCAACAACACGACCTCACAAGATGCGTCCCTCCCTCACCCTCAGCACCGCCCTCGCGGCCACGATCTACCTCCTCGCCTCACCAATCTCCGCCTCACCTGTCCAAGCCCGCGCCGCAGCGACCGTCTACGAATACATGTCGGCAACCACAGCATCCATCACCCCAGCCACCGCGTCATCCAACGTCCCATGCTCCAACGCCACCATCACCGACAAAGCCGACTGTCCCTCCGGCTGCACCGCCGCTCCCATCGCGGGCGCCCTCGGTGTCGCGACAGACTCCTGGTCGTGTATTTCGAAGCCAGCGGAGACATCTTGGACGAGCGTCAAGGCCACGAGTACCTGCTCACCTGGTTCGGCTGTGACAACGTACAGCCTTTATGGAGGACAGACGGAGCTGGGATGCAAAGCCACGGCGTCATGAACGGCGGGACAGGGCTGATGGATGAGGTTTTGTTTGAATGAGCGATGATATATGGGTTACGATGGGATGTTCTTCTTTCTCAATGGAATGGATGTACGGAGGAAAAGCGACACCTCGACGACAGAGAGTCAAAAGCAGCTTGTATGAAAATGACATTTATGATCGAGGTTTTCGTGCTTCAGGTGGTTGTGTCACCCCTTCACGTACCTATCTTCCGCAGTGGCGGAGTCTTGGGGAGGACTTACTCGTCCGTTCTTTACGGAGGCATCGACATCCAACAAATCCATCTCTATAAATACGGAGGATCGCGCGGTACAGGGCAGACGGAGGTAGTTTTCGACTGCCATCTGCGCCCGTTCGAAGCGCAGATCTCGCAGCGATCCCCAAGCGTTGAAACACCTAAGCGCCAGGCTGTTGGCGCCTATCACACAGCTCTCACGCTTGTCTAGCCTCAGCTTCAGAACTGGCAGCTGTCCTTCGCGCTGCTATCCTCACATGGTCTGCGTACAGTGCTCGACCAAATCTGTTGAACAAATACAATCTCCAATCCGCTCCGCAAAGAATTGGGATCGTTCAAGATTCCCTACGATCGAGCCCAAAACGTGCACGTACCATGACCGACTCACTTTGCAAGCAATGTGCCGCTATTACGTTAGACGTCAGTGGTGACATTGACGAGGCCGAAATTCGCACTTACAGCAATCTTCAAGAGCTCCGAGAGCATGCAACTTCATGCAAGCTTTGCTACATGCTGTATAAGGCAGCACGACAGCTGCAGGATCCAGAAACGGGCAAATATTGCAAGCAAAGCTGGGGCATGGACTTCTTTAACGTGCTGCTTGTTCAGAGTATGATAAGTGTTTGGCACAGAAGAGCAGGACAGGAACATAACATACACCTAAGATGTCTTCTGGACGCTCAAAACACTCTCGGATATCCTGGGGGGCCGATCGGGTTTGACTTTCGAGAAACCCTCGGCGGCATCTTTGTTGGCTCAGGTAAAGCGATCTTTCTTGAACTGAGATTAGCCCTGTATGTACCAGCTGACGGGTGTGTGGATACAGACAGCAACGCAGCCCAGCTGATCTCTGGGCGCTCGTATTCGAGGTACAAGCCCAAACATGAAGTCATACAGCTTGCGAAAGCAAAGTTGAAAGAGTGCTGTACGAAACACGGCAACTGTTCGCTTGCTCCAGACACGCAAACATTTGTTCCGAAGAGATTGCTGGACCTTCGTAATCTGAACGACGGAGATGGTGCTGTTCAGCTTGTACTCAACCCGCAGCAGTCTCTCGGGAATTATGCCACACTCAGTTACTGCTGGGGCAACGACATGAATATACGACTGACTTCGGACTCTCTGCGCATGTTCTTGAACATGGGAATCCCACGCTCCAGTTTGCCGAATACTATTCGCGAAGCTTGTGAGCTTTGTATCGGCATTGGCATCCGCTATTTATGGGTGGACAGTCTCTGCATCCTTCAAGACGTTAAAAGTGACTGGGTGGAACAATCGTCCTTAATGGGTATGTTGTTTAACAAGTCAACCCTCACGATCTCAGCTGCAAGGAGCAAGAGTTGCAACACTGGCATCTTCGTCGAAGATCGGGATAAAGTGGTAGAAATCGCCAAGCTCAAGTGTCGTACGAATGACAACAACAGTAGTGTCTGCTGGGTCCGCGAGATGGACCAGGCGTTCGACGGCACTAGGGAACCAACCGAATACCGAGCTTGGACCCAACAGGAGACTTTATTGTCACGCAGAGTCTTCACGCTTGGCACATATCAGCTCTCGTGGCAATGTGCGACATCGTACTGGAACGAGAGCGGCCGAATGCTAGCACCGTCGCCATACATGAAGGAAATGTTTCCATGCCCTATACTGCATGATTCCTTAAAGCTGTATGATGACGAAAAGGCAGAGCAGCCAGAGGGCGACGCATTGCTGAGAGTCTGGCATGAATTAGTCTCTGATTATGCTCGTCGGAAGCTGACTATGGCGAAAGACAAATTGCCCGCAATATCTGCAGTAGCTAAATGGCTGTCTGCACATAGCGCTTTAACAGAGGACTACGTAGCTGGCCTTTGGCTGTCGCGTCTCCCTGCAGACCTAATGTGGTTTCACACTCTCACCTTCCCGGCTGAGACAAGCCAAGTGGTCAGACCCACCTCCTACCGCGCCCCTTCGTGGAGTTGGGCATCACTTGATTGCAGCCGTCTGGAATGGTATGACATCGGGACTGAAGCCATAAAAGCGAAAGTCATTGGCCACAAGCTGGAGTACAGAAGTGCGGATACCTTTGCAGAAGTCCAAGGTGGGTACTTGGACATTGATGCTCTAGTGAGGACCGCCTGGCTAGTACCTCAAACGTCTTATCCGGAGGCATATGAGCTGTGGGATGATGACTGGCAATCAGCTCTCTGCGGCACAAACTCAACTTCCACGGGTAGTGCTTCTGGTCGGGTGTATCTGGATGCGTACGATGAGGATGAATTGCTTTGCGTCAACCAACTGAAGAAAGCTGACCGAGTACAAGAACGCGAATGTGTCAGAATTAGTGCGTTAGCAGGGCTTATCGTGGAGAAAGATGTGCGGCAAGATCACGACAGACACGATCGGAGGGTCGTTGAGAGGAGACGAATGGGGATCTTCGTACTGAACTGCGAAAATCCTCAGGCTTGGTGGATTAGAGGCTTGAGAAGAGTTACGCGACTGCTGTAGTCTATCGACCTTTGTAGTGCTCACAAGACCTAGACAAAAACCCAAATGTTACAGTAGTGTCACCCTCTGAGGTATGCTCTGGCATAGCCGTCATGTGTCGATGAGCACTTGCCTTAGACCTCTGCGTCATTACGGTGTACTTCTGCCCCCTACACTGTCGCCTGGGGAAGCTTCATTGATAGCAGGGTCGGATCGTGAGCACAGCATTACAGACAATGCTCTGGGTAGGAAGGAGATCTGCAAAACTGTGGGCGCGATACCTAACTGTCACTTCGAGGTGAGAGATTACCAGAGTCTTATATACCAACATATATGGTAGGCTGACATCTGAATACAGGTCGCAGGAGATCCTGTAATCTACTGGGTAGGGTCTGAAAGGCGAGGAGATGAGGTTAGAGAAACCTTATTACTGATATATATATAGCGGTGACCCGCGATGGTCTGAACAACGCTAGAGTCGATCAGGGTGGCCTTGTAGCCAGACTGTATAAGTAATCCATTTCCAGAACGAACTTGAAAGAGGAGACCTGCCAAGGCCGGTGCAAAGAAAGTCCGACGCCGCTGCTATCTTCGGCTACCCCTTGCCGTATGATGATCTTCAGGCAATTCTTGACGCCGTTTTCTCTCTCCTTCTCCCACTTCGGCCTCGATCGCGGTCACAAGAATACTGCCAGACCACCAGCATAGTGATATATTCGTTCGACTACCATACATCGGAGCAAAGACGTCCCTCGCCTTCACTGCCACGACTCAAGCACCACGCATTGTTACCTGGTTCGGTCTTGGAATCAGAAAAACAAAATCGATCTAACGTCTAACCGTTGAGCACGCGCATAGAGTTCGACGCGCTCACCTATTTCAGACCAAGAGCTTCAACTCCGAGGACTTCGCGATGCCCCTTGTGGTTAAGAAGCATAGAGGCACGGCACGTCTCGTCTTCTCAGCCACTGAGGTATCTCCATGGACTTCACTCCGCCCTCGGGCTAGCTGGTTTCTGATCAAAACCACGTGCGACTGCGACATGTCAGACTCATCAAGGCCATGGAAATTGGGAACAGCGACGTTCAACGCACCTTTGCAATCCAACGCCTCCCCACGCGTTGTTGCACTCCGTGGCGAGGAGAGCAGCCCGTCGAGGGCCAGCCTCAGGTGAGACGAGGGGACTTCTCTTTTCTCTTCTTGTTGTTTCGTACCGCTCTTCTTCCACCACCTCCAACATTGTCTCAAACGTCAGTTTGTTCCTTTCGCAGACTCGTGTGTTTGCACATACATTCTTTTTGGCCTTCGGGTCCCATCACGTTCTTTACAGGCTTCGGCCGTCCACTCACTTGACGAATCGCATATCTTCCTAATTGACAGTAATATATAATCATGCCTTCCTTTTCGAATCTCGCCGTCCTCGCGGTGGCCGTCCGATCTACCTATGCCGGAGTCGCATTGGGCGTGGACCTTGGACCCAAGCTCGGCCTGGACTACAATGTCAGCAGTTCTGCGAAAGCAACGACGACGAGCGCCCCAGCCCTGCTTTCCTATGGAGCCGATACCCAGACTTCGACTGCGGTTCCTGAGCTTTTGCCATACGGAGCCTCGTCCAGCGAGGAGGCTCTTCCAACGCACTCGGTCGAGGTTCCTACGCATTCATTCGAGCACCCGAGCCTGCCATCGCACTCTGTCGAGTCCCACAGCATCAAGAAGATCAAGATTGCCAAGCCAACAGCGAACAAGAACGAGACCGCCCCATCGTACTCAGTAGAAGTGCCCGCGCTTTCGATACCTCTGGGCACCGGCGTCCCAACCCATAGTGCTGCTTCCCAAGGCTTCGAGCTGCCCGCACCAAGCCAGAACGGATCCAAGGAAGAACTTCACCTGCCAACCCTCAGCCTGGCGCTTCACAACGAATCACTCCCAACTCAGAGCGTGCCTCTGGTGACCGCTCCTTCAGCCGGCTTTCCAACCAAGATCCCTGAACTCAACATCACGACTCCAGCATTGAGCCTGCCTACGGAAGTTCCCTTGAACATCTCTACCCCTACCTTGAGCGAGATTCCTGCGTTGAACATCTCGACCCCTACCTTGAGCGAGATCCCTGTGTTGAATATTTCGACCCCGGCCTTCAGCGTCCCAAGCCAGGTACCAACTGTCTCTGTTGGCACACTCGAGATCCACAACGTATCCGTCCCCACTGCCGGTATCCCGTCTGTTGGAACTGTCGCAGTACCCACCATTGGCACGATTCACGTCCCGTCCGTCAACACTAACCTGAGCTCTGTCACTGTTCCAAACTTGGATACCACCATTACGCTCCCCACGATAACCGTGGCCACCGACCTCAACCAGACTTTGCCAACTGGTATCCTCGGCAACAACGCTGCGACCACCACCTCCGAGGCTTCTGCTTCGACAACCACTGCTAGCACTGCTGAGGTGGCCAAGAACAATGGTACGAGTGTTCTGTCGCAGCAGACCGGCACCGCAACCGGCAGCACCGCTTCAGTCGACACCGGAATTCCACCAAACTCTGGGTCCGTTGCTGTCAACACTGGCGCTTCGAGCACCCCTGCTTCTGCCAGCAGTGTTACGTCTGCCGCTGGTACGGCAGGCACTTTCGTTGCTCAGGTCAACTCGACTGCTGTTGCGACCAGCACCGAGGTTGTCAGCGCATCGACTGCGGCTGCTGATTCGACTAGCTCATCTGCTTCTGCATCGAGCACTCCCCTCTGCCCCAACATGAACGGCGAGACTTACACCAGCAAGACGGGCGAGAAGTTCAACGTGAAGTGCAATCAGGGCTACTCCGGAACCGTCATTTCTCACCCAGGAAAGGAGCGCATCAGCGACAACAACACTCCTCAGGGGTGCATCAAGAAGTGCGAGGCCAACTGCCTTTGCATTGCCATCAACTTCAGCGAGAACGGCGGATGCGACCTGCTCAGCGAGATCCACGACACCTTCGACCGGGCTGGCGCGACCAGCTGCGAGCGCATGACGACCCCTGAGAACTGCAACAGCCAGAGCACCAGCGCATCTTCCACTTCTACGTTTGCTCCTTTCAATGTCTCAAACAACACGACCGCCACCGCTCCCGCATTTGGAACCGCTAGTGCCGATACCAGCAGCGTCGTTGCAACCGAGAGTGTTTCCGTTACGACAACCGAATCGATTGAGGCTTCTTCTTCTGCTTCTGCTTCGTCCGAGTCGTTTGCCGCGTCTACCACCCCAGCATCATCTTCTTCAGCCGGCAACAAGGCCTGCAAGGCCACCATCAGCGGCAAGGTCGTGCTCACGACTTGCGAAGCCCAGGCCTCCACTTCTGCATCTGGCAGTGCTAGTGTTGAGACGACCGGCTCTGTCCCAGCGTCAACTACCTCTGCTTCTGGCAGCGTTGCTATTGAATCTTCAAGCAGCGCTCCAGCAACGACGTCTTCTGCCGGCGGCAACAAGGCCTGCAAATCGACTGTCAGCGGCAAGGTTGTTCTCACGACTTGTGAAGCTCAGGCGACTACTTCTGCATCCGAGAAGACCGAATCGACCACCACCGTTTACGATGTGACCACTGAAGTAAGATAGTTCATAGATCAGCAAGAACTTTAGCAGCTAACACCTGATAGTACTACACCACCTGCCCAGGACAGGTCAACACCATCACATACGGAAAGCAGACTTTCACTCACACCCACTCGACCGTGTCGACCATTACAAGCACCTACAAGACTACGGAGACCGTCCCAGCCACGAAGCCTTACTCTGCCCCTGAGACCGAATCCTCGTCGATCTGGACGTCTGCTAGCAGCTGGTCTTCCGCTTCTTCGCCTGCCACTACTCCTTACAGTGCCCCTGAGACTGAATCCACCCCAGCTACCACTCCGTACACCGCCCCAGAGAGCGAGTCCACTTCAGCAACCACTCCGTATACCGCCCCAGAAAGCGAGTCCACTCCAGCAACCACTCCTTACACCGCTCCTGAGACCGAATCAGCATCTACTCCTGTCTACCCAGCAAGCAGTGGATCTGCCAGCTCTGGATACGAGTCCAAGAGCTACGAGACTCCAGCACAGAGCTACCCAGCTGAGACAAAGCCCGTTGAGTCTGCATCTTCGGCGTATGAGACTCCCGCCCAGAGCTACCCAGCTAAGGAGACCTCTGCAGTCGAGTCGAAGCCTCCTATGTACCCAGAAGCCACCAAGCCCGCTCAGAGCCCTGAGCAGACCCAGCCCGCTGTGTACCCAGCCAAGTCCTCGCCCGTCGAGAACAGCCCAGTCTCCAGCTCCGCCGTTGAGGTTCCCGAGTCGTCTGCACCAACCTACCCATCGCCAATCTTCTACAACAGCCCCACCCAGAGCATGCCACCTCAGGAGTACCCTTCGGAGAGCAAGCCCGCTGAATACCCAGCCAAGTCTGCTCCCTCCGAGAGTGCACCAGCTCAATCTGCACCTGGCTACGGCTCTTCCGCTGCACCTTCCGCCCCGGCTTACATTCAACCTGCTGCAGGCCCCAGCTCATACGAGCAGGCTCCATCTGCACCAGCCTCGTACTCACCTGAGCAATCTGCTCCCGCGCAAGGCCCGTCCGGCAACGCCCCCGCTCCAGCTTCGTCTGCTGTCTCTTCCGCCCCAGCTACCTCCCCAAGCGGCTACGAGAACAGCCCCGTCGGCGGATCTCCCTCGGCCTCGTACGGCGGCGCTAAGCCCTCCAACAGCAGCAGCAGCGTCAAGGTCGTCACCGTCGTCCCGATCCCCGCCACTCAGACCGTGGTGCCTATCCCAGCTTCCTCCGCAGGCTACGGCTCTGGCAAGGGGCCAATGGGCACCGCACCCATTGGCTCCGCCCCTGTCGGCACCGCGACCGTCGTCCCTGTGCCTGCCAACAACGGCACGTGGACCAGGCCCGGCTCTTCCGAGTCGCCTTCCTCGTCGCCGAAGGGCTACACCGGTGCTGCGAGCGTCAACACCTTCAGCTTCGGCGTGATGGCCATCGCTGGTCTGGCTGCCGTGCTTGTTCTGTAAAGGGCAGATAGAGAAGGATAGGATGGGAAACGTGAATGAAAGCGAGGAGTCTTAATCTGTTACCTTTTTGCTTTTTGGGGGTGGGAGGAGGATCAAAGCAGTGTCCTCGCCCTCGCCCTCGCACTCGTCGCCGCCATCGCCGCCAATGCCTGTCGGTATTTCTCTAATGTATGCAAACCACACCTCTGTATAGTCTGTATGATTGATTATAGACCTTTTCGTTTTGGATGGTCTGTCTGTTTTTCAGATGTATATACCCGCGAATGGAATTGCTCTTGTCGTTATGAATTGTTACCCCCGGTTGTGGCTCGCTTCTACTGCCTTGATCTGTATCTGAATCGGGCAGTGCCAACGAATCAGAATGGCGATATACCTTATATAGCGTTACAGTTGTTGCAACTTACAAGCTGACTTTTGACTAAACCTTGGCAATATTCGCTTGCGGTCCAAGGACTGCAACGACTCGCGAGATCTAGACAACACATGAGAAAATACAAGGTTCAATACGAGTCCTCCGCCGTCCAGCTCCGCCACACAAACGAGGATTAACGACTATCTTAGCGACCGCTCGTGAGATGACAAACTATGGTAGTACATCGTGCTAGTAACCGTCAGTCGACACGCCTGCGTTCGCGAAAAAGCCCATCCGCTATCCCATTGGTATTAGTACTCGCTTAACCTGGATCTACTACGACGCATCTCGCGGAACAGTCGAAAGCACTTGTACGTGTTCGCTTGCATTCGATGTATCAGTCATGTATTGCTACACATCTCAAGTAACAGCCGAGTCTCGTTTTAAAGGTGATCGACTAAGAACCAACAACAGTCGCAACTTGAAATAGATTCCTGCTATCCGTGCCAACAAGACATTCGGCATATAAGGAGCCTATGGAGCATTTCTAGTGATTGATATCTTCAGCCATCTATCTCATTTGTTTTTCATTTGTTCAGCGAGCACCACGGTTCATCAACATCGAACCTCTCTTCTCGAGTGTCTCCTTTCATTCTCCACATCGCAATAGTATTGCCAGCCGTTCCTTCAACGACAACTATTTCCTCTGCTAATCACATAACTACCTTTCCTGGACATGTATGCCAAGATGTTTTGGTCCATATTCCTCCCGCTTTTAGCATCAGCAGCCACTCTCGGGTCCCGCGAGGACGTGGCGTCTACGAGAGACGAACAAATCGGCGACAAAGACAAAACCGCAATATGTACTACCGACTATTCGCACCCCGACTATAGCCCGGCCTACGAGGATTGTAAACAAGCCCTCGAGGGCGGCTTGTTTCGAAGGGGCTACTCACAGCATACCCAGGCTTTCGCAAAGAATGACTGCACTATACAGTGGGTCTACGAGACCTGTGGCATTGCAATCTGTGGAAATCATGTGCAGATGTGGTCTGAGGAGTTGTATGCCCAAGCCAAGACAATTCTCACCTCGTGTCCTCGGGAGTACAACGGCAAATTCTACGTTTCCGGACAAATGCACTACAGAGACTCCAAAGCTGGCACGTGGCAGATCGCTATGTATAACCGTGGATATCAACCTGACGGCCCTGGTGACAACATCAAGGAAGATCTCCGAAAAAGGCGTCTGTCGTCCATCTCTTCGATGAGCAACGACATTGCAAACGATGACGGAGATGGAGGGACCTGCCGGTACAGGACGTGAGCGACCAAGGCTGGAAGCAAGATCTCAAGGACAGGGACCTCCAGAAAAGATTACCGGATGGAGTTGTGCCCGGCTACCCTTTGAGATGGGTCGCTCTAGGAGGCACCTGGTCGGCGATCAATGCGGTAGGGATGGACACCACCACGCTCATCAATGGCCTACACGCAAATTTTGGACAGAACTATCTTTCTCGGTCAGTGTACACCTTGGGCGCCCGCTGGTGGACAATGCAGATATCGACCGTGGCTGGAGCGCTTCTCAATCCGAATGCCGGCCCAAACTCCCTTCACATCACTCCCGTCACCCCGATCGCCACGGTCGTCAACTCTCAAACACTCATCGCCGTCGTCAACACGCTGTTCGCCTACTGGCAGTCCACTGGTCATGACAACGGACAGGCATTTCAACTGCACAGAATTAACGACGATGGTAGCGTCGGTGATGCTCTTCTGTGGGCATATGGGGCGTCTGGCTGAGGGATTCAGGCTGGTCGCCCTTGTTTCCACAATCTATGTCCTAGGGCATGAGATGATTGTCTGAGTTTCCGGTTTTGGGAGATTACGAAGGAAAATTGTTTCGGAGTTAGTATTGCCTTTTTTTTTTGAACATTACACTCTTTGATGTACTTGCGTAAATCGATCGACAGTTGAGTATGGTATTTAGACTTATCAACGCGTTTCTTACTATTGAGTACTAAATAATTTTACCAAACCTCTTAAAGAATAGGAATAGAGTGTTGTTACAAATAGAGGGTAATCACTTTATTACAAGTCCTCTGGACGACACTGACAACCGAAGACAATGATTTCTACTGGTGAGTGTACGAATCACCGCATCGCCAGCGAGGAACGAGTTCGTACTCACACCAACCCCTATGAGAGGTGAAGGGTGAAGTGAAGTGGTCAGTTGCCGGTTAAAGACTCACCCGGGCCGGTTCCTGTGCCGAAGCAGACTCCCGAAAGTCAAGCAGCAGCCAACCCCAGCTCCTCCTCCCTCCTCCGCTACAACCGCACGGTCAGACATCACGAACCATTCCGAGCCGAACGAGATTATTCTTGAATGGCACATGTAGAACTTCTCCTTTACTCTGTAGGTCACTTCCTCTTCTTCCAATCCTCTGTCACATCGTCTATCACCGGTCCGTCGTTGTGAAAGGGTAGAGGGATATAGCAGCAACAGAACTGAGCTACAGACCACTCCCACATACCCTCCTCAACATGGCCTCCATCATCCAAAAAGGCACCAGGAACATCCTCACCAAACAACCCACCGACATCGTCTTTCTCTCCGCCCTCCGCACGCCCGTCACGCGCGCCAAAAAGGGCGGCTTCAAAGATGCCCAGGACCACGAACTCCTCGCCCACGTCCTCCGCGCCACGCTGGCCGCGAACCCCAACCTCGACCCTTCCAAGATCCAAGATATCCACATCGGTACGGTGCTGAGTGAACTGGGCGGCTCGAAAGCGGGACGCATGGCGGCGCTGCATGTAGGGGTTCCGGAGACGGCGTCGTTCCAGACGGTGAATCGCGCGTGCAGTAGTGGGCTGAGCGCGATTACGGGCGTGGCGCATGCGATTGCCACGGGGATGATCGATGTGGGTGTCGGTGGAGGGATGGAGAGCATGACCAAGAACTATGGGAGTCGGGCGATCCCCACCCAACTCTGGGGCGCGCTGAAGGAGAGCGAGGTCAAGGATGCGAGGGAGTGTATCATGTCGATGGGGTTGACGGCGGAGAATGTCGCGGAGAGGTATGGGGTTGCGAGGGCGGAGCAGGATGCTTTTGCCGCCAAGTCGCATCTCAAGGCCGCGAAGGCGCAGAAAGAGGGGTTGTTCGACAAGGAGATTGTGTCTGTCACGACGAGGTGGCATCCGAACCCGGAGCAGCCTGAGCTGGAAGAGGGGATTACCGTGAGCAAGGATGATGGCATCCGGCCGAATAGCTCACCAGAGTCGCTGGCGAAGATGAAGCCGGCGTTTAAGGAGACGGGGACGGCAACGGCGGGGAATAGCAGCCAGGTCAGCGATGGGGCGGCGGCGGCGTTGATGATGAGGAGGAGCACGGCGGCGGAGTTGGGGTTGACGAGCAGTATTATTGGGAAGTGGGCGGGCACGCAGGTGGTGGGATGCAAGCCGGATGAGATGGGCATTGGGCCTGCGTTGGCGATTCCCAAGCTGTTGGAGTATACTGGCGTGCAGAAGGAGGAGATTGGTATCTGGGAGATCAACGAAGCTTTTGCGAGCCAGGCCGTGTATTGTGTGAGGGAGCTGGGGATTGATGAGGACAAGGTCAATCCTAAGGGCGGTGCCATTGCGCTTGGTCATCCTTTGGGCGCGACGGGGGCGAGACAGTTGGCGACGTTGCTGCCGGAGTTGGAGAGGCAGGGCCAAGAGTTGGGTGTGGTGAGCATGTGTATTGGGACGGGGATGGGAATGGCGAGTTTGATTGTGAGGGAGTAAGATATGAATCTTTTTGTGCTATCATCTTCTGTGCATAGCGGGTATCTTGAGAAAAAGTATTCATGCGCTGAGCAGTATATCCGCAGGTTCTTCTTTAAACAGTGGTCAGGCCATCGAATGCCGCATCTATCATCCACCTTCCCCCCCTTTCGTCTTCTTCTTTTTCTTCTTGCCTTTCTTCCCACTCTGCGCCAGCACCTCATCCAGATAACTTCCCACTTTCCGCCTCTTTGGCTTCGTGTCTTGCTCTTCATCCTGCTTCACCAGCTCCTTCACCGTCGCAAGTTCCTCCCTTGGATCCGGTGGCTCAGCATCAGCATCCACCTCGACATCTGCCTGCCCACCAGCCGTTGCATATGCGGGAGTTTTGGCATCCCTCCTCTGCTTGGATGTGAAAGTTGCTGCCCTGCCCATTTCCTCCTCCTCATCCTCACTATCCTGTGCTCGAGATGCCACTCTGACCTTGCCGCTCGTCGATGTGATGGGCTTGGGAGCAGCATGCTTGGACAAGGACATGCTCTTGCCAGCATCTGCTCTTTGCGACTTCCTCCGTGCTTCGGCGGCCTTTTTGCCTATGAGATGTTCGAGCAGCTTGTCGTTGTCGGTTCGCTTGCGCCTCAGGATGCCGTCCAGCTCGGAGTCTTCATCTTGGTTGACGGCGCCCACGCCAGCAGCATCCCGTGTCCCTTTGAAGTCGCTCTCATCGTCCTCGTCTTGCTGGTTGTTGCTTTGGTTGGAGGGGATCCATGACTGCAGCACTCGTTGACTCCGCGCAAACAGGACGTTGCTCCTGCTGGCCCAGATTTCTGATTCGGGGATCTGGTCAACCATTGGCGAGTCTCTCATCAATCCTCATCAATCCTCATCAATGTGCATCAATGTGTCGTGAATTGGCCGCGGGTATAGGAAAATGTCGGAAGAGCGAGGTGCACGGCCAATCGGAAGGGAAGGTTCGGGCGGCTGCCGAACGCAGAAGCAACCTGTGCAGCCAACCTCAGAGCTGCGCTTGGGAGCTTCACCACGCAAAAGATCCCCCAACTCTCCCTCCTTTTCTTCCTACACCCGCGGGCTGGCTCAGGATGTTCAAGCTCGCTCGTAGCAGCAGGCAAGTCGCCTCTGCTCTGCAGAGCTTCAAGGTGCGAATCGCCCTCACAATCACCCCCGGGACAGTCACCGGCTAACCAAACAATTCTCGCCCACAGGAAGCGCCCATCAGGCAGCAGATCCGCAACCTGTCCATCCACGAGTACCGCTCCGCCCAGCTGCTCGACTCGTACGGCATCGGCGTCCCCAAGGGCAATGTCGCCCACTCGCCGCGCGAGGCCGAGGAGGTGGCCAGCAAGATTGGCGGCGAGGATATGGTCATCAAGGCGCAGGTGCTGGCCGGTGGACGCGGCAAGGGCCACTTCGACAACGGCTTCAAGGGCGGCGTGCGCATCGTGTACAGCCCGCGCGAGGCGTCCATCCTCGCCGACCAGATGATCGGCCACAAGCTCATCACCAAGCAGACGGGCGAGCGCGGCCGCATCTGCAACTCGGTCTACATCGTCGAGCGCAAGTTCGCCCGCCGCGAGTTCTACCTGGCCATCCTCATGGACCGCCAGTCCCAGAGCCCCGTCATCGTCGCCTCCAGCCAGGGCGGCATGGACATCGAGACCGTCGCCAAGGAGAGCCCCGATGCCATCATCACGACCAAGATCGACATCCACCAGGGCGTGACCGACGAGATTGCCCGAGACGTCGCCACCAAGCTCGGCTTCAGCGAGCAGTGCGTGCAAGACGCAAAGGAGACCATCCAGAAGCTGTACAAGATCTTCATGGAGAAGGATGCCACCCAGATCGAGATCAACCCTCTCTCCGAGACCTCCGACCACCAGGTCCTCTGCATGGACGCCAAGCTCAACTTCGACGACAACGCAGAGTTCAGGCAAAAGGAGATCTTCAGCTGGCGCGACACGTCGCAGGAGGATGCAGATGAGGTCCAGGCGGGCGAGTCCGGCCTCAACTTCATCAAGCTGGACGGTGATATCGGCTGCTTGGTGAACGGTGCTGGTCTGGCCATGGCCACCATGGACATCATCAAGCTCAACGGTGGTGCCCCTGCCAACTTCCTCGACGTCGGTGGTGGTGCGACCCCAGAGGCCATCAAGAGCGCTTTCGACCTCATCACCTCCGACCCTAAGGTCACCGCCATCTTTGTCAACATCTTCGGTGGTATCGTGCGATGCGACGCCATCGCCAAGGGCTTGATCAACGTTGTCGAGAGCATGAACCTGCGGACACCCGTTATTGCGAGATTGCAGGGAACCAACATGGAGCAGGCACAGAAGCTGATCAACGAGAGTGGTTTGAAGATTTTCAGCATTGATGACTTGCAGACTGCGGCAGAGAAGAGTGTGCAGTTCAGCAAGGTTGTGAAGATTGGTGAGTTCATCTCCTTTCAATTGTGATATTTGAATCGTACGCTGACTTTATGCTTTTACAGCACGAGATATCGACGTGGGCGTCGAGTTCACCTTGGGTATATAGATGGCGAGATGGGACGAGCGCCACAGTATCGGCGTTTGCTGTGTTGTTGTTTGTTAACTACTACCTCTCATAGGCGTGTACGTTCTGAAATCCCAGCGAACTTTGTACTATCCTGGTGTCCGATACGTCTTAGACCTTGTCATTGACGTCTGTTTGGGTTGCGGAGTTGACAAGGGGAGCTTCGTCCTCGGTTTAGCCCAGTAAGTGAGAGAGCGATGGAATGGTAATGCTGACTTGTTATCATCGACCTTTCGCCGTTCAATCATGCAGCTATGAGATTCTAACCCACTCAACATATGATGATGTCGCTCCACCTTATGCTCAAGCTTGAAGGCGAACAGGCATAGAATCGCGGGGTTCTCAGACCAACCAGGCCGAAGAGAATGGGCGGATCCAGCATGGCTTCACCTTCATCCCCTCCACCCACGACGGAGGAAGCAGATCGACCCGAGAGCAAGGAAACGCCATCGCCACCCGACCCCGAAGCACCTGGGCCGTCTGCACCATCAGCACCGTCAGAGAGCACGAAGAACGAAGAACGAAGCAACGATCATGAGAAAGAGAAAGAGAAGCAACCTCCCAAACCACGAAGAAGTCGCAGGAGGAGAAGGAGGAGGAGAACATGGCTGGAATACTTTGCTTCTTGGCTGGGCGTTACAACGTCGCCCGTGTTTACTTGGTTGGTGCTTTTCGGGTTGGGTTGTGGTGGGTGGTGGGTTGTTTTTGTGGGGTGAGGTAGAACTATTGGGGGCGGGGTATGGTGATGAGGGTTGGGAAGAGGAGGGGTGTGGGAGGTTTGGGGTGATGTTGGTGGCTGGTGAGAGATGCGAGGCTCTCTTCACGATCGAACGAACATGGCACGGCGACCTACGATGGCTGGGAGCAGCAATGGTTGCGGATTGGACTCTTAGATACTTCGGTCGTAGCTGAGAGTGGCGTGGGAAGAATGGACAGACCGCCATTCTCTCTTGGCCCCGCAACAAGTATGTACACTCCGCCGCCGCCGCCGCCGCCGCCGCCGCAGCAGCATCCAGTCGCTCCTGACATAACCTTCGTTTACATATCCAGCTTCGACGAGAGATATTTACACAGCAGCTACATCCTACTCGGCGTCCTCGCCCTCGTACGCACATCGAAGCGAATCCTCCTTGAACAACAAGCAGTCTTCTCCAATGCAGGCCAGCGAAAGGCCTTCCCATAGCCGCGCGGTCCTGCGACACAATGCCTCAAAGTCCGCCCGGTGCACAGTAGTGGGTATCCGGCTACCACAATCCTTGCAGGCAACCATCGGCCGGAATGCGATGGGCTTGAGGGAGCGGATGTGGTTGAAGGCTTTGTCCAACGTGATGGACTTTTCTTGCCAGGCAGGAGGCCAGTCACTTTCCGGATCGTCCATGGCGATGTGTCGCAGGTATTCGCTGTCAACGGCGCCTTTGGCCATGGTGGTTTTGCATCTCTTGCAGAAGGATGAAAGTTCTCGAAGTCCGACTGATAGCTTCTCACGAGCCTTGCTTCGTCTTTCTTCGAGGACGACTTTGGTAACCGGTTAGCTTTGCGGCGGGCATGACCAGCGTCCTTCTGGACGATCGATGATAGCGAGGGATACTGACGGTAAAACTGTACGGGCAGAATGCTCTCCTCCAACTCATTCTTCACTTCCAAGAACGATCCTGCGTAGTTCAACATGAGCGTATCAACCACATCGGCGAAGATCTGCTCTTCGTTCAAACAATACGCGATCGTGGCGAGCTTGGCCAACCCCACGCCATCGTCGCTCACGACGTTGTGATACAGAGCCTGGAGCAGAATCCCTCGCGATTGCAGCGTCAACGCTTCTGTGCAGTCCCATTTGTCGGCCGCGACTGCGAAGGCCACCACGCGGTCCAGATCCGAGGCCAAAGCAAACTCAGGTACGCAGATGTGATGCAGCAGAAGGCATAGATCAGACATCGTCTGCAAGTCGTCTTCAGGGAGCGGGATCTCGAGGGGACTGCTCGGGTTTCGAGGTTCTTGTCCTTCGCGGAAGTGAGGGCCCAATAGCGTGGCGAAGACGGGGGATGTCATCGTTAAGATGGCGGAAGAGACTCGAATCTTGGTGATTTTGTTGTTGCCGTTCGTGGGAGTGCCCGGAAAGTAGAAGACGACATCGCCGTTCTTGCTGATGTGGTCCACGCCGCCGCTGCCAACTGCGGCTCTCGAGTCTACTTCCATTTCGCGGGCGGGTCGTTTCCTTGCGGGCATCTTGGTGTGTGATGTTGTGATGGTCGGATGTGTGTGGAATTGGGACTCGGAGAAGAGGATGTGACGCGACATCTCAAAGTTGGGGTCGTGTTTGTGGAGCGGTGCGCACGGGCAAGTTCATCGCGCTAGCTGGGGGCTTGGAGCCTTGTCCTTGCCAGCAATATACGCGGGGATCGCAAGGAAGAGACGGATGTTTGGTGAACAGGTTTGAATCTAACATTGCTATGGAAGCCACACGCAGAGAAAGGTAACCGCAGCAGCGGCTACAACGGCACCTTGCCCAGGTCACAGTGTTCCTTTCTGACGCATCGGAAGGAGTCCTTCTCGAACCTCAAACAACTCTGTCTAACGCATTGGACCGTCAACCCTATGCAGGACATCTCTACCTCATCGCCAATGGCTTCGTATTGGTCACTGTCCATTCGAGCCGCTTCGCCACAATGCCCGCACCATCTATCCTCTTCGCGCTTGCCTAGAGCCTTGAGCGATCGTACTTGCCGCAATGCATTCTCCAGGGTCCAGTGGCTGTCCAGCCATGGAGGCTGTACCGGGTCGTCTAGCTGCTGTAAGATGTAAAGTTGACGCTCTGCGATACCTTGAGCGGTAAGTGGGCTGTAGCAAGCCTCACAGTATGTAGCCAGATTTGACAGTTTATGAGAGACAAATTCCCTCGCCGCTTCGCGCTTGTTTGCGAGAAGGACTGCATGTACTGTCAGCTCTCGACTATGATGGCGCTAGAAGAGAAACTACGGACGATAGAAATGCTCTGGAAGAGTCGCATCGTCCATTTTGATGCACAGATCCAGGAACGATTCCTTAGAAGACAGTCTCAACATCCCCACGAGGCTAGCGAAGAGCTGATCCTGATTGAAGAGGTAACTTGCCGCGATGAGCTGGAGCAGGTGAAATTCGTAACGTCCGAACTTCTCCTTCAGTCGAAGTCGAGCAGCGAGCAGCATTCCCTGGGCCTGGAGGCCGAGTATCTCACTGCAACACCACTTGTCGGCTGCTCTAGCAAACGCGAAGATGCGTTTGGCATCTCTACCAGTGGCCAAGGCTGGGACCGGGACGTGGTGAAGCAGGCGAAAGAGGTCGGACATGGCTTCTGGCTCGTCTTCGGGAAGCGGTTTGGTGGCTGGGTTTTGGGCGTCGCCGAGATTGCGACCCTCGCGAAAATGAGGTCCCAAGGGTGCTACGAACGCTGTTGAAAACATAGTGAGAAGTGCCGAAGACACCTGGATCCGGCGCTGCTCCTCGCCCATTCCGACCTCGAAGATGATATCGCCACTTCGGCTAAGTTGGATAAGGCCAGTTGCGGAATCCGTTTCTTGTTCCATGTCGTCGGCAGTACGTTTCCTGGACATTGCTGTTGATGGAGAGGTGGAAGGGAAGGTGAGCGGACGAGGGGCCGCCATGATTTAAGTTGGGGAGGCGTGCGCATGGGGCAGATCCATGACCCCTACGCCGTTGAGCCGGGAACTTTGTGTCTTCACGTGCAGCCTTGTCCGTCTTGTGAGAGCTTACTCGTACTCACGGCAACAGCGACAATAACATACAGCCCGTGGTATATTACTGAATGGTCTTGTATCCGAGGATGCTCACTCGCAATGCATCAAGGTTGATCAAATCACGCAGATAATCCTCGTTTGGGTCCCTTGACAACAAAATGTTCGAGGTCATACAAGGTCCCCACGACCAAAGCACCCAGACGACACCCGCCACCAAGTCCTAGGAGTCGATTTCATTGTGCTCGGGTTTCTCGTTACACAGGAACATCATGTCTTTGAAGGAGATGCACTTCGACCATACGCACTGAATGGACAACCCGGTGCACATCATCTCCGTGTTTCTTGTCACCTTCTCATATTCATCATTGCCAATGGTTGACGTTGTATGACAGTCTAGACAACGAGGCAGCAAATCCACCTTGGTGACAGGTGTCAACCCGCGAACTTGGACCAGAGCTTCGTCCAGCTGACGGGTCGAGTCCAGCCATGACGGCGGTTATCGACCTTGGAAGTGCTTGGCGATGTGTTGCTGAAACTCGAGCGCAGGTGCTGCGGTAGTTTTCCTGCAGCACTTGGAGCATGAAGCCGCAAGCTGTGTGAGTCCTTTCGATATGCTTTCTCGGGCCATTGTTCGCCTTTCTTCAAGAACGACTGAAAGATACGATCAGCAACACGGTCCCATGCCGAACAGTGGCCGTTTCGACTCAAAAGTAGAACTCACAGTAAAACTCCAATGGCAGGACGTTAGCCTCGACATCCGGTGCCAACTGCAGGAACGATCCCGTGAAGTGCATTAACAACCGCCTTATAAGAGACGAAAATGATCCATTCTGATTGAGCAGAAGTGCAGCGCTCGCCAGCTCAGTCATAGGCCGCCCGTACTCAAGTGGATTGCTGACGTCCCTGTCAGGGGCTTTCAGCGTGTTGAGTGAGTTCAGAAGAATGCCTTGCGACTGCAGATGAAGCGCCTCCACGCAACACCACTTGTCTGCCGCCACTGCAAACGAGCGTATGCGTTTGATGTCCTTGGCAGATGCAAGCTGAGGCACATTGACCAAATGAAGCAACCGGAGTAGATCTGACATTGCTTGCGGCTCGTCTTCTGGAAGTGGAATGGTTACAGGCCCATTGGTATTGGCAGACGCAAGTTGCTGTCCCTCGCGGAAGCGAGGGCCCAGCAATGCGGCAAAGGTGGTCGAGGCTTGTATCAATATTGCAGAGGATACGAGAAGCCGGCATCTTGCAGTCGCTTCCTCGCCAACTTCAAAGATGACATCGCCATTCTTGCTGATTCTGTTAAGGGTGTCGGGCACGAATTCTTGCTCCATCTCGCCGGCGGTGCGTTTCCGTGACATTGTTCGGTGAGATGGAGAGGTCGTGGAAGGCTCGTCGGTATGATTTGGATTGGAGATGGGGGATGTAGTCGGCAGGAGAAGAGACGCGGAGAATCTAGTTTCATGAGATCGCGTGCGCAATGCCGTTGCGCTAGCGGGGATTTCCCACAGCCGTGTCCATGCGAGTGCTTTGGAACGGCAGAGCAACATCCATCCCCATGCGAGCTTGCAGAGCCTTACCTTCGACGGCCATCCCCTGACTGAAGGCGGCATCGATAAGACGGCCTGGCATTCAGGACCATTCAATTTCTCACATCCCCAAGTACAGTGCCAGCTCTACAGGCACAGCATTCAGTCGACAGCCAATCAACGATGATTTGAACATCTTTCGGTTGATGCTCACATCCTCGCCTTCGGTAGCAATACCTGTTCCAGGCATGAATCAAATTCGATGGGGAAAGCCGATCTAGCGATCAGATCGCAGAGACGTATGCTGTTGGAATAAGGCATTGGGTCTGAACCTTCGTGTCGAGTATGTAGAGGGATCCAGTGAAAGGGTTCGTCGTAGTAGTGCAAACTCAACAGAATACTGTAGATCGTTTATGCTACGCAGTATCAGCTCTAATTGGTGAGGCAGGTGCTTCATGATGAACAGCAAATGTTGAGCACAAGATCGATCACCACCCGCGCAAGAGACGTGAATAACGCCCCGAGGGCGTCCAAGTTATGCTGGTCACTGTAGAGGCAGAATACACATCTGATCAAGAGGTCGTAGAGCACGACATAGTTCTTGTAGATGTATTATTCTAGGATTCATTCACTAGGGTTTCGCCGCACTTTTGTCAGTCTGCTGTGGGAAGTGGCAGAGGATCATGTATGATACATATATAATGTACGTCTTTGGAGGACCGACAACGGTTCTTGAGGAGGGCTGAGGACAAACGTGGATCTGGGCAGCGAGAGAGGCGGATGTAGAGTGACGATGAACGCATGTTCGCATGCTCGCAGGTTGTGGATGCCTACGATGTTCATAAAAGTTTTTCATGGCGGTCGCATACGATGTGCGGTCACTACCGGAGCATGCGGTGCCTAATGACCCACAGCAAAATTCTCAGGATTTGGCCTGCAGCCCAGGCCAGTCACCAGACGCACGTGGTATTGAGCGTGCCGATCTGCCATGGTCAGGCTGCGTATACCCGATGTCGGTATTGGAGATGGCGGGTCGCAGGATCAAAGTCAATTCGGACAGCTACAGCTACATAATTGACCTCAATGGCGCTGAGACTGCTGAACCTTGAGACAGGATCTTTCTCATCGCTACACTTCCTCTCCAGTCATGAGGGCCATAACAATGAGTTTCCTTATTGCTTTGCCGAGCCTTGCTAGTGCTGTCGTTTCCAGCTCTCATGTACTCTACAGGACCTTCTACCCATCTTCCATAAACTCTACTAGCTGGTATTCCAACATCTCGCCAAGTACATATAACGACAGTATCTACCAAACTAATACCTACACATCTGCGACAAACGCTCCTTATGGCACATACGACTACTGTACAATGCCGCATCCGCGGGCCGATGTTTATCAACTTCCGGCGCCCGTAGCAAATGGAAGTGTGCGAGCGGAACTGGTGTATCTGCAGTACATACAGCGCCATCAGCGACGTACGTCGTACAACAGCCTTCCGGGAGGCGAAGTGAGTTGAAAAAATCTAGAATTGTCCAAGAATGTCCACTAACGATGAACTAGAATCAAGCTTACGACTGTGATAACGTCGAGGCATTCCTCTATGCAAGCCCAAATGGCGGACTGCCGCAGCCGCAACCAATGCATGTCTTCGGCAAGACATACACTGACCCTTCAAACCCCTTTGCAGCCAACTATGTCAAGAGCACGTGCCAGTTGCCACAACTCACCGTGGGTGGTATTCTGGACGGTTTCCAGCATGGGAAGGATCTCTGGTCGGTATATGGCGAGAAACTTCACTTCTTGCCATCGGTACCGAACAGTAAAACCTGGTTTCGATCGAGCGAATCGGTCCTTACACAGCAGAGCGCAGGAGGTGTCTTGCGTGGAATCTGGCCATACCATACAGGGCCTGTGCCACTTCATCAGCAGCCGGAAGCTGTAGATACCACCAACGAGAGCTTCGAATGTGACCGGCGAACGACAGTTCTGTCGGAGATCGAGAACTCGACCGAGTGGCAATCTCACCTTGAAGCTGCAGCACCACTATTCAACAGCCTTTCTTGGGCTAGCCAGAATGAGTCGGACTTCACATTTTCCTTCAACTCGTTCGCCGACAACTTTCAGGCCCGGCTCTGCAACGGCTATAATCTCCCCTGCAACGTCAAGAACCTCTCGCAATGTGCCACTATGGCTCAAGCCGAGGAAATCTTTCGAGGTGGCGACTGGGAATGGAACTACTGGTACAGAACGAATCCTCAAGCCCTGCTGTACACCCAGACTGTCGAAGGCCCGTTCATTGCAGAAATCATACAACGGCTTCAAGCGGTACAAAACGGCAACTCGAGCATCATTTATGAGCACGATTTCTTGCACGACAATGACATCGGCCCTATTGCGGGAGCACTTGGCATTACAGCCCTTCGATGGCCGGGGATGGGTAGTAACATTGCGTTCGAGCTGTGGTGAGTTGGAAATTTTGCTGGGGTCTATGATTGCTTTACTGACTGTGAATCACAGGAAAGTACGTGGTGGAAGCATATATGCACGTGTGCTGTACAGCGGACAGCCGATGGTGACAATATACGGCACGCTTGACTGGATTCTCTTGCCGGAATTGATTGGCATTCTACAGCCTTACGCGCCTAAGAACATCGTACAGATTTGCAACAATGTGACTAACAGCTAGCGTCGGTACATGTAAGATCGCTTTCTGATACAGATATGGCAAAACACGAGCGACAACGAATTTGCAATCTGTGTTCGTGGTACATCTCTGTACCTAGCCTTGCGTTGCGCCGGGAATGTGGGCGGAAGGTCTCTTCTTGACTTGTGCGTCAGTATCTTTCATGATAAAAACGCAGTGCAGGATGACAAAGTTCAAGATTGTAGAGAAGAACAGGAAAAGTGAGTGATTTTGAGGTTTCGAACGGATTTGATCTTCTATGCATGTCTGTCTATCGTTATGTGCGAGACTCCCGCATTGCTTTTGTACATTCCCAAAATCGATGCCTTTGACCTATCTTTCCGTCAAAGGTTCTCGATATTTCCACTAGTAGTCCGGGCAATTGAACCCGATGCCTTCCCAAGTAGCATCGAGGGCCTCATTGATCAGAGTCGATTGACCTGGCAGGTTGTTGAACTTGAACTAGGTAGAGCCATCGCCATCGCTGTAGCACTTGATCGAGCTTGGAAGACCGCCATCGGTCTGGAGACGATGGATTGCGGCGTCAAACTTCTCTTGGCGGAATGGAGCGCCGATGTGAGTGCTGTAATTGACCACCAAGCCCCTAAGTCGTGCTTTGCAGCTCTGCTGGCCAGCTGCCACCTTGTCAGCATCGCCTCGGGTGAAGAGCGGGATTGGAGAGGTGATGATTGGCGTGACGATGGCAAGAACCAAGATGAGTAACTTCACGATCTGCATGTTGGGCGTGGATGGTCGTTGCTTGCTTTTGAAGTTGGTAGTCGAGGATCTTGCTGTCGAACTTGGAACGTCAGGCGATACTGGCTTCTTGAAGTAGAAGCTGGGATGCATGTTCCAAGGAGTATATTTAAAGAGCTCGAGTAGTCAATGCGTTGTGGTGAGTGTTGTGCACCGGGTGTCACATCACAAAGCATGCAACTCTCACATCTTCAGTCACTCGCTGGACACGCACGATGTCCATTATGACTTGCACTTGTCGCACGAAGTGTTCAGAATGTGATTGTGCTTCAAGAGAAAAATTGTATGATGTGTCTAAGGCTACAGCCTTGCTGGCAAAGGCAACCTTACTTCACAATGCTTTCCAATCGAATAGACAAAGGCTAAGTTGCAGACAATGACATACAAAGGTACTGAAAACAAGGATTATACTACATGGCAAGACAACAAGCACAAGAATCTGCAAAGCCACAAGAATTGGCAGTCGGCCTCACCGGGCGATGATCGCCAGACATCAAGTGTTTGAAGATTTCCAAGAGCTGCTGACTCTTCTGACATAGCCAGATGCTCCTGGCGTCGTCACAGCCATAATGTGAGGTCGACTTTCGATCGATATGTCCTGAAGGCTAGCGATCCATCGTGGCCGCCCTGCATGAAGCAATGACGCTGTGAAGTGGGGAAAAGGCGAAGCGTATGAACATCACTTTCATCCCCACGTGCTACTGTCAGGGACCAACTCAATGGCTCAGCGTTGAACCCCGGCAGAGTATAAAGACTCACGCGTTATTAGGTTCCTGTGCGTTTCCTCTACGAAGGCTTCAAAAGGATGATGCTGTTCGTTAGCCTTGTCGGGCTTCTGTTTGGCTTGGTCATCCGCACCTCTGCCACAAACAACACTGCTACTGTCGAGAATTACCAGCAGGCACTGGAAGCACGACTGTTTCCAGAATGGACGAGATTCTGGCAAAGCCATAGCACCACATGGCTATCGCAGCCTGGAATCAGCGGCCTGCAAAACGTCCGATATGCTCGACTCCAGAACGCTTCCAACTGCAGCCCCTTGCCAACTTGCCTTGTCTCGGCGTATGCAATCTCACCATCAGACCAAAGTACCATTGCGGCGGCACTGAAAGCAAGTAATGCGTCTGGGGCGCTTATCTCGGCCTGGCCTCAGTATGTCAACGGCACGAATCACATCCTCCGCGTGTACGGCGATGGGGACTCGCCTCTGTATCCTGAGATCGACTCTATATCCTACACCGCAAATTCATCTGAATATGAGCTGTTCTTGGGGACCTTGAACAACTTCACAGCCACTGGGCATCCTCCGCTTCCACCACCAATCGATGCTTTTGCCTTTGCCTCATCGCTACTTTCCGCCAACGATAGACTCGAAGCCATAGCATACCCAGATCTCTGGATTTCTCCCGAGCTCAATGGTCCGGCCCTCAGACACTCTAGGCATCTGGACTGGGACAGATACAGATACGCTGCGATCTTAATCCCTGGTGAGGGCCCAGAAATTTATGGTGTACCTCTGTCACCCCTGGGAAAGCTCCGCTCTCGAATTGCAGCCTCATTCTTCGCCAAGCCCAACACCGCCCCTTTTCTTATACCAAGCGGCGGGAACGTTCATCCCAATCTCACCACCTACACCGAAGCTCTCGAGATGTCGAAATGGCTTCAGAGCCAGCTGAACGTCAAAGTGGACAACATAGCTATCGAACCGTACGCTCGCCACACAACGACGAATCTGAGAAACGGAGCTCGTGTACTGCAAAGACTTGGGGCACCGAAAGGAAAGAAGGTGCTTATAGTGACTGATCGGAGTCAACGAGATAGCATTGCCAGTCGAAGCTTTGCCCTCCGATGTCAAAACGAATTGGGTTATGTTACGGGAGACATAGGGCCCACGTTAGGGTTGTTTGAAGTTGAGTGGGTGCCGGACTATGGGAAGTGCGCATTTGTTGATCCCATCGATCCACTGGATCCATGAGCTAGCCTTGTAATGCACGTGCGCCAATGGCTCCAGGGCAGCGAACGGAGTCAGAGAGGAAAGAGAGACAGGTCTTGATATGAAGCCTTTTCTTTTTTTACACCGAGCAACTTTGAGAGATAATACAATCGTCCTGGAAATCTCCCAAAGAAAGCTCGCCTCAATGACGTTTCAGTTCGCACGATGCGGCGTGGGTCCCCCCTGGAAAATGTAGCAACGGTAATGCGAAAGCGGGACTTTGTGCCTGCGGAGTACTCATATAATCGAGAATAGACGCGCGTTGGATGTCACTAAGATAAGGCGAGGCACTCGGCTGCCCCCATACACCTGTCAAGACCAGCCGCAATCCTTCCTCATTCCGCTTCAAGCTGTCTTTCGGATGAACCAGCAAGTACACGTGGCCACATTCCACACCAGTTTCAAGGGCTCCCTTGAGGAACATAAAGACCCAAGTTGTGGAGTTTGCAAGTCGAGCTCTCATTGACAGTATTTGACATACGACATGACGAGCAGCACCGCGACCACGCCATCAGAACACGATGATGTCGACAGGCTTCTGTCCGTTCCGATGACCGAGACCATTCCCATGGAAGCATTGCGCCCTTATCTGGCCTCTCCATCCTGGCACTCAATTGATGGTGCCTTCAATCTCCGCTCTGTCTCGTACTCGCCTTTCGTTCGACCAGGCCTTGTCTACCGCTGGGGCATGTTAGCATTGCTCTCGGAGGCCGGAAGGCACGACATTGTGAAGTCACTAGGCATTACGAATATATCCGACTTACGTTCCAACGAAGAGAGACACAAGTTTCCAGACCCGGATATCCCTGGCGTAGAATTCAACGCTTCAGATCTTAGTTCAGTAGGAAAGTCGACGAGCGAGCAGAAGTGGACGAATGTGAGGCTTTCCTGAAAGACCCTCTGGAATCATAAATAACTGAAATTACATATCTAGATCGTGGAGATGCTGGTCTTTCACCTCGAAGAGTACAGGGAAAGTTTCCGAGAGATGCTCTTGTTTGTGCTCAACAACCCAGGAAAGCCGTTCCTGGTTCACTGCACCGGTGGCAAAGACCGCTCTGGAATCGCTGTAGCCTTGCTGCTGTCAATCGCCAACGTTCCACGGCAATACATTGCTCATGACTTTGCTTTGACTAGAATTGAAATTGAACCTGTCCGAGAGCTTTTGCAGGCTAAAGCCACGGTCGACATAAACGACGAGAGAGTCAAGGCCATTGCTGGGTGCGAGTAAGTCACGACTCTGCTCTCCATGCTTGATCTCCAGGCTAATCTGTCCGAAGAGCACGCTCCATGATTGAATTTCTCGAGCTGGTTGACCGACGGTTTGAAGGTGGACTCCAGGGGTTTGCTATTTCGAAGCTTGGACTAACAACGGAGGAGATAGATGGAATTCGACGAAGTCTTAGGATGCATGGGTAGAGCGAGACCTGAAAACCGCAGGATCTTTGACAATAATTTGACACGAGACGCAGTTGCGCTACTATCATCAAATCACCATCAAGGGGCAGCAAGGCTGCGGCTCCCTCAGCGACCCAGCCACTGTGCAGGGACTTCTAGATCTTATTGATCGGGAAGAAATTTCATAGGGCAGACGGCTCATTTGACAGCACCGCTATGTCGATGTTGCCGTAGCTAAGGAGCGACGAGAACCAGGCTTGCGGATCGAAGAGCGGCTATCATCGAGTTGACTACGGATCCTGATAACATTCTTGAAGAATTCAGTGGTAGAGTTCTGTACACACTGTGCTACACACAAAAGCGTCATTCCTCTGCGATGCCCCCGTGATCTCCTGCAGTCGTTCCTGGCCATTTCTAACACACGTTAGAATCTTCGTGGCTCACAGGGAGTCGGGCCCGCGACAAAGGGACGGGCCCGAGGTCGATTCCCAAGGAGTAGAGGGTCTCGACTACGGGCCCGAAAGATAGCCGCGTTCACGGTCCAGCTGTGTCTATACATACTGGGAATGATCTGCAAGACCAATTGTGCAGGATTACCACGGCGTCAACACAATCTTTACAAGGTCTTTCGATCACGGATTGTTGCCTTTAGCTAATGTATTCAAGAACAAAGAAGCCCCCTTGATGCTGAACAGCGTCCAAGTCGACTTGATGACTTGGAAGTGTCGAAAGACTTTTGTAATCAATCGGCCGCGCCTCATTGCGGCTGAGGCGTCGCCGCCCATTGCCTATCGCTTCTACTTATCAGACATGATGTACTTATCTTGATCTGCAACTTCTAAATAGGATAGTGAGTGGAGAGGGATATCAGGACGGCTCCATCTCCATTTGAAGACAGCCAAAGGCTGATACATAGTCATATACGGACTTCCCCTGGAACCCAGCATTTGATCTGTTCGATTGATCGTTTTTTCCACCACCGCTATCACCGGCTACAGATTTTGAGACGCTCAAGATGGGTACTCACCAAGACCAAACTATCCAAACAACGGCTCGCCTTCCATGGCTCCGGCTCAGCAAGTGCGGCGTCCATGTCTCGACAGTGCCCCTTTGAATGGAGGTATTCTGACTAGAGCTCTTAGCCCTTCCGTTCAGATTCTTATCATCTCCGCCTCACTGTTCTTCAACCCTGGGTTGTACCTTGCGGTAACAGTACGTCCATTCTGATTCAGCCGTCGCCCTTGTGATATTGAAGGCCTTGACCGTAGCTTCTGGGGGCCGGTGGCGGCCGTCCATCATCGACTACTATGTCCAACATCGCCAACGGGGTGCTCTATGGCGTGTTCTCCTTCTCGGCCATCGGCGCTGGCTCTCTGCTTAACACGATCGGGCCACGATGGACCCTGTTGTTCGGCATTACGGGTTACCCCATATACCAAGGAGCACTTTGGTACTTCGACGTATATGGCCATCTTTGGTTCCCGGTCTTTGCCGGCGCATACCTTGGACTCAGCGCTGGTTGTTTGTGGACGACGGCCATGTTCGCGGCAACGGCCTACCCCGAAGAGAGAGACAAGGGGAGCTGGCGCAGTATTCAATGGACTTTGAACATTTCTGGATGTACGTGATCGCAGCCTCACCGTGCGACTTCTCACTGACCGTTGTGCGAAAGCTGCCATCGGAGCTGCTGTGGCGTTAGGGATCTCCTGGAACTCAACACGAGAAGGAGTTCCTCATTCGGTGTACATTATATTCATCGTGCTGCAGTGCTGTTCGATGGCACTGACGCTGTTCGTCAAGTCGCCAGACAAACTGAGGCGCTCCGATGGTACTGCTCTGGCGCGCTTCGACCGCATGTCTCTACTCGAGACTCTTCGAGTGACGGGACAATTGCTCAAGGACTGGCGCATCCTGATAATGCTGCCAGCATTCTTCACCCCTGAAATGTTCTTCCCATTCCAATCGTCCATGAATGCATACATCTTCAACCTCCGTACCAGAACGCTGAATACCTTGCTCAATAATTTGATTCAAATACCGACAGCCTTGGGTCTTGGCTTCTTGCTCGACAACGAGAAGCTAGGCAGTCGACGAAGGCGGGCCTTCATTGGCATCACGATCGATATGATATGGATAACGGGGACGTGAGCAGACTCCCGGATAGGCCCTGACCCTTCCAGCTAAGCTGACTTGAGCAACAGATACATCGCTCAAACAGTCTGGCTGTCGTCGTGGAACTTCGACCGATCAGTCCCTGGCCCCAGCATCGACTGCACCGATCCGGTCTATGCTGGCGCTGTGGTCATTTACATGCTTTACGCGGCGCAATACGGCATTTTCCAGAACATGGTCATATACGTGATCGGAACGTTGACGAACGAGCCACGAAAGACGGCCGCGGTGGGAGGCTTGTTCGTAGGAGGTAATTGTGATCGGCCTTGAACCGCCATTTGGAGCTGACATTTTTTGTAGTCCTTAGTGCTGGCACTACCGTCTCATTTGGCGTGGACGCTACTTCTCAGCCGTACGAAAACGAAAACGCCGCATATTTTGCTTTGTCTTTGATCACCTGGCCCATCCTCTACTTTGTTGCTTGGAAGTATACGACGCCTACAAACTACCTGCTGGAGGATGATGTGATTGCACCTGTACATGTAAGGGAGGAGCTGGGCGTGGAAGGTTCTCCAAGCACTGAGATGGCGGAAAAGACTGAATATATTAAAAAAGAAAAAGAGAACCACGTATCGAAGGGCCCTTGAGATGGTTTGGGACATCAATGGGAATGCAATGGAAATGTACAAGGTCCTCCAGGTGCAATGAGACGTGAGATTGTGTTCGGGGAGCCAAAGCAAGGTTGTACGAAATCAAAGTCAAAGGCGCGGTCGTAAGACGGCCTCTGCGATCGTATTGTACGACCTCAAGAGTTGCTTTAACCCAAATCCCCAGACGAAGTCAAATACGCGGAGCAATGCTTTTGATAGGCAGCGAAGCATACAAGTTCTGAATCACCAGGTATCGTTTCAATCCTGGAGAGGCAATAGAATCAGGCCCAAGACCAACACGCAAGCTTCCCATCTCTCCATCACTCCAGTGAATATATGCCCAGCGCGCTTGAACGAAGCCTTGCCTCATCTACAAAGGTGCCAAGCCCAGGTCTTCGCGGCAAGTGTACGACAGCATTGCGTATGTTGGACGCAAAGTCGGTCACCTCTCCTTCCACCAGCCGCAGTACGGATCTAAATGAGTGTCCAATGGGAAGCAGATTGGGAATCGTGACTGCAAGCTGCAACGAGGCTGCCTGTGTGATACCTCCTTCGAGCATGGAATTGGCATAACATGATATGCCATGTTGCTGTGCCAACCCAGCCAAAGCCTTTGAGCGAAGAATCCCGCCGTTCTTTGTAATCTTAATGCTGAAGACGTTGGCTGCTTTTTTGCGGATAATCTCCAGCGCTTTCTCAATGCCCGTCAAGCTCTCGTCTGCGGAGATCGGAATCTTGCTACGTTGTGCAAGCATTGCCATACCGTTGATATCAATTTTAGCCACGGGCTGTTCGACGAAAACCAGGCTGGAATTTGCAACGCCGGCCAGGAATTCCAGGCTTTGATCGCGGGTCCAGCCAGTGTTGGCATCAGCTTTGAACTTGATTCTGTCTCCGTAGCGCATCTCGAGAGTAGCAACCCGTTCTATTTCTCTGGCGATGGGAGAAGTGCCCATTTTTAGCATAAAGTCGACATAGCCTTCCCGCATCCTTTCGTCGATTACGTGAATGTCGTCTTGTGCGTCGCCATTGTTCAGTGGATGCGATACCGGAATCGATTGGCGGATTGGACCACCTAGCAGTTCGGCAACTGAGACCCCGAGGCTTTTGCCCTTCAGGTCAAGCAAAGCAATATTGATGGCACCTTTTGCAAGCAAATCTGCCTGCGGCCTAACCGGGTCGAGAAGTCGATCAATGTGCGCAGGATCTGCAACGTCCTCTTCCAGTACGAGAGGAAGCAGTTCATTCCGCAAGACCTCGATGACGTCCTCGGAGTCTTCATCCGTGAAAGGTCTCTGTGCGTTGGCCTCGCCCCAGCCGTTGTTGCCGTTGTTGTCGGTCAGCTTCAGGATCACTGGGAACACCTCCTTGATGGTGCCGTAGGAGAGCTTGTATCCCTCAAGCGTATAGCGATGCTTAAAGATCTCGGCCTTGACGATCTTAGACATGTTGCAACACGACGTGATGAAGAAGCAAGTATACACTGGAAGGCGGCATTATATCTGACATGACCACATCGGACCAAGTGGCTTCGGAAAAGCCGTTCGGGCTCCTGCTGGGATTATACAGCTATGCTAGGAACGGGTGTGCAGCGGTGCAGCCGTTTTCGAGCATGTAATGTCCAGGCCTCGAGAGAATCGGGTGATGGACTTCCGCGAGCATCGGCGAACGCGCCGCTCGAACACGCTTGTCGACTTGCTCTTCCGAAGACCTTCAGCGTGCATGATTTGAGTGAGCTTTTGACTCAGTGACTTCAGGCGACACGCACACCTGTTGTCCCGTAATTGTACATCCGGTAAGCTAGCTACTTCACGAGGCTCTCAACCAGAACGGATTACACGACTCCCTCAGACGCCACCGTTTTGCTTTTACTATCTGCCCGCTCGTTGCCAGTGGCATTGTCTTCATCTTTTGGACTAATACCACTCATGGTCCTCGGCCTCTTGCTGACGGTGTTGGCATTGAACCAAGACCCTTTGAATACAGCCTCTATTTCTTCCATCGTAAGGCCAGACACCTCTGGGATCATGAAGTGGGTGTAAAGAATAGCCACCAAGCACCACGACGCAAAGAAGACAAATGCTCCCCAGTTGTGCGTACGATCCAGCAAAGAAGGGAGGGCTACCTGCATTGCGTAGAGGAATAGCCAGTGAAAGATTCCCGAAATTGCTCCCCCGAGCGATCGAATTCGCGTGGGCCATAGCTCGGCTCCAAAGACGTATGGCATTATAAAAAGTCCTCGAGGTAAGGCGTCAGCAGATAAGATCTATTGTTGATGCAGAGTTGAGCGAGGCTTACCAACGATGTATCCCCAGGCGTGGAGAAAAAGCATAGCCAAGGCTGTTTCTGATGCACTTGCGCTCACTCCAGTATCTTGCCTGACTTTGAGGTAAACGGCCATGTAGATGTCTGTGCAACCTTGCAATGTGGCTCCAAAGAACAACGACCTTCGTCGGCCCAAGAGGTCGATGAAGACAAACGAAGCCAGTGTCACGAAAACGAGCTTTGCAACGGCGTAGAAGCCGCTCAACATAATGCCTTCGGCCTTGTTGCCCTCGGCGATGCCTGCGATATTCAAGATCGGCACGAAGTAAGACGTGATGGTGTTGGCGCCGGAAAGTTGCGCCAAGGCGTAAGAGACCAGGCAGATGTGTAGCCGGCGAACGTTTGAGCTGACTGTGAACAATTCCCGAACGGTCGAATTGAGCCTTCCAAGGCCCGAGACGGAGCGGAAACCATGGAAAGCGACTCTCTCCTCCTGAACGGCCGATCGGATTTGCTGATATTCTGCCTGCACCCGCTCGTGGTCGAACGGCAGTCGACGAAGACGAACCAGTGTAGATAAGGCATCTTCTGAACGATCTGCCAGCTCCAGCCAACGGGGAGATTCGCAAACAAAAAAGCTGGCAATGCAACACAGAAATATGAACACGCATGGTACAATCCAGACCAGTTGATACTGTAGTCGGCTTGGAGGCAGATGCAGATAGATGCCATAAGTCATGAACGTAGACACAACGAGAGAAAGACTCATGGCGATGCCAAACCAGGCGCTGAGGAGGCCTCGCATCTCAGGAGGGGCTATTTCTGCGATAGAGAGCGGTCCCAAATTTGCCAGTGATCCGATTCCTATACCCACGACAATACGAGATGCGTACATGGCAGCCTTGTTTGGTGCGAGGATCGCGATAAGCTGCCCAACAATGTAGATCGAGGAATAGATCCGGAAAGATGCGCGGCGACCCATCCAGTCGTTGACAGGGAAGGACAAGGCCGCGCCAACAGCGTATCCGATGTAGATGAGAGATATGAAGTTTCTCAGTTGGCTCCCGCTGGAGCCAGAGCTGATCCCAAACTGCTCTTGAAATCCCGGCAAGGAGGGCAGAACGGATGCGGAGCCTTGATCCCACGCTGTGAGATCGCAGAAAGTGTTAATTAAAGACATATATGCTATGGTCGCGCCAAATTACTGGCTGGAATGGCCGTCCCGGCAAAGAATGCGGCCGAGTACAACAATGATGGACTCCACACCACCTTAGGTCCAGCCTTTCGAAGCGAGTCCCGGTACCGTTTGATAGGAGACCTGAGCAGGCTAGTCGTGAAGTTCATCGTTGGCTGAAGAAGTGTGTGACCACAAGTGACTGGTTAGGATGGTGGAAAATTGTGAGAATGGGACTTCTGCAGTACTGTCTCGCAGGAAAGAGGAGCCAGCATTTGTACCCAGATTGACTGTTCGTATCATTCCTTCTGGTTGCTATCTTGTAGATCTCTCCAGGTAATCGTGGAACCAGATACTGCTTCGTTTAATGGTACAGCTTTGGGGTTTTTGCCGTGCAAAGCTACCACAAGGTCTGGAACACGGAATTTCCGCGAGACAGTGCGGAGCCCGTGGATTCAGGGGCTAATGACCGGAGCCCGCAACCTGAGCGGTCAGTTGGCTTTTCACTCAAAGTACATCGTCACCATTCCCTTAAGAAGCGTGGGTCAAAACATATAGGGCTCTTCAGAGACTCTCAACTGCTCTAAATCTTCAATCATGCCTTCTCATGAGTCCGAAATCATCATTGTCGGGGCCGGCGTGTTCGGTCTGAGTGCAGCCTTATGGCTAGCACGCGACGGCTACCAAAAGATAACCGTATATGATCGTACTGATTACGACGCAACGAACTACGACCCAGCAAATGGATGCTCAGCAGCCTCTGCTGACATTAATAAGATTTTTCGCACTGCGTACGGAGATCAGCAGGAGTGCGCTTCATACCCACCGTGCTGAAGTAAGAGATCTGTGCGCTAATGCTGTACAGATATCAGGATCTTGCCATCGAAGCAAGAGACATGTGGATGGCTTGGAACGAACAAATTGCGGGTGCAAAAGAAGCCGAACTTCCAAAACCATTGACTCCCCACGACAAATTGTTGGAAGAGTGTGGCGTCTACTACTTGAGCTCGGGGGAAGGCAAGTTGACGTCCCATTTTCAACAGAGTCTGGATACTCTAGCAGAGACTGCTCCCTCCATCCGTCAGCGAATCTATCTCAAGGGCGATCAGGAGGAGGAAAAGCGGCTTGCAACAGAGATGGATGCAAAATGGAAGGCGAAATATCATATCGCCGACAAACTAGCTGGAGGTAGCTCGCATGGGTTTCTCGATACAAGTGGTGGCGTCACATATGCATATAAGGTGATCCACTGCCCGTCGTGACAGACTTCTTCGCTGACTTGTACCTCAGGCGTGCATGTACGCAAAGCACCTGTGCTCTCAGTCTGGAGTCCAGTTTGTTCTCGGTGATTCTCAAGGAAGGTTGAAACGCCTCGCTAAGGATAGAAATACTGGTAAAGTCATAGGAATCACCACATGTGACGACAAACTGCACCTCGCCACGCTGGTGATACTCGCATGTCAGTGCCCAGTCGTGAGTCCTGCATGATGGCGTACTGACTATGCTCAGGCGGCAGCTGGACTGCGAGCGTATTGCCTGAAGCTCATCGTACGGTGGAAGCAACGACTGGTTCTGTCATGTACATTGACGTTCCTGCTGATCGAAGAGACATCCGCCAGAAGTTCAGCCCGGAGAATTTTCCCGTCTGGCACTACCGACGAGGACAGCAAGGAGACGATGGGTAAGATCCAAGCACTCTTCGCGTATGGGAAGGCATTCATGGTCTGACACACCGCCGTGTAGGTATTATGAGGGCGGTGGTTTCCCGATTACCTCAGATGGTCGATTGAAGTTTGGGTTCCGCGGCCGAAAACTGACCAACTTCCAAGACCACCCCTTTCAGACCGCCCTGTGAGTCAAGTGCTGTGCCTAGCGTTGCTATTGCCCTCTTGCTGACCAGCCATTCCCCAAAGCCGTGTGTCAATGCCGTGGACAGACGGTGCTGACAAATTTCTCAAAACCGTCCCGAAATACAACCTCGACTTGCAGAAGCAGGTCATAGCAGAGGTGTTCCCTGAACTTGCTGAGTTCGGATTCACGGACAGTCGAGTACGTTTGCCGCCTGCTTGGTGCTGGCGGGGCTAACGAGCATTGAATGAACAGCTGTGCTGGTATACCGACAGTCCTGACAACAGCTTTGTCATCGACTACGTGCCAGGATACGGGGATAGTCTGTTTATATGCACGGGCGGATCGTGAGTTCTATCGGATGAATTCGAGGCCATTCCACGCTGACTCCATCCGAACCAGCGGACATGGATTCAAGTTTCTTCCGATCCTTGGTCGAGTAAGTATGCCTCGGGACAAGTCATGAGCAGAACCTCCTTAATGGTATGCGCAGTATGTTAAGAACCAAATTGAGCATAACCATGACCAATTCACTCAAATGTGGAAATGGCGCTCTGCCGTCGCCGGTGAGCCATGCAACCATCTCAACGAAGGAGAGTCAAGAGACATCAAAGCAATTCAGATGGCATCGGGTATGGGTCGCTACAGCGATGACATGGATTTGTCGGACTTGGACTAACCTTTCGTACAGCAAAAGACTACAGGTTCGACTCTGTTTGCGAACGCTTAGGTGTAGTGGAGGCGGAAGTATAGGGGCACGAAATCAGGCTGTGGTACGATGACATTGTTTAGCACCTCTTAGCATGAAGAGAACACCGCGCAGCCTTCTCTAGCCGTTCATGACTTCACTGCATCATTTCTTCGCCTTCAAATGTCAAATAAACCTGCAGAGAACGCTATGCCGTCATTGGCTTGCCCCAAGGCTCGTGGCTGAAACACGCCCCGCATATCTTGTCGTCGGCTTCGGGAATATTATCGATTTAGCGGACTTCTTATCTCCCTCCAAGTAGACAAGCAGACGCCAGGGTATCTCCTCATCCTCTCCGCTGCTTCTCGATGGACTCGGATCTAATGGCAGCAACCAATGCTAGGAAACGGCACCGTGTCCAGGATGACGGCGGACCAGCTCGCAGACGCACAATGATAGCTTGTCTTCATCTTTCACCCATGGCTGTGATTTGAAACATACGCTGACTTTATCCTACAGGCAACCGGTGCAAGGTCCGGAAGCTGAAGTGCCAGCACAATGGCCAGGCTGGAAGGTCTGTCGCTAGGAACCCTCATCCGTGGTGTGCTTCTGCTGACGATCCCGTGCAGCAAATGTGCGGCTTGCTATAAGGCAGATGCAGGTAAGACCTGCGTAAGTCCAGATGAGATCTGCTCACAAACTTACGTCTTGCTTCAATGCCAGATTGTGAATTCGACATTCCGCCCGATGGCCACCCACGCGGTGCAGCGTACTGTTCCTGTACTTACCGTCGTCGAACGTTCTTGTGTTGTCTAACACTGAGAATGGCAGATATGTTTCTGGTCTGGAGGAAAGAAACGCACTCCTTGAAAGGCGGATACGTGACCTCACGGCCCAGCTCGACACTTGCACCCATCGGACCTCCGCTCCAAACTCCCAGCAAGAGAAGTGCTTTTCTGAGGCAAGTCTGCCTCTTCTATTCGATTGACTCTTTGGAGACGACTTGCTGATGGATCGGGCATAGTTCGTGGGTTTGTGAGTTTCGGCGGCGCTCAGTTCACAGACAGACTGTGATTCTAATGCCTGCAGTGGCCTTCATGAACACAATCCACCTTCTCCGAATTCAGATGCGTCGCCATTGGATATAACAGTCTACGACATGCTGCAGAGCGCACCCACGGGCGGTACGTTTGCTGCGGGCAGTGCCGAAGGTGGTCAAGAGAAGCCCACTCCGCTGCCTACAGGAGAGAGATGTGATCGCCTCCTGGATGCTGCGTACAGATACACCCAAGCACGATATTGCATCGTAGACTGGTCGCAGGTGAAGAAGTGGCATTCACGCCGAAGTGAATTTTGCGGAATCGAACAGAATGGTACATTGCGCGACAAGACTGGTGAGTGCAAACTCAAGAGATTTGAAAGGTGTACCTAATAATGTTGAGCCTCTTACTTTCTTTGGATGATATATGGCATTGGAGCAGGTTTTCTCCCCGAAGGCCTTCAACAATCCAGGGTAAAGACGACCTATCTAAACGATGAACCCCTCATAGTTGACTCTGAGGCTCTGGACAGGAATTTTTCGGCGAAGCAATGAGGTACCTCAATGCGGCCTTATCGTGGCGCGACTTGACTACAGTTCAGGCATTATTGGTCTTGGCGCAGTACCAGGTCAGAGCAACGGTAAGCTGAGTGACACATGGGACGGGGTATAAACATCGCTAATTGAAAGCTCTAAAGGGCGGTCCGTCTGTGTGGTACGTGTTCACGACACAGGGTGCTTCTCACTCCCTAACGCCGAGCAGGCATGTTATTGGCTTCGCCATCAGGCTCTGCACAGAGCTTGGGTACCACCAACAGGCTTCGGATGCCGCTATGCAACGCGACCCTCTGGGGGTCGAGCTTCGGAAACGGTTCTTCTGGTGTACCTTTGCGTTTGACAGCCTCCTCTCGCAGCGCTCTAGACGTCCTCCGGGAATCCGAATTAACGATATTGATGTTGACGTACGTCACTGGAAATGGCTACAAGCGACTTTGACGTGCCAGGTTTGCTGATTTAGACCAGTTCTTCGTCGACATCGATGTCTTTTCTAGTGATATCACTGCTATCTCCGACCTGCAAGCACGACAGAGTGCCGAGAGGCTATCTCCGGCCACAGAGCCAGGAAGCACAAGCGTACGCATTACTCGCCAGCATTTAGCAATTGCAGATTGACCCTCCACGTTCCAGATGTCCTCGTGTCTTCACCACCTGCGAGGCTATTGTCTCCGTGCCCGGATTCTGTAAGACCACCTATCCATCTCTCGCTCCCCTGCTGATCACGTAAAGCGAGCGGACACGCTGGTGTCGCGATGGGGCAATGTCTCAGGAAGAGATAGATGAGTTCCTACGTCAGTTGGACGAGTGGAAGGCTGGAGCGCCGTCCGACTTCCCTGTGAACGCCCCGCAACAAGGATTTGCCATTATCGAGGAGAACTATCTGCGCGCAGTCAGCGACGTAACGCGACCAAAATTGGACAGGAAAGGGAACGCCGTCGTCCCCATCAACCGAGACATGTTGGTGAAGTGTGCTACCTGCTCGGTAAAAGCCTGCGAAGTCAGTTCACCCAAGACGTGTGGCTCATCCAAGCCTGACTACAGACCAGAAATCGAGAATGCTCTCATTGAGTCCGGAAACACAGCCCTCGCTGATGGCCATGTACGAAGCCTTTTACCACGGCATTTCTGTCCTGCAATGTCTCACGCTGGACTCCTCCATACTCCCCACGCAGGCGATCCGCCGAGCTGCTATGGCTTGCTCCAGCACATTATCCGTCTACACTCGCATCTACTCGGCAACGTCCCCGTTCTTGCAGCTTTTTGAGGTTCTGGCTGATGATGTTGTGAACCATGTCAACTCTCTTTCTGTATTCCCGATCTCGGCCGAGGACGAGACAAGTCTGTCGCGAGCTAAATCAACCATGGAAGAAGCCATCGTGAGCGATCCATCACACATACGACGGTGAGCCAGATGTTTGATATCCTTCAACTGTGCAGCTAAGATCTAAACTTTTAGTATCCTCTGGTCGTATCAAAAATTAACGGCAGAGTCGCTCGAAGTGTCGCGAGAAGCCTCGTCGAGCATTCGGGATCCAATTCTCAACGACTCGACCTTTAATGACCAAAATGGACCTGATTTCTCTTTGCTCTATGGCGTGATGGACCCTTTGTGGTTGATCGATGACAACTTTCTCGCGAATCTGGATTAGCGACATGTGTATACCAGCAGCATTAACCACCTTTGGTACTGTATCGGTTATTCGGGAGCTCGGCGCAGAGAAGGATTGTCAAGGTTCTCACTCAGCAAGTAGATCTCACTCGCTGATTATTTGCAGATAAAGACTGTGCAGCCCTTCCACTAGGTCTTCTGCGGAGCTTCAAGAGCGAAATCGATTTTCTGGAAGAGAATGAATTTCAAGCTCTTTCTTCTCACCGCAGCCGTGGTTGTCCCTTCGCTAGGTCACGGCATTATCACTACGCCTCCCGTTCGAGCACCTGGCCCGGCTTCTCCGGCCGCGTGCGGAAGTGCTATTACCAACATACTCAAGGCCGACAATCAGTCTGGCATCGAGTCGCTGTACGGTGCTAGCGGTAGCGACCCCGATTTTAAGGCGGCCTCATGCAACCTCGTACTCTGCAAAGGACTAAAGCTGGAGGATAACCTGGCCAATGTGCAGCCTTACCACCCAGGCCAGGAGATCAACATCAAAGTATGGACACGGATCCCACACAAGGGGTAAGCAACTCAACCTGTCGATTGGGCAATATATTGACTAAAGTTCTTCTCAGATGGGCAAGCGTAGCAGTCATGGATACTCGAACCAGTCCTGTGCCTTTGATCATATGCGAGCCTCTTATCAGTTTTGAGACCGATTCTGCCACCGGGTTCTCGACGGCATCAGCCCCAGTAGACATGCACTTCAATGTGACTTTACCAGGCAGTCTTGGTGGACGCTGTACTGAGCCAGGCAATTGCGTAAGCTCTTTGCCGGCTTGGCGGGTTGCTTGTTACTGAAATGACCTGTAGGTACTGCAGTGGACGTGGTTTGGGAGAGTTGTACACTAGACCTACGAGTCCTGCATCGACTTCGTTATGGGTGAAGATCCCCAGGAGATGTCTCAGCACCTCGATGGTGTTGATGAGAAGCAGCTGAGACTCCAGACAGGTCCACGACTCGGCGTTTGATTCCTCAAGCAATGTCGTTTGAGCATGATCGTTAAGACATGACTGGCGTTGCAGCATTGCTTCTACAGTGTGATGCTGGCAGGAGGGCTGCTAATGCATGATGTCTTGGGTGTTCTGCCAACTGTCGTTACTTCTGTGGGCACGTGCCTGTCAGTCACCAGTATCAATTGAGGTACTGCAGCCAATGAATTACACTGCTCCTTGACGAAAGTTTCCAAGCGCGGCGTACCGCTGGATGGAAGCAGCAAAGCTTGCGGCGCCGAGACTTTCTTGACTGAAGGATTCCACTTGATATTCAAGTCTAGGCCACTCGTCCCTTACTCCTCTTCTTCCCCTCGACCAGCGTATCGACTCATTTGATGTGGCTGACAACATTGAGGTATTCGATCACAGGACGGGCCACCAACATGACAGATTGTTCGTATGAGATGATTCCATCAAAATGGCCTGCTCAGTCAACGACCCCAAAGCTGGAACCTGGATTAACAGCCACTGCTTATCCAGGCGAGAGGACAGATCAAACCAAGTCTCCGCGGACAAGAGTGAGAAGGGTGTTCAATTTCGCGCAACTTTTCTTCTTCGCCCTGACGTTTATGAACTCGTGAGACCCATCATAATGAAGTCGTGAGAAGAGTTTACTGACCAGAGGGTTTTCCGAAGGTGGGAGGCTATCGGCGGGTAGGAGAAACCGTGTGTGAATATTTCGACGAAATATTTCGCTGATTCGAAACCAACGCAGGAGTCTTACAGCCTCTCTATGGAACGGTGGCCCAGTCTCGTATGGCCTGGAAGTGAGTTTTGGAGATGCTGAATACTACTAATTTCGGTGTTCATAGACTGTCGTGGGGATTCTGGATTGTTTACGCAGGGGCGTTGGCACAGTCTGCATTTTTAGCAGAGATGGCTTCAGCACAGCCCATTGCAGGCGCTCAGTAGGTCGTGAAGGGAAAACAAGTGACGAAAGCAAGCTGACGACCATCAGATATCACTGGACCAACGCCCTGTAAGCAGGAAGATTGCTGCAGCATCAAGGCCGCTGGTCGTTCGACTGACTGCTCATCGGCGCACCCAAGAAGAATCGTCGATTTTTCTCGTGGATGCAAGGCAGGCTTACCTGGTTTGGTATGGCTCCGATGCAATGGCACTCCATCCAATACTGAACGACTGTCTAGCATGGATAGCTGCCTCGCCTCAGTTATCAACATCAACGCCAACCAGATTCAGAGTCTGGCTTCGCTGAATTTCCCGGAATACGTTCCCACTCAGTGGCAGACCACGCTCCTGATGATCGCAACGCTTACCGTACGATGAATGGCGTTCTTTTACACAACATGATGTAGCTGATGCATCTCGTGTACAGGTGGAAGGCTTCTTGTGCGTTTATCTTTGGCAGCATTGCGGTCAACGGGATATTCGCCTATACCTTTATCACTGTGCTCTTGTACTGCGTCGGCGATATTGGTGCTGTTCGAGATTCCCCATACCCTATATTGCAAATATATGCTCAGGTGACTGGATCGAGGGTGAGAAAAACCCAATGACAGCCTTACCGCCCAATTTGTGAAGATTTGCTAACCTGGACTAAAAGGCGGCAGCCACAGCGATTGTCACGACCTCTTTGATGATTAGTGTCTCGGTCAGCCTTGGTAACATCTCCAGTGCCGGTCGATTGACTTGGGCTTGGGCCCGAGATGGAGGCCTTCCCGCCTGGCTTGCCCATATCGATTCGAAATACCGCATCCCCATTCGAGCGCTTTGGGTGCCTATTGTCATAACCATGCTACTATCGTTGATCAATATTGTGAATTATGCGGCCTTCCAGGTGTTCTTGTCTCTAGCTTCATTGGCCCTTACTGCGAGCTACATCTTGCCCATTGCTTGTATGCTGAGAGCTAGACTACGCCACGAGGTGATTTTTGGCGACTGGAAATTGGGAAGACTTGACGTACCGATCAATACCTTTGCTCTGATCTATTCGGCATGGATGTAAGATCTTTGATTCTCGACACTATATGAGCTGAACTGACCTTCGGCTTCCAGGTGCATTTTCTTCTGCTTCCCGACTTATCTCGTACGTACTGAGATGTTAAGAGACAGCACTTAGCCTAACAACCCCACAGCCCATTACTGGTGACGGCTTCAATTATGCATTGCCCATCTTCGCATTCGTAGTTGTGTTTGCGTTGTTTTCGTGGCTAGTATGGGCGAGAAAACAGTGGCCTGGCTTGAACGAAGAAGTCGTCGAAGCTGTCATAGCGGACTCGAATCGCAAGACTCGGGAGTGAGCATCATCCGGTGCAGGAATCAGTCGGCGTTTCTGGACAGCGATAAGACGAGTATGGGGCAGGGACAAGGAGTAGAAAAAGGAAAAGGGCAGATGTTGTTCCGCGGCTGTACCTGACACCTATATAGAGATGAGACATCAATTTGAAGCGTCGAGGCTATGACAGATTCGAAAATTAACTTTCCGCTAGAATATCAAATACAACCGCAATATTGCGCTGTCCACGCTTGAGCACAGCTGCGGCTGAAGCCAACCTCTTCCACCTAGGAAAGAAACATCCTCTCCCGCCTTCGCCAAGCCTGTTTCATCGTGTCGTCCGGCTATTAGAGATGGTGGAGTAGGACACGACGCTCTCTGAGAGACCGTTCCAACTCACGGCATATCAGCTTCGAGCCATTCCTGCGCGGTCTACAACGTCCGATCTAGCCTTGCCTCGAACTAGATTCCATTGTCGGGCTAGATGGCTGCCATGGACCAAGAGTATCTGTTCTTGAGTTGCAATGCCCGCGATGCGTCCAGGCGAAAAGGTCCTCCAAGAGCATACATTGCACGTCGACATGTTCAGCTCCACCGCGGGAAGCATCACGAAAACGGTCGTGCCACAGCCTTGCCTCTCCAGATCCGGTTCAATGCAGTGCCGAAGAAATGCCAGTGCTGTCTACTCAAGGTAAGTGCTGTACACTCATATGATGAGGTCGCCTATTAGCCTGACGTGGTTCACGACTTGCAGTCCGTATGCGTGTGCCCAAAGGGCGAAAGGGAAGCGCGAAGACCACGTCTCGCGAAAACCTCCTGTCCCGTTCCTGCGGTGGTCTCTTTTTCAGCTTCTGGAACGGAACTACGCGCCTCGCACCTGGCCCATTACTTGTCAGTCTTATGTCTCGAGGACAATCCCGTGTCTTTCGTCTCGTCTCGACTGATATACAACAATGTCCCACTCCTTGACCATGCTGCCGACGCCTTTATCCATTTGCTGGACTCGCCGAGGACACCGCAAGGAGTCGTCGTCCCAACCAAGGCCGCCGCAGGGGGGTACTTCCAGGCACTAGTCATGCTCCGCTCCTGCTTCAGCGTCAGGAACCTTAGCACCCATGACTGTCTGAGCATCATCGGCCTACTAGGGCTATTCGATGTTCTCGTTCGAGATCGGTATCGAGCAACTGTCGATTGCTTTACTCATTGGCGTGGTGTCTCGGCTGTGATCTTACAAGATCCTCTGGAGTCATCTAGAAGCAGGTACGCTCGGGCAACGGTAGGGTCCACTGCAGGCGGATGTCTTACCTCCATCATTCCTTGCTTCCAGGGGCGGGCGAGTGTTTCGACGGTGCCCCGGGGTGGACCCAAATGCCTCCACTGGATGACATGGAGCCCCGAGAGGTAACAAGGCTGAATCGAGTGAGCTATCGACTGTTTGTGCAGCTGCCCAGGCTGATGTGTCTGGTGAGGCAGTGGAAAGCCGCCGAAACTGGATGTAAAGAGGAGGTGAAAGAATTGAGCCAGCTCGCAAATGAACTGGCGACTTTTGAAGATCACGATGGTGAGCAGTGGCTCCTGGCACGGACCCAAGCATGTCTTGCCCAAGACTCAGCAACAGCAAAGATAATATCACACTCGTTACGCCTGCCTAATGCAAGAGCAGCAGCTACTGCCTTATGCTACTGGCAGACGCGGATCATGGCCCTCAAGTTGCTGGACACCGTAGAGATGAGCAGTCCATCCCACCGTGCTGCCGAACAAGACAGAATGGCGATCAACATCCTTATGACCTGCGAGTATATAGAGAGCTGTGGATATTGCGCCACTGCCCCAGTCGCAATTGCTCTGGTTACTGTGTGGCTCGTCTTTCGATCGTGCCAGGACGGCCAGGAGATATGTACCAACGAATTGGCCGAGTCAACACTCAAAACCCTTGCACGGTGCTGGTCGGGCGCCGCCATCGGTAGACCAGGGAAGAATTGGACAACGTTGCCAATGTGCTAGTTGGTGGGAAGCTGGAGGGCTACCTGTGTGACTCTGTGATGACCCAGAGTGGCAACCGAGGAGAATGAGTAACGGATTTGATGCCGAATGAACGGCACGGCAAGAACTTGGTATTGGAACTCTGGGATGTCTGACAATATTGATAAAGCCTCGTCATCATATGACACACAACCTAAGCCAAAGCTATCCGCTCAGACGCCACACATCCAGGCTACTACGGGTCCGATGCTGGTACCAATTGTCGGGGTTGTCGGCTTGTCTGAGCCAACGAGCGTCAGCTTCGCGGGTGAGGGCGTCGTGGGCTTCTTTGGCGGCAAGGACATCTGGTTCTACCGGGTCCATGATCTCCGCGTCGGTGAGATCATGATCTACGACACTATCGGCAATGATCAATTAAGATGAAGGCCATTGGACTCACGAGGAGAGGTTTACAGCCAATGCTGCTTCTGCTATAAGTACTCCTTTATACTCCTTCAATACAATTATCTCTCTGTCAGTGAGAGCTACTAAGGGGCCATCAGATCAATCAACAACTCCAGCGCCTGCAAAGGCAGCTTCTTCAACACCACAAGTCATATCAAGAGCCGCCTATATCTGGCTAGCTTGCTAGCTGCTCCGTTATTGGCACCGGCGTCTTTGCAAGATTCAACTTCGTCACCTTTGGCTCCACACCCTTATTCATGCCATGCAGCGTAAAGGGGGTGAGTTGATGTTTCTGGGCATTCACGCAGTCTTGGCATTCACGTGCTGCTGTAAGTACTCATTCATAGTCCTCCAGTACAACACTAGATGTCACACATCAAGTCTGTCTTTGAACATGGTGAGGAAATAACACTCTCTGTATTTCGTTACCGAAAAGAATGCGAGCCGTCTTCGCATGAAGACGCTTATCCAATGTGCTGTGTTTTGAACATAATCTTTCAACCACCACCTCCATTTGTTGCATTCGCTACCCACACTTCTCCCGTCACCAACTAATTCAATGAGAGAACGTTCATAGGTACGCCAAGGCGAGCGCCAGGGCAGAAACTAGAAGGGTTGAGAGTGCTGGAACGAGAGCTGATTGTCCCCCAGTATAAGGCACCACACTCGAAGACGGCATCATCGATCCGGTGCCTGAAGGCATACTGACCGTCGCGTTCATCATCGAGGGAGTAGCACTCATTGGTTCCACGACTGGAGCATACGCAGCGCACGTAGCCATTGGCGATTCAGGGCAGTCGCTCTGTTTTCATGATCGTATCAGCAACTTATAGCGGTGAATGGGTCTTTGCTACTCACAGCAATACAGATGGCCTGTAGCTCAGGAGCAGCTGTCGAAGGAATGGCCGCTGGTGGAGCGCATCGGTAGCCAAACGTCTTGGTCAAGAGAGAACCGGCGGCTTGGACGTCGTCGTCGGAGACACCAAAAGAGGCGGCGGAAAGACCGACCTGCATTACGAACCAGGTGAACTCAGCCTCACTGAGGCCCATGAACTTGTGAACTTGGTACATGTTCGTGTCGCCCGAGTACGGCATGCTGCTTGAGCCGTACATGCTGCAGCCGAGCAATACCGCGAAGTACTCATAGAGATGAGTGAGGAGTTTGCTTTGGGCCACAGTGGTCAGTCTGGCTCTACACTATGACACGAGGTACTCACTATTGTCGAGACGATTCGTCGTTCGCAGGCATGTTCTTCATGAGCGGTGCCACGCCCCCTCCGTCAAGGAAGTTGACGGCCTTTCCAGAGCTTCCTCCAGCATTGGTGCTTGCAAGGCCACCGCTGAAGTAGGGCAGGAGATTGACCTCAGTGCCATTGACCATTCCTGGTGCCAGAATACCAGGAACCATGACGCCCACGTTGGGCATTGTATAGTTGCCGATGACAGCAGTGTTGACAAGAAGCGTCAGCAACGTCTGCTGGGTCGTAGCATTGTTCTCCTTGAGGAGAGCCGTGGTGTAGTAGTCGCAGATCGAAGTGTTCGTTGGTCGCTGGGCAGATGCCAAAGAGGCAGCCGCGGCCAGGGTAGAAACGAGCGCAGACCTCATGATCGTGGTCGTGTAGAGTGGTGTTGAGCAAAGCAGCGGAGTGAGGGCAGAGGGCGAATGCGGTGATTATTCTGTGGCAGATGTACTTCGAATGCGGCAGGAACAGGACAGGCGCCTGACATTCCGGTGATTTTGCTGGTTCCAAATATCAGCCGTCATCCTCATTCCGGTCATCCTACTGATCGTCATCTGCAATGATTGACAGTCCAGAGCTCGTTGTCGACACATCCTCCACCAATAAGGCGGAATGCAAATCAGCTTGCAAGCCGTTGTTGCTTTGTTTGGCAAAGATGACCACGAGGCACGGCTTTGCATCTTTCCGGCTTCCCAATCGGGAGGTCATCTCTCAAAAGATCGCTTTAGCGGCCTGAACTAGGTGTTGCTGACTATTGGATGCTTCTGATTTGCCATAGTCTCCTCTTCTCACGCGTGGCCTCGATAAGCTTCAAATCATGCTTCCTGGCGGAAAGGCATGCTTCCGGCATTGATGACCTCGGAGTGCTTCTTTGTCGTCGACAGCGGTGCCGCTCTACCTCGAGGCTTTTTGCCTCGTTCAATTCATGCCACATCTTTCGTCGAGTACTTTGTTCGATGACGCAGTAAAGGCAGGGATGGATGGATTTCGTTCTCCGACGAAAGCATCCTTCCTAGTTCTTCTGAGGCATATCTGGCAGAGCATGTCCTACTCTATCCCCCAACTGTGCTGGTGCATGAAGAGCGGACGTCAACTAGCAGAAGCTAAGTTCCAAGTTTTATAAAAGAGGCTGCCTTCCATTATTTAATGACAAATAAGGTGCTCTGCTGTTTTGACGCTTCAGGAGTCGGAGCTGAGAAGAAGTGGTATATTCGAGCCGGCGATCGGTGGAACGATGCTACTGTTCTAACTATTAAAATAGTCTCGCACGCCACCCTCCTTATTCCGATCAAAGCGGAGCATTCATCCCCATTATTTCCAAGCCATCCAGGCGGCCTGGAGTGCAATTAGCAGCGCAGTCACTGTTGAAAAGTCGGAGAGATAGCACTTCGATTACGGTATAGGACATCCCACTCCGACCGGAACACACTACCAGAGATAATCGCTTCTTAACCAAATTGCACGAATATGCGACAAAGTGACAAATATCCACACACCGCTTAGCACCGCAGTGAGCACACTGGTCACCCATTTCACCCCGCCGCTTGGAAGCATAGTCCCGATCAGTCCCATCGTTGACAGGAGCCCGACGTTGGGAAGATGAAGCCATACCACGTCAAGTGGAACGACATCTTGTGAGCTCGTCGAAGAATTGGGCCAAGAGCCATGAAGAAGAAGAAAATCCCCATGCCAAATATTGCAATGGCAAAGATGAACGCGATCGTGTTGACAATATCCACTGCCAAAGGGTGTTCTGCAAAGTATCCGTAATGGTGTGGCAGAGCCTTCGCAAGCTTCATGTATGCCAGAGGAGCGTACGTTGGAGGACCCACTGCAATCATCATTCCAGGCCGTTTGTCTGGCTCGGGGAAGCCGTTGATGAAGAGACGGTGAAGGTAGATGGCCGCCATTGGCAAGCTGAGGAGGAATCCCATACTGGAACAGAAGAGGCCAGCAGTCAATATCGAATATGCCTCATGAGTGGTGACATAGTTCGCGACGCTGCCCGCGCATACGCCTACCAAGATGACTGGCAATACAGGAAGTAGCCAGGCGGGCGTCATTTGTCTGTTGTCGAGATGACAGCCATGATCCGGTCCCTGGAAAAGGAAGAGATGGGATCCGAAGCCTTCCAGAAGCGCACAGATGAAGTAAATCCAGAAAAAGGCGACAAATGTTACGCTGAGCGATGAGCCAGGGGTAGGTTGTGCGAATTCCACGCCGCCGGTGACGACGCCGTACGACGAGATCCAGAACGCGGCGAAGAACATGACCTGCTCTGAATCCTGGATGCTCTTCTTGAGACTGTCCTTCAAGATCACGAACTGGGCAGCCTTCGCAATAACAAGAACGACGTTGCACGAGGCCGATGAAGTAGAAGACGAATCCTATGGTGTAAAGGCCGTGGAAGCTGTATATGGATCGCTGCGAATTGATCAGCGTAGAAAGGCCCAGAGATGTCATGGGCATCAGAAACCATGCCCACGAATAAATGGGCAAATGCGTCAGCAACCATGGCGTGTTACCCATGAAGCTGCGGAAACGATGCTCATCGTCAGGTTCGTGTCTGAATGATTCTGCTTTCCGTCTCTTGAAGGCATGAGGGGAGTCAGAGCAATCCAGTCGTCGGTCAGCAATCTGGCGTTCTTCGTCGTCCATGGCGAACTTTTGCTGAGATGTGTGAAGCGGTAAGAGGTTGCGATGAATTTAAGGATGAGAATGCGCAAGAGTGTTGTGCTGAGTTCGAGTTGCGTAAATCAGGTAAGCTGACCACGCCCATCGTCTATTATACTGACTTGGTCACCCAGTGGTGACGATGCCAGTGAGGGACAGCCTTGTTCAAAGCCGCATACGTCGTTGCGACTATCCAGGACCTTGATCTCGACGGCAGGCGCGACGCGACGGACATACAAGACCGAATTATGATGCTATGGATCTACACGGATCTTGCATTCTTTAGTTCGTGTCGACCTTCAGACCCTAAGATTCACGTAGACATGCTTCCCACGGCCGTTCGGCCCGAACGTGGATGCAACCCGAACCGGGTCGTCTGCGCTTCAGAAGCCGAGTCGGGCAGCTCGAAGCAAAGTCTAAGTTCGTGACTAACCAAACGAGCCATTCGTCATCCGCCTGTCGTTTAGCCTAACCGCACGTTACGCAGCGAAGGTCCAGCTGCGTCAGCCAGACCCGACATATGCGCCCCGGACAGCACATGCAGCCTTGTGTTGATTTGTTTACAATGACATCAGTGGTTTGTCGGTCCGGGTGCGCGCGATAGAGATGTCTTTAGATATAATAACACGCCGTGGAGAGGCTGGGTTTCGATCATTCAATCAGTACGAACAACAAACAACATGGCATCCTCATCCCGACACGTTTTCCATCTCAAGAACTCTTACCCGTTCTTCGAGAACGACCATGGCAGCATCCAGCGAGCAACAGCCAAGGAGCTGCCCATCCTTAAAGGCATGTCCTTGAAGAGGCTGGTGCTGAAGCCCAAGGCGATTCGCGAGCCACATTGGCACGCCAACACCCCTGAGCTCACCTACTGCCTCAAGGGCGAAGCCATTGTGTCGGTCACCGACAGCCACTCCGCTTTCAATGCCTTCACGATCAAGGCTGGCCAAATGTTCCACGTTGAGTCTGGAAGCCTTCACCACATTGAAAACCTGTCCGACTCCGAGAGTGCAGAGTTCCTTGTCTGTTTCCGCCATGAGAAGCCCGAGGACTTCTCGCTCTCAGCCTCGTTTGGCGCCATGACGCCGGCGGTCCTTGGGAACACTTGGAACCTGCCTAGCTCTGCCTTCAAGAACATCAAACTCTCCACCGAACCAAAGGAGATCATGCTCCGCGAGGGCGAACCGACAATCCCGTCGCAAGTTCACATGAAGAATCCCCATAAGTTCGATGTCGAGGGATCTGAGCCACAGCTGAAGGGCGAGGGCATTGGAAGTGCACGACAAGCCAAGGCACAGTTCTGGCCAGCCCTGAAGACACTCGCCATGTACTCTCTTCGAGTCGAAGATGCCGCCATGCGTGAGCCTCACTGGCATCCCATCACCGCCGAGCTTGGCTACGTCAACAAGGGCCAGGCCCGCATGACGATTCTCGACCCTGATGGCAGTACGGATACCTACACACTCAAGGAAGGCGATATGTACTACATCCCTCCTGCATATCCTCATCAGATTGAGGTTCTGCCCGAAGGAGGCAAAGAAATCCATTTCTGCATCTTCTTCGACCAGCCAATGCCTCTTGATATCGGATATAAGTCGATGCCCGAGGGCATCCCACATGAGGCTATGGCTGCGACGCTGGGCATTAAGAGAGCGGATATGCCTAAGCTGGAAGGCAGCACGGGAACACCCCTGATGGTGAAGAGAGTGAACGAGCTGGACAAGGTGAAAGAGTGGACCAAGTCGATGTTGTGAACGATGAGCTGCATGTGCACGGCGTTCAGGCAGATGGTTTTGTTGGGTAGATTTTGTAGCAGTACGTGTACCATTATGTTCTTTGAAGCTTTCAGCTGGTATCATGAGTGATGAACGACATCTCATGCAAAAAGCCGGTTGGCAATTGATGATGACTGCTTGATCAGCCTTTCTCAGATCAAGCTCCCCTGCTCACACGATCAATGGGTCAAGACCTGGTAGGAAGCACATTTGTATCAACGGGAGTCGTTTGGCAACGGCGAAGGCCACGGCACCATGGTCATCACCATTCCGTCTGCCGAATCGATGCAACATATGTGTGAGAGCTCGGGGAAAAGGCGGGTGCGTCGGAGATAGATGGAGGCGCCTGTGAAGTCGATTGAAGCTACGCCAGGGGTGATGAGGTTTGATCGAATGAGAACGGAGCGTCGACGTCAAATCGGCTGATTGATCAGCACAGAGCACCTTCTTTTGAACGCCAAGCATAGTTCAAACTTGCCAACTCATGTAGTAGTCGCAATGGAACCCCGACGGTTATTCATTCAGGATCACGGGCAGCTTCTGTGGCGGGTGATGCACCTCATTTGCCTGCTCTTCGGGGCCGTGACCTCGACCTTGACGACCCAGAGCCTCTCACTACATTCTCGAGTCCAGTACAGTCTCTCGATGGAGAGAATATTTCATGAAGTGCTCCTTCAACTGGAAAGGTGGGCAAGGCCTCGAAATCAAGTCGAGATGCTTATTCTTTCATCCCACCAAAGACCGTCCAGGTGGAATCATGAAGTAGAACACTGCATGTACAATACTGGCGCTGATCGAGGCAACCCTGTCAGGAGGTCAATCAATGATCCTACTCCAGCTCGAAACTCCCAAACTTACCAGTGATACCAGTGCCAACCTGGGAAATGGCTTCCAACGAAACTTCCAAAGCATCTTGCTGGACTCATACTCGCCCCTCCATATCCATACACCGAGTACCCAAAAGCCCAGCTGAGGACACCAAGCACCAGACCGACCAGAAAAGGACTCAGGGCAGGCGGAATGATCTTCTGCTGGCGCGGGTCGAGACCAACTCCGAATGCGAGGAACAGTAGTGCAAGGCACGCCATGAACTCGTTGGAGAACGCCCGTCCAACACCTTCCGGGTAAAGAGCGTACTGTGACTCTCCGCCAGTGAAGAGCCAACATCCCCCGGTCTTGGAATCTCGGGTCCCATAGCCAGCACGCACAAGATAACCTGCGAGGGCGACGCCAAAGCTTTGAAGTGATACGTAGAGAACCATGCGCGGGAGTGTGGTGAGTCGGGCGAAGAAAGTGCCTATCGTGATTGTGGGATTGAGATGTGCCCCAGTCAGGACGCCAAAGACGAAGGTAAAGAGTGTGAGGAGGATAAAGTTCTGTAGGGCGCCGGTTGTGGGACCCAGGTATGCAGCATTGTCGAAGTAACCCAATTGCTCGGTTGGAGCGGTGGGAATGACTGCGGGAGAGATGTTGGACCAGATGGTGATGTAGATGAATAGGAGGCTACCCACGCCCTCCATCAGAGCGGCTTTCCAAAGGCTGAGTTGGGCGAAGCCGGCGAGGGAGAGTTGTTGAGAAATTAACATGCCTGGCGCAGCATCAGGAGCTTTGCTGAGGATCCCATCGCAGTCTTCGTGGTCCTTGTCAACAACAAACTCCTGGTTGCCGCCAATCCGTCCCACAAAACGGTTTGTTGTCGCCTTGTACAGTCTGCCGGACGTTGCGGATTCCATGTTGGTGTTGCGCTCATGGCTGCCCTTGCCGCTGTGGGAGAGATTTCGCAGACCCAGGGCGAAGGACGAGAAGCCTGTTTGCTCTTGGGTCGGGTGACGTTCCTTCTCTCCAATCTGACGCTCGTTAGCTGCCATTGCTGAAGAAGGCGAAGAGTGAAGCACGTGTGGCTCGTCAACAGCACTTATATGCACCTCGATTGGCGCTGTAAGAAATAAGTCAGGCCAGCCACTGCGCTTTGCTAAGCAGCTTATAAGCAGACTGCGGCTCGAAACCTTGTACCTGCATACACATTCATGAGCTTCGACACGAGCGTGCGAAATGCGACGTCCGTGGATTGGCACTCTGACAAGGCTGCGTTGCTGCTGCTGCTGCTGCTGCTGCTGCTCCAGTAAGGTGGACCAGCAAAGCACGCCCGTTTGGTATGGCTCTGAGGGAAGCTCGAACGATGATCCACTTTGTACGCTTGTTGATGGTAGGGCGCCGTAGCGAGGTCGCCAAGTACAAGAAGCCCAGCTGCGCTTATCACCGTTGCTGGGACTCGAGAGAAAGAGCAACAAAATACAACCATCACTCCTGAAAGAGACATCACCATGGCGCATCTCTTCAACCTCAGCGGACAGACGGCCCTGGTGACGGGTGCAGCCGGCGGCATTGGGCAAGCCATGGCTCTTGCGCTGACCGAAGCAGGCGCTGACATTATTCTTATTGTGGTATGTATGCAGGACAGCGATCAATAAATCTCGCAGAATGCTGATCAAGACTCAGAGAAACACTGCCCAGCGCGAGACACACGACGCCATCTTAAAACACGGCCGCCAGTGCTGGATCTTTGCATGCGACCTGGGCATTGGCGAAGCCGTGTCCGAAGTCATCAACAACATCCTGCGATCCCACAAATTCGAGATCCTTGTCAACGCCGCGGGCATTCAGCGCCGTGCGGATGCGGCGGAGTACACGCAGGAACTGTACAACGAGGTGATGCAAGTCAATGTGAACTCGCCCTTCGCCATCTCCCGTGAGGTTGGTAAGAAGTGGATCGCAGACGGAACTCCAGGCAGAATCATCAACGTCGCCAGTCTCGCCTCTTACCAAGGCGGCGTGAGGATGGCTGGATACTCGGTGAGCAAGGGCGGGGTCGCCATGTTGACCAAGGCCCTGTCGAACGAATGGGCTAAGCATGGCATTCGTGTGAACGGCATTGCGCCAGGGTGAGTTCGCGGGTAGTGTGGCTTGGGAGCCTGTGATAGCTGCTGATGGGTGCAAAGGTACATTTCGACCAACATGAACGTCGATGTCCGGACGAACGCAGATTCGGCTCTGTTCGATTCGATATCGCAAAGGATCCCAAGCGGCCGATGGGGAGATCCCAAGGACTTTCAAGCAGCCATCATCTTCCTCGCCTCGAAACCGGCGACTGCATACCTGACAGGCGAGATCATTGCGGTAAGGCAGTCCAGTTCATGTCGCTCTGTGCTCGCTGACACAGACATGTAGATCGACGGCGGTTGGCTGGCTCGATAGAGCGTTTTGCCAGCAGGTCTTGGTGTGCCGGCGTGTGGTGGACTATGCTCCGATGTAGGCAGTAGTCTATGTGCCCCAGGCTGTAATGCCCGCATTGGACTTGTCTGTCACCGTCTCTTGCAGGATCATGCGCTGGTCATGCTCTTGCATCCGGCTCATGGCACTCTCGAGTCGAACTCGTTGCCAGGCTCGGGCATACTCCGCAGCCCATAGACCCAATACAGTTCCCACCAAGTTCCTCGCCGCCTCCATTTCATCTCCGCAATGGCGTGTAGATTCACATCGTTGATGCCCGTCCAGATCAGGCTCAAGTAGACACTCGCCTCGCCTCGCCTCTCATTCACGTCTGAGCTCACATCTTGCAATTCGAATCGGAAGTCTGGGTGTTCACGAGCTCTATCCGCCCAAGCCTGAACTTGTTCGGCGAGCGTGATGGGCTGGGCCTGCGAGTCGAGATGGCACATGAAGTCGGCCGATGTATGGGCGAGCAGCTCCTGGCCGTCTTTGGAGGAGAAGGTGAAGTCGCGGGCGTTGATGGCTTCGGGGACGGAGCGTGAAAGTCGCTCGAGGCGAGTGGACGTCGATTCGTCGTTGTCGCTGGACGGCGTGGGGTAGTCTTGTTGGTAGTGATGGCTCATCTTGGCGACGGTATCCGACCCTGATGAGCTCTGCCTGCCGTCTGTACCAGCAAGTCTGTCGTCGGATTCATCATCGGGGGACGGTGAGATGTCTGACGTGGGCTGGGCGGAGGAGCATGTAAGATGGGATTCGCGAAACCGTCTTAGTTGGTGATAGCCAACATGGGTAAGGTTTGGTCGGTGTTCTGCAGATCTTTCTCGATGAGGAAGGTGTGCCGGATTTGATGCCGAATCACTGATTCCACACGCTAGTGACGCTTGGACGTTGAGTGAATGTGGGCCAACTTCTCATGTGCCGCGACTGGCTTAGTTACACTTCATGCCGTGGTGTTCATTGCTGACTGTGACTACCACTCCAGCTTTGATGGTACTCTCTCAATATTCCTGCCCCACCAGTCTCGCCAATCCACAATCTTCTTCTCTCGTCTCGCTTCCTCTGCAGCAAAGACAGCAGCATGTGATCTGATGATCTCCTCCATGGTACAACCCAGGTACTGCACCTGCGCCTCCCTGACACTCGTCTTTCCATCCATTGATGCCGCTATGGCCTTTACGAACTGCTGCGTCAGTCCATCGTCTCCGCCGCCATGATGCGAGTTCTTGGGGACTTCGGGATTGAATGTTCTTGTGGTGTCGTTATCAAAGTCGTGGACGGTGATAGATTTACTATCGTAGTAGATCTCTCCGTTCGTGCCATAGATTCTGCCTCGCCTCTCGCACTGTGCAAGACTCTGTGCGATCATATGGAACGATGCGGTTTTCGCTGGCCGGTCGTGCCCGTCGTCGTCCCATTCGATTGTGACGTACTGGTCGTCAACCACGTCATTATCGCTTTCCCATACGCAGCGACCGTACCAAGAACGAGATGCGACATCCTGTACGGGAGTCTTGCCAGTGGTGTAGTCTTCTGCCAACGTATCCATCAGAGCCTTTGTTGCTTTCTCTGGGCCGTCACTCTCGAGCATTGCCTCGACCTCTGGATTGACGATATGCACCGGCCACTTGGCATTTCCTCTGGCAAGGTGCTTATCATGATAGATTCGCTTTGCCGAGAACTTGCATTGATCACTGATGGGGCAAGACAAGCAGTTCGTTGCGCCTCCGGCCTCCCGTGGCTTCCTTTCCCTTTTGAATTGCTTGAGCGATCCGAAAGAGCTTATGCGGGAAGGGAGGTGCGCATTTTCATCGCTGGCAGACAGTGGCGAGCAAAGCATCCATAGAACAAAGTCGATGTCATGACAGCTCTTGGTGAGCAGACTTGGGGCTGTCGTTGACTCTTTCCGCCAGTTGCCACGAACATATGAGTGGCTGAAGTGCCACCAGCCCACTGGCTCGGTGTGTTCGATGGAGAGGATATCGCCAATGACCCGCTCTTGGCGGACCATGTGCCGCAAGAGCATATTGTGGGGGCTATACCTCAAGACATGGCCAATCGCAAAGATCTTCTCTGGGTTTGCTCGTACAGAGCGCTCAATCTTCAAGCAATCTGCCAGGGACGTCGCGAGCGGCTTCTCGCTCATGATGTGAAGACCCAGTGGAGCGATTCCCGTCAAGACTTCAACATGGTGCTCATCACGGACGCAGATGAAGGCTCCATTGACCCCAGGTGATACTGACACCCCGGCAGCCTCGTCTTTGCGTCTCTGCGTCTCGAAGTTGATAAAGTCCTTCCACGAGCTAAACTCCTGCTCAGGCTTGGGCTCGCCATTGGGCCAGATGTACTGCGAGCCTAGATGACGGCGTTTGAAGTCAATGGGCTCCGCGACAGCAGCTACAACCCCCAGGCCTGAATCAACCACTGCTCTGGCATATGCATTTCCCCGGGAGCCAGCGCCGATGATGAGCAGTCGTGGCTTGACGTGGCTTCCGTTCACTGAGCGGTGACGATCACTAGACTCGTTGATGAGCTCGTTCATCAATGGCGCCATGGCTGAAGCTCGGCCGGTGACAGGAATGCGAGTGAATGTTCGCTCGAGATGGACTCGTCAACCAACAGCGAATGGTTGAGAGGGAAGAGGTCAGCTGCGTTTCGGGTCGGAAGCGTCCCGAAGGAGCGGTGCACGTGATGCGTCGGGACGGCGACACGACAAAGCCGAGGCAGTGGTCGACATTGCCGGCGACGTGCTTCCTCGCGGGCCTCTGCGCCAACCATCTCGTGCGAATCGACGAGTCGTGTAGGAAACAGACAGACAGACCGTAAGTGCAGTCTCTCTTCAATCAATTATTGACCAGATCATCTATCAATACCCCTTCAACCATGGCGGCACGCGCACAGCAGATCTCGGCCCACCTCAACTGGCCCAAAGGCATGCTCCAAGGCCAGGTCGCCATCATCACCGGCTCTGGGCAGGGCATTGGAGCGGAATGCGCAAGGCTGTTCGCCAACGAAGGCGCCTGGGTGGTCGTATCAGACATCGATAAAGGTGTGTCTGTGCTTGAGAAGCTGTTGGCCTGAACGGCTCGCTGACATGCGTACGGTGCAGACAAGTCCCAGCAGGTCGCCGACAGCATCAACCAATCCGGCGGCAAGGCTACCTCGGTGCCTGGCGATATCCTCGATGACAACTACATCAACAGCCTGGTCAAGAAGGCGGCAGAGTTCGGCAATGGCAAGATCCACATCATCGTCAACAACGCCGGCTTCACGTGGGACGGTGAGCAAGAGCATGATATGGGAAGGCTGTTGAGAACATCCACGACTGATGCGTTGATGCAGGCGTGATCCACAAGATGACCGACAAGCAGTGGGACACCATCATCGCCCTGCACGGCACCGCGCCCTTCAAGCTCATCCGGGCCGCTGCCCCCTACTTCCGTGTCAAGGACGGCGAGCCACGCAGCATCGTCAACATCTCTTCCACATCCGGCGTTCACGGCAATGCTGGACAGGCCAACTACGCTCTTGCCGTGAGTTGGAAGGATGGTAATGCAAGCGATGTTGTACTGACTTCCTCCGCAGAAAGCCGGTGTCGTCGGTCTCACCAAAGCCATCGCGAAAGAATGGGGTCCTACCTTCGGCGTCCGCGCCAATACTGTCGCATTTGGTCATATCCAAACCCGCTTGACAGCCGCCAAAGAGGAGGGGGCTTTCGTGACAACGCCAGACGGCCAGAAGGTGGCCTTGGGCATTCCTCAGAAGCAAAAGGATGCCAGCGCGAGTTATGCGGACATTCCATTGAGAAGGCCAGGCAGCGCAACCGAAGCTGCGAGCGCCGTCATGGCAGTATGCAGTCCGCTCTTCAGCTATGTCAGTGGCCAGACGCTCATGGTCACTGGTGGGAGGAACATGTAAATATGGCAAGAAGATCATCTCACAATTGTCTGGTCCTTTCCTTCACGACATTATCATCAACACGAAATCCTTTCGAGAGACATGGCTGTTGCAGAGAAAGCGTGCATCGAACGGGAGCCTGAATCATTCCAGCTGCAACATGACGCCCAAGTTCCCGCCGAAAGAGGAAAGACCGGACTTCACTGACTAGGACTTGCAGCAGCAAACCACTCGTGCTGCCACACATCGCTCGCAACTTTCCATCAACAATGCGGCCAGGTCAGGCCGCAGACATTAACAAGATTGTTCAACGTTTGCTGCTTTCAGTGCTGGATCACATGCGGACTCCATTCCTGGCATTGAGACCGATGGTGTTGTCGAACGAGCGAATCGACCTCTGGCTGGAGTGCACCTTGGATCGATCTACGTGACCATGACTCGACCTTGCTCATGCCCAGCCAAGCCGTCGGCCATCTTCCCTCTCACCACACGATGCAGTCGGCCGCGCTGACATCTTGGAGAACGTTGCTTGAGTACACAATCGCCCACTGCCACGAGGAAGCTCAGAAACAGCAACAATGTATAGTTTCCCGTTCATCATAGTCTGTTCGAGCGATTGAAATCACTATCCTACAGTATGCTTGGTGCTTCACACCACTGCTCATCGTTACTGATCTGGTATCTTATCACACCCACCATCGCACCATCGCCTTCGATCAACATGATCTGCAAAACCACCCCGAGTCGCCTTCGCTGTACCAGGGTACTTCAGGCCAGCCCCTATTCCCTGTCGATTCGCAGCTCTGGAAGAGTAACACTTTGGGTTCATATCGCACACATCAAACACTTTCCAGATTCGGGAATCGAGTTCAACCAGCCCTCCAGCAAGGCTGTGGTCGCTTCAACCAACCCATCGGAGATAATAATGGCTAGGCCTTCCTCTCATCGCCCACGTCGCAAGCCCACAAGACTGGAGCAACGACAGCACATCGGGCGGTCAACTCGTGGGGCCACAGATTCTTCTGCGGGGAGACGGACGTCGGGGCATGGAATGTTACGAAATGACGCTTTTCTGCCCATCATGGGGGCAATCTTTGGGTATGCTGTTTGCGTTGCACCCCAAAGTTTTGATGATGGTCACTGACCATTCGCGACAGGGCAATTCTTGCTACACCCAAACCCCCCAAATGAAAATGCAGATAGATATTCCCGTGTAATCTTGAAGATTCTTCTACATTATCACTCGGAGTAGCCCAGCTGTGCTTTTATACGTTGACGATAGCTGCAGTGTTGCCCTGGTTGTCGAGGGAAGATGTTACAGGTACAAGGGTGGTAAGATGCTAAGCCTCGAACAACGATGAAGATTTAGAGTCGAAAGGATGACGAAGTAGATGAATTAACTGTGCTCTGTCGTGCGCCTGTTAGCATGTCCATCTTCAAGACCAGCCGATCTTCCTAGCAGACGGGCGAAGTGAAACTGGGCATCGCCTTGCAGCCTTGGACATCGACCCATGCCCAACCTATTGGAGATCAACGAGCGCATCTCCCTTATTAAGACACGCTACCAATCTTTCCGAAGGTGTGGCGAACAGGGATGTGCTTTTTGAACAGTTCTAAAAAGACAAGGGCATTTGCTGCAATATAGCAGAGCCTACTATAGTGACATCACATGACACATGTGCTGTTGGAGAATGGGTGATGACAGTCGGTTGCGCGAGCATTACATCCACTTCCAAATCCTTGCAGTCTTCAACTACACAAATTGCTTACACCACACTCGATATGTCGACAATAACTTTATTCGATCCACCATCCACCAGCACTCGCAAGAAAGGACCAAGCAGCTTGCGATCACTCAACTTGAAGGCCAGTCGATCGGATCTCAAGACCTCGAACAGTTCTAAAGACTCGTTGTTCGGTGATTTACTCGGCATCAAGTCGAAGAACAGACCGGCAGAAATTACAGACCTGGAGGATTCACCGACACTCAACTTCTCATCCTCGGCTTCGATCGCATCTGGATCGACGGATTCCAGTACATCTTCCTCTTCCGTGTCGTCCACAGCATCAACGGCAACCAAAGCCTCCATATCCCTCACGGACCATGATCTATTCGGAATCAAGCTCAGACAGACCCGAGAGCCACAGGTTCCGCAGATTCTCAATGGAGTAGATTTGGGAGGAGAAACGTACAAAGTTCCCGAGCCCGTTCCAAAACAGTTCTATCGGGACTTGACTTTCATGGAAGATGAAGAGCTCGTGCAGAAATACGGCTTGGTCAAAATTGACCCGCCTGGCGATGTTGCGGAAGAAGAAAAAGCCGAAGAAGACGAGAACCACAACGAGAAATCATTGATGGACTGGCTGAAGCATCCGCCTGCGCCGAAGATGTCCATTACGAAGTTTGTCTGAAGATTGAAAAGTTTGTCTGAAGATTGAAGAATCTTTAAGACTGCTGATTGGCTGCGGATACAGGAGGCGTCGAATGCATGCCATGGAAGCCTATCCCAACGGCTTTGCGGACCTCAGCGCGACCGACCTCTTTCATCGTACTGGCGTCAAGACACAACAGATAGCTCGTTCCGCTGTCACCATCGTACACGACGCAGAGAACGTGCCCTTCATCTTCGCCACCCCCCGGCGCAGGCACGTAGACAGGTTCTGAGGGAGTGTGCCTGGGCGTGGACCAGCGGATGCATTCGCCAGTTTGCATGTCGGTCTTCCCAATTGAGTCCATGAACGAAGACTTGCCCGTATCGATGACGGTCCAGACATAACGATGGGGCTTGCAGTTGTAGTTTGGATTAATGCGAGGCAGGTCGCCGGCGTTGGGCGCTGGGACATCGAGGATGCGAGCTGCAATCTCTGTCTTGGAGGATAGCGAAGAGCCTTGGAGGGGGACTCCAGATAATTTGAACCGGGAGAGATTGAGTTCCTTGCGGTCATTGTCTGCGTATTTGTGGACGCCAGATCCATTCGACAGAAGGTTTTTGTAGTAGAACCGGTTCAGGATGTCCATATTGCCGAAAGTGCAAAGCTCCAGGATGAGATCGACTTCCCCATCTTTCGTACTCTTCTCCTCCCAGGCGTTGGTTGTGTGGAAAGAAAAGAACGGCGGGCTTGTGAACTTTTTGACCAGACCTCGCCCACCCTTGCGATCTACCACCAACCATGTCGTCTGAGCATTGGCATCGTAAGCGAGTGCGTCGAGAATGTTACGTTCCCACAGCACACTCAGACCCATGTTCTTGAAGAAAGCTGGCCAGATACACAACACCACAAAGTTCTGTGTCATGAAGAACGAATGGATATAGGCTCCTTTGATATCCCTTCCAGAAATCTCTGCCAACACTTCCACATCGCCGGTCTTTGTGTTGGCGCGGAAGACCCTGTAGATATGGCGAGGTCCCAGTTCGAGATTGTAGTTGTACACATCGCCGGTGGCGGGATCGTACTCGGGATGCGCACCTGAAAGCGGTCCTTTCAGCGACGAGTGTAGATGTTCCTGTCTTGTAATGCCCAGAGGCTCAAGCGTTTCAGCATCGAAGGTCTTAGTCACGCAGGCATCGGTGGTGGAGGTGACCAGACGGCGGTCCTTGACGTCGCCCTGCTTCTCCTTGGCGCTCTTCACATTGGCGGGCAGTGTGGGCTGGAAAGCAACTGCAATGTTGCTATTGGCCTGATTGCTGGGTGCGCTCTGGTTGAAGACGGACTTGAACTTTTTGTAAAACGTATCGCAGGGATCACGGTGTTGGGCAAATGTAATACCGTCAATACGTCCCGTGTCCTTGGCCTTCTGCAGCAGCTCATCGACCTGGTTGTAGGACGAGTACCATGCCTGCTCGCATTTCCCGTCGGCTCCGGCCACCAATTCGAACCTGTGCATGGTGACAAATCCGTCAAACCAGTGATCGACCTCTACGTAGCCATCACTTGGGTTCGTCCGTGGGACTCGGTGCTGACCGGGACCGGCACGATACAGCTCGCCCGCTACATGGTTTGGAAAGTAGCCAGAAATTGGAATCTGGATCTTGGTCCTCGTATCTTGGAGAGTGTTGAAAGCACCGGCATTTGGCCAATTGCCGTAGTGCTCAGTATCGGCGGGATTGTGTTTGTTGGCGGCCTATTGAAGAGTTAGTGATGGAGAAGAGGGGAAGTTCTGCTGAGCACCTACCCCCGAAGGAGGCAAAGGGAGGGAAGACTGCCTGTCGACTTGTGGCTGCTTCATATCGGTATTTTGCTGGGGAGTTGATGTCGGGGAATGGCGCTCTTCATGTCGTCCTCAGGCTCTTTATATGTGCGTCGAGCCATAGATCCTGCGGCCAATGTTATGCCGCTCACGCACGTAGCTATCACTGATCACATCGCAGAATATCGAAGCCTGGTATGTTGTTTGTTTTGCGTTGCGCCTTCGCGAACCCATCCCAAATCGGCCTAGGTATGCGAGCCAGTTGAGTTTGCAACCAGGCCCAATAGAGCTAGCGAATTTCTTCATTCAGATGACAGTGGCTGCCAGGCCCCGTGACTTCGCAATCCCCAACGCTTCCACTTCGCGCTGCGATGTTCTGAATTCATTCACTTACACCATCGCCCACCATCACCCGCATCCAACTGCCACGAATTGTGAAATCCCACCACATACAGAGGGTTTGATATGAAGTACTACAGCGAAGAAGCCGATGCCAGGCTCTTTCCAACTTACGGCAAGAAAACTGCAGTGCCCAACGGCGGTCCGATACCTGAAAAGTTCTACTGTACTGGATAAGGCGAGAAGACTCAATAGCAGGCCGAAGCCGCCCAGCCTCGCATGGGCTACAATCTCTCTACTAGGGAAGGGAGTAGACATCGATTCTTGGAATGAACTGTCATTCTGAAATCTCGAGCTGGAGAATGCACTTCACAATGCCCAGGCATCGAAAGCTTTCATTCAAAACCGTGCTACTCGAGACTTTCACCCTCCCAAACGACAATGCATCTCGTTTCTATACTGGTCCTCGGTCCTCCGTGGTCCTCAGGGGTTTGAAAAGCGCTGTTCCCAGGCAGAAATCAGCCAAGAGTTCATGAAAAGAGTGTCAGCCCGGGGATCGACTCACGAATGCGGCGTGCACCTTGCCCTGCCGTCCAGTTTGCTATCATACAACTTGATCCAGAGCAGGTCTTCGGTGTCCATTCCCTTCTTGTAGTAATACTGTTGTTTGGGGTTGAAGTTGACCCAGAACAGACCCAGCGTCGTCTTCCGCCCAGGCCTATCCATATCCGTCGTACCCGTCACCAAATCGCTGTCAGGAATTGTTGTCTTGTCGCCAACGCACAGGGCATCTCGTGTGACCTTGCTCATTGGCCGCCATGCACTGAAGATGGCCCACCGATACATGGACAATCGATCCCAATCTGCAGGCCGCTCCGGCAGCGCTTTGATATACGCCGGCGTGTGAGTGTAGTTGTAGTCAACATGCACGCCGTTCGCGGGGCCAAAAAGATTGCTTGGTGGCTGCTCATGACCCTCAAGCTTCGAAGCGCGGAGGAGATGCTGATAGCAATAGGCGAATGAGGCACCTGTTCTTGAATGAGGTAAGTTTGAAGCGGCCTGAATGCTGGGTGAAAGCATGCTCACATCGTCTTGGCCAATTCGGTAACTTCGGCGTAGTACTCCGTCTTGACAGCCTCTTCATCTCGGAAATCCTGAAAGCTCGACCTATGCTGAGTGAACTGAAACCCTGCGGCGTCCAGCGTGAACTCTGTTTCGCGTCCAGAGGCGTCCAAAACGTCGATGTCTTGCATGTCTCGCTTCATTTCGTTGTGCTTTCCGACTTCCAATGCATCGCATTCACCTAGGGCTGGATCCAGTCGAAACGCCAAGGTGGTGCGAACTGGAGGCGGAAAAGCAGCTGTGGTAGACCCCATTGTGTAGTCTTGGAGAATTTCGAGGGTGATGGAAAGAGGGAAGGACTTCTCGAGGCAGACTGTCCGTCTTCAGTCTTTTTGTACCTTCGACGCATCCTGACGAGACGTTGCCCACACACAGAGGATGCAAGGCCCGCCTAGTGCATCTTACTCGCGCTTGTATAAGGATTCGAGGCCCGTCCCGGCATTTAAGTAATCCAGCTGATGACGGACGCCGGCTGGGAAACGACTCCTTCGACCGTTTCAGCCCTGATGACAGTAGAGCGGATGCCTTTCCAAATCCCACAAGGTGCGAACACGCAACCATCTCGCCCGTACATACAGCGTCGCAGGGGAAAGCCGAGGTTCGACGACATCATATGGTGGCGAGTTGGTTTCGACTCGCTGTACATACTACCGGCATCGGAGGATAGCTGATCGAAGCACCGCACCACGGCGACGGAGTTCTGATTATCAACATCAGCTTTCCATCGAAGCAGCAGCCATGTCAGTCGACGCTCCCAGGATCAAGCTGCATGCCGCTGGCGCCCCAGCCTTTGGCCACGAGGACGGCCCGCCTTGGTGCTTAGGTCAGAACAAGCAGAGGCAGCGGAAATTCACGAAGAACAATCTGAACCGTTCGCTTGCTCCCGCAAATAACAGAGCTATTCGAAACCAGCTCTGGGCAGTATACACGCTGGAGTACAAGCGAGGGGTCCGAAACTGCTGGATAGATGCCTTGGCTACAGCGGATGCCACGCCAGCAGTCATCGGCAACACTTTCGATGCCCTCGTTCGGTGCAACATCGCCGCCGCGGATGAGAAGAATGCGTCGCTCAAGTACCAGGCCAGAGATGCATATGGGCGAGCCTTGTCGACTCTCGCACATAGTCTCGGCACACTGCCGGCCGACATGATGACCAACAAGCACAACACCCAAGGCATCTTGATCGGTATGCTGCTTGTTGGCCTCTGTCAGTGGCAGGTCTTAGATTCCTGTGGAGAGGGCGGGCAGGCTAGCTGGACGCTCCACTACAAGGCCTCGCAGAACTTCGTCAAGGCTCTTGGACCTGGTGCTTTCGACACGAATGATGATCTGGATATGAACCTACTCCAAGTCACCTGGTTCTTGAACTTTCTCTCCAGTCTCGCCCTGCGTCGGCGTATGACTTTGGACTTGAAGACCTGGGACTCTTTCTCTGCAGCCATGTGCGAGGGGCCTCGAAAAGAGGTTTTCGGATTCCTTCGAAGCTGGTCAGACAATTCCTGCTTTCGTGGCACTCAAGCCAGGGTACTAATATGACTGACAGGTTCCGAATGATGGTCCCGATACCCCGCCGCCTGGAGGAAATCGACTCCATCTTGACGGCCGCAGGGGGGCAAGATCAAGGCCTCAAGCCTGCAATGCGAAAACTTGTTGATTTCTCCAGCAATGCCGAGGTTTGGGCTATAGCCAAAGCAGCACCGGTCGAATATGATGTAGCTCCAGAAGGCCTAGACATGTCAATCGAAGAGGTATGGACTGTTTTATCTCAAGTCTAGGTTTCGACTAATTGAGCTCTCAGCACTTCTTCCTCTCCATCAACACCGCCTTTCGTAGACAGTATCGCTTCCTGCGCCAAGAGATGGCGATGATGTGGCTTGTAACATGGTTCTCACGCCTCATCACCGACTGCACAGCTCTCCGGGCTGTTATCGTCCGCCCAGAGGTGTTCACCAACCAGCCGGACCTGGATCCTACTCGCCTCGAGCAGAACGCATATCTTGCAGCAATTAGCTTGGCCCGCAGCGTCTATTCGGTCTCGCAACTGTCAAACGTCACATATGCTACGATTCTCAAGACACTGCTGGAGATATTGGCAGCTTTCTTCGCAGAACGTGGAGCGATGCAAGAGCTAAGTTGGTGTCAGGGTTGCAAAGCGGCAACAGAGATTCGCTTGCAGCGACTGCAAAGAGTTCGGCCGCGGACGTTGTGCCGAATAGAAGAGATGGTGCCTCAACTGATCGCAGCTGTCAGTATTCGGACCAGGCTTGAGGCTCTTCCTAAGCTGCCTTTTCGAGAACAGACGATGAGGCCAAGCTGCCCCTTGGGATACGACGGAGATGCCTTGCCATGATGTGGGGATGTTCAAGTTTATGCAGTTGCTGCCACTGTACTTGCCACACCGTCAATGACGCTGTCGATCATCGTTTCGCCTGGGGGTGTTTGCCACTCCCTATCGCAGCTCGGGCTCGTAATCCTCGAAGAAGTTGCAGCAAGGACGATCTGCTACAGAAGGTCCTGAAATATACCTATTCTCCAACCGCTCTTGTCTTCCTACCGCAGGCGAAGTTTGCTTCTTGTCTCGGTGCCCCTCGTGTGGTTGTGTAGAGGCTAGGTGATATATATGACTTCCACGTCTCATGAACGAACTTGGCTTGTTGATAAGTCAAAGTGCACACGGCTTCTGTCAAATAAAGCATGATCGTTCCTTGAGGCCGCTAACCCATTTCCAACAGAGAACGTAATTATATACTTGCGGGTTTGGTGAAAAACTTTCGTATTGGCAAGACCGTCGTAAAGAGTGTCATTATTCTTAATCGGTTCATACAGTACAAGAATGTGAACAAACCAATTTTTCTTTCAAATACTACCATCTCTTCATACGTTCATCGATACATGACGGTTCAAAGGTTTCGTCGTCAGCTTCCAGATAATGGCGTTTGACGAGAAGTGATGAAGACGCCAATAGGCGATGGGTTGCTAAAGGAATGTCAGCCCGAGATCTTCATCACGCCCATTGTGCTATAGCTTACTAGTCCTCGAAGAAGCTAAGGCTGAGGCCGTTGGTGCCGCAGACTTCAATGCTTTGAGTAGTGCCAGGAGCACAAGAGCCAGTGCTGACAGAGTAACTGTTTCCAGGCTGAGGAGCAATCGTGGCGAGGACTGAACCTTGAGTAGGAGCATTGTTCCAGGTGGTCTGTTGGTTGGCTGGAGAAGAAAGGCTGGTGAAGACAAGATCGCCCTCGCCGTTGAAGTCGAAGCTGGAGGTTTGGAGCTGGGATTGCTCAGGGAAGAGGAAGATGACGCTACAAGACTGTCCGCCATAGCTGCTTGGGATGTCGAAATTGAATCGTTTCGAGGGTCAGCCACGTGCAACGAATGTGTTCATTTAGATACTCACATGGTGCACTCTGATGTCGTGATCGTGGCGTTGTACTGAGTACCGTAGGCTTGGTCTGGCTGCTCGGATGAGACTGGCACGATGAGATGAGGAGTCTGATATGCCCCCGTGAGAGCTGTTGGGCAGGAAGAGCCAGTGGGCTGAGTTGGTGGTGGTGGCGGCGGTGATGCGGAGCTGGTCGTCCAGGTAGATGGTACCCGCGTGCTAATCTCATACGTTGTTGTAGTCACAACAGTTGTTGCAGGTGGTGGAGGAGCAGCCACTGAGGTCGTCTCGCACTCAGCAGTGACGGTGACTGCCGTAGCTGGCTGGGTGCTCCACGAGGTCGCCGTGACTGTCGCTGGCGAGGGCGAGCTTGTAGAAGCTGGCGGCGCTGTGGATGGAGATGGAGGCGAGGATGAAGACGAGGATGACTTGAATATGCCAGCACACTGCCCACCAGTGGCAAGTTCGATTCCAACGCACCCTGCTTGGTAGGGAACTGCGCTCGTGTAAATGTTGTAGACGCCAGTGAAAGCTGGGCAAGCGAAGAAGGTGCCGTTTCCGTTGTACGAGAGCTCGCCGAATGCAGTAGAGATAACGAAGCCAGTAGTTGGCGTAGCACCCTAAGGAGTATGTTAGACCAAGCAAGCATCTTCAATCAGACAGCGAACGTACAACATCGCACTGGAATTGGGTTGTCGGTGGAGTCAAGATACATCCACGCCCCTAAACCACAGGCGAATGTCAGCTGCGATAAGTCTCCGATCGTGAGGTGGAATCGTGCCTGCGAGTCTGTGATGCCGCCGTCGTTGATGCAATAGGTGGCTGCCGACAGGCCACCGCCAATCCGATTCTGTCCGTCGGAGAGCTGGCCAACGTCACCGGTAACGCCTCCTGAGACGGAGAGTGAGAAGCAGCACTGATCGCGGGCGATAATGGCTGCCGAAGCGCCAGCTCCAAAGGCTGCGACACGGAAGAAGCTCTTCATTTTGGGATGATGGTAGTTCTGGGAACCTGGTTGCAGACGAGGCTTGGAAGATGGCAGGCTGAGAAAGCTCGGCGTGATTGTTGGCTATATACTTTACACTGAGCAAGATGGGCTCTCTCAAACGAAGCTCCATGACGTTTCCCGAGGAGAATATACGAGATGCTGCTCGTAGGAATTCGGTCGCAAAGTGCCAACTCATCAGAATGTGTGGTACAAGGCTTAAGCGGAGAGTTGCGCAGTGACGTGGGGAACTTGCTAGATACGAGCATTGATCATGGATATGGACAGCCAGGATGCCGACGGCTTGAGCTAGGGTCTTCATGGGCCATTCAGCGACGATGAAGGGATGCATTTGATTCCTAGGGCCCATTGGCGACTCCACTTGGTTGATGTCGGTCACTGCATGAATCCTTAGACTCCACGTAGTAGTAGCAATGCTACTATTGTTGCGGATGGTTACAGAGCACCCGAGGAAAGCTGAATCAACAAGAAAAGAGTTGGTTCGCAAGGCTGCATCCGAGATCGACAGAGGCCCAGGAATGCAGGACTACTGCAGAAGCTTCGTAATGCGGAGTAGGAAGTAGTCGACCTTCCTGCGTGGGTTTTCGAGGCATCCATCTGGCTCGAACGAAAGCTATTCATGGTCGTGTCAGACTGTACACGTCGACAAATACGGATTGCAGGAATCACTCTGCATCGTGGTGGTGAAGACGTGGAAGGATGGGAACAGTTCTCGTATTTCCGTCGTCATTGTATTGGAGCTATGCAGGATGAGAGCAATTCGCGAGGGAGCGGAGATGCGCCGACGGCAAGCTCCCTATATACTTCAAAAGATTTTCTTAGCCGAGGAGGCATTCAGACAACTATCTCCAACCTTCCATTTGAGCCTCACTTCAAGGCGCAGCACTGATCGGCGCGGTGTCGGGGAAGTAGCTTGCAGGATGGGTAGGGATCGGAATGCTAGCAGTGATCCCAAACGCAGTGCTCAGGTCTTCCTTCATAGTAGCAGCCGAATATCCGGACGGCGCAGCGGAGACGGTGGTGGTGACGGCGTCGTAGGATGAGCTGCCACTCCCATCTTTGAGGCAGAACCCAGATCCGTAGGCGCTTCGGCAGGTGTAGAACTGTGAAGAGCCGGCTTCTGTCCACATAGCGAAGTTAGAGATGGTAATGCCGGCGCAGGGTGCTCCATCTGCACACACCACCTTGATCGGTCCACGCTCAGAACCGTCGGCCTCTGTCCCGTGCCAGTTCGAGGTGGTGATGTTGCTCAGCTGCACGCCGTCCCTGTCCGCTGTGTCTTGAGAAGCCCAGTATTGGTCGATGTCCAGAGAGTATGCATTTACGCGGCCGATGAAGTTGTCGAAGACCACATTCTCCACCAAGCCATCACCACCGTTGGACTTGATCATCATCATCTGGTTGGACTTCCATGTGTACACATTGCGGTACAAGATGTTGCTGATGTTGGTGCCCGTTGAGAGAGAGCCGATGGCAGAACCTCCAGACCAATTGCAGTAGATGTTCTCGACTTGGATGTGGGAGGCCGGGGACTTCACGGTAACGCATTCGTCCTTGTTGGTGACCATGACATCGTGGATGAAGATGTTGTCGCTCCAGACGTCAATACCATCAAGACCGCCTGAATTGCCTCCTCGAATCGCCAGGTTGAAGACCTGCGGCAATGTTAGTTGTCGGTTGACCGAGAGTTGACGACAGACTTGCCTCGCCGTTGGAACAAGTGTCCATGCTGAAATGAAAGGATGGGGAGTCTGCGAATGCCACGTCATGAACTGAAAAGTCCGAGACATCTGTGAGCCTCAGGATCCGGGGACCGCTCATGCTCCCTTTGGCATGATACTCATAACCGTTGCCTTGGATCGCTCCATTTCCAGTGGAGGAGAGCAACTCAAAGTCGCTACTGTGCTTCACCGAAAGCATGTTGCTTCCGTCAGTCCCAGTGCGAGTGATTATACCGTCCAGCTGAATCGCCAGCCCATTGGCTCCAGATATTTTGACGAATGTTTCCATGGTGTACGTTCCATTAGGGATAATCACCACACCGCCGGCCAGGCATGCATCCGCTGCTGACGAGAATGCAGGTCCTACAGCAGTCTTGCTATTAGCCTCTACACTATAGTCGAGGATGTTATAAGTTTTAGTTGTAGTCTTAGAAGCTAATATTATTATTAGGCTAATATTACTAGAAAGTTGTACTATTATAAGTAATAATACTTAGAAGTAGGCTATTATACTAAAGAGTCTAATCTAATATTATAGTATTAGATTTAGTAGCTTATATAAATAGAGTTCTATAAAAGCTATTAAAAAGTAGATTAGATTTAAAGTAGATTAGATTTAAAGAACTATACTTAAGTATATTTAAATTTATATAATAAGTTAATTAAGTATTATAAGTAGAATATATATATAGATATTTTACTATTTCTAAATAATATATTATTAATAGTATTAAAGTAGATTAATAATAAACTAATAGTACTAAAGTAGTTAACTCTAATTAAGAGTTAGCTTAATTATAATATAGTTATAATAGAGAGTTATAGTAATATATAGAACTCTAATTAACCTAGTACTAAGTTAAATATAGAATAAACTTCTATTTTCTCTATTTTTATATATAGTAAGTATAAAATATATACTAGAGAATTATATATACTATTATATAAGAAAATTTTACTTTAGGTACTTTTAAGTTTTCTAATATTTCTTAGTATTTCTTTATAATTATCTCTCTTTTTAGAAAAAGCTATTTCTAGCTTATTTCTAAATTATTTATATATATTAAGCTAAAACTACTTTATAGAGTTTATATAGATATTAAATATAGTAGGAACTAATCTAGTTATAATTATATTAGTTATAGAAAGTAGAAGACCTAAAGTAAAATAAGCTTCTTTTAGTTATATAACTTTTAGTATAGATACTTTAAGTATCTATTTTAGCCTACCTATCTAGACTATACTACTTAATACTCCTATTTAGGCTAGTATATATATCTCTAAAGTAGAATCTAAGTAATAGTATATAAGTATTAATACTACCTAGTTATCTCTATTTAAAATTACTAGTTTTAGGCTTTTAACTATACTTTTATCTACTTTAATAAGTAGTTAGAATAAATATTCTTCTACTAACTCTATATAGTCTATTTTTTTAAAAGTACTAAAAGAAATTAAGCTTACTTTATATATATATTTATTACTATATATTTAGCCTCTATTATTAATATTACTATAGACTTCTACTTTCTACTTATCTAAGAAACTAGTACTCTATAGAGGAAGAATATATACTTAAGGATTAAAACCCTATCCTACTTATCTATTATATAGTTAGAATCTAAGTATTTTTATAGTTTATTATTCTCTTCTTTTCTAAATATAATTTCTAGATCTAGGTAAAATCTAAAGTATTTTCTAAGCTTCTTTAATACTTTTATATATCC